GAAATAGGAAACAACAAATAAAAGGAGGGATAGATATGTCTAGTCTCTCTTGTCATTTTTCAAGATACTGAGAATCCTCTTACCAAGGGGGCGCTCAGATGGAATATCCTCAGGGTTTGCTCGATGTCTTCGAAGATCGACTTGAGATCAACCTCGTGTGGACGCAAATATCTCGTCTTCTTGAAAAGTTTCCAAAAGGTAAACAAGCCAATAGCCAATGGAATGATGAAGTATCGAGTGAAAAAGGATTCAATGTCGAAATGCCCATGAATGAAGTTATAGAAACCTCCCGTCAACAAAAAGATTACAGACATAATACCAGAAAACCACGCTGCAAACGGGGCAATGCGAGTATGGTAGGGTAGATCTGATCTCGAGTATCCTTGTGCTTTCAATGCTCTATCCATGTGGATGTGGTTTGCGGAAATTAAAATCCAACGCAGCAGCGTGTTTGAAGAAACCAATTCTTGAAACCAGCTGAAGACTTTCGAAGACGACTCCGAACAAGACATATAAGCGAGTGGCAAAAATGCAGATATGAACAGAATTCCAACCCAAGGAATCCCGCGCCTGTTGGTTTTGAGAAAAATTTTTGGAGCCTGGTTTTTGGTGGCCAAAGCAAATAAGTTCCGGGAACCTTCCACAAGGGCCAGGTTACCTGCAGACCAAGCTGACGTCAGAACAATTGCATTGATAATATGGGGTAAAACCTTTATCCCTGCACGGTTCATGGCAATGACATACGGACTGGACTTGGCAGTACCAGTACCCGTGGCAATAAGTTCGTCGTTGTAAGGAACGATCATGGTCAGAATCAGGACAGCCAAGAGGTATAACACGATGATGCGAGTAAAAACATTTTTTGCGCCGTGGAAGATCGCGTGTCTGCTGTTTTTCGTTTCACCAGCCAGGATAGCAATATTTTGGATCCCACTGTAAGAATAGACAACGGAAGAAAGCGCTGACCAGAACCCTACAAACTTTCCAATGCTACCATCGACCAGGTAGGTTGCAAAGGGCCCAGGATCTCTCCAGTAGTGGAACCCCAATCTTTCCTGGCCCTTGGTGCCGCCTAGGTCTATAACCCGGCCTGTCACGATCAAAATGAGAATCAAAATAACCTTGAGCCAACCAAAAAAGTATTCCACTTCACCATAGAACCTTACCGTGTAAATGTTGGTTAAAACAAAGAGCACTCCAAAGATAGTGATGAAAACACCCGAGTTCAAGTCCGTCCAATACTTCATGACAACTGCGGTGGCAGACAGCTCGCCGGGCATCATAGAGGAGTAGGTCGAGATCCATCCAAATGTAAAGCCAATAGATTCGTCAATGAATCGTTCTGCATGTCTGATAGTGGCACCGGTTGCCGGCATGAAAGAAGCCACCTCAGCGATGGCTATTTGGTTGCACCCAACAACGATACCGACAACAAGGTAGGCAATGAACATCCCAGCGGGACCTGTTTTATGCAGGGTGCCTCCTGACGACAGAAAGAGCCCCGTACCAAAAACACCTACCAGTGTCAACATTTTAATGTGACGCTCTTTCAAGCCTTGCTTCAGCTTAGACCTGTCATTGTGAATAACACCAATCTGCGCTTCTGTAACAGTTTGAACGTCGATAATCTGACCGTCAGACTTTTCGTCGCTGGCTCCTTTTTCTTGTGGTGTTAGCTCAAAGCCTTTGCTCAGCGAAGACGACATTTTGAACTACGGACGCAGAGAACAGAGCTATAATGTTCTTCCAACTTTGAGACATCTTTAGTCGTTATTAAGAAACCCTGCCTCATTTATAGCCTACACTTGGGCATGGTGTAGCCCAGTTGAAGAGTTTTTTTTTTCAGGACCGTGCAACAAACTGCAGCTGTGTTGAAGAACAATTTCAAGAAGAAGAAAGGGTATTAAAAAACATACTGGACCGGCTGATCACGATAAGAATGCAGGATCGTTGATATAGTCAGAGATAGTGCAGAGCTGAAAGAGAATTTTGAATCACAACCTGCGCCTTCAATTTGCTACGTCCAAGGAATAATTTTCTTTGGTAACTGAGACTTACTACATGCCAAGGGCCGCATTTCCTACTTGATATCATTCTGCTTTGCAAGTATACCGCTTTCCGCTACCCACGGGAGGTACTTTTCATGAGGATATTGTATCACATATTTTCTTTGTCTGTGGCCATCTCCGACCAAAGATGAGCTGAGGCTCTCTTCACAAGGGCGTCCTCTCTCCAAAAATGCCCCCATGGAAGCGTAAAAGCAGCACGGGCTTATCGCCAAGTCTCTAGGACGGCTGTTTAGGAATATTTACGGCATTTCATGCAAGCTTTACTCTTGGGAATTTATCTTAGTGAAATCTTGTTCGGGGAATCCTGCCTTTTAGAAAAATTGAAAAGTCTAACGCTCAAACCCAGTGGAATTCTGATTATCGGAGGGCTATCTGGGAGCTAAGAAACAATTTAAGAGCCTACGGTTTACTTGATTCTGTTAAAATGAGTACTTAAGTCTAGTACCTAGCCTTCCGACAAGGATAGTTTGTAGCGCATTTATTCAACATTGGCACTTCAGTACAAGATGCCTGGCGAGAAACCTGAGCAGAAACTATGGGGTGGAAGGTTCACCGGGGAAACAGACCCTTTGATGCATCTGTACAACGGGTCTCTGTCTTACGACCAAAAAATGTACGATGCTGATCTCGACAACTCAAAGTACTATACTGAGGGCTTACTGAAAGTAGGTCTTCTGACACCAGAGGAGCTCAGTGAGATTCACAGAGGCTTGGAAGTGATCCGCGGTGAATGGACTTCGGATTCGTTTGTGGAGAAAGATGGCGACGAGGACATCCACACCGCCAACGAGAGAAGGTTGGGCGAGATCATCGGCAGACACATCGCCGGAAAAGTACACACGGGTAGATCCAGAAACGACCAAGTTGCCACGGACATGCGAATCTACTGTCGTAACGCCCTCACTAAGCTGCAGAAAATCCTCACCGATCTCATCGGAGCGATTTTGCAGAGATCGGAGACCGAGATCGACGTTTTGATGCCTGGATACACTCACTTGCAGAGAGCGCAGCCAATCAGATGGTCGCACTGGCTCAACCTCTACGCTACCTATTTTGTTGAGGACTTCAAGAGACTGAGACAGATCAAAGAAAGGCTCAACGTGTCTCCTTTGGGGTGTGGTGCCTTGGCCGGTCACCCTTACGGTATTGACAGAGAATACATCGCGGGCAAGCTAGGATTTGACGATTGCATTGGCAACTCGCTCCAAGCCGTCTCTGACAGAGATTTTGTCGTGGAAATTCTGTTCTGGTGTTCACTTTTTATGAACCACGTTTCCAGATTCAGTGAGGATTTGATCCTCTATTCCACCGCCGAGTTTGGTTTTGTCAAGCTTTCGGACGCCTACAGTACTGGCTCTTCGTTGATGCCTCAGAAGAAAAATCCAGACTCGTTGGAGCTGTTGAGAGGTAAATCTGGCAGAGTGTTTGGCTCCCTTTCTTGGTTCATGATGTCTCTGAAATCAATCCCATCTACTTACAATAAGGATATGCAGGAAGACAAAGAGCCCTTGTTTGATGCACTTGTTACAGTGGAGCACTCAATCTTGATCTCCACAGGTGTAATCTCTACTTTGAGCATCAACAAGGAGAACATGTTCAATGCCTTGACAATGGACATGTTGGCCACCGATCTTGCGGACTACTTGGTGAGAAAGGGTGTCCCCTTCAGGGAAACCCACCATATTTCCGGTGAGGCCGTCAGCAAAGCCGAGAAACTGAAGCTTTCCGGTATCGACCAATTGAGTGTTGCTCAGTACAAGGAGATTGACGCCAGATTCGGTGACGATGTCGTTGACGTTTTTGATTTTGAAGTATCTGTCGAAAGAAGAACAGCTACCGGCGGTACTGCCAAATGTGCTGTGTTGAAGCAGATTCAAAAGCTGAAGAACAAAATATAGTACGTGAATATTCTTGGAGGCCTTTTAAGTAATGAATTTCAACGGTATGGGTCAGGATATAGGCGGGAGACTACTTTAACGCTACTTCATGGGTACGGTTGTTTGTGTAAATCAGCAGAGTAACAAATTCAGGCGCAACGGAATTGGAGTGATTCGATTGGCGTTTCCCGAAGACAGCAAATGGAGTAAATATTTCATAAGCCCCCTCTGTGTCCTTCATGCTAAAGGACCCCCTTATCGCAGTTTTTTCAGAAACAGGCAAAGGATCAAGTTGGTACATTCCCAAGGTAATGGTCGTCTTCTTTCATTTGGGATCATTATTATCAGAGTGAGTAAAAACAATCTCCGCTCACGCCACGCTTCAAATATGAATTGGATACATTGCAACACAGATCTTTTTAAACTTATCTCGATTAGCTTATACAACTACCACACAGTCAATGGACATTCATCGAATTAGAATTCTGGGGACGGTGTAGTCTCGAAAAGAAGGTTCCATTTCCAACTGTCAATGAAACGAGCCTTCAAAAGCCTGATACTATGCGTTCAATGCAGTCAAGCTGCTCTAGAACCGCAGATTTGGAGGTACCACCCCTCACTGACTTTTTTTCAACACTGCTTTCAAAATCAAATGCAGAATAGAGATCTGGTCCAAATCTTTCATCAATCGCTTGGAACTCCTTGAGGGACAGGTTATCTATAGCACCACCTTCAGCCTCGCCAGCCGCTTTAACAACCTGGCCGACGATCCGATGACATTCACGGAATGGAACACCTTTGCGAACCAGATAATCAGCAAGGTCAGTAGCCAGCATGTCGGTAGATAAAGCACCTCTCATTTCTCCGACGTCTATGGAAAGTGTGGAAATGACGCCAGTGAAAATGTCAAGTGAGTCCTTGACAGTATCAAGGGTATCAAAAACAGCTCTTTTATCTTCTGCGAGATCCTTGTTGTAGGTGGAAGGTAAACCCTTCACGGCCATCATGAAGCCCGCCAGGTTTCCAAATAGACGTCCAGCTTTTCCTCTAATGAGCTCAAGGCTATCCGGGTTCTTTTTCTGGGGCATTAGCGAAGATCCTGTGGAGTAGGCATCAGAAAGTTTGACAAATCCAAACTCGCTTGTGGAGTACGCAATCAAATCCTCAGCCATTCTAGATAGGTGGGAAGAAACACTGCAGCCCCAGTATAGAGTATCTAGAACAAAACCTCTGTCACCCACCACCATTAAGGAGTTGCCCATGTGCTTTGGAAAGTGGAGCTCATCGGCGAGCAGTTGCCGGTCAATATTGAACGAATGTCCAGCCAAGGCGCCTGAGCCCAGTGGACAACGGTTGGTGATATCTAGCGCCATTTCAAGCCTTTGAATATCGTCTGTAAGCTGCGTAGCGTATGAGCTCAGCAAGTGTGCCCAGCGAATTGGTTGTGCGCGCTGGAGGTGCGTGTACCCAGGCATTAGGACATCGATTTCTTTTCTGGCCCTGTTTATCAAGCACAGTATCAAGTTTTTCAGGCACTGGCGCCCTGATATCAAGTGCTTCCGCACATACAGACGCAAGTCTGTGGACACCTGGTCATTCCGCGAGCGACCAGTGTGTACTTTTCCTCCTAGAGGTCCAATGATCTCTGTAAGTCTTCTTTCGTTGGCAGTGTGGATGTCCTCATCGCCTGGCTTCTCTTGAAACTTACCGTTTTCCCATTCGTTCAACACTTGTTTTAGACCTTCTTGGATTTGAGCTAGCTCCTTTGCGTCAAGGATACCTGCTTTGTGCAGAGCAAGTACGTATGCCCCAGTTCCTTCAATATCTTCGCTATACATGGCTTTTCCAACTGTTAAGCTGTTGTTGAATTTAGTCATAAGTGGGTCGGTCCCTTGAGTGAACCGACGCCCCAAAGCTGCATGCTTTGTTCAGACATTCTTTTTCTGGTTCTGAAAGGCTACAATTCTGAGCTAAACTTTTACTTGAGGGCTGGAGAAGAATTGGTGTCTGCATTTATGGACAAGCTTTGTAGGTTACCTAGATTTTATTGTCGCTACCAGTTTCCGCCGCGATCTTCAAGAAAGGGTTAGATAAGAAACCGGGGTATCTGCCATGATAAAGAGATAAGCACTTTGTCCAAAAAGGTGGAAAAAACGTTATCTTTGCCAGAGCGAACTTAAAATCTTGGTATGGGAGCGCGGCCAAAGAAAACGAGCGCGGTCAAACAGAGCGAGCGTGTGAATTCCTCTTAGGATTCTCAGTGACATGGCAGTCACCTGAATGTCGCTATATCCTTCCGTCGTGATCAAACACTTTGCGTAAGTCAAAGAGAGAATTCTCCTGTGCCTTTCTCGGCTTGTCCTTCCCACTAGGTGAATAATACCTCTCCCATACCTGCCAGATCGGGCCTCTGCTTTTTGAAGATGGTGTCTATACCCAATGAGCCCGTTTTGAGTCGATAAAAGCTTTATCGGCAGCAGAAATGGATACACATTTGAAAAGGTAAACAGTTACCGACACACCATCTCATAATTAGCATAAATTAGACTGACATTTCCGTTCGATGTCAAAGTCTCGCCGTCAAAGTTGTAAGTTCCTCTATATCCACCCCAATAGCAGCATGTCTTCCGTCAAGCAGCACGATGAGGTGGTCACCACGGTGCTCAGCAGCGAACAAGTGGCAGAGTTTTATGAAGTCAAGAACAGAGATTTGGCTATGGAAGAGGTCGAAGCGGCCGCACATTTCGAGATCGATCCATCTGCTACTAGAAGACTTGTCTGGAAGATAGACCTTATATTTTTGACGGTGATCTCATTGGTGTCGGCGTTCCAATATATGGACAAGTCTTCCAGTAATTACGCTTCGGTCATGGGCATCAAAAAAGATCTGAATATGGTGGGCAACCAGTATAACTGGGTTGGAACGTCGTTCTATCTCGGCTTTTTGGTGTTCGAAATTCCGTGCTCTTGGACTCTGCAACGTCTACCACTGGCCAAAATTTCAAGTGCGTATATTTTGGCCTGGGGGCTTCTTCTGTGTCTGACCTCGCTGGTAAAGTCTTACTCCACATTTATCCTCACCAGAACGCTCTTGGGGGTTTTGGAATCCTCTATCACACCGGCCATGGTTTTGTTCATGTCACAGTGGTACAAAAAAGAAGAGCAGTTCTTCCGCACATCTATTCTGATTGCGTGGAATGCGGTAGGCGGCTTGGTCGGTGCCTCCACATCCTACCGCCTATATGAGCGCCAGCTTGCGGGTACCCTCTCCATGGACGCCTGGCGAATTTTGTTTATCATTGTAGGGCTCATCACTATTGTAACTGGACTGCTGGTCCTATTTATTGTTCCAGACACCCCTTCTCAGGCCTGGTGGCTAAACAAGCGTGAAAAGTTCCTTGCCGTTGAACGTATACGTACCAACAAACAAGGGTTCGGAAACCGCCATTTCAAAAAGGAGCAGGTATATGAGGCACTACGGGACCCTCGTTTGTACCTCTACTTTTTCCTACAAGTAGCGGTCGCTATCCCTAACGGTGGCTTTTCCAACTTTAGTGCTCAGATGATTGCTGGTCTCGGCTACGGGAAGGGGAAAGCTCTACTAATGGGAATGCCAACTAGTGCAGTGTCAATTGTCGGTTTGGTGTTGTTTGGCTATCTTTCAACTCTCAGAAATCGCAGATTGGACATCGCTTTTGCTGGACTTACTCTCAATCTCATTTCGGGCTGTCTCATGGCCTTTGCGAAACCGCTACACGCCCAGCTTGCGGGTTACTACATTTTTGGTCTCTCTCCAATCCCTTACACCTGTATTTTGAGTTTTATTGCCTCTAATAGTGCTGGTCACTCTAAGAAGGTCTTCATGGGTGCGATTTCTATGATTGGCTACTGTACTGGTAACTTGGTTGGACCTCAAACGTTTCGTGAATCGCAGGCACCTCACTATCAGGGAGCAAAGACTGCGATAGTTGCCTGTTATTGTATTGCCTTTTTTATTTGGCTTGCCATATATGCTGTTAACGTGCGCGAGAATAAGAGACGTGATGCTCGGAATGAGAAGCTTCCGGAGGACTTTGTAAACTCAGAATTTGCTGATCTCACTGACTTCCAGAACCCTGAATTCAGGTACTCTATCTGAAGCCTACAGGATGCTTCGATAATACATTTATAGTTTCAGATTAGGTTTCAATCCTATATGTATATGGTTTTTTTTTCAGCGCAGGCTTTCATAGTATTATCAAACCTGACCAAGACCTCTTCGAAATATCGATACCTTGGATATACTTGAACCGAAATTTGTAGCACCAAATGGCAGACATGAGTCTGTACCAGGGAGATTACTCGTCGAGCCAGAGTAATACGATCTCTCACCTTCTTCATTATCCCAGCTGGTCATGACGGATACTAAGGAATGCTTGTTTTATCATGCCACCTTATTCAACGACTTTTATGGACTTCCGAGGTCAACCTGCAAAAGAAAACCTATGAAGAACGTTTGGAGATACCGCAATCTGTCGAGAAATCGATATCGATACGAGCGTCAAATAGCAGATTCAGCGCTAGGAGTTATAAGACAAACTGGTATAGTGAGTGATATTGGGTGAACAAGTTCAAGCCAATTGACTTACCACATTACTTGATCTCGTTAAGAGAACACATTTTAGAAATTTTATACAAATCGAGAAGACCGAATAGTGTCCAAGAGTACTTGAGCTGGATAAGTTATCATTATTAAGGCTCTTATCATTGATAATAACATGGTCAAGAACGGACTATTAATAAAAGTCACCTACCAAACGTTGGTTAAGGAAGCTGAACCAGTTCAAGTACCTAAATAATAACGGACAGATAAATAGAATTCCCTAGATCCAAGTTACCCATCTTACAATGTCTGTTAACGATTTACAAGACAAATTTAGTAAGCTTTCTCGCATCAATAGTATAGCCGGCCAACTCTTTTTTTTGTCCCATGATGTCCAGTTTAGGTTTATCGGTGTCCTAATACCGGCTCTGATAAGCAGATAAGAGGTGCAATATTATAGTGATAAGTTTATGTGCTAGAAAATGTGCAATGATATCTAGGAAAGAGGATCAACAGTTACCGATACCATTATCTTGACCCGGTTTCTGAGACGGCCGGCATAATCTAGGATAAGATAGAACCGGTTGCCTGCAAGAAAAAACCAGGTAGGTGTGTAAGGAAATCAACACTAGATCAGTTCGGTGCTTCCAGCGCAAATCTAGGTCAGGCGCGGGGCGTGATTCGCGCCAGGCTTCAAAGCACTCCAAATGCGATAATTTTTATTCCCCTGAAAGACGGTCTTTCCCATAACTATTACGAGCACTCTTCTCCTGAGGAAGTGCAACATGGTCTTCAGGTTCTGTAGCAGGCGGTCATGAACTATGATAATCACCGTGCCACTAAAATAACTAATGTTACCGGGAAATGATTCATGACCGTACGTCAAGTCATGCAGGAGTTCTGGATCTCTATGCATCTTGGTTCGTGTGGCAATCCCATCGTATGCACACTGGCCAGTCCAGAATTAAGAATCGAAAGCGTCGTTTTGTGACAATGCTTATGTATTGTTGGAGAGTGCTACTTACCTTTTCAGTTCGAGGCGCTTAACTTTAGCTACATTCTAAGGTACGTTAGTTGACGAGATTTTTCTTAGCACATGGAAGTGAAGAGGTCTAAAGTGCGAGTCCTCCCAGTATACAGTTGTGACATGATAATCAAACATTCCGTTGATGTCCAATGCCGCATAGCAGCTCGTTAGTACCTCACTTCGTCGCGCTCTTGTCATGACATTGAATGGCAAGCAAAATTAAGGTATTCGAAAACAGAGAGCCTGCATGTACCTCATATTCATGCGGGCTTGCATGTCTCGAAACACCTCCTTGGACCCGATTGAGTCATTTCACAATTGTTGTGAACTTAAGCAACTACATCAATCTCGGTTAATAGACCTACTAAAGATACTCTACCATCTTTTCTCTTGGCGCGGTGACATATCAATTCAGTAGGAAATCAACCTGAGAGGGAACACGTGGGAAGCTAGTTCGGAGCCTAGTGATTGATATAACTATCCATTCACAGGTTAAATATTGTTTGAATACCGGCGACATATTAATTTATAGAAATAATTTTGACTGGACCCTAAGTTGGTAGCGCTAACGGAGAAGCTAAATGGTACAATAAAATGGCTGTGTCTGCTTACAAAGATTCCAAATCGAAACAGTTTCTTACTCCCAGTAAGTTGGCTTCGATAGCAGGCATATATGTTGGCCTTTCAACATTGATAGCTGTTTGGGCGCTCAACCAGGATGTGAGTGCAGGTATATGTCTCATTGCTACGACAGGGGCATTGGAGGTATATTGGGCTGTAGCCCACCTCAGCGAGCGAGCATCTGGGTTAAGCGCTATTGGCATTGTGGTAATTACCTTGCTTATTGGCATGTTTACATCTGCAAATGCTATATGGTCAATTCCTGCGGCTCCGCTATCACCGATGCTGTTGGTCTAACCAGGGACGCCAATGACCAGGCAAACGGGGTAGCCTGCTCCATATCAGGCTCAGTTTTAGCCGCTATAACATTTGCAGGATCAACCATAGCTGCGTACGGGGCAGCAGCAGGTTGGCTATAGTCTCGTGCTTCGGGTACGGCTACAAAGCGTCAGGGTAGCAGTCCTGTTGGAGAGACATTTGTGCACAGGCTGCTCTCCAGAGTTTATGCGTAAAGAATAGATAGCGTTTATCTTACGCCATGGTCATGATCCGCATAACAATATGAATTCGACGTCACCGCTACAGGCAAGCAGCGTCTAGCACACCGCAAACTACTTTAAAGCCCCTGACTTGCTCCAGATGCTGTCTGGCGAGCCCTTGCTCAGAAACGCACGTCGAAATTACAGCCGCAGAGAATTGAAAAGTACACAATCGGGCACATGTTGGATGCTAGGTACATCGCGTGGAAGATCTTTGAGAGTTTGGTTGCCTTTTTTTTCATTTCCAGTGCAGTCCACTTTTGCTCGTCTATGACCTTATAAATATTGAAGGAAACATGGGTGGAGGAGAATAGACACTTGTATCACCACAGGGCCTGTGTTTGGCATATCTTGGTCATATGGAGCTGTGGTCATCTTGCATTACCTCCTTAATTGGCTGCGGGTAGCAGTGTACAGAGTGGTACAGAAAATGTGTGGAAAGTCAGGACCTTTGTAAAACATTATTCAAGTGAAGAGGTCGGATTGGTTTCTTTCTTCTTTCTTTCGTCCGACATAGTAGGCTATCCCAATGCATGTTAAATCCCAATGCATGTTACAATCCCAATTTCTCCAGTTTCAGGTTACAAGACATTTGAAATTGAGGTGATAATGAGATTTTATACAGGCCCAACGTAAAGCTAAAGATCACAACTACAATGACAGTTCGATAACATTAACCCGCGCATTAGCTTATGAAAACTTTCTGCTCAGCAGCAACCTGGTCTACAAGAATATGTCTATTGCTTTACCACGAAATTGGGGCCCGGATCTCTCCCGTAACCTGAAAGCATCCTACTTTGTGGACTATTACAACATTCTCCAGTGATCTTGAAAACACATGTAAAGAGGCCAAAGAAACTGGCGGCTTTGATGGGATATTGAAATCACTAAACTCATGGGAGCCTTTGCTGCGTTTGTATTCCCAGCCATGAAATTTTCGTTCAGTAAATACTCCATTCCTTTGTGAAAACCCCCATTTTGCATGCTATGACAATCAATGAAAACACTGGCAGCACTAAGTATGCATTTACATTCCATCCTTTCACATATTCCAGCTCTCGAAATTTTCATTGCTCGAACTTCTGGAGCCGCGCTGATCATCATTCTTCCATAATAATTTGCTAGCTATCAGCACCGTAAAAATATTAATAAGCATAACTTTGAAATCAATCCATATTTCTACAATCCCATGCCAAGGTTTGCCGTACGCCTCGAAAGCTGCTAGTTGCCACTCGTAACAAACTTATCAATGTTCACGTTCTTTCCGTATCGCTTGTAGTGCGCGAGATGAATTAAACAATTACTAAGACCACGATGTACACACGCAAAACACATTGAACACTTACGATTATCTACCGTCCTTAGTAATGAACTTTATCCAAGCCAATGCCATGCTCAACGGACACTTCGAGTATAAAATGCACCTCCTTGGACTTTTCAACCTGAACCTTCCTCTTTTTCCACACACCTCATCACGAAAATGACCGCTGGAACACTATACGCTATTAAGAATGCAAGGGGGATGCTGCCCCGTGCTCTAGTTGAGTGGCTCGAACTGGACATCGAGCTCGTCAATCCTAGTGACAAAGCTGAGGAGTTTAAAAGTTTATTTCCCTTGGGAAAGAATCCCGCCTATCAGGGCCGCGATGGCTTTCAATTGACCGAAGTTATCGCAGTTCTGTACTACCTGGTCAACTTGAAGGGTGATGCAGAGTTAGAGAAGACATTTTACGGAACCTCGCTCGAGGAACGTTCTCAAGTGCTCAGATTTTTGTCTTATACAAACCATGAAATTACCCAAAGCACAATTGCAGTAGTTACAGCAGCTAGATCCAATGCGGCGCAAGAGCATTATGATGAAAAGCTCTCCCAGTGTCTTGCATGCTTCGGGTACCTGGAGAAGCGCTTGACGGAACACGAGTTTCTCGTGAATGACCAAATCACTATTGCCGATTTGTTCACTGCCACTATATGCGCAACTCTGTATGGATTTGCGCTTGGAAAGGATAAGTTTGGTGGCTTTTCCAAGCTCAGTGAATGGCTCTCCAAGGTGTTGCAGCACCCAGTGCTGAAGGGCAAAGTTGACACTTCAACATTTGTAGAGACTACCATTTCTCTTCCTCCAACTAATTGATAGATAGTTGTAGGCCAGCGCGTGCCGATATACCATCCTACTTATAGAAATCCGGTAAATGCTTTTATCAACCATTGTGCTCCGGAGTCACCAAAACTCCGGTGCACTTTGATGAATGACGTCAACTGTGATTGACATCGCTTAGCATATAAAATTATATAGGCTATTTACAGGACCAACTTTCGGCTCGACATCCCTGAAGCACACATCAAGCAATGGAAAAGGAAAGCCTACTTCTTCCGGCGGAGGATGAGACTCCTGTTCCCTCGAGGATTTTTAGAAATAAATTAACCTGGCTTCTGCATGACTGGAGCAGGTTCACACCTGCATATGTGTCTCTATTTGTAGCCCACGCCATTTGGGCTATTCCGACCTACTACATGTCCCCATGGAATGGGAATTCGGGAGTTAAAATTTTATCTCTGACTCTCTGGTTTCTGCTTCTCGAAGTTGCATTCTTTGTGGTGGCCATTCTGGCACTGCGGAAAAGAAGGCAAGTGTTTCTGAAGGCATACGAAGAGGTGGTCAAACACATCAGTGCTCAAAGACCAGGAACTGATTTGAACATGTGGGACTCGATTGCCTTGGAACTGAATTCTACGTTTGCGATGGATGAGAGCTGGCATTCCGCTGTGTGTTTGTGGGACGGTGCTGACTGCTATACATGTTTCAGGTCTCTCCTATATATCCCGTTCAAACAGGAAAAACTTGATGGTGAAGTACGGGCTGTCATTGGAGATTCTATATCAGTGTATGAAGATTCCGTTGAACAACGCTGGACCTACAAGATGGACATCGAGGAATTATGCGAGACAGCTTCGCTCAATAAACTACCTCAAGAGCTATACATCTCCAAGTTTACCTGGAACATGACAAATTTAATGAAGAGAAAGTCAACCTGGCTCCTCGCACTATGTTTTGTTCGTGCGTCTTCGCTTTGGTGGACAGTTGGCTACTTTGTAGGTTTTGTTCTTGCTTCTGTCCTGGAAACAACGATTGCTGCTCGCACTCGACTGCTCGATATACAGAACTCTTTCCGCCTGTTGGTAATTGTGGCAAACCAGGAATCTAGCGAGGATGAAGCGGACTGGGACCAAATTGCGAAAGCAATGAATGAACTGGTCGAGGAGAGTCCTTTATCTTCTTATTTCAAAGCGGGCTTTTTCTTTGATGGAGATGACTGTCACCGGGTATTTGAGAACAGTGTAAAGACCATTTTGTGTGGTAAGAAGTCAAATTTTCCCGAGTTGGCTCCTCTAGCAAGCAGATGTCAAGCCATTCCTGGACTTGACGCTGGCGAGAAGGTGTAGGCCGATTATGTGAATCAAGTAGTTTTGTTTGTGACATTAAATTAGAATGTCAAAACATATTTGATGCCCTAGTAATTCAAAAATGACGGCTTAACGAGCACCTTTTTCTACGTAACTGACTATTATAAGCTTGACACAAGTGAGTCTTTGTATCAGATATACCTAAAATTGCGTCGACAATTGTCTCTTGTCCATTGAGCACTGGAGCGACCTATAATGATTGACTTCTTTCACTGTAAATATGGTAGAGCGCTGATTTGATCGTCTCGCGGAATCAACTAGCAGATTCTAAGAATCACCGGTTGATGGCTAGATAAGAATCCCATTTCCGAGGCGACTTGAGCAAGCTCCCCTGCTTTCGCGTGTTTGTACAAAATAGGGTTGCTCAACTCCCTCGGTGAGCACACCTTTTCTGACCAAATCACTAGCCCTTGACTTATATATGATGCTTGACATCGGGGGATAGGTATTAGCTAATGAGCCTTCGAAGCAGCTCCTTTGTCTATTTTCGATGAACGAATGTTTGTATCATGTCTGGTCGAGTAGCTGCGAGTAACCTGGTTTACCTGAAATGAGAGTGGCTCCACCAGCGAATTCGAATGGTTTCAATATTTCCCTGTGATAGCTCACAATTTCACTGGGGTGGTTGCATATTAATTGAAGGGCTGGCAGCAAGCTTTTAACGTACCATACTAAGAACACACCGCGCTATCCATCTCATACCATTAGCAAGAAATACCAAATGATTTTTCTGCGCTGATCAAACACTCGCACCATACCTCTGATCTTCATTGCCCGCCTTACTACGGCCAGAACCAATAAAGCAGTGAGATTCCCCTACCAAAAAGCTAAAAGCCTGAACAGGTCTCTGGACAACACTGTGTTCTGTTATTGCTCTCTCTCTCTCTTTAATTCCAAAATGACAACCAATGCAATATTTTTAGCCTCTATTCTGCAACAATCCTGACATCTTTAAACAACGTGCTCTCGGAAAGGCTCATCTTCAAATGAACTGTCTGTCCGAAATCAGTAACAAGACAGTTTCTCTCAATAAAATCCGTTTCACAAACTCTTTGAACTTGTAGACCTGTTCGCGCCTCGTCGATGACCACTTGCGCGTACTATCTGCAGTCAAAAACCCCAAACCATCGGCACACTTTATATCCTGACCGAATAGGGTTGTGTCGATACAAGTCTTACACATTTTGGATAGAGCTCAGAGATGACACACTCATTTCTGCGGCAAACCGAAACCCGAGATACCTTTATCAAGTCACTAGCCAGTTGAATCTAACAGGGGCTGGTTGTGATTTTCAAAGTGGACAAAGTAGCACATACCTGGGTCAACAATTGACGGATCAAAAAAAAGTGGCATAGGGTAGGTATACCCAAACGATTTTCAATCACAAACTGCCTTAAGTTATTTTATCTTAGAAGTAGAATATCCATCATCAGGTCTCCTCGCCTATGAACGCAGAAAGTGTGGTTGTCTTTGAATTTCGTTTTTTTCTTTCAAATAACAATTGAGACCTCATTCCACTACTTAGGTTAGTCTATGAGTGCCCTTCGAACTTGAGCTTTTTTTAGGTACATCCACGCTTATTGGAATATATCCCACATGCAATGGCTCCCGCGCCAGCAACAACTCCATTTTTACCGTACAGCATTCTTAGCCATGCAAACTAGTCGCAATTAATCCGGGGGTACCAAGGGCAGTGCTGCTTTCCGTTCCGTCCTCGTTCTTCGAACAAAAGAATTTTAGGTTTTTTTCGCTAAAAGAGGAATACGCACCGACATCCTAGTGCGTGCCCGTTGTTAATACTCAATAATTAACCCCGGAATTAAATTTTTTTTTTTTGATTGAAAAGACGCTACACCCACTTTCGTGCATCGACCATGTGTTCTCGAAAACGTCATCCTTTTGACGCTTCCAACAGAACTAGATGAGCTTGTGCCGAGGATAGTTGGCTTAGAGACAAAATCGCTCGAGGGGTTTGTTTGCAAAGGTTGTGCCACAACCTGTTACGATGAGTGTTCACTATTTCGCGTATTCCGCAATGACTTTGTACAACTTAATTGCGGTATCGGGTAAACTCGGAATGGATGTTAGAGTACAAACAAGGCTTAATTATCACTCCATCTTTTGGGCCACCTTAACCCTTATTATTTTCCTTGAGCGGATCGCACAAAGTTTTCGCGGAGATCCTGGCATAAGGTCAATGGAAGCGAGATGTATATATATGTGTATGTAATTAGAGCTCTCTAGGCTGAATAAAAACTGAGCATTTTCTTGAATACCAATAGGTTTTTTCTGCTCTCAAGCCTGGATAGATTAAAAGAAGTCACTACCGCGATGAAGAACTTACTTTCATTGGTAAACAAACAGGACAAGCCTAAGTCCCCCAAGCATGTTTCAGATACAGAAGCCAACAATGGTGGCATGAACACAATTATGATGGATGACGCTAAAAAAAGTAAAAGTGACGTTGAGCTGTGCCATATGGAACATGCTCCCGGTTCAAATAGTCCTGAAGATGAGGATACTGAGGCTTCTGAGCTGTTGAATGCGACTCAAGATGCTAAAGAAGCAGACGATAACGAGAGAACAATGCCCTTAATGCAGGCCCTTAAAACCTACCCAAAGGCTGCAGCATGGTCTTTGCTCGTTTCGACTACGTTGATTATGGAAGGCTACGACACTGCAATTCTTGGCGCTTTCTTCGCTCTGCCTGTTTTCCAGGAAAAGTTTGGTAGCCAAAACTCGACAGGAGATTGGGAGGTTTCGGCTTCATGGCAAGTTGGTTTGACCTTGTGTTATATAGGGGGCGAGATTGTGGGATTACAGCTTACGGGACCACTGTGTAATTACATTGGTAATCGGTACACAATGATTTTCGCGCTGTTCAGTCTCGCTATGTTCACCTTCATTCTGTATTTCTGCAAGGATTTGGGAATGATCGCGGTGGGCCAGGCCCTGTGTGGTATGCCGTGGGGCTGCTTTCAGAGCTTAACAGTCACATATGCGTCAGAAATATGTCCCTTGGCGCTCAGATACTACTTGACAACATATTCTAACCTCTGTTGGTTATTCGGTCAACTATTTGCAGCCGGTATTATGAAGAACTCTCAAAATATGTATGCGCATTCCGAACTTGGTTATAAATTACCGTTTGCGTTGCAATGGTTGTGGCCTGCTCCTCTAATGGCTGGTATATACCTAGCGCCTGAGTCTCCTTGGTGGTTAGTCAAAAAGGGAAAAATGGATGAGGCAAGGAGATCGCTTAATAGGACGCTGAATGGTAAGGGTATAGAAAAAGAGGTTACGGTGGCCAAAGAATTAGAGAAAATTCGACTCACCATAGAGAAGGAAAAGACACTGAAATCTTGTGAGGGAAGTTACCTGGACTGCATAAGTGATAAAACTAATAGGAGAAGAACCAGAATTGCCTGCCTTGCATGGGTGGGACAGACAACATGTGGCGCCGGTCTTATGGGATACTCAACTTATTTTTATCAAAAAGCTGGTGTCAGCACAGATATGTCTTTTACCTTCAGTATCATCCAGTACTGTCTGGGCATAATTGCAACTTTTATCTCTTGGTGGCTCTCAAAGCACTTAGGCAGATTTGATCTGTACGCAATCGGCTTGGGATTCCAGGGCATAATGTACTTAATAATTGGTGGTCTAGGATGCATGGAGACAACAGAATCAAAAATGGCAAGTGGAGCACTTCTGATGGTCGTAGCTTTTTTCTATAATTTGGGTATTGCCCCTGTGGTCTTCTGTCTAGTGTCTGAAATTCCATCGTCCAGGTTAAGAACAAAGACTATTATTTTGGCTCGAAATTCCTACAATGTTGTCTCAATTGCTGCATTGGTCTTGATATTATACCAGTTGAATTCCGACAAGTGGAACTGGGGTGCTAAAGCAGGTTTCTTCTGGGGCGGATTATGTTTTGCTACGCTTGCATGGGCTGCTATTGATCTACCCGAAACTTCAGGAAAGACTTTTAGTGAGATCAATGAACTATTCAAGCAGCATACCCCGGCTCGGAAGTTTAAGACAGCAAAGGTAGAGCCTTTTTCAATCAAAACCTCAAATGAACTATCGGATGACGATATAACACCTTCGCTGGGGGTCTCTTCCAAATCTCATGACGAAAGGGAATCGCCAAACAATGGTCTTTAGTGGTCTTTGTACGGTTCAGAGGCCACGGACGTAATGTTAACTTTTTCCTACACAACCAACGGCCCTTAGTAAATGATCTTCAAATACATCGGTCGGCCAATAATATGCTCAATTATAATAAATACATACCGAAGAGGTTAAATCATGTCAAATATAAACAAAACTACTTTACGGTTTTTCATTTTGATGCCACTGCTGGCCGCTTGCATATGAGTGACATTGTCATTTGAATCAGATTGGAAATATGCTCGTTTTCCTTCGACAAAAAAAGTGTCATCCCAGATCCCATTTATAATAGATATAATTAAAGTACGCAGTCATCATTTAGATGAGGACATGGTCAAAAGTAGCTGAGAGCGTACAAAAGCGTCTAGTAATCTAACCCTTGTCAAAGATTTGACTTGAATATTGTGCAGAAACAGGCTCGTTTGTCTTTACCTCTCAACAAAACGAGCAGGTTCGGGCTTCTGGTAAACTGCTTGATATAAACTGTCGCCAGGCAACTCTATGTATCTATTTTTGACGCCGCTTAAATCAAGTAGTTCTGGCCGGAGATCTTTTATCGTTTTCGCACCCAGAAGTCTCATCGAACATTCCACTTCCTCAGCTAGCATATTAATGGCTTTTTCAACACCATCTTTCCCGTAGCAGCTATTGGCGTATAAAAAAGGCCTTCCAATTCCTACGCCCTTGGCACCGAGGCACAAGGCTTTGAGAATGTCAGTTCCACGGCGTACACCCCCATCAATAAATACTTCAAGCTTATCATCTAGGCGTTGCTCTCTCAAAATGGGCATCGCTTCCGCTAGAACCTCCAAGGGTGCACGAGCAAAGTCCAATTGGCGTCCACCGTGATTTGATATGACAACCCCATCTACTCCAATCTCCACAGCCTTTAGGATGTCTTCAACACATTGTACACCCTTGACGACGATGGGAAGATGAGTTTTTTCTTTCAAGTCTGTGATATCTTCCCATGTCAAGCTTGGATCAATAAAACCAGCGAGGGCTTGAGAAGCACCGCGGGCGGATCCACCTTTTGCGGACTTTGCATTTGGAGCCGCATTTTTTGAGGAAAATTTGATTTTCATGTCTTTCTCGCGCCGACCAGATGCTGGTGTATCCACTGTAACAAAAATTGCCTTTAAACCAAGAGATTCAGCTTCTTTGAGCAAATTTTCCGTGGCTGACCTGTTTGTGTTAACGTAAAGCTGAAGCCATTGTGTTTGCTCCTTTGAAGGTGCGGCCTCGACAATCTCTCGGAGAGAACAAGAAGCAAATGTGGAAATCATTTGAGCACACTTATACTCACCCTGACCACAGCCCCGAGCAATATCTTTCTCGCCTTCCTTGGGATTTCCAAGTTTGACTAAAGCAGTAGCGCTCGCATAAAATGGAACGGAAACCTTGGATCCTAGCATCTCGGTTGACAGGTCAACTTCTGTGACATCCACTAGAACTCTGGGCTTGAAAAACACTCTGTGATAGATTGCGTGATTCTCCCGATGGGTAAACTCATCATCCGCGGCAGACGAATAGTAGGCCCACGCCATATTTGATAGAATTTGTGAAGCCAGGTTCTCGAAGTCGTAGAGGTTCATTAATGAGTCTAAATCTGGAAGTGCGTGGCGTAACTCTTCTTTTCTTTGAATGTCCTCTGGTGATTCGCCTGTAGCTGGTGGTGGACACACATGTTCGCTTGGCATATGCCCTTCGAGTGGTCCTAAGCGATCGGAATCCGGAATAAACTTCTCGATCACATCAGGAGCGTGCAAAGCAGAAAACAAAGCAGTTACATCTTTTCCAGCATTGAATTTGATAACAGCGGGGCCTCCAGGGTGCTGGTTGATGAAATTAGTTAAATCGTAGACAAAATCGTCTATCACTACCCAGCAATCGTCTTCTTTGTTATGCAGCAATACCTCGGAAGCACAGATAGAAGAACGCTTCAAATCGCGAACAAGGTCGTTTTTGATAAAACTTTTCTCTCTATTCGAACAGAGGGCATATGTTATGACCGAGAAGGACGTCAACAGTGCGATATTACCTGACGGCCTTGTCACATGCCTTGCACCAACTTGTTTGGCACTGTGAGAGAGCGCCCGCCACCTTCCACGGTCAAAGGCTCTTTTGAAAGCCGGGTGCAATACCGATTGCCTAAACATTGCTGCTGAATTCACAAATGAGAAAGTCCCAATATTTCTCTCAGCGAAGATGGTGAATATAACCAACCTTCTTATGTATGCTTTTTCCGGCGGAAAGACAAAATCGTTACAAACGCATTTTTTGGAAATTGGCGCGACACTTCAGCTGCCGATAACGATATCGCATAACCAACTTTACAGCTGCCATCAAAGGTGCTTGTGCCTAGGCATGTCAATGACATGTGAACATGATTGATATACTCTATATTGGCTCAGAATTGCGTTAGAGAATGGGTATTTAATGGTAACACAACAGTCGTCACTTAAATACTTCACGAACTCCCTGCTTGTGCGTAGTAGATCTAATTTATCGGCTCAGATTTCTCTATGAGCTGGATCAGGAAGATTGAACACCCAGAAGCGTGCGTCCTCTCGGCGCCTAGGCTACTGAAGAAGCTAATATACAGAAAAAGATCTCTTTCAAAGCTTGGCCATTAGAGGAAGAAAGTATCAGAGCGCGAATGAAAATAAAGCTCTTTATATCATATCTATGAACTCATCTCAGAGCCAGATCAACTTTCAGCAATTTCTTTGAGGAGCATCTGATTCATCAGTAGAAAGCTTACTCAATTTGTCTTGTAAGTCGGACATAGTCATTATAAGATGAGTAAATTGGATCTAGGGAATTATATTTATCTCTGTGGTCATTTTAGGCATTAGAGCTGGTTTAGTTACCTGAACAAAAGCCTGGTACTAATACAATTCTCACTCGGTGACTCTGGTCAACACATTTATTTATCACCCGTTCTAGATCATTCTATTGCCCAAGGATTACGGCTTCAATGCCATACGCTACCGATAGCTTATCAATCGTCAATCCCATTGGACAACAGTTGTTCTCTCCGGCTTGTCTTAGCTTGTAACTCGATTTGTGTGGCCTCTGTTGCGTACTATCATTCTGTACCACTGTGTCACATATTTCCTGACGCTGATTAAGCGATAAGGCGCACATCACCATCAGTTCCCTAGTAACTCACATACTTCCCAACAAATTTATGCTAATTTTCATTGTTAGCATGCAAACTTTGTGCCTCTTCTGACGTTTCTCCGTGATCCTTACAAAGAGAAACGGCATTCGTTGACAATCAATTTTTAGATTTGCTTTATTCTCGCGTTAGAGATTGGATATGGTTTCCCCTTTGTAGTCAAAATTGTGTCGAACCCACGGTCAGACAACTAGTTCAGTTCACCATGTCGATACTCTACTTTGGTATTGGAACTTAACAGTACTTAAATCCATACTTGTTTCAAGCTAAACGCACCCTTTCCATGATTCATAACGAATGTTTAGTATAGAAGGCGAATAATTTTCTCCTTCTCTAGAAAAACGATAGGTGAGTGACTTTGCTTGCTCCTAGATTGCAAATTCAAGAACTATACAGAATCAGATAACAAGTAGCTGCTCTAAAACCTCCGCAAAGTAAAACCCACGCAAAAATGCCGCGAAATTGCGAAGCAAGCAGATCCTGCGACCATCATTAATGAAGTGTACACGATGAAATTATTATAGTTCGTAATTTCTCCAGGTCCTATGATCGCACCACCAATAGGAATGACAGGGATTGTCATTAGAGCCTCCAGTAAATATGCGGATGCATACCTCTTACCAAAGTCTGCCGTTCTCGATATTTGGCCTATGCAAACAGGGGTCAGCGACAGAATAGAGCCCGCAGAAAACCCATAAAGAATAGAATAAGCCCACAAAGCGTTAACGTTTCCTCCAAGGGGTAACCAAAGAGCTAAATTGAACACAGCAGCGAAAAATACAGTTATTATAACCATATTGAACCTTCCTGTATACTTATCTGCCAAGTAACCGGGGATATAGCGCCCTAGAATCCCTATAGCATTTGTTGCAGCAATCAGAGCATAAGAAACTTCTTGTGAGTTCCCTTGGGCGAGAGAGTAAGAAGCAAGATATGTGGAAGAGGCAGTTAACGAGTTTTCGGCAAAACTCATGCCCAACGCTGCAAAGAGAAATTTCCATTCGCAAAAGTACCGCCAGTTCAATGCTGAACCAAAATACCATTTCAGCGCCTCTGCTCTGTTACTAAATGGCTCTGCTTGTGATTTATCTTTCTCCTTTGCGAAAGCAATTGAACACATGAGACAGCATACGCAGACAAGAGCCAAAATTCGTAGTGCCCATTGAAATCCTACAGTAGAGTATAGAGATCTCAGCATTAAAGGAAAGACAACACCGCCAATAGATCCCCCTATGGTTGCCACACTTGTGGCGATCGCCCTTTTTTCAACAAACCATGTAGCAACACAGCTTACCAATGGCGTCATTAAGATTCCACAAGCTAGCCCGCCCAAGACGGAGAAAGCCAATAAAAACTCCCAAAGGGTTTCACAATTTGCTGTTCCTAGTATGGCACCAGTAAACATAAGTGTTCCTAAACACATCGGAACCTTTCCGCCATTTCTATCGAAGTAACCTCCGGAAAAAATACACCCAAGGAAAGTTAGTGTCAGATAAATAGAAAAAACCCACGAGACCATTGAAGAGGATTCGTTGACAAGCTGGTTTTTGGAAATATAGGATTCAATAGCTCCCAGAGAATTGATCATACCAAAAACAGGAGTTAATCCCATGAACGATCCGAATACTACTAGCCATGCTTGATGACCTCCTTCGGGAACTTCTAATACTTCATAGTTTTCAAATTCCTCTCTCCTCAGTTTTAATTGCCGTTGCCTGAGACCCTCGTCTGGGTTGCTTGAGACAGGTCCTAACTGGCCATCGTAGCCCGAGCTTGACAAATGCTCTTGATCAGCTGTTCGTGACGCGTGGTTTTGAGCACTAGACCCTTGATGGTTGTGGGTTGAAGCTATCTGCATACAAGGAAACTGAAATCTTCAGTTTATGGGTCTTCTGAAGAGCACATCTGACTAATGTTAGGTTGGATGTATATATATGACTTTTTTTATGTTTAGTAGTGCCTCTTTATGGGTGAGTCATGTGTTAATATGAGCTTCTAACTAATTCAAAGGCGCTTTCTCCTTTCTGACATGTAGAAGTTTTCTGTAATTCAAAAGGAGATGGTAAGGAAGCCCAAATGTATGAAGTTGGGTACCATCATTGCTCAAAGGAAGTGCCATTCGTTTGTAGTTAATATTACTCACTTTAAAGAAGTATATCCAAAAAACAAGATTCCCTACCATAGTATTTACGCCTAAATGCTGTCAAAGCATATATCTAAACTCTAAATTTTCCTTATCAGTCAGGTCCGCAAACTCTGAGTTGTCTTTATGATAAACAAGGCCCTCTTGAACCAACTTATCTCTTCTCTCGTTCTCCTTATGGTTTACAAAATAAAGGAGTGGCAATGTTGCCAAAGTAACCGCGTAAAATGCGACCATGACAACTTTGGCAGGGCGGTAGCCAGGAGCATCTTTGTCTTGGAAAGTTTGCGGGCCAATTAGGTTACCAACGCAATATCCAATCAAATATATAGCGCCCACGGTTGTCTTTTTCGTGTGTCCAGAGACATTCGAAGATACGATGGAAAACATCACAATCATTGCACCTGGTGAAACCATCAAGAGGTAGTAGCCAGCTAACTGCGCTTTTGGTGTTTCAGGAAACGACATCAAACAGGAACCGATCAATGCAATTGTTGTCGTAATTGACGCGAGAGCCATCCTATTCTGGACAAAAGGCGAAATCAGACCAAAGAGAATCAAACCTACAAACTCACAGGCGCCCGCAGGCAATCCCATTAACAAAGTCATTAGTTCGTCATAGCCCATTGTGCCTTTGATGAGAATTGAAGAGAAAGTTCCAATCCCCCCATTGGGAATATTCAATGCAACAGATGAAATAAACATGATCCAGGTGCGAACATCTTTTAGCGCCTCCATGAACTGATAAGGTTTGAACTTGTGATTTCCAACACCCTGTTGGTTTTTCCGCAACCTCAAAACTATTAGCTCCTTTTCGGATTTATTGAGGAACTTCGATTTAAAAGGATTATCTGGAATCACAACCCAGAAGACGATTCCTAAGAAAATGGTAATTACTCCACAAATAATGAAAACTAATTTCCATCCCGCAATAGGCAAAGTATCTTCTCTCTTTGCCAAGCCGTATGCCATCGCACCACCAATAACCTGGCCAAGGCCATTAAAAGCAACCCAAAAAGACGTTCTTGATCCCTGTTCTTCACGGTGGTAATATTGGGCTGTCAGCAGCATAAATCCGATTGAAGAACTAGATTCTAGCATCCCCAAAATGGTTCTGATGGCAATGAACCCGGGATAATTAGCTACCGATGTCAGGGTCAGAACGATCCCCCAGAGTATCAGGAAAGTTGCCAGTGTTTTGGCTAGAGGAAACCTTTGTAATAACCAAGCCGCAGGATATTCAAAAACGAGGTACCCTAGGTAAAAGCTAGTTCCAGACCAGCTATACATGTTACCCTCCATTTTCAAATCCGTTGTTAATCCCATTACTGCTGCATACGACATTGAGGTTTTGTCAAGAAATTGAGCAGCATAAACCAGAGCCATGACAGGAAATACCACCATGTCAATTTTTCTTGTCAATTTCCGATCAGCTTCAACGTCAATTTCCTTTTCCGAGAACTGCAAGGCATAGTACAATGCTTCATCGACATTTGTGCGTTCCGAAATATCTTGGAGCTCTGAGATATGATCGATAATCTCAATGGATCCTTGCTGTATGTCCTTAACACTTTCTGCATATGCGTCCTTCGTGTCCACTGACATCTTTCAAAGCAGATTTACAACCCTTTTTTAGTTTTCTTTCTTGAGCCTGCTGCGTCAAATGGTAACTTGAATAAACAGAAGTGTCGTCTTCGAGTTGCATCTACGTTCCTGATTTATATATTTGAATCATGGTAAGACAGCAATTTTGTTTATCTGATATGAGGTTGTTAACGTTCATTTACATGATAGGGAAAGTACCCGAGTTATAAGGCTAAAAAAAAACAAAAACCTTATCATCAAGCTAACTCGGGTCTCGAGTCATACCGGGCAATTAAGAAGATAAGCTGAATGGGGAGTTCTTGATAAGAGTTTATCTTCGGGTGCACACCCTACCAATGGTGTTAAAGCAAGGCCGTTATCTTACTATTGAATCTTTAATGAGACTTGGTAGAGTGTAACACTCTATTCCTCACCATTCTGATATATAATGCATATACACCAGGAAGAGAGTTCGTAACCGTGTGTAGCTCACGAAAGGTATCAACTCCTCAAAAAAGGATAAAAATGTACGAATCACCAATTATCGACAATTCCAAACTAACTACATTTGAGGTGGATGGCCTTGGGAAGCTGACAGCATTGACAATCTGCAACCGAGACTCTGAAGAGAAATGCCATCGCTTAGCAGGAATTCGCTATGCAAGACCACCCGTGGGGCAGCTCAGGTGGCGGAAACCTGAAGGCTTACCGGATAATTATGATCATTCTGGCGACTACTCCTCTTTCAAAACAATTTGTCCCCAACCTTTCTACAACAACAGAGGAGGTAAGCCCAATCCTGATTTCAAGTACGATGAAGATTGCCTTTTTTTGAATATTTGGATTCCTTCAGGTGGCCCACCATCCGGAGGGTGGCCAGTTCTGTATTTCATACATGGCGGCTGGCTCCAAGTCGGTAATCCTCTCCACTATCGCCAGTGTGATCCTCAAGACCTACTGGCCGAAGAAGGTCTGGAGAAATTTATCCTCGTCTCTCCAGGATATAGATTGAACATTTTTGGGTTTTTGTCCTGCCAAGATCTCTTGAAAGAGGATAGCGAGAACGCTAATTTCGGTTTCTGGGATCAGCGCTTGGGCCTTGAGTGGGTGCATAAGCACATTTCAAAATTAGGCGGAAATCCAGAAAATATAACAGTTGGAGGAGTCAGCGCAGGGTCATACTCCACCATTTTTCAAACCGCGTACGAAATTTACCATGATGAAGTTCCCCAAATTATCAAAAAAGCTCTCCTTCTGTCAAACGGGCTGGCAATTCAGCCTAAGACTGTCGAAGAATGTGAAGAACAGTACCAAGAGGTGTTGAAGGTTTTCAATGTTGATCCTAGCCTCCCCAGTGCTGAAAGGATAGATGCACTGCGTAATGTTCCCTTCAAAACATTAGCTGAAAAGATTCTTGACTTGAACCTTCACACTTTCAGAGGTGTTACCGATAGTAAAATGGTATCCCCCAATATGTTCAAAGACATTCTCAACGGTACATTTGGAAAGAAGGCCAAAGCCTCAGGACTGTCGTTCATTGTTGGAGAAGTGGTGAACGAACATGCGGTGTATGCAAATACTAACCCTCCAAAGAGTACTGAAGATTTATTTAACCAAATCAACAATTATTATCCCAAGCCTGTTACCGAGGCCTTGCTTAAACTTTACCCCGAGCCACCCAAAGTTGATAGCCAAGAGGAGCATATGGCAAATATCAAATTTCTTTATGGGAGGATTATCAGCGACTTACAAGTTTATGCATCTAGTCGAGTTCTAGTCAACAGTTTGGTAAGGGGAGGTGTCTCTTCGGACAACATCAATCGTTATCAGATAGCGTTTAGGGGGGCGTACTACGACAAATATGAGCCACCAGAGATTCTTGTACCTCACGCGGGAGATATGGGAGTTTGGTTCTACAATTTAGTTGACGGTATTTCACAAAATGAAAAACCGTTCTACCTGTCGTGGTTAGAGCCTTATTGCAAGTGGCTAAGTGATGGAAGCATGAACTGGGGCTCGAGCGACCCTTTAGAAGTAAGAACTTTTAATTCAGATGGATCAATTACAGTTGAAAAAGACAATAATTGGGAATGGGGCCTGACCGTGGGGGACGCAATTGCCACTGCACTAGGTCATTGAAGCAATCTCTTATAGACAAATAAGTCTTCATGAAATCATATCAAGTGCTAGCAAGCTCCATTTTTAGTTAAATCAGGTTAAGTGTAGCTCTCTGAGTGTATTTACCGAAAACTCTTTGTGCGAAGAGTTGCAATAAAAATATGACTTCAGATGGATAAATTGATACTTCATTTGTGTTGCATGCACTATGCGCTGTCATTGGATAACCTTTTATGGGGGACATGAGGACAAGAAAGCCTTACATCGACCGAATTTCAAATCACAATCAATTTTACCTCTCTGCATGATCCTGGAAGAGATAGTCAAGGCAATGATCTGGGTTCAATGGCAGTGACCCTTCACAAAATAGGGAAAGAAACCACTGCTCATCTGTAAGAGCATCTAGAGAAGCGTCCATTTGACCCCAAGTATCTTGTAATTTTTCTTTTTTACCCGCCATGGTGGCGGAAAAGTTCTCATCGTCGATCCGATTTCCAATTCCTAGTATTGCTCCATCAATCCAACGCTGATGTGTCTGTCTTTGTTCAACCGTCTCTTTAAGTTTCAGAATAACGTTGGTACTCTTTTGAGTGAACTTGCTACTCTGAGAAATTTGCTGCAGTATACTTACACTGTCATTGAGCATTTGTAATGCCTCAGTGGATGGACATAAGGCTAAGTAAACAACCAATACAAAGGAGGCCACATGACATGCATTATAATCGTTGAACGAGTAACAAGACAGCAAATTATTGGATCTCAATGTCAGAAGAATACCTACAATCTGACTAGCTGCATGGTATGAGTACTGTACCATTTGTGTTGCAAAAGAATTCAAACCTTCATCGATACTTGTGGACACATTAGTGTTTCTTAGCTTAAGCAAGAGAAACGGTCGGCCAAGAGTTATTCTTGCGAGGTTGTAAGCAAAGTTTACATGTGCCGCACCTCTGTAAGAGCGTTGCTCAATGCACATTGACCTTACTTCGAATCTAGGTGGAACTTGCCCACGCCATCGCTCTATTTTATGGTACAAATCCATAATAGTGGCAAATTTCAATCCATTTTTGCCTCTTCTAAACCACATGTCGTGTATCTTTATGGTCAAAAGAGACACTGTTATGATCAGCGTCATACAAATGACATCGGCATTTTCCGCATTATCATCTAACGATTTGCAGAAAACTGGTAGATCAAGATCAATATCTGATACAGGTAAAGTTTCTGGACGACCTAAAGCAATTGCCGAGCGCCTTTCAATGGTATAAACACTCCAAAAGAGTCGCTTTCGGGACTCAGCCTTCTTTTCGTCAAAATCACTTCCACCGGGAAAACTTTTGTGCATTCCGTTGGCTACTGCGGCTCTCATTGCAATACCCAAGTACGTATAAGCCATTTCCAGCTCTTGACCCGCCAAGACATACATAGAGGCCATAAAGAAAACCTGGACAGTCTCCAAAGAGCTATCATTGATCACAGCAGGAAAAAGTAGCTGGGCGTGCTCGTAGTACGTAGCGCCAGGAAAAGTTCTTTCTCCCTCTACCATTATAATTTCGCGACTTTTCCAAACATACGCAAAAATCGAGCCCATGCATAACCCCATATAAAGAAGGCACACATTATTAACATCTGTCAGTCCAATATTTGGTTTTGTAGTGTAAATACGTGAAAAGATCTTTCGATACCATCGACTGTCAAAATAGAAAAAAGTGTTATTGCCGGCAACAGATATGAAAGTGTTGAGGAGTCTCTGTGCATGCTCCAATGGAGGAAGTGAAGATAATGCAAAACTTAACAGGTTTGATAACACGGCCGAGGACTCGCTCGAAATACTCCCTATTCTCTCTCCAGGAAGTATATAAGCAGGCTTACTGTTTGACAGCGCTGACGCTGAAGCTCCATGTGAGACTATTTCAGAAGCTCTTACTACGAAGCTGGACGTTGAGCCCACGTCCTCATAGAAAGTGTGAGTCTTCCCACCATCTATTCGCTGAACATTTCGCAAATCGATATGCTTAATCATCTCTCTGGCTTTCTTATCACCATTGAGCTCACCTAGTTTCAATCTCATTTGTTCCAATGAGGTTTCTATCCCGGGAAACGCCACCTTGATAATGGATTCCATGCACGACAGCCGCTCTTCCCTATCCAAAAGAGCCTGCTGACTTATACGAACCTGGGGCACACTTTTACACGTTATGTTTTTTGCCACGCATCTTTCACAGGGAAAGCCACCAACACACTTAGATTTCTGCCTTTGGCACTCGGTGCAAGCAACAGCTTTACGTAGGCGCTCATTTTCAGGTACCTTCCCTCTTCTTCTCTTATTTTTCGTAAGTATACCACTGTTTGATGGCCTCATTATCTCAACGAGGTACAGCACAACTGAACATGCTTGTCCTCAAGGTCAAGAAGTTTGGCAAATGATCATGTTCCCACTACATTCATATGTTTGTTCGCTAGCACGATGGAATACTTTGTACGACCATACTATCTCAAGTCCTTTATCGTTATCTTTCGATAAGAGAAAGATCGGATAATTGACCTCGATTAGGAAGTATGTGACAGTTCGGATAGAATACCCTGAACCGTGGTACAAGTCTGATGCGGTTTTGCAAAAGACGCCTGGAATGACCTAACTAATCTGGTTTGATAGCCAATTCCATTAAACACTTAGTCGTCAAGATAGGGTTCAAGATTGTAGCGCGCATATGGTCGAAAGAAGATCCTATGAACTATCTGGAAATGATCATACATTAGTACTTTAACGGTGTTTTCATAACTCAAGATGTTTTTATATATCGATATGAGGAGTTTAGTAAAAGAAATTGCGTTAAAAGTATGGCATCGTCTACTTTTCTCGCGATTGCCAGCTATACTAGTTAACTTCTCATATCGCACACAGAGACACGAACTTTTCTTTAAAAGTCGGCAATTTTAGAGATCGTTAGCGTTTAAAATTAGAGAGGCATAGAAGTCAACTGAGGCAAAGTGGTCAATGGCGTAAATATGCTCATTTATTGTGTGTCCGCCATTATTTCCTGCGTCGATCCTGGTGGGCCGAAATCTAAAGATGTTCGCAGTCAAATTCCAGTAGTGCCGAGTATCAGTATTTCCCGCCATTAATGTGGGTACAACCTCAAGCTTTTCGACACCCATTTCTTTGCTGTAGTATTGAGCTAGGCTTGATTTGACGGTACCGAAGACAATCGAAAATACTTTAGAATTATGGGGAGCCATGTCAACTGGTTCTAAAGCTTTTCCAATCTGTGAGATGCGTAGGCATTTCCCTGAAGAGCAATCATCCACCTGACCGTCAAAAAATGAACAGCACATGTCGTGCTTGGCTGCTATAGGTGCTAATATAGTTTCAATACGCTGCTTGACATCGGCTAGATTCAAGCCAGGTGCAATACGGTAATTGATTCCAGCAGATACTTGCTCAGGTAAGGCGTTAATTTTCTGGCCCCCAGATATTATATCTATCGCTTGCGAGGTGCGTGAGAGAAGTGCAATGGAAGTATTCTCAAGTAAAGATCCAAGGGCATATTCAGCTTCCAAATTGCCTCCCTGGATCTGTTGAACTAGCCTTGGTACTTCTGGAATTCCAAAGCTGTTGCAAGCAAGGTAACCTAGGACAGGATTTTTCTGTGATATCCTTGGTTGAAATGGATCAATATTTTCCAGAGATGAAAGCATTTCCCCAACAATTCCTATGAGTGAGTGTTTACCTGCTAATGATGAATGCCCACCAGGAAACTTGGCCTCAATCAAAACATCTAGATATCCCTTTTCTGCTGTTGCTACAGTAGCGTATGCTATTTTGTCTCCCGGTGCAATGGGGTTGACAATGCCGGGACCCTCATCTAAAATAAATTCCAAACCATCTTTGCCGTAACTTTCCTCCACAAACTTTGATATTTCTAGAGCTCCGCGGCGACCACTGATTTCTTCGTCAAAGCCAAAAGCCAAAATCACAGTACGATTGGGCCTAAAATCGCTTCGCAAGAGAAGTTCAACAGCTTCGACAATTGAAATTAGAGAGTTTTTGTCATCATGGACACCACGTCCATACATGATACCATTTTCATCAATGTGGCCTTCAAATGGGTCGGACTTCCAGTCACCAAGGCTTTCTTCCGTAACTGGAACAGTGTCCTGATGCGCCATCAATAGAATAGGTTTTGCCAAAGTCGCCCCACTGTTAGTGGGTTCTGGGATCCACGAATATAGAAGACCGTGTGTATTAATTCTTTCGAGAGTAAGACTTTTATGAACCAATGGGAAATTTAGTTCCAAAAAAGCTGAGAACCTATGGAACTTCTCCCAGCGGTTGTCGTTTTCAATATCGCCATAATCGTCATTGACTTGCGTGTCAACGTGGATGGCCTCTTGGAACCTTTTGATACTAGCTGTCTGGTACCTTGATTCCGACAGTATTGCTTTGAACTTTTGGTAAATACTTGAGTTAAAATTGGAGATATTTGGTGGTATCGGTGCCCAGCAACCACTGCCTTCCGGGGCCGTTACTTCCAATTCATGAAAGCTGGAGAGTTTTGTAGGAAGTTTCCCAGTGCTGCTGTTAATTTTAGCCAATGCTGCTAGGAACGATGCCAAAATTATAACAGTCTTGATACCTATCGCTGACATTCAAGATCTCTTATTTTTTATCAATTTGTTTCCGATAAGCTGCTTGAAAAGCTTCCGTCGACTATGTCGAGTGTAACGAACGGAGGAAAAGCTTTCAGTACCTGCCATTTATAAATACTTGAATTCTTAGTGTCCACCGGTCTTTAGATAAGAAAGGCGAGTTTTTATTAAACTTGCTGATAGGAATTTCATTCAAACTATTTCAAGATTAAGCAATCTGCTATGTAAACAATAAATTTAGCCTTGAACAAACAGATCCGCATATGCATTCAAAGCGGGAGCCCCTCCCAAGTGGACGTAAAGGACTTTAGAGCCTTTGGGGATTTTTTGTTCTTTTATGAGGCCAATGAGACCCGCCATAGACTTGCCTTCGTAAACGGGATCAACCAGAACCCCCTCAGACTTACCACAAAGTCTGATAGCCTCCATGGTGCCTTCGTTTGGTAGGCCGTAGGCCGGCCCCCCAAATCTTTCGTCTAAAATAATATCATCTGGGGTTAGTTGAAAAGGAAGTTCAACGAGCTCCGCTGTGTTTCTAGCGATTCTAAAAATCTGCTCTCTTGTCTGCTCAGGCTTTGCCGAAGCATCTATTCCAATGACTTTCTTTTGGCGGTCATGGAATGCAAAGCCTACCACCATTCCTGCCATGGTGCTCCCAGTAACAGCGCAAACTACAATGTAATCAAACTCGAAACCAAGGGTTTTCTCCTGTTCTACCACTTCATGAGCAAAGTTCACAAAGCCCAAGCCACCGTAAGGATGTTCAGAGCAGCCAGCAGGGATGGGGAATGGCTTTTTACCCTTTGCTTTGACGCTCTCCATGGCTTCCTGCCAGCTTTTTCTGATTCCTATGTCAAATCCAGCCGAATTTAGTCTTACGTCAGCTCCCATGATTCTGGATAACTCAATATTTCCAACCTTGTCGTAGACCTCTGCTTGATAATCCACCCAGTTTTCCTGCACAAGTACGCAATCCATCCCTAAGTGGGCAGCAACCGCGGCGACTTGTCTGGTTTGGTTGGACTGGATGCCTCCAATTGAGACCAAGGTATCGTATCCACCGTCCACAGCTTCCGGCACTAGGTACTCGAGCTTTCTGAGCTTGTTCCCTCCAAATGCTAGACCACTATTACAGTCTTCTCTCTTTGCATAGATCTCCACGTCGCCCCCCAGTGCCGCAGATAGTCTCTTCATATGGGTGATTGGAGAGGGGCCAAACGTCAAGGGATAACGCTGAAACTTTTCTAAGCCCATCGGTAACTGCTTGTTGACGTTAAGTATCCTTAGCAGTAAGGAAAGGATGCGTCTTAAAATTTGTCACTTACAAACTCTTAAATACTGATAGTTGTCACGAAGTGCGAATTATTACTTCGATCTAAATCGCATTTAGCTATCGGTTACATCTCGGGTGTGCACCCGCGAACTGTAATCGTATTATCTTATCTTGATAAGAAACCAAATCTATCTACTAGTAGAAAGCAAAATTAAGAAGTACTTGATAAAATAGAAGGATTTGGGCATCATCACGATTAATGAGCGACGATTGCTTCGGTTTCGGGTATGTAGCCGCGAATATTAGGTTCGATAGAGCTGCTGCTACTATTCTTATGCATGGCTAATTGAAAGTATTACAAAAATGTGGAATATCCAAACTGGACCTCCAATTATCTCCTACCCTCCACACCTATCCTCGAAACAGCTCGCAGCGGTTGGCTCCCAGCATAAAAGCCCCTGACGAATCAGACGATTTTGACTGTTTCTATAAGATGCAAAAATATGTGGACGACGAAGAAACAGCACTGTTGCAAGGTTCGGGCCCTACTAAAACCATCATTCACGTTAATTCGCGATCAGAGAAGGTGTACCTGCTATGCTCGTTGTATATTGGTGTACTACTTGCTGCTTTAGATGGCACTGTAGTTGCGTCTCTCCTTTACCATATTGCGTCTGAACTAGGGAGTCTCTCTGCTGCGCCATGGATAGCGAGCACATACATGATGGTGAGCTCAGCTTTCCAGCCACTTTTTGGAAAATTGAGCACAACTTTCGGTAGAAAGCAATGTTTACTCACATGCCACTTTTTATTTGCCCTGGGAAGCCTTCTCTCGGGGCTCTCAAACTGTGTCAATCTATTAATTCTCGGCAGATGTGTCCAGGGGATTGGTGGTGGGGGTTTGATCGCCTTAAGCAGTATTATCGTTAGTGATATAACTCCTCTAAGGGAGCGTGGGGTGTATCAGGGTATTGGAAATATTTCTTTCGGAATTGGGGCATCTTTGGGAGGAAGTATGGGGGGCATCATCAGTAACAAATTTGGTTGGAGATATGCGTTCCTCGGTCAGATAGTGGTGTCATTCGCCGCTATTTGTCTGGTATATTTGAATGTGAATGAGACAATGTTAGGAAAAGACCAAAATGTGTGGACCCAGCTGGGTAACATAGATTTTTTGGGGAGCTTTTTCCTGCTGGGAGCTTTCATTTGTTTTTTCTTAGGGTTAAATTTAGGTGGATCGTACATGCCATGGAAAAGTCCACAAGTAGTAATTTTATTCCTCAGTTCATTGTTCTTTTCAATCAGTTTCTTTCGTGCTGAACAAAGGAGACCAGAAAGAGCGATAATTCCATTAAAGATCTTCTATGGTGCGACTGGGTGCCTGTGCTGTGTACTATGTTTACTCTCTTCGATGGCAGCTTTCTCTTATATCTTCCATTTGCCGATCTTCATGGAAATCGTTTTAGGAAGAAGCGCATCCTATTCGGGCATTGTCATCGCTTTGAATTTTGTGGGTGTTTTACTTGGATCTTTGGGATCAGGTTTAATAATGAAGACCACCTGCAGATATAAGAGGCTATTATTTTTATGTGGACTACTTTATATCGTGAGCTGTGGTAATTTATGGTTCTTTGACTCAACAACAAGTACAACAATGCAAATGCTCACGATATGCTGTCTTGGTCTCGGTTACTCTAGTATTATCACAATTTCTTTGGTGGCATTGATGGCTCATGTTCCCCCCGATGTTCAAGCGATAAGCAGCTCCGTCTTGTACGCTTCCCGTGGCTTCGGGTCAACTGTTGGTGTAGCGGTGTCATCATCAATATTTGCACATCTATTGCGAACCAACCTCCAACAATTTATCGATGGGCCAGAACGGAAAAGAGTTATCGAACTGGTCTTATCATCTTCAGATGCAGTAAAAAGTTTGCCCGCTCCATATAAAGCCCAAACTATCCAAAGTTACCTCTCTTCTTTGAAGGTTGTCTTTGCATTTGTCATGATCTTGTCGATTCTCATCTGGTTGGCATCGCTACCGCTGAAAGAGCACAATCTTTCCCGGGCAACTGACGAGGAAGCCGAGATGTGAAATGGAAGAGTAATTCCCAGGGAGCAGTGTTACTTCAATAGGGGAGTGTGGTAAAGAATAATTATATCATAATTATTCTGTGGTTATAGATGTAGTGATAGGCATCTGGAAAGTCGTGCCTTTCACAGATTTTCTTCTCTTTCTGCCAAATATCAAAATCGGTGAAAGTACATAAAGGAACCAGTGGTTTTAAATGATCACGAATTTTGCCAAAGAGCGGTTGAATTTTATACATTTTTGTCAAATACCTTTGAGAGCGCCGAAACTTTTGCTATGATTTGTGTTCTTCACTTTTGATCATACCTCGTCCACGAGATTGACAAATCAGCATTCGTCTCAATACATCTCTTATCAAAAGCCGTTCTGATCTTGCCTATCAACAGTGTTCTCCTCGAATCTTCTACTCCATCACCTTCTGCAACTTAAGCATATCTTCATAAGTCATGCACGAGCCTCCGCAAGCGATGACAACAACCACGTCGTCACGCGTTAAACTTGACTTTCTTCCGAAAGCGTCGTCCAGTAACTCTGGTTTATAGCATAGATGCAGCGAAGCACCACACGCAGGTTCCACGATAAAGCCGAAATCATCGGCAAACTGCAAGCAGGTCTGTACAACATCCTTGTCTTGCAAAACTACTGATTTACTGTTGTATTTCTGGGCACTTTCAAAAGCAAATGCTGCAATGTATGGCGACCCCAGGGAAGTTGCAACGCTCGTGATTTTATCAAGAACGACAGGAGCCCCTTCCGCTACCGATTTGGCCAGAACATTACACCCTTCCGTTTCGACGGCGGCCACGGGAACAGAATCTGCAAGACCATACCTTTCCAGGCCTTTGATAATTCCACTAAACAAGCCGCCGCCGCCAACACTGCATACAATCCCTTTCAGCTTAGAGAGTGGAACCCCTTGCTCCTTCAGCTGTTCCACGATTTCGTCCACAATTGTGGAGTGCCCAGCCCAAATGGTTTCGTCATCAAAGGGGTGCACGTAAAGAGCGTCCAATCCTTGTTCTTGCACTTGAACCATCAGCTCTTCACGAAGATAGGAGTCGGCCTGCCCCCAATGATCGCCGCGAACAACGACAGTGGCTCCAGCTTTTTCTATCTTCTTGATCATCCTAGCTTTTGTCAGCTTAGGTACCACCACTGTGCACGCCAAGCCCATTGACTGCGCTGCAGTTGCGGCTGCTAACCCTGCGTTACCACCGGAGCTTGTAAACACTGCTAGTTTCCTTCCGCCATCTTTTTCGGCCTCCAATTTGCGCTTCTCAATCAAATGGCTAATCCCTCTCGATTTGAAGCTGCCACCAGGTTGCAGCATCTCGAGCTTGGCATAAATCTGCGGCGAGGTGCTGTCGTCGTTAAAACTTTTCGGCAATAGAGGGGTTCTTACGTAGTGCATCCTTGGCTAGATATTTATCGACTAGAGAAAGTAGAGCCCCAAGTGGTAGATCAAAACCTCTGAATATAGAGTATATAATGTGATATAAGAGGGCTGTTGTGTATGTTCTGAGATATATAAAGATCCACCAGATATCCTTATCGTTGACATAACTGGAAAAATGAAGCCGAGAAAAATTATGGCCATACCGAGGAACATTCAAGAAACACATCGGGATCTTGTTGTCAGTGCTCTACAATTGAGACGATAGACATTTTCAGGATCAAACAGCAGCTTTGGTGCTTCAAAATGACTGGATACCCACCTTGTGTAGAAGGTCTTCGGATCTCTGGATGATCCACTCTACGTGATGTTGAGTAAAGCCTTGCGAATATATTGCTTGGCCCTTAGCATTGAAAAAAGCTGGACTGTGTCCCTCAATATCTGGTGTGACGAGGAGTGGTGCTATGTGCTTGGTGTATTCCTCTACGCTTTGAAACCAATACCCAATGAAGCCCTCCACAAGTTTTGACTTCCACGTTCCTGAGCCCAAGAGGTTGTCACGATGACTGGTCTGAATGAAACCCGGATTGAGCCCGAAAATGCTTAAGCCAGGATACCTCTTTGCACAATCAAAGACCAAGGCTTCGTTGCCTGCGATGGTGTTCATGTGAGCATGGACAGCGCTGTAGTGACGCTCGGAGTTCAGGTCATCGGGGCTCCCCAAAACACCCGCGCCAGGGTACCCGATGATGAATATACGTGGCTTGGACACAATGTTCGTATCGGCATTTTCGATTTTAGGTAAAATGGTGCGCAACATGACCAAACGGTTGAGGTAGCTGACAGCCATGTCCCGTTCCAGGCCCTCCACCGTTTCCTCGCGGGAGGAAGCTGCGATACTGCCCGTGGAGAAGATGATCAAGTCATAGGGCTGTTTGAGCAGCACCTGCGCCACTCTTTGCGCTTCCGAAATCAGTTCGAGATTGGCCTCGATAAAGTTAATGCCAGTGATATCGTCATCCCGGTATGTCCGACCGACCACCGTTACCTCTGCGCCCTTGGAGCTCAAGAAGCGGCTAAGGCCCTGGCCAATGCCTCCTGTTCCACCGATAATTGCCACTCGCAGCGTTTTGAGCTGCAGTTTTTCGGGGGGAACATGCCTCCATTTTAGATGGGTGTTGCGTTTGGTGTAGACTTTGAATCCGAAAACCATGGTAGATATATTTGTAGCTAGCTATCTGGTAACTGCGTATCATAACCTAAATCACAACGACTGCGCTTTCAGTGGTCGTCTCTTATATACAAATACTGCTGCCGAACTAGGAACATGAGTGTCATTTTACTCCAATGCACCCTGAGCAAAGCCACACGCAAAGTGTTCTCCTTTCAATGCTACCGTTGGGAGCCATCTCTGCCCTAAAGGCGAGTTGATATTAGGGGACCCTTGACACACCCGAGTATTAGGGATACATTCCCGCCTTCCACAAACTGGTGAGCTGGCATATGACTGCCAGGGGTCATAAGGGTGCTAATACCGAAGTGGCACAACGGTTGCCAGCACGACCACTTGAAGCTTGTCACATTGCTCAAGAATTATCGCTGTGATGAGTGATGCATGTTGTACCACTGTGCACATGACTTACAAAACTACATTGTGGCCCTTCTTCTGCACATTCAGAATCACTAACAGCCTCAAAGCTTTGGTGCCCTTCGCAAGTAATTTTGGCGAACCAAAATTATGGTTCAGCATACTGGATAAAACAAGTTCTGTGAGTTTGCCTTTCACTCGGCTTGTGAAAGTTCGGCCTGAACATTCACTTATGTGATAAAATCTTTAAAAAACATACGGTATATCGAGTTCACTACAACTGGCTACGGCACTGTCCACCTAACAGAAGACACATTATGATGGCACCATTTGCTGGATGGGTGGCTACCCTTCAGACGGAGCACTTTTCGTGGTGAGAGATGCTTGCATGTTCCATCGGAATTATGATGACTCTTCTTATAGTTTGGGTTGAATCATCATTAAAAAATGAAAAAAAATGAGTATATAGCGGACTTGGTCTACTAACCTTTGATAAGAAAGCAGGCTTCGAAGAGTCCAAGAATCTTGTTGAGCTATTGCAGTTGAGCTAAGATCAGCGATTTCAATAGCACGTTCCAAACACTACAGATTAAACGTAATGGCGGGCGAGAAATCCGAACAAAAGCTGTGGGGTGGCAGATTTACCGGGGAAACCGACCCTTTGATGCATCTGTACAACGAGTCGCTGTCGTATGACCAGAAGATGTACGATGCGGACCTAGACAACTCTAAGTACTACACTGAGGGGCTGCTTAAAGCGGGGCTTTTGACAGAGGAGGAGCTTAGCGAGATCCACAGAGGCTTGGAAGTCATTCGTTGTGAGTGGGCTGCTGATTCTTTTGTCGAAAAAGACGGCGACGAGGATATCCACACGGCCAACGAGAGAAGACTGGGCGAAATCATTGGTAGGCACATTGCAGGGAAGGTTCACACGGGTAGGTCCAGAAATGACCAAGTGGCCACGGACATGAGAATCTACTGCCGTAAGGCCCTCACCAACCTGGAGAAAATTCTGACGAACCTGATCGGTGCAATTTTGCAAAGATCCGAGACCGAGATTGACGCCTTAATGCCCGGATACACCCATTTGCAAAGGGCCCAGCCTATTAGGTGGTCGCATTGGCTCAACTTATATGCAACGTACTTCGTAGAAGACCTCAAAAGATTGAAACAGATCAAAGAGAGACTCAACGTGTCCCCTCTGGGATGCGGTGCCCTAGCGGGCCATCCCTACGGAATTGATAGAGAATACATCGCGGGCAAGCTAGGATTCGACGGTTGCATCGGGAACTCGCTGCAAGCCGTGTCCGATAGAGATTTTGTGGTAGAAATCCTTTTCTGGTGCTCTCTTTTCATGAACCACATTTCCAGGTTCAGCGAAGACCTTATTATCTACTCCACGGCTGAGTTTGGTTTCGTCAAGCTTTCTGATGCATACAGCACCGGTTCCTCATTGATGCCTCAGAAGAAAAATCCAGACTCATTGGAATTATTGAGAGGTAAATCTGGTAGAGTATTTGGCTCTTTGTCTGGCTTCATGATGTCTTTGAAATCCATTCCTTCTACGTATAACAAAGACATGCAAGAAGATAAAGAGCCTCTATTTGACGCGCTTGTTACGGTGGAGCACTCAATTTTGATATCTACCGGCGTGATCTCTACGCTGGCCATTAACAAGCAGAAAATGTTTGGCGCGTTGACAATGGATATGTTGGCCACTGATCTGGCTGACTACCTGGTTAGAAAAGGAGTTCCTTTCAGAGAGACTCACCACATTTCTGGTGAAGCTGTGAGCCAAGCGGAGAAGTTGAAGCTCTCCGGCATTGACCAACTAACTGTCGCTCAATACAAGGAAATTGACGCTAGGTTCGGTGAAGATGTAGTTGACGTCTTCGACTTTGAGGTTTCAGTCGAAAGAAGAACCGCTACTGGTGGTACTGCCAAGTGTGCCGTCTTAAAGCAAATTAAAAGTTTGAAGGAGCAGCTTTAGGTTTTAGACAGCTATACTTAAGATAATATACACTTTATGTAAGGAATTGTAGGGTGTCAACCTTCCGCGAGAGAACTTCAAAAAAACATGACGATATTCCAAACCCTGCAACTAGCAATGTGTACAACTACATTAGGGACTTAATTTAAAATTGGCAATGTTTGAAACACGTTACTCAGGAAATAAGATTTGGCTCAAAGTGGCATTCAGGGCATTTGAAGGGTCACCTTCCCGCTCCTTAGCTCTCCACCCCACCAGCCCATCGGGTCTGACAAGAGAAGCCCCGAATGGACCGACGCCAAATTTCTCTTGGAATTCCAACTCTTGATCGAAGACTATGTCCTTGCCAACCAGGAAGAAGTCTACGTTGATCTCAAATTTCACCCTAGCAGCGTCGACCGCTTTGCTCCAATCTTCGCACTCGGAGAGAAGCACAAACTTCTTGTCGAACAAATCTATAGTTGAAATACGCATCTCACTTCTCATAATCCAGGCGTGAGGTGCTCGAACACCCGGTTGGCCCTTCCAAAGGTCGGGTCTCTTGGCCAAAGTTGTGGTCTCGTCTGCCCCACAGACAGAAGAAGATAGATGTAGCTGGCCTAATTCCATGCCAGCGTCGTCCAGTATTTCTTCATCTTTTGCGATCCCCTGGGAAACAGAAGCGTAATCGGGACGAGCAAAGGTCTGCTGATGTCTAAGCCATCCAATAGGCTGCCTTTCATCAGAATAAGTATCCAGCAGGGATGGGGAGGCCTTCCCATCAATTACAAATTTTAGCTTCCAGGCCAGATTATGGACGTCGTCAATACCGGTGTTGGCACCGTACCCACCACGCGTAGGTGGTAAACAATGAGCAGCATCTCCAGCCAAGAAAACTCTTCCTTTAGAATAAGTTTCGCAGATTAAAGCTGCTAAATCCCAATTACCAAATGCGATCGGCTTGATTTGCGCTTCACTGAGACCTACCGCTCTTTGAGCGGCTTCTAAAAGCTCACCCGAAGTCCTCTCCACATTGTCTCTGAACATAATCGCCCATCTACCATCGTTGTATGTGGTCATAAATGCCCTGAGGTCCGGCTGGTCAATGTCAAACTGCGAAACTCCCTTCGAGAGCAGAGAATCCGCCTCTGGACACTCAAAGAGAAGACTGGACAAAGTTTGAATATAACCACGTCCGATGCGCTCAATACCAAGGGCTTCTCGGGTTGAGCTCTTTGCTCCATCCGCAGCAATCATGTATTGTGCCTTGATTTTGTAGCTGTGACCAGCGATTTCATCACGAACCGTGGCCTCAACATTGCCGTCGTTTTGTTTGAACTCCAACAGCGTAGTTTTTTGACGAATGTCGCAACCGAGCTGGGAAGCTCTAGTTCTCAAAAGAGGCTCAAGCTTATCCTGCGCAATGGCAGCTCCCGTACAGGGCGAAAAATGTGCCAATTTGGGAGCGTTGGGCTTCCCACTCCATGATGATTCCTCGAACCATTGTCCAAAAAGGCTTGTCGCCCTTACCCGACGAAGCCGCATTCCAGGCTTCTGATGTGGGATGAGATCACCAAGGCCGGCATGTCGGAAAAATTCCATAGTATGTTCCGTGTACCCTATGGCCCTCGGATGTGGGGAAGACCCCAAATGTTTTTCGATAACAATGCAAGGCACCCCACAGTCCGCGAGAAATAAACCAGCACTCAATCCCACCAAACTTCCTCCTAACACCAAGACTGGTATTTCAACTTCTGTCATCTCGACTTTTTCAGAGATTTCTGACATTTTACTGACGCACTTAAAGTATAATCTCAGCTTTATCAGTCTAAATCCTGAGGTTTTCCTTTAAAATCTTTGGAAATAAACCGCGATAATATTCCGTGAAGGATATAGTTGGAAATTGAAATCAAGGCTACGTGCCGAAACTTCTGCAGTACTTACCATTGCATCGTAGCACTATAAATACTCTTTCAGTTGCGCGTCCTTTAATTATTTTTCAGTCCTTAGGCAGATTACTGGGTCGATGTCCGGAAAAATCCGCGTCCGAAAGAACGTAAGAAAGCCGGATTTAGCATCGGTTGCCTGAATCTCGAGCAACCTGCCGCTAATGGAGAACTGTCTGCTGGGGTATCTCAGAAATGTCGATACACAACAACAGAGAGCATACCCTTGATGTCTGTAAATTCAACAAGTGTTTTTTTGATTTCCACACTTTTGGTAGAAAGACGACTCAGATGATAATAACTTGGTATACGCTGTCCCACCTCGGAGAGTTTCGTCACTGCCAAGTCGGCCACCCACGTGCCATCTTTGGTTCTCTCTTGGATTAAGCCATTGGTTGCTCTTTTTCCGCAACGCATTGTATCACCGGGCGTTGATAAGAAGCGTTTTTTCCCGTGAGGTGGGCTGGACTCTCGATGGACCACAGCTAGGTCAACCAGCTGGGGGCAGCTGGAGGAATACTCACTCCCATTTCCACATCCTTACTGGGACCGTGAGTGGTGCAAATAAATCAATAAACAGGGCCCTGTGAGACATGAATTTGTCTGTTCTCTCAATGATATCCAGAACATGTTAGAGGACAGCATCCTATAGGCAATGGAAAGCGCAAGTAAGCGCGCGCTGGACTGACTATAGGCGGTTTGCTGGATCCACTTCGCGTGGCTCGGACCTCTCCGCGAGACACTTTGTAGTCACTTTGTAGTCACTTTGTACTTTACTGTCGCTCTGATCTATAAAAACGCGACTTTCGAAGATATCATCTATAACGACATGTTGTTTCGAACTTGATTTAAAACAAAACTTGACGTTGTATATTCACAGTTAAACCGAGTCAGAGTGCCGGCATCTCAGAATCACAGTGGCTCTTCCTTGACTAGTTTACGTCCAGATTAAACATGTCATTGTCAGCTGCCGCTAATAACATTTCTGATTCAGATTTCCAAAACATTGGGCCAGCCCCAAGACCCCCCGGTGCTTCCTACAACAAGACACAGCCCATCACCAACTACCTCGGAAACTTGGATTTGAGCGAAAAGCGTGATGGGAGTGGCTCCTCATCCCGCGAAAATCGGCTAGCCCGCGCGACTTTCAGCAAGAAAAGTGGTTGGATACAGTACAAGGATGACGGATTGTTGTCCTTTTTATGGCAGAAACGGTTCATGGTTCTTAGCGACTCGTACTTGACACTGTACAAGAATGAGCCACGGTCGGTTAATGAGGATCCAGTTTTGCAAGTACCACTTACGACTATTGTGAGTGTTAGTCGGACACAATTAAAACAAAACTGCTTTGAAGTGGTGAGGAATCATGACCGAGGCTCCAGCGGTGGTTCTGGGAATTCCAGTCTTGCTGGCGCAGGGAATGGCACATCTGGAAGCTCCTCTTCATTAGCTTCGTCAAGCTCCGACTATAATCGGAAGACCATGTACATTTCAACAAAAACGGAGATCGAGCTTCACTCGTGGCTGGACGCGATTTTTGCCAAATGTCCTTTATTGAGCGGAGTTTCCTCACCGACAAACTTTACCCACAAAGTCCACGTCGGTTTCGACCCCGAGACAGGTTCTTTTGTCGGAATGCCCTCTAACTGGGAAAAACTTCTAAAACATTCACGAATTACGGGCGAGGATTGGAATAACAACTCTGCAGCCGTGATCCAAGTGTTACAATTTTATCAGGAGTATAACGGTGCAGGAAATGGTACCAGTACAGGTACTGGGCCGAACGCCGGTGCTGGCATCAGTAACGCTTCTGCTGCGTCTTCATCGTCCTCCTTACCAGGAAGCCGCAACCCTAACGCCACCATCACATCTAAGTCCAGCCAACAGAGCTTAACAGATATGCACCCACAACGAAAACCACCAAGTCCGCCTTCTCTGGCTGATCCTCGTCGTCCAAATCTACAGGTATCAACATCTAACCAGCATGGTCGAAGTCCTCAACAACCATATGCAAAACCTCTCAATTATTCCCTATCATCACCTTCGCAAGGCAGACCTCCACAGTCGCATTTACCATCAGCCTCCGTCTCTGCGCAAGGGGTAACGCTTGCCCAAAAATCTACCCATGGCTCATGGAAACAACAAACTTCTCCAACGCCACTACAAGTTAAAAAGACACCCACTAAACGACCTCTTCTGCCGCAGCAAGATCCATCGCGTACTCAGCATAACATGCAAAATCCATACGCTCCAAAGCCTGCACTATCTCAATCTGCTAACAGCTCGAAGGAAATTCTGAACCAAAGACGAGGACCACAGCTGCCAAGCAACTCGTCGTATAATGGTAACACCAGTCCGCCTCCTCGGCTCCATCCTCAAAGAGCTGCGCCTTCTGCGCCTTCTGCGCCAAAATCCCCCGCAGAGGCAAGCGCCAGTACCGCGGCTGCTCTCGCTATGCGTCAGGATCCCAAGTCGGAGGCCGGTCATAACCATCTTCAGCCAACCAGGGATGCCCCAAAGAAACCTGATATATCCAAGGGCCCACACCCGAAGAATGACGTTGGCGTAACAAAGCAACGTAAACCTTCTAAACCTACCATGTCCAACGCCGAAATCATGAGAAAATTGAAAAGCGTAACTTTCAGTACTGATCCAAGCTCCCATTTCCAAATGATCGAAAAGGCAGGGCAAGGCGCCAGCGGTTCTGTTTATTTGGCGAAAAGAACTCAGTTGCCGGTCTACGGCGATGGATACTTAAATGATCAGATTGGCGAACAACATATCGGGGATAAAGTGGCTATAAAACAGATGATTCTCTCTAAGCAGCCCAGAAAGGAATTGATAGTGAATGAGATTTCGGTGATGAAAGATTCTCAACACAAAAATATTGTGAATTTCCTGGAAGCATACTTAAAGACCGAGGACGATTTGTGGGTGGTGATGGAGTACATGGAGGGCGGATCGCTCACAGATTTGATAGAAAACAGTCCTACAAATGGAAGCAACTATTCACCCTTAACAGAACCTCAAATTGCCTATATTGTACGGGAAACTTGTCAAGGCTTGAAATTTTTACATGATAAACATATCATTCACAGGGATATCAAATCAGACAATGTGTTGTTAGACATAAGATCCAGAGTCAAGATAACTGACTTTGGATTTTGTGCGAAACTTACAGACAAACGGAGCAAAAGGGCCACAATGGTAGGCACACCGTACTGGATGGCCCCAGAAGTTGTTAAACAGCGGGAATACGACGAGAAAGTGGACGTGTGGTCCTTAGGGATTATGGCGATAGAAATGCTGGAAGGTGAGCCACCGTACTTGAACGAAGATCCGTTGAAAGCGCTCTACCTCATTGCCACAAATGGAACACCAAAGCTTAAGCAACCTGAAGGCCTTTCTTTGAAAATCAAAAGATTCTTAAGTGTTTGCCTCTGTGTCGACGTTAAATACCGAGCATCAACCGAAGAACTACTGCATCACAGCTTTTTTGATATAAGTTGCGACCCCTCTGACTTGAGTCCTCTTCTCGATTGGAAGAGGTGAGGATTTCAGGCGTTGGGAGCTTAGGACACTTCTTTCCTAATAATTAGTATTCATTAAAATGGTATTTTCTAGTGTAAGCTTTAATCTAAGCACCTACGTAGGAAGTCTTGTAAAATTCAAAGAGAGCTCTTGAACAATCGTCTGTAATCCTGGAATTTTATGAGAAGCTGGGATGGCCCTCAATACGAGAGGGTAGAGAATTTGCAGAGTTGCGACAGTTTGGCTATCAAAGGAGTCTTTTCCCTTAGCACAGACGCATTTGAGAACTTGATTCAGACCGTTGAGCACTAAGAGCATTTCCAGTTTCATTCCCTTGGGGACCGGTTTACGGTTAAGGAGTTCGACGTCGGATATGTATCTACGCATAATAAAGGCATATCGTGAGACCATGAATGGAACACAAATTGGTTGTAACCTATCGTAACCAGCTTCATCAAAGATAGTAAATTCCATCAAGGTGCGAAGACACATAGAGGCTGCCCTATATTTGCTTAAAGAAATTTGATCTGCAGTTGATCCCAGAACGTCATCAAAAGGGAACTCAGCTAATTTCACAGCAACTTCATCTAGTGAATCAGTAGATTTAATAATAGCATCTTCAATTTCATCAACTTCATGGAAGAAGGAACCGGCCCATACAGCCGAGACAAAGATTTCGAGTTGTTTGTTTGTAGGGAATTTTGGGCCCAAACTCTTGAGAAGAATATCCTTATAACAAGCAAATTCTTCCATATCGTTTGCTTCCGTAGCGCTATCAATGTCAGTGCTCACTCTTTTTAGCGGGGTAACTGCCACCTCAACGAAAATGCTATAAAACGAATCCCGAACATCTTCTGGCACTGCACTCTCAGCCTTTCTATTGTTTAAGAATGTCAGAACTTTTTGGCAAAGCAAGCGAAAGCATCTGGACGACCTAACCCACAAGGTCTCCGAGGTACCCTTGCTCCCCCCAATTAAAGACTTTGAAACAATGGGAACGCTTAGGTTTTTCAATAATTTGAGAAGTCTTTTGGAATTGACAAACTGCTCGTCAACCTCAGCAAAGCTTTCAAGACGCTTAGCCAAGTATTCACAAAATTCATAGCTTATAGCCTCGAATGAAGGAATTCTCTTCCTTGCGGTTGAGCTCAACCTCGGCCCTAATTTATTTTCGATCCTGGCTCTAGTTTCAAAAGGTAGCGCAACAATGGTACTGATTTGGGTCAAGATCAAGAGCTCAACTTGTAAAGGCTGCTGCAGCTCAAAAACTTTAACAGAATCGAGAACTGTCTTTTGCAGTGTGGACGGCTTCTGATTATCAGATGAAAACTCGGGCAACAAGGGATATCTTGCAGCACAGTTCATTACATTAAATATCGTCTCGACTTTTTGGCAATCCAGTAGATTTCTTGAGTTAAGCAGCTGGTGCAAGAACGGATAGCAAGTTAAGAGCTCCCCTATGCACTCGAAATTAGTTTTGCCTTTGAATTCCGACTTCAATGAGTCGCTGTAAACCATGTTATAACTACTCCATGTTTCATAGAGCTCCAGAACAATTGTATCAGGAAGGGCCTCGACAGGAAGCATTGCCTCCAATAAACATCTAAGATTTTTTAAGACAACAAAAGAGAGCTCAAAAGATGGGATTTGCAGGAGCTTTGCCACATAGCGGACCAGCAACTCCCATGCGCTTTCTAAATTTGGAATTATTGAAAAATCGGAGAAGTACAAAGAAAACAATTGGATCAAGCCCTTTAGAGTTAAATTGATGAATTCAACGCTTTTAAGATATTGGTCAGAGCTGCCACCTTGGAGTAGCAGCGGTGCGAGTACTTCATGAATTACAAGCTCCCAAGGTGGAAAGGACGATGAATGAGAATCTACAATCCTAAAAAACGTTTGGATTGCGCCATTTTTGACCTCAATTCTTTCGTCGGCAGTACATTCAACCAGCTTTTTGAGAAGATAAAGCCACAAAGCATAGTACATTTCACGAGTTTCGTCCCCATAAGCCATGATTAATCTAGCGAGATTGCCATTTTCTACGCTAGCAACAAATTCAGACCTTTGTGAAGCTGAAAATTGTTCCTTTCCCTTTGAAATACTCGTCCTGAGATAGTCTCCGATCAACCAAAACTGGCTAATCGACGAGAAGGATATATTCAAATCCCTTTCCTGTCTGACAAAGTTAAGAAGCGTGTCAATTACACTTTTGAGGCTGCTTAATGGTAAGGTTTGCAAAAAATCATCAAATATCAGCTTGAAAACGTCAAATGATACTTGAATCATCCCTTTGTGCTTGGCTGAAATCAAATCTAGAATAGAGCTGTCTTCTTCAAGAATTGAAGACTCTAGAGCAGCATTTTCATGTATCATCTCAAATGGGGAATTGATAATTCTAAAAACCATACCCCAAGTAGTTTGCATCGAATCTCCAAATACATCCAGTAGTCCCTTGAGCGTTCGCAAGGCTTGGAAGATGATATCGCACTCAGTTTCGATAAATCCGTTATGAACAGCCTCTCTATTCCGCTCTAGCCTTAATATCTTTTCAATCAGCTTAACTAAGGTCGTCAACAGTTTTTGCTCGACCATCTCAGGCGTCAGACTTGACGAGGGCTCAAGCTCACTAGATTCCAAGGCAGCTTGAGCGACGACATTATTAAGTGTATCAACAGAGCACAAACGCAGCGTCTCGTTATCGTAGATTCTACTAGATGCTTCTTGGATCAGATGACCAATAATCAAATCCCAACTGCTTACATCTTTTTTCTCCTTGAGTAACCTAGACATGTTAAGGCGGCTAAGCTCCCCAAGCTGAACGAGAAAAAAGTCTTCATTATAAGCGCAATTCAATATTTTGCCATCACTACTCGTTGGCAATTGTCCCTCTACATCTCCATTTTTTTTTTTTTGAAGGGCACAGTTGGTTGATTCCTTGATTATAGCTTGAACTAAAATGATGAAGCCTGTGTTGGAATAGTTTTGTGTACTCTCACAAAATTTCACAATGCTGGTTTTCGCTGCATTGATATCAGAGCTCGTCACCTGGGAGCTTTGGGAGTTGTTTAAAATTGAGCGACTATCCTCGAAATCATTTGACTGTTCACTCAAGAAAAACGACATCCATTGCCACGTCTTCAAGAAGCTATCCCAATGCTGGGCATTGAAACTTGGACCTAACGAGACAGAAAGTGATACGAGGGCCCTAAAAACACTGATTGTTCGTGGGTGGATAGAATAGGCTTGCGGAAGGAGCGCTTCTGACGATCCTGCTGCATTTTGAGCATGACCAATAAGAGAACCACTAATGGTATTGAGCATTGCGGTAGCTGTACTGAGGTTTTGATCAGATGCCGTAGTACTCTTAACAGCAGATGTCGGTGTACATGCTTCTACTGTGGCAACCCCAAATAGATTCAAACAATTTTCTAGGGTATCGCTGAGTTCTAGAATACCCGATGCGTGTGATAACTTTTGTAAAGCTCTTATAGTGGAATGGAACAGAGGTGTGTCTAAAGTCGTGGAGTAAAGAAAAGATTTGTGCAAGGAAAATAGATCAGGAAAAAGCGTGTTGTACAGTGTTTTGAAAATATCTGTTTCCTTTTGACCTATCTCCTTTTGATTTAAGGCGACCGCATATGCGCCTATCCCTTCTGATATTTGGTTGACGATCGACAAAATGAGGTACACGCTATAAGTTTGATCGACAAGCGGGGGATTAGGCTTATCGAACAGTTCAATTAATGGAACCTTCGCTGATGAACTTTCTTGAGAAATCAAGGGTGTATCGCCTTTATCTAGAGTAAGTGATATATTCAAGTAACTCTGATTTTCTCTTGACGCCAACAGGTTTTGGAAGGATTTGAGCAGGTTTGAGAGTATATCCTTGCGATCTGGAAGCATGTCATAAAACTTGAAGAGACCCAACAGTAGAGAGAAATTTTTGCATAATAACTGGAAAAGTTCTAGAGCAACGAGCTTCTTCCAAAGTGGTGATTCAATGTCATTTGAAACAATGTTTATGAGCAAAAATATGATTATTTCAAGCTCTAGTTCTAACACTTTCAAAAACTCAGGCCTGACAAGCATGAGCAGACAACGCGCACTTCTGATTACAATTGAGAAGTTTCTTGAAGATGAAATAGAGCGTAGAAAAAGCGGTACGGCCTTCGTTCTGAGTATGAATTGCAGGTCAGCACATTCGCATAAGAGGATGTGATGATTGCTCAGGACGCTTTCCAATATTTCCAGTCCGTAATCTTCTGGAATCGACTCAATATTGAGTAGAACATTTGTATGGTTAATGGAGGTTCCTTTCAAACTGCAAAGGTCGTAGAACAGGCGGTTAGCATCGTGACGAAAAGGTCCAACCATCATAGATTCAGTATTGCCTGTGGCTACGGATAACGTTTGATTGACTTCCGGTTTAATGGCCCTTTCCAGGATATCATTAATAAGTTGTTGCAATGTTGCACTTGCAGTGCCTACGACCATGGGTGTCTTGTTGGGCTGCCGAAGAAGAATAGAACAGCATTTCAGAATTTTGGAACAGAGCTTGCCCGTAACGACTGTACTGTATGTCTTGAAAAATATCGGTATTACTTGCAGTACCTTCAGCTGTATTTCTACAGCCAGATGAGCAGATTCAATAAAGGCGTTGAGCACGTCTTCAATTTTCTGATCAGGTATGCAATTGACAGTCGCTAATTTCTGGAAGCATTGCATAGATATCGTTGTGAGTTTTGCATTTCTCGATGAGCATGAAAGCACGAACGGAGCAACAAAGTCCGGATGTCGAGCCAGATCGTCAAAACCCTTTACAATTCTTAGGATCTCCTGTGATTTGTCACTCGCAACTTTAATTTCTGCATTTCTGCGCTTGGCCTCGGTGGACAAGGCATGCAAGTCTCGGTAAAGCTGTTCTGCAAATTTTCCATAGGGTACAGTGGTTGACATGAAGCTTTCGGCTGGGTATGAAGGTCACTACCGTGGGCCTCACAGTCGAACTTATGGTATCGCGAAGCTACCCTGGAGTTCCATGTTAGTTATGCTAATTGTAGGATAGCATATGATTTCTGAACTCATTTAATACGTAGGTACTCAATTGCATGCTTTTAAAACAGCGTAGATCAAAAGCGCCATCACCATCAAACAGTACCCTGAGCAGCTTCCGTCCCTGATGTACATATGTGCTTATCAGATTCAGTACAACTTTTTCTATTTCAGATTTCAATTCCAATATTTTTGCTTTCAGAAGTAGGTGACAGTGTTCACAGTCTGTTGAAACGAATGACTGAACTCTCTTGAAATACAGATTTCCAGCAGCCGTTATAGTCTTAGGAAGGGAGCATTGCCCGGGGGCTATTTCCATGCTCAAACGATAGTGCAAAAAATAAAACTCCGCGACGGGGAATTGAACCCCGGTCCCGGGCGCGACAAGCCCGAATTCTAGCCACTAAACTATCGCGGATAGTCGTTATGAGCGATTGATATTGTCATGATATATTATACAATAAACATCAGGAAGCCTATTCCTCTGCAACTTATCCATGACTCGTCCGTCCTATGAAACTGAAGAGAACCGGAGACTAGCACCGTAGCATTGAGAATGCTTGATAAGGTGCTACAGCATATCCGCTACGGGTCTAGTGCTGTAAATCGTTCAGTTTTGAATATAAAATGCACCCGATTTCTGACTTCATCAGTTATCAGAAAGAAGACAAACACAAAGTTGAAATCCGAAGCAGAGGTCGATACTGGCCGAACTACATCACCTTGTGGTGAGCGAGAACCTGTAATTTCAGATCGAAAGAAAAGCATATTAGTCCCAAAGGTGAGTTCCACGGATCATATTCAACAAAAAGAAGTTCACACAGAGGGACTTTTTGCGGGTCACAAGCCACTCTTCTTGGGAGATTCTTCTACCAACTCCCTAAGCTCCTCTACCGGACTCCGTGGTCTATTTGGCACTTTGGCGAAGATAAAAAAAACAGAAGATGATAATGGCAACGCTGAGGTTGACATACAGGGTCTCATTAACGACTTGAGAAACTCAAATGAACAAGTTCAATATGATGACATTGGTAGGCCGGCAAAGCCAGTCATTCCGTGGGATGCATCTATAAGTGGGATGGTTTATAACGACGATCCCTTCAAGCACGTTCCGCGGAAAGTGGTAGATCGGCTTAGGCCGTTCAAACCAATTCGCATTGAGAGGAAGTCGAAGTCAGCGCAATACAAAGCTCCCGAACTAATAAGACTTAAATTCCACAACTCAAAAGTCAACGATGAGATGCAGTTCATTGATATCGGCCGTGCAAGAAACAAGAGACCTATAAATACTGACATTAATGAGGCAGCGAGCCAATCGAGGCTCCAACATTCTGCAGTTATCAACTCTCTTTCACAATTCAAGTTTGTACGAGGTGACCAACATGTATTCAAAGTCGATGTGGACAAACTAACTAGTTTCTTGGCCAAAGAGTTTTACAAGTCAACGAGGCTTACCATCGACTCAGAATTTGGCAATTCTCACTTACCGCTTTATATTTACCTTGATAAGTCTCTCTCCTCAAGGAGACTTCTTGGGAGGTATTTGAGGAAGCACATCAATGAGCATATTAAACCCCTGCTGAAAACCATACTATCTTCTTATGATTCTGAACAAGCAGCCAAAAAATTTGAGTTACGTGTTCAGTTGAAAGTAGACTCTGTTGTCAAAAATCTGACCGAATATCTCCCTTCGGTATTTTTTAGTGGCGACGTGGTAGACTGTGTGACGCACACCAGTCCTGTGCCGAGCTTTGGCAGGATATACTGGCTAAAAAACAATAAGAGACACAGTACCTTTTGGGGGGAAAACATTAATAATGATTTTGTCTTCAATCTCAATGGAGACTACAAGATAACAAGGAGTGGCTTGAGATATATGAAGTATCCTATCACTCTACAATGTAAGACATTCCGTGAGGCCTTTACAGAATGGGAAGATTACACCTAATAGCATTCTTTATACAACTGTGTGATTTAATGGCATAATTTAGTATCACTCTGAAAAAAGCTTGATCATACTAAGGCACAGCCCTCAGATCGCCGGATGTGTCTTTCTGACTGTCGTTTGGTTCGTCATCGGAATCAAAGACGACATCCTTAGTTGCATAAACGTAAACATCATTGGGTCTATCGAGACCAATTCGTCGTCTCACCTTAGCTTTCTGTAGTCTGTGGTCGTCGCTACTGCCTTTTGAATGAAGACTCAGCGTCTTAATTACTAAGCCTTTAACGATAAAGTGATCGGTATAGTAAATCATGCCGTCAATAACCTTGTTGCATTTCTCAAAAACCAGATCTTTCCAGGGCTGAGACTCACTGAACTGCACCTTGTTGGCATCTGCTCGTGGAGCAACTTGATTGTACATATTTTTGTCAAACTCTGTAACATCCCCAGAAGGACCTCCATTGTCATTCTCGAAAGAAAATGTATCCTGCATTTTTAAAGCGTACTTTGCAAAATAGTACTCCTGGTGATCATCTTCGTAAATGGGTCGTCCTAGGACACTTTGTGCCTGAACTTTTCTTTCCAAAATTAACAAATGATCTACCCATTCCCATACAATTACAGCAGATCCAACATAGCAGGTAGTGTTGAAAATTTCACTTAAGTCGTCCACCCAGATGTTAGCCACGTCTGCGACGAAAAATCCTGGCTGTAATAGAACAGTTAAAATCGCGATCAGGGTCAATAATATCATTCGCTGATTTTGTAGACACAGTTGTCGCTTAGTAAAGATATTGAAACAAATTATGCTTGCGTAGGCTGAGGAAAGGGCAATTCGGAATAAATACATGAATGGTGCCAGCAGAGTAAGGCCACTGGAATCATCATACACTGCTCCGTAGCGATTGTTGATGGATTTTGTGAAGGTTGGTATAGCCCACAGAACCTGGGTAATAATGGATAATCCGGCGCCTACCAGAAAGACGATTCTTTTTTCTCGAACGCGGGAAAAAAGGCGCATTATAATTTGTACTTGGCATAGCTCGCATATAAGTACCACAAAAAAGTCCATGCAAGTGAAAGTTAGATCATTCCATAGCAAATCCAGTATTACCTCGGTGGAGACGACGCCGTTAGTAATATGGTCGTCGTGAAGAGCCCTTAACGCTTTGACGACAAATATTGTTAAATTAATGGATGCCAAGGAGCTTCCCAGTTTGAGCAAATTCGAAGCCCCGCGATAAGGTTTCTGTCGTATCGTTATGAACACTATCACGGTAAGCGATATTGCAATGACAAAATTAGCGGTGAAAGAAAGCAAAATAGCATATATGCTATATTTGAAAGGGCCGCGGTCGTTACTATCAGCGGTAAAATCATCCCAGTCCTGCTGGATCTCCTTTAAGAACGGAAAAAGATCCGAGGAGCATTTCAAAGCCGAGTACACTGGCACGGCTCTATCATCACAGTGGCTGGTAAACCTGATGTCAGTCTTATACTTTACATGCTGGCTGGAATCTCGCCATATCATGACGCCTTCGCCGAGGCTCAAGCCCAAGCAGCTGTCGTAGTCCTTGGGCTTCTGGTCATATCGCCAAGAGGTCTTTTTCACCATTTTTACGCCGGGTCTCGTTGCTTACAATGCTTGCGAGAGAATTCACCGGGAACGGTCCACAGTGTCATGAATCATGTAGCAGCTTGCACAAAACACGATCGATCGAAGAGCCCAAGCTTGTGCTTCCGTTAATCGTTGGCTTATTTAGCACAATGAAGTCTAACAGCTTAACAAACTTCTATACTGTAATGTTCAACGGGTTTGTACGGGTACATAATTTTAATTACGGCTCTGAAACAGATAATGTATGAGACGCGATCGGGTACTGATACAGGTACAACAGTTCAACATTTCGGGAAGTCAACGGGTACCTTCTGTTGAAGGAAAACAAAAGGTGTAGCGGCTGGTAGTATTCGTCAAATGTTCTTGGCACATTGACCACCAGGCGTTAAGTCTAATTTAAATTATACGCAATATCCCCGGTGTCAGTAAGTGAAGTCCTTCTTGCCATGGTTTGACGATGTGGTGGAGTAAAAGGTTTGCCGCTTTCTTACTAAAAACTCTCAAGCTTTGTAATTTTGCTGTGCGTGTATTAATAAAGATCTATATCTGCTCCTGAGACATGAATTTAGAGAATGCAGCCTAGAGTGACTTTGTACAGGCGCTCTTTAATGCTATTGTGCTGGGGAAACCTATAGAGTGCGAACGTGAAGCGGAAGAAGAAGAAGACTCAATACAAAACAAATGGACGAAGAATTAAGAATGGCATGTAATCAACAGTGACCTGTCAGTATTGCTCAACGGAAAATGCAGTCTGTATTTGAGCTATGTGTATGTAACCTTCGTTTTTATCACTTTGAGTCAGTGTGTCGTCGTACTTGCTTGAACCCGTAATTGGATCAACATTAGATCAAAAAATGCGACGCATAGATGAATCAAGAATGGAACCTTGCAAAGTCAAGTACTAGGGGTCATTGATAAGTATGGATGGTGGCTTTGCAGCGAGCAAATTTGAGTCTACCGTCAAGGCCCAAAATAAAGGTCGGACCCTCTATTTGGCATCCAAATCGCCGTCCGTACCGAACTTGAATGAGGCGTTTCAAAGCGACGTCAGGCCACGTATATCGCCAGGAAGGGGCCAAAGCCAGCTAAACGTGCTATCTGTAACTGAAGAACTCACGGGTTCAAGTGTCATTGATCTGTACGGGGACGAAGAAGACGAACAAGACGAACAAGGTGACGAAGACGAGGGAGAAAACCAGGAGGACGAGGGAACTGACGGCCTTGCTTCAGACAACCCTCGTAGTTTTACCGCATCCCCTTCTGTCAGCGCGCCTGCTGGAAACATTAGCAGCAGAGACCTGTCGCATTACGACCGCTATGGTTTCAAGAAGCACAACTCTCATATTTCACAGGAAGAATATCATGCATGGTGGGACGACTACTCTCGGTATTGCGTCCGCAGAAAACGCAAGTGGCAAGACCTGCTTGAGAAAAGTGGCTTGGTGTCTGTGAACGGCGTTCCTGACCGCTTTCCCCCGAGAAGCGAAAAGCTGAAAAGATACGTTCGGAAAGGCATTCCAGCAGAATGGAGGGGTCAGGCTTGGTGGTATTTCGCGCGGGGCCAGGAAAAACTGAACAAAAACAAAGGTGTCTACGATAAGCTATTAGCTGCTGCGAGTGAACGAAGTGGCAAGGCGAGTGGCAGAGACCTAGAGGTTATTGAACGAGATTTGCATAGAACGTTTCCAGAAAACATTCATTTTCAGCGACAACCAAATGATACCGAGGAGCCCTTAATGATACAGTCGTTGCGCAGGGTGCTAGTTGCATTCTCGGTTTATAATCCCAAGATTGGGTATTGCCAATCTATGAATTTTCTCGCAGGTCTACTCTTGCTCTTCTTGGATGAGGAGCGAACATTTTGGATGCTAGTCATCATTACATCAAGATACTTGCCTGGTGTGCATAATGTGAATTTGGAGGGTGTGAATGTAGACCAAGGAGTTTTGATGCTTTGTGTTAAAGAATACTTGCCAGATTTTTGGCCAAAGATTGTTCCTAAGCAGCACGCCCGCAACAATGAATTTTTGTACAAACTCCCACCTATTACTTTGTGCACTGCAAGCTGGTTCATGAGCTGTTTCGTAGGTGTGGTCCCGATTGAGACCACCCTGCGTATCTGGGACTGTCTATTTTATGAAGAATCCCACATCCTGTTCAAAATGTCCCTCTCGATGCTCAAAATTTGTGAGCAGGACATTGCGGCAGCACGTCAAAATAATCGCGCTTTGCGAAGCAGGACTCTCAGTAAAGACGATGAAGACATCGAAATATTTCAAGCAATTCAAACCACTCCTAAGAAGCTGCTGGACCCTCAGCAAATATTTGACCGCATACTTTTTAAAAGACGATTTTCACTAAACAATCTAAATCAAGAAGAGATTGATAGATGCCGAAAATACGTTACATCCCAGCGTCTGAAGTTGAAGAATTACGCCGATATTATGGGTAATAGACCATCTGCTAACGAAAATGCCAAAAGGGATATCAAGATGGGCCCCGAATTTGTAGAGAGCGCTTTATCTTCAGAAATTTACGGATTCAGACGGAGTCTGACCGCCGCTCACTGGAACAATAGCATAAAAGAAAAGGTCAGACAAATTCGAAGAAAGTAAACTCATCCTTTTGTGTACAGTATATATTTTAGGGGCTGAATACTGTGTCTAAAGATAAGAACTTCTACCATTGCATCAAGGGCCAGCGCGTTGTGTTCTAATCGAGGTCGTTAGATTCGGTTGCTTGCCATCCTTGTTGAAGTCGCTCGAAAGTGGACGCTGCTTGCGTTGCGTCTGGAATTTCGGCACGCAAAAGAGTTCGGATTTTCTCCCAAGGAACCTCGCCTTTCGTAATGCCAGGTTCAGAGCGTGGTGGTGAAGCAACGGCAGGCTGCTTATCGAACTTCGACACCATCACGACCAAATCAGCCTCTGCTGCCTTCAAATCGGACAGCAGCATGTTGTCGTGAAGCACTTTTCCCTTCAACAAGATCTTCAGTTGCGAAGAATCCAAAATGCTTTCTTCAACTTCGGCCAGATGCTGTTTAACGTGGTATATAGTCTGTGAGGTGGCAAAGTCTTGAGCATGCGCGAACTTCGGAGATCTTATGGACTTCAAGCGCAATTTGATCGTAGCAGAGTCGGTGGCATTTTTTTTGGCTCTCCTGTGGTCGTATCTGTAACGCAATGGCGGTAAAGCTACACCTAAGTTTGTCACATTTTGTTGTGGTACTTTCGCATCAGCGCTCACACCGGAGGCTTGAACCGAAGCCAGAGCAACAAACTTAGTTATGAATTCTTTCTCAGGACTACTCATGGTTCTGGTTGAAGATGCCGTTGAGGCTTTAACTGTGAGTTGTTGATTGTATACACTGTATGTAATATACATATTATATGTATATTTTTAGTTTATATATATCACTTATGATCACTGAATATTGACAACTCTAGCGGACGATGTCAACAGGCAGGAAGCCAACAAAAGCACATGAACAGCACCTTAGAGAGCTTGAGCTCTGACAAGGAAAACCCAGATCTTGTAAAATCGAAAGCGCCTTTGTTTTTCAATTATCATGAGTTTTCAGTGACGAGGTACTTTGATTTGGAAACTCAATTAATGAGTGATCATCCCCAGGACCTGGCTCTGTGTATTACTCATTTTCCTAACGTATATACTGCTATGGACTCTCAGCAGTACTTTGAAACTCGGTTGGTGAGAATTCCCCGTCGGTTTGATGTCCACGTAGATGTCCCCAGTTTTTCCACACAGCTGCCTGGTCAGGAACCGGCAGCACTAGTAGGTAGCCACGGTGGTGACCGTTTTGTCCCCAGAGGTGTTTACCAAAACCAGGCATTCGGGCTTTGGTCAGTGAGCCCGCTTAGCAACTATATGACCAGTGCTGAGTTCCGAGAAGTGGTAGATACTGTCAACAACTATCTCCTCAGAGCATACTCCACGGATTCGTGGTGGAACTTGGCAAGTGCAATACTAGATACTCTCACTTTCCACATGTGGAACTCCATTGCTATTAGAGTGTTCAGGAGCCCACTGCAGGACCTCGAAAACTATGTGGAAACGTTAAATGAATCTGCCTCATTCAAAGAAAAAAAATTGCGTTTAATCTCGCCCCGAAGATCGGGATATCTTTCCGTATGTTGTCTGAGGGTGTTTCCCGCTTGTCGATCCAACTTGATTGGACCATCCGCTAAGAATTTATGACTTTACGAATACTAACCGCTAACGCACATAGCTTGACTTCGAGCTACCTAAACCCACATTCGTCGATAGTGACTGAACAATTTTTTAAGTTAGGTATCGCTCATCGCTAAGAGAAAACCGACTTGACGAGCTCATCGCTTATCAGTTCTTGGCCTGAATTGATCTTGAAGCTCTTACGTGGTGCAAAAATGAATGGAATATTTGCAATCGAAAAACCGAGTGGCATTTCATCGAGCCAGTTCCTATTAAAACTGCAAAACGTCCTGATGAATAGCATGGTATTCTCGAAAGAGATCCAAAGGGCGACTGCTGAAAGAATGCAGCAGTATCAGCGGGAAACTGGGAAGGTGCCCAGTAAGAGAAAACTGCGCAAAGTGGCCAAAGTGAAAATGGGACACGGCGGAACGCTAGACCCATTGGCGTCTGGGGTATTAGTAGTAGGCGTGGGATCAGGCACCAAAAAGCTCTCGGAGTATTTATCTGGCACGGTGAAAGTTTATGAAAGCGAGGCACTGTTCGGAGTTTCGACGACATCGGGGGACGTTGAGGGAGAAATTTTGTCCATGCATGCAGTGAACCATATAACCATGGAAGATCTAAAAACCATGGAGCAGAAATTGGTAGGGTCTTTGAAGCAAACCCCACCTATCTTTGCCGCCCTCAAGATGAACGGCAAGCCACTTCATCAGTATGCTCGCGAAGGGCTGCCCTTGCCAAGAGCGATTGAGCCCAGACAGGTAGAAATTTACGACTTAAACGTTTTCCCAGATTCTTTAACTACTAATCACAGCTATACATTTTTGAAACCTGTTACGGAGGAAACACAGGAGACCGTGTCGGAGTTCAATCATAAGCAGAATCTGCTCACAGATAAACTTTACTTCTCCAAACAGTATTGTGACTCACAAGGTTGGGAAAGTGAGGATGCCAGGGTAGATCCCCCAATCACATTGAGTGATGAGGATCTCCAAAAGCTGATCGCTCAGGGGGACAACTACAGGGCCCCTCTCCTGCATTTCAAAGCAAAGGTGTCTTCTGGTACTTATATCAGGTCTTTAATAAGCGATATCGGTAAGGCCTTGAGATCCTCTTCATACATGGTTAAGCTCATACGTTGTCAGCAACAAGAATGGGCCCTTGATCGACACAATGTGTTCAACTTAGAAGATTTCACTGAAAACGACGAAGCCATATGGACGGAGGTCCTGGAAAAAGTTTTAGAAGATGGTTCGTCTGTAGATGTCAGGAAGGAGTTGAAGAAGGCTCGGGATGATTTCAACAAACGCAAGCAGGACCTCGCCAATCAGGCTGAAAGTGACCTTGGAGCGGCTACCATTACCTCAACTGGTTCTGTGGAGGAACATATGCCCTCATCCGCAGGCGCGGGCACCAAGAGATCTTTAGATGAAGAAGAAGAGGCAAACCATAAAGATTAGGTACTCACGATGTGCAGATTGCTCGACGATCCAACAAAGTTGCAAGTGTCGTAGGCTTGACTTTTTTCAAAAACGTTGTAGCTCATATAAAATAAATCCGAATGCGACGATCTGCTTGGGCATGAAAATTGGAAGTCGGGCGGGCAATCTGTCACTAGGCTATAGCACATATCGATGCAAGGTAAAATTTCAAAATAATCATTCAAAGGTTGGATATCCTGATTTAAAAAATTGTTCCTGTTATCATCCTTGTTCCTGTGAATAAAATAATTTGACTGGAACGTTGTACAACGTGGTATACTGACTGCGCATAACCAGTTTCTGTAAGCATCTGCGCAGTCATCGCAGGATCGCAAGGGTGAATATATGGCGTCTTGCTCTGTATCACACGGAATAATCTGTAGAGCCTTGCTAAAGTTAGCGTACAAGGACTGTGCAATTTGGTCATACATGAACGCATTGGCAGTCTTATTGTCCCTAGCCAAGCTCGAGGTCGGTACTGAATATGCCACGCCCTCACAGAAGTCCAGGTCAAAAATTAAAGAGCATGAATTATCATCCATCGTTCGAAAAGTTGATTTCGCAAACAAAACTCCACCATTAGAGTTTAGCGCCTTTTGGTTGCCAGAAATTTTTTTGGTTAGATATACCACATACGTGGTAGACGCGTTCAAGCCAGTGATGTGAAATTGTTCTTTTACAGAGCCTTCCCTTACAGTAATAGACTTCCTGATAGCCAGGTCTGTATCGTTACTTGAATCGTCTCCATAAATGGCCGAATAATTCATGGCCGATGTCGCCAGGTAGGGCCCATTTTCTATTGCGCCAAGCGAGTGGGTCAGTGTAGTGTCAAAATAATCCACGTAGGCATAAGAATATAGGTACAGGTCGTAAAGATCGGTGTTGTAAATGGAGTAGTTCGAACTGCTGCTTCCAGTTACGTTTCCTGTTACTAAAAGGGCAGAGTCGTAGTCCGAATCAACAAGCTCAATCCAGGCCCGATTGTCCCATTGAAAGACCAAGTCATACTGCGAAACACTGAGAGTGTAATTCCAGAATAAGTCCTGGGTCGCAATCGAAGACACGGCAGCAGACTGTGAAGTCGAATTGTATACTTCCACCATCAGATACAGGTTGGAGTACTGGGTGGCGTTGTCATTCGTATCTAAGGGACGAATTGCGAGAGCCTCAAAATAGCCCGCTTCGAAGAGGGCCAGTTTGCCGGGACTGGTCGTGTTTGAAAGGTCTGCTTCATCAAAAGTGTAGTAGACAGCCAGCTGTAGATCTGTAGATGAGTTGAAAAGCGACCACGACTGAGTGTTGATATTCCCGCTAAGGAACACCAGCATATCTACGCTCGACATGATACGTGAGTAACTAGAATTGACGGGGAAATTGAAGTACTGGCGAACACCGACAGATGCGAACGATTCCACGGGGGTCCACTCTTCAATCATCCCTGGGTTGAAGATGGAACTTCCTCCGCTGTCAGAGCTGTTTCCGCTATCATAGTCGCTCTCAAGGTTCGTGATTAAACTATCTAACGCCAGATCATCCAGCGAGCCGAGTGCTGTAGTGAGCCAGAATAGCACCCAAATAAGAAAATGCATTTACCTACAGGCGAGCTGTCATAAAAATAGCTATGACAAAGAGCCTTGGAGGGCAACAATTTCACGGCAAAATATGGTGCTTGGAGTGCTGAATAGTGATAACCGGAATCAGTGAGCCTCGTCAACCAAGAGCTACACAATTAAGCATTCAAAAGAAAGATATACATATATAATATATGAACCAAAAAAATTAACGTCACAGACAGGATTCGAACCTGCGCAGGTAAAACCCAATGCCTAACTCGCTTTCGATACGTCGAATAGCAGGGCATCGCCTTAACCACTCGGCCACTGGGACGCTTATTGATTGTAACTAAGAATAAACAACATACTGTAAGTGCCTGGGACCTGTAACTAGTCTCGTGATTACTGACCACGGCTGCTACATCTTAAAGAGTAAATGACACTTCTTGATCGTTAGGATGGTTAGTTTTGTTATCAACATTATTTTTTCTATATTCACCGTCATTTTCTGTCTTGCTCCGCAATCTGCCCCTCGGCTCTTCCCTAGCCTATGTTTATCTTTAGTTTTACCCAATGCAGACATACGTGGTATTAATGCACGATCGTCAAGCTATGCTTCCCGATGAGACTAGTGCAGATTGATTCACAATATATAACCAGTGCCCAGGGGGAGGGCCCACTGAATCTTTATCAATCGCGCTATTATCATTTCTCTAGTAAAACAAGGCCTGGGCATATATATTTCGAATGCAACAGAGAAGCTCTGCTCATACACTTAGCATATCAGGTACGCTGGTTCTTTAGCGGCATGTTCCGGGATTTAAGGATTTACCCATGGTGCGATGGCTCCGTTCCGTCTACCGCAGATTAATGTCGCACAATCCATTGCGCCAATTTTAGCCCGTGAAATTTAATATGAAGCTCGGTGATAGAAACTTACTATTTAATCAGTAATAACAGTGGAAGAGTAGTGTCATTTGGCTAACCCAAATCTGCTCCCAATCACCTCATCGATACTTTACACAGTATAGAGCTCGTACATAGTTATGTTGGTTATAGAAGACTAAATAGTCAAGCACAGTGATAGATTTAAGCTATACAAATCAAGTTCACGTCCACAGAACGGTAAGCCCTTTATATACCATGAGCCGAACTGCTGAAAACTTACCTTGGATCGAGAAATATAGACCCGAGACCCTTGATGATGTTTATGGTCAAAGCGAAATTGTGGGAACGGTGAGGAAATTCGTGAAGGACGGTAGACTTCCTCATCTACTGTTTTATGGACCTCCAGGAACTGGTAAGACGTCAATGATAGTGGCATTGGCGAGAGAGATATACGGTAAGAATTACAGAAACATGGTTTTGGAACTGAATGCTTCGGACGACAGAGGTATTGATGTTGTCAGGAATCAGATCAAAGAATTCGCGTCGACTCGTCAGATCTTCTCTAAAGGTTTCAAACTCATTATCCTGGACGAAGCGGACGCAATGACGAATGCTGCGCAGAATGCCTTGCGGAGAATTATCGAGAAATATACCAAAAATACCAGGTTTTGTATCTTGGCCAATTACGCACATAAGCTGACACCTGCTCTTCTAAGTAGGTGTACAAGGTTCCGCTTTCAACCACTCTCTCTTGATGCCATTGAAAAACGTGTCAATAGAGTTCTCATAATAGAAAACTTGAAGTTAAGTCCCGAAGCTTTGACCGCGTTATTGAAGCTTGCCAATGGTGACATGAGAAGAGCCCTCAACGTCTTGCAGGCAAGCAAGGCTACTCTCGACGCTCCAGATTCTGAGCAAGTTACTGAAGACACCGTCTACGACTGTATTGGCGCTCCTCACCCTCAGGATATTGAGACAATTTTAGAATCCATTTTGAGAGATGATTGGGGAACCGCGTATTTCACAGTAAACAAAATTCGCAGCAGCAAGGGCCTTGCCCTTATCGACTTGATTGAAGGAATTGTAAAGGTTCTACAAGAGTACGAATTGAAAGCCGAAACGCGTATTCACTTGCTCAGCAAACTCTCAGACATCGAGTACGCAATATCTAAAGGTGGTAACGACAAAATCCAGAGCAGTGCGGTAATCGGGGTGATAAAATCTAGTTTCGAACTACAAGCCTAGCTCATACTTCAAGAGCAGCAAATAAATGAGTAATGTCGATTTATATTATTAGTATGTGTACAGTAATTTACATGGTTTCCTAAAAATTCTAGTTGCTTTTTTCAACGACAGCTTCTTCGTCCACGGAAGCGTTCGTCGTCTCGGATTCACTAGTATGGCTCGACTGCACGTCTTCAAGAGCGACAGCGCTCTCTAGTTTGTAGTCTCTCAACAAGAAAGCAGACGCTAGCAAGGTGACACAGAAACATAGGCCAACAATGCATAGAATTTTCTGAACAACTTGGTAGGATCTCACGACAGCTATCCTCTCAGTGGTACCCCATGTGTATTCATAGATAAACGTGTAAGGAGAAGAATAGGCGGCAGCAACAATTTCACTGTCACTGATTCTCTTGCGGAGCTCTCTTGGCAAGATATTGGTCCATATGGCACCGGAAACAGCAGCACCGACGGCCGAACCAATATTGTAGGTAGCCAAGTAAGATGCAGTAATAACAGCCAGGTCCTGGTGGGTCTTGGCAGAAGCCTGGATGGATACTTGGGTAGTATAAGTAAAGAAACCAGCACCAAAACCAAGCAAACACAAAGAACCGATGATACCTGAGTGCGAGGTAGAGTCACCACGGTAGTGTACTAGCAAACCAAAGGCAACAAACCAGCATCCGATACCAAATAGAATAAACTTCTTGGTTCTTCTCACGAATACAACCACGAAGCCTAATAGGAAACCAGTGATGACGGAGACGAATGAGTAAAGAGAGGTAATTCTGGTGGCAGACTTAACACTCTCATTCACAGCAACCAGCAAAACCGCGTACATGTAATCACCTTGCATGTACCACACAAAATTAACGTGGAAGGCAACAAATAAGGCAGAGTAAACACCTCTGTCTTTGACCAAGTACCAAGGAGCCAAGGGATGTTTAGCAAACTTGAGTTCCCAAACAAGGAAGGCAGGAATAGCAACCACCCAACCGATAACCTCGGGTACAATGATGTGAGCAGTCTTCCATTGATCTTTTAGGCCTTGTGCCAAGGTGAAAGGAATCAAAATACATCCAAAAACAGCACACAACAAGATTAGACCCAAAATGTCCAACCTCCAGAAAAAAATCTCAATGATATAATCAGTCCATTTCAGGTCTTTGTATAGCCCAACCTCGGTCTGTAGCTTCTCCGGGGCGTTCTTCTTGGCCAGGTAACGCATGTGGAAGAGACAGCAGAATAGAGGGATAGCGGTCAAAGGTAGAATGAACGCCCACATGCCGATACCCCAACTCCATCTCAACCCATCGTCAAGATCCTCTAGGATGTTTCCCGAGATCCAAGTGTTGATAATGAAGGGTAGAGCGGGGACAAAAGTGGCCACAAGTCTCCAGTTCAGGTTTGAGAAATCCGAAGCCACAACTTCAAGGATCAACACAATACCAGTGTACCCTAATTGGTAGAAGATGGCACCCGCAGCAAATTTCGAAACATCGTATGCCTGGGACTCGATGATTGTTCCCACAATGTAAAAGACGACAGAGATGGCCAAAATTTCGATTCTTCCGAAGATGTCCGAAGCACGGGCAAACCAAAATTGACCAGCAGCGGCAACCACAGCCTTGATACAGTTCACAGTGGACAGCAGAGAGTGTTCGGCATACGACGAAGTAGCGTAAGACTGGAATGTGTATCTAAGCATACCGTCCAGACCGTATGCGTAAGCGACCAGGAAAATAGAGAAAAACAACGTTACTCTGTAGCCGATGTGACTGTATTGCTCGGCGTACACCTCGATATTGCGAACACCGGCATCTTTGCGCTGTTGCAAAATGTTTTCGACGGAGTTGTCCGCGACCCTTTTCTCGCTGTGAGTATCAGAATCCATCTAATATTTTCCTCTTGATGGTAGCCGGAGTTCACGAAACAAATACTTGCGGTATTGTAATCCGGAACTTAAGAAAACGGTTCAAATTGGTTATCAAATGAGGAAAAACACATTCATTAAATAACTCTCTTCAGATGGCACAAACCTTGTTTCTTATTTTGTGGGTGCAGTTTGTTTTTCTTTCACACTAAGCTCATCGTCCTCCGCGTTTAAACTTTTTTTGGGTGCACTGAAAAATTTGAGTTGACATCCGTCAACTTTTAACTCATCGCCGAATCTCACGGCCTATGCTCTAAGATCTCACCTGCAGACTGCGAGAACTAGTCGTGGAAGCAGCTGCAGAAGTTGCACAGCTGCTCCGTAATAGTTGATTAATTTCAAGTAAGTTTCTCTTGGTAACGCAAGATGGGTGATTAGCTCTGCTGGAATGGGAGAAAATACACTAGTAACAATCGTTTTCCGGCCTCTTTGGCTGTCCTGTACTTTGTAGAAGGGGCTTGGAGACCTACGAGTCATGCCAGGATCCTCTTCTTGAGAAGCCGAGGCGATGATTAGGCTTGAAAGGCCGGTCCGCATGACGGCCAACATGCACCCAGGACTGCATCATAGCTGCCTTCCCCGCAGATTGACGAAGAACAATAACGTCGTAGCAGCGGCACCAGAGCCTGGCTAGGTTCTCCGAGCGTTCTTTGGTAAACAAAACACGTTCTCAATGTGTGGTTGTCAGGAAAAAGTTGTTGTCGAGGGTGCGGAAGGCGGCGTTGTAGTAAGATGCATGAGAGAAAATTTAATGATCGGCAAAAAATCCTCTTCCTGACGCAGGGTGCTGGTGGCTTTGACACTGTCATCCCAGACAGTGCTACCCGATGCCGGACCACAGACGGCTACTTGAGCCCTGTCTCACGCATGGTTCGAAAATCGAGCAAATGGGGAGCCGTAAACACCTAGGTTGGCGTCGGCGAGCCATCTGCACTGCTATTGTTCCAGGCACGCGCTCGTTTACCTTTGCGAAACATACCGTCTCTTTCGTTAATAAGTTTGGCTGGTGGCCCCGACTATGTCATAGTCTTGAACTCACTTGAAAAGTGAACCTAAGCCAATATAACGAGCCGTGGTAGCAGCACACGCTGCTGGCAGCTGGTGGTGCAGCAGAAGCCCTCTCCTCGAGACCAATCGAGTGCAAAGGACCCTTCCAACTTGTGGGTCTTCAGTTAAGGCGGAAGCTCGCCGGGTCCATAACAGTTGCACAGATCACTCTCGCTTCGTACTGTGGTCCCGTGACCTCGTGTGTCATTTGGCACGCCGTGTGCTCGCGCCGAGGTGTACTCGTCTTGCCCGATGGTTGGAATCCGCTATTGTTTGGCCTCTGGACAACTTGTGGGAGCGGGCGGACCTCTGAGGTTCGCACTTACGCAGGAAGCGGAAGTCTAGGACGAGGGGCTTCGTAGTCTGACATGAGCCGACCAAAGAACACCGGTCCGCGGGGACCTTGAACGGGCTCCCCGATCCTCGCTTCCACCAGGTGTCTACCAAAAAAATGACATATCTACGGTGCTGCACCACACGTACGGGGACGGTCGTCAGGACTGGTCTCAATCAGGTTATCTCTTAGCGCACATACGTGTCTGCTCAGCGCCCATAGTGTAATTTGGTCACCGTATTCAGTAGGATGTCTAAATAGAAATGCCACAATCTGCAAATTTGCCTGATTCACCACGAATGTTGTCCTTACGCTCCCGGCATGGTGTTGGCGCCGCTACCAACCACATCAACAGTTCGCCGGTGGCCGCCAGAAGGCTGTCGCACGTTATCCGCTAGCATCAACGCCCCGCAGGTTTCTCATCACGAAAAACCGTCGCCAAGAATGGCCCCACTCTTTGGCTACAATGCACTTGGCTACGAAAAGAGCGCTTCGAATCATAGTTGTTGGTTCAATCGGGTAATTTGACACCTACCAACGGTGCACTTCGTCGGCTGAGCACTGGATCCACAGCATTCTCACAGCGCAACCAAAAGCTCCAGCACGAAATGTGCGGTCTCGACGTGAGTTCCGTCCCACGCATCGCACTTTGACGCGCGAAAAGTTGGTTCTTTGGGAATATTGGAACCTCGAGCTTGACCGTTTTTTTTGGTGTCTTTTGGTGTCTCTGTACAGGCGTGTGCGCGAAAACCACGAAAAAGTGACAGGAAAATCAATCCATCGCGGTAAAGAAGTTGAGTCCAACTTCTAGTTAGAGATTAACACCAATTTGGCGATCAGCGGGAATGGAATGGATTGTAGACGGTCAAGATTGTATATAAGAAAGCGCTGGGTAGCCAGCGAAGTTGGCCGAGGTGTTTTAAGCGTAGAGCTCTAACGTGTAGGCCAAGTCTAGTTCTCATACCAGACTTCCCTGTATAAAGCGATTCCACTTAACGAAACTCCACCACACGATGTGCGACGCCAAGGCCGTGAAAGTTCTGTTCAAGTCGCCAGTGACTGACGACATGATTCGGTTCCTCACCAACACCACGCTGCGTGTGATTCCATGCGACAGAGAACAAAAAAACGCGTATCCGTCGCCGCCTTCGAGCCCACGCGATACGCAGCCCCACAAAAGGTCGCTGCCCTCTCTGATGACTTTCATCTCGCGGCTGGTCCGCTACACCAATGTTTACACCTCGACCTTGCTCACAGCTACTTGCTACTTGCACAAGCTGCAGCGAATCCTACCTAGAGATGCGCACGGACTGCCCTCCACCAGCCACCGTATCTTCTTGGCGTGTTTGATCCTCAGCGCCAAGTTCCACAACGACTCCTCCCCTCAAAACAGACACTGGGCCGAATACACAGACGGCGTGTTCTGCTTGGAAGACGTGAACCTGATGGAACGCCAGCTGCTGCAGCTGCTGGACTGGGACGTCAGGGTAGGCGAAGAGGACCTGTACGAGTCGCTGCAGCCGCTACTAGAGCCCATCAAGCTCGATCTACAAAGATCTAGAAAGGTCATGGCTCGCAATTACTACCACCAGCGCAACATCAGCGCCAGCTCCAGCACCAGCACTTTGGTGGGGACGCCCAGCTTGCAATCGCTGAAATCGGTGCCGTCGTGGTCCAGACTGCCGTCGTTGTCGAGGCTGTCGTCTTCGTCGTCGCTATCGACAACACTAGAGACGCTTCCAGACAAAATGGCGCTGGGCCCGCGCGGGCACTCGCCACACGACTACAACGCTGTGGCTATGGTATAGGGATAAATAATGATATATGAATAGGATAAGGGTTTGGATACGACTGACTTGTAGGAGAAGATCTTGTGTCGGCACGGGCACGGGCAGGGGCACGGGCAGGGGCACTCCCGGCACGGCTGGAAGCGGTGTTGTGGGGGAAGGCGTGTGTGTGTGTGTGTGTGTGTGCCTCTTTGGTAGCTGGGGAGCGTCCAGGTCGCTGTCGCCCTCGATGTGCCTCTGCGCTCGCCCTGTCAATTCGTGCCCTCAGTGACTTGGTATCGTCCCATGTCCGGGTAACGGACCTTCGCAGGCGCACCTATAAAAACACTGAAAAAACTCTACAAACTTCCCTCTCCACGTACTTCCGACACCACCCGGAGACAGCAGCCAGGGCACGCCACGGGGTCAAGCCCTTGACCTCCTGCAAATGTGTACCTCCCGCGTGGTCCCATAAGTGTATGGGCCTGCACATTTGTAACCTCCAAGTGATGAGTGAAATGCTGTGCACCAGTCTGAAAGTGCCACACGTACTCGTGGCGCGTTGAAGCATTAAGTATAACCCATATCTGATGGAGAAGCCTGCATTGGCGTTGTTGTTCTCGTGGTGGCGGCTCCCGCAAGCTGTATGTACTTCTACACTGGCGCAGGCCCTGTGGCCGGCATCGTAATAGTAGACCGTAGTGTAGTGTGGTAGCTGAGCTGTGGAAAAAGCCAACGGGCGATGAGCCGTGCGAAACGATTGGGCGCTGCACTGTCCACCGGTGGCCCACCACCACCTTCTTACTCTTTGCCTCTGTCTCGTTCCTGTCTCGTTCCTGTCTCTTTCCTCCCTCTTTCCTCCCTCTTTTCCTGTCTTTTCCTGTCTTCCACCCTCTTCCTGCCTCTGCTGCTATATTTGTGCCGGCCACCGCACCCTACGCCCAACACAGCTGTGAAACTGAAATCACCAGCCAAGCCTCATCCGGTGCCCACCCGCAGCAACAACCGTCTTTCTGCGGCTCGACACGCCACAATTCGCGACGCTACAAACATGTTTCCTGTAGCTTCTGTAACGGCTGTGTAGCCACGCCCGCGCTCTGTGTGTCTTTCTCTATCTCTACTATCGACCTGTCGCTGACTGCAGTAGCAAACTGACATGGCGTCAGCATGGCCAAACTGTTGAACTGTCTCAGAGGCTGCTCTTGTCCTGCGCACTGGCCTCGAAGCCCTGCTCGAGTTCCTTGCTGTGCAGCCTCTGGGGCTGGCTGGCCCACACAGCGATGCTCATCGCCCATACACACGCTGGAGGACCTTTTTTTTCGCAGTGCCGCTCGTGGAAGGCGATGGAAAAAAAAAATCAGCCTATATAAGGCACACACATACCACGCCTGCACCAAAAACCGTTGGTGGGAAAAGCCTGTTTACACCACCGATTGACTAGCTAAAACTGCTCTGTAGCCAATTACCCACGCCAATTACCCACGCCAACTTACACAGGAAACATGTCTGAACAAACCGCCCCGGCCACCACCGAGACCAAAATTAACTCCGGGATCGCCGAAGCCACCGCCGTCGCTCAAGACAAGGTCGCAGAGGTTGCCCACGAACAGGAGCAACAAGCCGAGGAAACCAAGGAAGCCGTGGTCAAAGACGCTCAGGAACAGGCTGCCGAGGCCTCCAAGGCCAAGGACGACGCCGTCAAGCACGCGGAAACCGAAGCCGAAGCCGTCCAAAAGGATGCGGGCGAGGCCGTTGCGGGTGTGACCAAAACGGAAAAGAAGAGCGAGGACAGCGAGGCCAACGTCTCGGGCGTCAAGAAGTGGGTGGCCAAGCTAAAGAAGCTGTTCAAGTAGAGCTGGAGCGCACGGACACACGTGCCCCCCCCCCCCCCCGAGACCAAGCGCCTGCCGCGCCCACCGATAGTATTTGCAGATATATAATAAGTAATAATTAATGTGCGAGACACCAGGCGCGGCGGGGGAGCGGGTCACGTGACCGAGGACGGCGCTATGCTGTCTGTGCATGGGTCTCCGAGGGGAAAGCGGTAAGATGCTGCGGGCAAGGAAACTCAGTCGGAGGATTACGGTTGCTATCGACAAGGACGTTGTTGGAAGTGGAGACAACACTTGGTGTATAGTGGTTCTATTGAGGCGAATCTGGTTCATCAGTAGAAAGCTTACTAAATTTGTCTTGGAAGTCGGACATAGTCATTACAAGATGAGTAACTTGGATCTAGTGAATTCTATTTATGTCTCCGTGATTGTTTTAGGCATTAGAGTTGGTTCAGTTATCTGAACAAAAGCCTGGTATTTATACAATTCTCACTCGGTGACTCTGGTCAACACATTTATTGACCACCCGTTCCAGATCTGGATTGCGGCTCTAACTTATCAATCGCCAATCCCATTGGACAACAGTTGTTCTCTTCGGTTTGTCTTAGCTTGTAACTCTATCTGTATGGCCTCGGTTGTGTACTATCATTCTGTACCACTGTGTCACATATTTACTGACGCTGATTAGACGCACATCACCATCAGTTTATTCACATCATTCCCAACAGTGACAAACCTGTAATTCCAATTATCACATATATTGGTGTATCCGGATTAAATGGAATTCACTGTCGCTACCATCACCACAATCACTATGCACTATACTGACAAGGCCAGAATCCACAAATACCCAAAATCCTGGCGCTTGCAAAAAGTGCTGCATGACTAATACTTGGAAACTCGGAGCTTGACAGGTGTATCCGCTGCGGCATTTCTTAGCTTCTTTCTCCTCACTGTGTAGCTCTCAAGGTGTATGTAACATAACCCGTACGGTGATGATTTTGGAATATCGCTACGTCCATCCACGTCACCCCATCAGACGGCCAGAATTTATATACTGCCGGTATAGTTTGAGGACTAGTGTAACCAGCATTTTGGTAAACTTGCCCCTCCATGATATATTTTTATGTTTTCTTACAATATTCTGGCTTTGGCTTTTGCCTCTCATATAAAACACATAGCACTCAACAATCACCTGTGTGTTACCAAATACCAGGGTTGAATATCCGGCAGATTGCACTCATGTCGAAAATAAGAAATACGACAAGAATACAATCCAAACATATCTAGTCACTGACTAAGGGCTCGATCTCGAGATTGAAACGACAGATTTTGACAAAGCGATAGACTTATAACTTGTTCATTTGCTTCAAAACACGACAGAAAGCTAATTACAGCAGCCGCCTCTTCAAACCTTTGAAGCGGTGATCTGATACCCCAAGTAATTATGTTGTATATCTGCTTACAACCTTCTCAGGTGGATCATAGGACGGCCATATCGCACTAGCTTGTCTTTACATAGCTAAGAAAAGATAGAGTACCTAGTGCCCATAAGGTAGCTTCCTAGGTCTACTAGAATCGATTCGAGATGAGTTAGGGACTCCCCGGTTGGTGCTCGCAGTTAAAGTGAGCGAGCCACTTAAGATGTCAACCCACGTCTAAAATGACTTTTAGTGACTTAATTATCTTCGACCAACTTACAAGTGGTTTATTGGCAAATTGGTATATTCTTATGATACTCGTCCTGAACGCAGTCGAACTCCCAAAGCTCTCTGCAGTTATGTTTGCCCCTTCCAACGTCCAGAACCTAGGGCTGGTAAACCCTGGCAATCTCTCGGGACACATGAACCCCATCAATATCGCTGGACCCACCGCGACCGATAACACGAATCATAATAGCAACAACAGTGACCACTTGAAAAGTGCCTCTGGGAATTTGAATGCTACACCAGCTAACCAAGTCACGCTACATGCACTCGATGATCCGAATGTGTACCACTGGATCTGCCAGCTCACATACGGCCCCAACAAAGAGCAGGCACTTTTGGAACTGGGCAGAAAGCGTGAACAATATGAGGATTTGGCCATTGTTCTCTGGTCTTCATTTGGTGTGGTTGCCGCTCTACTGAGCGAGATTACCTCTGTATACCCCATGCTATCTCCACCAGTCCTGTCCAACCAGCTAAGCAACCGCGTATGCAACGCTTTGGTACTTTTGCAATGCGTCGCTTCCCACCCGGAGACGAAAACCCTCTTCTTGCAAGCGCATATCCCACTTTTGCTCTTTCCTTTCCTCAACACCACCTCAAGACAACGAACTTTCGAATATCTGCGGTTGACGTCTTTAGGTGTGATCGGCGCTCTTGTGAAAAACGACTCCGCCGAGGTAATAGCCTTTTTGTTGCGCACAGACATTATACCACTCTGTCTGCGCATCATGGAGTCTTCCTCGGAACTATCCAAAACGGTGGCAATTTTTATTCTCCAGAAAATCTTACTTGACGACGCGGGACTGCAGTACATATGTGCCACACCAGAACGCTTTCACGCTGTGTCACAGGTTCTCACCTACATGGTTGACCAATTGACCCTGCAGCAGACCCCTGGCCGTCTGTTGAAACATGTTGTGAGGTGCTACCTACGACTCAGTGATAATTTGGAGGCAAGAAGATTACTTAAACAGGTACTACCGCGCCAGCTGAAAGACAACACATTCGGAGAAGTTTTGAGAGATGACTTAGGCACCAAGCGTTGCTTGGCTCAACTGCTGCTGACCTTGAATGAAGATTAGCCCCGGAGCGCTGCGCCAAAGAAATCCTCGTACATATGAGGCGCCCTTTTGCATACAGAACACAACTCCTCTACATTTTCGCACCCCAGCACAGCATTTATCATAGACAATAATCTCTCATACCCTCTACGGATCACCGCCACTGGCTAGTCTGTTGGTCACAGACTTTTCGTTTAGTGTCTCTCCTCGAGTAAGCGCAGACTCTAAAGTCTACGCACGGAAGTGGGTTTCATCTCTTCCAGTAAGCAAATATCTCATTCAGCATCATTGAATAAATCCTTGTCATATTATATACATCTAATTCTCACCTGGAGAGCCATCACCCATCTCACATTCATCGTAAGCAGTTTCGTACAATGTTATATAATGTTAGAATTGGCCCTAACTTTTTTCAGTAAATCGTGGCAAACTTGTTTATCGTTGAAATAACTGACGATTAGACCGGACCAGCCTCGATTGAGTGATTGAATTTGCCCGAGTGAACCCAGTTTGAAGTCAGATTATGTCTACTCACACTTACAAGAAGTTTGAGGAAGCAGACTCGGGCGTCCTGCCTGATACAATGACTATTTACCAGGACTGCTTGAACGCCTTCAACGAATCACCCGTGAACTCGAAGAGATGCCGTTTGTTGATATCTAGACTTCTCCAATTGCTTGCCCAGGGTCAAACTTTCCCCAAAACTGAGGCCACAGCGCTTTTTTTCGCGATATCTAAGCTGTTTCAACATCCTAACGACTCCCTCAGACAAGCGGTATACTTGGCAATCAAAGAATTGAGTTCAGTTTCGGAGGATATATTGATGGCCACTTCGTCTATTATGAAGGACGTACAGAATGGTTCTGATATGATCAAGCCCAATGCCATTCGTTCTTTGACCAGGGTCTTGGATGAGTCCACTGCTTTCTCCGCCGAGCGTTTGTTCAAGTCTGCAGTTGTGAGCAAGCATCCCTCCATTTCGTCAGCTGCATTGGTGAGCTCCTATCATCTTCTTCCTGTCGCAGAAAGCACGGTGAAACGTTATTCGAACGAAACCTTGGAGGCCGTCGCAGATCTCAAGACATTTCCCTATCACGATGGGCTTTCCGAGCACTATCCAAACTCCACATATATCTCACAGTACCATGCGTTGGGCCTCTTGTACATGCTAAAGAACCACGATAAGATTGCCCTGATGAAGTTGGTTCAACAATTCTCCTCAGGAAATACTCTAAAAAATCAATTGGCTCAGGTCCAGTTGGTAAAGCTTGTGGGAACTTTGTTGACAAAAGATCCACAAATGATCTCGCAGCTTGGACCCCTACTGTTGGGCTGGTTATCAAATAAGTTTGAGGCCGTTCAGTTAGAAGATGCAAAGCTAATTACATCCTTACCAGACAGATTTGTTCCCCCTGAAATGTTCGCCTCTGCCGTCCAAACCTTGCAAGGATTTCTTGCTGTACCCCGTGTAACTACTAGATTTGCTGCTGTCAGAGTTCTAAACAGAATATCCATGGTCGCCCCTGACAAGATTGTTGTATGCAACCCAGAATTGGAATCTTTGATCAACGATAGTAATAGAAACGTTTCCACCTACGCAATTACGGCTCTGTTGAAGACTGGAACTTCCAACAACATTGCGTCCCTAATTAAGACTATTACAAACTTTATTCACGAGATATCAGACGACTTCAAGATCATCATCATCGATGCGGTTAGAACCATGGCTCTTAAGTTTCCCGAGGAGTGGAAATCAATTTTGAATTTCCTTGTCAACGTTTTGAAACAAGGCGACGGCGGATTCCCTTTTAAGAATAGCATCGTCGAAGCTTTATTCGACCTCGTTCAATTTGTTCCACAATCTAAGGAATTAGCTCTGGAAAATCTGTGCGACTTCATCGAAGACTGTGAGTACAATGAAATTTTGGTCAGAATTTTGCACTTACTGGGTAAAGAAGGTCCAAGTATGAAGACGCCATCCTTGTACGTTAGACACATCTACAACCGAGTTGTCTTAGAAAACTCGATCGTAAGATCTGCTGCTGTTGTTGCTCTCTCTAAGTTTGCTCTGGTGAAGAATGACCCCACCCTTGTTGAGTCCATAGAAATACTTTTGAGAAGAATTTCTAACGATGCAGACGACGAAGTGAGGGATAGAGCTACTATTGCGCTTAAATTTATCGAGTCAATCAAAACGGGAGAAAATGCTGGCCCATCAGCAGCAGAAAACTTGATTCAATCGAAGTATACTTATGACTTAGCATCTCTAGAGTCTAAGCTCAGCCAATACATGGCTGCCAAAAAAGATTCATGCAAGACAGCATTCGACACCTCCTCTATCTCTCGCTATTCAGAGGACGAGAGAAAAGCGATCGATTTGAAGAGAAAACAAGAACAATTATTTTCATCACTTTCATCTGGCAAAGGCAAGAGCAAGGGCAGTGCCTCTTCAGACTCTGAAAAGAGAAACAGCTCTTATCCCGGTCCTGGCGCCTCGGAGTTGGATCATGACTTGAAAGCGACGAAGTATGCACAAGAGTTGGGCTCCATCGAACAGTTTAAAGAATTTGGACCAATTATCAATACTTCTAGAGACGTTCCATTGACCGAGACTGAAGCGGAGTTTGTTGTGACTGGTGTGAAGCACCTGTTCAAAGAACACGTCGTATTGCAATTTCACATAACCAACACTTTGACAGATGTTGCTCTGGACAGTGTTTCAGTGGGATGTGTGCCTGCCAATTCTGATGCGGAAAGTTTACTAAATGAAGTCACAACCATTTCGGCTGAAAGAATTAAACCATCGGAAACTTTTGCCACTTATGTGGCCTTTGAGAAATCTGCCGAAGTCATAACTGAAGAGTTGTTGAACACTTTATATTTTACCACGAGAGAGCTTGATCCCGCCACACAAGAGCCATTCCCAGGAGATGAGGGCTTCCAGGACGAATACGAGATAGACTCTCTACCGCTCACCGCTGGTGATTATATCAAGGGCTCGTTCATAGGGGACTTTTCGGCTTGCTACGACGAGTTGCCACACCACGAAGTTTCAGTGTACAACATCCGTGAAAACATATCGCTTCAGGAGGTGGTTGACAAGATTATCCTTAACACAAGCTGCTTGACATTAGACAACACGCAGTTCACCTCCCCAGACTCCAATAATCATACTCTAAAGCTTTTTGGTAAAAGCGTGTTAAGCGGAGCTAGGGTAGCGCTAATCGTGCGCATGATAAAAAGTTCGAAAGGTATCGCTTTGAAGGCCGAAGGCAGATCGGATGATGCTAATTTGTGCAGTGATATTGTGAACGAGCTTATTTAGATAGTGCTATAGTTCATAGAAAATGAGAAAAGACTAGAAATGTGATTTTGACGACATCAGGCTTCTGCTTGAACACGTTATTTCATGAAGTTTGTACATGTGAGCTTTCAAAATAAAGTAATCATGATCCCGTCAACAAACCGCTAGACCAAGAGCAGCGCGCTGGAGAACATAAGGGTTCTAAGATGGATGAGGAGGAGCTGGAGTTAAAGAGACGGTTGATGGAGGCAAAAGTAGAGGAGTTGGCAAGACGGAAGCGGCTGCGAAAGAATGAAAACGAACTCAGCGGAACTAAAAGGCAGGTTAAGAAAAACTGCGCAATTTACATTTCCAACTTACCTTTGGAGGGAATGGACAAGGAGAAGTTGGTATCTGAGTTTGGCAGGTTTGGAATAATCAGAAAGGATCCTGCTAACAACGAACCAAAATGTAAAATGTATAAAGATGACAATGGCAATTTTAAAGGGGATGCATTGATTCTATATCTAAAACCAGAGAGTGTCGAGATAGCCGTACAGCTGATGGATGGTGTTGCACTCGAAGGAAGCAAATTGAAGGTGGAGGAGGCTGTCTTCACACCAGCAACAGGAAAAACAGAGAAAAATGAAGAAGGCCTAGCTAAGCTAAAGAGATCGAATGCCCTTAAGATAAAGGAACAAGAGCATGAGCTGAATGATTGGAGTGACGCAGATAGCCTTTCGGAGAATTCGGACAACTCATCTATGACACCTAGTAGAAACTCGCTAGCGGAGGAGGCCAGTACCCGAATTGTGGTCTTAACGAACGTACTAGACTTATATGAAAGCTTGCGTCGACAAGAATTGTTAGAAATTGAATCCGATTTGAAAGCAGGGTGTAGTGCAGTCGGAGAACTACTTGACTTCGAGTTAGATGAGGTTTTAGGGCAAGTTAGAGCTGAGTATGCCACCGAAGAATCCGCGCAACAATGCTGCAAGACTATGGATGGACGGTACTTCGATGGGAGAAAGCTTAATGCGTATATTTTAAGTGAGGAGTCTAAAGAAGACACCGCAGATGTTTAACTCAACACGGGTGTAAGAAAGTGTACCAACATTAATATGAGCCAATCAGTAGAAAGAAATGAAAGATTGTATCCACGAGCATTAACATGTAGAGAGTATAAGCTTGACCTTATGCTAAATTTGGGATAGAAAAAATTGAGCGGTACGAGAATCGAACCCGTGTCCCAACCTTGGAAGGGTTGGATGATAACCACTACACTAACCGCCCCTAATTGTTAGGGTATTCGGCCACAGTTTTACATAATCAATCCAAAGTAGCTTGCTACAACTCTATTATACTAACTCTGGTACTATAACGATTCTGGACGTCTGTTACCTCGTAACTTACAATTACTACTTATTCTTTCTAGCTTCTTAGATGTAATTAGCAAGGTCTGACGGCACTGCATTTATGCCTTAGGTTCTAAGCATTACTGTTTCAAGAATAGTGAGGCTCAAACATGTATGAAGCTCTAAGGTGTACGCGTCTCATGTTCGTGAGGTTCTTACATTCTTCTAATACTTTTTTTCGGCATGGGTGTCATCTTATTGTCATGTTTCATTCATGACATAGAGTGGTATCAGACTAATCGTACCTGAAGGATCTTGGCAAGAAGATTAGTGGAACGACAGGAATGATAACAGTGACAAGAATACGAATAATGATAGGACTTGGGCCAGAGGCTATTCAGCGAGCACATGTAGAGCCGAGGTACTGACAGGATAGCATTAAGCAATCCCAATTAGCTTAGGTAGCAATAAAATGATGCCTCGAGACCCTACGTCAAGATGACGTTCCTTAGAGTTGAGCCAGAGGCAGTGCAACCATACAAAAGGAGAGCGGGGAATCAGACCAGCCAATAAGGTTAGGCAATGAAAGAAGTAAGGCAAAAGCGGTTACTAATAAGGTCTACTAACTCTTATCGTCCTTTATAGCTGTTATTCTTCAAGTCGACGTTGTGATAATCGTTCACCACAAACAGATCTATCATATCATACTTAGTTCTAGAAAAACAGTAGAAACAATTAATTAGCTTCAGTAGCTCAGTCGGAAGAGCGTCAGTCTCATAATCTGAAGGTCGAGAGTTCGAACCTCCCCTGGAGCAAGTTTTTGTTTTATCAGAATGTTCTGATTGCTAGTTAAGCCAGCATTTTAAAACATTAGTTAAGTCAGTGGTCTCCGTTATCCGCAACGAAATGACGATGCATTATTTCTGAAGGTGTCTACCAGTGACTTTTGGCCACTATTTTTATACATTTATGTCTAAAACTTTCCTCTAGCTCTCCCTCTGCCACGGCCACGTCCTCTTCCGCGGCCACGGCCACGTCCTCTTCCGCGGCCACGGCCACGGCCTCTACCACGCCCTCTTCCCCTGGTGACTCCCCGAGAAGTCTTGGGGATATCCGAATTATCTTCCGGCTTTGCGCGAGTCCTACGGGTGTTGGGGCTAGCCCTGTAACCACTTTGGGTATAAGTTTCGTCACCGTCAGCGCTCTCATTATCATACTCCTCGTTAACGATTTCATCTTGCGAATCCTCATCGTAATCCAGACCAGAATCTTCGGCATCTTTATCCTCCTGGCTGTCATCAACTGGCGCTGCTCCTTCTGAAAGCTCATCATCGGAAACAGCTTCTTCTTTGGAATGTGCCCTGGTTCTATGAGATCTTCTCAAAGTTCTCACACTGGCCACCATATCGTCATACTTTTCGTAAAGTTCTTCAAAGGTTTCTAAAAAAGGTAGCAGCTTGCACAGATAATCTTTGATGGCACTCAGCTTCTCACGGGAAGCATTGAATTTCGATTCTTTAGGGAGCGGGTTCTTGTTCATGGTACCTTTATTAGCTGGTTCGTTCCCAGGGGTCTCTAAAATGCTTAGTTTATAGTCAAGAAGGGTGATGAAATCGCGGAGAGTTGCGCAATTATTACAAACTTCATACCAATACGTTTTGTTTGTTGTATCGACTTGGTTTGCCACATCCCTGATCATGCTAGGAGAATCGTGGTAAAACACCTTGAAACGATTGCTCATATTCTTTCCATTATCTGTAAACAACTTGAAAGCGTCTACTTCCTTCTTGGCAAAGACCTCAAGGGTTTTGTTCATTGCCTTGGGATCAGTGTAGGTTGTCGGAATGAGGGATCTCTTACCTTTTTGATAAGTGTGCAGTCTTGGCAAATAAAAGTCACCAACGTGAGGCACCCGCCCAATAAAAAACTCCAGGGATCTTAGTTTGAAGATCTCGTCGCCAAAAGGGGACGACATAGGATGATCGGGAAGCTCACCCTCAAGTACATCACACCAGTCCTCATATTCTCGGTCAAACTCATCAATAGGAACCTCCGGATTAGCGTCTTCGGTAATTTTTACAGTGTCCCTTTCGTGATAGATGTTAGATATAATCTTCAGTTTCTGGGAAAGCTCGTTTCTCTTACCATTTTCTAGTTCTTTTTTGATGTGCTTTTTACCGCTCTTGATTTCCAGCCTGGATTCAATCAGATCACATAACCTTTTGAACCGAGCTTTGGTAGCTACCTCACCGTCAGCAAAAAGTCTGGAAACGTGATAAGTCGGAACCCCGTAGGGCTCGTCCCTTCTTAAGTGAGTGAGACGATAAATTTCTTGATGAATTTTATCTGATTGGGCCAAAACCCATTGAACCAATGATTTCAACAGAATTATTCTATCTTTGGGCTCGAGTGCTAGTATGCCACGTTTCTCCAGATCGGGGTTTAGCAATGGATCGGCATCGAGAGCATAGTGTCTGGGCCACGTAACAATATTTGGAGTCAAAATTTCTTGTTGATTCGGGTCTACCGGCTCAGTTTCATCATCAATAAAGACCTTACTAGGTGATTCTCCGACCAAGACTTTCCACTGCTTAGGATAACCCCAGGTCCATGCATTTGTGCGCAATTGACTCAAGAATTTTGAGTACGCCTTTGGTTCTCTTATTGACTCGATAGTGGTTACACTGTTGTTATTGAGGGCTAGCTTCAATAATACCAAGAACAACAGATTCATTTTGTCTTGAGATTCTATCACTACCTTGATCGGCATATAATCCTGATAAAGTTTACGAGTTAATTCTTTGTCAGCCTCTGGGTATAAGTCAAGCCCCAGTTCAAAGTCCTGGAAGGATAAAGACCATAGCTCCTCTGGGAGAAAAGAGCTGAACTTATTCACAAAAGTCATGATTGGGAGAATTTCCTTGGCATAAGGCACAGACTTTAAGTTTGGAGAGCGGAACCGCGACACAATACTGTGATGATTTTTGAAATCGGCAGAAGCCAATGGAACATTGGGACACCAGTTTTCTTCGGCGAGTAGAGGGTCCGGGTTGCCAACAGAGCTTTGTTTTTTTTTAATTCTATCGCGAACAGCTTCACGATTTATATTCTGCTCCTTACTCTTGCTGGCCGGCTTTTTCTTCTTCCTAGGTGTGCTTCGAGGTATGTCGTCTTCGTCGATCTCTACTGGGCGTTTGGGGACCACCCTCGTGGATCTTCGGCGATTGAACTCCAAAACTTCGCCCGCATGTTTCAGCAACCCTTCTGGTGACTTCGAAGTAGATTTGATGTTATTGAAATCACCGAAAGTCAATTGGATCTGATTCGCTTTCGATTTTAGTGTACCATTCTGTATTGGGGAGCTTGAATCGTCGTGAGAACCAGATTCCACTGCAATACTATCCCCCTTGCCACTGGGAGCTACTGAATCAGACATGCAGCAAACAGAGCACTGCGATAGATATGGTGCTTATAGTTCTGACGTGTAACCAAGTAAATTTTTTTAGAACACGTCGTTGATCAACCATGATGAACTTAATGTTCAGAAAGTAGAATTAAAGCATCAAGACCGTATCCACATGATCGACGACAGTGAGGGCAGAAAGATACTTGAGAAGCGGCATGTCAGTTTTCCCTACTAAAATACTTAGCTGTGTATATAGCATTATATTGAGTTCCGACAAGCGGTAAGAACAATAATTGACGTGCGATTGCTCTGCTGCAGTTAATATGCCGAAGTAGCCTGTTTTCAGAAATTGGAGTCAACGATTTTCTTTACAAGTTTCCAATCGTCCTTTCCAGCATAATCTAAAATGAGGATACCACAACCGCGTTTGACGTCGGATCCTAGGTCACTTTTTAACATTTGATCTGCTACTTTCTCGGGCCAGCAATCAACGTCGTAAAGGTTAGCACCGGAACAGAAATTGACAAATAATCTGGACGGAGCATCCACGGTGCAGTTATAATTACTTGCAACGTCCAAAAACTCTTTTACGTAACGTGTTTTTTCCACGATGTTCTCAGCGTGCTCGAGCTCACAGAAATCCTGGACCTGATATAGTCCACGGTCCTCATTTGTAGTACTGTATGACCACCAGGCCGCCTCTATACCAAAATCGCGGTCACGGAGTTCGTCTGGAAGTCCGAATCTGCGGAAAAGCACGAGTTTGCCCCTAGCATCGCGCAATGTTGGAATATCTCCACGCAAGTACCAACGATTCTGGCGAGGCTGTATATATTTACTCCACACAAACTGCGCAAACTCCTTATTTTTATCGGCGAAATCTTCTCCTTCTTGTTTGATTGAAACGATGCAAGTCTCACTGGGATTCTGAGACAGAAACGAAAACAAATCGTCCAGTTCGGACGAGAATTTCAATGGCAAGGGAATACGCACCGGAAATTTTCCATGAATGACTTGCAGGTCATCAGCCTCGTAGGCGCCCTGGTCGTTGTCTTTAAAGAAGAGCTTTCCTAGCCTAAAGTCAAAAAAACGAACACCGTTCTTCAATTGTGTCTTAACAGAATGATCCTGGCATTTGACAGAGGGTAGCGCAATGTGACAAGCAGCACTGTTGTGTGTTCCGGGTAAAGAAAGCTTCGAAATACGAATGTTGTCGTCCAGTTGTTCCAACCATCTGTTGTAGTCTACCATCTCAGAGCACTGCAGTCGAGATCTATGTTGAAGTCGAGGCCGAAAGTGCTGCAGTAGTATACTGAAAAGTTAGTATTACTGGCGTGAAACAATGCTCGGCATTGATCAGTGAATTTACCTTGAGCGCTCTCCCCAGCAGTTTCTTTTATGTTCGCGAATGGACATTATAGAGGCCATATTCATCAAATATCATCATAAAAGCTCAGTGGCAAGCCCAAAGTTATCCGTCAGACCAGCAAAAAAAGTAGTCAAAGTGGACATACGTGCAACCAGCCCAAAGTTATACCAGTCTACCTCGAGAAGGGCACTCTTATGTACTAGTGACGATCACCGAGATCTATTAGATTAAATAGTATACAGTGATAATGCCCTCAATAGATCTGTCAAAAAACATGATACGGATAAGAAGCCCATCGGGTGAGTGCGTAAGTGTTGTGAGGGCGCGTGATACAAAAGGTCTGGCATAAGCCTTGGGTCAGTAAAGAGTCCTGATAGGAAGCATTGGGTCGGAAGTTGAACGGGTAAGGTTAGGTGGAATTCCCTACCCGTACCTCGAAACTCGCATCAAGGTCACTACCACCAATGATAACGTGGCAGATACTCTTGGAGTTGGAACAAGATCTGCTTTTGCCATTAAGCCTTATTTCGTGCGAAAAAGGTGACAGCCCATCGCAATTCAAATGCAAATTGAAATATGGGACTGTTCCAGACGCTGCGATGCTAGATTGCAAGTGCATAGTCTCCGAAAAGCTGTTTGAAGATCTACAAAACTACTCATACGATGGCAAGGTTTGCTGTCCAGTGTGTCTTGGGTTTCCCACAAGTATGGTAGGCCCTATATGGCCTCTGAGAACGCTGTTCGAAAAGCTGCAATATTACAAGCGAGACCAGCAACAGGGAAAAGCCACTGGCGACAGCAACTCTATAGTGGATAAAGCATCAACGTTTTCGGATGCGCAGGATTTAAGTCAGCCACAGCCACAAGAAGGCAAGCTGCAGGAGAAACAAAACTTGATCTCACTTTTCCACACCATCGCTTCAAGTGTGAACGATTCGGACGAGGAAGATGTGGGCGACTTACCATCGATTCACTCTCTGGATAACGTTTCGAATTCCAAGACTGTTCCGATCCAAGATCCCGGTTCAGTACCCGTGTCATTGCCGATAGAAGTCTCACCAGCCGCGGTTCAGTTATCTCAGCTGGATGAAGAAAAGGAGTTTTACTTTGCCAAGTGCTTCCCGATGTATCGGAAAAGAACACAAATTAACACGCACAACAAATTCCTACGTGCCAAGAGTAAACAATTCGTAAACACGGCAATCAGCCCGGACTGTAGTAAGTTTGCGTTGATCACGGAAAATAAATGGGAGGTATACCAGATGCCAATTCAGTCCGAAAGGGAGAGAAAAAGTTCTGAGCAGCCGCAAGACGTAAAAAAAAGGTTTAACTTGGCTTCTCAACCCAAAAAAGAGCGCATGGGGCCTAATGAAAGCGTGACCCTTTTGTTCTGCGGAAAGTCGACCGGCGAGTACGGGCCCACTTTCGAAACTCTCAGGATGCCGTCTAACTTGAGCTCTCTCCATTCTTCATTCTCCAAAAGAGAGCCCTCGAAACCCCCCAAGGGGCTGTCCAGCATGGCAATGGGCGGTTGGGAGCATCTTTCTTGCGTAATGTCCAACGACCTTCTGATAATAGCGGGGACTAAAGGACGTTTCCGTGTTTTTGATCTTAATTGTGGTGGTATGCCTATTTACACGTACGAATCGACTTTTCCCATACGCTGCATCGACGTTGACTCTAAAGGATCGTTGATAGCCTGTGGCATAACTGGGAACGATAGAACCACAGGCGCCGAGCAGGCTCTAATTCTTTTTCACCAGATCGAAAGAGAGTCATCTACGTCAATGACAGAGAATCCAAATATCACTCCATACTCTTTCTTCCCTCCTATCACCACAATGCCCCCGTACCGTGATCCGATAAACACGTTACAGTTTTCTCCAGATGGCGCTTATGTTTCATGCTCAACAGCGCTAGAATCCAGGTTTTTGGTGATTTCGCTCAGAAAAGTCCGCGAACCGCGTTTAGTAATGAAATCTTTGCGTTCCATTGATACATCGCTCGAATCTGAGGGTATAACTGATTGTAAAATGTTTCCTGGAAATTCAAGCCTCATGTGCGTTACTTCAGTCGCATTTAACGCTCCGCCAATAGTAATAAACACTCGAATCCAAGCCATCAATGTAGTCCAAAGCATTGCGCAGCCCACGATGCTTTTGAGACTCGATGAACTGGGATCTAAAATCCACAAGTGTGAAATCTCGCCTAGAAATGATTCAATCGCCTTTCTTGATCGCAACGGAAATGTGTCAATAATGTATGCTCCAACGTTGCTGGATAATGAAAAGAGAAGAATTGTTTTGGTGGACGCAGTTGCAAATGCTTCTCGAGTACGGGAGGCTGCGTCCATGAAATTTAGTGCAGATGGTCACAAGTTATATATTCTGGACAGGAAGGGCTCCTTGTACATCGAGGACTTTGCATTTGCCCTCCCGCAAAATCACGAAGTTACCAAGTGCAAGCAGGTCAATTAATAATAGAGATTTTCAGAAACGTAATGTGCTCAAGTAGGTTTATAGGTGTCATATTTTTGTTTTTATTTCAGCCAAAAGACCCGCATTCAGCGAGAGCACAAAGTCCTTAAAAGAAAGACCAACAGTGTCTGGGATCGAAGATTTCGTTATGGTGCCTTTTTCGACAGAGACATCGTGCTCTTGTATGGTCACGGTGAAGCTCGGACCGCTATGATAAAGCCATTCATCGCTAGCAAGCTGTCGAGCCGTTTTCGCGATTTCATCGTTTGATGTGTTGACTTCGTCCACGAAATAAACTGGAATATCTTCATGCAACAAGCTGCGAAATCCGTTTGAGCAAATATCCATAAACTCGTCCGTATTGTTAAACCCAGCTTCTGATATGTTTTTGACCGAAGATCTGACACTCTCAACACTTCCACCAGACCAAATGACACCTTCGAGATGAGCTGGTTTCAGTAACCCTTTGAAAGAAGCGAGGTCAGCATCTATGAGCATCGTACCATGATGGTATGATTTACCCTTCGCGATTTTGAAGGCACTTCCGCTTACTTTGTAAGCACCTAAATGTATATCGCCACGCTGGTTCAAGTGAATTGCGGCATCGGGACGAATTTCTTTTAGCCAGCGCACGATTTGTTTGTTAAAGTATTCACGGTCAAAGTTGTCGCGCGATGTTAAATACGAGTAATTCACATTTCCAGAATCGTGTACGACTGCACCACCACCAGATCTTCGACGCACAAATTTGTACCCTTCTTCGTAACAGTTGTCAAGATGTAGCTCTTTCCAGGGCGTTTGATTTTTACCTATGACAACGCATTTTTCGTTAATGTAGAACAGAAGTCTCTCACTAAGAAATGGTTGGCCCTTAGCAAAAGTAGTATTTTGAAAAACATAATCCTCCAAAGCCAAATTATAATATGGATTTGATGACAGACTTTGGAGAATAAATCTGCCTGGAGACTTTACTATGTGCTCCAAAGAATAACCCGATATCGCCTGCGGTGAGTAATTGTATGTATCTGCGATTTCTGCATTGAAAGCATCAATCTCTGACAATTCAATTCCAGCATCCCCCTTTGGCGTGCCTCTTACCTCATCACCTTGTGTGAACATTTCCGTATACATATTGTTTAGTTCTGAATATCGGTCAACTTGAGTGTCCAAACTCAAGTCAAAGGGGATAGACGACCCCAGTGAACGACAAAATACTCTCCTAGTTCGGGGTAGCCTGGTGATTAAGTTTGGAAAACGTATGACATTCATAATGGATAGATGTCAGGGTTTCTCTTCGAATATTAAATAGGTGATGCGAATGAGTGTAATGTAAAGTTAATAAGATCTCGAAAAATTTCGATGCCTACAACCATTATCAGAAGCTTGAAGGTCATTGACAAATATGAACTCGGGACCCTCTTTTATCACCGAATGTATATTGAATAGAAGTGCTCCAAATGCACACAAACTCATGGAGGAAAGCCGGCTTCAGGAGACACTACTCTTGCTTCCTACAGACGGAGGTGTCGCATCCAAACTGAAGATGGCAAAGGGAAAGAAAATGAACCTCTTGACAGAGGTACATCATAAGTCTGCACCACATCGGGGATACCGTGAAATCAATAAAAATGCTAAAAGTTCCTTGAACGAGTACATAACCTCAAGCCGCCAAGCATCGCGCGAAGCTCGCCGAATTGCGAGCGAGCTCGACTTAAAGACACGTCAGGGCCTCTACGATCATCTCGAGAAGCATCATCAAGAAATTTACAAGAGTCTGCCAAGGTATGATCGGTTTCTTCCTATGCACCAAGAGCTGTGGGTGAATTATGCGCGAGAATTATTGAATATTCCCGCAAATGTCCAGAGCGCTTCAAAGTTAAACATTAATGGGTCCAACGCGCTCGTCAAGCTGTCCATGGCTGACTACAACGGTTGCTTACTGACTGTTTCTAAGAGCAAAAATGCCAATTTATGCGGTACTGCCGGAATTGTGATCTGGGACTCGCAAAAGAGCTTTATAATAGTACGCCGGGGAACACTAGTGGACGAAATCAAGTGTATACCGAAGAAAGCGACAGTTTTCACTTTTGAAATACCTGTGAATGATGAGGAGGCTTTGCAATACACGATTCTCGGCGATCGATTCAAATACAGAAGCAGCGATAGGGCCGGGCGTAAATTCAAAAGTCGACGGTGCGACGACATGTTATACTACATACAGAAATAGACTTAGATGGAGCAAGGAACAAAATTGGCGAGGTCTTGCTGGGTTTTGATAATGAATTACTTTGTATTATCGAGTAGGATGCAGCACTACGATCTATTTCGTGCGGCATCGTTTGTCCGCGTTTTTAGCGAATCCGGCTCAGGTCCCACAATAGTGTCAAGGTCTTTTCGCAGGCGGCTTCTAAGATCAGCTTTCACTTCTGGGTCATCCAACTGCCTGCGCAGGAAGGAATCAATCTGTAAGTCGATTGTATTCAATTTCTCATACCCGTTTTTCAACAACTGCCCTTCAATAAGGGCACTGGTGGAACCTCGATTTTTGGATATCAAAGATTGGTCTTCGTTGACCATCTCCCCAACCACTGCAGACACCCTATTTCGTACAAACTCTTCGATAGTCGAGCTCTCCGAGGCACCGGTAGACCTAGACAAGATGGTTTTTTTCAGCTCGTCGAAATATCCTTTTCTCTTAAAATCATCAGCCAGCTTAGCTGCAGGATCAATATCGTTACGAGACATCAACAGCCGATGAACTAAATTCAGGCTGACTAAAATGTCAATCACTACTATGAAGTACCTTATTGAACGGCTACTTGAGGTGCCGTTTCAACATTAAATTTTGAATACTTGAATCGCGGTCTTAGTAGTTAATTAATTGAAAGTGTCGATTTCAAGTGCATTCAATTATCAAAACAATGATTACTACATTCGCAATAGAATAACTGGCAGCCGTTCAGAGATAAACTACGATCAATACGATACATTGCCAGAACTATGCATCTACGTTAATATATATGGGAGGGGATTTGGCCACTCCATTGCCGATTTCGAGGTGGTAGTCTGCGCGTCCTAAGAATGGATCTAGCCTGAACACACGTCCAAGCGGGAGCAGCAAGAATCGGCAAGTGCTGCGAACTTGAGCAGGCTCTCCACAATGTTATCCATGTTCGGGATTTATTTGCTGCGTCTGGAAATAAAGTTATATTACAAAAGGGCTTGGCACAATTCAGTTAACGCTACACCGCTCCAGCCAAGATGCGCGTAGCACCGTGTCTGTTGGACTTCTGAGTGCTCTTTGCTTCGATCGTATTGCACGCTTCAAATTTACTAAAATGCGAAGCTACGTACCGTGGAACGACTTATAACCACCCATGACCTTGCACAGCGGTGTTGGGACATTTATGCATGGTGATATAGGGGCTCCTCATTAGCTAGTCTGAAGGCGAACTCGTAATTGAGAGAGGCCGCTCATACCAAATTCTCGACTGAAAGAGCGGTGTTACAGGATGGACAGGAGCGACGATGATTCACATCAGCAGTACATGAGAGGTTTTCCCGATAGTATAAAGGCCACATTGAGGTGGCCGCTTAGATAGCATAAGATCCATGTTCAGCACCAGTTCGATTACCCATGTCGTGGTTAGTGCTTTTCGATAATATTCTTATTATGGACTGTATCAATTGACCGCTTCGCTGCTCATCGTCGAAAACTCGAGCATGCTTACGGGCAGCAAAGGAATCGTTGAATTCGCTTCTATTTCCTCGTCATTAGAAAAGGCGCTCGAGCAGCTGCTTGCTAAAAGTGCAAAGGATTGGCAGGGCCCTAATGACGAACTGCTGTCCACTGCGGATCGGTGTTTTTACTACGAACTCATAAAGGAATTGACACAGGCGAAGGTCCATATTCGTTCGACAGCGACACATGAAGAGAGCATCCATGATGTATCCCGGAAAAAAGCCAAACTATATCGTCTCTTAAGTCAGGAGGAGCTTGTTAACAAAATTTGGAACATTATTGCAAATCGCATTGACCAGTGTGCAGACGAGGCGATCTCCCACTTCATTGAAGAGCTGGCATTGGAAACTCATTTTGAAGCTGGCTTTGTGCGATTATGGCCTGCATGCTATCTTGGATCATTCGAGTACAAGAAGAGGGCCATGGCCGAAGCTTTCAATTGCTTGACCGAAAGCTTCCCCGTTGTTTTGGCTGGAGCTCCGGGCGTTAGTGATGTGTGCGAATTTGCCGACTACCGCTTGATTGAAGCGGGGATCGCAGTGATTGGCGACAGACTTCATTGGACCATAACCGAACTATTTAGATGCCTGAGGAGGTTGCTCTGTGAGAATTCGGATGAAATTATGTCAGATAAACATCGGGATCATTTCGAATGCCTAAAAACCTTTTTGCGCATAATGCAGAAGTGCCCCTTAGTGTTGCCGAGGGAACAAAGGGCATTATTAAAGAAACTATATTTTGATGACCTCAGGGCGACTCTTCTGCTCTCGGAAATTCCCGTCGACTACGAATACCTTTCAAAGGTGAAGTCTATTATTATAAGGGAGAAACAGGTAACTTCTTGCTGCATGTCGGACTACGATGTGCTCGAGGTCAAGCGACTGATTGTTGATAGATACATTCTTGGAGCGTCGCACCTGGGAAACATTGTGGCGACATATGCATTAACGACGGGTTACGAGCATGAGTTCAGTCTTTTAAAACTAGCTCATAAATCCGCAGACAAGTCTCAGGATCTTTATAGCTCACTGTCTTCTGAAGCGCTGGCGCAATTCAGAGCCTCTTTTCAAAAAACCCGTGATTTGGACAAAATTCTGGACTACTGTGGTTCATTATATGCTTTGAACGATCTTCAGTGTGAGGAAATGGTGAAAAACACTCTACGAACGATTTTCGATGGAGAGTTAAGAGTACTCGAGCCTTTGCTCAAGACCGTAGATTTAATGATAAAAAGATCTTATAGGCTGATAATGGAGAAAAAACTTGGTGCCATTGAAGAGATAGAGGCTAAAAAGAATAAAGTGAAAACAATTTGGCGGATTTTAAGGGCTTTCGATCTTGTAGAGCCCTTTCTCAAACTGTTTTACGAAAAGAGCCTGTTTCGTCGGATACTCTTGATGGGTCAGGACTACCTGAAGCACATGGATCATTCGTTCAATTTAGAGAAAGTTGTTTTGGATGAGTTAGAACTTTATGGGACACCAGGAAATTCTCTGCCGGAACTTTCAAGACTGCGACGTGACTTAGAACAATCGAAGTCCCTGCAGCAAGAATTTTGTGAAAAATCGACCAGTCTTGTAGAGTTTGTTCCTTTAGTTTTTGAAAGAAAAAATGTACCTATGAACTTTTTGGAGACTCCAAATCCCGATGTCAAGTTACCCCCAACACTGCAGCTGCTTTGGAACCGATTTCAATCTTTTTATCAGAAAAGTGACAACAAGTCTATCCTCAAGCCCTTAATTTTACAAAATGCCTTACACCATTTGGAGGTGCAAACGTTCTTTAAACTACCCGATGGCTCGCCACTGGTGCTTGAAGTGACTTTGCTGCAAGCGAGTCTCCTGGAAATCTTTAACTCTAAGGAGGAAGTTAACTTAGACTTGCTGATATCAACTCTCGATGTGACTGCTAATCAGGCCAAATTGACCATACAGTCTTTCCGAGACGTGGATTTGCTAAAGGAAACCGAAGGCACATTTTATATTAACAACGATTTCAAGCCGGACGTGCGGAAGTTGAAAAACGGACGTCTTAGAATAGTACATCGTATGGCCCACAGATCTATTAGCGATCAGACCTTTAGAATGGTGTCGAAGCAAGAAGATACAACTTGGCTGAGAGACCTTCTGCGCGCAAAGATTGTAGGCCTTCTGAAGCAGAATAAGGAGGGGATTACATTCGATGCACTTCGAAGATCTGTCGAAAAAAAAACTCCGGCTTCAGTAGGGGAGAATTTAGGACAGCTTTATCAGAATGTCAGGAATACTTTGATTTACGGAATGGGTTGTACTACTACAAGCTCTAATCAACAAAAAAAATATATATACTTATGTTACTTAGTCAGTCACGAACATTATTAACACATTCATACGCTACATTTCGAGTTCAATACAAGCATTAGAACGTCACTGACCTAGATCAAAAATGTGCTCAAGAGATTGAGCAACGTTTTGAAGCTACTCTGGCTCAAACGCCTGACTAGCTGCGCCCATCAAAGCTTCCATCGCTTGTATTTGATAATTGACATCATTAATATCAGTGTCATTGGGTGCCACTATTGTCGGGCCCCAAATAATACAGACGCTTTTCAAGTTCATTCTGTTCGAGGGCTCATGGTCCATTACTCGCATCAAGTGAAAGGTCAGAGCTCTTAAGGTCCAATATTGACTATCCGGTAGTTTATAAATTAGGCCATGCATGAAGTTTCTTCTTGTGACGGGTTCTTGAATTGAGAGACATGTCTTGATCTCAGAAGTCATGGAGGGAGGCAGTAGCGGTTCTGGCAAACTTGAGAAAAAGGTCTTTAGAAGAGATGCAGCCAAGTATATGTCAGATTCAGTATGATTTTTGGGAGGCACAATCATGGAGATGTTTGATGGATCATTGTCTATCTCGCCCTTTATCCTACCTACGTCCAAGACATTTGCCGATTTTCGATAAATGCCTTCCAAATCAAGACCATGCTTGTCAACCACGTAGATACACTGACGTACAACAGCGGGGACCATTTCTTGTTCATATTCCATCAAAGCTTCTAAAGAAATTCCAAATGTTTTGAAATTTCTGTTGATGCCAGGGGGCATGGCCAGGGATGACTGAATGTGCGATACGGGCCTCTCGCTGCCAGACGTTACCATGGATGTGGTGAGGCTTGTAGTGCGAGTTGCGTTTCCGGGATCCAATGTAGCAAAGTCCTTGCCTTCGTGTTCTGCCGAGCTGTCTTTGTTTTCCGCAGCTTCTAGCATCGATGAGATCGGCTTTTGCTGCAATGGGACCGGTGACGCGGAGCCTGCTCTAGGTACATTCGAAGGATATTGGCTAACAGGCACTGGTTGATGATTCTTTGTCACGGAGGCTGGTGAATCAGAGTTCGAGTTTGATGTTGAGTCGAATGGGGACTCATGCTGTGTTGAAACAATTCTCTTGGGGAGCGAATTTGCGGGAGGGTTGTACGTTTGAATATTTGATGTATTGAAGGACTTTTGAAGTGGTTTGTTGTAACCAGCCCTACCTTGAATAGGCTTGGCCATCGAGGGGTGCTGCTTGTATTCAACAGGTATGAGGTTTTTGTTCACAAAGTTGTTACTTCTTGAACCTTGATTGTACTTGTTCAAAAAATTGTAGATATCTTGGCTGTTAGACATGGAAACGGCTACTGACTTCATAGACTTCGAGGAATCAAAGGGTGTTACAGTTACGCCGCTGTTGAGTATCAGGGTTTCAGTCCAGATGGTATACTTTTGGAGCTGGATCGCTATGGCAGTGTCCATTTCTAAGACGAGATCCTTCAATTCGGACACAATCTTGGGTCTTTCTTTGTTCAAAAAGGTGTTACGAAGCGATGTAGAATGATCGACTTTCTGCTTGAAGTCCAGGTCTGCACCGTCGATCTTTCTCTGCAAGTCTTCCTCCTGTTCTCGCGTTGTCTTGGATCCTCTCAACGTGAGTTTAGTTTTCGTTGGGTCGGCCATCTTCAGTTTCTCCCAATCCTGGCACAGCGAATTATATCTGTTTTTGGCCTTCTCTGCCAAGTGAATAGCGTCCGCCACCTCTTTCTCGAGTCTGCGACTAGTCTCTTTCAGTCCCTTTCGCGTCTTCGTCATGGTGGCTAATAAGGCACCTAATTCGTCGCACATCTTCTGCAGGGCAATGACATAGCTGTGCTTTACCTGGGCGAGCTTGCCGTCGAAATCGAGCACCTGGTGTATGCTCCGCTGCAGAGACGAAGCAGGCGTGCTATCCTGAAAGAAATTCTTGTAAGTTTTGCCCAGTTCCTGGGCGTGGACATCTTCCAGGTACGACTTTTTACGCACAAACTTGGTTAGCTCTTCGCATGTGAGTAGTGACTGTTTGAGCCTAGACAGAAGGGCATTGATAGCAACGTCTGAGCTGAGGACCCGCGCAATTTCAGGCCGCAGCAAAATGTCATCGATTGGGATAGTCTTCTTGTCGTCGGTCGAAGTCTCTCCCGCTGTGTTAGGTGTGGTGTTAGCCAAGCCCACGCTGCTTGGTTCGGGTGAATTTCCCTGATTTTCCTCTACAGATCTTTCCGTACTAGACGAAACCCGAGATTCTGCCATGCAAATATAAGTCCCAAGAGTGACAGTCCTAGTGCCAAATCACTGATTGCACTCTGGCGGATGGTAGAGGCAGTCGAGGCTTTGAGCTTCCTTTAGTTGATTTCAGACAATGACCAATAACACCTATCACGTATACAGTGATGTAATTTCCATCAACGGCCCATTCGAGACAGGCTTTGGCATTGTGAGAGGATTTGGACACTGGTCTAGTATTATTGGCTTACGAAGCTCTCCGGGACTTTTATCACTGATGCCTCGAAAGTGTAGCATACTCAAGAATGTCATGAAAACAAAAATTTTCGGATATTGTGACTCGACATCTTGGCCAATGCAGTTCAGTGCTACGGCGTATCGTATCAGGACAGAACACCCTTGCCTATGCCTGCCTTAGCAGGCCCCGCTATAGCGATCAGAGAACATGCCTAAAGCCCTAGAGACCAGGTATTGAGATCACTAAACACGATATTGGAAAGTATATAAAGAGATGGAAAATTTGTATTGTATGCTGTTTAGCTTTCCTGAAAATGGCAGTGTTGCCCACACGGTCAGAGGCACGGCCCGGGCGGTGTTGAATGGCTGAAAGCTGGTCGTCGAATTGCTGTCTATAAGGTTTATGGACCGCAGATCGCGGCTTGTTAGGGCGATTTTACATTGCTTAGCGCTATTCTTGTAGTAGAAAGATTTGGTGAAAAACGGCACACCCCGCGATGTGGGAAAAGTCTCTTAACATGATGATAGTATACCGGTTAATGCATAGTTCAACTGACATTTTGATTGAAGATAAAAATTACCATTGATTTTAGTCTTTCGCTCCTATCTGACTAGAGACGTGCTGTTACTATTATGTAGGACGTAGTGGAATACAGTGGCGTGGGCCCCGACCTAGACCACACCTCAGCTCTGCAGAGGCTTCAGCGCATACAGCCGCACGGGATAGAGCTCTTTGGGCAGGCCCTTTTGTCTTTCGGTAGCGATCAGCTTGAGCCCGGCCTTTTCGAACAGAAGCTTGAACTTGTCGTCAGAGCGCGTCACGGACGAATCGGTGGCGTCGAAATCGTCCTCACCAGTCTGCGTATTGTTCTCCTTGACCACGATGGTTCCGTTCGGTTGTAGAGCCTTTTTGCAGCGCTCAAAAAACTGCACCAACTCAACGTCAGGCAAGTGACCTACACACCATTGGCACCATATCAACCAATATTTGCCTTCTTCAGGCACCCAATCTTGCATTCCCACAGCGTAAATCTGGCCCAAACGGCCCTCTTTCGCCAGCGGTGCTAGTTCTACCTCCATCTGATCCACAAATGGCTTGACCGGCTCCACCAAATCCACGACATCACAGTGCTTCTGTAGCATATCCCGCGTCACCCGACCGATACCTGCACCAATGTCGCAACCCACCTTCTTGTGATTGTCTGCAACGATCATCCTTGACTTCAGTTTTCTTAGAAAGTGGTTGGAACCCATCACGTCCATGGTAGGAACGATCGTGCCCTCACCATATCCGCCAAGAACCCCGTCCACCGTCGCTGGAACAGAGGTCCAGTAATCTACCGCGTCCTCGTAATTGATGTGAGCGTCAGGCTTATCCATACTTTGTGAATGATCCTCACTAACACGGCAGCGGTGTCCGGCGATGAGATGAGCATAATAATGTAAATGTGAGTTTTCGTAGGTTTTGAGGGAAACTCCCACGATACATACAGGTTCAACGGTGAACTCGGACAGAGAACAACCGTTGCTTCACAGACCGTTCAAAGAAGATTTTTGGCGATCACACTAGTGAACCTAATGGGCTAGCGACTTCGACATCCTCTATTAGACCAATGCCTCTTTTGCGCGCATAGCTCACACAAAAAAGGTACCGTGCAGATGGCAGAGAAAATGGTTGAGGTGGGCACGGGGACCTGTTCTGCCCAAATTAATTAGACGGTGGCCCTTACTGTTCAAACGCTGGCAATGCCCAATTTGACTGCATGCTGTGGTTGTCGAAGGTGACTGGTAGCAACTCACTATCATACCACAAAAACTTGTGGATCCATCTAGGTACTCTCCACCAGCCGTCACGCTTTTGAATTGGAACCTGGGCTTCCATATCTAACGTACAGCCCATGTTTTGAAATTCTTGTTGCTTAGGAGGTATATAGTAGTTTTGCAGCCGTAGTAGACTTTGCATGGTGTATTTCGAGAGTGTGAAGATTCTATCGTTGGAAACAGCTGAGAAATCTACTGTTAGCTCTCTTAATATTGTGTTGTATGTTTAGCTCGTTTGACGCTAGACATTTGGCATTTGACGCTTGGCCGAAAATGTTAAGGCATAGCTACTGGAGTCACGGCAGTACGCAAACTGAGTGTTAAGGACAGTTAGTGCCGAGTAGAACTCTACCGTAGCCCTAAATGGTTACTTTTCGGATGCACGACAGTGCGGTGTAGGCTTGTGATTTCGATTGAGTTGTGCTTCCAAGGCAGCACACGCTAATTTTGAGTGAAAACCACCACCATCGGTCTCACGTACTGATCCAGAGGTACCGGATGCAGAGCGGGCAGACCCCTGCTGAAGACCTTCGACTGTTGATTTCCACACTCTTGCATTCCTGCGCCAATCCCGGTAACATCGCAAAATCCACGCTGCAAGACCTTCCTTCAAAAGACTTTTATAGAGATACACATGTATGTATGTGGAGCTGGTGTGGTAGCTCAGGTGCCCATCGCCTGGGATGACCTAACCCATGCCTTATTTATCTCCCCATGCTTTTCAAAACCAACCACGACCACCATCTATTACCATAATGGCACCAGTTTCGCACCTTCTTGGGCATTATTTGCCCCAGCTGTACACCCAGTCGGCGGTACTGCGAACTTGCGCGTTCCACATATCTTTCATGGTTTCACTCAACGGCCTCACAACAACCTCTCTCGCCTTCTGTCCTGTTTGATGGACAATAATGTCGTCCCTACGATCCAATATTCCTTGGACGTGGTCAGATACTCGTTTCCATGATGAATTTTGGTAATGGTACCCGTTTCTATCCACTATATACATATAGGCAGCACCTCCAAGGACCGAACTAAGGCACGTAATCGATGCCAATTTCAATATCTTGCTCATAATGTGAGTTAAACCGAAGCAATGCGCACACTGTGACACCGCAGATGCTCTGCCAGCTTATATTTCAGAAGACCAACGAGTGTCACAACCAATTTGAGCTATCAAATTCATATATGATCATCACACACGACATAAGATCAACTGTCGACACTGGTGTGCTAAGCACCTCAGTGGTCCTTGCTCTATGTTACCATCGCATGTTATCTATAAAAAACTAAGGCTCGCTGTGCCAGGATGGGACTTTGACCAGCCTGGTTTTGCCGAAATCTTAATGATAAGATGCAAGGAACTACAAAATTTAGCCACGAGAGCTGGGAGTTGTATTCTTATGATCAGAGTCGATGTTCTTTACATCCATTGGCCATTCCTCCAGCCCGGAGCATGAACAGTTAGACCTATTTAGGCTCTTTTAGGTACACATTATCGGGCTGTACTCAGGATGAGTACTCTTCAAATATACTGTCAAATAAGATTCCGAGTACCTTGAAAAATTTGATATAACACTCCAACGTAAACACTTTATTCACCAACTGGAGTCTCCAAAAACCAACTCAATTAGACAAATGGCTGGCTGTAAGTGCTGCTTAATTTATATCGAGGGCAATTGATGTTTTGTACTAACATAATGTGCTATTAAAGTCCGTTTGATCGAGCTTGCAAAGCCATTTTTGCCGTTGCTTCCAGAAGTGGAATTACCCTATGAGAAAATCGGGTTCGATGATAAGGTCGTGTACACGATCATAGCCGCTCTCATCTACGTGTTCGGCCAGTTCCCACTGGTGGGGATGGCCAAGGCCCCTGTGGAAGAAGTGAGCTCTCCGGTGTTGGATCCGATTTACTTTTTGCGTGGGGCTTTCGCCGCGGAACCAAAAACGCTCTTGGAATTCGGAATCTTCCCAGTAGTGTCTTCTGCGTTGGTCATGCAGGTCTTGGCGGGGCTCAAACTTGTCAAGGTCAACTTCAAGGTGCGTCAGGATCGTGAGCTGTTCCAGAGTTGCACCAAACTGTTCTCGATTCTTCAATACTTTGTTCTTGCCAACGTCTTCATTTTTTCTGGCTACTATGGTTCTGACCTAACCGTGTTCCAAATCGCGTTGCTAAATGTGCAGCTGGTTCTGGCAGGTTTCTTTGTGACCCTTCTAGTGGAGGTTATCGACAAAGGGTATGGTTTTACCTCCGGCTCTATGGCCATCACCGCTGTGACTATCGCCACTAACTTCGTGGGCGACGTCTTTGGTGTTAACCAGCTTCCAGTCGACAGCGAGGGCCACACTGAAGCCCAGGGTGCTGTCATCAATTTGTTGCAATCCATGCGGTCTTCTCACAAGTCGTTTCTTGGCGGCATTGTGGGAGCGTTCAACCGTGATTACTTGCCAAACTTGACGACTACCCTTTTGGTTGTTGTCTTGGCTGCCGCAGTGTGTCTTCTCAACAATTTCCGCGTCGAGCTAGCCATCAGATCCACCAGAACTCGTGGTGTTAACAATGTTTACCCCATCCGTCTCCTCTACATTGGTGGCTTGTCTGTTTTGTTTTCGTATGTCATTTTGTTCTACATTCACATTGCTGCCTTTGTGTTGGTTCAACTCGTCGCTGGTAACGATCCCTCTTCCGTCATTTACAAGATTGTCGGCGGGTATGCTTCCTCCAACAATCTGTTGTATGTCCCACAATTCCCATTGTCTCTATTGACTCCTCCCAAGTCTGTCTGGGACTGTGTCACAAGACAGCCATTGACACCAATGACTTTCACGACTTTCTTGGTCCTCACTGGTGCTTGGTTTGCCAACCTATGGCAACGCATCAGCGGTTCCTCAGCCCGTGACATTAGTGCTCAATTCAAAGAACAAGGTATCACTTTGACTGGACACAGGGAGCAAGGCATTTCTAAGGAATTGGAAAAGATCGTTCCAGTCGCTTCCACCACAGGTGCCGCTGTTTTGGCTGTTCTTGTGGCCGTTGGTGAGCTCCTGGGCTTGAAGGGCAAAGGTGCTAGCATCATTTTGGGTGTCAGCTGTGGTTTCTCCCTACTGGAGCTCATCACCGTGGAATACCAACAAAGCGGTGGCCAGAGTGCCTTAACCCAAGTGTTGGGCGTTTCTGGTGCTTAGAAGTTTTCATGTGAAAGCACAATACAGTACTCATGACGATGGGGCCCCTTTCACGATTCTTATTGACCAAATAATTTTTGTACAAAGCGTTAAATAAAGAAGCTCTTGCAAAGCTTAACCTTACAGGACATCAAACGACAGCCCTGAGCTGATATGCATAGACCGAATCAACGTCGGACTGGCAGTAGGTAGAGTTTTTGATCTAAAAGTCATTGAATGCTGTTCTAGCGTTTATATGCAAAAATTTGAAAGCTATGTACATGTTGTCTTTAGTGTGTTTACCCCCTTTCCACATAGCACTGTACGTCCGAAGCTTCGCTCTGTACTTTCCCATATTTAACATAGTCCCGAAGCTTCCGGAAATAGAGCTGCGTGTCCAAAGCACCCTTCTGGAAGCCTTGGAAAGTGTGTCTTAGCTCCGGTAGCCTGTGGCTGACAAGAGGTTTGAGTTCAGAATTGTAATTCTTAGGGGTCACAAATGTACGCACTTTTCTCCACTGAATTGTGTAGCCACCATATCTTGTGTGCTTACCGATACCAGAGGAACGGGTACCTTTGTACATGGTTTTGTTTCCTTGTTTAGTGGTCAGAGGGGTCCGCCTGTTACCAGATTTTGAAACACCGTAAAAGAGCGTCCCATCGCGATTTTTTTTCCAAGGCCTTGTCAAAAGGCTTACAGGAGACTCATGAAAAAAGGTGCTTAGTGTTGGTCTCATTTCAGCAGGTTTTGTATGCGAGTCCCAAAACTAGATTTCTGTGATTCCATCGTAACATTATGTATGTTAAGGTGATCCATGTTAGTATAAAATTTTCAAATAAATTGATATCATTGAAGTACTTCACTGACACTGCTCACAAAGCGTTAACGAACGTCAGTTGAGAAACCAGTAAACTCACCGTTTTGGAGTGGCCATATGTTCTATATGATGTCATCTTGATTAATTGTTCGAAGTATAGCTTCATATTTACATTGCTTGTATTTAATGCAGATGTTGCGGCTTTCTAAAATGCCGTTCTATTAGACATAGTGATTGAGCCTCCACAGTCTAACCTTTCCCTGTTCATTTCCAGCCGCAAGCATTTCACCACGGGGAGAAAATGCTACACTTGTAACTTTACCGAGAGGGGTACCGCTTGTTGGCCAATTTGAAAAGACTTTACCCGATGGTAAATGCACCAATCTCAGAGAGTCCTTGGTTGCTCGCGAGGCCATGCATAAAATTTGACCATCTGGGGAAAATGCCAAAGATGACACGGGCGTTGTTAATTGGTCTAATTTAGCAACGGGCTCGGGAGTGTTGGAGAATCGATCGTACACATGCACATAGCCACTTTCACTGCCGATCGCTAGCCACCTATTGCGTCTAACCTTTTTTAACGGCAGGAGCTGTGTGCTGTTATTACCACCACCCACTTGGATGGTCGTGATACCAACGTTACCCTCATCCCTCCAACGACGCATCACCTCACCTTGCCTAGCCAAATCAAACTCCCAAATCTCACCATATGTGTTGACCATGAGTAGAACAGTTTGGAAGCGATTGTTAGAGATTGGTTTGTAATCAACACAAAAATCCGCCAACACACCTTCGATTTTACAGCCCGTCATCCATACGCCCGAGGTTGCATTCAAAACATTCACCCACCCATTGTTACCTTGCAGCAGAACTATACCATGAGTCTGACCCTGTTGGTCGCAAAAATGAGCCATTTTAAAACTCTCAAAGGAGCGCTGAGTTTCCTCGTGTCCGTACATCCTTGAAATTTTCTCTATCTTTGATTGCTGACTAGCCCCAGTGGATGAAATATCCCAAGAGTGCATGTAGCGGCGTCTACCCGCAGTGAAGATTTTCTGTTCTTTATGCGAGGGCGACACATAGATTGCACATGTCTGAACTGGTGTTCCCGTTAGGTACAAACTTGTGACTAGATGATTGTTCTTTCCATCTATGTGATAGATGCGTAGTGTTCTATCGTAACCACCCGTCAGCAGCAAGGGTTTAGAAGGATGGAATGAGAGCGATTGAATGGCTGCACGAGAGGGATGTGCAGCATTTGCATCTTTCAAACGTATGATATCCAGACTTTTGGGAGGGAGCAAACGGCTCGAAGTGTCGTGGTAAGTGTACGTACTCTGCAAAATTTTGGAAAGGGCGCTCAAATCTCCGTTGACAACCTGTTCGAGGCCCTCATCGCTGCCAGAGTCATTTTCGTCGGAAACTTCGCTCGCATCCGGCGAGTCGACCCACTTGGGTCTGGGATATATCTTCTCATACTGTGCTCTCAGCCTCAACACATAGTCTCTACCCTTTATGCGGCCCTCTGTGTAGGATGTCCGCAGCTTTTTGGTCCTATTTGTCATTGGAACGGCAACCTCAACACGTTCATCATCCGAGTCCGACCATGCGTTGTCCTCTGCACTTTCGTCTTCGCTAGAATACTGCTCATCTTCACTATTCCCTTCATCTTGGCTTGCGTCGTCCAGAGACATCTGGTCTTTTGACTTATCATCTGCCCCGTCATCCACGAAAAAAAGCTGATCGTCATTCATGCGATCCATGTTGTCGTGAGCCTGCTCGTCCTCATCCTCTAACTCACTATCGGCCTCTATCATTTCGATGTGCTCATCGTCAGCCGCCTCTGGGCCCAAGAAGTGCAATTGTGCCAAACTTTCATGAAAATCAGCAGTATCTCCAAATACCAGCTTGCTCAGTAAAAGTTCCTCCTCATCCGGAGGTGGAGCAGTATATGTTCCATTCTCAACAGTGCTCATTTGACCTCCTTCAGCTTCCACTTGAATGTGCGATGAGATGCGATGAGTTTAAAATTTTCTAGCTCTTGAAATTTAAAATCATATTAATATGTATATTATTTACAAACTCAACGATAGAGAAAGCTCACGCGGGAGTGAGTAAATTTATATAAGCAGACCCTGAAGTCTCTTGATTGTTGAAATGTTTTCTATCTTGCTGTTATTGGTATTTTACAGATTGGGACCCCTCTGATATTCTTTCAGCGATACTTGTAAAAACTACGGCTCAAATAGCCGCGAATGGGCTTTAGTTGTATTATAACTCTCTATACCGGGAAGCTGTCAAGCTTAGCTCAAGAACCTGGCTCAAGAAGCTTTTAGATGGTAAGTCAAGCCGAGAAAAGTCATGCGGAAGTAGATTCTGATCGAATTTTGAACCGCATGTTATTATGATAGTTCATTGCTGGCGAACAAACCAACTTGGATGGCTCGAGGTTGGCGACGCTGGTACACAAGAGAGTTTAATGGCTGTTAAAGAAAATATGGAATCGAGTCTGAGATTAATCGCGCTCGACAATCTTTGTGGCCCAACCAAAAACTGCACCCCCAAGACACACGCCACACAATGGAAGCCAGCTATTCACGATATCAAACAGAAGATAAGAAATATCGAGCAAAGTACCTGTTTCACTATACTAACGCTGATTAGAGCCTGCCGGTGACCTGTTGTGTTTACCTTTTTGGACAGAGGTGCTACCATGGGGATGACCACCTATCTCAGTAACATAGTAAAACAACGCCATTCTAAGATCAAAACACTAAATGGGTGCATATTTGCCGAAGAGCTAATAGAAGACGCCCTTTAGATAGGAATTACGTTCGATGGGATGATGTTGTAACATGATAATAAGTTAACTCATGTCAAAGATGGCACCTATCGAAAACAGTCATACCCCTGCCACCTTAAGAAAAAAGGGCACGCAACAGATCTAGCCAAGCTGCGGTGCTTTACTGCCTCCAGGCGGCATTTCACTTCTTCCCAATGGTTTACATTTTTTTAAATTTTAGGTCCGATGACAACTTGAACTATGAAAATCATACATTGTGCGGAGATTAACTATAAAGTCCCGTCAAAATACATCAACAAGGCAAACTTATCTGGCAGTCCTCAAGATAGCGGTAAAATACCCAGTTTTCTTACATCTGCTAAGGAGTTTGAGAATGCCTCCTTCTATCCACAAATGGAATCATCCATACGCCATCTTATCAACCGTGGCTTTTCCTCACAAGAATATACTATTTGCCGGAACCCATGACTCCAAAATTCTTTGTCTCGACCTTTCGACGTACAATCTGGTCAAAACTATTCGCCTCGGGGATGAAGAAGGAACTCATACAAAATCTAGCGTGTTATGCGTGACGAAGTCGCAGGACGAATGCTACCTTTTCACCGCGGGTGCAGATTCGTTAGTGAGAATCTGGTCGGTAGACCAATTAACTCCCAGTGGAGACATCGGGGTCGTGGAAGTGGCAACAATGTACTCACTGATGGACATTGGTGACATATTTTCTCTAAGGTATTTGGACAAGAGCCAGACTGTTGTGCTCGGATGTCAAAACGCTAATATGCTGTACATGTCCGGAATTTTGGATCGCCTAAGTCAAGAAGCTCAAAGCCAAGATCTCAATCGTTTGCCACATCGCCGGTACGATCGCTTTTTCGACTCTACGGGTCCTGGAAGTCAGGCAAGTTCGTTGAATCAGCCGATAGAGCACACTCGGACTTCTGTCAATCACACAATCATGGAGATACCGTTGAACAACATCATTATCTATGCTCATAATAGCTTTATTTATTGCATTGACCTACTACCCACAGATGAAGGAAAGCTACCAAGTAACTTTTACCCCGAGGACCCATGCGCCAAGGACACCGAGTTCATTGTCTCAAGCGGGGGGGACGGCATAAGTAAAGTTTGGGCTTTTTCTAAGAGAACTGAAAATACTATTGATGTTAACTTAATTGCTCAAATGGATAATGAAGGAAGTGTGCTGTGCCAGGTCGTCGAATTCCCATTCCTCTACTGCGGTCTCAATGATGGCTACGTGAAGATATGGGATTTAAACTTGAAGGAGTTAGTTTCCGTCCTCCGGGCTCCAAGTGGATATGACATAGTATCCGTGACTGTACACGAGGATCATATACTAGCGGCAAGCCAGGAGGGTATCACTGAATTTTACAAGAATGAGGTAAATGAGTGGGACATTGAGCACGGGCTTATTTTGAGCACTGAGCTTTTACACAAAGAACATAATGGCTACTCCCATTTGAGGCTTGTCACTGGTGCCAAATGCGGGTGTCTATCATTATGGAATATTAATGAACTTGGGTGCCAAGGACTAAATAACGAAACGGCCCCGCAAGAAGCTCAAGACCAATCCGCTTTGATCTCGAAATTGTGGCCGAACCGTCAACCTCTTCTTGACAATGACAGTATGCTTGAAACATTAAGAGAGTTGGTAAATTTCAAAACTGTATCTGCATCATCGGAAAATCAGTACATCATTGATTCTCGTCGATGTGCTTCATATTTACAGCAATGTTTCACTAAATTAGGTGCTGTCTGTGAATTACTGCCCATCTCAGGTAACAATAATCCACTGGTACACGCTAGGTTCAACGGTTCTTCTAGCGCAAAGTCGAAAATTGTTTGGTATGGCCACTACGACATCATAACTGCAGGTGACGCCAGTAAATGGGAAACTGACCCTTACACTCTGACTTGCGAAAACGGTTACCTTAAAGGTAGAGGCGTCACAGACAATAAGGGCCCTTTGGTTGCAGCAATGTATAGTGTGGGCTCTTTGTTCCTGGAGGGCGCTCTCGAAAACGATGTTATTTTTTTGGTCGAGGGGCAAGAAGAGTCTAATTCACAGGGGTTCGTAGAAGCTATCAAACAGCATCGCAGCTTAATAGGTGACAACGTGGACTGGATTCTGTTTAGCAATTCGTACTGGATTGATGAAAAGATTCCCTGTCTCAACTACGGCTTGCGTGGTGTGATAAACTCGCGTGTTACCTGCTGGAGCGATGCTCCTGATAGACATTCAGGTCTTGATGGGGGTGTTGATAGGGAACCTACCACGGATCTTGTACGTGTACTTTCAGCACTACAAGATGATGAGGGTAATGTTGTGATTCCCGGCTTTTATTCGTCCGTAAAGGAACCGGACACTGAGGAAAAGGAACATTTTAACGAAGTTTTGAAGCGGGCCGACACCTGTAAGTCACTGCCGCTTGAAAAGCTTCTCGCTAAATGGATAAAGCCTTCTTTATCTGTGACAAATGTTAAGGTGAGTGGTCCTGGCAATGCCACGGTAATACCGCATAGCGCTTCTGCCACCATCTCCATTAGAATTGTCCCAGATCAAGATGTTAAGGAAGTGCAAGTGTCTTTGGAACGCTTTCTCGTAGAAAAGTTTGGAAAATTGAAAACATCAAACCATTTAAAGTTTGAATTACTTAATGACGCTGAGCCATGGCTCGGAGATCCTAAAAACACAGCCTATAAAATCTTTGCTGAAGAAGTTCAAAGGGCATGGGGTGTTGATCCGCTATTGGTTAGAGAAGGCGGCTCTATACCCCAAGTTCGTTTCTTAGAACGCGCTTTGAGCGCACCGGCCGTACAGATCCCATGTGGCCAAAGCTCTGATAATGCGCACTTAGACAATGAAAGACTGCGAATTGAAAATTGGTACAAAATGCGTGAAATAATGAAGCAAGCTCTGAATAGGTTATAAGTTCCATTTGAGTATTAAAAATTACACTTCACAACAAGGTCTTCAAGGAGCGGGAGGGGCCCATTTCGCAGGTACAGTTTTGGGCTCTAAAAGCAGACGTGAAAATCATATGTACATCATAATCTGTGTGGGACAACCCGTGGTTTTTTGGTTTGAAGGTCCAAGGTCCTGCCTAGATTTCGCTTTCCTGCCGTTAAGCTAAGGTAAAGTAGCATCACTCCGCACGCAAATATGCTCCCCGGTTTTTAAAGTTGATGAAGGGCCAACGTGAATGGAAGAACCCAACGTGAGCCTAAAACACTGATGTTTCCATTAGCCAGCTCCTCTTGTGATCATCCCACGAGTCATGCCATCGAAATAGGGCTCCCGCCTGATATCGTCGAGGCCACCCTACCCTATTTATCAACAAGTGACATCAAAAGCTTATCCATGACCAACAAATATTTCTACAAGCTGCTCGATTTTAAGGCATCAGATACTCTTTGGCATGAGCTGTTTAGAAAGTCGTTTGGGTCTCTTCATTCCAATGTCGAGCCTTTGGAATCAAAGACGAATTCGCATTATATGAGTTGTTGCGAACTGATTCTTCGGACGCGCTTCCCCGATGAGTCATGGGGTCGCTTGTATCAGCTTAGGGCACTAGATGCTAAGCTTTACACATGGGGATCGCTGAAGCATGCAAGGTTGGGGTTTACTGCTGCATCTAACCTCTCAGTGTCGCCAGGTGCCATAAACAATGCGGGGATGAGACTACAGTTTGGCATTAATTCTCCAGTTCCGGTTCCTTGGGATGCTGGCTCTCACGCCCCAACCTTAGAAGATGAAAGCATCGCTTGCGTCTCCGCTGGTGGCTTCTCCTTTCAAATTTTGACCAAATCCGGAAAACTTTACTATACAGGCTCAACTTACTCGGGAGGCCATCGCGGACCAGGACCAGTAGAAGGGGCGCATGATTATAATCTTTTTCAGCAAATGATAACACACACTGAACAGAGCCTTACAATATTCAACGGAAGAACTCCGAGACATGGGGGGCTTGTTCCGATCAACACTACTAGCAGAATGCCGCTGGAAAGGCCACATGAGGATATCTACGCTCGATTCGAGGACTTGGAAGAATCTTTAGACCAGAGACTTGGTGGAAACAAACATATAAGACGTTTATTCACCAACGACGTGCTGAAAAGGGATACTGGGAATCCAAACACCCTTTCGGTTGATACTAAGACGATGGATAATGTAAGAATTCAGTCAATCTCGTCTGGCAGGTCGCATATTTTAGCATTGAGCACGGATGGTGACATTTATTCATGGGATGGTCCAGAGGTTGAACGAGGGGTCAAGCTTGTCTTTGATGGCCTACCCCATAAGTTTTCAAACCCGATTTTGAAGATAGGCTCCGGATGGAATTACAACTGTGTGTCCATTTATAACATAGGACTGGTAGTTTGGAGCAGTAGGTGTGCTCTCCAAGAAAACGACACTGAAGCTAAAGCGAACTACAAAGTCATTCATGGCACTCATGAAATATGTGGTGATGAAAAAGTAGTAGATTTTGCATGTTGTGCCAATATGTGCGTATTCTTCATCACAGCAAAAGGCGATCAACTCTGGTTGTATTCAAACGAGGAGGTGCATAAAGTTGGACTACCCTTCCCAGATAAGTTGGTGAAATTAGTTGGATGCTACACCATGTTAGCAATTTTCACGACTTCTGCATGTTATACTGTAAATGTTGTTGACGGAAGAGTGGAAGAGACATCTCTTGTAAAGTTAGAACTGGAAAACGAGGATGATATGTTTGTATCCCTTGCAACCGGAGACTACCATACCGTTGCTCTAACGTCTCGAGGTAAAATATACACCTGGGGGCTTGAAAGCGAACTTTGCGGATGCTTGGGTCTGGGAAGTCGGGATCAAATGGTAAATGAGCGACGTGTCGGTAGAATAGAAAACCTAAGAAGCACGCGCGTCATAAAGCCCTCACTGGTAAACGTTGACAATAGAGATTATGTTTGCCTGGCGGTTGCTGCTGGTGGTTGGCAAACCGGTGCGTTAATTTTAGAGTAGATAAACTCAGATTAGACGCATGAATGTGTTACTATTGCATTATCCAATCGTACTTAGGATTTAAATAAGACCAAGATTTTTAGCATGGAATTGAGCATGCTGTGGCACAAAACTACTCACAAAAAAGTACGAGTGATCGAAGCCTTCGACCAGCTCGAGGTCAATTTTACCCTCCCAGCTGGTGCCCTTTACGGATTCCAACAGTAGTTCAGGTTTGAGTTGGTCCCTATAAAAGGGATCACTTGTGCCCTGATGAATCAAAATTCTGTCAGTTCCATTGTTCTGAACCTTTTGAATCAAAGAAGCAGGATCGTACTGTTCCCATGCTGCAGCATCGCTACCGAGATATCCACCAAACGCCTTCTCTCCCCAAGGTACCTTCGAAGGGTTTACGATAGGTGCGAATGCCGAGCAAGACTTGTACTTTTTGCTGGAATAGTGCTTCAAAAAACCTGCTATGGCTCCGAAACCGCCCATAGAATGACCAGTGATAGCAATGTTATCTAGGAAATCCAAGGAGGGGTTTTTGAAGAATTGATCTAAAACAGTAGGCAGCTCGTCGTGGATATAGCTGAACATCTGATAATTCTTTGCGTATGGTTGCTGGGTAGCATTGACATAGAAACCGGCCCCAAGGCCGAAGTCCCAGCCGTTAGCGGGATCGCCAGGAACATCTTCGCCGCGAGGTGAAGTGTCGGGGAAAACCATCGCAAACCCAAAACGATCGGCCTGTAGCTGCCAGAAAGCCTTTTCAGAAACATTCTGCGGAGTACAGCTCAGACCAGACAAATAGTAAATGACTGGGATTTTGTCGCTCTGCTTATGGTAGAATTGCTGGGGCAAATACACATTTACGTTCATTGATGTCCCAGTTTTACTGGAGTCATGGCTCAACTTCAAAAGCTTACCGCCACAACAATGGATTTCTGACTCAACTTTAAAGCTCATATCGGTACTTACTGGGGCAAAATCAATGAAGTATATAATATTATACAAAGCAGAGCTTTACAGGGGAACAACTAGTCACATATTCAACATGAACCGTTGCACATTTCACGAGTACTTTCCGACACACTTCACGAGTACTATCCGAATAACCATCAAGTCTTTGGGCAAGCACACAGCTAAGGTGCGTGAGCCTAATGAGGCCGTTTAGGATCATCACTGACCTACTAAGCGACAGGGGCTGTTCCAGATGCCGTAGAGGCTTCACGAGAATCGTCTTGCTTGGCTTCCGAGTCTAGCCCACTTTCTGGAACGAATGATTTCAGCTCGCCATCTTGCTGGATTTCATCCCCCTTCTCCAACAGATTACTTTCTCTGTTTTGACTCTCTTGGTTCGTTTCCTCATCTTCTTCTTCTTCGATGTTGGGGAAATCTATAGGGTCGAATTTCATTCTGATACTGTCTCTAAAGCGAGTTTCTTGTGTTGTTGGATTCCTGATTTTTATGTTGATCTGGTCCAAATTGTTCTCACGCACCAAGGGTTTGATGACATCGTTGATGCGCCGCCTCCGCAACTCGATCCTGGACCGTATAGGAGTATAGTAAATGGCCTTCTTCTCATTGTTAAAACGCAAAGCCAGTTCGCTGAAAAGATCCGTGCCTTCAGGCTGTTGGTGTTTCATGTCGAAATCTCTTAAGCGCTTGAACTCGTAAGCTTTATCGTCGTCAACAATCTCATCAATTTGCTGCTCCAAGTTGTTCTCATAAGCGGTCGAACTAGACTTATCAGTAGTGTACAGTGACACCCATTCGTCTTCCTCCAGTTCGACGGGTCTGAATAAGGCAGTCGACATCGCCAACTGCTCTTTTTCCTTATTGTCCAAAGCGGCAGACCCAATGAAACGTACCGTAAAAAACGTTTGGTCCATGGCAGCAGTATCCGGCAGCAAATCCCATGTCCTAACGGCTTGTAAGTTTTTCCGCGATGGGTGTTTAATTTTGGAGAGGTCGTCCGTTATGGGATCAAAAGTGTTCTCTATCCGCTTGACGCGCTGTGAAGGCTCTAAAACTTCGTCATCAACATCTAACGCCTCTGCTGCCACTCTCTTTTTGGTAGATGGCTTGGCCGTTTGGGAACTTGAGACATACTCGGTTCTTCTCAAAAAGGTCACCTTGGACATGTCCGTTTTCGTTAGTATATCAACCCTTGGGTCTCTCAGCAGAACTCTGTCATCTGGATGAAGCTTGATATTATCAAATCCGTGCAGAAGCTTAGTGTCTTTGTGATCTAGTAACCCAGGAAGCTCCATAAGGTCCATAGGCATGCCCAAATCATCATTCAGCTTGACTAGTGGCGTTACATTTGTTTTGGTGTACAACGACGTAATAAGTTTACCTGAGTTCACGGCCTCGCTTGGTGAGTATCGATAGTTAAGCAGCTTTGGGGGGAGCAAAGGAGGGGGTAAGTCATTTCTATACCGTATTTTTGCAATATATTCCTGCTTCTTCGACATGTCGCAATGGCTCGCAAAAAGGTTCAACGAAGCTTGTCCGCCATTTAAGACTGGGTAAATGTCGTTTCCTCATGATGATAATATATGAAAAGTGTTGATAGCACTATGAACGAAGGAACATAACTGCGCAAGTTTGAGAACTTGACAAAATTTGGAACTGCTTCTCAAAAGCCTCTTTGTACAACACAGCTTTCCGTATTGTTGCAGAAAAATATACATCTTGGTTTAATATATTTTCTGTAGGGAGTTCCAAGCTCTCCCTTCCGCATACACACTTTTTTGATCATTACAAGTTATACACCATAGTAAATGTCTTCTCAAGAAAAAAAAAAACGTTAAGAACTAAAATCCATTATTCATCAATCATGTTTTTGACCAGAATGACGCTACGCCAAAGTCGGTCTCTGTAGCCCGAGAACTGGTCACTTGTGCCAAAACCAACCGTCCTTGGGGTGATCGGCACCGTCGTATGCGTCGGCATCATGAACATAGCTACTAGGAATCATTTTTTCATACGAATCAAAATGCTTTTGGCCGTCGGGGCCCGTGCCTTGCTTGTCATACCGGAGTTTAGAGGAACCGTCGTTGAAAAACGTCTTGGTCTCTTTTACCTTTTCCAAGCCGTCTGGTGTACTATTGTAAGTGACATACGTGGACGTTCCAACCACTGACTTACCTGTAGTGTGGTCCATCAAGTCCTCGGGCGTGTTCCACAAGCCTTGGGAACTCTCTTCGTGGCTAGCACTGGGGACCAACGAAGCTCGGCGTTTCTCCACCTGTTTCACAATATTGGCGCGCCACATCAAGTATGCGGAGTATTCGGTGAAAAACAATCCTAGACTGTGGTTTTTGTCCCGTTCGACCCTTTCCCGCGTCAGAACATTTTTGAGTTGTTCTGGGGACATCCTTGCTCTCACTATGTTTTCAGGAAAAAGGCAACGCCACCACCCACGCGAATCCCATACAGATAGGCCCTTCAGCTCGTGACATTCCATGAATTGTTTGTCGGAGGGCGTTCTGTAGCCGTACAGGCCAGTGACACCTTCCTGCGTGGTGCTATCCTCCATGAGTCTCAAAATACGAGTTGGATGGCCAAAGCCTCCGGGAAAGCCCAAACCTCCTAATAAATCGCCCATACTACCACTAGCATTCATCCACAAATCAGATATCGGACTCTCAACGTGATTAACGGCTTCCTTCCATATGGAAGATATAGAATCGCCCATCGAAAGGAAGCTATCGTTCAAGCGCTCTGTCAACGACGAAGACACCAGATCGTCATTGTATTTCTCGAGTTCCTTGTTATCGTCACCAGTAAATATACCCATCCTAGCTAGTTCTCTGTTCCGTTCTACACAGCACTGGCGTTGGCTGGGAGGGTGCTACTTTGGCTATGAGAATAATCTATATTACACAATTTCGTGGAGAAGTACATGCTAAGGGCGAGAGCGGGACATCACTGAGCCAAACCGCGAGAAACGGCTGACGGTAGTTCAGGCTCGTCGGGATTTTCCGCTTTGTCTTTTAGCAAAGCTCTGCGGTTTTACCTTAGCTGAATTGATTTGGGAGTGGCTTCTGAAAAGGTAGGGAAACTGCCTCATGCCAACCGATTTCGTGGACCGATAAAGGCTTATTCCTCTGCATCGGTCTCTATAGCTTCGACGCCTACTTCAGCAGTATCTTCGCCATCGGGTTCAGGTTCGTTTTCCGACTCTGGCTCTGGTTCAGGTTCAGACTCAGGCTCTGGTTTAAGATCAATTTCTGCGTTGCTTCTTAATTGCAGCCTCTCGTGTTCCGGAAGATCTTCCCAGCCTTGCTGATCGCCGTCGTAATCCGGCGCAACTGCTGCGTCAGCCAAATCATCCTCTGGCGCATCTCCGTCGTCTACCTCAGTGGCCTCCTCACGAGCTCTGAACGGGAGCATACTTTGACCAGGTGCAACAGCTGTATACCTCACTCTGTTTTCCCGCGTCAAGGTCACTAAATTTTGGGTTTCCGGAATGACATCCGAAAGGAATTCGAATCGATCCGAACTGGATACCACCGCAGCTATGTTGTCGTAGCGTAGGGACAGCCTCGAGCCACTAGGCTTCTCCAGTTGTGACCTTGCCAAGCCTTCCTCGGTTAGCACCTGCACAAACAGCTCGGTAGCGAAAGCCACAGCTGCGACAGCGGATTGCGAGGTAATGGTATAGTCCGGATCGACTTTGGCAATGCGTTTAACTTTGGATAGTGGAAGTTTCGGAGCGGCTTTTTTGAGCGCTTCAGCGCTTGTACCATTGTCCATTATAGTCAAAGATCACCTGCTAAGCGTCTAGTTCACTATCTGTCCCCCGGGATTAGAACTCTTTTTGATGATCGTGTTTTCAAGAGACACTAATAACAAGCTTAAATAACTAGCTGCTAGTAAATAGATAAACGAAAAGATCACTTTCAATAGTCAAGAGAGAGTGCAAGATACCAAAAGACTCTTTGGAGAGTTCTTTACCGATATAGATATTTTGATAGGGTTGAAAGTGTAAACTGAAATCGTGCCGGGATGTTCATAAAATCTTAAACTCGTCCCGTTAAACATTCCATTTTTGCAGATGCCTGATACCAGAGGGCGTGCGTCCATTAACAGGAGGCTTAAACCAATGGAACATATAGTCCGCATTCTTAAATCATCAGTGTTAGCTACCGCTTGTTCATGCTGCTCATAAAACCAAAGAAAAACCTTACGAGATCGTGAAGCTTCCAGTACCAGAGTTGCGATGTTAGAATTAGCACCTCCAATGCTCCTTGAGGCTGAGGTATCACTAGGCCTAATAACACAGAAGGGGATCTCTCAACCGTTTGTTATTGCAGATCACTATGTACTGTGGTGACATTCAAAACACTATGAAGCTTACCCACATAAAACGAATTTCGACAGCAAAGGTTACTGTTCTTACACCGTATAGCATATGTACAGAGGTGGTCTCGTATCCAATGGTCTATACAGAAAGTAACTATCGTATGTTGTAAGAGGTTGGGAATACGGTGATTAATCCACACAGTGGGCGGTTTAAATACTCAAAAAAATGAGTAGACATTCAACAAGCCCTATATTGTACGTGGGATCTAAGTGGAGTGGTGCGAACCCGAGGATTTATCCAAAACCATCGTTCGTGTTAACAGTAGATGCCATGCCCATCAATATATGGGATCACTGGGCACGAGTATCCTTGATAAATAGCGATGCTCATCGTTGAATGGCTGTTATAAGGATCAGTAGATCCAATCCAGCTGGGGTCCATTAGAGCCTTGATATGAGCTCGCCAATGTATTCTTACTTGCCGTTGGAAGTCCACGGTCTTGATCAAAACCCCAAAAGGCGGCACAAAAGCACTAGTGAAGAAGGATCGGGTTGCAGCACGAATACACCATTGGCCTCGGTGGGGCATATGGTTTCCGATCGTATTGGTTTAGTGTCCCATAATAAAATGCAAGCGCTTTTAGCAGAACACGCCAACCAAAAGCTTCCTTATTGCGATGAAGTTTTCCCATGGCTACACGGATATTCGGGTTCACGAGAACCACCACGAGGCTTAAAATGGACAGCGGTGATCCGTTCTCAACCACTCTCTCATGGCATGATTGAAAATTCTGGTCTTTTGAAATCGTCATTAGATCCACACGAGTTCTTAATACCGTGGGATCATCGAAAACATTGTATCGAATCAATAATCCAGGACATGATGAAAAGTGTTTCGTTGACCTCGGAAGAACATAGATTAGTATTGCGCGCTTGCAAGTACTACAAGCTCTTGCCTTTCTTAGTGACGGATGCAGGTGCTCAGAAGCTTTACGGTGCAGGCGCCGCAAAACACCGAGTATGCAGTTCGTCAACATCCTCTGACCCCCCGTCGTCAGCCGGATGGCGACAACCGGGGATGTTCCGCAGGTTTGATTTACAGGTTGCAAAATTCATTGAATTAAGCCAAATGTGCGTGATTTACTGCTTGAGCGAGTCCAGGCACTGGGAACACTGTCATTGCCAAGACCTCGCTCTGCTGTTATATGTGGCTCGCAGAAATGTGGACTTAGTGGGGACTTTCAAAATCAATATTCTCGATACTTTAGAGATTGATCCTGAGTGGTGGGGAACGCCACCTATGAATGTTTCAAGCTTAAAGAAGGAAAAATCATCTCAGCTGGCCTCAGAGTTTGATGTCGCGTCGTTCAGCAATTGGGATCGAGATTTGTTTTATCGCGAGCGATTAGAAATATCAAAAATGTCTGGTGCCACTTGTGTTAGCAGTGAGACTGCTACTTGGTGTGGTAATAGTACAGATTTTGAGATATACAGGCTAAAAAAGCGCTCCTCATCTTGGGATCCACCATCAAGCTATAGCAGTGACCAAGAGTTGCATCAAGACCTCAGCACAATTGTACTTTTACCACCTTTAATTGCAAATGACGCTACCAATGCCCCCATAGACAATAAACTTTTCAATTTTCCTCGTCCCTCAAGGGAATGGAAACTGTTCATACATTGTTCGGAATCTAGCTCCCTTCCAGAACTTCCAAAGATTACCGAATGCTTAGACATCATTCAAACAGAGGGTACGATACCTCATACCACTATATCTTTTCCAAACTCAGGATCCATTGGGTTGGGAAACCTCAACTTGGAATCAATCAAAGTCATTTTGAACATTTGCTACCTCATATACCGCACTGGCAAATTCACAGAGTTCGGAACGCTGATATACTGTTCAGATGGCTATACTGAGGTTTCCTTTCTACTAGTTGCATACTTGATCTATGTGTGGGATGCACCGTTGGATCAAGTCCTATTCAAGCTCCACAAAGAATCACAGAGACCTTTTTTCCTCTTCCCAATTGATTTGCAGGTTTTAGGTCACCTTCAAATTCTTTTGAGGGAAGAAAGTCCCAAGAGAAAAAGCATAACTGCACCCTTTCTTGATGTTGATCCAGATCTCTTTAGCAAGATGTTTTTCACCAAATTTCATGACGAATATCATCTGTCGCAGCTCAAAGGACCTCTACCTTCGAAGGTTTTGCCGCATTTGTATCTAGGAGCTTTGGAACACGCTCAGACTCCCAAATTGCTGTGTGAATTGAATATCAAAAATATTGTCTCAGTCGGAGAGACCATGCCTTGGTTGCTCGCGGCCATAAAAAGAAGAAGGAGTTTCACCGCAAGCGAAGTCGATCATCGGCGTGGGCTAGGTAGGCCTGTATTGAATACAACGGCATCTTCTTCGCACGTAGTAGGGGGAACGGAAAGAAACCGACGAGCGAGGGGCAATGCATCTTCCATTATAGAAGAAAATGGATTCAGGGTTTTACACATAGCTGATTTGGATGATAATGGCGAAGATCCTTTGCTCTCACAACTGGATGTTGCACTAAAGTTCATTGATGAGTGTCGCCAACGCGATGAGAAAGTCTTGGTGCATTGTATGGTTGGTGTATCCCGATCAGCTACAGTTTGCATTGCAGAATGCATGCGTCACTTGAATTGCGACCTTATTAGGGCCTATTTGTACGTACGCGTGCGCCGTTTGAACATTATTATTCAGCCTAACCTAATGTTTGTTTATGAACTCTGCAAATGGCAGGAATCACAGGGTATACCATTAGCAGTTGATTGGCACATAATATGTCGTTCCATCTCGGAACTAAATCGTATGTACTTTTAGGTGTGCGGTATGTGTGTTTTGAAAAACTTTTGACTTTTCCGTTCTATCAACATCTCGATCTGATAAATTCATCATTCCAAACTGGCATATTTCTTCAATGAATCTGGAAGACAATCGTACAACTTCTTCTCTTTCAACCACTTCTTTGAAAACATCCTATCAGCGTACTTGTGACCACTATCACATAATATTGTGACAACGTTGCTCCCTTCTGGCAATGATTTGGCCACTTGGCAAGCAGCAACGACATTAAGACCTGACGTTCCTCCCACAAATAGTCCTTCTTCATCGAGTAGCCTGAACAACATAACAATGCTTTCTTCGTCAGGAATTCTATATGCATCGTCAATAAGACCAATCGAAGAGCGTAGGTTTTCGGTGATGCGGCCCTGGCCGATGCCCTCGGTGAATGAGGAACCTTCGCGATCTAGCTTACCCGTTTTTACAAAGGAATAAATGACAGAGCCAGGGGGATCTGCAACTACAATTTTGGTCCTGTTGTTGGTAGCTTCCTTTAAATATTTGGCGACTCCGGTGAAAGTACCGCCTGTTCCTGTAGAGCAAGTAAAGGCGTCGCAGGAAAGTCCTGCATTCTGGAGCTGTTGTAGAATTTCAGGACCCGTAGTGGCATAATGGGACTCCCAATTGGCTGGGTTATCGAACTGGTCCGTCCAGATAGCGTTATCCAGACGCTTGGCATGGTCTCTTGCTCTGTTGTTGAAGTTTAATGGGTCTGAAATCGGGCAAACTGGCACTGGGTATACCTCCGCACCTAGGTACTTGAGTAAATTGACTTTGGCAGCAGATTGCGTGTTGGGCATGTAAAAGATGGACTTGTACCCCTTAGACCTAGCTATATGCGCCAATCCGATAGCTGTGTTACCTGCGGATCCTTCCAAGATAGTTCCAGGGCGAGTAGGGTCGATTTTTCCGGCCTTCTCGGCTTGTTCAATCAAATAAAGAGCTGCACGATCCTTGACGGAGCCTCCAGGATTTTGGAATTCAGCCTTGCCATAGATATTTCTGCCCAATTCTTTGGAGATCTTGTTCAATTTTATCAATGGCGTGTTACCAATGGCTTCAACAAAGCCTTTGTTTGCGAGAATGGGAAACTTCATGCTCGAAATATGATCCTGGCGAGCGTCAAAAGTATATTTGCACCCGACTACGCTGGAAGAAGTGATCCTAACCTGCTGCCTTTTAGCCTGTTCACGATAAAAGCTCGAATATCTTAATAGCCGATCTACCTACCTTCTCACGTGTGATTGCTGAGACCGCAGTAGAATAAACTGCTACCAGGGACGAGCTGGCCCTATGCTAGTCGATACTGGAAGTGTTGATGACACAGACTATGGTAGAAAAATGTACTTGAGATTATTTACAGATGTGAAGGTGATAGCTCGAGATGATTGAAATAATTAGATCTTCATCTTTCTCGCCGTTTTCAGCGCTGAGGGCGTTCTTCCATCACCACGTAGCCCAATGGCTTTACTTGTTTGGGGGGCTCCAGAGCAGACCCGGTGGCTAGTTTGAGAAGCTGAGATGTGGTTTTGCGTTCATGGGCCTCAATCCAGGGTAAACTCATCTCGTCCTTCAAGAAGCGCCTGACTGCAAGAAGCTCGCTGACAAACTGCTTGCGGTTGGATTTGAACTTGAGCATCTTAGCGAAATTTCGTAGAGTTAGTGGCGTGTATGCAGTGTTGGAAGATTCGCTGGCAATCGCGTTTTTGCAAAGTAACCACAGCTTAAGATTGCCCCTCTGAAAAGCTCCATCATGGCCCAAAACGGGAGAGTCGACTAGCTCCAAAACGCTCTGCTTTGCACGGTCGCCTAAACGAGGTTCCAGCTTTAGCACACGAGTGTAGCCACCAGGTCTGCTTCTATAACGTGGGGCTAATTCCCCAGTTACGCGCTGGAGAAGCTTGCTGTTGTCTCCAGCCAGCGACAGGCGGGACTGGATTTCTTTAGCAGAGTTGGGGTGCTTTTTAAGGTCCTTAGCCATGGTGATAATCCTGTCTGCCATCCGACTGGCTTCTAGACACTTTTCATGTGTAGAAACGATAGATCCGTGCTGGAACAATTGAGAGACCAAATTTCTGAACATAGCATCACGGTGTGCCTTTGTGCGCGAGAGATGGCGCATCAAACCGGTCGTCATGACTGTCAACGGCACTGGCAAACAGTCGATTTATCTTTAGAAAGTTAGCTTACAAGCTAGGCTCTTGGAATTTAATTATTAGTAGAGTGATTAAATTATCGAAAATTTTCATAGTAAGCGAAAAGACAAACAACTTGAGCTAGAAGTCTCCCAAATTATCTACCCCCCTGCAAAAATTAGGTATAGTAGAGCGTCAGTCGGAGGACGATTCTTATCGTACAAGCTGGAAGCTTCACTTAACGTCCTATGGGCATATATATCAAGTCATTAAATACGAACAGCGATCGGGCCACCATAATCAGCAACGAATGAAGGCCTTTCTTCGCCGCTGTGATTTCCTAGGATGGAAATAGAGCTCAGTTTGGAAGGGTGTTGAAATGATCTTTTCCCAGCTTTTCTCGCTTGATCTGTGGAGCTACGCTAACAATAGTCGCGTATAAAGTGACACTTCGCACTTCCTCCTTGGTTACCTGGCTCTATCACAATAATCCGCATGCATCTCAGCTAGCGTTCCCATGATAAATTTATGAGAGCTCAGACTTTCTTTCGGGAGAGGAGGGCTTCGCAACTTGGGCCAGGTTCTACTAGGCATTTATCATCGTACAGAATGACGTATGCCCAATCTCTTTAACGGGCTCTTTTAAGCAGATAGTGCTGGGTTCCTTTGCACACTAGCGTTCAAATACTTAGCATATCCGAGTTTCTGAAGTGTTTGTTGGAATTTATGGCTCCATCTTAGCTTTTCTTTCGCGATATTGACTTTCCTGGTCTTGTAGGTCGTAATATTAAGAAAAGTCAATCTATATAATTAAATCATCAAACCTTCTCTTGAAGTCGTTGTCGAAACCGAATTCTTTAGCTCTACTGTCCACGCAATGGTGCTAGAACACTCACGTTACCAGGATCCAAGAACCTGGAAAATGACTCCCGCCATGATCAGAGCGAGAAGGCCCTTTTTCATGAAAAACTTGGTAGGCTTGGGAGCACTTTTGGCCGTAACCGGAGGAATTTACGTTTACACCTACAGGTTTCTCAATAGGGACAACGACTTTGCAGATGTTCCAATACCTCCTATCGACGCTAAGGAGCTTGAAAAACTGAAGAAAGAATACGAACAGCATAAGCAAAATGCCCGCAAAGATTAAACCTGTGAGGATTTATAATTCATCAAGCAACCAGTGGTAGACAATTAAGTTTGTACGTGTAAATAGGTAAGAATTCGGCTCGAGCGAGTCCGTAGGTTCACTAAGCTGGATCTGCAAGCTGATGTTGTCAGATGGACCTTCATGCTTGTGGGAACTACAATTTCTGGGAATTAAAATGCTCATTACGACAACCGTAACAACAACGGCAACTAAGACGACAAGAGGAAAAACGCTAAAAACATGCCCAAGTTTTCGCTAAATAATCAGGTCATAGTCATAGCTGGTGGCTCGCAAGGTTTAGGAAAAGAGTTTGCCCGCAAGTTTTTTCAGGAAGGAAGCAACAACACGGTGGTGGTGGTTAGCAGATCTCGCACAAAACTTCAAAAAGCCGTGTGTGATATTACTGGTGAAAAAGAATCTCTTGAGCTCACAAATGGATTTCGAACTACTACAAATGGGGCAAGCTCTCTTGTTTATGCGGTCTGTGACCTGGCAGAATACGAACAGGTGGAAAAGTTGCAGGAGCTGTTAGAATCATGCTCACTGGTTCCTACTATAGTGAAGCTGTGTGCTGGAGGCTCGACGCCAGGGCTTTTCAAAGATTTGAAGGGTCACGATTTGGAGCTAGGAGTAAAAGTCAACTATATGACCTGCGTAAACTTAGCGCACGTCGCCGTTCGCCATTGGCCCTGTGCGCACTTGGTGTTTTTCTCCAGCGAGGTTGCCTTCTTTCCATTCATAGGATATTCCCAATACGCACCACTGAAGCAATCCATAAAAGCACTTGTTGCAATTCTTCGCCAGGAGTGCCCTCAACAACGTATATCGTGCGTGTATCCTGGTAATTTCGACAGCGAAGGCTATGTTTTGGAGAACCAAACCAAGCCCTCGATAACGAAAGAAATTGAAGGCGCCTCAGATGCCATACCGTGCGAGGAGTGTAGCAACCGGATTGTCCGCTTCTTGAAATGGGGATATGATGATATTACCACGGATTTCATCGGGTGGTTTTTGATGTGCACTGACATGGGCTTGAACAAGCAGAATAACGTTTCTATCGGGTGGCCACTGCAGTGGGTTCTTGGCGTTATTTGCAACTTAATTGTGGTTCCTATCTATATGTTGATCTGCAAGTTTCAGATCAGGAGCTGGCACAAAGCGCTTGAGAAGCAAGCATGATGGCGCTAAATGCTCTACAATGTGGATATATATACGGCGAGAGGGTGCCCGTTTGGGTTAGAAAGTCAATAAGAAGTTTTTCAACGTTGATATTCAATGTCCCTAACCATCACAACAAGCATACCTTATTCTCAACTCGTCTTGATCTCAACCGACATGCAACAGAGCCTGCGAATGACATGTTTAAGTAGCTCTGTAGATCGTACCAGCCCACCTGGGCAGTTTGGGATCGTACATAGATCAGGCAAACACTCAAAATTATTTGGAAATTGAAAACAGCCAAGCATGCTCTGTCTAGCATGTCTATAAGTTACATGAGAAGGTTGTTCAGCTTAAGATCTGGTCAGATTCGCACCGACACACATTTGTTTTGTTGTTTTTCTATCCATATCTACCTGGCCTCAGGATCAATAGAATTATTGACTAGAGGACGTAAAGTCTTGAAAAATTTTAGAGCTCATCGCGAGCTCATCGCCATCTCATCTTGACCTTACAAAGCAGGAAGAACATAGAATAGAGGGGAAGACACCAGTACGAGCCCTGTGAAATGTCTACTTATACCTGTAATTCATGCGCCCTGCAGTTTCCCACAACAAATGACCAGAGAGAACATATGAAGACTGACTGGCACAGCTACAACTTGAAGAGAAGAGTTGCACAGCTTCCGCCTATCAGCGAGGCAATCTTCACGGCTAAAGTGAAGGCCTTCGCCGAGCAAAAGGAAGAGCCAGAAAGCAAAAAGCAACTTACCAAGAAGGAGCTAAGGAGGAGAGAGAAAGAGGCCCTCTTGGCGAAGAAAAAGGCCCTACTGGAGCAGGCTCGTGAGAGTATCAAGCAAAACATGGAAAAGGCGAATATCGCAGAGCAGACTACCGATGAGGCGCAAAAGACCAATGAAAATATTTCTTCAAAAGATCAACTTGCAGAGGAACAGCCTTCGAACGAGCAGCCTTCAGACGAGAAGTCTTCTTACGAGAAGCCTTCAGAGGAACGGCTTTCAGACGAGCACTTATCTGAAGAGCAACTAGCAGAAAAGCTGATGCAGCAAAAAATTGACAACAAAGTCGATATCCCACTAAATCACTGTCTGTTTTGCACAAAGAACAGCCAGTTTGCTGACCTTGATACGGCGCTCGACCATATGTTCAAGTTTCATGGTTTTTACATACCGGAACAGAAGTATCTGATCGACAAAGAGGGACTTGTTAAATATCTATCGGAAAAGATCGGTCTGGGCAACATGTGTTTGTGTTGCAGCTTCCAAGGTCGGTCTCTAGAAGCCGTCCGTGCGCACATGTTGGCCAAAGCCCATTGCCGGCTGATGTATGATAACGAAGACGAGAGGCTGGAAATTTCGGAATTTTACGATTTTTCAAGCACATACGCAGACTATCCGCAGGACAACGGTGATGAAGAAGATTGGGAAGATGTTGGCAGCGATGAGGATGTTGACGATGCTGAGGATGACCAACAGTCCGAGGATCTCCCTCAGGAATATTTGTATAATGACGGTGTCGAGCTGCACCTACCAACAGGTGTTAAGGTAGGGCATAGGTCATTGCAGAGGTATTATAGACAAAACCTCAAACCTGAGAGTGTTCTTACTGAGGGCCAAGGTACACTAATTGCGGCTGAGACCAGACACTTTGCCACTTTGATCAATCCTAAGGAGGTGGCTACCCAGAAAAGAGTCTGGCAGACAGAAGTCAAAGATAAAAAGACTCACGATAAGAGAGCAGCTAAGTTCATCAACAATCAACCTCATTACAGAGATCAACTCTTGCAATGAGCGGACATCTAGCATATTTTATACAATATTCTGGTCTTTGGGTATATATAATTGGTGAAAGCAAAACACAGTAAGTAATTGGTAGTGACTGGTATGCTTGTCTCGCTAATGCCATTGTTGGCAATGGTGCTCTTTATCTGTCGCTCGATCATACGAGTACAACTGTATTCATCTTTCTAGGTTAACCAACATCGTCCAAATAAACACCCAGGCGTTCTCTCTTAGTGAAAGCGCCCAGTTCTAAGCTTGCCAAGTCAATTATCAAGCTGCGCGAACTTCGAAGACTGTGAAAATTATGATGTACAAACTAGTAGTACTTCTGGTCGCGCAGATCTTCGCGATTCTGACATTTTCAGCAGGGTTTTTCCCTCAGAAGTCCGTTTCGAAGGGGGACGCTTGGTTTACCTATCGACCAGATATCCATGAGCAGATTGAACCACGATTTGGAAAGCTGATATTGGTTGTTGTTGATGCTTTAAGATCTGATTATCTATTTAACGCCGAAATGAGTCAGTTCAGCTTTGTACATGAGCTACTGAATAAGGGACATGCGTGGGGTTACACCACATACGCAAATCCCCCAACCGTAACGCTGCCGAGACTTAAGGGAATAACTACAGGATCCACGCCAAACTTTCTGGATGCAATTTTGAATGTTGCTGGGGACGATTCATCTTCTAGCTTGAAAGATCAAGATTCGTGGTTGCGCCAATTTCACACTCATCACAAAAAGATCAACTTTTTTGGAGATGACACCTGGCTGAAACTCTTTCCCGAAGAGTACTTTGGTGAGATCGATGGAACCAATTCCTTCTTCGTGAGCGACTTTGAAGAGGTGGATCTGAACGTTACACGACATCTGCCACGCCAGTTGGCTTCACAAGCATCGTGGGATGTCCTGATCCTTCATTATTTGGGTCTCGACCATATTGGTCATAAAGGAGGCGCCTTTTCAAGTTTTATGCCGCCAAAACATCGTGAAATGGACTCGGTTATCCAGCAAATCTACGAGGCTGTTGATGAGGATACTCTTCTCTGTGTGATGGGTGATCATGGCATGAATGATATGGGGAATCATGGGGGATCATCTGCAGGAGAGACCGCTGCAGGGCTGGTATTGATATCAAAGATGCTCGGAAAATTCGAAAAACCTGCTCGGCAGAAAAATGTGGAACTTCCATTGAAAGTAAAGAGTGATGATTACAAATATTTGACGTCTATCAATCAAATCGATTTAGTTCCTACAATCGCAACGGTTTTCAATTTCCCCATTCCTAAGGACAGCATTGGTGTTGTTATTCCTGACATTTTACAACTATTCTCCCCACAAGAGGCTCGCGTCAAGCTGTTGGATAACTATTATCAGCTAACTGGCTCCACCGACAAACGTAATGAAGCATATGAGAACATCTTTCCGGTGATAGAAGAGATGAGATCAATTCAAAACGACCTGGCCAAAGTAGCTACCGATTACAATTACTATTTGTTGGGAGTTGGCCTACTGGTTCTTGTTGCCGTCACTTCGGTGGTACTCATTGAATGTGTGAAACACTCGACGTCTTATTTTGAACTTTTACCTACTTTCGCAACCACTTTCTTGTTGAGTTTGAGTACCTTTGGAAGCAGTTTTGTCGAGGAAGAGCATCAATTATGGTGGTGGGGGTCTATAGCTCTCGCTGCGAGTTCATACATCAAGGTGCCACGCGAGATCCTTTGCCATGTACTTATCCTCTCAGGACTGAGGCTCATCCGTGGATGGAATAACAGTGGTCAAAAGTATGTTTACGAATATACCATGTCTGAGCTTTTAAAGTGCCATCATCAATGGCTGTGGGTTCTTAACACGATCACAATATTTTCGACACAATTAAGTGGCCAAAGCGAACACCTGGTCACCCAAATGACTGCATTATTTGTTTCTTCACTCAGTCTTGTCTACAAAGCTGCATGGAGCATCACGAATGGCGAACCTGTGCCCTTTTGGCTTCAAAAAATATGTTTCCAAACGCTAGGTAGCGGAGGCGATGACCCTGTGGAACAGATAAAGCAAAACCTTGTGCCCACCGCTAGGCTGCTCTTTTTTGCTGTATTCGTTTTAATTTTAATTGAGATAGCCCGCCAAAGGATCAGTTCAAGAGGTGACAGCAGATTTTTTGCTCGAATCCATTCTTTGACTACGGCCATAATGATTTTGCAAACCTCGAGCACCAACATTCCACAGTATCTCATTTTCGGCTTCATAGCAGCTGCTATTGAAACTCTGTGGTCGAAATATTATGGGACAAGTATTTTCCTCCTAATGAACGTTGGCCTCGTACTGCAACATTTGACATTTTTCCAGTTCGGAAGCACAAACTCCATTGCAACAGTTGACCTGACTAATGCATACAACGGCGTCTCCGAAAACTACAACATTCACATCGTAGGGCTACTAATGTGCCTGGCCAACTTTGCACCGTCGATTTACTGGTCCCTGGCGTGCCTACGCGCCTTGTATGCAAAGAAGCGAGCATCATCCAAATGGGAGACTTTCGGCCGGTCCCGTTTGCCTGCGCTGTTATTCTACTGTATTTTCGGGTGCTTCTTATTGGCGTCCTGCGTGATCCAGCGTTACCACTTGTTCATTTGGAGCGTGTTTAGTCCGAAATTGTGCTACTACGTTAGTTGGAACTTGTTTATGAATGCCATAATTAGCTGGTCTTTTGAAAGCGTGCTAGTGGCATTATACTAAAGACTTGTCGAATGTCAGACTACTTTTTATGATTATACTGACACTCTTGCTTGGTCAAGTGTGTCTTAAACGGGATATTGATGTTCTATTTGATAAAAACAATTTTCTAGTAGTGAAAAATCAAACTCAAACAAAGTCGAACAACAAATTTAACGCATCTCTAAAGGCCGCCATGTCGGGTCATTTTGCTCGCTTAGTGTCTAGAAGATCTCTGACAACATCTCGAATCTTGTTGCAACAGGTAAAACCAACTTCCCAGCCTGTTGTTTCCAGTTGTCCAGCTGGCACCCCATTGAACTTGCAAATTAAAAAATCTGGCAAGGAACCGGTAGCTCTCGAAGACCACGAGTATCCAGAATGGCTATGGAGTGTCCTGGACTCTAAAGCACAGCTCCAGAAACTAGAACAAGACCCTTTGAAACTTCGCAGAAAACAACTACGGTCTGCTAATCGCGACAAGATTAAGCAGAACAATTTCTTATCAGAAATATGAATTGGGAGGTAAGTTTTCTAACGCCCAATTCACCATGTACATATAATATAGCATTATCAATAACAATTTGCAACTACGTTAACCGGTGAGGCATTGGTACTGTGAACTTTGTAGGTTTCGCCGGACAGTTCTTCCTCCATCATACAAAACGTAGAAAATTTTGTCACCTTTTACTACCACGTAACCTCAGGCCATATATACATAACGCTCTAAGTCGAGCAGTTCAAGAATACCTTCCATTGAGGCTAAATAAGATGCTTCCCGAACGGCATCCCATCTTCAAAGTAAATTCTATCCAAACCAGCAGCTCAAAACGGTTTGTATGCCACTCAGAACCACATTTAGAGACTGTGGTGGTAGAGGGGGGCACCATCAAGCGGTGTCTGCCGCACGAGGCAGAATACCGTTTTACAGAATTCAGCCCTCTAAATAATTACTCTCAGGTGGTCTTAAATTCCTCAGGTACCCTTTTGTGCCTGCACAACGATGCTGAATTGCAGATCCTGGCATTGAAGCAAGATTCCGATGATTGCAAACCAGATGAATATAGAATTCCAGTTCCTAACGGTATTAAACAAGTTCTGTGGCATCCCAGAGCGCGTTTGGACTCGTGTGTCGTGGTTCTGACACAAAACGATGAAATTTGCACTTTCGAGCTTTTGGCCGAAGATTATAGCCAGCCAACAGCTGTCTTGAACAAACAGTCCTCTAACCGCAGGAACGATCTAGCCATAAGTGACGTTGCTGCTCTCTGTTTCAGCAGTGATGGCTTGACTCTTTACCTGCTGAACACCAGTGAAGGTGGTGATCTGTATGCGTTTTATCCATTTTTACCCTCCGATGCTGCTTTACCAAAGAAGACCATCCAAGGTTGCTTTCACAAAGCTCTGCTTCAGTATCAGAATCTTACGGCCGACGATGCTCCTGAAATCAAGCGGCGTGCTACCAGGCAATTGCAGTTTGCTTCCCAGCTCCACACAACCTTAAAGAATAGCGAGCATGGAAGTGCAAATCCCAATGATCGGATAACGATACAGGTATCAAAGGCATTCAGAAATGCAGCGATCCAGGGACCTTATACGATCAATCCTTTCCCCGAAAACCTTTACCTTGCCACGGCGCAGCAACTGAAAGTACTGGCATTAGATGACGACGCAAGTGATTTGGTTCTCATTGCCTTCGACAATGGTACAATATTACAGTGCTTCCCTGATCTAGAGCCCATGATGTCCTGGGAGGATCCTGAATGTTGTTATAACAATTCTTTAGCAACAATAGGTTCGTTGAACGTGCCTGGAACTATCTCGCTAGTATTTGGAAGTCTGTTTGTAATTCTTACACCCCAAAAAGCCATACTAGTTGATTTATCAAGAATCGTCAACGCTATCAACCAATCATTGAAAGACTGTGATGTGGCAGAGCTCAGTGAGGCTAATTTACGCGAGGAAATCGTTGAGCAAAAGGGAAATTTTACCAGTTCTAGCGTGTGGGCCTCGGGTACACACGTTATGCTACTCTCGGATTCTTCATCAAGCAGCGTCAAGACGCCGCTTCTCCAAATCAAGCCTGAAAAAAGCCCTGGACCGTCCAAGGAAAGGGCCGAATATGAAAGGTCTTCGTATGATCAACCTTTACCAGAATTGATAGCGCTCAATGACAAAGTGCAAAAGCTTATGAAAACCCCATTACCTATTCAAATCGACTCAAAGCTGCGACAAACTAAACTTGATGCTGCTGCAAATGAAGACCAGCTTGCAGTTTTGACAGATATATCAAGGGAGTTGTTGACCAGAGTCATGGTGGCACAGACGCTTGGCCTGTCTCTTCATTCCAGACTGATTGGACAGCAAGGTGAGCTAACTAGCCATATCGAAAAGGTCTGTGAGATAAATACCAAAAGGCAGGAAATCTCTGAGGCCTTGGGTTTTGAGGAAAAGCGCTGGAAAGCTGTACAAGCAAAAAACGAGACAATCAAAACCAGATTTGAAAGCTTACAGAAAAAGCTTATGCAAGTTTCCAACTCTGATGAAGTCAGGCTGCAACCAGTTAGACGTTCGGAATTATTTTGGTTTAAAGAATTGAAAGGTCAGGTTTCAAGGTTCAATCAGCTGGTTCATACGCAACGCGACCTGGGAGAAACACTATCAGCTTTGAAAACCGAGTTGGAATATGTCAAGGTTGACCAATTCTCAGGTGGTGACAGCTCGGAGTCCAACAGCGAAGTAAACTGGGAAGAGTTACGTGCCCTGTTGGAGAAAGATGCGAAGATTATTGGCGAGTGTCAAACAGAACTCCATAAGGCCGCTGGTGAGCTGAACTAGAAAGTTTTGGGGGAGAAGGGGAACCGCTTTCATGCAATACACGGAATAACATTTAACAACGTTGATGTTAAGTATGTAGGCTATTTACAAAATGAATGATGTGTTTTTCCAGAGAGCGAGAGAAAGACAGGTAGATCAAAAATCGGTGACTCTTCCATTGAAAGAATAGTCCCCGTGCCTGAGAGGATCCTGTTTAGGTCCACCGCGCTCTCCTGTCTTCGGATTAACGTCGCCCTCAAATTCGGGAATGGTTTTCGAGAACTCTGGTGAAAACCCTCCGATATCTGCCTTCAAAAAAGGTGATTTTGCGCTTTCCTTCGTGTTATCCTGCTCCACCTGGCGGTTGTATTCATTTATCGCTTCTTGTGACTGTGCGATGCGCTGAAGCCTTTCGAACTCCTCCTGTTCCTCCTTGGGTAGCTCTGGAGGAGCTGGGCCTCGTTTGCTCTGAAATTGCCGTACCAGAGCCGGCCTGGTGCCCGTCAAAGGTCTCAGTAGTCCCAAACGCGCCAAATACCGTGCATGAAGTGTTACAGAGCTCATCTTGCGTCTTTTCTTGGTTTGATGTGCAGTCAGACAGCGTTGTCAGTCTAAAACGAAGTACTTAATATGTAAATGATATAATCAAGGCTAGGCGTGAGCTGCTGACGCACGGAAACCTCAACATTCACGCAGGAATACACGAACCAAAAATTAACTGAAATTGAAGGCTTATTGGATATTCAAGGATGCTATCCTTCGGCTCCTCGCCACCGATCTCTCTGTAGCACTCGCTATCTAGGTGCGTTTTACGTTAACGCAATCGTCTTCGCAATCAAAGCAGCAACTGGGAAGAAACTGATCTCACGATCACAAAACCAATGGTACAGTGCTGGCTAAATAGCTATTCCAACCGCCACGAGTATAGTCCGGAGTCTTCTTTGTTTTTTTATTTCAGACAGGCCGGCCCCATGAAGCAGACATCAAGGCTTCACAAGGTTCCAATTCTAGTGGAAACAAGACACCAAAAAAACCTTGTCATGTCCCTCGGTCTTCCCTCGCTACACATCTTACTACTAGTCCTAGCGTTCCTTGCTGGGTCGACTAGCGTCAGGGTGCCACGTCCAGATGCGAGCGTCATGTTGTCATTTCGTTATTCGCTGACACTGTCACTGATGACATTGGTCACGTGTACTATGTCGGGAGATTGATGAAGACTGTGGCTCTATTTGGTCCTCATCGGGCTTGATAACAGCACTGGTTAAAAAGCATCAGATGAAATGTGAAGTTAACCTCGAGGTGGTAGTTCGAGTACTCTCTTCTTCTTGACTCATGCTCAACCGTTTGACTCAGAAAGTAGCCATGAGTACCAAAACAACCAAGATAGTGCCCAACTTGGCATTGACCCAAAACCTAACGAAAGACGTATGGTCTTTGACCAATGAAGCTGCAGCTTCCGCAGCCAACAACGCCCAAAACAAGGACCGGGACCTGGTCAACCTGGGACAGGGGTTTTTCTCGTATTCTCCCCCGGACTTTGCGCTCCAGGAAGCTAAAAAGGCCCTGGACTCGCCGCTAACCAACCAATACGCTCCAACGAAGGGCCGTGCTTCACTGCTGAACTCTCTCATCAACTTTTACTCTCCTCTGTACAAGACTCAATTGAAGGCCGAGAACGTGCAGGTGACCACGGGCGCGAACGAAGGTATTCTGTCGGCGTTGGTGGGGCTTGTGAACCCGGGCGACGAGGTCATCGTCTTCGAGCCTTTTTTCGACCAGTACATTTCTAACATTCAAATTCCCGGTGGGAAGCCTACATATGTGCCATTGCACCCGCCAAAGGACATGAGCGAGCGTGTGACATCGGGCACCGAGTGGCGGGTTGACTACGAGGAGCTCCGCAAGGCTGTGACCCCCAAGACCAAAGCTTTGATTCTGAACACCCCTCACAACCCGGTAGGCAAGGTTTTCACGCGGGAGGAGCTGCTGAAGATTGGCGAGATATGTGTCGAAAATAACATTGTCATCATCTCAGATGAAGTATACGAACACTTGTATTTTACAGCCGAGTTTCCGAGGATTGCAACTTTGACCCCGGAGTTGGGCCAGATTACCGTAACCGTCGGATCTGCAGGCAAAAGTTTTGCTGCCACCGGGTGGAGAGTGGGCTGGGTTGTTTCCCAAAACCCAGAGTTATTGAAATACGTATCTATGGCACACACCAGAATCTGCTTCTCTACACCATCACCCTCGCAAGAGGCCTGTGCTAACTCGATCGAAATCGCCTCCCAGAAGAACTACTTTGAAAACATGCGCCAAGAGTACATCCACAAATTCAAGATTTTTACCAGTGTCTTTGACGAGTTGGGTCTGCCATATACAAAACCAGAGGGTACTTATTTTGTGCTCGTCGATTTCTCTAAAGTGAAGATTCCCGAAGATTACCCATTTCCACAAGAACTACTCTCCAAGGGCAAGGACTTTAGAATTTCATACTGGTTGATCAATGAGTTAGGTGTTGTCGCGATCCCTCCCACGGAATTCTACATCCCAGAACATGAGAAAGCTGCGGAGAATCTTCTAAGATTTGCCGTGTGCAAGAGCGATGAATACCTTGAAGGAGCTGTCGAGAGATTGAAACTCTTGAAAGACTACATTTGAGCTAACGTAGAGCGTATATAACTGAGCATGAGCTTCTGTATAATGAATAATTTTCTGCTTCGAGGAGTAGGTGTCTTACATAAATAGCACAAACAAAAGAGGGCACTCCCAAGTGGGAGCCTGCTATTGAACGTTGACTATTAGCAGTCGACGAAGGGAATTAAAACCAAAGTGGCCTTCACTATCACTTGCAGAACGGGAAGCGATGCTCTCGGCCATGAATGGGCCACTGGAGTGTACATCGGTGAGTACATCCATGAGTACTATTATGAGTATTATCTCAAATAATAGTAAGTATAAGATAAAGAATCAGTCTGTTGATTGGCAAAACTCGTTAGCTTGGGTTAGCCAATGACCGAGTCCTCTGTTTTCCGCTACTTCTGGCTTTTTGGACTAGTGAACAACGTTTTATATGTCGTCATTTTATCTGCCGCCGCTGATATCGTTGGGCCAGGTCTGCCCAAAGCCTTGGTACTGTTGGTAGACATCTTGCCAGCTTTCTTCATAAAAATCACGGCTCCTTTTTATATTCACAAAATCGCTCATGCCCATAGAATCCTCGGTCTCATTGTGCTCAGTTGTGTGGGCATGGTCTTGGTAGCGCGCAGAACCCTCGGTGTGTGCATCGTGGGAATCATTTTGGCTTCGTTCTCTTCCGGACTTGGAGAACTGACGTTTCTGCAACTGACGCATTGCCACAAGCAACCCAGTTTGAATGGCTGGAGCTCTGGGACTGGCGGTGCGGGCCTTTTCGGAAGCGGTGCTTATCTGGTTCTTACGTCGATCCTCAAGATTCCTGTCAGCCAGGCCCTGGTTTTGTTTAGCGTCATGCCCTTTGCATTCCTGCTCTATTTCAAGCTTGACAAAGGGGATTATGACTCTTTAGATTGTGACCACATAGAGCAGGGCGGAGTCCTTGAACACTCCTCGGCTTCTACCATTGAGCCAATAATGAAGTCGCAATGGGTCTTAATGAGAGATCACGTCAGTAGCACTTTCTCAAGATTGAGGGGCCTAGTTGTTCCCTATATGTTGCCACTTTCTACCGTGTACTTCTTTGAGTATCTGATCAATCAGGGAGTGTTGCCCACCCTCTTGTTCCCATTGGATGAATCGGTTCGCCACCCTTTCTTCTTCCACAAGTACCGAGACATATACGTCACTTATGGAACTTTGTATCAGCTTGGGGTATTCATTTCGCGGTCTAGTGGATCTTTGTTCCGGATCAAGAAACTTTACATGCTTTCCATTTTACAAGGAGTGAACTTGGTCATCGTTCTTTTTCAGTCCTGGTTTTACGTCGTACATTCAGTCTATCCAATCATGCTTCTAGTATTATTCGAAGGCCTTTTGGGCGGCGCATCGTATGTTCATACTTTTATGAATATCATCCATGAAATCGACCCGTCTGAAAGAGAGTTTTCCTTGGGGGCTGTTTCAATGTCTGACTCTTTCGGTACGCTGCTGGCGGCATTTGCCGGTATTGCTTTAGAACCAAGGTTATGTTCTCATCAGGTCGGAAGTGGAAGACCGTGGTGTTTAAAGGAGTAGGCGTAGACGTAACGGTTTTTTATCATATGCTCATCCGAATGCCCGCCAATAATTCATCAATAACCTTTTGTTTGATGTCCACACTTCTAATTGATGACAGAATCCCAAAACACTGCAAGAGAGTCAACTTATCTTCTTGGGTGACACCCTTCTCCTCCTCTTCATTCATGATATAAAGATGGAAGCTCTTACTGGCTCCCTCATGGCTGTTGATGAAACTCTCATAGTAGGGAGATACAATAGAGTCTCTGAAACTTTTTAGCAATAAAACATCAAGCGAAAGCGGACCGGCGCGAGTTCCATTGAGGGTATCTCTAGCAAAGTTGGTTTGGCTTTCTGACCAAAATTCATTATCAACACGAAAGCTTACTTCTAAGGGTAAGAAAATGGCCATGAAGTTGTGATATATCTGGTGATAAAAAATACCCCATATTAAACAAAGCCTCTTCAAGGCTGTGTTGATTGTGTTTTCATTGCTGTAGTTGAACACAATTTGATTTTCCAAGATGTATAAGCATGTTGCCATAAACTCTTCAATTTCCGCGACAAATTTGGAGCTTCCAGAGGACTTCTTTGGTGTCATTTTCAGTTGTATATAGAACGACAGGACGTGATTGAGATCTTCGATTTTGGCAGGAAGTTCCCAGAGCTCTTTGTTCTTGAACAGGGTGACGACAACGCTGCAGAAAACACCCCAAATATTACTCATCAGTGCATCAAGTTCCTCAGTTGTGAAAGTACGATAAGTAGACCTCAGCGATTTTAGATTTTTTATCAAGTCTTGTAGCATTTGTATGTCACTTGAATCTAAATCAGGTTGCTGTGCCAGCTGTAGAGGCACATCATTGCCTGAATTACTGCGTGAGCCAAAAGGTGGGTTTTTGCCACCATCCATGAGGGCCCCCGCGGAATGCTTGTGATAAGATCCAACATGCTTCCCATATTTGCTATTCAAGAATTTACCAAAGGCTGAAGAGGTTCCGGACGTGGGTGATTTGACACTTTCGCGTATCTTATCTGCGCGTCCTGCATTTCGGCTGAAAAGTTTCCTAGCAGCTTTGCTAAAAGGGTTTCGCTTAGTACCCGTTGACAGTTTTCCAAAAGAGGAGGAGGTATCTGTTAGGCTCTTGTTTGCACTCGGTACTGTTTTGAGATCCGGCTCTAAATTATCGTACGAGCCTCTGCCAGTTATTTTCCCAGACAGCGAGTTTTGACTCGTTTTGTTGCTGATTGCAGAGATGTTCGATCCGCTTTGGTATGACTGGTAACTGGCCATTCCATTGCTTTTCACTGACGAATTTGAACTGGTGGTTCGATATCTACCTGAGACGTCGACAGCTTTTTGACTCTTCCTCAAACCTGGATTTTGATAAATTGATTGGAATCCAACCTTCGACATACTCTGAAGCGCAGGGGATGACTGTTTACTCTCAGCCGTCTTTCTACCTTCTTCCTTTTCATGGTTGTCCCGCTCGCCTACCTGGATAGTTTGGGGAACGATTGTGGAAGAAATACTATAGAATCGGGTTCTTGGTTTATCCTTCCCCTTTCCAGGTATGCGTTGGATTGTTGGTAACGCCGAATTGCTACGTTTACGATTCAGATCCGTCTCCATATTCCATTATGTTCGTGATTTGGGCTTACGAGATAATTATACCTACTGTAATATTACTAGTATTCAAACCTTCTAGTAATAATATCTACTAGTAATTCCCTGCTAGTAAATTCTGAAAAGTGTGGTATCCTGAGATTATAATAAGATGGTTGGGATATGCTCCTCGATTCATAACCTTAAAGCTCTAAATAACGTATTTACGAAGTAGAAAACTGTACTAGCAACATAAATGATAGAACAAATAGAAAGAATTTGCGGGTATGCTGTTCTGACCTCAGCGAAAAACCGAACAAGAATGCCGAAACACACGGCAAATACGATAGGTTGTTGTAGAAGTAGACTATCAAAATAGTTACCACAGTGCTGAGCAAAGTTAGCAAAATATTTGAGATCATCTGTCTGCGGCGATCATTTTGTGGAGCCGTCGGTACATGCTCGCTTATCTCATCAGCTTCGGAGTCCAATTCGTCATCTATGGAAACATCAGACGAATCAGCAACAGTACTGGAAGCAGGAAGCTTGAATGCCTGCATCAAATCACCAATCTGAGTTTTAACCTGCGCGGCACTCGGCCTCGCAGTAGGGTTCGGGTCCAACAGCATCGCTATCAGACTAAAGATGATAGAGTCCACGGGCTTCAAATTGAGGCCTTCGTGTTTTGAAATTAGTGAATCCTTATCGACCTTGAGAGATATAATATCATGTTTAAGCTTGGAAAGGCTCTCATCAGCAGAAAATGGCAGTGCTCCGAAAATAAGAAAGTAGGACAGCATTCCGAGAGAGTACATATCAGACTTGAAAGAGAATTGAGGTTGAGCCACGCCGTTACTACCTGTTGGCAGAATTATTACCTCTGGTGCTGTAAATTCTAGTGTACCGGTCGCGCCTGTTGCTGACCTCATCTGTCCGTATATTTGGCTCTCGCCAAAATCACTTATTATTACATTGGGGAAGCATTTGTCTCCATACTCTGCCTTTTCCTCTTCGAAGGGCTCAGCAAGAAGACAATTGGATGGTTTCAGGTCGCGGTGGATAATGTTCATCTCGTGCAGCTCCTTTAGTCCTGAAGCGATATCATAAATAATGGATAGCAGCTGCGACGTTGTTAATCCATGGGGTCTCGGGTCTTTTCCCCTGATTTCCCTTTGGCGTCTAAATCTTTTTTTGCGCTCTTCTGAAGACTCAAGGCCCGCAAGCTTGTCGAACACTTTCTTCAAAACTACCTCTTCCAAATTTCCCCCCGGGCAGAACTTTTGCAAGATAAAGATACACGGTATTTGCTCAGGTGAGCCGGTGTCCTTACCATCACGCGCGCGAATGATACCACTTGAGGTATCCATTTCGAGCCACACATGGTTGTAGGTGATCAAATTCACGCTACTGTGAGTTAAAGCGCTTAGAAATTTGACCTCTTTCATGCCAAGTTCAAGCCAGGTCAGATCATTGCCGATGTGAATCTTCTTCAGAGCGTATACGCCCAGATGATTATCCATTAAGACATGTTCTACTTTATAGACGGATCCACGCGCGCCGCTTCCCAGCAACGACAATTCGCGGAAGAAACGTCGGTAATAGCCCGGAGTGAAGAGATTCAGAGGAATGACAGAGGTGCCTGGCAGCAATGGTTGCTGTCCTCGGTAACTACTTTGTTCCAGTAGCTTGAAATAGTTCCTATGCACAAAAGAACCGCTCTCGGGCTCTGACTTCGATCGTGATTTCTGCAACTCAAAATCAAACCTCGTCCCAACCTCGCTACCGCATTGAGGACAGAAATACGAAGAAATCAGCTTTTCTGTTGTCTTCTTGGGCTCTAATCCCGGGCTTGGACCTCTGACTTGTCGTAAAAGTGATATTTCTCCCGATTGCGGGTTTATCACCACTAGTGAACGGGAGTCTGAATCATGTAAAACCACTTTCTGCGAGTGCTCGTCACTAGTTTTATCACCATATACAATTAAACTCATCAAATCATTCAAGAAAGTAGCTTTCTCAATCCACAAATATCATCGAATTTGAACCCTTGTCTCGGACTTTCTCTTGACCAAGTCTCGCCTATGTATTCCTCACACCTGCAAAATGTAAGAGTGCCAAATATCCTCCGAATACTATTGAAATCCTCTCAATAAGAATTGGTAATCCTTTTCAGCTGATCACTCGTGGCCACTCTGAGGGCTTAAAGATTTGGAGGTCAGCTTCGCTTATGGCTATTGTATTGTAATTGGCATTCTAATTTAATTGACATTTTTCAATTGATCATTTACGCCAGATGACGAGATGAGCATAATATACAAAATTCAAAAGGTGGTTTCATCCATCTGTTGCTGCTAGTCAGGCATGTTCGATCCACTAGACTTCATTAGTGGGCCTGAAAATGGGTATAGCGACCGTGCTGAGAATAACAAGCTTACGACGCCTTGGATATCAAAAAATTCTGATAACTCAGCGGATGAAAGTCTAGCAATTTACGAAAGTGACGATGATGTTGATGTTCCGATCCAGGTAATCGACCTTCCTGTGGTGTCTATGGCAAACTCTGTGGTTATTTTGACCATTCTGTTGTTGCTCAGACCTTCGCAAGGCGTCAATTTCAAGAAAACGACAGTGCAGGACGACATTGAAGGAGGCAGCCATTTAGATAGCCGGTTAAAGGAGATACCTGGAGAATATCTAGAAGAGACGGTAAAGTGGTACAAGAGCTTTGGACATTCGAGGCTAGATACTGTGAAGAAAATATGCACTTGCATGCCACAGTTGGCTACCACTGCCTCAGTCAAAGATTTGTTGGGGTATTACACAACTGTACTGGCAAGGTTCAGCAGACCTGGATCTCTGGATCAGATTTCAACCAGGATTCTCAAGGAAGCAAGCTTACGAATATCAGAAAAGTGTGGTCGGACTGCACAGCCAGCCATGACCCGTGTTTTTCAAGTTGATGGTTTACAAACGCCTATAAAACTGCATGAGCCGGCACTGACGGCCGACAACCTGGGTCTGAAGACTTGGGGTGCGTCGCTGGTTCTAGCACGGAAACTTTGCCAAAGTGTGCAGAAATTCACGTCCGCAAGAAAAAGCCTTAAGATATTAGAATTGGGCGCGGGAACAGGTCTTGTAGGGATAGCTTTAATTAAAAAGCTACTGGAAGCTTCTCGGGAGCAATCTCATAGTTTCTTTCTTACAGATCTTCCAGAAATTGTCCCCAACTTGCACAAGAACATGGAGTTGAACAACTGTGATAGAAATTCAAATATGCCTGCGGAGGCAGCAGTTCTAGATTGGACAAACCCATCTGGATTTCAAAAAGTACATGGTTACGGGAAATACGATGTTCTGTTGATTGCTGATCCACTCTATTCGCCCCAACATCCCCAATGGATTGTAGATATGATTGATGAGTTCCTAGATCTTCAAGGTGTGGTATATCTTTGCATCCCAGTCCGCGACAAATATGTCAATGAGAGACAACAACTATGGGATCTGCTGGCGAAGTTTGATCTGCATATCGTAAGTGCCGAAGCAGATGAAGGAATTGACGATTGGGGCAAGGTTTCATATTTATATAAGGAGATCGTTCGCAGTTGCGGAGTCTCGACAAAATGCAAAAACTGTTAATATTATAAAATGCCTGTAAATAATAAATTAAATGCTCCAACTGACTGATTGTTATTCAACCGATCTGCAACGTGCACACCTGCTCTTGTGAACTTCTAACTGCTCCAAAAGGTCAAAGCTCCGTTTACAACCTTCGCATTTGTACTTTCTTTCATGTGTTCTCATATGTTTACTTAAATTGGAGCTTTCATTGAATCTTTTACCACACACCTTACATTCCAAGGGCTTTTCACCGGTGTGCGTCCTTATGTGAATTCGAAGAGAGCTGGAAGTAGCAAACCCCTTCCCGCAACGCTCGCATTTATAAGGCTTCTCTCCCGAATGTGTGCGGATGTGCTGCAATAGTATGTCTGGCGTCGAAAAGTTTTTTTCACAATAAGGACATTTGCAAGGTTTGTATCGAGTATGCACTCTGAGATGCCTTAAAAGCTTTTGTCTTTGAGTAATGGTCTTCCCGCAACTTTCCCAACCACAAACATAAGATGACTTTCCCCTAGGTATGTGCTCATTCTCGATGTGGTCATTGAGTTCTCCACAAGAACTAAAATCTTTCCCGCACCCGGCCCATTTGCATGTGTGTGAATGCTCGATATTTCCGTCGGCATTGGAGTGGTTAGCGCAAGGATTCCCAGCAGTGTTGATCTGTTCGTGAGATGGAACTTGGGAAAAACTTTCTGGGTCGTCCGGACAATCGTGGCAATGAAGTAAGTGATGCTGCTCACTCTGTTCTATCAGAGTGTCACGGTCCAAAAACTTCATATCGAATGCTATACCATGTTCGCCATTGATGTGATTGATCAAAGTGCATAGATCATCCCCTTCAAATCCGCAATTTTCCCACTCACAATCAAATTGATTCCTTGGTGTAGGTAATTTAATATCAGTAGAGGGTGCATCTATTACATGATCTTTCAAAACATGCGACTGTAATTCTAATAGCGAGTCATACACCTGAGGACATTGTTTCCAACCACATTCAATCTTATTCGCATCATTTTTGTATATCCAGTTGAAATTAACAGTGTTTGTCTTCCCGTCAGAAAGAGTTGCGCCTTGATGTGGGACAGAATGATGAAGTTTCTCGAATTCCATAGGATGCTTGTACTCCACCTGTGAGCTCCTCTCGCAGCTGTAGTGAGGGTCTGCAGAAAGTGGAATGTGCTTGGCGGGATGTGGATGAACCTCCACGAGATGATGATGGTGGTGGCTGTGATTGAGCAAGGTGTCTGTGTCAAGTGATTCGCGTAAACCTGTCGGTCTTTTTTCTGGCAGACAGGTCTGTAACAGGTTGATGTCACTATTTTCATCGTGTGAATGGTTGTGCTTACCGAACGGGAAATCGTACATGTTAGAGATACTAACCAAGTCCTTTAATATTTTCATGTCTGGGCCAGAGTTGACAATATGGTCATGGCATGGTATTGTGTGCATAGAGTTAAAAGAGCCTTCAGGATCGGCGCTCTGTGAAGAAAGCGAGTCGGATCTTATATGAGCATGAGAGTGAGAGTGAGAATGAGAATGGCAAGCCGCATGAGTATGCACTGACGATTCTGGAGGTTTGGAAACTGGTATTGAACTCACGTCTGGGTGTGGGTCAAAATGCAAGTGGGAGGATGGGTTTGGACTCTCGTTGTAGCCAAGGTCTACACATTGTTCGCACAGTTTCTCAAATATTCGATCTTCCTCTGTGGTTTCCGTGGGAGCACAAGTTAAATCGCAATCAATGAAACTCGGCAGCTTTGAATTTGCACATGCAGTATTGAAGTCCAAAGCATGAGCACCCAAGCTTGAGCCTTGAAATAAAACCATTTTATCTACAGGAACTTGGGTGTTAGGAGCCTTGAAAAGCCCGGAGTCGGAATTACTGGTGTTTCTCGGTTCATGGTCTTCTTGGCAGCATACTTCGATGGCCCTTGGTTGACAACTGTCGCAGTCTACAAGCCTGCGTCTTTTGCTACCTGTAGATAGCGCAAGCAACTCATCAGGTGCCGATGCGTGATTGTCCTCACCGAAAACATTCAAGTTATGCCAATTCATGAATTCGAAATGGTGACAGCCACTGGTCTGCGCGCAAGAAGTAGGATCCTGGGTAGTATTGGCTGTCGAGAAAGGCCATGGCGAGGCGGCAAAGGGCTTGGCGTCTGGCTCTTTGGTCGCTAACAGCTCGGATCGCTCTGAGTTTTCCTCATGGGAGGAGACTGTGGGTGAAATCGGCAGGTTCGGTATTCCCATGAGCTGAGCATTTTCTGCATCCGCCTCAGATTGTCGTGAAGGGTGTGGGGGACCATTTGTGCTGTCAATGATGCCGCATTTTCTGGCCGGTGGTGAGCCGTGGACATGACCGTGGATATACGTGACATTATTGAAGTTATGCATGTGTCCATGAACTAGACCCTCCGAGGCTGGCGTTCGGGACTGTCCTGAGCGCATTATGTCTTGAAAGAAGAGGGGAGTTACGGCTATGGTCGATTAAGCAAATTCTCTAGTAGAAAGCAGTACTGTTCCCGTCTCTCACTCTCTTTTTCTGCACTCCGCACGCAATTCCCTGCTTTAGTCCGAGCTTTGCAGGTCAAGGGTCAAGTGGCTTGATGTGATCTTGGAATTAGGCCTGAAGCTTGGTTACCTTTGGTCAGCGGCACTGTCAACTTTCCTGTTCATGAGCTCCGAGCCTAAGATCAAACCAGATTTCCGATCGAACGATAGTAACAATTGTGGGACGAAAGCGCGCGCCCAACGCAGGCATTCGGTGAGTTGATACGACTTCACCACTGTATTTACCTTGTAGGTTACCTGCAGGCGGTGGGACCATGAAGGAAGTCTCAAAAAACACACTCTCTTTCGTTCTCAGTGATCCATTTGCGGAAATTCTTGAGCATGTGAACCTCATGTGATGTCGTCTGCTGTGATTTATTTCTCTGGTCACGTGCTATTCGCGTGGCTCGCGCTATGGGGCCCATTCAGCAGTTGAAAGGAGGCATTGAGTGTAGCGTTCGAGGTAGCAGGAGAAGCCCACACATGTGGTGAGCCGTCCGCAGTTTGTAGGCTGTGGTGCTTGAGTGATCAGTGGAGCGCAGACAGCATTGATGGGCCAAACTCTTACGGACGTAGACCATTACCCAGCATTCGCTGGCATGCCTTCCATGTATTTGCGCTCGTCGCCTATCAAGTGTCTGGAAGACTGAGCAGAATTGTACATTGGATTTTTTTTTCTCGAACGCTACTTAGTGCGATCGATGCTGCCCCTTGACTTTGATGTTCTGATATTCAACACCGACCCTCAGTGAGCGTAGAGGGTGCAGATTGTGTCGCAATGACGACTGTACTACCGGTATCTGTTGTTGGAAAATCCTAACCAATAGCCGTGGCTGTTCCTTCTCCTCGATGGATATCGAAGAGGAGTTTAAAATCAGGTCAATTGTAGTATCTCTAACTAGAGTACTTATATTAATCTAACTAACCGCTGATGTGTTTGGAGTGTACTCGTAGATGTACTCTCAGCGAGTTTGAAGCAAGTGCTGGTGCGACAGAAGCGATATAAAGCAAAGCAAGGCTACTTGGAAATGATTCGAAGAGCATTTGGCAATTACAGGCGTTGTTTGGGGTAGGTGAAAGTATATCTATGTGTAACAATTTGCTCCCTTGGACATATACTGACACAGGGAAAATGACGGTTTTAAGCCCTTCCTTGAAAACCTAGAGCGTGAAAAATCCATTTATATCTGTAGATCCCGAATTTAACCCAGATTATCTGGCTTTTTTATCGATTGTCTTCGTGTTTGGCCTCTCTGAGTGCCCGTTTTTGGGGACCGCATACCGGCCAGACGGATAAGCATTTGATCAAGGACATCACTCACAGCCGAGAGCCCCTGAAGTAACGAGAGCACCTAGTGCATCTCGTTTACGTCTCAGTGAGTCGTAGTCGCAGTGTGTCAATGGGAACTTAATTTAATGATAGCTCAAACTACATCACTTCGTACAATAATGGCATTGCATAACCTACTGAGCGCATTCCAGTAAGGGCTTTTGAGCCTTTTAGATGCTATAAATGCCGTTGGTATAGTGTGTGTTCGCCCAAAACCCTGAGTGTATATCCCCCGTGTTTCATGTAGGAGATACCTAATGTGACTCTAAGAACGACTAGAAGAACGCGTTGCAGCCCAAAAAATTTATGCTGATGTGTTAGGATATAGATCTCCCTGTATGCCCTAAAATAAGGTCTCTCCGAACTCACGAATTGCAATGTCTCTCACGTTCGGAGACTAAATTCATGTTGCATCACTTTATACTCTTCTGTCACTGCTGCAAAAAACGTCCAGGACTGACTTGAACTCTCTGGGTATCAAAATGCCCTCCTCTACAGCCGCGTATGATACCGGGCCAACAGTTAATAATGGGTATTCGTGTTCATGGCTCCTTTGCATGTCGTTTCCGAGACCGTCGCTGTATATCGCCTGACCGGGTGGAAAAAAAAGTCATAATAATTCTATCAACAGTCATTCCAGATAACGACATCTCTGAAGCGATCTCATTGCGTGGACGCTAATCGATAGTGAACCTTCGCTGTGCTAACTGGGCTTGAAGCATACTGCTTCCTACGATCTTTTTGGCTCTTCAGCATTATTTTTTTGTATCTTTAACCCATTTTCCCGACACCGTCCTCGCGCCTTGAGTCCTTGAACCTACATGGATCCCACTAAAGCACCCGATTTTGAGCCTCCTTCGGAGAACAAAACGCCAAATCCGCCTTTGGCTCCACAATCCACCATTCCCAAAAGTGGGCCAATAATGCCTTTTGTTTTGGCGGATTATAACGCTTCTATCGATGCCCCGATACATCCTCGAACATATAAAAAACATTCAAAGGTGGGTCGCAGGGTTTCTACCGCTCATCATGGCTCAATCCCATTGAAGCAACCTGAACTGCAGCCAGCGTCCCATGAAACGTCGGAAGAAGAAGAGGAGCCCCCTCAGGTCGAGGACGAGAGCGATCACGAACACGATAACGATTATATTCAGTACCACCACCACCAACTCCATGATCACGACAGTAGGTTGGATGTTGACAACGACAACGAAAGCATCAAAACACGTACTCACGTCGAACGCCCCACTCCTAGCCCCAATGCCAGCTTTACCAACGTTCACAGCGCCCATCAATCCACTCGTGCGGACCTCGCTCGTCAGTTTACCGAGCAAATGAACCAAGCTGCCCCTGAAGAGGAAAAAATCGAGTATATAGGCTCCCGGATTCACAAGTATCAGATTGCAGACCTTGAGGAGGTCCCGCATGGAGTTGTACGCCAGGCGTCGACATTGGATCAGTATAGCTTTCCTGCCCACCGCCTACAAAAGCAGCTTAGAAATCCGAACAAACTGCCTTTGATTGTAGTGGCCTGTGGTTCATTTTCTCCCATAACGTACTTGCATTTGAGAATGTTCGAAATGGCCCTGGACTCCATCTCCGAACAAACGAGGTTTGAGGTTGTTGGTGGTTATTATTCTCCGGTGAGCGATAACTATCAGAAGCCTGGCCTAGCGCATGCTCGCCATAGAGTGCGGATGTGCGAACTTGCCTGCGAACGTACATCCTCGTGGTTGATGGTCGATGCTTGGGAATCATTGCAACCAACTTACACTCGAACCGCCAAAGTCTTAGATCATTTCAACGATGAAATAAATGTCAAAAGAGGTGGTATTGCTACTGCGTCAGGCTCTCGGGTCGGCGTCAAGATCATGCTGCTGGCTGGCGGAGACCTTATCGAAAGTATGGGTGAGCCCAATGTCTGGGCCGATTCAGACTTGCATCATATTTTGGGTAATTATGGATGTCTCATTGTTGAAAGGACCGGATCCGACGTTAGATCTTTTTTGCTGTCGCACGATATCATGTATGAACACAGGAGAAACGTTCTTGTTATCAAACAACTCATCTACAATGATATTTCTTCTACTAAAGTTCGTCTCTTTATTCGTCGTGGTATGTCAGTCCAGTACCTTCTGCCCAATAGTGTCATTCGCTACATCCAGGAACATGGTCTGTACGTTAATCAAACGGAGCCTGTCAAGCAAGTCATGGGAAACAAAGAATGATCACTGTGAGACTATGGTGACTGCCTTATTTTTGAACTGTATATTAGTATCTTTCAATTTGTAACAACTGTATTCAAGAACTCTTTCTAACTGATCCGGCTTATCTGTCGAACTATCTGACTATATGACTAAGGTATGTTCTTCGAAAATTGTACAACTGCAAATGTTCATAATGACAACATATTAAAGCTCTTTAGTGCCATCATCATTCTCAAGAGGGCAACGGAGTGGTAATATTCCGGGTGCTATTGCTACTGGAGTGTCTTTTACACTTCACGAATTTGACCGTTATAAAATGGTTGGCGGGTTGTTCAAGTCATCCACACAAGCTGAGCAAGTACAAAAATGAAAGTTGAGATCGCGGCTAACTACTGTGCGCCTAATTTGTCCAACTGCTGCTCGGGAAAGATGGACTTTTGGTTGCGATGGGCTAAAATAGTGAATAAACCTATATAGGTACTGATTTTTTATTGATTGAACACTCGTGAGCCGAGTAAAGCGCTCTGTTGAAAACACATCTCAGTTCGTACATTCTTTATTGGCCCACTAGAAAGCAATGGACCATCAAGCTGGCAATTGGTATAAATGGTTTATTGCTGCGGCGAGTTTGGCGACTGCCGGATCGCTTTACTCTGCATTTGTTGCCTCTAGAAAGCTCTCAAAGTTGGCACCCCCCAAAGAAGGAGTAGCAGATTTAATCGGTAACACCCCGATGGTGAAACTGGAGTCCCTCTCAAATTCGACGGGCTGTGAAATCTATGCAAAGCTTGAACTGTGCAATCCCGGCGGTAGCGCCAAGGATCGGGTGGCCCTGGGTATAGTACGAGCCGCCGAACGCAAGGGCCTCCTCAGACCCGGAATGCCTGATATAGTTTTTGAAGGGACTTCTGGATCTACTGGAATCTCGATAGCCACGATTTGTAATGCGTTGGGCTACAAAGCGCATATTTCTCTGCCTGATGACACTTCTGAGGAGAAACTAGCACTTTTGGAAAGTTTAGGGGCCCAAATCAATAAAGTGCGGCCTGCTGGAATCGTCGATCCCGAACAATACGTCAATGCTGCTCAGAGAGCGTGTAACGATCTGAATAGCAGTCAGGAGGTCAACTCTCAAGGTGTTTTTGCAGACCAATTTGAAAACGATGCAAACTGGAGAGTTCATTACGAGGGGACGGGGCCGGAAATATATAAGCAAATGGATGGTTGTATGGATGTGTTCATCGCTGGCTGTGGGACTGGAGGAACGATATCGGGTGTTGCCAAGTACCTGCGAGAAAAGCTGGGTGACAAATTGACAGTTGTACTAGCGGATCCACAAGGCTCTGGATTTTACAATCGTGTGAAGCATGGAGTAATGTACGACCAAGTGGAGCAAGAAGGAACCCGAAGACGGCACCAAGTGGACACGATCGTGGAGGGCATCGGCCTCAATAGGGTAACCCATAATTTCAGCCAAGGTGAAGCTTTCATCGATGACGCTGTGAGAGTGACCGACAGCCAAGCTATTCGTATGGCCAAGTTTTTGTCTGTCAACGATGGGTTTTTCATTGGGAGTAGTACTGCCATCAACGCAGTTGCTGCCGTCAAAGTTGCCAAGCACTTGCCACCTGGATCCAAGATTGTGATTATTGCCTGCGACAGTGGCTCTAGGCATCTTAGTAAATTCTGGAAAGCGGCCAAACAAATAGATCCACGTATCTCTTTACAAGAGGTACTCGACAGTCCTCGATCGTGACGGATTACAACGACTTTATAGATGTTAGCGACGTTGATCTGCAATGCATGTTTTTCCAGGGCGCTCAGGAAAGCTGTATTCGAATCTTTCAAGTATGTAAAACTAAAGGAACAATGAAAGGCAGAGTAGCCGGTTGACATTATGCTAGGCTCTCGGACGGCGATCTTCTCTTTCGGATGGCTCGGCGGCTAAAGGAAATTCGGTTCGCTTACTGAAGTTATATAGTTATCGACATCACAAAGATGCCACCTGGATAAAAACATAACGTTATCGCATGTCAAATCCATAGCAGATATTTTGAATGATTTGAGAGCACCTCAAGGAACATTATCAGCCCGAGTTCAAGCCATTCACTTCGAACTTTCATCACGAAGTACGCTGGTCACATCTTGGCATCATTAACTCTTATTCAATGTAAAGGTCCATCGTAGAAGCAAGAAAGCAAGCCAGCTGCAAGAGAAACAATGAATTCTATGGTCTATGTTTGTCCAAGCGCCTATCTAGCCTCTCAAGATGCTAAACTATGGCATAGCGAGACATTCAAGCCAGGCTTCGTGCCAATTTTAAGAACAGATCTACTTAGAGTCAGAGACACGCTGGATAAGGTAGTATCTAGCGTCAACGAACGGAAAGCCGTCCACATTTACCAGAATGATCAAGGAGAAATGCCAAATCTCGGGAACCCAGCGACGGCAGACAGCAAGGAAGATGATGGAAATGCAACGGAACAGGAATACCAGGATGTAAAGCAGTTCCTTCCGATCTCCTTAGAACAACAGCTTTGCACCATCTCCCTTGTCCTCTCACATACAAATATTACACACAGCAAGCTGGCCCCATTCGTTGCCGACCTCGAAGCACTTTCGGCCAAACTACTGGGGGTGTCGAAAGTGCTACAGTGCTGGAGTTTCTTGAAAGGATTGGAGACCACCACGGTGTTTTTCAGAAGCGCAGAACCTAGCTATTTGGCGTCTTTGGTACATTGCTTGAATGCTGCTTGTGCAGTCTGGTCCAAGGACGAAGGATCTGAGGGCACTCGAGTGCATTTTGACGAGAATACAGCAAGATATCTGGAGGAGCATGGGCTAGGCGCGACGAAACTTGACAATTCTGCCTTTGAGGAGAGCGTCGCCCTTCTAGCGCGGACATTAGATCAGTCTCAGATCGAACAGGTGTCGGAAAAAGATGAAAACCGATCGGTGGATTATGAAGTGGACGTCTCAACTCTTAGTGATCTGCCGCATAGCTCTCTAGACCAATTGTGCAAAGATATTGTTCGCTTTCGTACCCGCGTCGTTACCATCGAAAAAGAGAAGCGTGCCAAGGCGGAGTACGAGGAGAATAGACGCATGGGTCAGCATATGATGAAGGTTTTCGATCAAATCCGTAAGAGTAAAGGCGGCAAGGCAGCAGTTGAGGACGGAGAAAATGAGGACGGAGCTTCTGATCAAGAAGACGAAGAGGATAATGAGGACGATTTGGCAGTGGAGAAACGCCAAGAAGAAAAGCGGGAGAAGGAAGCAGAGCACTCATTCAAAGAACTGCTCGAGCGTTACACGGCGAACGTTGAGCCGCGGCTTCGCTCCTTGCAACAACAACTCGCGCACGAAAAAGCATATGAGAGTAAGTTACAGCAGGAGCGTCCATTGCATCTAAAAGAGCTACTGCATCTGGCATACAGTCCTTACTACGACCATCACCGGTCTTACAAAGACGAAGAGACCCGCCGTGACGAGGAGGATCGAGAACACCATGGAATCGCAGAGGCACTACGGGAACGTCAACAAAGCGACCAGGAAGAAACCGGGGAAGGGCCCGTGGCGCCAACTGGGGAGCCCAACAAGTTCAAGATACAGATCGGGAAGGCACAAGCGGAGGGAAAAAGCTTGCTTCCCGAGGACGGAGAAGCACTTGTTGCTGTGCTTGGCTCGCTGCGCGATTCGAATGTAATTCAAGAACTCGTGGTGGAGTTTTTGGGTGAACCCGACCAGGACCTGGCCGACTACATCCTAGAGCACCTCAGAAACCATCGCGACAGACAAGCATTACTGGACGAACTACGGGAAACCTTTGATGAGGACGCGGATACCATTGTGCAGCGGATATGGGAGAAACTAAACTCCTTAGTGAACGGATAGAGCACCACAGCCCCTGCCTATCGCCGCTCATCAGCGAGTCTTGAGAGGCCACGAACCTCGACGACACGTCCGTTAAACGTGATCTCATCGCCAGGCGATTCCTACGTGTTACCAAGAAAGTGTGTGCGCGAATCCGCAGACAACCTTGCGATCTCACTGGATAGACTACATTGGACAGTCTTCAACTTCTACGGTAGTCCGATCTCGTGCATGGTGTTTATCAGATGCGATTTGAGGTTTTCGCCAATAACTAAATCACGTGGTACCAGGTGCCAGATTACAGCATCTTGCCGTTTTTGGTAGAATTTTCAAACCACGAAAAAATCGCTATGCTCGCATAACTACGAACGTTCTTGCATATCGCTACGCATATCATGTTACTTGCAAGAATGTGTTTGTTTGAGTTGTTTCCCAAGTAATCGTGACATCGTGAGCTAAGGTCTGGACCCAGTTGAGGTACGTTTCCCGTTCACACCATTTTTTCTGGTTCGAGCTGGTCGAACTTAACTTTCCTCAACCACCATCCTCCAGCTATCGCTCTCTTTTAAAACCAGCCAACACCACTAGCAGGTCAAGTTTGGTGTGTTTCTGTTGACGATATTGACCGTTTGAACACACGTGGAAAACAAGCTCGGGTAGGCTCGAGGTTTTGCGATTATTCTAACTGTGTTCGCGTATTGAGCATCGAAAACTGTGGGCTCTGAAAAGCTTGATTTCCGTTCGCTTTCTGTTCCTCCTTTCTTTGATCTTCCCATTTGGCCAGACGCGTCCCTTCCATACGGTACCCGTGTTGTCCGACAGAGCTGGAAGATCTCCGCTTTGATTGTTTTCAAGACGCGCTACTTACGGAGCTGAAAGTAAGCCGATTTGAGCCAGTTGTTTAACCATAGTCACTCTTTTCCCTTTTTACCTCACTGGCTTTCTTTCGTTTTATCTTGCTGTTTGAACCAGACAAGCGTGTACACTTTTCCCCTCTACATTCTGATTCGCAATGACCAATTATTTGACGTGGATCTCGATTGCGCTGTTAGCTTCTGAGGTTCAGGCAAGCAGACTGTCCGACTTCCTGAAGGAGTTGTCTCCAGGGTCTTACTCGAACCAAACCTCTGTGGCCGTTACGTCCGCCACGGAACATTCGGGAAGCTCTTCATCCCAGACTCCGTCCCAAACGTCTTCCCAAGCTTCATTCCTTTCTGAGCTATTGAGTAGTGCCACCTCTTCTGAGGTAGAGCTCAGCTCCACAACTAGGAGCACTGAGCCAAGCACCAGTTCCCTCGACCCTCGCGCTTCCTTCACTTCGAGCTACGGCGCAGAATCGGAAAGTTCGTCTATCTGGCAGACAACTTCCTCTATTCCCTCGACATCATCCTCGAACCCAGTCGCACATTGGTGGCGAACCTCGGCGGAGCCTTCTTCTGAATCTTCATCCTCCAAGAGCTCTCCCACTTTGATAATATTATCCAGTTCTTCCACCAACGCTCCTACCACTACGTCTACTTCTGAAAGTGGTAGCACTGCTTCCCCCTGGAGTGCTGCTCTGGAGTCGAAGTATTCATCAACTTCAGATCTTGATGCCTCTACTTCCACTTTCGCTTCTGCCTCCTCAACTTCTACCACTCCCGCCTTTTCCAAGTCTAGCTCTAGCACTCGCTCGTCACTTTCTGTATCCACATCTTCACTGGGCATTCAATCGTTTTCCGAGGAGTCTTCAACTGCGCTGACACCAACGTCATCGAACTCAGAAGTGCCTACTGCAACCTCTGCGCTCTTTACTTCTTCTGCCTCTAGCACGTCCACGTCGTCGGAATCCTTCGATTGGCTGCCTAGATCGTCGTCAAGCTTTTCCTCTAGTAGCTTGATTTCGTCTACTTCCTCTTCTTCCACTTCCGACAAAGGCTCAATCGCTACATCCGCAGAAACGCCATCCACATCGACTTCTTCTGGCACGCTAGATGACCAGTCGTCGTCGTCTTTCACTGAACGGCTCTCATTGACAAGCTCAGAGCCGTCTTCGAGCACGAGCTTTTCTACATCAAATGCTCAAACTACGCCTACCGGTACGACTTCATATTTGACTGGAACGACGGATGGGAGCACTGAATACTCATCAGAGATGTTTCAGATCACGCAATCTTCTACCGAGGCGGCAACAAGTGCTACGGCTACAGGGTCCTCGAGAGTATCGGGCTCTTTTGCAACAGCGGTACACTCGGCCCAACTTTCCTCAATATCAATTTTGCCCTCAAGCTCCTCTGGTGCTACACTGTCATTAGCTCCATCATTTGAACCAGTTTCAAGCGATGGAACCTCAACGTCATCTGTATTGCAAAACTCAGGGACGACCACTTCTACCCCCATGAGCTCTTTCGGCCAATCTAGCGCATCACAGACTTTGGCTTCTTCATCCTCTTCCGTCACAATACCCCAATCGTCGCTTTCAGTGTCCTCGGAATTGAGTGAAGCGACCACGAATGTGCTTGATCAAACTCAGGCTTCCTCAGGATACTCGTCCGTTCTCCTCTCCTCCACGGCAAGTTCGTTGAGTGGGGTATTTGTTGCAACTACATCTTCAAACTCTCCCTCCTCTACTCTTCCTTCCCACACTTCCACTCCCGCCACTCAATACCCATCGAGTTCAGGTGCTATTGAAAGTACAATTAGTTCCGTCTTCTCAACCCCAGGACCTAATCAGTGGTCCGAGTCTGTCACTTCCACTTTTGAATACCCCTCGAGCGCACAAACCAGCGCCTCTATAAGTGAACCCTCTGATTCCAAATCCTCATATCAATCGATCACGGAAGCTTCTTCCGAAACTTCAACTTTAAGTTCAGGAGATCTGTTAAGTCAGACAGCTGGTTCAAGTCAATCCACTTTTGAGGTGAGCTCATCTGCCAGTGAGAGTGTTGAAGGAAGCACAGTTTCTAGCTCTGTTCAGTCGAGCTCTCAGGTAATCGAAACTTCTAGCTCGCCTATTCCTTCGTGGTTTGTGGGGCCCTCGTCATCACTTGTTAGTTCCTCTTCTACATCCCAAGTGCTTTCAGATTCTACAACTAGTGCCTCGTCTCAATCTGGAGGAAGTTTGGTTTCTTCAGACTCTACCATTGCCTCGGAAGCTTTATCAACGTTTCAACCAGTCTCTACTAGCGCGGTATCGATTTCTCAGACGTCTTCCACGTCGAGCCCTGGCGTCCTCGTTGAACCTACTTCTCAATCGTCACTGGTAAAAACTGAATCTTCGTCACAAAGCTTGCTAATCAGCAGCTCGCCAACACAGCTTTCATCGAGTGCTACTGCAGTCCTTACGTTGAGCTCCTCGCCTTCAAAAACGTCTACCTCGGGGTTTTTGACTTCCACTGGTGAGGTCCCTTCGATTTCAGCCTCATCGACTTCCTATGCACAGCCCTTCAGCTCCTCGTCATCCAGTGGCACTTCGCAACAAATGTCGTCGGCTAGTCAGTCGAAAAGCACTGTGTCTGTATCATCTCTGAGATCGTTATCTTCCACCGTGGGCATCTCTTCAATTGCTACATCGGCGAGTTCCTCTCAAAGTTCTTCGCAACAGTCATCCTCCACTGGTCTGTCTGAGGCATCTGTGTCCACGTCGAACTGGAATGGCAATACGGTTTCGAGTATTGATGGCATTGCCTCATCGACATCTTCGATAGGCTCTCCTTCTACGTCTGAATCTTCCGCTATAACGACTGTATTGTCGCCAGTGATGACCTCCACTGGTGTACCTGTGGCTTCTGAATCTTATGCACCATCATTCTCAAGCGCTCCCTCCCCTTCCAGTTCTGCTGAGGTACCAAGCACAACCTCTAATTGGCTTCCAACTGCTATGATAACAGCTGCTTCTTCTACTGAATCAGCAGCCGCCATCAACAGCGGTACCTCGAGTAGCTCTCAGCAAGGCACCCAAACTCTCCCTCAAGCCATTGGTGCCCCTACAGAGGTTAGTCAACCTCAAGGTTACAGTTTAATCACAGTTGGATTCAAGCAGGTTTTGAATTATCCATTCGTTGTGTCAAATCCTGTTACTAGCGCTCAAATTTTTGCATACCTCCCTGACGCCCTAAATGAGCCCTTTGGGTTTTCATCCTCTGAAATTGAAGTGTTGAAGTTGGTCCCACTGCAAGTTAGCAATAGGGACTACCTCATCACTGTTGCAGAGGTTTACTTCCCAACAGATCAAGTGGCTGATCTACAAAAATTGATTCAGAATGGAGAGAGTAAGTTTTACAACATGAGCGGAAACAAGTTAGCCTCTTTCATTGATGCTACTGTTCCCTTGACGGGCTTAGTCAGTGCGAGCTCGAGCGCTTCTGGTTCCAGCGAAAACTCTGGGTCGTCTTCTAGTAGCAGCAGCGACTCTTCTGATGCTCAAACTGGTGAGAAAAGTGGATTAAGTAGCGCAGGAACCCTCGGGTCTTCCAGTTATTACTCCTCTAGTCTTGGCACCAAAGGCTTCAATAGCAAGAAAAAAATGATTGGGCTTATCGTTGGCGTTGCCTGCGGAGCATTGGTCTACATCGCGCTTATGGCCCTAGCTATCAGGTATGTTGTAAAAAAGAATCAAATAAGACAGAGCATGCCTGACTTAGAGGAAACATCGAGCTTTGACTCAGGATCTAATTCTGGAATATACGGCTTTGATGTCGAGAAGGACTTTGGCAATCGGGCCTCCATTACTCCCAGTATGAAGATCAACGATTGGATGAACCAAAACCACTACGGAGATGGGCCTGATTCCACTCAAAACAGTGCTGCCGCAGAGCAAGGTGTTGCGAATGGTTTGAAAATTTCAAGACCAATTGCCACCGAAAATTCGTTAGGCTGGAACGACGTTTAATCCAGGCGACAGCATGAGCTCGCAGGTTCGTCGCTATATATTTCTCAATAAATCTGTATTATTATTTTTTGATACACTAGGCACCTCACCTTTTTAAAACCTTTTTATTCAGCGGATAAATGCTTTAAGCAAGATTTGTAGAATTCCGTCGGCGCCTCAGTAACGATCGAGTGGCCCGTGTTAAATTCTTTCAGCGTGAAATTTGGAAAGTGTGCAGATAACCCGTCATTGGAGTTGACGAAAAGAGGTGACTTGAGGGCACGCATGAACAGAACCGGTACAGTAGTTGATTTACGAAATTCTAACGGATCTAGCTCATTGATATTGGGAGATTTTTTCACCACTTCAAGAATGTCGGTCATCTCTCCTCTGGGAATTCTATAGTTGATGTAAGGATCCATGTCAGTAGACGGATCGAAAAGTTTTGAGTTCCCCTTAACTTCCAGAAAACCTTGTGCAAAATACAAGGCTGTGCCAGGGTTACAGTTGACCGGAAGATTGCGGAATATACTTAGCACACTTTCTTTCCAATTTTTGCTCCCTTTCTTGATCTTTACTAGTCGATTTGAAATACTCTGTATAGTATTGAAGTTCTCTTTAATGTCCTCGCTAAGGTCTCCCAGATGGTAGGGTGGCATGTCAATCGAAATACATTTAACGACATTAATTTTGCGCGACAGGGCTGACATCAGTGCTACTTTACCACCTAATGAGAAACCCATGATTGCAATAGGGCGTTTCTCCCCAACCGTGGTATGGAGCAGGTGGACAAGGTCTCTGGTAAGCGTCAAATAGTCGTATGGCTTGGCCAATGGAGATCTGCCATGATTTCGAAGATCAACGTTAAATACGTCTGTGTTCAGGTCATTGGCCAATCGCTTCCCTAAAGCCCCAAAACTCCGTGCTGATCCAAATAGGCCATGTAAATTGACAATTAGAGGTTCACTTACCTTGGTGCTCGGCTGTCTAACGTGATGGAAGGCGAGATCAACAACCGATTTGTAGGGCAGCTTATTCATCAAGTTGAATGCTGGTTTCATAAGAAGCTAACGCTAAAAAGATTTTGGTGTTGTCGTGAGGGACATCTCTCGAAAGGTTGTATAATAATTATGTTTAGCTTGTGTTTTAAGTCTTAATTGAATTTCGACTTGTCGAGGTGTTTCCTCCCATTTAGTTCGAACATCACACACAGCATTAACAATAGCGAAGAAATAGCGCAAATCAAGCACTCAGCTAATGTCCCGACTCAGAAAGTTCAACAATACCGTTTTGCAAAGTGTGAAGGGCGGCGCCGATAGCGACGATGAGACCCCATTCCATCCTCTCGACACCGAAGAGCAGGAGGAATTTATCAGTGATCTGGAACTTCGAAATCTTGCGGCAAATAATCAGCTTATAGGCTTCTTGAGTGTAGGATACGTGGTATGCTGTGGGGTGTTCCTGTGGCTAGTAGTGAACGTTAGATCTGGGAGCAAGTCGCCAATATATAGGCGACTCTTGTTGTTTTGCGTCAACTCAATCGTATGTTCATTAATAGCCTTGCGATACGAGATCATCAAAGACTTCAAACTTGTGGGATCTATCAAGATGCGAGTCACTAATCATAAGATCAACGCAGTCAATAGCGTGCTATTAATGCTTATCAGCTGGGAGGCATCCGACAAAGTAGATAGGCTCGGTCTGCAGATCCTACTACATGTACCGCTGGTGCTTTTTGGTCTTTCTTTGGTCTCAAGAAGGTGGATGGATGATCTGGATAGCGAAATCGGAGGTTTGCGTGGCTTGAAGTATAAGTTCAAGAACGTTTAAGCACCTGGAAGGGAGACACACCGGAATCGAATTTAGCCAGCCTAGCGACTTTACGGCGATCGCTAGCGAGTTGGAGCAGCCTATAACACATTGTTGCGGTTTTATCATTGGAAATAAGCTTCACGAGCTTGGGGATCATCGTCGCGGAGTTGGTTAGTGCATATGAGATTGAGCCTAGGTATGCCTCCTGTTGAAGGAAACGTTGGCGACAAGTTCTTGAAAATGCTAGCGGGAACTGGAATTCGAGTTGCGACATGAATAGGGATACAATGTACTCGTTGCAATGCCGGACAACGTCGCCTGCTGCGACCGAGCGGCCCAGTAGATCTGCGTGTATATGGAGCGCGGCGACGGTGAACAGCCTAACGTCTGTGTGCTTGAGGATCGATAGTGGCTGTTCCAGAAGGCTCTTGGTCTTCATGTTGGTGAATACGTGGCACTCAAGTGAAATTTGGACCGACTGGCGGTCACTGACCGTGGCAAAATGGGGCGTATAGTTAAGATCATGCCAGAACGCTTGGCTACGAGACAAAGCGGCAACTACCTCCTGAAGCAAGGATTCGATAGCCAGCTCGCCGTCGTCGAGGTCAAACTCAATGGTCATCTGGTGGTGTTAGTATAAGCGAAACTCATGTAAAATCTGGTACGATGCGAAACGTACGGTTAACTTTCGATGCCTGGGCGGCAAAACGATGCAACTGTGGTTAAAAGTTCCGTCTACGTCGTCACAAGATAGCGAGACAACAGTAGTCCAGCGAGTGAATAGATCGCGATGTCTGTTAGCTAAGTATATAGGCTCAAAGTCTACGTTCATGGTTTCCACTCCATGTACTGGTCTGTTGAGTGCTTAATGTTGATGCCCGTTACAAACACTTTAAAAACAATGTTCAGAGTGCCAACTAGTAAGACAATTACAAATAATACAAATCACGGACTATGCGAGACTACCCAGCAGACTTAGGATACCCAAGCCAGATTGAACACTTCAACTCTCTTGGCGCCGCTTAAAATGGAGGTTATGGCCAAACGCCAGGTCAAGTTTCACATCCGAGAGAAAAGTCACAAACAAGCACCGGAGTACATGGGCATAAAAACCAACACTCTCCAAGCTCGAATAGCCACCCTAACTGTGTCTCCTAGCCCGTTCACCAGAATCATGGCCTTGTCCATAAGAGAGCGGTATAAGCGCCTCCGGCACGTGGATTTAGTTGGTTGCTCTATCTGAAAGTGAACAAATACTTTTAAAATATACGGTTGTTTGGCCGAGCGGTCTAAGGCGCCTGATTCAAGAAGTTTTCTTCTTAACGCTGTCGTACAGCGGGATCCTCAGGTATCGTAAGATGCAAGAGTTCGAATCTCTTAGCAACCATTATTTTATATTTTTGGACCTTTAGATAGGTGAGTGTCGGTCGGGTCTCTCTTCTTGTGCAACTAGTACTGCTTGCCGGTGCTGTGTTTAGCCCAGCGACCAAGAGTGCCTCCTACTTGCGCAAGAGTTTAGGATAGGCGTGTCCAGCTCAGCACTACTGGCGTGTCCCGTGATTTCTGCTCAAGTAACTGATTTAAGCCTTGAGCTTACCTGCTTACACCTAGTCCGAAGAATAGAAACATTTAGCGTTTGACAGGCGGTGCCAGGTGCTGCCTCTTGTGATTACTTCATCCATACATTGATAGCATGGTCGAGGTTAACCACACTATCATCGGCCAGTTCCCGTACTTGAACAACACGGGCGTCGAACTTGTGGCTCCCAGCAGATTATGGGCTCCAGTGGTCAACTACCCGTACCAGATTTTGCATTCGTTCTACAGCGCTGTTGTGGTGCAGTACTCGTCGCAATTGACCGCATCTATAGCGTCGGAAACACTACACATGGGAGCCACGGCCTTTGTGCAAACTGCGGGCTATTTCTTCAGCAATTATGCTGTTGGGTGTTTTGTCACGGCATTGGTGCTGAATAGGATCATCTCGATGGTGTCTCTGCGGTCTCCGTCTACACATGTGCTGCTGCCGCTTTGGTCGCGAGTTTTCTTCCACGGATTGGCCATCGCAGCCATTTTCTACAATGTATGGATCACATTACGACCGGCTTCCAGCCAGGACGCGAATTGGTACTTCGCTTTCACTTACGCGGTAATATGTTCTTCCCACTGCGTCGAGACTTTCATCACCGTTACCTCCAACTCGAAGCCCATGGAGGAGTTTGACTACAGCATATTCGAGCTCTCCATGCAGTTTTACTCATTGTCAAGATCCCCAAGCAACCGTCGAGACTACGTTCCGGACTGCTTGATGGCGCTGCTAGGCCGTCTGATTATCCATTTGGTCGAGGTAACATCAAAACGACATTATCGTTTACTGGGGTCTACGATCATTAATGTGGGTCATTTGATCTACCTGATTGCCACCATTTTCTCCCAAGGAAGCGCCTCTATCCCGCTATTGGTCAAATATAGACACATTCCAAAAAGTTTGGCGTTGGTGTGCATACTTGTGTCACTTCTTTGTTACGGACTTGCATTGTTGGTACGGTGGAGCCCCGTTGGCAGTAGCGATCCCTCGGATCTACAAGTCCATTCATTCATGCAAAACTGGTACAGTACCTTGAACTGCAGTGGCGAGGAAGAGTTCACAAGCACACTAATAAATCTCGCCATTCTCATCTGTAACCCGGGTCAGACGGAAAAGTTTGGGATTCATAATGAACTTTCTCAACTATCGCATCAACAGGAAATCGACCATTCTTTTTTGGTCAGTGGATACTTGAGTAAGAGGCAACATGCTATTGCAGATGCTGTTGCCACCTCACATCCACAGCACCCCGTTTGGCAAAAAAAATTGACAGCTGTGTGGCACCTCAAAGAAGCACTGAAATTTAGGCTTCGCAGCCTGATCGGTCGCGACACAAATGCACTCAAACATATGGTCGACAGCGAGCAAGTTAGAAAAAAAAATCTCAACGATCTTGTTACCGGTGCTAACTACCAGCATTTTTTCACCCGGGCTCCTAGTTTAGAGTCTACACATACTCCAGCTGGGCGGGCTGACCTCAAATATGTATTACCAGAGGACGACTGGTCTGCAGATTATGTTGACGATAGCGATGATGATGATGATGATGATGGCGACATTTACGATACAGACTGCGACGTTGAGTCTGACTCTGAAGCCCAAGATAACTTCCACAATGTTTCCAATGCTGAAATTACACCTATTCACGAGCTAGCAGAACTGTTGGTCTTTTCTGATGGGTACAAAGGCGCCACAGACTTACCGCGAGACCCGCAATGGATGCTCTCCATGTGGGCAATTTTGCAGTGTGAGGAGCAGCGCGGCAAACGCCTGACGCGCTCTCAATACTCCCAATTGAACGAAACCAGCGTATTACAAGAAGTTATGCTGAAAAGGTCATTGGAGTCAGGCTCTTCAAGCTCAGATTTGGGTCGCGATCTTTCATGCGTTGTGTGTAAAACAAACGTGCGTAACATTGTGCTGTGGCCCTGTAAGTGCTTTGCCATATGTGAAGAGTGCCGGGTTTCCTTGGGGCTTCGAGGCTTTAAAACATGTATCTGCTGTCGGGTGGCGGTAAAAGGGTACAGCAAAATCAATGCTGTTTAAGTTAAAATGAGAGCACTACCGATACTACAGATGCGGTTCAGAGCTGGATCTCGGACTACCTCTTGAAGAGCTGGCTACCTATTTGACCATGTTATATGCCCTGTATAGTTTAGCGCTTAAGTATGGAAAGGGCGGGTAATCTCATTTCTTGGAAAACTATATAAACTGGGCAGTAGCGGGAAAAAGTTCTTTCCCATATAGAGTTTTTCTAGCATAACCACTGTTTTCTTCAAACAGTGTGAGGACCTGACTCGGCAAGATCTGGGGCCAGGGGAACTCTCTCATCTCTCTTCGGAGACCTGTGGAGCAGTTCCTTGCTATTGCTGCTTTACTGGTCCAAATTGGTTTTGTCGGGTTTTTCGGCGCTCGAGAGGCAGAGTCTCAAGGAACCGACTGTCTTTCAGGAAGAAGATACTTGCAAGCTTCTCCCCCACCTCGGTGGGGTCTTGAGTCGCGTGTGACTTTTTCTACTTGATTCAATGGACAGTGGGTTGTTGCCGTCGGATTTATTCGAAGGTTGAGACAGAAGCAGCCCTGTCGACAGGTACCTAGAGGAAGCAGAATGCGTGTTCCTTGAGTTCTTGGGTCTCAGTTAGTTCTGGGTCCTGATTGAGCTCGGTCACCTTTGTGCCATTCTGCCGCGGTATATTCCTAAACGCTGTGTAGGCCCTATGGGCCAGTTATCATTTGGGTAAAACCATACCGCTGACATTTCATTTTCCTATGCTCAATACCAGTAGTTGCAATTTTTTTTTTCACTTGGAGGAGGTAAATCTTGACATCTTTTTCGTAAACCTGGCTCGAAGTTGGCTTATCCGCCTGCCCCATTCTTTTAACTATCCTCTTGAGATATCATGGTTTATTCATTACTTACTGTACATGCGTAGAGCGGAAATACTAAATTCGGTTAGTCACCAATCAATGGTGGAACAAACGAATGGAGTTTTCAACGTACACCAATTCGAAGGAATCGGCAGCGGAGAAGACAGCCTTGTCCATAACTGACCCCGAAGGAGCAGCGATGTACTTAACACCGGATCTAACGGCTCTGTAGACGTTGTCAGGGAATGGGAAGAAAGCATCGGAGGACAAAGCAACATTGTTCAACTTGCTCATCCACTCCTTCTTTTCTGCGGCAGTTAAGGGAGTTGGAATCTCGGCGAATTTGGATTCATATTCGGACTTCTCGGGCTCCTCGGTTGGAATCTGGCCAGTCACGAAAAGATCGATTGCGTTGGATTTCTCTGGTCTCTTAACACCTTGGGCCCACTTGAAGGCTAGCACTCTTGGGTGCTGTCTCAACCACCAGTTGTCAGCCTTGTCACCCGCCAATCTAGTACAGTGGATTCTGGATTGTTGACCAGCACCTAGACCCACAACCATACCGTTCTTGGCGTAGCAGACAGAGTTAGATTGAGTGTATTTCAAAGCAATAGTAGCGACAGTCAAGTCGATAACAGCCTGCTCGGTCAAGTTTTTGTTTGCAGATACGATTTCTTTGAAAGAAGATTTGTTGATAATGGCATCGTTTCTCTTTTGTTGCAAGGTGACACCGTAGACTTGTCTAGTCTCGACAGATTCTGGGGTGAAATTAGGGTCGATTTGCAAAACGCAGTACTTACCACCTTTCTTCTTAGACAAGAGCTCCAAAGCTTCTGGTTCAAAGCCAGGAGCGATAACACCGTCGGAAACTTCTCTAGAAATGATGCGGGCAGTTGGGACATCAACAATATTGGACAAAGCAATAAAGTCACCAAAGGAAGACATTCTGTCGGCACCACGGGCTCTAGCGTAAGCACAGGCCAATGGCGACAAGTTTTCGATGTCTTTGACAAAGTAGATTTGTTTCTCGACATCGCTTAAAGGAAGACCCACCGCAGCACCGGCTGGGGAGACGTGCTTGAAAGAGGCAGCAGCTGGTAAATTGAGAGACGCAGACAACTCCTTAACCAGGGGCCACGAATTTAGCGCGTCCAAAAGGTTGATGTAACCAGGGGAACCGCATAGCACCTTGAAAGGCAGCTCTTCTTGCAAAGAAACGTATGCTTGAGCTGGCTTCTGATGTGGGTTGGCACCGTAACGTAGGGGCAATTGGGTGGTGCCCTCGGAGTACTGCTTCCTGAAAAAGTCCGAAATGGCAGCATCGTAATCAGCAGTGTGCTCAAAAGCCTTCAAAGCCAACTTGTTTCTGAGGTCTTGGGTCACATCGCCCTTGGATAGCTCCTGTAGAAATTGAGGGTAATCCTTAGGATCCGATAGGATGGCCACACGCGAGTGGTTCTTGGCAGCGGCTCTCAAAAGCGTCACACCACCGATGTCAACTTCTTCCACAGCTTCTGGGATCGTCACTCCCACCTTGGCCACAGTTTCTTTGAAGGGGTACAGGTTGCACACCACAAAGTCAACCTTGTCAATGTTTTGTTCTTTCAAGTCCTGTTCGTCAGATGCCAAGTTTCTGGCCAAAATACCACCGTGGACGGCTGGGTGGAGGGTCTTGACTCTGCCACCGAGCATTTCCGGGGCGTGCGTGATCGAGGAAACGTCTTCCACGGAAAAACCGGCTTCACGCACCATGCGAGCAGTTCCCCCGGACGCCAAGATGCGCACGTTGTTTTCGGCAAGGCCCTTGGCCAAGTCTAGCAACCCAGTCTTGTCGTAAACGGACAAGATGGCAGTCTTTGAGTAATTAGACATCAGTAAGGAGGTATTTGCTGTACTGAACTAGGTTTATGTTAGCCACGCGCTGGTAGTCTCAAAATTCCAGATGATGTTTACCGAAGAACAGAGTAACTGACAAGCACCAATGGTTAGTACTTGATTTATACTTGTGTTGTGGAGTGTATCGTGCGTAGAGGAATTACACAGCCTTAATTAAAGCCATATATAATATATAAAATTTTTTAGCTTTATTATCGCAGTATTGTACTGTCTTAAATTAAGCAGGTCATCACCAACAAGATAGATAGAGTCAGGTAATAAACTCCCAAAAGTAGAGAGTCAAATAGACTTTCGGCACCCGTCTTGACCAAGGTCGACAAGAGCCGATTGAGAGCATCAAAACGATTTTTTGTTGCGAAGAAAAACAGCAAGATTCAAGCGTAAAAACAACGTAAATATGGTATCGATATAGGTAGCGGATTAAGAAGCAGAGCAGGGTTTCTACCAGCTGCCAACAAGCCGCATGTTCGAGGCCAGGACGAAGAAAAAGACCGGAATGCTCGCCATAAGCGTACTAGCGACACGCTTATTTTCTGTATCTCCACAAAGACAAAGTGTTTTGTCTCTTCCAGGTCTTTCTTCTGCCGGCTTGAGTGTTGTGGAACAAGTGACCCTTGTTGATACCACGAGACTTCTTACCGGTGGCAGTGAGGCCTCTGGCTTCACGGTGCTTGTGGACTGGGTTGGCAATCCAGTTGTAACGAGCGTCTCTTCTGATGGCCTTGTGAGATGGGTCCACCAAGATGACTTCGAAGTACTTGTAGGTGGAGTCCTGGTTGACCCAGTAGGAGTTCAACACTCTCAAGTTGGCAGCACGACGGCCGACACGCTCTTCGGCGGTGGCTCTCAAAGCTCTTTGGTACTTGAGTTGGTTGACACCCTGGTTGGTGGGCTTACCGTAGGTGGCACCCTTTGGCACAGGTCTCTTTCTGTTACCACGTCTGACACGGACACGGTAGATCACGAAACCTTGCTTGGCCTTGTAACCTAGTCTTCTAGCCTTGTCTGGTCTAGAAGGTCTGGAGGCACGGTGGATGACAGTCTTTTGTCTGTATTCCCAGACACGGACTCTTTGTAGGAATCTCAAGACATCCGACTGTTTCTTTCTTTGAAGCTCTTCCAAGTACTTGTAGGCACCCATTTCTACTTAATGTAAACCGATGAGATGAAGTATAGGAGGGAAGCGCGTGTAAGCAGCCCGACAACACTTGGTCTTTTTTATATCGCCCTGGCCGTGAAAAATTTAGGCATCGCCGAGCTCTGTTTGGAAATTGAAGTGGAAAAAAAAGTCGGCGTGCGTGGGCCAGACCAAAATATTCCACCCACGTGACCGGACCCAGACCAGTATCTACGCCACAGGCAGGAGTCCGGCCGACAGTCAAGTAGAGGATCAAGTGGAGAGGTGAGTGGCTGGCAGCGACTACAGGCTAAGCATGACGAATGGACACCAAGAATGTGGTGCCCCCAGGGCTTGCTATAACTTCGCGAGTCAACAGAGGCTACGGCTCGCCTACTAAACAGCGCGTTCGGCATTCTCCACTGCTGGTGTAGCGTTTGTATCTGTCTTGGGAACCACAGAGCTCGGCTCGCAAGTCTTCAGTAAACGCCGGAATATACTCGATTTAGCCCCAGTCCGCGAATCAATCGGCCCCCGCAAAACGCGGGATCCTAAAAAACTCGTTTGTCGAACCTTCCGGCCATGAGAGGATGCGATCGTCTCATTGCTGCGCAATCCTGCGTAGCGTTAAGTCTTCGCAGTAGCAGATACCGTGACTCCGTTAAATACTTTGTCTGGGCCTTCAACGTCCGATTACACGCTCGCTGCAGTACGCCGCGTTTTTTTTCCAAGTTGGCCATTGTTGTTGTTTAACTATAGTAGTACAGAGAGGACACGACTGCTAGTAGATGCAGTGCAAAAAAATTTGATGGTGCTGTGGTGGTGATCGCCAGTATGTGCACGAGCCGTTGAATGACGTGCGCCAGCTGGGCGTGAACCACGCTGCCACGCTCGAGGCAAAGTGGACCAGTGAAATATGCTGTCATTTGGGCGCACAGCTACTACTCTATAGAGCTTACACACGTATGTTTCGCAGCTAGCGTAGACCTCGCTGAGAGAAACAGTCCAGGTCTGTTCTGGCGGGCTAGCGTCCGGTATGCAGGGTGTGGCAAAGTGAAACCCATGCGCCGTACGGGATCTGGGAGGCCTCGATAGCGTGGCTGGGTGATGGATGGGAAGTTCGATTTTCACACAGACAATGGCCGATTTGGTCAAACGTGTATAAAAAGGAGAGGGCCAAGGGCTCCGGGCCTCAGAACACCGCAGGTTTTGGCCGCTACGGAGAGGCGTGAAAAGAAGACCCCCACCACGCTAACGAGGCCCCCAGTATCGGCGACCACACCAGAAGCACTCGCGACCCATTTCGCGCGCTTGAAGGACAAAATCACGTGACACACTCCCCACCCTCCCCGCCATGGTAATGCAGTTGCAAGTAGACTCTGCGAGCTCGACCCAGGCCTCCGCGACCACCTCCTACACATTTCTGGGCGACTCCACGGGCGGCATTTTGTCGCTGCGCTCGTCGGAAATTCTCTCCACCGTGGCCCAGCCGTCGTCCTTTTCGTTCCACTCGCGCGACTTCCACAGCGCGTCCGTGACGTCCACCGTGTCTGGGAACATATCCTCGGCCGCTTCCTCGACGGCCTCCGCATCCACCGCATCCTCCGCATCCACCGCATCCTCCGCATCCTCCGCATCCACGGCCTCCATACCGGCCTCTGCGTCTGCTTCCTCCAGTGCTGCTGGCCAGCAAGCATCCTCCGCGGGCGGATCCTACTCCCACAGCCCGAGCTGGAAGCTGAGCACTGCGCTAATGATTCTCGCTGCGTGCGGACTCAACATTTAGCATTTCCCGGCGCTGTGGTAGCTACGTGGCTATATGTATTCTAGAGTTTTATAATGTGATAATGACAATGCCTCAACAAAAGGCTAGCTATTGCCTGGATGGGCTCAAGAGAAGACCGCAAGCTATCAGGTAGGGCCGCTGTGCAACTAACGTCGCTGTGCAACTAACGTCGCCCGCTAACCTTGCCTTGTTGTCCTGCCCATAGAAGCGAGCTTTTCACGCCGGGCTGGCTATCACTTTGTACTATTCTGGCATATTTCCTGTATGATATAAATATATCTATATATATAACGCCAAACCAGCCTTCCCGATAGGTGGCGCAAACGCCACCGCTGTGACACCATTGATCTCGTATCGCCATATCCAGCAATGTAATTAACCCTAACTTCCTAAGCTTCCGGTGGACTGAGCCCTTCTTTCGCCTTCTATTCTTAGCGTTGTCACAACCTTGGCTGACAGCAAGAATGACAAAACAACCCGAAGTGTGGAGGCTTCTTGTCTTGGCTCGTAGACGCGGTTGTACTGCTGAGCAGATTGTGATCTGTCGTGACGCGGTTTGGCCGGAGGCTTGGCTAATAAAACTTTTTACTGTGTAGCGGGACTCGCTAAAGCACGGTTTCCATTCTAGGAAAGGAAAAGCTACTACGAGTCAGAGCTTTTATTACGGCGCCAGCCATTAATGGAGTGGGTGCGACCTTGCTAATAAAAGTGAAGCAAGCCCGGCGCGCAGTTGCAGACGGTCGAAACGGTATAAGTAGAGACCTGAATCATTGGCAATTGGTGATCTTTCTCTATTGCCTCTTTCTCTCACTCATCACTCAACACACTCAGCTCAGATCAGATCAGACTACTCAGATCTATCCCACAGCGCAAGAAAAAAATATAAATACACACACAACCAATCTACACTACAATGGCCCAATCTTCCTCCGTCGGTACCGCCAGCAACTTGGTCGGTAACAGTAATGTTTCTGCTGCCAGTGCCACGTCTTCCATGGCGTCCGCCGCATCGTCCGCCAAGTCATCGGTGACTTCCGCCGCATCGTCCGTTGCGTCGTCGATGGCCTCAGGTGCCTCCTCTGCATCCGGCTCGGCCAGCTCCAGCTCGGCCTCCAGCAGCTCGTCCAGTGGTGCCGTTGCCAACGCCGTTGCCAACCCATTGTCTTGGAAATACGGTGTGTTGATGGGTGCCACCATGTTGGGATCCTTCGTCCTCGGCTCCGGTTTGTAAGCGACCGCGAGGCTTGACCAACACACTCCGTTTATTCTGGGCCGGCTCCCCGAACCCATCTACCGCATTTGCATGACTACTCCACCGTTCTATTCTACATATATGTCCACATAACTGATTTTAGGATTATAATCGAAATTTTCAAAAAGTACAAAGGCCCTGGCACTTAGACACGGTGTTAGCGGTAACACTAAGGATCCGGAAACTGGCCTCCCCCAGGTTCAAATGCTCAGCTCTGAGCTGTTCGCTAGATCAGCGCTGTACCGGAGTTGAGCTGAGTCACATCGTACGTGCACAAGGTTTCAGTTAATGTTAGTATAGTAGATTTGCCCCAAGCGTAACTCACTTCACGGACAACCTATCATCGTTTCGACTTCCATCAGCATCGTAGTGTGGCCATGGGAAACTTTTTCGAGGAGCTCTGGAACAGCATATTCACTCCAGGTACATCACCACAGCTAATTGTGGCCACCCATGTCTCGTTTGTTTTGTTATCATGCTGTCTGGGATGGCTCATTTACTGTACGCGAAACTTGCATTTCGTGGCTCTGCTTACTATCTCCACACTACTGTGGATCACGGTGACGTGGTTCGTGAATGAGCTGCACTATGCCAAGTTACGAGACAATGAAGAGCTTGCCAAGACACAGGGCGAAAAAGCTGACGACCAGCAACAGGCAAGTAAGAAAAGCACACTCAAAGACACTGCTACCACGTCGGCCACCAAGCCCGTAGCCGCGACCAGATCCAGAAAGGTTTGAGTGCGTCCATGCTCCATGTACATAGACTTCGAAAGCGAGGCGCACCGCCCGCCCATATTGCTACAGACACTCAGTATGCCGTTCAAGGACGGAATAGAACTCTTCAACTATATAGATACCAAATTATGCAAATTCGGTCTTCACTTGAATACATTTGACCGGCCCGCTGTTCCACTACCGTCTTCGTCAGGGTCTCGTGGGTTTTTCGCTGGCTTAAGTATATACGAAAATATCAACAAATTAGACAAAAATAGTCTTAGCACATCTTGGGAACAAAACTCACCTCTATAGTCGATACCAACTTTGCTACAGCGATCCAAGCTGTCGGAAAAACTCGTTCATTGTGCTAGCTTCAACAAAAGTTAGTCATTGAGCATAGAGAACCCTGTTTTCGGACCGCAGTTTTTTCTAGAATTTTGATACACGCTAGCTCCAGTGTCCTTCACGAACCCGATACTAGCACAAGCAGGCAATCCCACTCTCAGACGCTGCCTTTGAACACCTACATTGCTTGCCTCAGTACATGGACTCAGGAAGCGCCGCTTTTGGGAGGAGAGAGCCCAACAAGGCTCAGCTGCGAAACCAACTTTTGGGCAGCGATATTGGAAACATTAACGTGGCCAATGAACAGCCAATGCCCGTTATGGCAGAAGCTAGCCACTCTTATAGTCTTCCGGGCAATCGTCCGCCACCAGCGAACTTTTCCTACTACTCACAGCAGCCAGGATACGGTAAACCTCCGCTAAACTCAGGACGTGCATCTTTTGCCGGCTACCCGAATGGTGACCCTCGGGCATCCTCAATGACATCGCAGTCGAGCAACCGATCGGTTCAGCCCCACAGCATCTCAAACCTGTTCAGGATGCGCAACGGCCGTTCCAAGAACAGCGTTGCAGACGAAGAGGAAGAAACTTTAATGGAAGACTCTGACAGTTCCATTTTGACCTTCAACGACATCTCATCGCTGCGCAACAGTGGCGGCCGAAGGTATGGGGTGGGTCCAGGCGTGGACGATACGTCACCCATTATTCCAACATTAATGACAAAAGGACATAGCAACATGAACAACGTTGAGTATCGAAAACATTTGGCTGCGCAAAAGAAAATGACCATGAATGCCCTTACGAAACAAAACCAGAAAACTGGTGCGCGGTCTGCCAACAGCGATCCTCGAGCCATGTCATTACAGTATTCCCACAGCCCGTTTGTTCCACATTCACAACCGGGTGCCCCTGTAAACCAAATGCCGCCTTATACACGGGCCAATTCTATGATGGCTGGACCGCCGCCACAAGTCCGAAATTGGAATCCACAGATCGGTGGTGGAGATCCTCAATACCCACGGCGTCCAGCTGCAAATGCAAATGGCCCCAGAACTATGTCATTGGCCTCTGGCACGGGTAGGAGACCTATGGTTGCACCTCCACCAGGTAATTATAGACCCAATCCTGTTAATTTACCTCAAAGAGCACCAGGCGCCCCAAGCCCACTAGGTCCACCCAATGCATACTCCTCTGCTGGCCCCCAAGGATCACTTTATCCACCAAGTCAGTCGCCCCAAACCTATCAAGATCGAAGCTTCGAACAAAACCCGACAGCTTTCAACCAGCAATCAGCTTCATCTTCGACTTCACAAACTCACGCTCAAGACTTTCGTCTGCCAATCCCGTCACAAGTTAGTAAGGAGAACGTTACTCCCCTTTCATCCTCATCAGCGGTGAGCACGACTAGTCTATCCTCATATCGGGAATCAAGCCAAACACCGGAAAGTCAGCATGGTGAAGAAGGTGCACAAGTAAATGCCGAACCCCAGTACCACGATAACCAGGCTCAGAAAGGAGAAGTCAACAATGCAGGTAAAATAAATATCCTTAAGCTCTCCGATCCTCGCCAAAGGGAGCTCAAGGACGAAGAGGACTCTTCAAGGAAATTGAAGGTCAAAGAAGATAACCTCAGGAAATTGGAGTACGAGCTCCAGCAGCGCGAAAAGAAATTAGAAGATAGAGAATTGAAAGAAGAGAAAATGGAGGATGACATGGCTGGCAGAATCAAAATACTCTCTCAAGAGCGTTCACCCAGATTTCACGCCTCGCATATTAAGTCACAGGAGGAGAATATTGCTGCCGCTGACCGTAGGCGATCGCAAATCCAATCAATGGCCACTTTCGAATCGGCTCTTAGCAGCGACTCGCCAATAAAAAGGAATCCTAACCAGGCAACATTGTACAAGCTAGACAATACGACTGACACAAACGCTTACTTCACCGCCTCTGATTTGATAGAGCGCGATAATGACAGAAATAGAGACAATGTTTCGGAGGTAACCTTGACGAAAGCAGCAGAGGCAAATAAAATATCAACAAAGCCACAGAGATCGGCGTCCAATAGTGAGATTCAACCTGTATTGGAACGAAAAGACAGTGGCCTCGGTAAAGCTCGTAGCTTTTTCAGAAGACTTTCTTCCAAAGGCAGCGATATGGAGGGCGTTAGAAGACCATCCAGCGCGATATCTTTGAAAGGGCGTTTGAGTACAGATGTATTACCGGTAGAGCCTTCGAGCACCAGCGAACAGAAACAAATTTGGAATGGAAAGGCCGATAATTCAAAAAGGAAATCATTTCATTCTTTGTTTTCCAATTCGTCTGGCGGAACTAATATGGGAGAGCGCGTCAAATCGTATGCTTCGCTAGCAAATATCGAAGAAAAGAACGCGACGGATTTCAACTTCGATGGTGAAGGGAACTTAGATGAAGAGGCCAACGACAAGACCCTTGATATGGAAGATTTTAATCAGGGTTTGAAGGGTGTGGATGAGAAATCCCTTCCTCAGCCCAAGGTGGCACATGTGGTTGAAAGTCCTGCGATCATCAATAAGCCTCCATCAGACACCGATGACGATTTCAACTTCGATAACACTGTCTCTCAGCCATATAAGCCAACATTCGCCTCTGAAGACGAACTTCAGCCAATAGCGGATGAATCTGTGAGGGGCAAGTTCAAGACCGTATGCGTATCGAGCTCACAAATGAGCGTGCTCGCCGAACAAGAAACACTTACGAACGCAATTGAATTGTTGTCCAAAGAACTTACAGAGTCTGTGAGTCGCGAAGCTAGACTCGAACAAAAGATACTCGAAAAGGGCAACGTTGCAGAACATACACAGCTATTGTCTGTAATGGACTTCGAAGTAGAATTACGGAAAAAATCATCTAAAATCGTGGAGCTCATTCAACAATTGAATGACGAGCGCTTGAAGCGATACATAGCAGAGGAGCAGGTCATGCTGCAAGAAAATGGCGTAAAGCCTCTTTCGGTAGAGCTTGTGCACAAGATACACGTTCTCAACCAGCGGCTTCTCAGTAAAGATGAGGAAATTGCATTGTTGACCGAAAAGGTTGGAAAACTCTAATGTGTGACATACACAAAGAGCTTCAAGTAATACAGAGGCAGGGAATAATGTACATATGATGAAAATACGCACGCAACCTCATATAATCAACGGTACATATGAAAATGGATTTTCTTCTTCACATAAGGACCTAACCCTGAAGTTGCAAAGGTCAAAATAAAGTAATCGTTAATGTACAGTCGCTCTATATGGTGAGATGGGAGTCTTCTTCAGAGATGTTGATGGAGCCATCACATCCGTAAAATCTAAAAACTGAGTTATTATCCCACTGTAAACTATACAGTCGATGTCTATGATTGATGTGGGAATTCTCCTTCATTCCCAGTAAGACACAATCAACAGGTTTAAACTTTGTTACATGCACCTCAATTGCACCTAGAACTGCTGTTGCAAAGTGGTCATATAGTTCATCGGATTCCGTATTTTCAAGCGGGCACCATTGCTCTACCTATCTCCCTCCATGAGGCAAACTCAGGCCCGAGATTGCCTCAAAGGCTGTTATTAATGGACATTCCAAAATAATAGGATCTATCGATTTTTTCAACCGAAAGAACGTTAGCTAGAGCTCTTATTAAGGCTTTATCAGTTATATTGTGCTAATATTTGCTGAGAAACGCAAGATTATGTATAGGGCGTATGCCGCTCATGAGATTGCCCACATTCGTCCTCGTTCCAGGTAATTTTAAATACTCAACTGTTGTTAAGGATCCAGGAATACAGCAAGAATACTGGATAGTAAGAGATTTGCCTCGCCCAACTTATTCAAATTAAAAGATCCACACTGCCACTTTTTTGTAAAAAAAAACTTGGAACAGTCTTGAAATTTGCCGCGATCCACCATAAGCTGGATAGGACCTAGTATCTCGCAATCTGCGGACGAGACGAGAGTAAGTTACTTTCTCCTGCGTCTGACAATCATGTATCACATTACACGACAACGCTTGACCATAATTTTCCACCAGTCATAAATTAACGACGGTATCCATCAAGTCAACATACATTGCGAGAACACGAAGATTGCAACTCTAGAGCCTCAATTCTTATAATGGTTGGTGGTAAAAGATCGAGAAGTATGATAACTTGAACTATGTGCAGAAGTCCCGCTTTTCAGTATATTTTTAATGAGATTTTTGGGTTGAGCGCTTCTATGGGTTTATTGACGTCTTGGCGACAGGGTCGACTTTGTGGTCAAGGACTGGTACGCTGCCCCTAATATAACCTTTTTGTTCAAATAAAAAGTACACACAATTGCTGAAAATGTGAAACAATCTCACAAACATAAGTACTATAACCGTGGCACGTTTACTAACTGACAATGATTTTACCATCAGATTTCGATGACGATGATGGATACCGCGACTTCCGTCCCAGAATGCCTAAGAGGCAAAGAATTCCACCTGTTGTACAGCTCTGTAAAGAAATGATGCCCGACATTAGGACCCTGGGTGAGACAGTGAAGGCTTTTGAGGAAGATATCAAGTTTTTGAGCGAAGCGATTGCAAACGAGTTTGACAACGAAGAATATTTCAGAAATGCTCTGCTCAGCACTCTCTATGCAGTCGTTTTGGAACAACCTCATAAACAGCCGGCAATCGCACTTTTGACCATGGTGGTGAACGCTGCGAATCCCGTGGCAGGCAAGAGTATCTTAAACCACTTTTTCGGCAAGCTACAGGAATGGTGTGACACAAGTATTGACGAAGACTTCCAGGTTACTTCCAGTGAGACTGGACCCTGGAACAGGATCAAACTTCTACTCAGATTTCTTTCGCTGCTATCACCCATGGTGCAGGAGGATGAATTAATTTCGCTGTACCAAAAATTCTTTGAGCTCAGCGTTGAATTGAACAACCTGAGCACCGAAAAGAGGAACCCACTTTCCGAGGCGATCTATAGCAATACTCTGCTGAATATTCCATACCTGTTCTTCTTTTCAAAAGACAACCAGAACCTGAGGGAAAAAGTAGCTGAATTGATTGCAGGGGTAGAAGCGTCTTACGTCGTTAAGAACACCGACTTATCTCTAATTAAGGAGTACAATAAGAGTCCTCCTTATGAACCTCGGCGGTGGGTGCAAACAGTTCTGCCTAATGTCAAAAGAGTGTTGGCTAACGATATGCAGCAGATTACGGAACTATTTCCTGATTATAGTTCAATGATGGTTCAGCAACCTGGAGATCAAGGTTTCAATGACCCTCTGAATCTCCCCACTGTCCAGCAACTGGAGCCTTTCAGTGGCTTGGACAGGGGTCTTGGTTCTATTGATGGTATGTGGAAAGTGCCAAGATACTCTTTCAGGGTTTACCTGCCTAACGAAGTCGGAGAATTTGAGACTGTGGTCCCCTTCACCACTTATGCTGGTATGCTCTTTGAAGATTTGATCATCGACATCATAGAGAGTATGGAGTTTAATCGCAAAGAAGTGGCTAAGCAAGTGATTACATTGGACCTGTTTTTCAAACCGGGCATTTTCACAGAGCCAGGTCAGTCAATTGCCCAACTTATTGCCTTACACGAAGAAAATCCTATCATTACAACCTACAAGATTGAAGATTTAGCAATTGAGAAAATTTTAAGCATGATTTTTAAGCTACCAAATGTTTCTCACCCGTTTGCCTATTTCTATACTCTGCTGGTTGAGATTTGTCAAAACTCCCCGAAGGCTATTGCTCCTGTATTTGGAAGAGCCTTCAGATACTTTTTCAACAATTTAGAGCAGCTGGACTTGGAACTCAAACTTAGATACCTGGACTGGTTTTCCATTCAGATGAGTAACTTCAATTTTTCTTGGAAGTGGAATGAATGGGAGGAGGACAGCGTAAAATTTGGTAAGACTTTTTACAACCCGAAGGTCACCTTCATGAGAAACCTGATCAGAAAAGAATTACGACTCACCTCTAGTAAAACGGATGTTGAGGAAAGTTTGACTGATGAATTCAAACCTTACTTAGATAGCTCTTTTGTTTCCAGACATGAGCTGGTTGGCTACTACCAGTCTTTCTTCGCGAATTTTGATGTGGATGAAACTATGTTGAAAGACAACGATCTTTTCTTTGCACAATCATGCTTTCCTTTCAGCGAGCAAATTCAAAACGTGGTAAATTATTTCCACCAACAACCTTTGGATCGAAATGTTAGTGAACTGGCGGCAATCTTTGAAGATATTCAAAAGGCCTATGGCAACATAATTGTGGACTTCAACAGGTTTGTCACCACTATCTTAATCCAAGCCTTGACATTTTCTGGTAATAGGTCGCTCTCTCACGCCAATAAATATATTGGAGATTCGAAGAACGATGTTTTGGAATTGTTGAGTAAAATGGACGTCACTCAGGAGCTCAAAGAAAGGTGGCTTATCGAGGCCATCATCCGGTTCTGGAACTCAAACTCCCAAAATGGATTCCTCATCGTTGATACATGTAAAAACTTCGAGTTGGTTTCTGCGAAGAGTGTGCTACATTTTTCGTTCTTGGAGGACAATGACCGTGTTTGGGGGTTAGTTGATGCAACTTCTGTGGAGTCTACTTTCAGAACGCTTACAGAGTTATCACTCCGCAGGGACGCAGATGTAGAAACTTTCATTTATTTATTCGAGAGGCTTGTCGACATTGCTGCAGAAACGACCGAGAAACTAGGAACGTCCCCTGACGTCCCTGTTGCCGTGAATGAAAGTTCAACAGACTTCCGTGAGCTTGAACTTGGGTGGAAATATGAAAGCTGCTTGGGTTTTATCAAGAGTGTGCTGAGGAAATATGGTGACGAGTATGCTCCAAGTATCGACCATTTGAGCACATTTGTTAACTCCAAGGTGTCGCATACGAAGACGAGGGAGATTTTGGAAAGCTGGTTGATGGAATTGAAAGAACTATGAGTCTAAGAGGTTCAAGACATATAATTAGCCAAGTATGTAATTTCAAGATCAATTGAAGATGTTCACAACTTTTCATATGACGTAAGAGGTGCTCGCCGAACAGAGCTACCGCTGTCCAAATCAGACGCCTGGCCATCATTTGTCTCTAGATCATGAGTGCCTGCGGTAACTCTCCTTGCGACGGTACTGTTTGTGTTAGTCGTCGTTAAATATCGCACGTCTGTGTCGGATTCTACTGCTAAAAAGGGTGCCGGCGCTTGAGTATTGAAACTATCAATGTCATCAACCTGAGACGCGTCAAGGTCGGTTTCTTGAGGTTCGTCATAATTGTGAGCTCTCAATAATGCGTACACCAAATATAGTGACAGATCCATAAATCGAAGAAACTGATTTGACGTGATTTCATCACCAGAAAACCTAATATGTTCATAGAGATCAACGTATTCTGCAGCTTCTATAGGGTGCTTGCCACTTTCAGTGAACAACTCATGAACGACGTCGGCAAGAGTTTTGCCAGTGGGTGAGTTTAGCTCCATTAAATTGGAGAACACACCTTGGTATTTGAAACGACTTGTGATTATTTTGATACAGTCTTCGTAGTTCAGCAGTGGAGGTAAAGTAGCTTCCTCGTCATTGTCAAACGGTCTGGAAAGACCGGCATGTACAATTTTCTCACTGGGGGACTTAAAAATGGCAGCCAGCTCATGAGAACGGTCCATCTGCCGATGTAATAGATTTCTGCTTCCCTTATGCGGTAAATCTTCAGGCGCAATAGGCAGATATTGTTTTGGAATATCTTGCAAACAGCTGCGATGAACAATAACTCGCCCAAGAGCTATTATGATGCTCAATACACCAAACGCAACAAAAGCTCCTACCACAATAAAGGTATTAAGCGCATCGTTCGTGGACCGTGAAGCTTGAGCCATAGCGTCGATAGGCATTACTACAGAAAACCCAACGAAGAGTAGAATCAACACAGCCAAAGAGCCACGATAAAGCCATGTGTTCAGCCTACTTTTCCTTGGTGTGCTCATAACATATGAGGATATCTATCTTTTAGCAGTATGGGCAAAAACGCTCAAGCACAATGGCCGTAAAAGGGAGGCGATTTATTCAAAGGTTCTTCTTTACGCGATGTACTTGAAGTTGAAACGAACGAAGAACTAGCAGCCCATACTTTAACTCCACTAGATATTTCCTCTCGGAAAGTTTCACACTGGAAGTTCGTAGTGCTAAAACTAAAAGATTTAATTAATTTCAAATATCGATGAGCTACCATTAAGCTATTCGAACAGAAAGTCGTCAAGAGCTGTTTCAGGTGCTGGCACTTCGTTTTGGAATCATATGAATTCTGGTAGCGATACACAGGAGTCAGTGGGCGAATACCCGGTAAAAAAGCGGTTTTTCAACGATGACCTCGATACCAATCGCGAAGATCCAGACGAGCACCTGGATAATCAGGATTCGTTGCTGTTTCAGACTCCGATTCAGATCGGGTCCAATGAATCAAGTAATAATTCAAATGAAGTTAAGGAGCTGCAGGAATTGATTTTAGGATTGTCCGACGCAGACGCGTCGAAACTGCTTGCCAACACGGATCCTAAGGCCGACAAGAGCACAAGGTTATCTGATGCCGTAGGCGTCTACTTTGAACAACAGCTATCGATTCGCAAACCTAAAAGTAACTCACCAAAAACATTCGAAACCTCCTGGCAGTTTCCGTGGAAAAAAAACAGAAAGCGTACCGAACTCGATCAAAGCGAAAGCTCTACAAAAAAGCCTCGATCATCAGTCGAGTGGAGACGGTTCATAGGCTCAGTCCAAGTGACAGCTTTGGCCACGCGTCCTACTGCTAAACCGCTCAAATATGGAGGCAAACTGACGATCAAACAGAGCAGCCCTGAAGTTTCGTCAAAACTGTACTATTCCAATGGTCGCAAAAGAGCTTCGATGGCCAATTTCGTGCGACTCATTGACATTGAGCTAGGGCGCGAAGTCGGGCGTGTCCCTGAGGAAATAGCCACCATTTTGTTCCCTTTTATTGGTTCCAATGAGTTGAATTTTGAGATAACTATGATCTACTGCAATAATAAAAGACTAAGCGTTGGAGATTCCTTTATTGTACAGCTCGATTGTTTTTTAACCTCGGTCGTATTTGATTCAAGTCTCAATGGTCGAGTTGCTAGTAATACCTCAAGTCCAGAAAAACGTGGTTTCTCGCAAAACGTAATAGAAAGCGAAGAGGAGTTGCGACAAAAAGGTAGGCGGCTCGCATTTCTATCACTATTTGACCGCGTTAAACTACAATATATGTTATCTGAAAATGAAGGACCTACTGAAAACATTTCTGACACTACAGAAGTGATTGACCTCGACGAGGATGATGTCGATGCTTATGAGACTGACGTAAGTGATTTCATAAAACCAACTCAAATCCAAGAAGATGTCCTGAACGTGAACCAATTGAAATCACTTTATAAGGCTACATTGTCGATGGAATCACTAAAAAACCTACCTGAAACAGACCCCAGCCCTGATGTTTTCAAGCTGACCCTGCGACGGTTCCAGAAGCAAGGTTTGACTTGGCTACTGCGAAGAGAGAGGGAATTTGATGAAAGTACGAGCTTGTCGTCTGAAGAAGATGTTGATGGTGATATGATGAACCCACTTTGGAAGCAATTCAGATGGCCTAAAGATCTCTCCTGGGAAGCACAGAAAAAGCGGCCCGCAGACTTGAAGTCAAAGAATGATGACGAATTCTTTTACGCGAATTTGCATACGGGAGAATTTTCCCAAACTAAGCCAATTCTAAAATCGTTGGTAAAAGGCGGTATTTTAGCAGATGAAATGGGTCTCGGAAAGACCATATCTATGTTATCCCTAGTACTTTCTGTACCACATGATAAGAAGTATAACTGTTCAGAGCAAATGGGGGAAAGCAATACCCCATCAATAGACTTGCATATGTCTGATTACGTCAAACCATATGCTTATAAGACAACGCTTGTAGTAGTTCCAATGTCATTACTTTCACAATGGCAGCATGAATTTGAAAAGTCAGTTTCGAGTCCTGATATTCATTGTGAGATATACTACGGAGGTAACAATGGAAATGTCAGGAAATTGCTGACTCAAGTGAAAACTCCACCCTCTGTACTACTCACGACATATGGGACGGTTCAGCATGAATGGAGCCGACTAACCAATAAAACAAGCGGGCAAATTGAGCCCGACGATATGGGCCTTTTCTCTGTGGAGTACTTCCGGGTTGTACTGGATGAGGGTCATACCATTAGAAATAGAAACACGAAAACTTCCAAGTCACTCATGGATCTCTCGAGCGCGAGACGTTGGATTTTAACCGGTACTCCAATCATCAATCGACTGGACGATTTATACAGCATGGTGAAATTTTTACGGCTGGAGCCTTGGTCTCAAGTAGGTTACTGGAAAACATTTGTATCTGAACCTTTCGAGAAGAAAAACTATAAAAGTGCGTTTGACGTCGTCTCTTCGATCCTAGATCCAGTGCTGCTGCGTCGAACTAAGCAGATGCGCGATGTTGACGGCAATCGGCTTGTTGAGCTTCCTCCAAAAGAGATAATTGTCGAAAAAGTCAGTTTTAATAGGCATGAAGATGCACTTTACAAGTATTTCTTGAACAGAGCAGAAAGTTCCGTGAAAGAAGGACTTGACCGCGGCGATCTGCTCAAGAAATACTCCACGATTTTGGTTCATATCTTAAGATTGAGACAAGTCTGTTGCCATGCGGACTTGTTAGGGTCTCAGGACGAGAACGACGAGGACTTAGCAGGCAATAAGATGCTTCGAGAAAGTTTCAACGCCAGCAAGGCAGTATCGAACGAGTACGAGACCAAAGCTTTGGTAAGTGACGAAGAAGTTCAAGAGATCGTTGGTCGATTGTACGAAAAGTATCCTGACCAAAACAAATTTAGAGACCTTGAGTGTTCTATCTGTACTTCTGAACCTATAGACCCCGTTACCCAGACTGTCTTTACGGAGTGCGGTCACCCGTTTTGCGAGATGTGCATCTTAGAGTATGTTCGTTTCCAATCAGAGAGACAGCAGGAAATAAAGTGTCCCAATTGCCGGTCGAAGTTTGACCCAAAGCGCCTAACAACCGTCAAGGAATCTAGCGAGGGGGGGCTAAGCTTAGTTCTATATGACACCGGCTCGAAGTCCTCGAAGATTACGTCCTTAATGAAGAGCCTAAAGAGACTACAAGACGCGTGCCCTGGGGAACAGGTTATGGTGTTTTCTCAATTTTCGTCATATTTGGATATAATGGAAAAGGAACTGTGTGCCTCGTTCTCAAAAGCTGAACTCATTGTTTATAAATTTGACGGCAGACTTTCGATGAAGGAGAGATCGAGAGTTTTGGAAGAATTTGCAGAAAAAGACCTGTCCAAGTTGAAGGTTCTTCTTCTGTCACTAAAAGCCGGAGGAGTGGGCTTGAACCTAACATGCGCTTCCAAGGCCTATATGATGGACCCATGGTGGTCTCCAAGTTTAGAAGATCAAGCAATCGATCGTATACATCGTATTGGGCAAGTCAACAACGTGAAAGTCATAAGGTTCATCATGGAACATAGTATCGAGGAGAAGATGCTGAGGATTCAAGAAAGAAAGCGAACCCTAGGGGAGGCAGTAGATGCCGACGAAGACGAACGGCGAAAGCGCCGCATCGAGGAAATTCGAATGTTATTCGAATGAGATGCAAATGAGGGCATTCCTGAATATAAAGTGAGGTGGTAGTGCTATAAACTATCCGTCCAGTAGCACGAAATCATCATCAATGAACGCTTTTTTGTACAAGCTATTTTTCTTCGCCCACCGTCGCAGAACATTCAAGGATAACTCCTTGTCTGGAGTAATGCAATCGAGTGACTTTAAAGTCATTAGTATGTCACCGGTCCGCATTCCGGTGGCACTAGCAATGTCATCTAACGACACGCGACTCTCGCCACTAAGCTCACCTTCAACAAACTGGTGACATATTAGCGCGGACCAATACTTCAGGTAGCTAACCAGGCCAAAGGGCGACAAAGGTTGTTCTGGTCCTGAGATCAATCCGTCCCGCTGAGATATTTTGTAAGAAAAGTCCATCAACAACGTAGCTAACCCCCTCCTTTGGTATGGAGGGAAAGTGAGAATGCAAGCAAGGTTGTTCTCCTGGAAGGATATCAGGTCTTTTGAAAAAAACGCCATGGGTTTGTTAGTCTGCGTGTCGTAAGCAACGTAGAAGTCATAATGATCTACTTTGAAGTACATCGACTTGTTATCCAGAAATAGCTTAGTAAACAGGCACAAACATTGGCAAAATAGCGTATGCTTTCTACCATGGATTCTCCGTATACTTAATTCGGAGCTCCTATATTGAAGCCTGCCCAACGGCTTGAGGCGGCGGGGACATTTATGCACATGCTGCTGCAATTCTGAACGAATGTCCGTATATTTAAAACAATACTCACATACGTACAGCGTTTCTAACCAGCAATGGCCTTCGTCCCTTTCACCGGCCCTTCGAATCTTGGGACTCTTCGAAGTGTAATCGCGGGAAGAACCCCTGCCGTCCGGATCTCTAATCCCTAATTTTCGACTTGAAAGTTGGAAGTACGCAGTACTACCATACCATGTTAGAAATTGCTGCTCCAGGCCAAATTGAATCTTCTCGATATTTCGAGATTCGATAATACCATAGAGCTGATCTTTATCGATGCCTTTCCCTGGCTTTCCCATGACCCACAAAAACCCCGGAAATTGTAAGTACTTAAGTATAATAATGCGGTGCCAAAGCACTCAAGCGATGAATAAAATCACTAAATCTTTATTTTATTGGACGATGGACTGAACTTTGATCTTCATTCATATGCTTCCTGCTGGAAAAATAGGTCTCATTTTTAAAATAATTTAGCTCATCGCTTGATTTTGAAAAATTCTAGCTAACTTCATCATCCAAAAGAGAGGTCAACCAAGTTTGAGAAAAGTGCTAGAAGCCAGCATTTTGTTTGTGTGATTGATACCCTACGGCGGGATTCTTTGAAGTTTGAAATGGGTACCTATCGAAAACGTTTTAATGAAAAGGCCAGAGCTGGCCAAATGGCCAAACTAAAAGAGCTGAAGAAAGTGAGAAACAAGCAGTTTACAAGACACCTTGAGGATGGTAACGAGCCTCAAGATCCTCACGAATCCGAAGAACCACGCAACAGTAATGCAGAAATTGTTGAACCCTTAACGGAAGCCGAGAAAGAGGCCAAGAAACGTAAACTGGAAGAGCTTTTCAAGCCTGAAAAGGAGTCTAAGGTGTCTAGACTCAAAAAGAAACGACTAGACAAGTTCATCGAGCATCAACTAAAGAGGGAAGAAAAGAAGGCTATTATTGACAAGTTGCAAGACCACAAAATAGACACTGGTATACTCACGAGTTCGAAAAACTTGGGTCATGGCAGACAGACCAAGAAACAAGCATTCCAAGAAGCTCTGAAACTAGAGCAAATGGGTCAAGCAAGTGATAAAATTAGGGAAATCTTATATCAGGAGCATGAAGTCAAGGACTGGGAAGAACGAAGTGACGGAGATGAAGTCGACGATAGCAGTGATGAAAACAGCACCGCTGGGTTCGAGGCTAGGACAGACGAGACTGAGGCACCCGCTTCATCCTTTGTAGACAACAGACCGGCAAAATTTGGCGGGTCTGGGTTTGGCTTTGCCTTTCAGAATGCAAAAGTGGTACGCAAAACTAAACCCTCTTCGAAGAAGCGGTACAACTGGCGTGAAAGAGTAAATATGCAGGAAGCGCGCAAGCACTCGAAAGAAGATGAAATGGATTTTGATACTTCTGAGGAAGACGAAGAGGATACCAGCGAGAGCTCCAGTGATTCTACAGCTGAAGTAGATGAGGATGTTGATAAAGGTGAAGATGCGACAGGGTCCACATCTGTCTCAGATTCAAACGGTGAAGAAATTCAATCTGCCGAAAACGCTGCAGATGACTTCAAATCATGGGCTGAGGGTGAAATAAAAAAATTGGAAGGTCGGGATGTTCCGCTAGAGACCCCGCAATTGTTGGGGCCATATGAAAAGATTACTAGAATCGAAGACTTAGAAGATGGTCTAGTGGATGACAGTGCACCAGTGAGCGAAAGCTCGAAGCGGAAGGTCTTCTACGTCAACGTTAATAGGCCTGACGAGATACAACAGGCTAGGTTGAAGTTGCCTGTTTACGGTGAAGAACATAAAATCATGGAGGCCATTCATCACAATGACGTAGTCGTTTTATGTGGTGAAACTGGTTCAGGTAAAACAACACAAGTTCCGCAGTTTTTATTTGAATCTGGTTATGGTGACCCTCTTTCTCCTGATGCCCCAGGTATGATCGGCATTACACAGCCACGCAGAGTGGCTGCAGTCTCTATGGCCAAGCGTGTGGCGAAAGAACTGGGTGATCATCAAGACAACGTTTCATATCAGATACGATTTGATTCGAGCGTCTCCGAAAATACCAAGATGAAATTCATGACCGATGGTGTACTTCTAAGAGAGATGATGAATGACTTCATGCTCACCAAATACTCTGCCATTATAATCGACGAAGCGCATGAAAGAAATATCAACACTGATATTCTTATTGGACTTTTGAGTAGATGTGTTAGACTGCGCGCTAAGAATCACGAAAAAAATCCAAGCTCCGCGAAGAAATTAAAACTAATCATCATGTCCGCTACTTTAAGAGTTACAGATTTTAGCGAGAACCCTAAATTGTTCGTCTCACCCCCTCCAGTTTTAAAAGTCGATGCTCGTCAGTACCCTGTGTCTGTCCATTTCAACAAACGTACGACCTTCAACTACACTGAGGAGGCTTTTCGAAAGACCTGCAAAATCCACCAAAGGCTTCCAAGAGGTGCCATCTTAATCTTTATGACTGGGCAGCAAGAAATAACACACATGGTAAAGAGGTTGCGGAAGGAGTTCCCTTTCCCTAAAATGGCGAAACCTTTCGAAGAGATGAACAGTAGCAAGGACATGACGATCAAAGTCAATCCAAGAAATGCTGATGTGGAAGCCGAGGATGTGGAGTTCAGTGTAAACACTGGAACGAGGTTGGAAGGAGAAGACAGAGACGACTTTGAAGAGGAGGAATCGGATGGAGAAGAAGGTTTCGATGAAACGCTTGAAGATGGGCAAACTGCTACAGACCCACTGTATGTTTTGCCTCTTTACTCCTTATTGCCAACGGAAGAGCAGTTAAAGGTATTTCAAGACCCCCCTGAGGGCTCACGACTGTGTGTGGTTGCGACAAATGTGGCCGAAACATCTCTCACGATTCCCAACGTCCGCTATGTCGTTGACTGTGGGAGGTCGAAAGAACGTATTTTCAATGAGTCAAATGGTGTACAAAGTTTTGAAGTAGGCTGGGTGAGCAAAGCATCCGCTGATCAAAGAAGTGGTAGAGCTGGTCGTACAGGTCCTGGCCATTGCTATAGACTCTACTCATCTGCTGTGTACGAGAGCGATTTCAATCAGTTCTCGAAACCGGAAATCTTAAGGATGCCCGTTGAAAGCGTAGTACTGCAAATGAAGAGCATGGCCATCCACAACATATTGAATTTCCCTTTCCCAACTCCACCGGGCCAAGATGCTCTATCCAACGCAGTCAAACTCCTTAAGTATCTCGGAGCTCTAGACAGCAAAGACGCTATCACTGATGATGGTAAGAAAATGAGCCTCTTCCCTTTAAGCCCTCGGTTTTCTAAAATGCTCTTAGTGGGGAATGAAAGCGGCTGTTTACCTTACATTGTATCTATCGTCAGTGCTTTATCTGTTGGGGACCTTTTTATGTCCGAGAATGAACTAGGCATTGGCGCTCGAATGGAAGACAATTCAGAGAGTGAAGAGCTGGACGCTGAGCAAAAAACCCGTCTCCAGCAATTGCGAACCCAATACCATAAAAGTCAAGCCAAATTTTCGAAATTGGATAAATACAGCGACGTCATGAAACTTCTAAGTGCTATTAGCTCGCTAGACTACATCAGTTCAGAGAAAATGTCCTTGTTTATGAAAAAGAACTTTATGAGGCCCAAGATTGTGGAGGAAGCCAGAAAACTGAGAAAGCAATTGCTATACATTGTCAAGTCTAACACTTCGAGAGAGAACGTGGCTGTAAGCGTGTCTGAAGAGTCCTTGAAGTCGGGTGTTCCCAATGAGAGCCAAGTAAAATTACTGAAGCAGATGGTATGCGCCGGTTTTGTTGACCAGGTCGCAATAAGAGCAGATCTCATAGCTCCAGAGGATTGCAAAATTACTAATAAGTCCGCCATATCTGGGATTCCGTATATTCCGGTTTTGGCGCCCAAAGTTCCCGGTGACATCGCCCAAACTTTCGTCTTTTTGCATCCTGCTTCAATTATCAACACCAGTGGCGAAAGCCCGCCCAAGTACTTGGTTTACCATTCGTTGCATCAAAATAATCGCAGCGAAGCGTCCAAGACTCGTATCAGACCACTCTGTGACATTAAGAGTACCCCGCTTGTGAATATTGCGCGCAAGGGCTCTCTCGTCACTTACAGCAAACCGCTTTCCGGCCAAGGTATTCGTCCGCTAGACTTATCGCCAACGGAAAGATTATGCTACGTGACCCCACGGTTTGGCTCTTCTATGGACAGTGATCTGAAGGTAACTTGGGATTTAAACCCCTTAGCTGTCCATCAGAAGAAGGTAGCTGGTCAGTGGATTGTAGACAAGCTGGTCACCGCTAAATACTATAAGGACGTCAGCGTTCAAAAGTCCACAAAGTAATGCTTGGGACGGCGTATTTTACGACCACAATATAAAGTGCTCAGGGGAAGCGTTTGAAAAAAATTAGAAGAAAGTACTAAGGAAATTGCATCAAACATAGCATTATGGTTCTATGTCACTAGCGTGGGTCGGTGCTACCCTCGATCGGTGTGTATGTGTGTGTCTTGAGATTATAAGTATTCATACCTATGTACGAAGGGATGGCTATATTGATGATGTCTTTTGGTGATGGTCCAGATTATCACCATAATACTACGAATTATCAAAACATTCAACAAACACGCTATCGAAGGAAAAGTTTCGCTGCTAAATGGACTACTCACAGGTTTTTACCAACCTACAGTCAATATTGAAGGCGTATGTATACAGAAAGTCAGCGGATGAGAATTTGCATTTAGACAAAGACAAAGATGCGAGTTTTCAGGACGCTGCGACAATTCTTCCTACTAAGATTTACTAACAACGTTACCAGAGCTTCATCCAAATGTAAGGTTGTAGATGAAAAGTTCCCCAGTCGATTTTTTGAGAAAGATCCAAACAAGATTTTCGAGTCTTATAAAAAGTTTCTAAAGCCAAAAGTTGACGGCGAGGGCAATATCAAGAATGAGGACAACCTACCGGTTACTACCATTGCTGAACGGTTTGAGAGAGGCGAGTATTTGAAAAAGCAGGACGGATTCTATAGACTGCTTCACGACATAAAGCTTGTGTGCACGCTCCTGATACACTATTATCCGCAAGGCACGCGAACCTATCAGTTGGTGGACAAATTCTACAAGTTTGCAACGGAGCTACTTTTACGTGAGTGCTATAGATGCGGGATCACTTTGACGGATGACTCTTCGGATGACCAATACGGTGCTGAAAGAGCTGCTTTTCACAAGCAGATCGCTAACGATTTCATTAGAATATCGACTTCCTACTCAGTTCCCTACGCAGAGTCGTACTATGTTAGCTCCGGCGACATGGACCTCTTCTCGTCGACCATCTCGAAATCTCAGCTAGATCACAGACCAACAGAGGCCCCTAATAGCAAGTTTCTCCTGAACAAAGTTATTCCACAGATAGGGGACGAGATCGCTCCTAAGTTGGGATTCTTAGCTGCGAACGTTAGTAATATTCCCGATCCAACCCTTCCACCTTACGAAATGATGACTAAGTTTCTGCATCCAAACTGGTATGCTATGCCAACTACGGTATGGCTGGAGTACGGCGATTACAAGTCCTGGGCGCCATGTTTCAATGAAAGTGGCACAGTCATCGACGCAGGGCGCAGGGGTACAATTTGGCTTGAGAAAATTGGCTATACAAAGCTTCAAAATATGCGAGACGCGCAAATAAGCGCGAAGCAGATTGACGACGTGGCGAGCGAAAGGAATGAGGTGGCCGAGGGAAAAAGTTTAGCGCCTCAAGGGAATGGTGAAGCAGAAATACCTGGCGTAGCCAAAACAGCTGATGAAAAACAGGATGTTGTTCCCATTGACCAGCTTGCAAATGGAAGGCAACAAGAAAATGGTAATACAAATAAGATCGATCGCGAGAGCGAGTCGAAACCAGAAGCGGGTCTCACAGAAGCTCGTTTGCCTGCGATTAAACTTGAAAATTTATACGACTGGGCTCCTGGGAACATTATTGAAGATGACGAAATCGAAGCAGTCTCAAATGGATCCCATCAAAAGCTAATAACGGAGCTACTTATGGAAGTGGCAACGTTAAAATCCAAAAGGGTAGCGGGAAAAGTGAGCAAACCGTACACACGAGAAATCCAGCTCTATCACAAAGTGCAGCGATTGATGAGAGAGTTATTGCTTGCCAAACAAGTGACAAAGATACCACAAATAACAGCCCGTTCTTTTCCTGTGTTGCAGGCGAATTACATGGGAAGCATACCCGTGGTAAGGACCGTCCAAACGAGAAAAAAGAAGTATAGGAAGTGAATGCATTTGAGCCAATAAGGGCGCTTACTGAACGTTATGTGTAAATTCTTAGGTATGTACTATAGTTTATGCTTTGCAAGCATCAAAAGTGGACATCAGCCCCCATCAAATAGGAAATGACAAGATACAGATTTAGCCCACTAATAGTGAACCATACCAGAATAGAAGACACAGTGAGGACTCTACCATTGGCATAATTGACTTTAGTAACGGGGTCTCTGGTCAAGGATGTGGTTTCAGTGGCTTCATCTATGCCTGATTCGTGGCCCGTTGTTGATACGGACATGATGTTACTGTTAGACGTGAAATAGATGAGTGGTGCCGATACCACGGGCAAAATCAACGAAAGAACAACTTGACTGAAATTCAGTATGCTTGATATGCCTTTTTCACCCAAAAATGCGGCCATTACAAAGCACGGCAAAATGGCAATCAATCTGGTGAATAGTCTCGTAATCCAGGGCTTACAGGTCCATTGTATGAACCCTTGAGAAACTATTTGACCGGCCATCGTGCATACCACGCCAGCGGATTGGCCCGAGAATAGCATAGCAAGGGCAAAAATGAGACCGGCAGCAGGTGAAATATAGTAACTCAATAAGTTGTAAATTGACGTCAAATCAGCATCCGCGGCATCGGGTTGGCCATATAACGTGGCAGCAGCTACGATCAGAATGGCAGAGTTCACGAAAGTAGCGATAATGAAAAGTGAGATTATGAGCTCTGCATAGGAGTAGTTCAAGCTGTATTCAATAGCGGCCAAGGAAGGCTGTACACTACACTTGCCTTGTCTTTTGACGTCATATTCGTGTAGTCTCGGTTTAACTACCGATGAGCCCAAAAATAACGAATGCGGCATAACGGTAGCACCCAGGATCCCCAAGGATATGTACATGGCCTGTTGGTCCTTGAAAATAAGTTTAGTGGGAAAGAAACCCTGGAACAATTCAATTTTTCTAGGGACCGTTATCTTGCAAAGTTCCAAAATAAAGCAAATGACTGTAGCAGAGACCAACGTTGTCACAAACAATTCGAAAAATCTAACCTGCTTCATAGTTTGTTCTTCTGGTTTGTAAAAAATAAGAATAATGAGCACATCTAGAATTGTGAGAGCAACACCCCATAGAAGTGGTATTCCAAATAATATCTGCAGGGAAATGGCTGTTCCGACGACTTCGGCTAGATCTGTCGCAATAATGGCAAGCTCTGAGAAAAAGAAGACAACCAGATTAAGTCTGTGCGGCAGATGGCGACGGCAATTCTCAGCCAAGTCAAGACCCGTTATAGTGCCCAACTTTACACACAGGCTCTGTAGTATCAAGGCGAAAATGTTAGAGACGAAAATAACAAACAACAACTCGTAGCGAAATTGTGCACCCCCGGAGACACTGGTAGAATAATTGCCAGGATCCATATATGCCACACTGATGATGATCCCTGGCCCAACGAAGCGAGCAAACTTCCGAAGAACCTCGACCACCGGCATCAACGACAAGGGAACTGGAATAGTGGCTCACTAATAATCGATTCGATAGCCTTGTGACAATGCCTATAGAATCTTGACGGTCTTGAGTTACCTCATGGGAAATGAAGTGAATTAAACTCATACATATCAACTGAACTGAACCATCTAAACGAAAACATGTGATGCAAATGTGACACTGACGGGTGACCAAAATGACGTCCCACAAAGTATAATTCTGTTGTACTACATTTGATGTGAATAGTTTGCCTGTTGTATGGCAATCTTATCTCACAAGCATGGGACTTTTAGTTCAGATCTAAAAGTCCCATACAAGGAAACAAGGTAGCAAGTCAACATTAGAAAATTAGTTCGGTAGTCCCGCTCGGTTGCCTGGTAGCTATCGGCGGCTGGACTTTCTACTATATCACAGTTGGAGAAAGATACTAAGGGCAGACTGGAAAGAATCATTCCAAAAAGCGAAAATGTGGTCCGTGGTCAGAAATAGAGTTCACGATCACTGCTCATATCCACATAAAGGAGAAGTGGAGTATGGTCTGTAAAATAGAAGCATTCTACTACAGTGAGGAATTTGACAGGTGCTGCTTCACGAGCTATCTCATTTCCAGAAATGGTATGTTGGTTTGTTGCGCCCATAAGTGACATATATGAATATATATATATATTTGATTATGTACTCTATAAAAGAACGGAAGTCCGTGTGAATATCTTCGAGCCTGAGAGGTATCTCTCATAATTCAGTACGCTGATATCGTTTAACATCGTTTCATTAGAGCGAATGCGCTCAGAGCGATACTAAAATTAGAGAAGTTCGGTAAGAATTTGAAGCGCTCTGAATAGTAGGTTTGATGCCGAGGTTCTCACCTGCATGGGTGACAGTTATCTAGTACCTTCATTTTTGAGCGAAGAAATAAGTGGGTGTGTCTTGTAACAGTGAACCGAGTTTACTTAGTTTCCAAAGTTTTTATTACCTATTTTTAGCTCTCTTATGCTGCTTTTCGGGTTATTTTCAAGCGATCTGTTCCGTACCCCATCATCGCACCAAGATAGCACCGGTGGAAGGCATTTCTCTGAAGGCCTCTACACTAGTTAAGCTTTTTGTCATATCCTACATGGCATTTCATCAACGCCGCGTACCTATTGTTTTTCGTGAAGAAGTGAATTTTCTTGCTCAATAGAATTGACTCCGAGAGAGCCATCCAATCATCCCTTGCAGTACTATCTGTATCGGAATGAGCCTGTATCGGCGATTTTTAACATGCTATTTCACTGACACTGCGATTTTTTTCCTGAATTTTTGACAGTGGGTCGTTAGTTGAGTTCTCTACCTATCTTCCCGAGATAATCTATATCTCGATATATCCTGTCTATAGGTCACTCAGCCGGTACCCTTCTGTGTTGTCAGCAACAATGTAGGTTTAGTAATGTCAAAGAGTTCGTTATTCTAAACATGGTACCTTCTGAGTTTTTCGGATATTTCAAAGAGACAGATAGATCAGTTCTGAGTAATCACTATCCATCCGAATTCCATTTGTTTGGTAAGTTTTCTTGTCCATTCTTGTTTTACTGACGTCGCTAATATCACGTTTTGCCTCTCAGTGTTCTGACACCTGGTTGATGTCCACTACCATGCAGCCCGGCCCTATCCTAACAGTAGTATATTGCTGCTATTTCATATTTTCACAATCTGTGCTAACGATGATTCTTTAGTTTCGCTATTTGAGATTAGTTTGTCCAGGGCCAGCGGATATTCCAGGCACAGGTGCCGTTTAAAGCCCATTCTAAAACGAGCCACGGGGATGGTCTGGGAGTTTTGAAATAGATTCGAAATTAACTGCACCTCAGACTACTTATATATATCACTGCAATAGGAAGTTGTAGATTATAGGGTGTTCAAGAGCACTCCAGGTTTCTGTCCGTCATTGTGCGGAGCTCTCTCGTATTACATGATATGTAGATCGATGCTCAATTTAAGAAAGAATAACAGAAAAACGCATAAATATCTTAAACAGCTTTCCAGAATCAAAATAAGCCAGACTTCTCGGATTCTCGTTGCTGATCATGGATGTCAGAGACCGCTTCAGTGAGCGGCAGTCTGCTTTCAGTGAGCTGCGAAGAAAGAGACCAGATTTTGGGCTCACAGACTGGCCGGAACCGAACGGTGAAAAAAAGTCATTCAATTCTCGAAGTTTTACGGATTCGGCAGACACATATGATGACTCTGAGGGAAATTCGTCAAGGTCTAAAGAGCAATTACCTCTCATTTCCACGGACGTACTTGATGTACCAAGTCAAAGACTATTGGTTACCTCAATTTTCTTCATTCTTCAAGCGTACAAGCTGTACGACCTGATACTACTGAAAACCGGTCTGCCGGTCTCGGGGGTACTGCTAACAAGCTCGCGCTTCAATTTTATCACGAAATACTTCATAATTGACTCGCTGTTTTTGTATTTCCTGCCAAACTTAAACATTCCGAAATTGAACTGTAAACCAACTATGGTATTGATACAGATACTAATAATGACAAGTTTAACGGTTTTCTTGTCGAACGAACAGAGCTTCCCATTTTTGACGACCTTAATGGCAGCCTGGACTAAAATGGGTTCAAAACAATTGAGCCTCGCGGGCGGCTCAGTTAACCAACACAAAATCCACGATGCGTCCTCTCACTTCAAGGGAGCGCTCACCATCAAAATATTGCCCGAAAATACTGCTATCCTCAATCCGTTCCACGATTCGTTTTGCATGAGTATGAATGGAGTTAATGTCGATGATCTTCAAATTCCTCTACGTATTAATTCCACATCAGAGATAGAGTTCGTGCAGCTTGAATATCGTGATTTAACATCCTCTAACCCTCAACTATTAAACTTTACTAAAAAGCAGCTTGTAGAGGCTCCCAGAGAACATCACCTATTTCAAAGGGATAGGGCCTCCCATCATTCATCGATTCGTTATTTTGCTCTCCCTGTGGAGCAGATTGGAATGTACCGTATTAAAGTAATAACAGATTCCAAAAAACTAAATTTGAGACTTTATAAATCCGAAGTCATTATTCCTCACTGTCCGTTTGGTGTCATTGCAGGATTGGGAGACTCGGACCGCTGTATCGGAGAATCCAGCAAAGTTTCTATTGAGGTGCATGGTGTTCCTCCAATGAAGCTAGAGTACACGAGATCTTTGGGAGGCGAAGTTTCTCGTTTTGTTGACACTAATCTGCTTCCTGAGCGCTTCGAATCGCCTCTAATGTTTAACCAAAAATCCCTGTCCGATGATGCTCTTGCAAACCTCAAATGGGCCAATACTTATTCCGTCGCTATAAATCTCGAATCCACACTGAAAGACGATGGTATCCATGCGTACTCGCTGGAAAAGGTAATAGACGGCTTCGGTAACGAAATTGATTTCTCAGATCTATCACCAAGTCTAAAAGACAAATATGGTCTTGCATATACCTTCAACGTCCACAATCTTCCAAAGGCTACTTTAGACTCTAAGTTTGACCATAACTCACCCACTAAAAGAAGTCTTGTTGTCAAGTTTGAGGATTTGAAGGATTGGGAGGATGGAGCTCCTTACAAGGCCTTGCTCAAAGTCTCCAACGATACCGAGCAAATCACGACTCTAGAATATGATTTAACCAGACCTATTACGGAAATTCCAATTGCATTCCCAGGGACGTATAATTTAGAGTCAGTTAGTTCTAGGTTTTGCGCGGGAGTTGTAGTTGACAAATCCAATATTCTCGTTACGAAGCCTATTCCTCCAAGCTTGGAAGTAGTCTCTACTCCGATATTGGATGAATGCGTTGGCCAAGTGGGTTTGAATTTCGATCTCACCTTCACCGGTGTTCCTCCGTTTTATTATCGGACTAAAATTTACAAACTCGAAGGCAAAGAGAGAAAACTTCACGATTCTAAAAAGTTTACTTCTCAAGGAACCAGAAATCAATTTCGCTATAGCCCCACCATTGAGGGGCATTACGAAATTGTTTTTGATCAAATTTCCAACACGCTTTTCACAAAATCCATTCCTCTAGTACCATCACAAGATTACACATTTAAAACTTCTATGAGGGTTAAGCCTGATGCAGCAATATCGTCCAAGTATACAAACCAGCTATGCCTGAGCAGCCAAAGTAAAATCCCAGTCACCTTCAAGGGAGAGCCACCTTTTGCTCTTAATTACGATATTTTGGAAACTTCCACTAATAAGCGGGTGACATATTCTTTAGATGATATTCAAAGCTACCAGTACGATGTTGAAACTCCGAAGTTCGATGTTGGTGGAGATTACATTCTTTCGCTTGTTTCAGTCAAAGATTCATCTGGTTGTGCCGTAGGGATTAGTTCATCAGATGCTCGAATTGAAGTGCGCCGTGATGTTCCTTCGGCTGGCTACAACTCTTTTGAGCGTACCAATCAAGCTCTGATCAAGGAGGGGGTTTCTGCAGAGCTACCAATGAGCCTTTCGGGAATCGCCCCCTTTACAATCACCTATCAACATCTCAATAAAAAAGGGGAAGTAATAGGAACTCATGAGGCCAAGTTTTTGTCGAGTTATAAAGCCATGCTAAAAGTGGAAAAAGAAGGCACCTACAAATTGTTATCAATGAAAGACCGAAGTTGTCCTGGCCAAATTGAAGCTAACAATGAGTTTGGCGTACAGTTTCTGAACAAGCCTAGCTTTAAAGTGCTGGAACACAACAAATTGACAAAAATTAGTGACGAAGTATTCAGCAAGAATGAGGTTTGTGAAAATGTTGAGGAGACTGTCGACTTAATTCTTACGGGTTCCGCACCATTTGTGGTTTCGTATGAACTCCTCTCGCCCAGTGGCCAGGTATCTTCGAAATCCATGCATGTCGCTACGAAATACGCAACGGTTCCTTTACCTAATGATAGGGCCGGTCAATACACCCTAAGAATAAAAGGGGTCTCGGACTCAAACTATTCCGAAAAGGACCTGACCCGCATCGGATTCGCGACCCAGGATGTGGTCATCAAACAAAAAGTGAGGTCATTGCCTGACGTTCAATTTTCAGAACCGGGCAAAACTTACAGGACGTGTTCTGCCGATATCGACCACATCGCTGACCTGGAAAAAATCGGCCTCTATGTGAAGAAAGGACAGTACCCATTGTCGATATCGTTCAGCATTTATCATGAAAGTACCAGTAAAACGGATTACGTTAAAGTGGAAAATGTGACTAAAACTAATTTCAACTATACCAAGCTTTTCGAAGGATTAAACCTTGGGAATCATATTGTAACTATCGGAGAAGTGGTAGATGCAAAAGGCTGTGTTTCCGAATATAAATCGGAAAAGAATCATATTTTAATTTCTATCACCGATGTTCCTCGCATTTCTCTGGTGGAGCCTAACATGAACTTTTGCGTGGGAGACTATGTGGCTTATCAACTTGATGGAATGGCGCCGTTCACGATAAAATATGAATTCAACGGTGTATCACTGAAATCCAAGGAACGCACCTCTCAGTTCATTAGATTGGCTTCCGAACCTGGTACCATTTCTATCAACTCATTGCAAGATTCGGCCTCTCAATGCGTTGTTAACTTCATGAAACCTGGAATGGAGCGCCACTACGAGGAACTATCCCTGGTAATACATCCAGTACCCTCGGTAACTGTTTCCCGCGGGGACTACATCGTGGAAGATATACACGAAGGCGATCAGGCCGAGCTGATATTTAGCTTTGAAGGTACGCCTCCTTTCTCTCTCACGTATGTCCGTACCGAGGAGACAGACGACAAGCGGGGCAAAAGGAGACCTCGGATTGTCGAAACCCATAAGGTCAACGATATTTACGCTTACGAATTCAGAACGTTCACAAGCTTGCAAGGTAGGTATGAAGCCGTCGCAATTTCCGACGCATACTGCTTTGCTAAAAATGATGCATACTTTGCCTGAATAAGGCTCGAAACTTGATACGACATTTGTAGATATACTTTTTGTTCATAGACGATAATATCACATCCATTTCGACAAAGCATTGAGTTCACAAATTGGTTAAGTTTCTGTAGAGTACTTTGATATATAATTATGTAACTTCATTCGAACTATGGGAGACTTACGCGACCATACATGAAATATCCCCGGAGGCTCACGCTCGAGCAATGGGATCGGTTTTCAAGAACTACGAAACCCCCCAAACTGATAACCTTTGATGCATACAATACGCTTTACTCTACAACGCTGCCAGTTATGGACCAATATTCTCGGATTGGGCAAAAGTATGGTCTGGAAGTCAGCGCAGAAGAACTCGCGTCAAGGTTCCCCAAAGGTATGTGTCAGCCCGACGTAGAATGGCACACAATTCAGTCAAAGCCACCATACTAACGTTTGTTCAGTCTTCAAGGACCTTCGACAACAACATCCGAATTACGGTAAGAGGACAGGTATCACCGCTAGAGAATGGTGGAGGCTACTGATTTCTGCTGTGTTCGCCCCTATTGAAACTCCTCAAGCAATGATTGCTGAGATCTTAAGGGTATTCGATGGCTTTGGGGCTTACACTGTGTACCCGGATCTATTGGAGTTATTAGAACACATCAAGGAAGAACATCCAGATACCATATTGGGCGTTGCCAGCAATACAGATCCGATCATGTATACTCTACTAAAGAATATTGGACTGCAAACCTATTTCGGCAATCATATCTATTTGTCCTACGATTTGGAGCTGTCCAAGCCGGATCCCAAATTCTTCGACGCTATACTTCAAGATGTGGTTCACAAGAATCCCGAAATTCTCGCAAATTCTAACCTGGAAGATCTTAAAGCTAGTTGTTGGCACATAGGAGATGAGGAGTCAAATGATTTGACAGGAGCGTCCGCTGTCGGTTGGAATTCTGTGCTCATCGATAGAGTCGACAAATATAAACACCTTTCAGGCACTGCGGATGGAGTTACAAGGCAAGTTTCTGAGCTATACGCAGATAAAATTGACAATCATGCTGCGAAAAGCTGGGAAACGTCTCTCAGACAGACTGATGTCGTGCAACTGGCAGATCGGGAATATGTGGTAGCAAATTTCAACGTTCTTAAAAAGCTTCTATATAGTTAACAGGTGATGTTCGTCAAGCCAAGGACAATCCATTTTTTCTGCAAAACTGCAATATTAGCGTGGACTTTTTGAGTCGGATATCGGCGATTCGCCAGTGACGTTTTAAATGGTGTATAGTTGGGGGAGAGGATAAAAAGTGTCAGCGGCACAGGCCCCTTCTGAGCACGCCAATCCCCATCCTCTACATTAATGTTGAAACAAATCCTCCGTGATGGACGTCTATACAATATGAAATAAGTTAGATGTAATATAAACTCATGCGAAACCTGAACTATCCACCGGATCCCCGAGGCTATGTTTACGCTACATAAACGCGCCTGCAACGCTTGCCCTGCAGATCACAACTCAGGAGCATGAAGTGACAAAGCATTGAAAAAAACCGGTAGTTTCCAAGTTCTAGTCATTAAATGATGGTGTAAGTGGCAACGTTTTTTCTCACCACTAATAGAAAGAAAAAGAGCTCATCAGAACAATGGCACGCGGCAAAAAAACACGAGCATTTGTCTTCTGGTAGCTATGTCTCCCTCCGTGCAGCTTCTTATGGCTTAATGTCACCGGCGAAGTTGCCCTTGGTCCTCTGGTCGTCCCACTTTTCAACCCAGTCCAAAGGACATAGAGCAGAGTACGTCTTGAAAAACACCTTGCATGGAGCAAAGTCCTCGCCCTTGATATTGATACACTTGTGGTAATCCACGTATGATTGCCAGCAGTGCATAGTTTGGTTCACCTGAGGGAATCTTGCGTCAAAGTGAACGGTATGCAATGGGGACTCTTGTTTCTCAGACATTTTCGGCTAGTTCGGTGTGTAAAAAGAGGTGCGAAAAATCGGGAGTTTTGCTCTTGAACAACGCTGGACCCTCAACCTTCAATTCTTGTATGTTGAAGTGCGTTTAGGTCAATTGTACCAGCTTGAAGATGAATTTTTCAGGAAAAATGATCAACCGCATCTTTCGGAGGTTACAGATGAAGCCTTAAATCACTTGATACAACTACAGAGTATTACGCCTGTCTCATTGGTTGTGTATCACGTGGTGTCGGTTCAAATCAGTGTCAGCGTCAGTTTGACTGTGAAGGTGACTAAGCTCTAACCTATTATTTCAATAGCTCGTTGGATTAGTGAAGTGTGATTTTCGTTGTCCAGGGCGTGAATGAAGCGTACTAGCTGGAAGCTCATATCCCAGAATTCGCGAGCCTCTTCGCGGACTTCGGAAGCGGCGGCGGTGTGGACCAGTAACCGCAGCACTTGAAGCATCAGATCTTCGTCATTGAGAACTGTGGACACCGATCCTTTTTCCAAAGCTCCCTTGTTCATGTCTCCTTCCTTGCTATCTTGCTTACTGGAAGGACTGGCATGAGCAGTTCGGCTTTTTTTGCTGACGTCGTAGTTCAAGAACACCATCAGCAAGACACCAAGCACGCGTGCTTCATCTTGTTCTATGCATTGCAAAAGAAGATCTCGTGGGGTCAGTTTCAGCTTTGTGAACAAATAATCCCAATGCTCGATCTCAATCTTGCGCAGACAATTGCTGATAATCTCCAATCGACCGCTATGCTTAGGGCCCTGATCATAGAACTCGATCAGGCTGATAATATTCACGAGTGAGTCATTGGTCAACACCTTGCCAGATAGAATTTTCTCCAGACTGAATTTGTAGTGCAGCAAAGATCGGTAGCGGGCATCAATCTCCTGGCAGCTAACACCCGCAGCTAAATGATGTTCTATGAGCTGATCCAGATAAATGGCTTGCCGTGGAATAAGTTTCCAAACCTCGCGTGCGAGAACAAATTGGATACTGTGAATGATAGCTGCGTCTGGCGATATGACAGCGGGATAATCGCCTTCGGCCATCTCGACCGTCGCCATGGGAGCCTGACTTTCCCAAAGGTCCTCAAGCGAGTAAATCACGACTTCATTGTCCTTGATCAGGTATATATCCGTCTCCACCACGTCTAAAGTCCGTTCTACTCCAGCCAGCACCACACAGAACAGCCAACCCCTTTCGTCGACTCGTTCCCACTTGATAATCTCGTCACGACATTGAGCAAGATATCCTCCATTGACGCTCAGTATCCAGTTGCACGCATCCTTCCGACCATCGAACATTTTTTCTGCCGGGTGCTGATGAAATACCTTGATATTCACTGTCTCATCTGCGTTGACTTTGGAGATCACATCAATCGTCCGCAAATCTTCGTCTGACTGAATCAGGATTTCGGCAGTTTTGAACATATTTTCGGCGCTACTATAGGACTGGTTTTTAGATTTCAGTCTCAGAAGCTTGTATCTAGAAAGTGTGTTCACATGTATACTTCTGAGGCTTGTTTTCGCAGAAATCGCGTGTTCCCAAATTAGCTGTTCGCGAATATCTGAGCTAAAGCCCTTGTCTGCTGGAAAGTGGTAGCAACGCAGCTGTTCATTCATGTCTTCGTCCAGCGAATGACAAAATAAGTAGTCGTTTCCCAGCCACCACATATCTACTAGCGCCAAATCTGAAAAACTGTGCCATGTATTTTCCACCATATTGTGTATCAGAAGGATGTTTTTGTTTGATACCAGTACAGCTAGCATCGTGAGGGGACCATTGGCCTTTATCAAAGAAATGCAGTTGTTGATGGTTTGAGTTGGAAGTTTTAGGGTCTGGAATGGAATATTTGCCGAGGAATCGGATGTAGGTGCGAAAATCAAGATATCGTTATTATCATTCAGCAGGATAAGCGGTTTAGTATACCTCACATCAGTAAAAGATGAAGGCATTTCAAACCACAGATCCCACCTCGATAATTGGCCATCTGGCGATGACATAACGAGGGAACCGCCGACTGCTGCAAAACTTGTAAAGAGAGAGACTTCATGTTCCTCAGAGGTCGTATCATCATCGTCCATGGTGGACACGATGCAACTTCCTCGATTAGTAAGCAGCTTGAACCCTTGTCCGGTCACCAGTAACTTAGCGTCATCTCTGATCTGCCCAAAGCAGCTTAACTTGGTCCTCGTAGTAACCCGCTTAATTACGAAGTCCTTTTCAAGGTCGTAGATGATCACGTCAGATTCGTAAACCAATGAGAGAATGTTACCATTGATGAGAACATCTTGTAACAACTCTTCCTTTTGAACGCTGAGTTTCTGTGTGGTGACGTTTTTTTGACCAATGTCAATATAATTTAAGTAAACTTGTAGCTCTGCGGTTTGTGAAATGACACAGGCAGACTCTTTCACATATAACAGACGGATACCATCGGATATGTCGATAAATATGTTATCCTGCACTTTGAAATCTTGAAACTTCATAATATGAACTCGATGAGGAAGGAGTATCATCATATGCTCTCGTTTGCTTACTTCGTCACCGGTGTTAGGCTCGCAGATGCCTGCTAAGTCCAATATCGTCCGTCCGAAGTTAAACATGACTTTGAGCCGCAATTCCATTCTCTTAATTGGAATTTCATCCACGGTATCGCTAGTCCTTGTCAAAAATTGCAGAAAGCCACGTTGCTTTTCAACTGCGTAGCCATTTTGAATAACCCTATGAGAATCGTTTTTGTCAAAGACCGTTAGCGTCTCGTCATCCTCTACATCATTCATCAGCTCTTGCCCAAAATCATGGTCAATTTTGTTAATGTCAATAATCGGGATTCCAACCTCTTTAAAAGTGCTAACCGGATTGGAGTTCAGGAGAAGTTGAAAGACGAAGACGAAATTGGTACTCGATACCATATAAAATGTAACTTTACCTTTTTGAGACCCTACGTACCTCAAGTCAGTTTGTTTCATAACACCTTCAAATAGATTAGTGTTAGCAGAGTCCGCATAAAGCTTTTTACTCTCTCCATAGCTCTCAATGGAGTTTTGACTGCGCTTAAAAGAAGAAACCAATGCCATTGGTTTGTAGTTGTATATGAGCACTTTCCATTTCGTCAGGACTACTAGACAGTTGCAATAAGGCAAATGTAGCGTCTGTAATACTTCATCGTTTGAAGGCTGATCTTTTCCCTCACTTTTGTCAGCTAGCGGTACTCGAGATATTTGCGGCGGCTTCAACGGTCCTATAAGCATTATGCAAACTGTCAATGGCGCGGTCTTCCTTGGGTATCGTCAATATAGCATCGCGGATTTCTCATTAATTGTCCGAAATACGATTAATCAAATCAACGCCATTATCTCAATGAACGGGCAAATATTGGTTCCAAACAGAACGTGCTCCCAGTTCTAAGCGTGCAAAGGACAACTACCATGTCCATTTCATTAGAATGGATATACATCTTCTATATTAGTTGTACGTAGATGCTTAATGTACAAGCTTTTGTATGCTGTGAGATGCGGACCATTGGCAATACATAGTATTCTCTGATCCTTTATACACTGATGGTTTTCCATATGTTCAATCCATCGGTACCAGTACTTACCAAGCAACCTGGAATTTGCTTATGCCATTTGACATCTTTGACCTCCTTTTGCCAGTGTACGAACAACAGTTGTGGTGGAATTTCTTGCAACTCTTGAGTTTCAGCAGCTTGCTGCTTGATTTCTTCGTCGTCAGCCTCCACCGAAAGATCCCAGAGCGTAACAGTGTTATCCTCGCTTGCGACTGCAATGATCGAGTCATCCAGCGGATTGAAAGCGATTGACGTGATTGCGCCCTTGTGGAAATTGTATTGAGCCACAGGGGAAGTGGATGCGGCCGTCGAAGGTGAAAACTGTCTCAAGTCCCACACACCCCACGTTCCGCTGTCATCACCGCTGGCTAGTAGATATCCGATTTTTTCGTTCCAACTTATAACATTGACGTCTGTCTTGGACGCCTGAACTGAAATTGCAGGCTTATGCTTTTTGGATCTAGTGTCCCAGATTCGAATGTAACCATCACATCCACTAGTTGCAAAGACAGTGGCTTCAGTACGCGAGAACTGAATATCCTCGATAGATTTATTGTTGTTGGCGGAAAATGCAGTCTTGTCTGTGACCCAGCTAGACGTATGCCTTTGAGTCAGGTAAACTCTGCCAGAGCAGTCACCAGTCAACAAGGACCCACTCTTGTGTAGAGGTGACCAATCCAAGGCATAACCTTCCACAGAACCGTGATTCCGAATGGTGTGCACGGGCCTTTTAGCTGCCTTAGGTGGTTGATAGCCCGGAGTTTCGAAAGCCTTGAATTGCGGACCCAAATCAAAAATATTCACCTCACCATTTTCGCACATGGCAGCGGTGAGCTTTTCGCCCGACTCTGGTGATGCGAAAGGTGATACCCTTAGTCTGTTAGTGGTGTCCTTGAGAGCAATTTTCTCATCCTCGATTATAGGGTCTTGATCCTCGTCCTCATCCTCTTCGTCTTCATCGTCATCTTCCTCATTTTCTTCTTTGACCAGTGTCTTGCTGAGTTGAGACAGCTTGAGACATATTAGTTCATTTTCTTTCTTCCTGGATGCTTGAGTGGCTGTCGTCATCAAAAGTGACTGGGGATAGTTTCTACGCTCTGACCCAAGACGATCTGGGATGATATCGAGGGTTAAGCAAGGCCAGGGCATATTCACGTTGTGCAACATTTCGTAAACGGTCGGGTCTGCTTCGAGCACCTCATCTGGGCCCAAGGGTTTGGATAAATGGGGCAAATACAACTGCTGCTGCTGCTCGGTAGATTGATCATTTTCAACCAACCCTTGCGCTGGCAATTCATTTTTTTGGAGGTAGGCCTCATCTTGACCGCCAACTTGGCCGTCAACGTCAACATCCTGGTCCTCCTCGTCCTCCTCCCCATCCATTTGAATAATTTCGCCATCGCTTTCAAACTCGTCGCTGAACTGATCTTCGAACTCGCCCATCTCAACGTCGTCCCCAACTAATGGTGGAGCAGCCGTTGCGGGCACACCGCTGGGTTCTAGCTTGCTGGAAACGACACGGGAATCATTTTCCACTATTTCCTCAATTGGCGCTGACCTCTTCGACATGGTCCTGTTGTTATTGTCAATAGACAGTTCAAGTATAGTGGCGCTGGACCGAGAGCTTAATGAGAGTTTAATTCTGTGTATGAGAAGCCCATCGCACCTCATCGCATCGCATCTTGAAATAATGATCGGAAAATTTTTTTGAAAGCATGTGATCCCATCACGTGATAATAAAAGAAAAGGCAAGTACCTCATCGCCCCAGGCGTCAGAAAATATGAGCGCCGAGAGAGAGGTTTTCAACCGAGCTTCAGGTTCCAGCTTCTTCGTTCAGTTCAGCTTCCATCAGTTTCAGGCTCAACTTTTTTCTTGGCTTTCTTAGCAGCTTTTCTTTCGTGCTCTTCTTTGACTAAAGCGTCCCTGTTTTCAGCAATGTAGTCGTTGAAGAAACCGTACTCTTTGCTCTTCTTGGCAGCCGCAAGCATATTTTCTCGGAGAAGCTCAACTCTTGTTTTGTCTAGACGGCCCAACAATTTGCTATCGCGCCCATGGCACTCAAACTTCTGGATTCTTCTAGTGGACTTAAAGGAGACTTCGCCCGGTTTCATGGCTCCGCTTTTGCGTAGATTTGTCCACGGTGTTCCAATTATGGTACACTGTGGTAATTTGTTTCCTTGTATAGACTTCGATTTGCACAACTGTAAGCAAACGTTGACGACCTCCCGAGGAACATCGCGCAAATCCTTTTCATTCTCGAGCAGTTTCAAATACACATGTCCGCTAGAGTACCGGTCAGCGTGAAACCACACGTAGTTCAGCTCCTTATACCCAAATTTGATCAAGGCATCATTTTCGAATTTGTCCTTTCCCAAAATGATTGAGTAGCAAGACCCATTATCAGCCTCCGTCTGGTAAAAGTAAACCATTTGGAGATGGTGCTGACCTGAGCAAGGCGGGATGCTGGCTAATGGTGCGACGTTGGGGTTTTTTCAGGTCAAGCTCAACTCATTTGCACGGCTATATATATATTATTGTGATGGCGTGTATGATGGATACTGTTTGATCCGTATTTAGTGACAGTGTCATTTAAAATCAAAAGCTGGGCGGCTATCCTTTATACCCTCCTTCATAGCAGTTCAAACAGCAAGTTATGCCTCTGATGAACGTTGTGGAGCTTAAAACAAGGCTTAAGCGTTATTCTAGCTACTTGGATATCGCACCAGCTCCTCAGGGATTCAGGACGCCTCGGATTCCAACGGATTTGCGAAGGTGGCAACATGCGCAACCCGATGTAGTTACTGAGCTTGAAGTGAAACGAAACGCGCCTAATTTTGTAGCAGTCCGAGTTGTGTCAAGCGGCCAAGTTGTTGAGCAGTTTTTGGTGGATTTGGCGTGGAAGGTTAATGTTCCAGATTTGGAGGTGGTGCAGTTTTCCGCCCGATTTCCCTCTATCATGTGCAAGTACTTGGTATCGAAACGCGAAGGCATTTCTATGAAACGATTTCAAATGGGTTTTGGGAGCACAACAGATTTCGATAGGTGCTGCACTTTGTTCAGAGCAATGGGGCTTACTGTGAAGACCGCTGGTGTGCTCCGTCCCGGGAACGGTGATACCTTGGCGAGAGTCAATAGCACATTCAGTGGTCCATATTGTTCCACACCTCCAGGGTCTCGAATGTTAAAACCTCTTAAGTCGGATTCAATTGGAGCTGGAACTAATGGCTACACGCTGGATTCCTTTTCGGGAGGTCTACCCTTCGCTCCGAACTGCACTGTTCACCAAGAGACCGAAAGTTTGGACACACAAAGTCTCTCTGGAGTAGTTTGTCACTCCCAAAATCACGACTGCTCGGAGGATATGAGCCTTGTGCGCGAAAGTACCCACGCAGCCATTAATTGGGGAATCGAGCAGCAAGTCCACCGGGATGCCTTACTGGAAGGTCCACACATGGGGCTTTCAGGATACAAACCTGTTACGCAGAAGGATGCGGCTAATATGAGCCAGCCAGAGCAGTGTGTAGAAGTTGATAGCTGTGTCCCGGATCAGGCTTTGCAAACTCGCCAACTTTCAAGTGTACCTCGAATTTCGGGTATGCTACCACTGTTAAGCACTGTCCAGACGGAGGCAAAACATATGCCGATTCCTCAAGGTTCCTACAATATGAGCCAGAAATCGAGTGACGCGCAGTCCACAGATATTCAGCCTCCTCGGGAAGTATCGAATATGCCTACACCAACTTCCAAATCTCCCACTGAACTTTACTCATCGAAGCTCGCCCTGGCACATCCACTAAAGGGACTTGCCGACAGGCGCTTGAATGAAGGTCCCTTGGAGCTTGCAAATCTGAAAAAGGCCGTTAATACAACGTTGAGGCCGGAAATATCCCAAGATATGATCAAAAACAAGCTCAAAGACCGTGGCTTCAGAGATTGGGTATGCGTGGTCAACATGAAACCCCAAGCGTTTTTCACAATCCCATACTAACATTTTAAAAAAGGTGGATGCGATTGAAAGGTCCCTGTCCTTATTAGTCAGTCAGCCCATTGTTTGTGATGATCCCGAGTGATAGCACATTTACCATTCCATTTCATCCTATCCAAACTATATCATTTACGTCGTTACTAGCTCACAAGAGGAGAGCCGCAGTGCCTGCCAAAATTCCAGCTCCAACGGGGATTCCCAATGCTTGAGCACCCCCAGAGCTCTGGCCAGAGCTGGAAGAGTTGCCACTGGAACCGCTACTTTGAGAACCGGAGCTAGAACTCGAACCAGAGGTAACACCGCTTGCCGAATTAGTGAGCACAGCAGATCCTGAAGCAAATGATCCAAACCCACCGCTACCGGCAGTCGAACCACCAGAGGAGGAATTGGAAGAGTTGCCACTCGAGCCAACGAGTGTTGAAGTCGGATCGCTGCCTCCGATCCCGGTTCCATTAGTTGAGCCATTGGCCGACCCTTGGGAAGAAAGTAGACCTGGCATTATTGTCGAAGTTGCATCTCCAGAGCCAGCTGTGCCATTTGCCATGGCAGAGCCAACACCGAGAGCTCCAGGATACCCACCAGCAGCTGCTGTAGTTGAGTTGCCAGCCCCACCCGCTGATGGTGTGCTGCTGAGGGCGGGAGAGGATACACTAGCGGTTGCAAAGTCACCAGCAATCACAGAAGAATCAGCTGAAGCCAATTCACCATTCGTGACAGCTGCAAAGACGGTGGCTGGAGATAGAAGCATCAAAAAGCTTAAAGTGGAATGCATATTTGTTAGGATATTGTTGTCGTTCTCGAAACTTTGAACCTCGTAAGTGAGCGCGTGTGAATGGACCTCTAGATGAGTGAAATCTTTCGATACATGGATGAGAGACAGGACAATGATTCCATTGAAATAATATGATCTTTTTATATGAATTGCCAGCGTTCGAAAGTGGCTGGGGAGACCGCGTTCTAGACTACCAAAAACGTTGGCTCGGGCAGGCCTCGAGCGATCGACCAATTAGTTGAAGAATGAGACACATTCTATTTCGGATCGCGCTCCAGCAAATCCCAAATCTGTCTTCGCAAATAATTCTCGAAATAGAGCCAAGCCTCACGGCACAATTCGAGCACTAGGGGCACATGCATGCTGACACCTTTGTGTGGAGTGGCTCATCCGCTACCTCGTATGCACAGCGTCGTATTTCTAAATCTAGCGGATTGTGTCACTCGACGAAGCAAAATCAAGCACATTCCAAAAAACGTCAGTGTCATAGCCACAATCAACACGAAACATTCGCTGGTCTGGAATTTACTAAAATTCGAGCGCAGTGAAATACATATTGACCAAATTTGGTGATGCTTACGTAAGATGGATTGAAATTTGAATTCACGCTCATGTGTTCCCTCAGGAACGAAAACACCCAGAAGGAACGAACTAAATTATTTAGCCTCGTCGGCTAATGCATTCTAGAAGAAAGCATATTCATCGCCATCCTACGAAAAACCGACTAACAAAGGAAGGTCAGCACCTTCAGGTTATTGGCTTATACACTTCCAAAAGCACACAGGCTCTTAAGGAACATAACGCTAGGCAATGTGGTCTACTTTGGCGTCTTTTTACCTCGGGATTGAAACGAGGGCACTAGACGCCCTGCGTCGCATTCCATATATGGAAGAGTACACTTACCATCCGATAAGTGCGCGTATCACGTTGTTTTTGGCTGTAGTCGGTACTTTGGCATTCGTGAATGAGCTGTACATAACCATCGAGATGAGCTTTTTGCAGAAAGAAAGCTACAAAGAACTAAAAAGGGCACCTCTAAATGTGGAGGATTTGAAAAACCACCGAATGATTATGGACGATGAATTTCACGGCAGGGAGTGGCTCGATCAGAAAAGTGGAATTGTCATTGAAGAATTTGAGACCCGCGACCGCTTTTTTGCGAAGCCTGTACATGTGGCCCATCTCTACGTGAAATGTAACGTGGTGGCTAGGTGTGACACTTTTATAGACGGCAAAGAGATCAGCAAATCGGTGGGTTCAGCATTGCTGTCACAGCCTTTTATGTTCCACATCGAGTTTTCGCCAGAAGAATATGAACTCGAAAAGCGCCCAGAATTCGGATGTAGGCTGGAAGTATTGAGGCGCAAATTATATCATTACTTTAAAGAAACTCAGCTCTTTGATCAATTTGTCGCTCGGAGAGAAAAGGGCGGCTCTCAAGAACAGGTGGATTTTACCGTTTCGAAAGGCGTCGAAATATACAACACTATGGAAGAGTTATTACCTCCCGCTGCGGATGACATCCAGTTATGTTTTTTGAAAATGGAAACGGGGGATACAATTAAATGCAATTTTGTTGTATAGTCACTACTAATTCATCAGCCGTAAAGCTAAGCCCATCAAGAAACCGGACTGAAAAAAGAAAGCCCTGTTAGGCCCCTCCTTCTACACGTGGCACTCCGACCCCACAATTGTGCAGCTGGTTTTCGCACCAGGCCCAAAGTTTTATCACTTGGTTGAGCTTCGCCTCATATTCAAGTTGCTTGCAGCACTCAGAGGATGCGCCGTTGTTCTCGCTCTCGCAACGCATATCCTGATCTTGCTGTTTTAGCAGTTCATTTGTGGCTTTCCAAGCATTTTCTTTCCACGGTTTTCCCACCGTTGAGCTTCTGGATCTTTGCTGAGACTCCGCGTTTTTGCTGGCAGCATATTCAAACCCTGCTTCCTCACTATTGCTAGACTGAAAAATACCAGTGTAGCTGTGCAGAGCTTGAGGAAATGGGTCAGAACCAATTAAGTCCGGGAATTCCCCGTTACTCGTGGCTGAGGATATTTGGCCATGCATCGATTGTAAAAGCTTTCTATTCACCAGGTCAGCGATCTTAGTACGCAGAGAAAGAGAATAAAGGTTCCGCAGACTTTTGGGCAACGGCATTTTAGAGTCCGGTGCCGAAGTTTTCTCCATAGGGAACAAAAGTAGGGTCATTACAAGCTCCAGTTCCTTCATATATTGCTTATTCGAATCCGCCTTGAGGGCCAGCCTTTCTTGGGAGTATTCGATCAGCTCCAGAATAAAATCGCTAGATTCTTCCGGAGAGGCTCCGCTTTGATGGTGTTTGCGTATCATCTCTATCAGATTCAACAGTAAAAGCTTGAAATGCAAATCGTCACCATTCCCGGCCCTCGTGGAGCCCGCAGCCGTCGGAATCCCCGTATTGGGTGGTTCCAGGACCTGAACTCCAAATTTCGTATATATCTCTTCTATTGCCTCAAGAATGCGGCCCTTTTTGATCAGTTCACGAACATGCGCTCTCTCGCTGATCTTGTAGATTTGGTTGAACGTGAACGCCTCTTTGTTCGTGGTGACGTACCCTAGTTCCCTGGCCATGCGAATACTGGCCTCTTCGTAACTCATCACCACAAAGTAGTTTAGCAGCAAATGAGGAATTGATGCTTCTGGACATGGTCTTTTCGATTGTGACGAATAGCTGCCGTGAACATCGCTGGAGAGTCCAGCGATGTCAAAGGGTAGGGCGGACTCCAAGACGTATTCTTTCCACTCCTGCCGTGAAAACGTCTTCCTATCGTAGGTGTCTTTAGTTTGGGTCATTACTTTGGTGTGTTTTCAAACACCCTGAGACTGGAAAGCTGGTTCAATTGGTGTGTGGTGCACTATGGGGCCCACAAAGGGGTTTGAACTGGCTCATCCTAACCTTACCTTAAAGAACTCGACCCAATTTCACCCGTTCGTGTTTTGTGATATCGAGTTTCGCTCGTACTGGTTAATACTGACACGCAACCCAGACACTGGCGGTGGACCACAGTGCTCGTTCGAACCACTTGAAAAGGGCCTTAGAGCGTTTATAAAACCAAGAGCTCGTCGGTCACAACTAATAGTCCTTCATAGGTGGCTGTTGGTCATTTTCAAAATTATAACTATCAACACCAGCCAGGCCCTGAGCAGGAGGATATCGCCGCACTATCAACGCATGGTCCACCAGTTATAGACGGTTTCGCATTGGAGATATTGCCCGGAAGCACTGAAAGGGAACTCGAAAGTCAGAACATCGAAAAAGAAACAAGAATCCCCCGCGCTGAATTAATACTGGCCCCGGTGCTGATCAATTTTTGCACCTTCGCCTGGGCTGTCGCATTATTGTAAAGATATCAAAAAATCCATAGCAGCATATGCTCTCGCTCAAGTGTCCTCGTGGATGATCGTCGTCTTATGTATGGCATAGTGCAAAAAGCAGTCATTTGGCACTGGCAAAAAGCGACAGCGACAGTAAAAAAATAATGTCTGAGCTGGCAAATCAGACCGGTCAGAGATTTGGCATTTGAAAACCCGAGAAACTGTGCAGTGTATTGTGGACCGGTAGGATTGGGCACAGGGGAAACGGTTGTCTTATCCCCGCCTGGTGTGATCTATCTGATGGCAACCGGCACACACTTGCCTTTCACGCCTAACGCGCACATTTAACCTTGAAATCCCTCTAGCCCTTGAAAATCTAGACGGCCCGGTTCATGCACAACTAGAAATAAAAGCCTGCAGCGTACGGTTAGAGACCGTAAATTTGTAGGGAAATGCGAAAACGCTCAAAGGCAAAGAGCCACGACCTGTCGGCGGAGAACCGCGTCAATCTCCTGGGGGAGAGGAGGTGTCTTCGAGTGGATACCCCCGGATTTGATATATAATGCCTTGAACTGGGGAATAGAATGAAGCCTTCAGGCTTGTTGCGTGTATTGTGAGATGTTGGCAGCTTGCTGTAAGGTTGTGTACAATAGGCAGCGCTAAAACCGGACTATTCTCATAACGCTAGATGACCGTGGCAAGAGGTCCTTCGCACATGTATTTTGCAGGAAGCAAGTCCCCGCCGGGATTATTAGGCCTTCCAGAGAACCAGAGTACTGACTTCAAATCATCACATCCTCATGACCGCTCAGAAGATACTCGATCTTGCGCTAAAGACAGGCTGCTAAAGGGACCACAAGCTTGGGGAAGTGACCAACAGCTCGCAGGCGATCGAAGGGCCCCCAGCTTGGCCAAAATTTTAGCTTCAAGCCCCTGCGCATGTTCAAGCGTTGACGGCGAGCGAAGGCCATCCAAGCCTATAGCATGCACGCACAGCGTCTCTCCCAGCACTGAACAGCTACCTCACCTTCCCAGTTCTTCAGATGGAACCGTCTCAAGACATGCGCTAGATTTCCGAGTCCGCAACTATCAAGTGGCCGGAAGCCAATGCACCAAACTGCCCGTCAGTTTTAGGAAGCATTCCTTAGATTCATTGATGACTGCAGTTCATGCCGCTGAAACTGTCGATGGTTGCCAAGATCTCTCCATTCAAAAGGCAGACCACGAATATCAGGTAAGGTTAGGGAACATCATTCAGCTTAAGAACGGCATTTCTGAGACGCTCAGAAATTGGCCACTAGCCAAGCCTAGTGCTAGGGATGGAGTTTCCTACTATTGCCTTTTAGACTCCCTGTCGCTAACAGATATGCACAAGCTGCTCCAAGCATCCGAGAGGCTTGCAATTGAGGCAAAAGAACTATCGCAATTGAAGCAAAGGAGAGAGTGTGAAGTGAATGGATCCGCAGCAATAGCTGTTAAGGATCCTACAAGTTACACGCATCAACCAAGGCGTATGCCTTTCCTCCCGCCTCCGCATGAAATGCTGGCCCAACATCGTTATTTCCAAAACACAATGCCTCCAGGTAATGCTCAGTCCCAGACCCTACCTTCGTGTTTTAAAGCTCGCAGCGGCCAATGCTCGAACCAGCATCAGGCGGTGGTTCGGCATGACACTATTGGCAGACCGGTTTCCGTGAACGAACCCTGTTATGGCGAGAGGGGCGATCCGATATTGCCATCCTTCGATAAGGCTGACACATCCCAAAAGTTACCTGATAGAGATATGACACACCGCCTTTTCAAAATCCAAAAGCCTATCAAATGTAGCATGACAGCTCCTGAGCTAGTTCAAAGTCCCATCAAAGACGTGAACGAGAGTGTCAGGCAAAAAACTTCAATAGGGACGATGACGTGCGTGCATTGTTCTAGAAAAGACACGCCGGAATGGCGTCGAGGACCTTATGGTAACAGAACAGTGTGCAACGCTTGTGGGCTCTTTTATGGTAAACTTGTTAAGAAATTTGGTTACCATAATGCCAATATAATGATGCATTACCGTCGGACCACGATGCCAGAAGACCGCAGGGTTCCCTCACATTTTTTTGTACCTCAATCATTTGTTCGAAGGTTGCAAGTAGACCAGTCTTTGAACCGGAACTTTGGGATAACAGAGGGTTCATTGGCGTATGAAACAGGCTCAGGAAGGATTTAAATTATGGTGTATAGTGACATATGACGTTTACGTAGTCGGTAACTGTCGCTCTTTCTGTATGTCTTTCCACGTTTTGAACCACCCATCCATTTCTCTCACCATATAGTTGTCGTGAGTATTAACAGTGGGGATCATTGTTGACCAAGGCAATTTGGTACAGAAGTTCGCTAAGTCTTTGAAACTGCTGTGTTCCGAGTAAGGAACCCGGAACACTTGGAATCTGGTATCGCGTTTATATTGAGAATGGATAGATGCAATGTCGAGATGATCTACATTATCATCATTCAATAGTTCTAGTGTATGCCTTCTTTTCTCCTCGAAAGATTCGTAGAGTTTAATAAATCTGCCACCATTCTTGAAAGACCAGCCAGTGGGAGAAAAAGCGATGACATCTTCGTAGATATGAGCTATTGGCTTATAGTAAAACTGTAAGCTCTCTTTGGAGGCCAGAGTGTGCATCGAAACAAGATGAACGCAGGATTTTGTGATATCATGGGTGATGAGACCATCGGGAAAGTTTTGCTCACACGCTTGAACAATTCTATGCTTGGTGGTATCCCTGGGAAGAAAAATCTTGGTACCTAGCCGTTGCGCAATTGCAATTGCAAGTTTTTCTTTACCGATGGTGTAGGTACCAACCAAAAAGACATACCTGTAAAGATGGCGGGATTTTAAAGATTTGGACAAGAAGTTCATGATGGAGGTTTGTCGATCTCCGAAAATCTTATGCATGCCAACGTCTTTCAATGTGTTTGCAAACTCCGCTGTTTTATCCAGCACTGAGGTTTGTAATGGGAAATGGTACGATGGATACATATATGTGGTATCCAGGTATACTTTAGAGATAGACGCATTTTTGGTATAGGAATTTATGCGATCAATGAGCTTGTCGTTACTCCGAAAATCCCCTGTGTGGAGAACCCACTCTACGGTAGCACCGCTGCTGTCAAACTCCCTGAATAGGAAAACAAATGAGCCGGGGCAATGGTTGGCGTCGAAGCAAATAACTGACACACGGCTTGCAATGGGGATTTCTACGTTTTCAGGAAGGGCTACAATTCTCTCTAAGGGCACTTTGAACTTGTAAACCAACAAATTGGCAGTGATCTTGGAACAGTAGATGGAGCCCTGATTCCACGACTTCTTGATTCCCATATAGTGGTCCGCGTGGAAGTGGGACAAGAAGTACTGCTTGATGGCAGGATCGGCGTCGAAATTGAAACCATCCACTATTACCGTGTGATTTTGGAAAGGTATTTTTTTGACTTTGGGTAGCTTCGGCAGTGGTTTGCCGGTGCGTTTGGTAGACTGCGGAGCACCCATCTGCAGGCATCTGTCACAGTGGTCGTCGCGTTCACGGAAGTCAAGTTTGGTCAACAAGATGCCACACACAGGGCAAAGCAGCTGCTGCTCTTGATCCACTTCTTCCACGATGACAAGCTCTCGTTGCACTGAGCCAGGCTCCTCGACGTCGACCCGCGAAGGTTTAGGCGAGTTTTTGGATGACCGCGGGCTTGGCTTGCCTGCTGTTGATGGGCTGAGCCTTTTCCGCAACTCCAGCGCCGACGAGCGATGAGGGGGCGAAGCTTCCAGTTTTTCTGGCGCCGCCAGCTTCGCGGATCTCTGAATATCGCATGCTGTGACGTCTATACGGGCGTGCTCAACGGATCGCACGTCGCACTCGGCAGACCCCTGGACAAGCGTCTCTGAGTACTTCAAATCATCGTCAGCTACAAACAGACGTTTTTCCGTGGCCTTTATCTCTGTGGCATCCGCATCTTCGCTTACCAGGTCGATGTATATAGGGGCCGTTTGACGTCTTTTCGAGCTTCCCGGCAAGACGTTGGTTTTCGGAAGATTAAAGTCTACTAACGTCCGCTGCCGTTTCTTGTCAGGCATACACAGCGGACTTGGGTGGCAGAAGCGATGCTTTGCAGTCTTAGGTCAGTTCCGACTCACTTAAGCTCATCTTTAGATCGATGGAATAGAGAGATATGTACATTCTAACGATATATTGTTATTAGGTGTGCAATTTACTCGAAAACATAGTCTGAATGTCATGCTAAGATCCAAACACATATAAAATGGGCCTGCTGAGTATCATCAAGAAGCAGAAGCTCAAAGATCGCGAGTGCAGATGTCTAGTTTTGGGCTTGGATAACTCTGGCAAATCCACTGTGGTGGATTGGATCCTAGCCACGTACAAGAATCGACCGCGCCAGTCGATTACACCGACAGTGGGCTTCCAGATCCATACGGTTCCCTTCCGGGGCCACAGCGTGCAGTTGTGGGATGTAGGCGGGCAGTCAACGCTTCGCCCGTACTGGGACAACTACTTTGACAAGACGGACGTGCTGTTGTGGGTGGTGGACGCAGCGGCGATAGCGCGGCTGGAGGAGTCGATGGGCGAGTTGACAACGATACTGCGGAACCGCGACCGGCTAGGGTACAATTGTCGGATCGTCGTGCTGCTGAACAAGAAGGACCTGGCTGCGGAGCTGCCAACGGTGCTGGAGAGGCTGCAGCGGGACCTGGTGCGGGAGTGGAGACTGGAAAACGTGCCGATCGAGGTGCGGGCCTCGAATGCGCTGGACGGGGAAGGTCTGGCGACACTGCTGCCACTGGTTGTGTGGGGGCGCGAGGAGCCCGTAGAGGGACAGCCGCCAGCGGCCACGTGAGAATCACGCCATAAACACATGACGCATCACATGACGCATCACATGATTATCACATGGCTTTTAGTCACCCGGCCACAAAGAAGACTGTGTCACCAGGAACGAAGGCAAGTTGGCGATTGGGGCACTTTCCACACATCAATTTACCGATGACTGGCCACCCCGATGAGCACTGGCCACGCTGAACACGTCGACAAGGGATCGCTCTGCGTTGGATTGGACTAGTCAGCACCAACTAGAAGGTATAAAAGCTGCCAAGAGTCTCTATACGGCTAGCCTGTTGTTGCTCAACTCAATTATCTCGATTAACACAGCTCGTCTCATTTGAGAGCTATTTTCTTCCCCCACACCGCAACCATTATGACTAAAGTTACAGTGTTAGGAGCTGCCGGTGGCATTGGGCAGCCGTTGTCGCTGCTGTTGAAGATGTCGCCATACGTGTCGACGCTTGCGCTCTACGATTTGAGGCTTGCGCCAGGTGTAGCTCGCGATCTTTCCCACATCAACACCAACGCCACATGCGTGGGCTTTGACAAGGACGCTATCGGCGAGGCTTTGGACGGAGCGCATATAGTGGTGATCCCCGCAGGGGTGCCCAGAAAGCCAGGGATGACGCGGGACGATCTGTTCAAGATCAACGCGGGCATTGTGGCGAACCTGGTGCGTGCCGCGGCCCAACACGCTCCTCGCGCGCGGATCCTGGTGATTTCGAACCCGGTGAACTCGACGGTTCCTGTGGCGTGCGAGACGCTCAAGAAAATGGGGGCGTTCCAGCCGGGCAAGGTGATGGGTGTCACCACGTTGGACGTGGTGAGAGCACAGACGTTTTTGAGCGACAGTTTGGGCGCCGACAGCTACAGCCGGGAGTCGATGAAGCGTGCGGTGACCGTGGTGGGTGGACACTCCGGGGCGACGATAGTGCCCGTGTTGCTGGACCCCAAGTTGCGGTCGAAGCTGGTGGGCCGCCGCCGCTACGACTCGTACGTCCACCGCGTCCAGTTCGGCGGTGACGAGGTGGTGGAGGCCAAACAGGGCGCCGGTTCCGCGACGCTGTCGATGGCACTGGCCGGATACCACTTTGCAGACCAGATCTTGCGCAGCATCCATTTGGAGAAGCCCGACGTGGCCCCGCTGCCGGCGTTTGTGTACCTGCCGGGGATCGAGGGCGGCGCGGAGCTGCAGAAGAAGCTGAACACCAAGACCGAGTATTTCGCTGCCCCCGTTGAGCTTCGCCGCGGCGACGTGGTACGCATCGACACCAAATGGCTGGACAGTCTCGGGGATCTGGAACGCAAGACGCTGCAGGTGTGTTTGGGCGAACTGGACGGCAACATCCAAAAGGGCCGGAGGTTTGTACAGAGCAAACTGTGAGCGGGCCTCGAGAAGAGGAGAGGGAGCCCGTCTTGAGAAGAGGAGGGGGAGCCCGTCTTGAGAAGAGGAGGGGGAGCCCGCTTTCCGTCCAGGTTGTGGTTGTAGTCCCCGGAAGGATCGGGTTCGCTTGCCCGCCCGTGCACCACCACTCGAGTACCCAAGTACTCGAGTACACCCGGCCCCATGTACTCATGCACCTATATGTACGTTTTCTGCAACATTCGCCACACGCGCGCTGTTTTCTGTGGCTGTTTTCAAGCATGCGATTACATCAGCGAGCGCTGCGCGATCGTCTAAGCATCTGTCCACATGGCTGATTAGCGACGTGCATCGCAATTTAATTATGAGGACGATGGATACAATTATTAGGTTGGCCCACACCTTTAATTATCGCTCATGACACACTAACTGGGAAAGCCACAAGCTCTCGCGCACGTCTTCCATGGGGTTCAATAATTACGGTAGCCCGTAGCCAAGAGGCGGGTGAAATGCACGTTGTGCATTTTTATTGATTACTACCGTCCCACGCGAATGGTAAACAATGTTTCAACGGCGTAAATGAATTAATTATTTCGCCACGATGTTGAGCTTAGGGTTTATTGGCGATGGCGATATAAAGAGCGCAAGGTCTCGAGCAAGACAGTTTGGGGATGACGCGTGGAGAGAACGGAAAAGAGTAGACAGGCGCTCGCGGAAACTAGAGGAATTCCAGTTTGAAAGAGCTCACACGGACAAACTCGCACCACTCGCCAATAGCTGCTGGGCCGGATATGCTGTTGAACAATACCAAAAGGATGCATGCCAGTGGGCCGTCGCCCACACACGAGCTATACACGACGGCGTTCCACGCGGTGCTGCTGCTGCATCTTGTGGTGGTGGTGCTGCTGCTGTACCGGCAGCTGTCGTCGCGCCTGGCGATGAGCCAGGTGTGTCTGCTGCTGAGCGTCGTGTTCGTGTGTGTGCGCCACCGCTTCACACGACTGTTCAGCGTGCTGTGCAGCATAGCGGGCCTGACATCCCTCGCGGAGGGCCTGCTGGAATCGTGCGCTTTCTACTCGCGGGCCATCGACATGGGCGCCGCCACGACGACCACCGGCGTGGCGCTCCTGGCCCACTGTCGGTCGCGCGCGCTGTTGCAAGCTGGACTTGTGACGTGCTTCTGCGTAATACAAATCGCCAACCTGGTGATACACATAGTGGGAGTGCCCCTGCCGCTGCCGTTGATGAAACCGGCTTGCACAGAAAAGCATAGCGACGACGACGACGACGACGACCACAACGACTACAACGACGACTACATCGACGAAGATGACGACGGCGACTACAACGGCGACTACAACGGCGAAAAAGCCACCGCTGGACCAGCCGGAACAGGCCATGCTAACACGCGCCAGGCCGATGACTACGTATAGGGCGATCACACATAGCTTATGTCGAAAACTGTAACAATAGGATGACCACGTGGTCGGCACATACCGAGCACTGTGTACGAAAAGCACAAAGAACGGCAAAAACGTTCCCGTACAAAGTGCTACTATTTTTGTGGTCACTGTCGACGAAATATAGGCCGTATGAAGCGACGTGTTAAATCGCTCGAGTACTCACGTGTGCAGTGACTTCAACTGCTCGAAAGTACTCGTGGTGGACCGCTCCAGTCCGACACGATCATTTTGTACTACAGAGGGCCATCCACGTAGAACTCCAGACAACCATGTATTGTGTGTCCTCGCACCGATTCCGTGAGATAGCCAAACCGCAAGGTTGCCAGAGGCCCGTTACGATCGTTTCCTGTTGCACAGGACCAAGCTCCGCGGATTCTCGCCCAGTTACAGGCATGCTAACGTGCCGGACTTCGTGAGGCCTCGTCCGAGTCCAATTAGTCTGGGTGGTGGCTTACCAGGCTTGTTCCCCGTCGAGTCCATGCATCTGAATGTCCTGGACCACCCCTTCCAGCTCGAGGGCCACGCTGTCAGGCCACCGACGTTGCACCGTTCGCAAGAAGGACAGGCCGACGTGGTCTCCCGCGACTCAGCAAACAGGTGTCGCAAAAGTTCGCGGATGGCTCGCTCGTTGGCATTTGGCGTTACGAGCCCCAGGGACAGGCCATAGCTCTACAATTATACATACATCTCACCTCTATATGAACTTTTCTGTGTACTCGTCACGTTTGAGCTACATTTCACACATAATAACTAATTCGAGAGCAGACCGACCGGCGCTAGAACTTGGTCACAAGAAGGATCTCTCACCGAGTAAGGTAACAATATAAAGGCCAATTTCTCATCTGAACAATGGAGCTAGTATGTTCAATCGCCTGACTACTTTTCAGAGCTATCCACTAACGTCGCATTTTAATCCAGCTTCCAGAAGGAAAGAAAAACAGCGTTCAAGTGCTGTACGAGGACCAACAAAAGATAAATGAGTTTTCCAAACTGATAATGCGAAAGGACTCAGTGACTCAAGAGCTGGAGCTTTTGAAGCAGGAAAAGAGCTATCTGGACGATGTTTCACTGGAGATTGAGCTGATCGACGAGGACGAACAAATCCAGTATAAGATCGGAGAGACATTCGTCTTTATGAAGCAAGGCGAGGTGGTCGCACAGCTGGAGAAAGATGGGGAGCTGCTAGATGCCAAAATTGACCAGCTGGAGGAGTCAGAGTCCGGAATAGATTCTCGTATCGGCGAGCTCAAGGCGGGCCTATACGCAAAGTTCGGCGACAACATCAACCTTGAACGTTAACGAACGCAACTCCACTCCAGGCATATCGACCATGTATATTTTAAAAACCATCACACATATATAGATATAACTATGTGTGTTTGCTCGGCTCCGTGTTATGCTCCTGCCGAGTACTCCCTAATTCCAATCCCATGATACCTTGACGAAGACCTTCAAAGTCAGTTAAAAGACCCGTGGCCACCAAAAGCATGCACTTCTTGGTCCTGTTCTATATGAAGCTTGCATTTCAAACGACTGGCGAAGCTTTCCAATCTGTCAACTATGCCCTTGGAGCTTTCTGCAGGAAGTTCCATTGAGAACCCCTTCACGAGAGAGTACTCATGAGTAATCCTCCCTCCAGCTTGTTTGACTAAAGACTTAAGGTCATCCAATTTGGCCTTCCAAGCGGGTTGCTGTTCATCTATGGTCAAAATGTAGGATTGGGCTTGGCCTGGGTGAGATGTGGTTAGTCTAAGGGTAAATGCTAAGTAAACGGGGTTTCTCAACCCTAAGTATCAAAATTTACATACCAGTGGATGTGGCATAAGCCAAAGCACCTAAGAAGGCTATGATAACGGTTGCTACCTTCATTGTTCTTGTCAATCTTCCAGGATCAATATGTGGTGAAGATAATCTGATTAATATTTATGGAAGGGATGGTAACCAATTTAATCGGGACATTTCTAGTTAACAACTAGATTAGACCGAATGAACCTTACCTTCTCACAAAGCCAAACCTCAATATTACATTAAAGTAGCCAGTGGCCTGATATTAAACATTATTACATAAGATCTCTAAAGTGTCTTGGTCCCCGGAACAGGACAACATAACAAAATAACTTATTTTCTTATATCAACCGTTCAACCTTCCCCGCTATTTTAGACCACAACTTTCTCGGCTGGTTGCCCAGCCTGCTCACTGCTGGGAGCGCTATCAGAGTTTTCGTTGATTTGGTCGTCAATTGCGGTTGGCCGAGGAACCTTGGCGGAAGTGTTGGATCTGACGGGCTCAGGAATGTACATTTCGTTGTCTTCGTAAGTGAACTCGCCAATCTGAGCACCATCAGTACCCATTTCTTCTTCTTCAGCTCTCAATCTCAATCTTAGGAATGGAATTCTGTCCATGATCATTAACAAAGCGGCGGTGACGACGCAGGTCCAGGCAACGACCGAACAGATAGCAGCCAGTTGGTAACCAACTTGCTTGTAGTTATGGTTAATCCAGCCCCCTGAGATGGCTAGGGCTTCGGCACCAGCTGAAGCGTTAACATAGTCGGCAGCGAAAATACCGGTCATGATAGAACCGACAGCACCACCAACACCGTGCAAAGCATAGACATCCAAACCGTCATCAATGCGCAACAAAGTCTTCAAGTCAACGGCGAAGTTACAGGCAATAGCAGTGACGATCCCGATGATGACGGAGGCCCAGATTGGTACGAACCCAGCAGCAGGGGTGATACCAACCAAACCGGAAATGGCACCAGAGCATAGACCCACAGTGGTCCACTTGCGGCCAAATCTAAAATAGTCGATAAACATCCAGGTCAAGGCGGCACAAGAAGCGGCCAAGTTGGTGTTGACACAAGAGTACCAGGCTCTGATGGTGGCATTACCAGCGGAACCACCGTTGAAGCCGAACCAACCAAACCACAAGAACACAGTTCCTAAAACGACAGATGTGACCGAGTGGGGTTTGTACTTAGGCATGCCGGCCTTAGCAACAGGGTCGTTTCTCTTACCTAGGACAAGAGCGTAGATAAGGGCACCGTGGCCAGAACAAATGTGAACTGGACCACCTCCGGCGTAATCGAGGGCGCCCAACAGAGCCAACCACCCTTCTGCATTCCAAGTCCAGCAGGCAATTGGACAATAGACAATAGTGATCCACAAGAACAAGAAAATCATCATTGGCAACAAACGAGCACGTTCGCAAGCACCACCGACCATCAAAGTACCGGTAACGATAGCGAACATACCTTGGAAGAAGGCGAATAGAATATCAGGCACTGACGTTACTGAACTTGGAGCTCCCAGCACATCTTTGAAGCCGAAGAATTGTAGAGTACCAATGAAACCGTTACCCTTCGTGTTGTGGGAAAATACCAACGAGTAGCCCCACCAAAACCACTGGAATGAAACCACACCTACTGCCATGATGGAGGCCCACAACAACGAAAGGGCGTGTTTCTTACGAGAGAGACCCGAGTACAGCAAACCTATACCTGGAATCATAATCCAAACCAAGGCGGCAGAGGTACCAACCCAGACCATATCGGCAGCGTCGAATTGGGTGTTCAAATCTGTTGTGAGTGTGTCACCACCGGTGCCAACGCCGGTAGCGGTACCTGTCAAATTCAAAGACATTATTTCTTCTTTAGAGTGATGGTGTAGAGTTGTGGTCAAAAAGAAAATACGATCTTTTCGAACCTAGGACCCTCTGGGAACAAACACTCCTTTGCATATATACGCATCGCAAGGATATCAATGAATAAGGGAAATGGTGTGAAGAACCAACCAGATTCATGCGATACGAGATAGCGAACTGAGAGCATATTAGATAACGCTTTGTTCAGATAATAACAACACGCTGAAAATGCGCAGAGAAAAAAAAACAGTCTGAAAATGCCACTGTCACTTCTGGCAAGAGGTCCGGCATATACGCCGTATAAATGCCGTTTCCGGGAACATTAGCAACGATGGAAAATCACCGCAAATCTCGTAGCGTTCTGAAATCCTGATAGTATGCATTTTCTGTTTCCACCTCTTCATGGCTGGTCAGTCGGGGCAATAGATCTGTGAGGCACAATATTCTTCAGTGGCATTGTGACCATCGTCTGTTTTGTTGAAGAAAGCAGATGAGCTGACAGCAGACGAGCTAGTCAGCGATGCGATTTCAGTCAAATTCCGCTCTGTACGGGCCAATGCGAACCGTTTGAGCAGCGATTACGGTCAGTCGTTTAGGGTCACTTCGCATGGGTCACGCAGTACGCACGCGCTACATCACTGTTTGGAAGGCGTCCAATCAGCGAACGGAACGCCCGATAGGGTCCCAAGGCTTCCGGGTTAGGAAAATTGATGCTTTGGCAGGAAAAGCAACACGAATGGTCAACACAAAAACAGTGGGGGAAAAGTGGGAAGAACCATTTTCCGACGAGTTCACGAGGGATACACCCGAAGGAAGAGGGCGTCTAGTTTACGAGCGGCAAAAGTCCCGACTATCAGCGCTGCTAGATCAGCCGTTGCCTGGAAGCATTTGGTATCGGGGGCGATCTTGTGCTAACGGGGCTGACAGGTCGAATCTTTCCTATTAGTCCAAACGGCTTTCCTAGTATTTCGTGCTTGTTGTCTGTGGTTTGAAGACGTTTGAAAACCCCGTTAAACGCAAGCAGGACTCCAATATGTAGAAAGTTGCTCGAATAGTTGAAAAGCTGGGGTAATGACAGATTTGAGGCTCCCTCACTTGTACAGGAGGGGAATACCGATAGTGGCAAGGCCCTGGGGTCAACCTGGCAAGCCACAGCCGACAAACGGTGTTTATGATGGATGTAAGGAACACGAGTCTCTGAAATAGGTGTGTACTGGCCCTTCTTGAAAATGTCCAGACCATGCAAGCTCAGTAGATACTGCGATTGAAAAAGGGCGTGCTCTGTTCGTCTCTAGTAGCTTGTGGCAGTAATTTCGTTGGAGTTAGGTTGAAGCTTCTGCAGATTTCGGGCCCGTAATGTGTCTCGCTCTATTGATCAATCACAATGGTAGAGACAAATACGCTGCTAATAGGCACTATCAGCACTGAACACTACCGTTCCTACTAACTGCGGTGCTGTAGATGAACAGATTAGCCTTACCGCTGAGAGTTGGACTATCAGGTCCGTAGCATGTACATCATCTACAACGAGTAGAGCTGATTTGTTCAATTCGAACTACAGCGTAGAGTGGGATTTGGAATCGTTATAACTACCAGACGATTGTGATACAGTATTGTTTGGATCGCGTTGAATTGTGTAATACTGATCAATAGCATTGTGCTAGAACAAAATGAAGTGATATGGCAATGCCAGTAAAACGAGAATGCGTAAGGTTCATTATAAACCAAAGGGTTCAGTTGAATAATGAATAAAACCCCGCTAGTCATTTGGCAGACAGCCAAAATTTGCAAAATCGCAGAAGCTATGCCATCTTAGCTTGGAACATCAACACGAAGGAACTATTGTGATTTGTAATATTCTGCTCTACAAGTTCCTAAAATCTACCGTTTGTAAAATACTTAAAATAAGCTTTCATGCACGATGGCAGTGATGGGATACGCACCTTTTCAAGTTGAGCACAGAAAAAAACTCAACCGTCTCTTGTGTCAACTTATTGTTTCCCAATGGCAAATATTTCGATTTGGTGGGCTTCTCGAATCAGAGCAGCTGTGCTGCACAACTGAATCGTGCCAGCTAAAAGTCTAGCTCAACATGGCATCCGGGATACCTACCTCCATCGGTAAAGTTTATCCGAGACATACCAAATCTCACCAATGTCGATCACGTTTTACCAACGTGTCACCGGACTTAGTTTTATCGTTTATGATATTATCTGTCACAAGCGCCAGCTGACACATATCCCACCAGGTGCCCTTACTTCCATCCGAAGTCAAAGTTTAGGTCGATATGAAAGGGTTTCATATCCCTGACTCAGGAGTCATAAATCCGATCAACGTGCCTTATCCCCGAAAGTACCTTCCCATTCCAGTCTCTTTCTAACCACGCGACGTGGTCATCGGCGAGTGTGAAGGTGTGATTCGGTTTTTGCCCTGGCTAGTTTCTCCAAAGCTCCCGGACAACCCCTCTCCACTAGCAAACCGCTCCGTAGTAGAAGCTAATTTGCTGTATATAAGTACCTTAGCTACCCAGCTAGCTGGTCATATAAGCACCTTTAACTGTAACGAACTTCCAGTATATTAGACCTTGATGAGCATGGACGAAAAAGTTTTGGTGACTGGTGCTTCCGGCTATATTGCCTTGCACATTGTCAACATTTTGCAATCAGAGCGGTACCATGTTGTTGCGACTGTGAACAGCCAAAATAAAGCCGACCAAATGGCTAACTCATTTGAGCACTACTACCCTTATGCAGTGCTAGACGTTGTTGTCGTAGAGGACGCTACCAGCGAGAGCGCTTTTGAGAAAGTATTCGAAGATCATCCTGACATCCAACACGTAATCCACACGGCGCCCACGGCAATTGCGGGGACAGAAAGTACCACCGAAGCGTCGTTTTTGATCCCCGCAACCGAGGGCACAAAAAATGTGCTAGAGTCCATCAAAAGGCACGGACAGAATGTGAAGACGGTGGTTGTAACATCCTCGTTTGCAGCCCTCATGGACTTGCAAAATGCAGCGGATCCCAAGTGCGTGATTTCGGAAAAGTCTTGGAATCCAATTACGTGGGAAGAGGCCAAAGGCAACGAGAACAGGGCCTATGAAGCCTCCAAAAAGGTGGCAGAACAACTGGCTTGGAATTATTATGAGGAAAACAAGGGTCACCTAAATTTCACTCTGACTACTGTAAACCCGCCATTTGTCTTTGGCCCCCATGTTTTTGAATGGAAGTTGGAGGTAGATGAATGGAACACTACGGCGCTTTATATCAAGAAAGCACTTGAATTGTCGCCCGATGATCTCGGTCCCTTCACCAAGCCCTGTGGAATATGTTGTGATGTCAGAGACGCTGCGTTGCTACATGTTTTACCACTAAGAAATCCAAGTTTGGCGGGCAAACGACTATTCCCAGTAAACGGGACTGGGTTGAAACAACACAGTTACGAGGACGGGAAATTTAATTTGCAGAGAATTATCAATGTGCTGAATGCAACTTTCCCAGAACTTGAAGGCAGCTTACCTGTTGGATCGCAAGCGGAAAACCAATCTAATTTGGACAAACTGACCCGCTATAACAATGATGAAACTTGTTCGCTGACCGGGATGGAATTTAAGTCGTTTGCGACCACCTTGCGTGATGCGGCGGTGCAAATATTGAAAGCCACCTCCAAACGTCAGGCGTAAATTCAAAAGATGAAAATAACAAAAGAGTGTTGATAATTTCCATGCTATCTATGTTTATATCATCCTAATTAGATTTTAAGAGCTCATGACCACCACCGGAACCCAGTGATTAATAATGGAATTGAAGATAAACGAGAAACTGGTTGATCAGGTCTTGTTTGCTCCAAAGTGTGTATAGGTAATGCTTAGCTACGAAGGTGTCCTTCATCCATCGATGATGGCAAGGCACCCTTAACACAGCTCAAATCCGCTTTTGAAATGTTCAGCTAGCGTATCTAAAAGTTTTATTACATCCCGGACTACATAAATTGTTACATTCTAGTTTGGTTTTAAATCATACAAGTGGAGTTTGAGTGCTCCTGTCCGGGCAGTGTAGGGTGAAGTACGAACGAAAATTTGACGTAAGTAGAAGTCATATTTGGAATTCAGAGCACAGCTCTTACTTTTTGGGTATCATGATCATCATATGGTGCATTTCAAGAGAAGAATATATCTTGCAATTGAGACGAAGCCGTCACATTGTTGGTAAGCGCGATGGCCAACAACAATTGGGATTGCACTGGCGACAAACCACCCGCGGCTATGGCGCCAGCAGGAACATCGTCGACAAAAACAGGGTAGTAGTCATCGGAAGCGAAAACAATTGGAATACTGGCAGATGTAAACTCAGAGCCCGTAGAATTACCCGATGACACGACAACCAAACCGTCGATAGAGCCACTCAAGTATTCCAACAAGCCAGGGTTATAGTAGGCATCGTAGACAATAGGAATAGTGGTGCCGTTCGTGCTGATGGTAGAGTTAGCCTGGATGACATCAGTGAAATTCCAGTACTCGGTTCTAATGGTGCTTTCGGGGGAGAGTAACATTGGCCACGCAGGAGTGAACCAGAACCAAGGAGTCTTGTCGTAAACTGCACCGATAGAAACAGCCCCGGGAGTAGATGGGGTGTAGACGGCGCCTGAGTAAATGAGCGTCTGGTCGACTATCAAAGTACCGCGCCACCAGCTATCGTCGGACCACGCCACGGTGAGACCATCGTCCAGCTTTGAGGTGACCACTAAACTCTTGGGAGAGTCCACCACGACACTTAGGAAGAACCCGAGGGACTCCAACGCTTTTTCGTGGCCAAGCACCACCACACCGGTGTACGCATCGCTGGCCAAGGACTTGCTCACCGAGCTCGCCACGCTGTAAAGCTCGGTCGCATTCAAGCTTGTCTGGTTGAAAAGCGAGGTGATGGTGACGTCTGGGGAGGACGTCCAGTTAGACAACTTGTAGTGGCCGCCCGTGATGAAAACCTGCAGTTTTGGCGATTCCCACTGCGTCACGTTCGAGCTGTTGGTCCAGTTAGACCAGTTCGAGAGCGTCCAGTTGCCGGGCCACGCTTCGATCGGATCGAAGTCTTCGCTGTCACGCTTGACAAAATCGTTCAACGCAACTGGCGACGCTGTCGCCACAGCCATTAGTGCAGAGAAAAAGAGTCCCGCACGCATTGTTGTACCAAGAGGATAGAGAGTGAAACTGAATTGACTAGTTTCCCAACGACAGAAGTTCCACCAAATCGCCCACTGTCTTCACCGTTCGCTGGGCAGTGATGCCCGGAATATTTATACTCACACACACGCCTGCCGAGCAGTAGCAATCGTAGCGTTTGACGCTAAGCCATCAGTCATTAAACCAGACCAGTCCACTGCCGAGACGAATATTACCGCACTAGGGACACCACATACACGCGGAAGCCCTCTTTGCCATGCACCGAACTGCAAGCAAATGAGTCTCAGTGCCCTAAAAAAAAGCCTCCACCACACCTTGCCTGTTCCCACTTGCTCCCAGTTGGTTTCCCCGACGTCCGCTCGCTCTCCACGCCTATGGTACCTTTCTTCCGTCTTACCTTTTCTGCGTGCCAGTTATTCAAACCCTGGCGCAGGCTTTTCAGCCAGGGCCAACAATCATCATTGCTACACGACCATGAACCCTAATTCTTGCTCTACACGATGCAATGACCCTTACAATCACAAGATTACCTACTGTCTCTTCTGTTAGAAACAACTCTTTATTGCGTCGTGATTTTTCACCGATGTTGTCCATTATTGCTTAGGGTGGTGGTAGGCTCGGACACACAGGTGACGAACGCAACTCGTCACAAGCATGTGCCAAGAGCCATAGTTGTACGCACGATTGCAATCAAAGGACAATGGGCTCGCAAGTCAATTGGGAGTAGAAAATTTGCTTGTTATCATACTCCAAAGTGACTTTTCTTGTGAAGTAGTAGTACAACACATACATAGTGCAATCTAAGCTCTTTAGTGAGTCTGGAAAGTTGTTGAGAGCATTTTGTTGAGAGCATCGACAGAGAGCGCACACCTAACAGAGAGAAAACCTGGTGGAGAATGGATAATAGGTCCAAATCGGCATTGCTCAATTTAATTAGTTTGTGTACCGGTGCATGGGGGCTGTACCGTGCTACTAGGGTAAAGCTGCCAGCTACTCTGGCAGAGGCCGGTCATCGTCAGTTTTTGACCAATATAGCCGTGGTAGCGACGCTGATCACAAACGTGGTAAACCTGGTGGCTTGGAAGAGGACGCGGGAGGGTGGTAGCGACGGGTGGAGGCTCGCCAGCCGTCAATTGGCGTTACCCGTTGCGCTGGTGCTGGAATCGGTGGTGGCCGCGGTGTACTGGCCGTTGAGACTGTTCTGGCTTCCGCTCATAATGCACAACGTGAAGGACGGGTCGAAGGTGCCGCTGCCCGTGCCCGTGGACTGTGCCATCCACCTGCTGCCCGTGGTGTACCTAGCGGTGGACTATCTGGTGTTGGAACGGGCGCCGTTCCAGATGTCGAAGACCAGCGCTTGGGCCATCGTCACGCTCCTGGGTTTCGGATACAGCAGGTATTTGACGGTGCTGGTCGACCGCGACGCAGGAGCCGTGTATCCGTACCCGTTTCTAGACGTCGCAGAGCCGTGGAGGAGCGGTATCTTCGTGGTTGTGACAAACATCGCCTGGGTATGGTTCGTGTTCTACAAGCGGGTCCACGGGCTCGTGAGGACGAGACCTAAAACGAGCTGAAGTCGAGAAACCAAGGGCCGTTCGTGAAGTATACCGTACACACCTACGTAACAAATCGAACGGCTTGCGTTCCGTGGGGTATATAGCTACAAGACAGTGGGCGCACTTTGTGGGAAACGCGTCCCCGTCATCCCGCGCACGATATCCTACGGTATATCTACAAACATAGACGCACTATGACAAGCTTCTGTAGTCCGATGGATTGGCGTTAGCTCACAGCACTGAGCAGTTTTGTTCAATGTTAATGCCCTCTGCCAATCCACATTAGAAGTTACCCGGCCCTTCCCCGACCTATAAAAGTGGCCTTTGAAAGTTGCACTTTGTTAACTTGACATCACTTTCTTTCAAAGGACCAACATCATTTTATATCGCTCACACTGGCCCTATATTCTATATTCAGCGGAGAAAGACCACGTTCGAGTTTCTCCAGGTTTTTGCGGGGCCGGTAAGAAGCGTAGACCAAATTATAGAGCGTTGCTGGGCGCCTGGTGTTGATTTTCTTCGGAAAATAGGAGACACTGGGAATCAGCTGTTTCTACATGAATTCTAATACGAAGTAGCGTAATGTAGTGTAGTGTAATGGAGGCAGTTCCTTCTGGGAATCTTGTCGGCTTCTTTGTCGTTTATTGGTCTTTAGAAAAGGTCTATAGAAGCACGATACCAACTATAATGCATTTTTTCTGGTGAGGTAATCAAACCTCGAGTAGGTATATCCAATGAAGGGCAGGTCCTCTTTCGTGCCGACGTTGGCCGCAGCACCGCCTTGCAGCATCATTTGTTCTCTCTGCCTGGCCGCTTGTGCCATGGCAGGACTGTCGGGAACGTTTTCCAGTTCGTCCGTGGGGAAGAACCTGGTATCGGTGATGCTGCTGAGTTTTGGGATGTACGGTGCCTCGACTTGTCTGATGGAGTTCCAGTCAACCCCACGGAAGAAGGGGTGGCTTTTGATTTCGTCAGCCCCACCGTGTCTGCCCAGTCTCTGGTCTGCATGCGTCAATAGCCTGCGAATTAGGTCCTCGGCCTCATAGGAAATGTGAATGTCGTCGGGGAATTGCAGCGTCTGCTCAAAATTCATGATCTTGCGGTATGTCTCCTGTGGTGTCTCGGAGCAGAACGGGGGCCAACCGATCAAACATTCGTACATGATTGCCCCCAATGACCACCAATCGCACTCTTGTCCGTATCCCTGGTACAAGAAAATTTCCGGAGCGATGTAGTCTGGCGTTCCCACAGTAGAGTATGCCATTAGGCGACGTGACTTTCTCCAGGTTTGAATTTGCTGTCTATTTGTCATGGTCAAATGAATAGCATCCACAAGCATTGTGTTACGGTTCTTGCCGGAGTTGTTGGCGGTAATCCCCATTTGAGGTTTCTGTAAGTTGCCAGCAGCAGCATTCACTTCATCCTGGTGCAAGAGTTTCTTGTAGTAGTTAGAGTCGTGGGTCTTGTGGAAGCCAATGGATAGACCGAAATCTGAGAGTTTGATGTGTCCTCGTATATCAATTAAAATGTTGTCCGGTTTAATGTCCCTGTGAATAAAGCCCAGCTTGTGGATGGCCTCGATAGCGAGAATGCACTCTGCCATGTAAAAGCGCGTAACGTCCTCCGTAAAAATTTGCCATCTAATCAGCATGGTCATCAAATCACCGCCAGGTAGGAACTCCATAATGAGGTACAGGTATTGCGCGTCCTGGAACGAATAATACAATGAAACCACCCATGGCGAATCGCTACCTGCCAGTACGTCCCTTTCCGCTTTTACATGTGCAAGTTGATCCTTTTTGTACATTTCGGATTTCAGTAAGGTCTTCATCGCATAGATCTTCCCGGTGTCTCTCTTTTGAACCAACCTCACTTCCCCAAATGCACCTTTCCCAATGACTTTGACGGTTTGAAAATCTTCCAGCGAGAGGCGAGTCCGACGTAGTCTCAGAAACTGAGATTCCTTCTTTCCCAACGTAGAAAGCTGCCTGCTTTTACGTTCATCGGACCAATCTTGAGATACTAACTGGGATTCAAGCTCTACTCGTCTCTGGTTGCGTTCAATGGCGTAGTTGACAGAAGATTGATAAAAGTTCTCAATTTTGAGTTTGACTGAGGCCGCTTTATCCTGTATGGACTTGGACAGCAAATCTGGACGCCTTTCGAAGTACATGTAGTTTGAGGCGGAAGCAGCAGCAGCGGGCGCACGAGCTTGTAAGTCGGGCACACCCACCCCTTTCAGGCTTCTCACGGGGCTTTGTTGATGTACACTGGTACCAGAGTATGGTTGTTGTTGCTGCTGCTGTTGCTGGGACGCCTGTACAGCTTGAAACTGATGTGGATGCTGGGAGTTCTGCGCGGTGTTGTATTGCTGGAAATGCTGGGGGCTATGAGTGGAGTGCGAATCCGCCAAATAGTCGGATGTCACCGAGTACTGGCCAGGCGATGCATGCACGTTAGAGAACACATTATTGCGTAAGTTACTTTGGGAGCCATTGCCATGGCTATATATGCTGGGCGCACTATTACCAGCCAGGAAGGTGGATGCCGGTGGAGGAGTGTTTGTTATATTGGGCTGGGGCGGGGAAGAGAAATTCAGCTGTTTCGCCGTTGGTGTTGAAGGGTAGTTCAGGTTGGGCACATCCGCAAACCCCCCACCATTCATCGATCCACCCATCAGGCTGCCACCTTCTTGTTGTCCTAAATGATCTTGTAAAGACTGGTGAGAGCCCTGTTCCCTCAAATAATTAGAGCTAAATGCAGCGTTTGGCGGCCGAGACATGGAATTGAAAGACCCGTTAGAGGCAGTTGAGAACCGATGGATATCGCTGTTGCCAATGTTGCCGTTGCTGTTGTAGCTATTCCGGTTGTCGTTTTTTGGGGCCGAAAAACCACCTTGTGTTCCAGTGGCTCCAGCTGTCATGTAAGAGTTGTTAGTACCATTAAACATGATTTGAGGATGGGGCTTGACTACAGAGAAACAGGTTAGTTCGATGTTTGATTATTATGGCCATGTAGACTCGGAAATTACACTCTAAGCGCGTACCCAGGGTAACCCCATCTTGTTCGGATCTTCGATTTGACAGCGACACTAAATCATTCATGATCCACTTTACAAGCTACCAATGAGCTGACACTGTGCATCGGTTGTCCAGATGGAGCGAATCTAGCTATCGAATGGCATCTGCCGAGTTGGGCCCCACGTTGATTTGTTAGTGCGATTACCACTTCTTTAGGTGACAGACAATGTGTCAAAACTAAAAGCACAATAAATGCCGGCGGTGGTTAAAAGGACTTGGTGCTCGCTTTGAATAGAAGCTACAATAGAAGCGGGTAGCTGAGCATTTCAACTTCACGAACTTGTAAAACGCGAAACTGCCTAGTACCATCACCTCCTTTGGGATGCCTTGTCACACAATTAATTTATTTTGGTCTATGTACACTTACTTCCCTACTTTAACTCTCAGTATGGACTTCCTCCGCGCTTGACCCCGTATCTTAAAAGGTGTTATCGTTTGTAATACTAAATAGGTTCATACAGATGGAATAACAATGGTGTTAAATTGACCAATATATGGCTGGAGTAGTAAAAGTGGTAGATTTGTGAGTAAAAGTTCGCAACAGAGTCCAGATGCAGTCCCTTTAGAATTGCAAGGCTTGGCCCTTTTGCTTCTTTTCACCACCCAATTCGAAGTGCTTGCATCTCTTCAAAGGCAATTGAGCTCTGGTCTTGCAGACAACACATTCCAATCTCAAGACGACCTTCTTGGTAACCTTAGCTTTCTTGTGGAAAATTTGCTTGGTTTGACCACCGAAACCGGATTGTTTACGGTCGTAACGTCTCTTACCTTGAGCGTACAAGGAAGCCTTACCGGCCTTGTATTGGGTGACCTTGTGTTGGGTGTGCTTGCGGCATTGCTTACCCTTGCAGTAGGTCCTTCTGGTCTTTGGAACGTTAACTGGTAGCAGCATGCAAGTTAGTATGATGTTGCGCGACGTTTGCAAACAAGAGATCTGGAAATGAAGGAAAGCTGGACGGAGGTCAGCCCCCCAGTCCTAGGATTACCCATGCAAACACGCAGCTGGGTCCGGACTCCACAAAAGCACCGACACGGCTGTTGACCACCACAGGGTAGATAACTTTGTCTTTGCTCCGTCCCATGTTGTAACATTTCTCTGGTTTCCACTTCCACGCTGGCCCTGGGGCTTACCCAAATAGCTTATACCTCATCTCGTTGACCCTCTGTTTTTCCGTAATTCATCTATCATTAGACATACCCATTGCGACTGATACTTCTTTGTTTGCTGAAGGACTGTATAACGCTACTGAAACTAAGTTGGAAATGATATATTGAACAGTGCTCGTATTTGCCGGCCACCATCGCGATGGTAGTTTGGTACGTTCCCCTGGGCTGGGCCGCAACGCTAGGCAGAGGGAAGGCTCTCTACGCTGAAGCTGGATCGCGCCAGGAGGGGCCAGCACCGCCCGTGAGGCTAGCCTTGCACCGGAGCCCTGCCTAGCTGGCTAGGCAGGGCCCTTTGGAGAGCCCATATTCCAATGAGCGTGGCCTGTACCCACGCAAAAAAAGTTTTCAAAAGTCATCTGATTTAAAATATAATGTCTGGGTGTAAGAAATTAACAGTCACAAGCTGCGCACTACGAGCGTACTCACCTATCTTTTAAGACGAGCATGGGCATCGCACTGTGGGAGCAAGGGTCCTTGCCACATGCGCGATGGTTGGGAGGAAGACGGAGAGGTGCGTATATGAACTGGGCTCTTGGGGTCAAGAAACTGCCCAGAGCACAGAAAATTGCGCTCGTCAAAACAACATCGCACATTATTGTTCGCCACCGCTACAGGAGTAAGGTGCAATGTATTGAAGGGGAGCACTGAAAGAGCTAAGAGCGTCGTGTCGTGTGGCAGCTATGCGTCGAGTTTCCTAAGAACTGGAATTGGGTGGGAAATTGGCCGGTGCGGAACCCGTGGTATTGCACCGTAGTGCGCCTGAGTTTATTGATCACTTTGTAGAAATCTGTCGCTGTCGTTGTCATACTTCCGCTAAGGTGAAGCGCAACCCACTGCTGCGTCGGATGATACAGCTATAATTTTTACGGTACAAGGTGTTTGAGAGCGGCTCGAGACTGTCGTACAGGGGTGTAAAAGGCTGGTCCAACCGCTGCCAGATAGCCCGTTTTTTTTCTTTTCAAATGACTGTATATCAACGGAATAGCGGGATAAAAAGATCCATTTTTCAAATATAGACTTCCTCCAGCCTCTTGTCGATTATTTACGCTCTACTTTCATGTATCTACGATCCGCTTATTCACGTTCACCCACGTTCACCGTCTGCTCTCTTTGTTTACTATATCTAGGTCGACCTTTTACGCGATTCCCTTTCTAGTCATGCCGCACTAAAAAAGTATTTACACGTCGTTTCACAAAGTTTCAAATACTCGCTAATTTCAGGTAAAACTGTCTTCCAACCAGCGAGTCGGAGCTTCCAAGTGGGCCCTCATAAGTCGAAACCTGTGATACGGCTGATCGGGCGCGTTTGCTTATTCCCAAAGACAGTGTGTGTGTGAAGAGGTGTTTTTTTTCGGGTTCAAAACCTAATTATAGATCGACCTCACCGCCCAGCTTCCGGATCTTGATATCACCACCTTTTGACCTTCATCCCCATCTTCGACCCTTACACTCGAACTAGACTTTCGTCTTCTCCTGATGGGATTCGGTAATTTTGCCTCTATCTGCTCCAAGACCCCTCTGCCGCTATGTTCGGTAGTTAGATCATCGACCCATCTAGTGCTGGGCACACACCAGACGGTCCACGACTTCGATCCCCAAAATGTGACGATCGGCATTCTTCCCAAGTGCTACGCACGCTCCATCGACGTGGCCAACACCGTGGTGTTTCAAATCGGCAACGCGTTTGTGAATATTGGCGCTCTGGGTGTCATTCTGTTCATGGTGTATTCGACGCGTCAGAAATACACAGCGATCGGCAAATCCGAGTACGGTTTTCTGTTCGAGCTCTGTCTTGCGCTCATCGCTTTCACTTTGGTTGTTGATTGCGGCGTGTCCCCACCAGGCTCTTCCTCGTACCCATACTTTGTGGCCATTCAAATCGCGTTCGCCGGAGCCTGCTGTTGGACAATGTCCATCCTAGGCTTTTTAGGATTCCGACTTTGGGAGGACGGAACACCTAAATCTATGGCTTTGGTACGGGGCTTCGCTCTGGTAGGTTTCGCCCTCAATTTTTTGGTGGCGGTTTTCTCTTTCCAAGCGTGGGAAACGTCTCCTACATATACAAACTCCAACACAATGGGACTGTTTATCGTGATGTATGTGATTAACGCCCTGCTGATCCTGTGCTATGTCCTGTGCCAACTAGTGGTTTCCATCTTTGTGATCAGTAACCTGTGGGCTGCGGGTGCAGTTCTTCTAGGTGTGTTCTTCTTCTTTGCTGGCCAACTGATCACATATGCATTTTCAGATGACATATGCGTCGGCGTCAAACATTATCTGGATGGCTTATTCTTTGGCAGTCTCTGTAACATATTCGCCCTGATGATGGTCTACAAGACTTGGGATATGACCACGGATGATGACCTTGAATTTAGCGTGTCCGTGGATAAAGAGAACGATTTGACCGACACCTTGAGTTACAAATTTTAAGTGCCCCCATTATGATTATAGCGGCAGTTAACGCCTCCAGTTCCTGAATTTTAAAACTCTGTATATTTAGACAAAATATAGACATTTAGCATCGTTTCAAGCATTTTGAATTCTCTCTTATTGGATCGTTGAACCGCTAAGACGATTGCATCTATCTCGGTTGACATCAATTATTCTGTTCTTCTTGCCGTAGCCTTTTCTTTGCTGCTTCGAGGATCTCAGCGTCCTTGGTATATACCGTGTTACTGAGCGCATCACGCTCGTTAAAGGGATAACTACAGTTCAAATTAGTGCACATCACCAAGCTATAGTTCTGTTGTATCAAACATTTTCTGAGATCCTGGCCACATTGCGGACATTTTCCGTCGCTCATATGTATATATATATGTCTTTGCTCGACCAATGAGTTCCACAACTATATATGCAATTTAACAAATTAGCTTCTCTTCTAGACAAGTAAAGGGACTTGCGGACATTACACGAAATACACTTATCCAATGTCAAGAGTGGGACCAGAAACTTCAAAAAGACTTCAGAAGGATCCTTCATGTATTAGAAATATTTGCATACTGGCGCATGTCGATCATGGGAAGACATCACTCTCTGATTCGTTGCTGGCCTCTAACGGGATTATATCGCAGAAGCTGGCAGGAAAAGTCCGTTTTCTAGACTCTAGACCAGATGAGCAGCTACGAGGAATTACAATGGAGTCTAGTGCTATCTCTTTGTACTTCAGAGTGCTTCACAAACAGGAAGGAAGCCAAGAGCCGCTCATAAATGAGCATTTGATTAACTTAATCGACTCTCCTGGCCACATCGATTTTTCAAGTGAAGTCAGCACCGCATCAAGGCTTTGCGACGGTGCTGTTGTCCTTGTAGATGTTGTCGAAGGTGTATGTTCTCAGACTGTCACGGTACTGAGACAATGTTGGGTGGAAAAACTAAAACCAGTGCTGGTGCTAAACAAAATGGATAGGCTCATCACTGAACTTCAGCTGACACCTCAGGAAGCTTATCAGCACTTGAATAAAATCATTGAACAAGTCAATTCCATCATCGGCTCTTTTTTTAACGGCCAGAGGTTGCTCGATGATCTTTCGTGGAGGGAACAATTAGAACTCAATAACACCGCTGAATTTGTCGAAAAGGATGATTCCGATATCTACTTCAAGCCCGAAAGCAATAATGTAATCTTTGCCTCCGCAATCGACGGCTGGGGGTTTAGTATTGGCCAGCTTGCAAAATTCTACGAGCAGAAACTTGGTGCCAAGAGAGAAAATCTACAAAAAGTACTGTGGGGTGATTTCTTCATGGACCCTAAAACTAAAAAGTTCATTAACAATAAAGGCTTGAAAGGTCGCACCTTAAAACCGCTTTTTGTGAGCTTGATCCTCGAAAACATATGGAAAATCTATAATAATATTTTGAAAGAGAGAGATTCGGAGACGCTGGAAAAGATCACCAACACTTTAAATATTAAGGTGTCTCCTCGTGACTTAAGATCCAAAGATCTAAAGAATTTGTTGCGTACTGTGATGGGTCAGTGGTTGCCTGTCAGCGTTGCCATATTATTGACTGTCATCGAGAAATTGCCGTCACCCGTTGAATCACAAGGCGCAAAAATGGAAAGAATAATTGGTACGACCCCAGGCCATGAAATGGTGGACCCGGCACTGTACTCGGCTATGGAATCGTGTGACAAATCTGGGCCTGTTTGTGCCTTTGTGTCCAAGATGCTGTCCATCCCTAAAGATGAGCTCCCTTTATCTGATGGTACTCCGCTAACGCAAGATGAGTTGATGCAGAAAAGTCGGGCTGCTCGTGAACACGCCCTTAAAGCCGCTAAGGCAGCAGAACGCGCGGAGAACATCTCGAAATCAAACTCAGAACGTCGAGAGACAGGTCTGTATTCGAGAGCTCTAGATACCGTTGCAACTCCGTTGGTGAATGAGCGTGAAAATAGCTATAAGAAAGATTCGTTGAGGCCTTCATTTAGTGACGACATTCGAGTTGTGAGCGATGCAGCCCCAGAGTTTGACCTTTCTCCAAATCTGAATGATGGAGTAGAATTTGAAAACAGCGACTTCGAATATGAAGGTGATGGTTTTCAGCCGGAGTTTATTCCAACTGCTTCAAATCCTGATGATCCTTTGAGCTCCATGTTTGAATACGAGGAAGAGGATCCCTTCGATACCGATAACGCCGTCGACCAACAAGAGGACGAGTTTGAAAAGAGTGATGAAGTTATGATTGGAATTGCTAGACTCTACAGTGGTACGCTCCAAGTAGGCCAAAAAATCGCAGTTTTGGGACCTAAGTACGATCCTTATCACCCCAAGTCGTTTATCGAGGAGGTGGAAATCACACATCTCTACATATTCATGGGCAAAGAGCTTGTACCTTTAAAAGAATGCCCACCAGGTAATATAGTAGGAATTGGTGGCCTGGCTGGAAAAATTCTGAAGAATGGTACTTTGGTCGATCCTCACATTCAGGGAATCAATTTGGTGGGCGTAAACCTCCATGTAACCCCGATTGTTCGTGTTGCTCTTGAGCCTACAAATCCTACTCAAATGAGTAAGCTGGCTCGTGGTTTGAAATTGTTAAATCAAGCTGATCCTTGTGTCCAAACATACGTTGAGGATACAGGGGAGCACATCTTGTGCACTGCAGGTGAATTACACTTGGAGCGTTGTTTGAAGGATTTGACAGAAAGGTTTGCTGGTATCAACATTACGTCGTCAGAGCCAGCTATTCCATACCAAGAGACGTTTCTTGCTACGTCTGACATGAATCCAGCAAAGGATCCAGAGCTTGGGAGGGGCAAGGCGCAGATATATCTGGACGAGTACGCAATCACTTTAAGGGCCGTCCCACTCCCTGAAGAAATCACTGATTTTTTATCGGCAAATGCATCAATTATTAGAGGTTTTACTGAACGTGAGAACATAACCACTCGAATGACAGAATTCCAGCGCACTTTGAATGATTTACTCTCGAAAGCGGCCGTCAAGGACAAAACATGGGATGCCTCCGATCTGAAAATCTCAGCTTTTGGTGGCAAACGGATAGGACCAAATCTTCTTGCGTCCAGGAGCTGTGCTCTTGAAGACGTCTTTCTTCGTGAAGCTACCCCCGATTTTGAGTACGCAAGCTCAATTATTAACGGATTTGAACTTGCAGTGAGCCAGGGCCCTCTTTGTCATGAGCCTGTTCAAGGCATGTGCGTATTTGTCGACGATATTCACAAATTGACTGATGAAGAGCTGGGTACCTTGGAGCTCCAGGACCACCAAATTCGGCTTCCAAATTTTGGTGGTAGATTGATTACAACTATCCGTGATGCGGTTCACGCTTCGTTCCTCGACTGGTCTCCTAGAGTTATGTGGGCTATGTATCAATGCGACATTCAGGCTTCAGTCGAGGTGCTGGGCAAAGTTTACGCAGTGGTGCAGCAAAGACGGGGCCGCATTGTATCTGAAGAGATGAAGGAAGGTATCCCGCTCTTCCAAATCGAAGCTCGAATTCCAGTGGTCGAAGCATTTGGATTTAGCGAAGATATTCGTAAGAAAACTTCAGGAGCAGCCCAACCACAGCTCGTGTTTGCAGGTTTTGAGTGCATAGACTTGGATCCTTTTTGGGTTCCGACGACCGAGGATGAACTAGAAGAACTGGGAGATATAGCCGATAAGGAGAATATCGCGAGAAGGCATATGAATATGATACGGAGGCGTAAGGGACTTTTCGTCAAAGAAAAGCTAGTCCAAAACGCAGAAAAGCAAAGAACTCTAAAGCGCAACTGATACCCGCCAGTTAAACGTTTACTTCAGCCTCAGCGTATAAAAGAGCCCAGCGTCAAGTTTCGTGCCAAGGTATGTATATTTCTTCAGAATATAGTGGGTTATTCCCAAGTAAGCTCATCGCGGTAGGATAAGCAATACAACGCTTCTCTACTAGGCTCTCGAACCCTTGACTCGATGCCTCCCTTAAAGGATTCATCCATAGAGGTCACTTCCAAAGAGGGGCCTGCTGACTTTCATGTCATGATGCAAGAGGGCGTAAAAGCGTTGACAAATATTCTAACTGCTCATTTACAAGACAACCCTGAAGTTGTAGACCAACAATCAGGATTGAAAGGTGATTCATCGAAGGTAACAAATGCGTTAAGGTTCCATGAAGTCGGTAGTGGTGCTGCAACTGGTGTATTTGGCGCTTCTGAGAGTGGGGGAGAAGATCAGCGTTTCGGCACACCGGGGCGTGATGAGGGAACTAGTTGTAACACCTATGAAGGCATCAAGCTTCACGAGCACAAAGCGAAGCCATCAAAGAGCTCGGGTCGGCATGCCACTAAAACCAGTGGAAGCTTACCTCAGAACCAGCAATCTGCTGTGGTGAAGACTTCCAATGCCGAAGCGTTGGCCGAAAACTATTCCGACGAGGAAGGAGAAATAGTGTTTGACTGTGGCGAACAAGATCTGATGTCGATGCCTGGCGATTTTGGCGAAAATCTGAAGAAAATGGTAGCGTCCCGAATTGCTCAACAGAACGCAGACTCGAACCAGCACCAAAACATAGACATAAATTTTGACTTAGACGTTGATGTTGACGTGAACATCCAATCTCCGCCAACTTCGGCACAACATGGAGACCTCAGGGCTCGTGAAACCTGTCGTAATCACCGCAATCGAGAAGAATTTGAATATCCACGCCTCCCTAAGTCACCGCCAGATTTTACGCAGCTTATCACCAGCGACAAACCACTATGCATGTTCTGCGAGTATTATTCGGTCTTCGGAGAGCCCCCAAAAAACATGATTCGATGGTTCCAGAGAGAACGCGCACAAGCCTCCAGCCTCTAATGCTATTCTCGTTTCTTCATGCAACACGCAGCCTCAGCCGTAAATCGTTGAACATCTTAGCAATGCCTGGTGGGTCTCGGACCTCACAGACGAGTCGAATTCCTCAGTTGAACCGTTATCCTCACTTTCCACGTATACTGTTTTCTATGACAGTCACCCAGCATTTAGGTTTGTTTACCTTTCCTCTGAAAAATAAACAAACAAGCATCAAAAGTTAGAAAACTTAACTCATCGCTGGCTTTGGCGCTGAAATACCAACAACGCTAGGCGAAGGAAAGCAAAACATTGATGAAATCGGTTGATAACTGCCAACCTTAAGAAATCCCAGCACGATGGAAGATGAACTCCCTTGACTGCGATGGCTGGTTAAAAAGTTGTAATCGAAATATGGTAGCGCTCGCCATTGAGATCGAACCTTGTTATGAACAGGGACGCAAGGCTGGTGGAAAAGTAGAGCAATAAATGAAGTGGCTGACGGAGTATAAGAAGGACGCAAGAATGTGGTGAAAAGACCAGTTTCGAAGGATTTTTATTCATTTGGTTCTATCAACCAGCTATCGCCCCATACTCACATTCCAACTCTATTGTCGTTCTTTAACATTTGGTAACTGGTCTCTTAACCTACAGTCGCTCATTTTTACTGTCAAATTCAACTACGTCCATTCCTTCGATCTTTACTTCCAACTATCTCACTTTTGTCATTCTTTACCAGTCCAAATGCAATTTTTCAAAGCCGCCACTGCTCTAGCCTTTCTCACCTCCCTAGTAAAAGCCGATGCAAATGCTAGGTTTTTAACATCTGATGGTGTCGTGTACAGTTTTGAAGTTGTCACAAGCACGATTAGACCTGCAACCACCTATTTGACTACCTTGTACTATACTACCACTGAGGTAGTTCCTGTGACTTTGGCCAACGAGGTGGTCAGTTCCTCAACCAAGGCCGTTACAAAGACTTCTACTCTTTCCGTGGTCAGCAGTGCTACCACTGCGCCAGCTCCTACCACTGTGGTAGTCTCATCAAGTGCTTCATCCAGCTCCTCGTCCAGCTCTTCATCGAGTTCCTCCACCTTGAGCCCAAGTTCAACTAGAAGCACCTCTTCCTCGAAAGGAAGCTCGGCCACAAGCGATTTCTCTTCCGCTAGTGTCTCCGCCAGCTCTTCCATCGCCTCGCCATCAAGCCTCTCTTCTGATGCTTCTGGCGTACCTTCGAGCGGCTCAGCCAGCTCGAAACAACCCAGCAGCACATACTCTATGGCAGGAAACACGGGTAGTGCCTCGTCTATCACGAGCTCATCGTCTCAGACAAGCTCTTCGTCAACCATCACTTTGTCTCCAAGTACATCCACTGCTTCCTCCACTACTTCCTCTACTTCCAAATCATCCTCGGCATCAGTGCCCTCGAGTTCCTTGAAAGTTGAAGCCTATACTACTGAATACGGCGATGATGACAATGGATCTTGTACTGTGTATTACGAAGATAGTGACTACTACACGACCATCTACTTGACGGATGCCAGTCAGTCAGTTGATGCATTTACCACTTATACCAGTACGAAGACCGTTTTCGAAACCATTTCCACTTAGAAATGTGCATGAGCATACGATCAAATTTAGTTCAAGAAAGGTTACCAACCATGTATATTAATTAGTCTTATAATATAACTTAATCAGAGAAATTAACATTGCCAATGTACTTTTGAGTACCGCCGCCGCCTCCACCATCATCATAACCAGTATTACCATTATTTATTATTATATTCTTATCGTCATTGTCAATTATTGAACTCCCCGCTGACAGTCATACTGCAAGCGCTAGTCCCAGCGTGCTGTACCTATGAGAAGTAGCTTTCTCTTTTTTGGATTCTATGTCGTGCAGTAGCATGCACATGCTAGTCAGAATCAGTGTATCCCAAGGAATATCGCGAAGACTTTCCGAACAATGCGACATCTCATTGATTTTGAAATTTGCATGCTTCAGAGTCCTATTTTTGGGGATAACCGTGGAGGATTCATCACTGTAGGTAGCCCATATGGGCAATTTTGCCACATGCCGACTGTTCGGAACCTTCTTCCTGGCATCGCTGTATTCTTTATCTGTCAAGTAATCTAAAAATGAAGGGATGTTGTCATCCAATACTCTGAGGTCAAATTTGCTGGCACCAAAACTGGAAGCGAGGCCCGAGACACCATACCATCGAAGAGCCAGATCGTCTACTCTAGTATCACAATCGCTGTGCAGAATATGACCTAACATTTTCAGACAAAAAAGGTTCCTGGTGGGGCGGTTGTCGATGCGAAATACTAATCTGTATTCCACATGACTGGTTTTGGACTCTATGTGTTGGAAGATCTCGCAGAAAGTCAGTTTATACACCCGCAGATCTCCGTTCGATGCCAACAATTGACAGTGTTCATCTTCTTTGTAGTTTACTGCCCAATCTTCGTCTCTACTCGTGTCTACCAGTGCAAACCTGTGAATCTTCATCACAGGTGCCTTACCATGGATCAGACTCTTGAATAAATTTAGCGACACAGCATGCAAGAAGGGAAACCCCACTGCTTGCGTATCATTTAGGCAGTCCAAACGCCGCTTATTTTGACGGAATTTGGTGTATGAGTTTTCGCTCGGGAATGCCATGAACCCTTTGCCCAAAACAGTCGAAGCAAAGGGTACATTTCTGACGTCTTCAAAATCTGGACATCGATTGCTGAATTCTTTCCCATGCAAATCAACATTAGCCCTCACCTCAATTGCACTTAAGGAATTTACAGATTCTCCTTTTAGTAACTTAGGGGATTCAGAGCTTCGTTCGGCTAAGGATGCCACTTCGCTGTCGCTCCTGATAGGATCTTTCAAAACTGATTTTCCCTGGGATTGAGACGACTCTTGGTGGCCCAGTTTGCCAACAATATTTTTGACCTTATACATAACGGGGTTTGATCTATTTATACTAAATAAGCCGAAATCTTTGAACCTTCTGAGCACTTGTCTTATGGCCGATTTATGAGTAGTCCGTTTTTCTTCTAGGTGGAAATTCAAAATGCATTAAATTAGGTATCATATTTTGATATCTCAAAGTCAAACTAAATGACAACAAACACTATTAAGCACCAATAAAGGTGGTTAGACACAGCTCTGTGAAGTTTTGCTGAAATTTACCAGAGATGGATCAAGAACTTCTACGAAAGAGAATGTCTCAGATCGAGTTAGAGATCGACGAGATGAACCATGTTATAGATGAAAACTTGCAACTCAACGAAGAGCCTCACGAGGATCTGGAGACGGAATTGAATAACTCTTTGGCGAACAGTGATGAACGCAGCTCCAGGCTTCACTCGCGGGAAGAGTTTTTGGCGAACTACGAGGGGAAAGAGCGTGTTACAGAAGAGGGAGATAGGGCCAAACATACCAGCGCCCAGAGCGATTCGGACGCGGTGGAGCCGTTAGCGCACCCAGAAGTCCAAGGGCTCCATGTTGACAACGAATTGAAGGACTCGCACGAGACTAAAAGTAGTAAGATTGCGGAGAAGGACAGTAGACATCAGCCGGAGGAAGAACTCACATACGATCAAAATTGCGCAATTGACCCACCTGGTGATAAAGAGGCTTCGCAGGCTGACGCAGAAGAATTGCCTCACGTCGCCAGAGAGCCCTCTGTTGACACCGACAACGTCATCCAGGAACTCAACAACAAAGAAGTCAAGGCAACTGCTCCACAAACTCACTCTGAATTGTCCCTTGCGACGGAACCGGCTACGCTGAATGATCAGCACAAGACTGACAGGTCTACAGTTGATGCTAACAAGTCCATTGTTGATACTGCCAAGTCCACAGACGAGTCTGCAAGTTTCACTGGTGGTTTGCCGATTTTGTCAGATCACGAATCAAATCACGAATGGGAATCGCGTTTCGATCCGCATTCAAACCTACAGACTCCAGAGGTCGATTCTAAAACCGAATCTACCGCCACCTCGCTGCCCCTGCCAAAAACCAGAAATACCGCAACACCCATTGCTTCGGGTGCGCGCCAAACATCCAATCCCAGTCCTTTCCGAGTTGTATCTGTCACGAGCAAGCAATCTGAGAAGTCACAGGCACAAAAGCTTAACTCGAGGCACGAATATCTCACTTTGAAATGCTCGAAGTTGCAGCGCGAGATCCAGTACTTATCGGATTTACGTGACCGTGGAGCAGTTGCCCCCGAAGACTCGCGTAAAATCAACAATGCACTTGTGAAACTTCAAGAGTATCTAGACCGCAAGACCAAAGAACGTTACGAAATTGGAGTTTTACTGAGCCGGCAACTGAGACGGGAAATTGACCGTGGCGAGAATGGCCAATTTTGGGTTGGTAACTAATTTTTACGGAATGTCCCACAAGAATGGCTGATACTTCAGCGACCTTGTTCGAAGCCTTCGCATGTCCCTAATTGTTCCATTCCAAATCAGCATCGGATACCCCTGGAATGTCACTTTGTACTAATATGACCATGGCTTTAAAATTTTATCCACTACCATAAAAGACAACTCAATGAACTCATCGCAACCTAAAGTAGATCTTTGGTCAGTGTCACATCGACTTTCAGAGGATTTGGCATGTCTCGTGAGGGTTTTCAGATCCCAACCAACCTAGATGCCGCCGCTGCGGGTACTGCTGCAGCCAGGACTGCCACTTTGAAGTACATCTGTGCGGAATGTTCGGCAAAGCTGTCGCTTTCTAGAACCGACCCTGTCCGTTGCAAAGAGTGCGGTCATCGTATTCTACTTAAGGCACGTACCAAGCGTATGGTGCAATTTGAAGCCCGCTGAGAACAAGGGAGAGGGGAATGGTGAGGTGTCTGATGCTTGTGCAATCACTAATCTCCAGTTTGTAAAATACATAGAAATATCCAAATTCAACTAAAAAGTGCATACAACTGATCTAACGAACGCCGACGAGTACTACTTCAAGGCTGCCCCTAAAGTAACTCAATTTAAATTCCGTCAGCTGAACCCAGAGCCCGGTTCTCGTCGGTAGCCCATTGATGAGCGGCCACGAAATCGACGAAATTTAGCTTGTGGCCAGGTTCAAAGCATATCAACCGATTTCTTAGTATGAACGCCTGTTTGAGACTCATAGTGGCTTGCGATATGCCTTCGCCTATTGCGTCTCGGCCAACATGAAACCATGACTCTACTTTGTTTGAAGAGAGCTTGCTGTTGTACAGTGATAGGGCTAGCTTGGCAAGCGACGGGAATTTTTTCTGGTTCTTTAGCCAGTATTTTACAAAATCGGCACTTTCCTCGGCAGGTTCTGCCAAAAATGAGGCCCATTCGGAACGCGAACCCAATTCGTGTTCCGTAAAGTTGACCAAAGCTTCTTCTCCAGTCAAATCCAATTCAGCCCGCCTTCTTTTTAAAGAGTCGGGTTTAGTAACCCTATTTGGATTGCCACGAGCAATATCATTGTCCATCATACCATGCGACAATGTCGCCGCGTTCGTCTTGGTGTAGTGCTCGATGTAAGTGGAAGCATTTTGCAAGACGGCCTCTTTGAACTGTCTGTCGTCAAAATTATCCGATAGCCTGTTAGTCTTGCAATGGGGTTGTAGCATGTGGGCCACCCAAAAGCCGCCTTGTTGCAGCACCCACTCTAGTTGGGTATTAAAGAATGAACCACAAGTGGAGATGATGGTGAAAATGTTATTTCTGGCATCCTCGCTGATGGACATCATGTCTTCTTCTCTCAGCCCGCATATCACTATATCCTGTTCCTCGTAGATTCCGCTTAAGATTCGATCGCTCGCCTGGAAAAACTGGCCAACCTGTAGGTAGTAATCGATACCATTAGGGAGCATGTTCACGCTATCATTTTCTAGAAGCTTGATATAGTCGAAGAAAATCGCAATTGTCTTTAGGAATATTGACAAAACAGCGACCTCATCGGTAGAACAAACGAAAAACTTTTTATGCTCCGCTTTCAAACCATACGCGTCGTTTCCCAAGTTTTGAGAGTAAAATGTCTTGAGATCCTCTTCTGTCTTGAGAAATTCGCACATGCGATTATATCGCGAAATGGTGCCAAAAAATGAATTTGCATGAAGTGGTGTTGCAGCATGCAAGTAACTCTTGAACTTATGTCTCAGGAGTATATTACTCTCGAGCACATCTGTTAGCCCATCAATCCTTGAGGTAATGAGCGGGTAGTTTTCTTGGAAGACCTGGATTAAAAGCTGAGCGACACTCTCTAGGGTGTGACTCAGACTTCTAATTTCGATTAAGGATTTCGGTTGATCCACCTGTAAACTTGACCTGAGCTTGTCGGGTAAATCAGCAAGGGCTGGGTTGTTGCTTGAGCCGGCATCTAAAGTAATAGAACCAACCTTACTTTGAATTCCATAATCAGAAAGAGTCTGAATAGTGAGAGGAAGTAGTGATCTTAAACTCTCTTCCACCTCGAGCAAATCCAATACGTGAACATTGGGGCCCGTTTTCGCTGTGATTGATTCGCGTTTCAAGACTTGATCTACCAGAGTCAAGTTCGGACAGAAAGAAACCATAATGGCGACAAACATCTTGTTGCCAGTACCTGACCAAACATCTAGAATAACGTTCACCATTGACGTGGCAGCCAAAGTTTCCTTGAGCTGGGTTTGGAATTCGTGGTAATACTCATCGAGTTTCAGGACAAGATCGTCTGGCGTCAGCAGAAACTCCGCGTTATTAAAGTTGCAGGCTTTCAAAAACTGAGCAAAAGAGCTAGCTGTGCTCAGCGGCAATAGAGAGTCGATAAAAACATTCAGTTGCCTTTGAGGAAATTGTTTGCTGTTCAAAAATGGGGCTAGCTCTTTGCGCATTGTGAAGGCCTTGCGAGTAGCGATGGAACCGCTCGCCGATCCATTTGCCGAATTTTCGAAAGTGTTCCCGATGGCCGCAGAAGAAGTTTTGCGATTTTGGTCGCGTCCCAGCAGGGATATAAAAAGCTGGTAGTCATCCTTGTGGCGCCTTTTCATATGCTTGATAATATTGGACGTGTTTGCGTGTCCGTCGAACTTGAACTGCAACTGACAGTGGGAATACTTGCACTGTGCGTACGGCTTGGAGGTGGCATACTTCGTGACCCAGATGCCAAATGGAGACAGGCGTAGCCAGTTGTCAAACCTGGCCGCAGTCTTGGGGTTCAAGCTGTCGTCTTTGATGGACGTATCCAGAGTCGGTTTGAGACACGGGTTCATGGAGAAGTCCCGGAAATCAAACCCGTACGTATCCTTGAACTGTTGTTCCGTGCGCACTGGGTCGTGGTCCCGCTGGTGTTGGTGGCTATTCAACTGTGTGATGGCAGCAGCAATGGTTTCCTCATTGGTTGCCTGCATCCCACCGGGACTGCCGTTGGCCTTCCTCTCTGCGCTTGCTTGCTCAGACTCGTGCTCCAATTCCTGCTCTGCGAACGCGTTTGCCTTGTCGAGAACACCTGTCTTCACGGTATTCATCACGGCCTGTTCAACTCTCCGGGAGAGTGTCCAGTGCACAGCAATTGGCGAAAAGCTCCTGGAAGATGCTCTGTATGTCGTGTCGGTTGTCTATCAACACGCGGCAATGCAAGTACTCACTTTAGTTCACCAGTGCTTGAGTACTCCCCTGCCCAGATTGAACTAACTTGACGACGAGTCAACGTACTCGTCCTGTCTGTTGATCACTTAACAGTTGGCACTATTCGAATCTAGTATTATGGTCACTGTGTACGTAGTGGCAGCGGGACTGAAGTCTGCCAGCAGGATTATCCCGATAGAGGACGAGGGCCTGTGCTGGGAGCGTTGGGAGCAGGGGATTGTGTAGCTGTCTACGCAAGCTGCCCCGTCTTTATTTGTAATTTTAGCATTATTTCAGGGATGCTTCTGACGGTCGCGAGGGTTGTGGGCGACTCGGGAGGCACAGTGGTCGCTGAAGCACAAGAACAAGACGGAATGTGTCACTAAGCACTTGGTTTCGATTGGGAAACAAAGGAAGGATACCGTTTGCGTGGCTTTTCGGACGGGAGGTCTGCACGGCGTGGAGCACATGCCCAGCGCATGTGTATTCGCTGCCTTGTTTCCCGGTGTTTCTGCTGGAGCCTCCAGAGGGACGTTCTCCAGAAGGACGTTCTCCAGAGGGACGTTCTCCGGTCCTATATGAATAGCCTCGAGTTGCCCAAAAGTGGTGGTCATCAGCCCGATGACAGTATGGTACAAAGTGATGCATACTGTCACGTGCAGCATAAAATGCACGTGACAGCACGTGACTGGGACGAAGGGAGCAGGACAGCCTGGGCAGCTGTTCCGCGTGGTTGGTTCTCCACAGACTGGGATGGCGTCGGAAGCCCACACCGGAAGAGCCCCAGGTCACACCAGGGCATGCCGGGACAAGATGGACCACGCTAAAAAAAACAAAGCTCAGTAATCACCGAGCGATGAGCGGCACCTGCCTTGTAGCACCCTTCCTCCCTCCGCAGTCTACACCAGACCTTTGGAACGAGCAGCTTGGCATAGCAAGTACCGCTGGCACTGGCACACCACTGGTAGTGATGCCTCGTCTTGAGATCATGTCGTACGGGTCTAGTGCCAGCATCAGCGTGCGTGTAGTTGCTCAACAGCTGCTTAAGCCAGCAGCGCACACTGCCGGGCTGTCGCAACTCCATGTCTGGTCTGTGAGCGATCTCGCAGCCCATGACGGCTCTCATTTGGGTTCGCTGGCGTCAGCGGGTGATAAAGTGATCGGATAAACAGGTTTCGCATCTTTCGCAGGCACAGCATCCCGATTGCCGGCCGTAGGTTTGCGTTCGAGAACGACGCCGAGACTCTTTGTGTTGTCAGCTCCGCTCACTCCCGCAAGAAGAAACCGTCTCGTTTCTAATTTTTTTAATTATTTTTTTTTTTCGCTGGCCAGTGCTCGGTCAGAATTTCGCCAACCCTTCCTAAACAGCACCCAACAGCATCTCATGCTGTCTCCTATTTGAAACTATATCGCTTACCCATGGGCATTTTCCATAGGTGCCTTTTTTTTGGTGTCACTGTCAAAATTAATTGAGGTGGTGGATCTTGCTCTGGTTTGCTTTTTCTATCTTTCAGGCCTTAATTAAAGAAAAAGATTTAGAAATCGGGTAGCCAACAGGTAACATTCAAACAGTATTGAGCACCAAACTACAGAACTTCGGTCATTCAGCGTCAGATTTGGCACTTGAGAGGTTAGTTTCGTCCTTACAACGAGCGTGATTATCTAGGGACCTTTTTCTCCCGGCTTTTCCTGGCCAAAGTAACGACCACACATTTTGACAATATATTCCCATTGTCGCGGTTGCACACTGGGCAACGACCATCAGCATCGCAAGAGCACGGGCTCCGTAGACAGCACTTGTTGAGCGCTTCTACTAGTGGCAAGAGCTCCAGCTGAGAAATTTAGAAGAGCGCAATCAGCATCTCCGTTTAGCAGCGACGGGCGCAGCAAAGGACGCCGCAGTTCTCTAAAAAGCGTAGTTTCCAGGCGAAAAGTTGAAGAAAAACGATGGGATCCAAGGATGAAGCCTCGCATGAAGGCCCAGGTTCTGGCAACAGGGTGTCTTCGTTTGATCTGGAACCGAACCCGTTCGAGCAGAGCTTTGCGTCGACGAAAAAGTCTCAAGCCGCTGTTCCGCCAGCAGCATCGAATTCGGACATGACAACTTCCTTTGATGCACTAGCAGCTAATGCCGGCGCGAGCACTGGCCCGGCAGCCATCAAGAGCGGTACCAACACGGCCATCGAGGCTCCCGGCCCTCCAGCTCCTATAATCCGTGGGACCAGCACCAGTGGTAAAGCAGCGACTGCCCCAACCTACACTGGCCCAGGGGCCGATCATTCACACACTGGCTCCACCATCTTACCGCCGCTCCGTCTGACTAATCCCGGCCAAGCGTCAGGTTCGATGCCCCCACACTCGAGGTCTCCGGGTTCCGTCACCCCAGCTCCTTTGATTCCACCGTCCCATCAACCTTCACATCAACACTCATACCCCCACTCCCACTCCCACTCCCACGCACATTCACATTCTCACCAACACCAACAGCCCCACCCACACCCTCACACACTGCTGGCTCCAGGAGGCACAACTCCTGGATTTTTCCTTAACCTTCCCAAGACGGGTTTGACTCCAAGTGCGTCCGGTTTGCGCTCGGGTCTCACGCCCGGGATTTTATCTTCAGCACAAAACGCACAAACGCAATCACAACTTCCGCATCAAACCCACCCTCATCCTCAGGGTCTTACACATTCCCATCCGTCTCCTACTCTGCATCCTCCAACGCATCCCGTCCCATCCATGTCTCTTCCGAACGGGCAATTCACGCCGGGTCTTTCTTCCATTCTCGGGGTGCCACTCAATCAACACCATTCACCAAATGTAGGACCCCTTCCATCCCACCAAATTCATTGGGACCCTCACCTGCACCAGAGTTCCCGTTCTACCACAGCTGTAAACTCTAACTCTTCGCATTCCTCCAACTCCATCTCCTCAGTACCGTCTGACGGGGTCAAGAGATCATCAAACTCAGTAATTGGGTCATCTTCTAGCCCTAGTTCTTCCATGGTCCAGGCCCCTTCCTTCAAGGCAGGGAAAGCAGATGCGGATGATTTCGATATAGCCTATGCAAGCCGTCAGACAAAAAGTTCGAGAGCAGGTCAACCTTCGGCCAAGAAAGCGAAAATCAATGCTACAAATAATAACAATCATGACAACAACAAAAAGGTTAAGGCCCCAGATGAACCCTCTCCTTATGAATCTAAAGACGAACAAGAGCGCAAGCGTAAGGAGTTTTTAGAGAGAAACAGAGTGGCTGCTTCCAAATTTCGAAGAAGAAAGAAGGAGTATATTAGAAAGGTAGAAGGGGATCTTAAATTCTATGAGAGTGAGTACGAGGACATGTCCCAATGTATGGACAAGTTATGTGGCATTTCCAAGCAGACGATCAACTCGTCGCTTGTTGGGATGCTCAAACAGGCACTATTGCAACACGACCTCAATTCGTCATTGGCCCTATGCAATCACATTGAGCAACTCCTCTTGCAGACGCAGTATGTTCAACGAGCCGGACGCAATCCTCGGCGCGAAGAAGAAGAGAAGAGAAGGTTGGAAAATCCTGACGACGACAATTCTGACTATGGTTACCATAGAGGGGCATCAACCACCGTCGCGCCTCCTGACCGCTACCACGAAATTCATGCTAACATTCCTCAGCAAGAGGTAGACCCCAAGAGTGTCGGGTCCTCTCAAGCACCCACGGTGGACCATGCAACGGGGACCATCAATAACCTGCCCCTAGTCATCAACGGCAACACCTTGCTGAGTCTAGACGATATTCAAGTGGCATCGCAGCCCCAAAAGATTGACGATAAACTTATAGACAATCGCTTGGATGGTCGCCATCCTATATCTAACTTGAAGGTAGAGGATGGTCTTTCGTGAGTCGATAGGCGCTTACATGAAATAATTCATCGCATAAGTTTGTTGGGGTGTCAAGGAGAGCGCAGCTTGCTGCTCAAGGGAGCTAGGTCAGCGAACTTGACAAAATAGGAATAAGGTCGTCGACAGGTTAGTTTTCACTTGGGCGTTTGATGTTTTTAGGCTGTATAATGTTATTAAAACGGTTTTTATGTTACTGGACTAGTTGAAAGACCCTTCCAGAAGTCCGAGGCATTCCGTGACATCTACTACAAATATTTGAAGGATACGACTGTTTACATCTTCATGTCAAAGTCAATAAAATAGTTAAGGAAATTAATATATATAGCATAGCTTATTAAAAGATACAGACAGATAAGGTCTATCTAACAGGCAAGATCTTTCGAAGCCATGACCTATTCATATTTGAACGCTGCTAGAAAGATCATATGCATTGGTAGAAACTATGCTGCGCATATCAAGGAACTAAACAATCCATTCCCAAAACAACCCTTCTTCTTTCTAAAGCCCTCTTCGAGCATCGTCACTCCACTAGCAACAGAAGAACTTAGGAAAGCATTCAAAGTGACTGGTTCTACTTACAAAGGTTTGGAAGCTGACGGATCGAACCCAGGGGCTATATTGATACCGGAAGGAGTCAAGGTGCACCATGAAGTTGAATTGGCCCTCATCATGAGTAAGCACGTGTCGAACGCTTCCAAAGACACTTTTGGTCCTAAGGACTTGTACGATTCGATAGCAGGTGTGGCACTTTCCTTAGACTTGACAGCTCGCAACGTTCAAGACGAAGCTAAGAAAAAGGGCTTGCCCTGGTCTATCGGAAAGGGGTTTGACACTTTTCTGCCTATATCGGGTTTTATTCCCAAAGAGCTCCTCTCCCACAAGGATAATTTGCAGGACACGTTCCGCCTTAAGTGTGAGGTCAACGGCACAACGAAACAAGATGGTACCACAGATCTGATGTTGACGCCTTTGCACACTATAGTGCAACACATTTCGACCATGATGTCATTAGAGCCAGGTGATATTGTCTTGACTGGGACGCCCTCTGGTGTGGGGGAACTGAGGCCCGGTGATATTATAAAATCAGAATTGTTCCAAGGTGAGAACTTACTCATGGAAATGACTTTTGACTGTGCCCAAAAGCCAGGGCCCTATGTGTATAGAGAAACGTAGGGAGAAGCCGTCGTCAAGGCACCTATATCTTATAAAACTCTATAAACTAGTCAAAGTTCAAATACTCCCTGCAGTGATCTGGCCATGTCCCCCGCCTCACAGAACGCTGAAGCGAGGGTCTTCCATAAAGCTGAATTGGCGCACTAACACGCCTCCCTCTTGCAGAATCCTAAAACTCTCTTCATCCATCCTGTAACTTTGTGAGTACACCACTTCTCGAATGCCAGTTTGCACGATCTTTACCGAGCAGGTCAGACAAGGACAGGTGTCACAGTACAAAATTGCGTTGGCACCCACCCTGTCACGGCCAGCCTCAAGAAGGGCATTCTCCTCCGCGTGTAAACACAAGCAGCTGCTGAGATGGGCACTATTACCACTATTACAGCGGGGGCATCCACCGCTATGGCAATTTTTCAGATGGCGAGGGGTACCATTATAGCCGGTGGCTATGACCCTGCAATCACGGACAATAACACACCCCACCCGTCTCTTCATGCAATTAGATCTGGAAGCAGCAAGCGTGGCGAGCTTCATGAAATATGAATCCCAATCTGGCCTGAGTGGAGTCGTATTGTTGAATGCCACGGTAATGTCACGTCCATGGCAAGCTTGCGTCAGAAGTCGGCCCAACTCTTTGGCCAATATATCAAATTTGTACATTTCGGGAGTTCGAATGAAGAGCTTTATATCTGCTCGAGCCAATACGACAGGCAGTTCGGGATACTGTTCAAGATGAGCATCTGAAATAGTGAGATACTTCTCCAGGTCTGTCGTGCCACCATTTTCATAGGTGGCCCACTCATTTATCTTAACTCTCAACGAGGAATCCAGGGCTATATGGATAAAAAAAGGTCGTACTTCAAATTTCCTCAGTACTTTCAGAGATAAATTTCCTTTAAATACCATATTTCTTGTGTAGTTGGTAGTGGCATATTCTAGAATGTGTGTCGACTCGACCGTTGAGATTGTCGCATCAGTTTGAAGCCTTTCAAAACCAAACTTATTCTCGAGAGCTTGCACTGCTCTTTCGGCACCACCCCCGATGCTTTCACTCACGTACAGTAGCATTGTTCAGTCCTCTTTCTCCTGTAGAGTCCAGCTTCTGCTTCAGCCTTGCTTTCTGGTGGGATTGATGATAGCGTCGAGCTCATCGAGACGCGTAACGATAATACACGAAATGGCTCTGACACTATGGGAAAAAGTGATACCCGCCAAACTGGGGCCAACAACGAAGCGTCTGTGTACGTGAGGCTTGCAAAGATCCGGCTGCCACCTTCAATCAGAGTGGGAGAATTTGTCTCGACGTTCTGCTATATGAAGCTCTTCAAAGTAAACGTCGAAGACGCTTGGATGCGCTTAGCAGGGATCAAAACGGGTATTGGGCAACACAAACGAGAATTAACTCCAAAACTTCGACGCTAGTTTTTGCTTATTGTTGGCTTGATTGTTGTTTTGGCGTAAAGGCGTGGGTTGGCGATTTAGTGCAGACACGTATGACAGATTTTCACAAAGTGATGAAGGCTTCTGTGAAAGCAGACGTAGGAAGGACGAAGGGTGACCGGTGGGGCTAAAGAGTAAGTATAGCTTGGCTTTGGATTCCCTGTTGATGGTTTTTGATCAGCAGCGTTGAAAATCATGAACACGCTGTGGTGACGCCCCCCCCCTGGTCATCCCCATGTTCAGCAATTTAACGAGTCTCATACTGCAGGTCCAGACTCGCCAGAATGTGCGGTGAGTTTCGAGTCCGATTTCTTCTTCCCGTGTTGATCATCTTTTGGCGAGAGTGATCAAGGATCAACAATAGTTGTGATGTGACTTTATTTTCTTATTTCAGCTTTATAGTTCGAGTGCTGTTCCCAGAAGTCCAGTCGCGAGACAAACACATAAACAAAACGACCATCTTAGATCAAGGCACCTTCTCGCCAATGTAGTGAGTTGGATGCTGCTGAATAAACTTGTCATTTCCTTTGCGCTTTGTGGAGGAGCCAGGTAGTGGCGTCAGTATATAAAATGCCACGGAAGGCGACAGAATAGTATAAGATGATATTCCAAGTTTAGACAAGTGACATTGTGTTCTAGTTCCTGATCATCCAGCCAGGGTTACTCCAATAGAGCACAGCTAACATCCAGCGGACTCTGACACTGGGATGCCCACTTGTCGCAGAAGTCTCGGCCAATCTCCAGAAACAAATTCGAGAGGTTTTGTATCCTGCGGACCCAAGTGAGCTCTTCGAAAAAGCTTGCCAACATATGCAGTATCGCTGCCAAGGTCCAGAAAGTTTTAGAACGGCTAACTCTAAGCAAAATTGCTTTATTTATGGCCGGAAAAGGGCCCCGATTAAAGGCCAAAAAACAAGACATATCTAATGGAAGATGCCTATAATCCAGCGTTACAAACAAAAAGAAGCTAGCAAAAGCGTCATAGACGTAAGTACCTTCATCGGTTCGCTGCCCTGTAGAAACTGACTGAAATCGAATCACAGCTCCCAAGGTGTTTTTTTTTTCACATGTTTCTGAAGTTCACATGTACATAGTGAAAATTCAATGTTATTCTTGAGAAATCATAGTCATCCACCCTACTGGCAACTAGTTTACAAAGGTCCCAACTCCTAGGTACTGGGCTGTTTATTCATCAGATAACAGTCTTTAGGTGCTTTTACTTAGGATGATAAAGTTTGGACTTCTCAAGGGAAGTACGGGGATGAAAGGCCGCCTCAATATGCATCGTTTCGGTGGGACGGCCGGAACGAGAATCAAAAATCGAACCGCTAACTTGCTCAGTCATAGGTTCTATGGGTCTAGAGCTAGTCTGATGCAGCTCTCCGGCTATAACAAGCAGGTCGTGGTGAAGCTGGTAGTGATGACGGGAGTCACGTTAGTACTGGGCAGTATTCTTTTCCAGTACGCGGAAAGAGACGTACAAACGTGCACAGAGGACGAGGATGATGACATCGATGGCCACAGTGGTAAGAATCAGTCCCGCCCAAAAATCAAAATTTTCAATAACAACTGGCTTTTTTTCTGGTACTCCACGCTTCCTTTAAATGCCATGTCGCGAATTTGGGGTCAAGTGAATTCGCTCACGTTACCCGTGTGGTTGCGCCCTTGGAGCTTTAGGCTATATGCGACTGTGTTTGGCGCGAACTTGGACGAGATGGAAGACCCGGTGCTTGAACATTACCAGAATTTGTCGCAGTTTTTTTACCGTGACATCAGGCCAGAAACGCGTCCCATTGCTCCTGGCGATGATACGGTTGTGTGTCCCAGCGATGGAAAAGTGTTACAGTTGGGGGTGATTGACTCCCAAACTGGTGATATTCGGCAAGTGAAGGGAATGACCTACTCAGTTCGCGAGTTTCTTGGTACTCATGCTCATCCGCATATGACCCGAAGTGAGTCCGAGGATAATTTGGAGACCTTAAGCTCCTCATCCGATGAGGAACACATCGAGTTCGCTCGCATAAATAATATTCCCTACACCTTTAATGACATGATCGGAGACGGCCCCGGCGACAAGCATTCCCACTTACAAAAGATGGAATATTCCAGCGAAGGTGACAAGTCCCTGCCAGAGGTACAACCTTCTAGACCCAAGACTATCAAGTTGTTGAGTCAGCTTTCAACGCATTACATCGACAAGCTAAAAGGCTCAGATCCTATAAATACCAAATTGTACTTCGCCGTCATTTATTTGGCCCCAGGAGACTATCATCATTATCACTCGCCGGTCAATTGGGTTTGCAAATTACGTCGTCACTTTCCTGGCGAGCTATTCTCTGTGGCTCCTTATTTCCAACGCAATTTTCCCAACCTTTTCGTGTTGAATGAACGTGTCGCGCTACTAGGGCACTGGAAGCACGGATTTTTCAGTATGACTCCGGTTGGTGCCACCAACGTTGGTTCTATTAAACTCAATTTTGACAAAGAGTTGATAACCAACGGCAAGCGCAAGGAAAAGGTTAAACCTCACACTTGTTACGAGGCTACTTATGAAAACACTAGCGCGGTCCTAGGCGGTGTGCCGCTAGTGAAGGGTGAGGAAATGGGTGGATTTATGCTCGGAAGTACCGTTGTATTATGTTTCGAAGCTCCTGACAGTTTTGAATTTGACATAAAAGTTGGACAAGCCGTTAAAATGGGCCAACCCCTCGGTGAATCAAAGTAGAATGGTTGTTACCGTAAGAAAGGAAAACGAATAAAAGCATATTTAGGATATACATACGCAAAAAATTCTGCATTTAAAATTACAAGTTATGGCTGCACCTCCAGAGCTCCAATTGGTATCTTCGGCTTTTATTTTGGCAAGACATTAGAAGATTTTCATCTGGCAGGGGCCTGTGGTCCTTCTCAAGCTTAGAAATCTCACTTCCAAAATCCAGCGCTTCTTGTCTTGTAATACCCAGATCTGTGAAGAGCTGAACTAAGTTTCTATTGGAAAGACTGCCATTAGGTGAGTGGGGAAATGTCTTAGACTGACTTTTCCCGAAGGCATATTTTACCTCCAGATTTTTATCCGTCGTGTTTTCAGCTACTTCCCAACCCTCTATTGACTCATCTTTTGGTTGGACAAACAAGACACAACCGTTATTGAGAAAATTGCTGCTATCTTGCTCATCCTTGAAAGTCAAGGAAACTGGATAGTAGTCTGGGGACAGGACTCTTATAGAATTTATATTTCTCACGTCAGGTAACAAACAGGGCGAAAAAAGATTCATTATCTTTGGGTTAACATCACCCTTTCGTGGCTTCATTAAAATCTCCACTGGTACTTTGTTTAAACTAGCACCGGTCTTCGAGTCGCGGACTATCAAACTTCTGTACGCGACTGCCATACTCCAAAAGTGTCTCGTCTCTTGTAAACAATGGGGATTCATGTAAGTAGGTAACACTGAGATAATAAGGTATGCCAAGCAATCTAGACTTGAAGTCTTGAAAGCGTACTGACCAGAACCGAGGAATAAAAACCCTAGAGACATACTCGTGGCCATATACTTGCCGAAGTGGTTCTCCTCGTCCTTCCAATGTTGCCCTTCACCACCATTACTTCCAGTATTTGTATCCATCGTCGAAAAGTTTCCCTGATCCTCGTCTTCGTCGTCTTCGTCTTCGTCATCTTCATTTTCTTCTTCTTCTTCTCCCCCTACCCCAGGATTTGCAGCGTGAGCTTCCGTGAAATTGCTCGGTGCACCTGAACCAACCTCATCATTGTCGTCCGTTTGAGCAAAGCCGGCACCTCTTGCTCGGGCACCTCCCTTTTTGTTCTCCGCAGCACGAAATAAGTCGGAGTGCCTTCCCGTAATGGTTTCATGTAAAAATCGAATTCGTCTGAGCGCAGCAAGATCTCCCGTACCACTCATTACCATGCTCACAGACACGAGTAGGACGTTTATCAAAATATTAATAGCCTTTATGGCCAATTGGAAATCTAGTCTCATATCAACTGAGCATTGGTAGAGTGGTAATAGCTTGTCAATCATATAAAGAAGGTCATCACGAAGGGCTTTATCACCACTCGACGCAAATTTGAGACCCACGGCCAAGGTGCGGCCCGCTAAGCAGTAGTATTGCGGCAAAGAATCCGTGTCCAGAGTCAACGAGTGTGTGAGGTCCAAATCGTCGAAAAGCCAGCTCAATCTACCCTCGATCCCATCCCACAATATCATATGACGGGCCCACTCACGGTACATAAACATTTCGGGCCGCATATAAGGCCTCAATTTCATGTTCATCTCTCCTGTACCTGGTGCCAACCTACCGGCGACTGCTTGGTTGTTGGTCTTCAGATAGATTAGCATAAGTGCTACAACAGTGCCAATTTGAGAGTTTGCAGACATCCAACTCTCTTCCGTGTCATGAGCGCCACTCACAAGATTCAACAAGCCTGTCGAAACAGTAGGATCCAAAACACCACCGTTCGCCCTAAAATGAAGGTCAGAACCTCTGTCGTTCTCAGTGTCGCTTTCATTGGAGACAAGGTCTTCCAGTGGATCTTCTGATTGGGAAAGAGATGACATGGAACCAGTTCCAAGATTAATTAGACCCAATGCCACGCCAGCAGCCATTCTATAGCCCTCATCAGGTGCCGCCTCCTCATTTATGGTTACAAAGGATGTCAGCTGTGAAAACAGCATATCTGTCATTCTCCTGTGCTGACTATTGAGATATAACAGTCCTATCCCAATCAAACCTGCGGTCTGTACCCTGAAATTGACGTTAAGGTCACTCGAGCCTTGAGGAAGAAGGGCTACAATATGAACGCTCAGAACTTTGGTAAGCTTGAGATCCATGGTGCCCTTTAGGCTTGCACTCATACCGAGCATCAGACCGATACTTGTGTGGGTTTGCTTAGGGCTGAGGTAGTTGTAGACATGCCATTCTTCAAGATTTTTCAGATGACCATTCAACCCAAGGCCTAATAGTAACCCTCCGTGCTGAGCATCAAGTTCCGGCGGTTTTGCAAATGTTATCCAACTACCTGTGATACCAGCAGATTTGGGAGAAATTCTCAAACCTGAGCTCACACCTCCATGAAACTCTCCCCATGAGAGTAGATTTGGGTCGCAAGTAGATGGATCTACAGAAACTGTTGTTTTATCAGGAAAAGTGCAATGGAGATTCAGTCGTGATCGGGGCCACTTTTGAGTAGCTAGCGGTCTCTCAGTTGCAAATGCCACAGCTCCCCAACCAATAGCAGAGGTAAAAGTCCTCAAGGCCGATATTTGAGAGTATATTCTTTTCTTTTGAAGATTTCTGGTATAGGTCTTCTCCAGGATGTGTAAGTTGATTTTATGAGGAATGCCGTAGTGAAGAAATTCAACCGCATCGAAGAATCGCCTGTCCTGGGAAAATATTAGTGAGGCATTTCTTTTTAGGGCCTGTCCATCGCCTATTTCTTCTGGATTGTTTTTGATTGACAGTTGGTCATCCCCTTTATCGGTGGTCAGGTTTATGACTTCTTCTACCATCATTTTGATTGATTTGATTGATGCCTTTTTGCATATATACCTTTGCGAGGTTCCATCTCCAGTTATGATCCTCGAAACAAGAGTCGCTTTCTTACCATGAATATTATCGGACTGAATAGAGCTCAAATTTTGCGCATTTAGGCGCAGATCAGAGCGTTCGATGAGCGAAAAATCTAACTCCGTGTTAGAATCACTCATTTGCTTTTCAATGGACTTCAAGATCCCCTTAAGAGGGGCGTATATCCCCAAGGGATAGGTTTCTAACTCACCTTGGTCAATATGTAAGGAATTTATGATGGCCAGAAGGTCACTATGGGAGTAAGCAGTCGAATCGAAACCCTCAAATAGTTGTAGCATCTTATGTGTCCGTGGAGTAACAATGTGATCGACAGTCGAACCATCATCCAGCAGGCGGGAGAATGTAATGAAAGGGGTCACTGGTATGGTACTTCCATCAGTCGCACTGTAAAGAGACCTTATTATCGATGGCGGTTGATCAAGAGGATGTGCAAATTTTTGATCGGAAACAGGATATGATTCATCACTAGGGTCATTTCCACCGTAAAACTCTTGCCATAAATTTGGCCAGTGCATGAGCTTGGTTAACAAGCATAGTAATTCTCCCAATAGTTGAACTTGTAATCGTTGCAATAGGTTTAATTGGTACTCCTCTCTAATCAGATGTAATCCCATCACAATTTTAGGCAGAAATCGAGCTCCATCTAACGAATTACTGAAGACTGGGCATTGTCTTACAGCATTTATTGTAACATTTGCCTCAGCAGGAAGATCTCTCAGCTGAATTAATCCGACCAAGGTGAACTTCAGAGCCAAAAAATCAGCAGACTCGATAGCTGGCCTGCAGAGGTTGTTTCGAGCCACTTGCCAAAGAAGAGCAATGTATGAATAAGTAAAAGAATCACAGAGTAGTCTGATTGCTTGAAAGCAGTGCTTAACGCTAGAGAGTTCAGGTACAATCGTTAGCGGCAACCAGGCCGAATTTTGCCTGGTCAGTAAGCGATTGTCTCTAGCGTAGTATAGGGAATCATGATGAATGTCTGGGGTCAATTGAATAGGATTAGATGTTAAGTTTAGAAATGGATTGTACAGCGTGACCTCTTCCTTTGAGCTGCTCAACAGCATAATAAACCCAAACAGTATTTCGCTGTCAAAACTGCAAAAGCTGCTCACCATGGACCACTTGATATCTATAATCCTTGTTAATGCTATTGGGCTGTTGTTAAGAGCTTTATAACGCATATTTTCCGTCAGAGATAAGTTGAGGTCAAAAATCCATACTTTACCCCATTGATTCTCTGTGTCATGCAGAATAAGAGCCTCTTTGTCTTCAAATCGGCAGTTCAAAATTCTAATTCTAGAAGAAAGCTTTTTCGGAGTTGATGCGTGAGCAATCTTCGTTAGTAACACGTCCTTGTTCAAGACAGTATGGTCAAATAATTCTTGTGAAATTTGTGACGTGTGAGAAGGGCTGATGTCTAGTATGCTCCCAGATCCCATTCTGTCTAACGTAGCAGAAGTGCTTCGCTTGATATTTTCCGCATTTAGTTGGTGCATATTTGTGGTAGGTAACTGTACGAGCTGAGGCTGATCACCATCTACCCCTACAGTTCCTGATACCGATCTCCTATTCATAATTGATATTTTCCGAAGATTGCTGGTCAGTTCGGTGGAGAGAGAATTGGCGCTATTGGAACCATTATACAAAGGACCCGAGGTTGAAGAGGAAATAGAACCATTGTGGTCGATTGATAGGGCACGTCGATTCAATGGGACATTGTGCTTATCGCTGAAGCTTCGTGATGGGCCGGCAACCGGGTCACCTACATAAGGTGTGTAGGTTTTCTTCCTGTGCTGCTTTGGAATGGTAGTGGGATCTTGTCTCGAATTTGGATTCGAGCGCTTCAGGGCAGACAATATTTTCACATTGTGGAAAGAGAGGTTCTGGGTCGTGCTGTCATAGAGCACACCTATATGGTGATCCGAAGAGCTTGGAAAATGTAGCATAGCAAGTTTGTTCTCCTGCTCCTGAGCACACGATGCAATTACCAAAGATCCAAACAAATTGAGTGGATCTGTAAGCGTTATGAAGCGGTGCCTGAGAAGCGGGGTGCTAGCTCTGGAAAAATTAGGAGGGGATGAGTCTTCCAAGACTCGCCTCTCTAAGATGACGCCACTGGGATGGATGAACGCCTTGCATATGCAAAATGGGAAGCTAACAGTGTTGGAATCGCCCCGAGTAACGTAGTATATTTGAGCGCGATCCTCAAGGATTATTACGAGACAGTTCGATACAGTTTCGAAGTCCACAAATCCTGCTTTGAACACTTTTTCGCCCGGAAACTCGAATCTTCTTAGAGTTTCCGCCCCTCGCTTCCATTCTACAACATTTTCATCATAGACCCAAACTTGGCCGTTCGGAGAGTTCTGACACTCTGTATTATCATCCTGTTGCATTATTCAGCATCAGCAGATAGTAACGAGACACTCAAATGGAATTCTTTAACTTCTTGAACGTCTTGTGGCGGCTATTATTCTGAAGGGACGTTAATGCGAGTTAGAAACATTAATTTGATTAATCTAGCAACAGACACAAAAACATTCAATTGCCATGTAAAACGATGGTGATATATATATATTGAGTTGAAAAGAGTGTCGCTCCCTTTAGGCGGGGTACAAGTTTAGAATTGGCCAATTACGGGGGTGGATATGCTGTGTTAACTTCTTGGTCTGGCCTGTAGCTTTCACCGGTTATCTTGAGAGTGGTCCCAAACAAGCAACTACGGGCTTGCGGACTCAGGTCAGAAATAAGCTAAAGAAAACTTCGCAAGTAGTGAATTAAGTAGTATACAACGCAAGCAGGAATGTAGCAAGAAACCCAAAACCAAAAAAAATTGGGGCGAGCTGGGAATTGAACCCAGGGCCTCTCGCATGCTTGTGGTTATTGTAGTACGAGTTAAGGCTCGTACTTCGCCCAAAGCGAGAATCATACCACTAGACCACACGCCCGTAATCTGTAAGTGTAAAAGTTTTTGGAGTTCATATAGAAGCTTCTAAAAGGGGTGACACGATTTATCATGCTAGGCGTGCAACAGACAGATTGTTAGTTTTACCGACCTACAAGGCCTTGCTTGGTGCTAGATGCTTTATTTAGTATTACTTTAAAGGTACATGATGATCGGCCGTCACGCTTGGCAAATTTCTATATAAATGCTCCTACAGATACTTGCAGTAAACCTCCGAAGGGCCTCCACGCAACGGTTCTCACTCGAGGGTGGCTGTTAAACTGCGCTATTTTACAATTGAGACTCTCACAACCCTCCTGTCTATTTAATCATCTTTAAACGATCTGGATGGATGCCTGTAGACGGCACTGCGTCTGCATTTGGCTGGTCTGCTTTGGTTTTCACCGCTTTTCCCTTGCTATCTTGAATCATTTTTATTGTCCTCGTTCTTCTTTCATCGTCCATTTTCATATTTTTATTCTTTAACTTCTCCAGCCGAACCTGACTGTTACCACCACCTCCAACGGTTAGCTCCACATTGATCTTGCGGCCCTTCATTTCAGTCTTGTTTTGCATGAGTGCTACATCCATACGTGACTGGATATTCTTCTGGTCCTTTTCCGCGTCGAATTCTAGAAACGCAATATTCTTATCGGGCCTCACTCGAATCTCATCGGGAGCACTCGATTTAAAATGGGCTTGTAAATCCACACTTGTCACACCCTTCGGTAGGTTTCCCACAAATATGAGAAATCTATTCCCTTTCTTACCCTTGCCACCCTTACCCCTACGGGTCTTACGCTTCTTACGTGGTTCATCTTCACCATCGGCCGGGGCTTTCTCGTCGACTGAGTCCTGAACATTTTCTATCTTTCTCTTAGCAGGTTTTTGGTCCTCCTTCTCATCTTTGGTTTTCCGAAACTGCTGTGCCTTGAGCTGTTTTTTGGTGAGCTTTTTCTCTTCCGACATCCGTTCTCTTTGTTGTTGGTTAGTTGATCCACCTGTTATGAGCTTGATGCGATGAGCTTGAATATACTTAATTAAAATTTTCCGCCTAACTCCTACTCTTCAAATAAAGATAAAAACGCAAACCCAACACATCCAGTGGAAGGCTTTTAGAGGGCCAATGTATACTTTAGGCCAGTTCGAAAAATGAGTAGCCAGCAACTCCCTTCCCAGGAGCTCAACAAGGCCAAACCGGCTCACTCGAATTCGGTTCCTGATCTAAAGGGTCCTGCAAGCGCAGTACTTCAGCCCGCCACAAATAAGGTGGAGGCACCGAGTAATCAAAAGGCTTCACAAGACATCGCAGATTTGATGGGATTTTCTGGGTTTGAATCGACGAAGAACAAGAAAGTCCAACCAAAAAATTCGGGCGGTAAGCGAGTGGTAAAAAAGGCGAATAAAGGTGCTAAATATAGACAGTACGTTAATAGGAAAGACAAGAAGTTAATCCAGTGAATAAATTTGAATGATGTGTTTTGTATGAATTAGTCTATAATAGTGAAAACAATTTTCTCAAGTTAATGACGAGACATTGACATTTCGTGCTCCTTCAAAAGTTTATCGTACATCTCTCGTAGATCTTTGTAAGCGTGAGTTAGTTCAGTTACATTTTGCCTTAATTCTTTCACCTCCGTGTTCTTGTCGTTTGTTGAGGGGGAAGCTTCTGTGTTGGCCGCAGGCTCCGATTCTACTTGGTCCACGATCTTCACTGTCGAGACTACGCTTCCGAGCTGCATAAACACGTTTTCTTCGGAAGCTACTTGGTCCAGGTAGGATTCGAAATCATCCACAGGTGCGACTGCAGGTTCTCTCTCAGCGGGAATTTGACAATAAACATCGTGCAGTCCCTCCCGGGCGAATATATTCTTTTGGAAATTCGGGAACTTGGACTCCGATTGTGAGTTAGTTTTAGTCAAAAGACTTTCAGAAGAATCCTGGTCAATACAATCTAGTATCAAGCTGGTTACTTCTCCACTGGATTCGTTGCTCACTATTGATTGCAATTCTCTAACTGGCTGCTTGGAAAAAACATCTACTATAGTGCATTTACCACTCTTAGCTCCAATCACCAAGAGACTACCGTCCATTGAGCAGGCCAGTTTGGTACTATTGACACTGCTTATCTTTGGGCAAGCAATTTGCCCCATCGTATGTAGCTCCCTCAAGTTTTGGAGAGGTTGCGATTCGACGCAGGACATAATTCGGTTACCTTCTGGGCTTAGTAGATTGAGCATTTGCGAAGATCCCAAGGCATAGTAAAAATTGACTTGATAAACGCCCTGACTTCCTCCCACATAGCATGCCCTGTCTGCAGGATCAAGAGCCACACATTCCAGAGCACTTGGGAAGGTAAATGTGGCAAGAAGCCGAGGCTCTGCCCAGACGTGTAGATTCAAATCGTAGCATCGCAGTGTCATATCATGGGATACAGTGAACAACTTCCCGGACAGATGCGTCTTGGCATGGGCGTTTGAGACACAAAAATCTGAAATTCCGAGAGTGTGATCGTGAAGCGTGAAAATCGGTTTTGGGTCTTGTTGTGTGACCAGATCAACAGTTTGCCATATCATTAACCTAGCGTCCGCCCCAGAAGTTATCACGTATGTGCCATTCATGACTGACTGAATTTTTGTAATCGGTTGGTAGTGTGCAAGGGGCTTGACTGTCAGAAGCTGGCCAGATTTGACTTCCCAAATATACAACCTTCCCGTTGGCGTAGACGCTAATAGCAGATAGGGCCATTCTTGACCTTCTCCGTTTGTAACCACTTCCAGACAACTCACAGGCTCAGGAAGCGCCAGCCTTTGCTCTACAGACTCTCTAGAGCCCTCACCATTAATCCTGTACACGTTGATAACAGCTTTACGACGCTGAGCGACAAATAAATGCGATGAACCTACCTTGACAGTTCCATTCCTATATTCAGTGCCACATTGCTTCAAATCTGTCTGTTTCGCGGCATTCAAAAAAGCGACACTACAAGTAGAACCTGTTGTAAAGCATAGTTGCTCTTCCATGATAAAAAGATGCTTTTATTGTAGCTCCAATGCGAATCTTATACTTTGGACCTAGCGATGAGCAAGCTTGACACTACTAAATAAGAAAATTTTATTATAGTGGCCTTGAGAGACAGGATCATTTAAGGCATGGGACACATATAAACAACGAGCAATGCCATTAAACATCCTAGCTACCGCTGTAATCGAAGGTACAGATAAAATCCCGTACTGGAAAGAAATTCGAACCATTGCTCCATATGTAGCAGGTGTTACTGCTGTTAAGGTTTGGTCCAGAGGCGCTACCAACCAGTGGCGCAGAAATATGCATGGGAAGGTTTATATAGTCACAGGGGCCACCACACAAGGAATGGGCACTTCTGTAGCACTTGAGATGGCGGCGAGAGGTGCACAATTGATTATCTTAGTGAGGAGAATCGACGAATGGACCACCGAGTGGGTTGAAGACTTGCGCAGCAGGAGTCAGAATGAGATGATATATCTTGAACAATGCGATCTAAGTGACCTTTATCAAGTCAGGAAATTTGCTACCAAATGGCTTGACAATAAACCGGCCAGAAGGCTGGACGGTGTGGTGGCTATGGCCGGAAATGTGGAACCTGCGTGGAAGGGGGTTCGTAAGGCATCTGTAGATGGTTTGGAGCTGCAAATAGCCACGAACTTTGCAGGAGTATTTCATCTTCTAGACTTGCTCAAACCCAGCTTCAAAGCTCAACCCCCGGATCGCGATGTGCGAATTATAGTGACCACTTGCATGCTTCAGGCCTTAGGCAACGTTCAGATCGATGATCCGCTTTGGCAAGGGGCCAAATACGATAGGCCCCTCAAGTTCTTTGGAAGCTCAAAGCTCCAGCTCAGTCTATGTATGCTAGAGTTACAGAGGCGACTATTGGAAGTCGATGAGAAAAAAGTGGATGGAAGGTCAGGCAAGAATGTCACAGTAACATTAGTGCAACCGGGAATTATGCGTTCTACCAGCTTGAGACGCTTGATTAGTAACGGGTCTGTTTGGATTCTCGTTTTCCTTTATTCTTTCCTACTGTATCCCATATTATGGCTACTCACTAAAAGTGGGTATCGCGGATCACAGTCTGTACTGTACGCATTGATGACCCCCGAGTTTGAGGAGATCAACTGGAAAGACGACGAAGTCAAATACGTTGTGAACTGTTCCATCTCTAAGTTTTCTCGCAAGGAGTTTGCAGATGCTCAACTGCAAAAGAAGCTCTACGATAACACTTCCCAAAAGATTCTCGAAGTTGAAAGAGCTATGGCTATAAAAAGGAATGTAGGCAAGAAGAAAGCCGCAAGTAAGAAATAGAATAAAATTATGGGTGAGGCTTTAGCAGATTAATTTCAAGATTTTATATAAATTAAATTTCGTTTTTAAGAAAGGGAAGTGTATAGCGCCAACTAATGGGGAGTATCAGTTCATAGAATGCAGCACTTTTTGCTTTTCTTCTTCTTTTTCTTCGTGGCCCCAGTGTTGGATGAATTCCAGTTTGTGCTCGATTTGCCGACGCCTGCGCCTGTACCACTTTGAGAGCCAGAAGCGGTTGCCTTTGGTTGTTCAACTCCCACGCCCTTGGAAGTCTTCGCCTGCTCCAAGAGCCGTTCAGGTTCGAAAACAACGCTCCGAACGGCACTTTCAAAAACTTCAGCCACACCCACTTGAGTAGCTGCTGAACATTCGACGAAGCCCATGAAACCGCATTGAGAGACGCATTGATCAATTTCAGTCTTGGACACAAAATCCGAGTTTACCTCAGTTAGGCGGTCTTGCTCGTGCTCGTCATCTCTCAGGTCAGCTTTGGTACCCACGAGCAGAATGGGGTATTTACCGCAAGTCTGAAACAATTCCATGTTCTCGTAGTTGGTATTGTGTCTTATTTCAGGAAACCATTTGTCCCGAACATTCTTGAACGAGTTGGGCTCATTGACACTAAAGCAGAGCAGAAAAATGTCAGTCTGCGGATAGGACAACGGCCTCAACCTGTCGTATTCTTCTTGGCCTGCGGTATCCCATAAGTTCAATCTGAAGACCTGGGGCTCAAATGACTTTTCATCATTGAGTGCAATTGTGGTAGTGTAGTTGTCAAATACAGTGGGAATATAGTCTTGGGGGAATGTATTGGTAGTGTATGATATCAGAAGAGACGTTTTACCAACAGCCCCATCTCCCACGATCACACATTTAATGGATCTCATGACGAACAGAAATGTACGGATCTGCTTATCTTCACTCGCTCAAAGGAGAGAAAACTAGAATGATGCAGTTGGAACTCCAGTTGTAGGAGAGCCCTTATTAAAATAACTGTGTATGAAGAGTAAGACTGGGGTCTTTCGATGACAGGTTTTCCGATGGCTCCTAATGTTCACCGAATTCCTGAAGTTACCGCGAGGAGGTCAATACTTAACGCAGTTTTCTTAGTCACTCAGCGTTTCAGAACTATCGGACTAAGTTGAACGTCTTTTGAACGAAGTCCCTGAAAGATTTGGTAGCTTAGGAGACGAAATTTCAATTTTCGAACCGATTTTAGGAAAACGTTTGAAAATCACGCCGATAATGGCCGAGAATGGAGTGATCAGTCGATAAGACCGTAGGAAAAATATGGTGATTACTGCAAGGCCAGACATCAACGGTGCGGTCTGCAAAATCCACCAAAATCAACCTTCCGCGTGTAAAGTTCAAGTGACATATTTCGCAGCACCACCACTAGAGCTCTTGATTAATTCTAGCTATTCTTGCATCCTTTATGAATATGGCGGCCCAGTACTTTCAAATTGGGTGATCATTGAGTCTTCTAGGGGCGATTCTTGATAGCATCGGAACTATGTGATGGGTTTGGCGCCGGGATGCTTAGCTAATCGTCTTCACACTTCTGTGAATGTTATATGGCCCTTTTCGAACACTGTAACTGCGGAGGTGAGGTAAGATACCGGGTTTCATGGGGCGTTATATAGCTTTATGGCATGCCTAACAAAGCATACTATCATGTTAGCTCTTCAAGAAAGTCTTGCTGCCCAACGTAGGAAATTCACATATGTCACAACCAGACTTTCATGTTCCGGCTTCGTAAGCAGGAGGAGGCCACTATAGCATTTACAATTACCAAAGCATGGAAATGATGGAGCTAATTGGCTCCACCAATTTGATGACACAACTGTGCTACGTCTTGCAAAGGCGTCTAACAATGATGTCGCGCATCAGGCTGCTGGGTGGCTGGGTTACTTAGTGTCAACAAGGTGCATGCGAATGACTTTAGGTACAGTCCAGCTGTACCCACCCATAAGCTGAGGTTAAGTGTTTAGAGTGCAACCTTCATGGATTATCTTTGATAGCGGGTGTGGCAGCCGCGAAGCGTCTCGTCATCTGTGACATGAGATGACAGAGGGCATCCTGCTTATACTTCCCAAAGGAAGGAGACCGAAAGGCTAGCTAACACAAATGAAAACTAAATCAGTGAAATGAGAGAGACGGCTGATATCATTCTTCACACTACGACTAGGAATCATTTGCGAAACTTTTGACACGCGAATCGTTCTACACACTAGGCAATGTATTTTCAGGAGTTCATTGCGGTTTCCTAAACAGCCCTCTCCAGTATAAAAATAGCTCCGCACCATCTTATTCATAGTTTTGAAGACGATGAAGGCAGCATCTTTCTTTCTAGGACGACAAACAGGAAAGTTTCTCGCCGTTTTAAGCTTGTCACTATTTATTAGCGTGGCGCCGACATTTGGCGAGCCTGGCGCCAAGACTAAAAATAGGGCCTTCGTAAAACTCTAAAGAGACACTATTCGAAGTAAAAGAGATTTGAACGTTCCCTCACAGACTTTCAACCAGGTTTCTATTGCTCCAGCTGTCTTTGAACCATTCATAATGATGGCATGCAGCCATAACCCTGTAAAATGTTACTGCGAGAGGTCCCATGGTTCTAGAAGCGCATTAGCCTAGAGAGGAAGAGAGAGACGAAAGTACTCTAGCAAGTATAGAATACACCACAAATATTCAGACTTTAAAAGGCATGGAAGAGAAGTTATTTTGTGATCAGCGACCATCTCTTTTCCCAACACTCTCGAATTGACAAACGGCCCTCGATGTTTCCTTTTCTGCTTACAACTCTGTTACTTAGCTTTTCAAGAGCTCTGGGCTTTGATGCCAATTCGAAAGCAAATATCGCAGTATACTGGGGTCAATCCTCGGCCGGCTCTCAAGAGTCGTTGGCCTCGTATTGTCATTCTCCTGATATTGACGTTGTTTTACTGTCTTTCATGCATTCATTTCCACAGAACGTGAGTCTCGACTTTACGTCAGCTTGCTCGCAGTCATTTTCTAGCGGCCTTTTGCATTGTGAGCAGATTGGTGATGATATTAAGACTTGTCAAACTTTGGGCAAAAAAGTGATGCTGTCACTAGGCGGGTCTGCGGGCTCGTATGGATTCGAAAGTGACTCCGAAGCAGTTGATTTTGCCACTGATTTATGGAATACCTTTGGAAATGGACATAGTTCGGAACGACCCTTCAATGATGCTGTCATCGATGGATTCGACTTTGACATCGAAAATCAAAAACCTGGCGGCTACGTAGCACTGGCCAAATCTCTTCGAGGGCACTTTGCCTCTGAAGACAAGAAGTACTATCTATCAGCGTCGCCACAATGCTTTTACCCGGATGCATCTGTTGGTGAGCTTCTCGAAAATGTAGATATGGATTTCATCTTTATTCAATTCTACAATAATGCTTGTAACGTGGATTCTCAATTCAACTGGAACACTTGGAGCAATTTTGTTACCACAACGCCAAACAGAAATGCTAAACTCTATTTGGGCTTGCCAGGGTCCTCGTCCGCCGCGGCGTCTGGCTATATTTCTGACCCGGCCAAAATTCAATCTGTGATTGAGTCAATAGGCCAGGGGGAAAACTTTGGTGGTATCATGTTATGGGACGCATCCCAGAGCTTTACTAACAAGGTTGGGGGCAAGAGCTACGTATCTCAAATGAAAAACATTGTGGGGACAAACACAGCGGGCATCAATTTTGAGCATGAGGCGAACGACTCTGGATCATCCCTAAGCTCTCAGGCTACAACGAGTTCGAGCTCTAGCGTACTTTTCAGAACCTCGCTGTCAAGCACTTCTACGTCAGGTGGATCCGTCACAGGAAGCTCACTGCTTGCTATGGTTACTCTCAAAAATGTAGCGTTAGGTTTGCTATCAGCTGTAGTCAGAGAGGGAGGTTGAGAGGGTGTTTATTTAATACTGTTTTAATATGAATTCAAAGTTTTGACATTGGCGCTCAGTCCCTCATTGGCATGCATTTTGGTAGATGCCAGTGACACAAGATATCTACCATCCGTTCGAGACGACCATACTAAGTCCGCTTCGAGCCTCGACGAATGCCTCAGCACCACTGAAGTCTGTCAAAAAGTCTACGATCTGAAGCGACTTTGATACGGGATTCCAGATATACCCTTGGAACTTCCGTAGTCGAACAAAAGATCAGGAACAATAAAAAAACTCGAAAGTGCAGCTCTTGTATCCAAACTTTAACGGCAGCCAACATCTCTAACAGCAATTCAATCGAAGCGAGTCAGTGTAGGTAATAGGCTCTCACTCAGCTACTTATTCAATTTATTGATTGATATCGTACATTGTACACTGAGTACTTGGCTATAACTTTCGGGCTTATGAAGCGTCTTCTTCTCGTTATTGTTTAGATCAGAACCAGGTTTACATTTGTGATGTACCGCCGGCATTAAGACAAATTCTGGCTGGAGCAACATGCCCGTAGCCAGGGCTATTTGATCCAACAACGGCAGCCACCAATTTGTCGGCGGTTTTTCCCCTTGCACATGGGTGTTTTACTGACGTCGCGAGTATCACTGCGTACTATTCTGACACCGCGTTGATATTTTCTCTTGTGTAATCCGACGCTCTTCAAATGGTACTGAGTAACTACCATCTTGTAATTCTAACAGCTTCTTGCGCTACAACCGACGGAGGCTCCAAGATAAGCACTTGTCCACACACAGACATACCGTTCTTCATCGGCAAGCGAAGTGTCCGTATGATAGCGCACTACATTGAGACTGCTTTAAAACCCACACATATCGGACAGTAAAAATATTTGGTTTTGAAATTGTTTTGTCGAGAAGTGAAAACACGTTCAAAGCGATTACAAGAAGCCAAGCAAAAAGATTTGAGCGTACAGGATGACCTAAATTTTTCATGATACTGGCCGATGCGATAGTGCTAAGATTCTGACAAAACTATGTGAAGACACACACAACTTAGTCCATCTTTGTATATTCCTTCTCGAACCCTACTACACAATGGTTGCTGTTATCTCCAAGAAAAGAAAGCTTGTCGCTGACGGTGTTTTCTACGCCGAATTGAACGAATTCTTCACCCGTGAATTGGCTGAAGAAGGTTACTCCGGTGTCGAGGTTCGTGTCACTCCAACCAAGACCGAAGTTATCGTGCGTGCCACCAGAACCCAAGATGTTTTGGGTGAAAACGGTCGCAGAATCAACGAGCTAACTTTGCTTGTCCAAAAGAGATTCAGATACCAACCAGGCTCCATTGTGTTGTACGCCGAGCGTGTCCAGGACCGTGGTCTATCTGCCGTTGCCCAAGCCGAATCCATGAAGTTCAAGTTGCTAAACGGTCTAGCCATCAGAAGAGCCGCCTACGGTGTTGTCCGTTACGTTATGGAATCTGGTGCCAAGGGTTGTGAAGTCGTCATCTCCGGTAAGCTAAGAGCCGCCAGAGCCAAGTCCATGAAGTTCGCCGACGGTTTCTTGATCCACTCCGGTCAACCAGTTGCCGACTTCATTGACACCGCCACTAGACACGTTCTATTGAGACAAGGTGTCCTTGGTATCAAGGTCAAGATCATGAGAGACCCAGCTAAGAACAGAGTTGGTCCAAAGGCCTTGCCAGACGCCGTCAAGATCATCGACCCTAAGGACGAGGAACGTATCGCTGAACCTTCTGTCAAGGACTACAGACCAGCTCCTCAACCAGAAGCTGCTCCAGAAGCCCAAGAAGCTGCTCCAGTTGAAGCTTCTGCTTAAATAGTTTACAGTGTTTAAAGTAGATGTCAGCGATTGCTGCTAATTGAATACAAACTGTGGATGCTCTAACTTATCTTTATATGGATGTCATTTTAGACTTAAGCTCTGCGACACATTCGGTTTGAATGATCATAATGACAAGCAGTGACACAATATGAAAACTAGATATTTAGCTTGAGTGTGGCCTAATCTCTCACCAAAGTGAGTGATGGGGCTTACCACCGTGTAAATATATACTAGTTTCAATCTATTCTTAGAATTCAAGTTGTTAAATCATAAATCGCCCTCATGAAAGCCTGATTTCACTGAGCAAATCAACTGTCCGTTGTGCATTCTGTACATTCTGTACAAAAATTTCCTGAGGCTACCCAAAAAATCAGGCCAATTTCAGTGGCTTTGAATATATCGCAGTCTCAAGTCTTGTCTCCAAAATCTGTAAACTTTAATCAGCTGCTTCAACAGCTGCCGAGTACGATAATTCATTGTCCTTCCTTACTTTGTCCATTAATTCCATGACAATTAGGGTGTAGCTGTGTGGTACTCTGCTGCTTTCGATCTTGCCATCGCGCAGGCAGCGGGCGCATTCGTCCGCTTCCCAAAACATACCCTTCCCCGGACTTGGAAGGTTAACCAATTTTGGTGGCAGTAGTTTGGTCGTCATCTTGTCTTCTTCCTTCGTTCCGTCCGGATAGAGATTTATCTCAAACGAATCAGGGTGGAACGGTGGCCAATGAACAGCAATATTGCCCTTCTCACCTTGAATCAAACAAACACGATCCGGATCCGTCTTGACCACCATATTGGTCGTGGCGACGGCCGCAACATGCGAGGCAGGGAATATCAAAGAGATATTGGTAGACTCATCCACGTTAGTCGTCTTAGTCTTTAACATTCCCGATGTGACAATGGGGAGCTGCCCTTCATTATCCGGGTCTTCAAAACAAGTTATAAATATCCATGTCAATGCATAAATACCCAGGTCGAGTAGCGCTCCTCCGCCTAAGTCGGGATTGAGCATTCGATGCGTCTCGGGAAGGTCGTTCAAACCAAAGGGTACAGAAGCATCTGCAAAAACCCGCTGCACCTTGCCCAAAATCTTTTCCTCAAACAAGAGCCGCTGGAGTTCGTACACCAATGGGAAAAACCTCGTCCAGACCGCCTCCATCAGAAACAAATTTTTACTCTCAGCAAGCTCAAACAGTTTCTTGGCTTGGGTAGCGTTGATGGTAAACGGTTTTTCGCACAAGACTGGCTTGCCGTGTTCTAGAGCTAGCTTGGTGTTCGCATAATGGTAGGCATGAGGCGTAGCCACATAGATAATGTCAACGTCTGGATCTGCCGCTAGCTCCTCATATGACCCATAGGGCTTAATCGTGGGTGGTCCATTAATTCGTTTAATAAATGAACGGGCTTTTTCGACTGAAGTGGACGAGGCGACAGCAGCGATTTCATGTTTAACATCGTGAACATTCCTCGTGTGAGGGTCGGTCAAAAGATCAACACTAAACTGTTCAGCAATGCCTCCGCATGCCAATATCCCCCATTTTACTGTGTAGACCATCTGGAAAGGTGACTGCTGTTTCCACTGTCCCCTAAAGGAGTGGCTGGCGCCAGAGCTCGCTTTTTGTTATTATATACGCCAAGAGAGCTAGAGATATCTCTTAAGAAGTGTAAGCACTCGTTACCGTCATTAGTAATCCAATTGGGGTAATAATTCGGTCTTGCTCTAATGAGCGGGAACGATGGATACTTTCAAGGCGAACTTCGCAATCCTTGGGCCTCCAGAACTTCACCTGGTGTGCGTCAGAGTAGAAAATAGTCCCCACAGTAGCATGAGGTATTTCCGAATTCTTTTGACCGCATTGAGATCTGCAAGGACGAAGAATCTCCTTCTGTTATCCTTCCCGGTGTCCCCCAGAGGCGATACCGATGACCTCCAGCATACTGATTAACACAATAATTATATCAGATGACGATCAACAATAATCAAGACTCTTGTTTGCCAGCACTAAGCTGATAACGTTCGGGTTTTGCCAAATCGGTGCACTAGCCGCAGTGTCACAGAAAAGATGGTGCTTAGGCAAGAAGTTGAGTGGCCGAGTCCATCTCAGTAAACTATTAAAAAAGAAAGGATACAGACACTAACGATTGATTGTTTAGGAATTCAGAATTTGGCACAACCGCAAGAATTTGTTGCTTGTGCGAGCATGAGATATGGTTTGCTTTTCTCATGTCCTTTCAAGCTTGGTGTGGGCTCGCACTGTGGTAATCCGTACACAGGGTTATTCATTAATCTGCGCATCCCAGACCAAAGTCAAGCAGAAATGCGAAGCCTGAATCTAGGTTGAGCCAGGTGCTCGATATTGATGCCAAATGTTTTGCCGTCTAGGGTGTCAGTCACTACACTTGTTTGTTACCTTGAGAACGCTTTTACAAAAGCCAAAATACGAGTAGCCGAACAAATAAAACAAGCTATCCAAAACTCGACAGAAAAAAAACGGAGTCGCTACTAGTTTTTGCACCAGTGCTCTATGTTTCATAATGAAGTAATATGTACGGTTCACACCCGGATCTAGAGTGTTACACTAAGTGCTAGCATACTGCGGTGTCATTATTTTAGCCACAGTTTACAGATGCTGGATAGGATACTCAGTCCGGGAATTAGTTTTTGCAATGAGCTATCGTAAGTCAGAGTCCACAATTGCTGGGTTTAGCACTAATTATGCGTGCCAGCTCTACATCTGACGCTAAAAGGCTATGTACAAGGCCCTAGATCAGGGCCCCATACCTTCCAGCCAGAATAATTTACTCCACCTTTAAAAACATAAGTTCAACATCTGTCAGCCTCAAAGGACAGCCTGAGGTTTAAAGCGAGAACTGTCACTAGTGCCCGCGACAGTATCCATTTTACTATTTTTGTTGTCAATAAATACGGTCAAATTTGGGTTAAACCCTCCACAAAATCAGACTAGTAGAGTAGTCAATCGGCAAAACACTATCAATAAGATATCAATATCCATGTTGTCTTACAAGGAATTATGTACCATTGGTACAGGACTCATTCTCGCAGCTAGTTCGTTCATTTTTGGAGTTTTCTACGCGAATCAAGCTTATGACTATCATATCTTGTTCAACCCTCGGGTTGGCCAAACAGATTTTGACAACAGTCTTCACCACTACCAATTGTTGTCTCAAACTCCGCTTCCAATCTTCGGGGGCTTGGTCTTCGTCGCATCTGTGGGTCTTATCGGATGCTTGATCAGAATTTTTAAGCCAAACCCAGACTTGCAGGCATTTGAATACGCCACCTTGGTTATGTATGTGGTCGGTATCTGCCTTTTCGTCACCAACATCAAGACTGGTGTCGACTCATCCGTCTCTGGTAATTGGGGGGAGGTTACTCAAAATCAAGGTTTAGCTGTTATCGCCTCTTCTAACATTCTTCTGTTGGTGGTGTTCCTCGGTGTTATTGTCCTGCAGGCCGGATTGTGGTATTCTAACTGGGAATTTCAGCAGAGACTGCAAAAGTTCTACGCCGAAGAAAAGGCAGCGGCAGCTGCTGCCACTACCGCCACCTCGAGCGAACCCAAGCCTAAAGAAAGCAAGAAGCAGAAGTAAACAGACTTTTATGGCAAGGCCGCCTCCTCGATCAAGCTCCCACTACTTCAGTAACTAATGTGTATTTGTGCAGTATGCCGAGTTGTTTATTCTATGTACACGAATTACAATGTTGTTCACCACTTGTAAACACCTCCCATGGCGCCTCTAACAGGCTGGTCCCGCAATTGAACCCAAGGTTTCCTCATATCCTGTTTCAGCTGCTGCTCATATGCAAGACGGCGCTGCGTGACGTCCTTCGTCTTCAGAATACACCTGACATGCACATAGGGATGCGTAATGACACCATTTCTGCCTCTGGCCTTGATGTCAATTCTTTTTTGCCAGTACCCGTCACTACCAGTCCAAAGCTGAGCAATGTATAGGTTATCAGGTTGAAGTCCCAGCTTCTCCGCGTCCTGTAAACCACGCGTCAAGACCTCAGCAACGTCCCGGGCAATTTTTTTGTCGGAAAAGTGACATTGCGAGAGTGCCTTTTTAACGTCCATCCCACCCAAGAGTCGCAGCAGTTGAGTGGCTTTCTTCATGGATGACTTGATTCTGTAGGATTTCACATAAACACTAGGTTCAAGGGCTTCCACTTCCTCGCGAGTTAATTTCAGTTTGTACTTCAGTTTCTGACCGCTTTCCTCTGCCAACGTTACGATGGAGTCCTTTTTGTAAAAACCGCCATTCATTCTGCAGTTTTCCTCATAGATACGTCTCTTCAATGGCGATAGAAGCAGTTCTGGAGCTAACGCGGAAGGTCTTGATTTGTTGATGAAAGATTGCAGTAGCTTATCATTGGCCACTGTTACCGTCTTTTTTGGGTCTGTAGCTTCCTGTTCTGCAGCACTGGAGGCCGCCGTGAGTCTGTTGGAGATTTTTTGCGGATCATCTGCTGGATCTTCCACACCTTGTGTAATGGATCCAAATAGTGACGATGAGTTGCTTGAATTTTCATTTCTCGCCACTAGCACCGTCTGGAATCCTCTCTTGAATCCCAATGTTGGAATCAAACGCAAATGGCGCAGAGCAGAAGCTGAGTTCATCATACACGCCATGCCACACCAACACAATTGCCTTTTCGAAGGTTCATCTTTTTAACTTTTAATCTTCAAAAATTTTTCAATTTAGCTAGGACGTCAGCATAGAACGTCAGCACCATCCACCATCAATTAAAATGAAATACTTTCGTTAGCGAACAGGCCAAGTGGCAAACATCTTTTCATAGAGTGAGCACAAAACTGCCTAATATTAAAGCTTATATAAACCGGCTTTTCATATAGACTATCTTGGTGGAGGGCCCAGCGAATTAGCATTGTGTGTTATCTTGTTAACCTTACGTCCTCCTAGCTTAGCATGCTGGGACGGCATTGGGACTTTCATTCTCGATATAAGGCTAAAGTTCAATATAACATTTATATAAATACAAGTCCTGTATGTAGCTGATAAATAAACTGTAGGACCATGAATTTTGATTATTGTCAAACTTTGATTTAGTGTCACTCACGTTTAAACGCACCTTGTCTTAAAGTAGTCAGAGCGAACAGCAAAGTCAAAAGTCGTAAAATAGAAAGAGCATCAGAAGAGAACGTAGGCAGTTTTCAAAATTTCATCGCTCGTCAACAGCAAATGCATCCTGCCATACAGTAGAAGTGATGGACAGCTGAAAGGCCGGACAAGTAATACTCTACGCTAATCTTCTATCCTGTGGAGTGACCAGTTTTCGTCGTCAAAGAAGTTCACGCAAAAAGCTTTGAGTGCTCCTGGTGGCACCCGCTGGCCGGGGTATTTGAATAGATGAAGTGGAGTCCGAAATAGCTTCGGAAGAAGAGGAAGTCGAGGAGGAGCTGTCTGCGCTAGTATACGAAAACGTTGAATGCAATGGAAGATCGTGTGTCAGTATTGGCGGAGGGACTGGTAGGCTTTTTTGGATATTAGGGCCTTCTTGAAAAGGATCACTCTGAGACGCTTGTCGTGCAGCTACAGAGTTATTAACAGCAGGGATATCGGACCTGTCGCCACCCCTATGCCACTGAGGGATTTTCCCCCTGAATGATCGCCCGAAAGATCGGTATTTGTTTTTCATAAACACTTCATCTTCATCGGAAGACCGTCGTACAATGTAATTGTTACTCTCATCTGCAGGAGGGGCCAGAGGGTGATCAAGCCTGCATCCAATGTCATGACTAAAGCTCTTATCTAACGAGCTTTGGTGCTTCCTCCGTCGTCTTATTAAAAATAGCCATATGAATAGAATTGCCAGCAAAAAACCCCCTACGCTACCCACCACGCTTGCGATAATCGTGTTACGATGGTGCTTTGAGACTGACCCAGTGAAAGAGCCAGAATCTAGAGTCCCGCCAAGCCAACGATGATAAAATGCCACATCTGTTGTTACTACCGAAGTGGGGGCAGAAAACGTAGAAGCAGCTTGTGTGCCAATCACCGTAACCCTTGAGAGCTCTGTACTGAATGTTGTGGACGAGTCAGTTATGACATAGCTCCTGCTGTAGCTCATAACAGTGTGACCTGAATCGACACTCAGTGAAATTGGCGAGGGCGTCCCGCTGGCAGTAGTAGTAGTAGAAGAAGTAATGTGCGCGCTGCTAGTGCTTGAGGACAGTGTACCAGAATGGCTTATTGCAGTTGTACTGGTTTTCACCGGTATCGTGGTAGTATCAGTACTATTTTCTGTCGATGTCACATCGGTCGTTATCCTCCGTTGGGAGGTTTGCAGCGAACTAGTGACGTATGAGTTAGAGTTTTTACTCTCAGCAGATTTTGAGGCCGACCAAATAGGTACTGAGGTAGAAAACTGTAGTTGGGACCGGTATGTTATTCTCGTAGCGTTAAACATAGTGCGTGGTCCTGGAACTTTCTTCTCCAAGCGCTCAAACCACCAAAGAGCTTTAAGAACCCGCTTAAAGCTCAAGGGAGTACTCACAGCTAGTCAAAGAACTATTACCAGCCTTCGGAATGCAATCAGCGTATCAAGTTCAGAGAGAACTGCTTTTTTCTGTTCGTTGGCCAACTTGCAGGAATATCTCGAGATGAGCGCTCGGATCTGGAAATTAATCCCGGAGAAATCACTTTCTTCCAAACGGACATTTATAGGAGGTACGAAGTGAGATCAATGGATAATTGTGACGGAAAGCCATTGCTATTGATATGGCTGGAATCGAAGATCTACTGAAGTTACTAATGTACATTGAGTGCAACTATTATATGGGTGCCTTAAAATGTCGTCTTTTTACCTTGAGATGTGACAATTGCTGCCGATGCCCTTTGAGCACCTGCAAGAGCGACACTACTTTTGAGACGATTGTTCTTGTCTTTGTACGAAGATTCGCGAACTTTTTTGGTTGGTTTTCTCTCTCTAACTGGCAGGGCTGAGACAGACGGGGCGTTCTCCCGCAACGAGGGCTCCGTAGGGCGAGGGGAGGACGCAGAAGGCTCTCTTCTCTTCACCTGACGCTTGCTCCTGTCTTCTCCAAATTCCATTCTGAGGGGTCTTCCTGCAATTTTACGGCAGCTCTTGTCTTTAAGAGCAGCCGTGGGCCCTTCCTCATTTTTGAAGTCCACGAAAGCAAAGCCTTTGCACTTCCCAGTATCCTGGAAAGTTGCCATTCTTATCTTTACTATTTCGCCGCAGTGTTGGAAATGTTTCTTCAATAACTCATCTGTAGTGTCAAAAGACAAATTTCCCACAAAAAGGATACGTGAAGGGGGATTCTTAGACAGCGAAATCAAATCATGTTTGTCTGGGCGCCCTTCGAACGATTGAGAGCTTTTGATCAACATATTTCTACCATTGAGGTGTGACTCACTGAGGGCGATTACAGCTTCCATTTGCTTCTGCGTGCGGAAGTTCATGTGTGCGAAACCTTTGTTCTTTATTTGCTTGCCGTCATTCTTCGCCAAAGGAAGATTCACTCTAAGAATATCCTCCTGCTGAACTTGAGCGTCTTCGTCCTCCAACTCTCGCGTTTTAGCAATAAAAAATCTGCACAGGTCCTCCTTTGAGGTGTCAAATGCTAAATTCCCGATCCACACACCGAATTTCTTGTCTTTTTTGGCAGTAGAGTCTGTTTTGCTCGAAGATTCATTATCCTCTGGGAGTGGGGTCCCCTCTTTAGAATTCTGAGGTTTTCCCGCAACTTCATCCTTGTATTCCTTGATGGAAGAAGGATCTAGGTTGAATTTTTCGTTCAACTCTTCCAAAGTGGTCTTTCCTCTTCTGAGCAGTCTCTTTTGCTTCTTAGATAGAGGTACTGTTTGGTTCAAATCAATTTCGATTTCGTCTTCAGCCTTTCTTTTTTTTGTCTGATCTTTCAACGCATCTTGAATCTTTTGATCGTCGACATTTGTGGTATTATCGGCGTTTGTCGTGTGGTCAGATGTAGATTTTTCCTCTCTGGACATAATGTCGATATTGAGCGACTGTTTGTATGCTATGGCTACAACTCATCCCATCTCATCGCTTCTCACCTCATCTCTCATCTTCAAAATTTTTCAATAAAGCAGTGATCATCGTAGATATATGACAGGTAAGTATAAAGTGAGCTCTGGCGTACTTATGAGGTGTGATCAACCTAAATATCCGCCATTCATATAAGCACAACTAACTTAGAAGATCAGGATGAACTTCGTAAGGTTCGTTTGGTTAGATCTTAAATTACAAATCTCTTATTAATGATTACAAACCCGCATTATTGTAGCAGAATGGAGTGTAGTGTTCAGTCAGTGCGTCGGAGTGTTAAACGTCTGGGTATACGGAGGGGGGAGAGGTAGATTAATTACTAGAAATCGGACGTGGTGTTCGTAACAGTATCTGCGGTTAGGCTCAGTGGAAGATCTTCTTAATTTTAGAGAAAAGACCCTTCTTCTTCTTCTTTTTCTCCGGACTCGCTGGACCTGTTTTCTGTTGCGGAGGTGACTCCTTTTTAGGCTTCACAGTGTCTTTTGCCACTTCGTCTTGTTCAGCAACAACTTCTTCTGGTTCTTGATGGGCAATAGCTTCAGCAGCGGCGGCGTCACTGGCATCCTGGTATTCCTTGATTTGAGAGGGGGGGATGTCTCCCTCAACAATCAGGAGCTCCTCGGTTTCCCCTGGATGAGAGGCCTTTGGATCCAATGTCTTGCGAATCAATTCTGCTTCTTGCTCAGGTGATGTTATGACACCAATTTCTTCACTTACTACAGGTGCAGCCTTCTCGGTACCGTTATCAAGTGCATCTCCTGATTCCTTGGATACGAGATCAGAAGGTTTAGGTATACCTTCAATCTCTCCCAAAGGCTCTTCGTTGGAAGCCGAAACGTCTGGCAAGGTGCTAGGTTCGGTAGTTGTTGATTTCTTAGGAGGTAGTTCGTCGAGTGTTCCCTCTACAACGACTATATCCACGTCATTGACTGGTTCTGCTGCGAAGGAGTCTGTTGGCAAGGAACTTTCGATTGGTGGAGCAACTCCATCATTTTCACTCAAAGCTGGAGGAACGACGTCACTCTTTTTGGCATCTGCGACCTGCATACTTTGTGGAGTGTCGAGACCTTTGACTGCCTGCATAGAAGAGTCACCCCCTTCCAACGAAAGGCCAGCCTCTTTCAAAGGACTAACTTTTTCAACCACGGGAAGGGAATCAAATTGGGAATCAACGGGGGTTTCTTGCTCTTGGACGGCAGCAGTTGGCTCGTGAGGCTCCACCTCAACATCCTTTGATGGTAAAACACCTTCATCGGTTGGCACATCTTCGTTGTTTTCGAGCTCCGCTGCAGCATCAGCAGCTACTGCAGCTGCAGCTGCAGCGGCCAATCCAGTAGTTCCAGTAGGAAGCTCTTTACCTGCTGGCTCTTCGGTAAGGGGCTCCTCAACAGCCAGCTCTTCGGTAATGGGCTCCTCAACAGCCAGCTCTTTGGTAATGGGCTCCTCAACAGACAGCTCTTTGGCGATCGGCTCCTCAACAGCCAGCTCTTTGGCTATAGGCTCTTCAACTGCAAGTTGTTCGGTCTGAGTTACTTCAGGGACGGGCACAACCTCAGGAACAACATCCGCGCGAACGATGCCATTGTCGAGTGAGTCCGAGGTTCCAATGGGGGCAGCAGAACCTTCAGTTTCCTCTTTGGCGACAACCGGGAAACCTGGGGCACTAAGGTCCTTTTCTTTGATGGGAAAGTCAGGCTCATCACCCTGGGTGAATTGTGGATCAGTTAGTTCTCCTCCCGGAATTACCATATCCTTCTCCACCACAGGATGCTTCAGATCGGCCGCAGTCTCAGAGGCTTTGTTCTTAGCGGCCTTTTTTTCGGCCATTTCACGGTTAAGTCTCTCATTCAGTTCGTCCCCATCGACATCTCTAACTTCAGAAAACTCCTTGATTTCGCCAGCGTTAGGGATTATGGCGATTCCCGGCTCTCCTAACGTGGTTTGTTTGTTTTCAGTGGAGGGCATGACGGTGCTTTGGAAGCCGTTTTGATGTTGGGCCTTAGTGACCGCGGGGTCCAACTCCAACGACACTGGCGTCTCTTCTCTCGACGTGGCAGTGGCAGTGGCGGTCTCTTCCGTCTCGTAAGTCTCGCTGTCGGTTCCGGACTTCAGTTCGGATCTCTCTTCCGACAAAACCGTCCTCTCGCCCGTCTTCTTGTTTCTGCGAATTCTCCGCTTGATTTGAATCTTCTTCTTCTTGCTCTTTTTGTTGGAGCGTGGCGCAGGTTGCGCCTTTGGGGGAGCCTGCGTGCCCAACACGGGTGCTGCAACCTCGGGGGCAACCAAATTGAGCCCAATTTCAGGTATCTTCGCGCCAGTCGCGCTGGAGGACTTGGGCACCAAGCTCGATAGTGACGAAACCACCAGGTAGTTGTTGGAGATGCCCTCTGGCGACGTTTCCGTCTTGTATTCATTGCTGGTTTGCCATTGACCGTCCACAATGAACTTGAAATGGAACTTGTCGCTTGACGTTTGCTCGATGGGCACAGTAAGGGCAAAGTCTCCCCTGGGGCTTTTCACCAGCGGTAGGCTTCCGCTCCACTTGTCGAAGTCTCCGGTGATTATAACGTCATTGGGGCCCTGTGGCCAAGTAAATGTGTGCTCTGCCATTGTGGTCTTGGATGTATTACAATGGTAGCCGCTCTTGAGAATTGTGTAGCTTGCTTTACGGTGTGTTAGGAGTGTGTATAAGCGGAAGTTGCTTTACCAGGGTTTTTTTCAGTACTCAGGGGTCGAACACGTACGTAACGACATGCTTTATTTTTGGGTATATAAAGGCGCCAGATAGCCCAATGGGCGCTCGAAAACGTTTGCCGCTGTCTGAATGACTGGGAGCTTGAGGGGAGAGGGAATCGGCCCTGCTTACTGGGACACGGCTTGCTATAGCTCGGTACGCAAGTAAGTACTCGGCCGCGCTAGCTGCTGGCTTCCCCCCATGAAAAGAGGCTTTTATCAACGTATGGTAGCTTGACAAAACTACTGACAGTTTTTACCCTGGATGTGGTCGCGACCGAGATCTCACCGGCTCTGTAGTCCATTCATGCGCCAGCACAGCGAATGAGACCGCGACTTGGATCACAAGTCACGTTTTATGCACGTGCAAAGCACGTGAGTATCGCCCTATACGACCAGAGACCTCGGCGCATTTTCACAGTTTCTGGTTGTGCGCCCAATGACATTGGCAGTGGGTCGTGTCTCTTGCATAGCTCTTAGTGTGTAGTAGCGAGGCTCTTACAAGCGCTGTGGCTATGCATCGCTGCATCGCGAGCCGTTCGTTCACCGCGGCAGTCCCCATTGCCGATCATAATGATCATTATAGACGGATAGTCTCACTATTTAAAGTCGCGTCGCCCAGGAGAAGGCTCCCTACTCAAAGCCACATCTACAAGGGACCCTTTCCCAACTCCATCACGAATACAAACCGCGCTTGGATGTGCACCGCAAGGCCTCCCACTGAGGCACGTCGTGTTTTTCACTGCTGCTAGGCTCGCACCACTGCAGTGGCCTCGGCGGCTAAATGTTGTGGGCAGCCAAAATGTGTCGGCACCCAATCGAGATCTGTCTCAAAGTGAACGCACAGGCAAGAGTGGTAGAAAACACAACGAGCGTTACAGGGCAAAGCTACATGTGTCATTGGCATGTCGCAGAAATAGCCGTGAGCAGTGACTCGTCACATGCGTGATATAACGATCACGTGATCGCATATGGACATCCAGCCACGCGTCAGCCGACATTCGTTCCGCCTTTGGGCAGCCGGCATTCATTCCTCCCACCACGCGCTGTGAACGCCACCCTAACGCCAGCACGCCCGCGGACAGGCTGCCATTTTGTAACTGAGGCCCTAGTCCAACCTTTCCAGAGAGGAGAAGGCGGTTGAGCCCTTTCCCACAGGGCCATCCTCTCTGGGCTGGGCCAGACGCTACGACCTAAACCGAGTCAAGACTCGGTTCAGTTGCGGCACAAAGAGTGTCACTAGATACGGAAACACATGCCTTTATCCGTCTGGTGTAGAAATTGGTCGTACAAATTGCTCGCCGGTTATCTTATCAAAATCAGTGCAGCGCAACGCATAAACTTGTTTCGTACAACTTGGGCTCACCTTTTGAAGCAGCAAAGAACCCAATCCTGGGTCGCCACAACATCTACAGTTGAGCAGTGATGTCGTCTTTAACCAAGCTTTTGCAGGAAAAGAGGAAAAATGAGAGTACGTCAAGTGTGGGTGCCGTGCAATCACGTAGCTCGCAGGTGGCCAACCCGATCGCCGAAGAGGCGGAGAAATCAGAGACCGACAACGCTTTGTTAGGTCAATCCCAATTCTCCTCGAGCTTTGTCACGGCCAACTCGGCTCACACTGCGACATTTGGCGAATCGTTTAGAGACCGAGAAAGACCGGCTCCCCTTACGATCGAGACTCGAGGTGGTCAGTTCAGGAGTGGGCCGTCGCCGTCTGGCCTCACTCCTGGGTCTCATCCAAACTCTCATGGTCGTTCCAAGAACATCCCCTCGCTCTCATCCAACATACCGTATTCGGTACCCAACTCCAACGCCCCTGGCGCTGGTGGTGTTGGCACTGGGTCTAGCGGTTCTAACTCCACCACAATCGGCAATGGGTTTGGCGCCACCGCCTCCGGCTTTGGAGCTGGTAGCTCAGCATCTTCTGCCTCTTCGTCGTACTTGGAATCCTCGGGGCTGATGCCGCACAATGTTGCAGCTATCGACTCTAATGTCATAGCGTCGCCCAAAGTCAATAATGTAGATCCTAGATTTGTGATCTCGAAACAGAAATTCCAAAAGGTCTCTCAGGATAATGCTTCCAATCTGTACTCAAATACTGCCAGTGGTTCATTGCCGAGGTCAAGTTCACTCTCGTCTCAGTTGGGCAATTTGTTTTTAAACAAGAATGGCAAGGAAGTCAGTTCCAATGTCAACCCCTCTGTTCCCACACACGCATCACAGAGTAGGGATATACCAAACAACTCGGTTTCTTCCGCAACCTATGGTTCGTCCATCCCGAAGCCCATGCGAGCCAGACAAAGCTCCTTCTACGGAAGCTCGCGACAACCATCAGGGTCATACCAGGACTCTTTCATTGGATCTCCCTCATCCTTGCATGAGCATCAGCCTAACCAGTATATGCCAAGGTCTCGGCACTCCTCTATTGCCGATTTAAAGCGGTTTTTCAAAAAGGGACAGGCACAACAACTCAGTGGATCTCCCAGCACCCCTCCTGTATCAGCAGGGGGAAACATTAGCTCTCATACATCGAATAATTCGTCGCTTGAGCCTGGATCCTATAGCAGCAATGGTGATACCATCTACACAAGCACCGTATCACCTACCTTACCATACTCTAAGAGATATGCTAAGACCGGTGAAAATCTGGGAGCCGGTGCTGGTGGCTCAGTAAAACTTGTTAGAAGGGTTCAGGATAGCAAAGTCTTTGCGGTTAAGGAGTTCAGAACCAAGTTCGAGCATGAGAATAAAAGAGATTATGTGAAGAAAATTACGTCCGAGTACTGCATTGGTACAACATTACGCCATGCCAACATCATTGAGACCGTGGAAATCGTTTACGACAATAATCGTATCCTACAAGTGATGGAGTACTGTGATTACGATTTGTTTGCCATTGTCATGAGCAATAAAATGTCTTACGAAGAAATTTGTTGTTGTTTCAAACAGATATTGACCGGCATTTCATATTTGCATTCAATGGGATTGGCTCACCGCGATTTGAAATTGGACAATTGTGTAATCAACAAGGACGGTATTGTAAAATTGATTGATTTCGGCGCGGCAGCGGTCTTTTCATATCCGTTTTCGAAAACATTGGTGGAGTCTTCTGGGATTGTTGGCAGTGATCCATATTTAGCCCCAGAGGTTTGTATTTTCTCCAAGTATGACCCACGTCCCGTGGATATCTGGTCTGCGGCCATAATCTTTGCCTGTATGATTCTCAAAAAGTTTCCTTGGAAGATTCCAAAGCTGAAAGATAACTCCTTCAAACTCTTCTGCTCCGGCAGAAATTGTGATTCACTAAGTGCTTTGGTAGTTCGTACACCGCAACAACCTTCTGATCCTCCAGCTTACGAAAATGTGGTGAGCAGCGAAGAAAATTCTTCAAAAGCCGCAACTCCACCAGCGTCAGCGCCAGAACCATCGCCATCTCCTGCTCCTGCTAGCAATAATCCTGTCGACCCAGGCAACCCTAATATTGGGCCACAGAGACTACTACATTCTTTACCGGAGGAATCTCAGCATATCATTGGCCGTATGGTGGATTTGGCCCCAGCTTGTAGAGCGAGCATTGATGATATCATGCGTGATTCGTGGATCGAGTCTATTGACATGTGTGACGTTGTGGAAGAGGGGTTTAACATCAAGATTATTCAAGGTGCGAACCATAAGCACACCCAAGTTGATCAGAGTGAGGCTCACATTGCGGGTCTCGAAAAGAAGAAAAAGAAACAAAACCGTTGAACTTCTGCTATTAAATGCCTTGCAATTATCTTAGGCCGGCGCATGGAAAGGAAACAAGAATCCCATTTTTTTATTCTCGTAATTTAACTGTTTTTTTTTAATTTGTGATTTAGTCGTTGTATTTACAGCTAATTAAGCATCTTTCTATTTGATTTTTACAGGTTTGAATGGCCGAGCGGTTAATGATTTGATTACTAGCAGGACCGATGTCTTCGGTGTTTCTATACAGGCAATTTGAATTAGGCGATGAGGCGTGATTATTAGGTTGGCCTTGTGAGAGTGACAACCTGGTGTTCAATAATCTCTAATAATTTATGACAATGTAAAGCTCAAGCCTTAACCACCCAGGAGATTTTTACTGCCCAAAGTTTATAGGTCTATATTTTCGGTGGTATATTTAGTTTCGTGATTTAGAAAGCACCTGAAACACAGCCTTTACATCTACCAAACAAGTTCTGAGCCGTCAAAGCTAAAGAACTTGCCAAAAATTTTGGATTTTAGTTCTTGAAGGACATTTTTTTGATTAGCAGACACGGACTCATCCGGGGTAATTAGCGGCAACATTTTAAGGACTTGCTCACGAACTTGTGGGGTCAAATTAAAACAAATTCGTTACCCATGTCACTTCCACAACCAGGGTGGACTACAGCAAGGCTGTATTCCTCTGGGGATAACTCTCGCTGCAGAGAATAGTTGAAACCGGCTTTCTACAAATCATTAGCTGAGGTAGACAGAGGCATTAATATACCCTCAGAACCAACAATTTAAGGAATGGCAAGAACTTCCTTAGTCGCTTTTTTGTCAAGGAGTGGCTTGAAAGCCTTGGTCAGTCTGATAGGGCCCAATGTGTTTACGACAAGATGCTCAAGGTTAGAGTCTTCAGAAAGACCCAAAACTGGACCCGAAGACTTGACAATACCTGCGTTGGAGAAACACCGATACCTTCTGGAATAACTTCCTGCGTAATTTTTGCAGCGGCTTTGACACTGTCTGCGGATGCAACATCCAATCGCACAATTTCGACGTTAGAGTGAGCATCTACCCACTATTCCAATTGTATCGCTGCCTCCACGTCTCTAGCAGTCGAAATGACGGCGTTAATGGGGTCTGAACTCAATTCCTTGACAAATGAAAAACCAAGGCCTCTGTTAGTGCCAGAGACAAAATAAGTCTTAGACATTGGTGTCGTTATAAATCCGATGATGTTGGGGTGAGAAACTCAAGCGTTCGAATTTGTTCTGCTAGGATCGGAGTTGGGCCAACTCGACAAAGATTGAGCTAAGCTTTTATACAAGATGGGTCTTTACTAGCTCAAATGAACCTGAGCATGTAGGAGCCAAGCTGGACAAAGTGTTAAGCTGTGTGACGTGTAAGCGCTTTTTTCAATTGAGTGTTTGCAAACGAGCTCGAGCTATACTGCGGCACCACTACGCGGTGGGCTAGATAAGCATACAGGCGCTACAGAGTTTACTGGTGTTATAAATTTCGGTCTTTGATAGAACATATTCTGCAAAACTGTTCTGAGGCTGCTCACTTCCGGATCGTGAAGCCAAGTGCTACTGAGTTCACTGCTTCTGTTGAAGTCATTCAGTGCTGGATAGAATATATTCGGTAAAACTGTTCTTAAACTACCAAGTTCCGAATCTAAGCGCCTTTTTCCAATTTCTGTAATATACAGTAACGCAGACATCTGTAAAGAGATGGCTTTCATTCCGATCTGGAGCAGTGATAAGAGATGTGAAATAGAGTGAGCTATGTATGTAGAATTAAAGTAAAACTAATTACAGCGTCTCTTTGAACTCCATTTTATCAGCAAGAATATGCCGTCACATAATTAATATGAGCAAAATTAGCTAAACATCATTTTAGGCTATTAAAGAAAGTGAAGACTGAAATTATCACAGTGAAGCAATTCGCCCATAATAACCACCTGTGAAGGATGGGAGGAAGGAGCCCTACCCACTTAAGATCATTTGGCACTATCCTGTCACTAGTGACAGCTCACATCAATTACTGTTTCACTTTTTTGGCAGTATAGATCTCGCATACTATTCCAGCTCAGGTAAAAGTGAGCAGCTGCCAGGTATTTGACGATCCTCTAGTCGCAACGCTTGATAAACAACCATCCACCATTTTGAAGCGACTTCAATCACATTGTCGTCACGTACGAAATAATGCATTAAGAAATTCGTCTTTCATCTTCAATACTGCAATTACTGACCTACTTCCTACAGTGAACAAGCGCTCGGTTTCCAACCTCCAGGAACTCTTTGAAAATGTCAAAGCCAGTCAAAAATCTCATGGTGAAGCTCATTGTGGGAGCTGGACAGGCTGCACCATCGCCTCCGGTCGGTCCAGCATTAGGTTCGAAAGGTATCAAGGCCATCGATTTCTGCAAAGAGTTCAATGCTCGAACTTCTTCTTACCAGCCAGGTACGCCGGTTCCTGTATATATTACAATCAAGCCAAATCGTACTTTCACTTTCGAAATGAAATCTCCGCCCACTGGTTTTCTTCTGCTGAAGAGCTTAGGCAAAGACAAGGGCATGGGCCAACCAAATGTGCATAACACCTCTGGGACATTAGGTGAACTTTCACTCAAACACATTTACGAAATAGCCAGGATCAAGAAAACTGACGGCAGACACGCAACTTTAGATATGCAAAGTATCGTCAAATCGGTGGTAGGAGTTGCCAAGAGTATGGGTATTAATGTGGTACCGTGAACTCATGAATCCATCATTGGTTCTTGCTGGAAACGTTGTTCAGCGTATGTCTTTCGAAATTCTGTATATAGTAAAAGAGCCCGAACTTATGCTTCTCTAAATTAATTTTCGTACACGGCACGCTGCCGCCCAGTGAGTCAGTCTAATGTACAGAGGTGCTCCCGTGCATTTTGCTAAATTACACAGGACATGCTAAAATAAATTTAATGATTAAAACGCCGTTTCTTGGATTTGTTATTCTTGTCCCTGTTTTTTCTCTTCTTTTTGTTGGAATGTGTGCTGTGGGTTGTGCTTTCTTGGTCCGTTGTTCTCGTAGACAAACCAAGTGGCACACTCTTATGAGTGAGACGCGTGTATATTAGGTAATACGCACCGGGTTCTTTCAACATCTGTCTCTCAGTAATTTTGTTGATATACTCATCGTCGTAGGTAGCCCACGAGCCGTCTGGTTGTTTGCAATGAGCAATGTAATGGCCCGACGAAAGGGATCTACCCTCGTGAACCACAACGCTGACTAACTGATATTTGACAGGGATCGCATTATTGGGGTCCTCACAAAATTCCGTCAAGTCCAAAAACATAGGATAGGAGACCGCTTGCTTCATTTTAGAAGATGATGTACCGTTGAATCGGAACTTTTTTAAGTGCACTAGCAACGTTTCAGGTGCTCTTAAAATAAAGTTGTGCTTCAAAGCATTTGTGGTCTTGTGACATTTTTCACAAACATAGCCCTCCTTTGTGGCCTTGTCGGCTCTGATTAACTCGGGATTAAAAAAATCTCTGATAGACTTCTCAATCGAAAAACGACGGTGAGCCTGCCCATCTTGGTCTGCTTCAGACTTTCCACTGGCGCTGCTTTCCACGGTTTTCTTACCTTTCAAATGTAACGAAAGGTCATATATGGGTTGCTCGGTCTTGGACACCTCCCCGCAGCTTTTACAAGTAACCTCTTGCCGAAGCATACCACCAAAGATGTCATATATAATACTCTCTGTCAATTTATGACCACGTGGAACACCATCCTCCTGTAGCCTAGACATCAGTGACATAAAATACTCGTGGGAATCCTCCTGTTGCCATTCGCTCATCATACAGTTGATATCGTCTAATCTTGAAATCAACTTCTTTGGGTTGATAAATTGACATTTAGAAGAGTCGGGCGACCACATCCTCTTGGTAGTCTCTGCAAACACCTGCGTGACAGACTGTGAGTTCACAGTAGACTTATACTTACCAGCTAATACGTCAAAGAGGTAGTGCTGAATGGCAGGGACGTGGATCATGGCTTGAACAGCTGCATTTGTGTAACATGTAACACCGTGATTCAGGAGGCCCTTTGGACGCATCTTCGAAAGTTGAGGTCCCCAGTTTTTTAGCATCTGAGTGGATTTGTTGGTACCACGATCACTCGAACGCTCGTTGAATCTATAAAACCGATCAATATCTGAAAGAACTGTTGGTGGAGTGGGAGAAGCATGCTTGCTCACTGATTCTTTATGTGTCAGCTCCTCATCATCCAATCCTCTTTCGGGATCCTCTTGAGTATTGGGCTCTGGTGGTTCATTAAATTCAGCAGACGCGGCGTATTCTTGAGCTTCTTGTAGAAGGCCCACTTTTTCATCCTCGGCGACATCGCTGTCTGACGGTTCTGACTCAGGTGCACTGTTACTGCCATCTTTGAAGTCGGCATCATCAACATCATCTTCGCTCTCGTCTGGATCGGAGGAGCTTGCGCTATCCTTACTTTCAATTTCGGGACAACCTTTTACGATAGAAACTTGATCCGTATTGATACCACTTTCTTCAAGAGCGCCCCCGTTAATATAATCATCCTCGTCCTCGCTAATAGCATCGTCTAGATTCTCTCCAACGTCCTCACCAACGTCCTCCCCAACGTCCTCCCCAACGTCCTCCCCAACGTCCTCCCCAACGTCCTCCCCAACGTCCTCCCCAACGTCCTCCCCAACGTCCTCCCCAACGTCCTCCCCAACGTCCTCCCCAACGTCCTCCCCAACGTTTTCGCTGACCTCTTCGCCTAAGTCTTCGTCTTGATCACCATCAGGAACACTTCCTGGAGCGCCAATTTGTGCATTGTTTTCTGATTCCGCAAATTCTTTGGCCTCGTGAAACTCTTCTTCGCTCACCGATCCGCTAGAGTAATTACTGACCTCCTCGCCATGGTCCTCCTGTCCGCTTGAGCTAGCATATCTCTCATCGCTAAGGTTTAAATCTTCAGGTGTGGGTTTTTTGGCGGTATACATCCTCAGCGCCTCTGAAAAGCTCCTGGGCATGGCTTTCCACTGCTTCTTACCAGGAGCATTTGCACTCTTGACTTCAGGCGACGTCGCCCCGGCGTTGCCGGAGCCATCGCTGTTCGACAAATCACTACTGCTGTTGGTGTTACCTATCACAATGTACGAGTCTGGGTTCACTTCCATGCTGTCAGGTCTTGTTGCCGCTTGGAAACGCAACGGATTGGCCAAGATTCTTTCAACTAAAGGCTTGAAAGTCTCTTGTTGTTGCATCGGGTCGACAGGCTCTGAACCAGATCTTGTTGTACGCTATTCGACTTCAGCGAGGAAGTATTTGGAGATGTTGTCGAGCCAAATGTAGTACTTTATTTCCACCTGCTTCTTTGCTTGGCTGCGTAGACCGCGTGCGTGTAAGATGCAAAATTAAATGCTTGCGGCAGTTTGAGGTCGAATATGGAAACCCGCCAGTGAGAACAATTTGTGAGTTTCGAGGTAGTATAAGCTTGGCTCCTATGGCTTTAGTCAAAGTTGAGCCGCTTAAAATTCAATTAAAGAAAAAAAAAAAACACAGAACGTAATCGTCAAACAGCCGGTCCTCGTTGTCCAAGTCGCCTTCCTCATGCCCGTCCAGACTTTTTTTCTTTTGCGAAGCCGCGATGTTGAAAAATCTTTAACTTTGACATCGCCATTGGCGTGTCCAGGTGATGACTTCTTATGCGTACGCAGTGACGTAAAAGAAGTTGTAAGTCAAAACAAACCATCCCAATACCTGTTAGAGGTCTTCCCGAGCTGTCATCTCGCTTGGCAGCCAGTATCGTGCTTGAGAAACTTGAAAGAGTCTGCTTCTCTTCTTTGAGTGTGATAGTTCTTGCGTGGTTTGCCGTTGTGCAGTCAAAAATTTGATGATGGCCATGAGCTGCAGATGCTCCGAAATCGTGGTGGTAGTTAACGGTATATTCCAGTATTAACAGACGAGAAATACTCCTGGCTCTGCGGATGCCCTCCCAGAGCAAAAGAAATCTTGGGTTTCAAAAGTTCCAGAGACTGCAGCATTGTTTGGCCTTTGGGAAGCATCTAGCAGCTAGTCTTGCTTTCTTCTTGTATCTCTTATACGTTTTCAACTTCATTTGTGGAAACGTTATGACAAAGATCCATATGGAGGCTTGAAATTGGGAGACATCGCTCAAGGTATACTGCCACAATGATCAGTGTCATGATAAACGCTCAAGCCAAGAGCAGACACTAGAAAAGTAGTTCAGTGCTCTTCCTGGCACTTTCGTCTTCCAGAGTTAGCCACCTATATTAGTAACTTTCCTGAATAGTTCGTAGAGGTCTTTAGGTAGTTATATATATTAACATATGACAACTATGAAAACAAATAACAAAATAGCCGCTGAAGTATTTAACATGAGATTGAACTCAAAACTTGAGTGTGTGATTGATGTGGCTACGATCCACCATATACTAAAGAGCGTTAAGACCTTCTATGATGGAATTTCCTCAATGCGGAACTCTGAACAAACATGGGCTCTTGAAAAGCTCTGGAAAGCATCCGAATCTCAGAAATTAGACGCTTCTACACGATCACTACATTAATCTGTGGTGCTCGGAAGTGGATAATTCATACATACGACCGTCTAACCATAGCAAGATTTACAGTTCTCATTTTCCGTTACGTTTCCGCTGACAGCGCAACGACCCATTCCTTTTACTCACTTTACAACGTACTCGGCTGATTCCACCACTTCTGCAGATCTCGAAAGAGTACTGGATACCGGCTAAATCAAGAACAAGAATCTTGTGACACCTTACCAGTATATTGCACGTCTAGTGCACTATATGTCTTCGAATACTGCGCAGTTTCTCGAACTTACCATCTCGTCCAATATCTACAAGGCTTGTAAGATTGAAATTTTGCCAGCACTACAGTGGATCACCAGATGCGTCGCAATATGACCTATATGGCATGGTCAAGCTCAAGAAGCTTTGTCTGCATGACGGCTTTTGCAGAGGCGCTTTCTAGAGTGAAGAACCTATCTCAACCAATAGTCATGGGCTCGAAATTGCCTTCCCGTATGCCAGACTAGGCTTTAGCCCAACACACACTATTTTCAACTCGAACATTTGACCCTGACCGTGCCCAATTTACCGAGGCTGTAAACGTCCGCGCACAGCTTTTTTTTCACGATGGAGTTTACTATAGATAAAAGACTCATCTCTATCAGTAATGACTCACGCGACTCGTGCAAGCGCTGCAATAGGCATATCTCAGAAATCGCAGCACTAATACGAGAATTAAAAAACGGACCAAGTTTTGGGCATCAGCACTTGTGCTGGAGATTGTGCAGTAATGTTCTGGGCACCATGTAAAAAATTGTGAAAATGCCGATGGAATCACTCTTGAAGGGAGACGTGACAGGGATTCGCCATGACAGGTATAAAAGCACTTGGTAGGGAAAGACAGTAGAGGATTAGACTCCCACTTGGCTTTTGGATTTATCTGATAACTACCACCCCGCGTCACATACACCGTTACACAATGTCTAAGGGTAAGGTTTGTCTTGCATACTCGGGAGGTCTAGATACCTCCATCATTCTAGCCTGGTTGCTTGAGCAAGGATACGAAGTTGTCGCCTTTATGGCCAACGTAGGCCAAGAAGAAGACTTTGAGGCTGCCGAAAAAAAGGCCCTAGCCATTGGTGCCACCAAATATGTGTGTGTGGACTGTAGAGAAGACTTCGTCAAGGATATTTTGTTTCCAGCGGTGCAGGTTAACGCTGTGTACCAAGATGTCTACTTGATGGGTACTTCTCTCGCCAGACCTGTGATTGCCAAGGCACAAATTGACGTTGCTGAACAGGAAGGATGTTTTGCAGTTTCGCACGGCTGCACGGGTAAGGGTAACGACCAGATCCGTTTTGAATTGGGTTTCTACGCCTTGAAGCCGGACGTTAAGGTTATTGCCCCATGGAGAGACCCAACTTTCTTCGAAAGATTTGCCGGCAGAAAGGATCTTTTGGACTACGCTGCCGAGAAAGGCATTCCCGTCGCTCAGACAAAGGCCAAGCCTTGGTCCACCGATGAAAACCAGGCCCATATCTCTTACGAAGCCGGTATTCTCGAAGACCCTGACACCACTCCACCAAAAGACATGTGGAAGCTCATTACCGACCCCGAGGACGCTCCCGACACCCCAGAAGACTTGACCATCTACTTTGAGAAAGGTCTGCCTGTCAAGCTTACATACACCGAGAACGGCGAAGCCAAGGTGGCCACCAAGCCTTTGGACGTGTTCTTGGCTGCTTCCAATCTAGGTAGAAGAAATGGTGTCGGCAGAATTGACATCGTCGAGGACCGTTACATCAACTTGAAGTCCAGAGGCTGCTACGAGCAAGCACCCTTGACCATCTTGAGAAAAGCTCACGTCGATTTGGAAGGTTTGGTCTTGGACAAGGAGGTTCGCTTCTTGAGAGACCAATTTGTCACTCCAACTTACTCCAAGCTCATGTACAACGGTTCCTACTTCAGCCCCGAGTTTGACTACATCAAATCCATGATTGCCCCTTCGCAGACCTGCGTCAATGGTCAAGTTAGACTCAGACTCTACAAGGGCAATGTCATTTTCTTAGGAAGATCTTCCGAAACTGAAAACTTGTACGACCCAACTGAGTCCTCCATGGACGAATTGACCGGCTTCTTACCTACCGATACTTCTGGTTTTATCGCCATTCAAGCAATCAGAGTCAAGAAGTACGGTGAAGCCAAAAAGGCGAAGGGGGAGAAGTTGACCTTGTAAGGGTGAATTGCCTATGCAGTAACTTCGCTCATATGTATACTACAATAGAACGAATCATCATATGTTACATCATAACGCACTTAAGCTTGCTCAGCTTGCCTTGAAGAAGTCTCATAGAAATATGAAATCGCGATTGTTGGAGCTGGATCGGAGCTTCTACGAATTTAAATTGAACAGTAGCAATTTTAGGCGTTTGATAGAGTTATACTTGTGAAGGAATATATTCGGTGAACTGGCAGCAGGTAACTGGGTAAACTATGTTCACTCAAACAATAATGGAGTAGGAATAGCGAGATCGGTCCTCACCTCTAGATACACAGTTCTCGTGGAATATTATGTACTCGTGACTTACAATGTTTGTCGAAAGGGGAACCTAAGTTATATGACACAATCAGTAGTCGCTTTACTCAGATTTCGCCTTCCAATTGTATGCTCCGTAGCTTTACAAGGTGGACTTATCATAGAGTTACATTCACAAACTCACCTGCAAATACAAATATAGGACGTAAGGCTTCTACAATGGTAAACAAAATGTATCTCGCGGACCATAATGCTCCCATGATCATGTTGAGCGCCAAAGCCTTCTTCGATCAATTGACGCAGAGAGAAAAGCTTTACGCACATTATATGTCGAAGGCATCGCACGCAGGGTCGAGAGTTGTTTTGAGACAGGTCTCGCACGAGAGTGAAGCCATCTATGACCTGATCATGGAAATCCACGGCAAATTAGAAGGGAAAGCCCTGGACGGCGAGCAATATGGGCTGTACATGGAATATGTGGCGCAGTTTCTGTCAAATCTCGGTAACTATAAGTCTTTTGGAGACCTAAAGTTTGTTCCGCGTACCTCGGTTGAGTATTTCTTACAGTTGTTGGAATTAGCTGGCATCGACAAATTGGGTAAACCAACCCCGGCATCCTGCCCTTATTCCACTTGGGAAGAAGTTATTGTGAAGGGCATTTTCCATATTGACGAGAAAAGTGCCTTGCTCGGATTCCCTTCGAAGGGTCATCACTCTTCATATTACTTTGGTGACGTGGGTCCAGATGATATGAAATTGCTCAAAGACGAGGTTTTTGGTAAGTTCAAGATTCTCCCCGAGAACACCAGAATCCAGAAAACCAATCGAAAATATATCATACTGGTGGCGTCCCAGAATACTGCCGAAAGTGCTCCAAAGTATCCAGCCGAAACAGTAAAGTTGAGTAATGGCTTTGAAGCAGTTTTCAAATTTGGAGACCATTCGCGTGAAATGGCCAAAATTGTTCAATATCTCCAAAAAGCCCAAAAATACACCGCCAACGACACTCAAACCAAAATGCTCGAGGAATACATTAGGCATTTCGAAACCGGGTCTTCGCATGCCCATAAAGATTCTCAAAAATTCTGGGTTAAAGACTTGTCACCTATTATTGAAACAAACGTTGGTTTCATAGAAACTTACAGAGAACCGTCCGGCATCATTGGAGAATTCGAGTCTCTTGTGGCCATTCAGAACAAGGATCGCACTGAAAAGTTTTCAAATATGGTTAAAAATGCAGGAAAGTTCATTGCCCTTCTTCCTTGGGATAAGGCTTTTGAGAAGCCAAAGTTTCAGCCTCCTGACTTCACCTCATTGGAGGTCTTGACGTTTGCTGGCAGTGGTATCCCTGCTGGAATAAATATTCCTAACTACGATGATGTGAGATTGAATGTGGGATTCAAAAATGTCTCGCTCGGTAATATTTTGAGCTCATCTCTAGGCTCCAAAATGCCAATAACATTTGTCAGTGATGAAGATCGGGAAGTTTTGGACAAGTATCAAAGCGATTCCTTCGAGGTCCAGGTCGGTATTCACGAGTTGTTGGGACACGGGTCAGGCAAATTACTAAGCGAATTAGAGGACGGTACTTTCAATTTTGAAAAGGAGAAAATGCCATTAGGACTCGACGGCAAACCCGTCACAACCTACTATAGCAAGGGAGAAACTTGGGGCTCCAAGTTTGGACAACTGGCAGGTGCCTTTGAAGAGTGCCGCGCAGAAGTTGTTGCTATGTACCTGATCACTAACCGCGACCTTTTAAAGATTTTCGGATACAAGACAGTCGAGGACCAAAACAACATCATACATGCTGGGTTCTTGCAAATGGCTAGAGCCGGTTTGCTTGCTCTTGAATTTTGGGATCCATCCACCGGAAAATGGGGCCAGGCTCATATGCAAGCTCGGTTTTCTATTATGAAAACATTTTTGAGACACACACAAGACGATGGCTTTTTTCAACTCTCCCACACTAAAGACGACTTCTCCGATTTGCAGATCAAGCTTGACCAATCGAAGATCGAAACTGTAGGCCATGCTGCAATGAAGGATTATCTGACGAGCCTGCATGTCTACAAATCTACGGGGGACGTTGACAGAGGAAGCAAGTACTTCCTTGAAAGAAGCAACGTAGATTCAGAACTCGCCAAATTTAGACAAATTGTACTCGAGAAGAAGTTACCCAGAAGGCAGTTCATTCAAGCTAATACAGTCTTAGAGGATGGCGAAGTGACATTGAGAGAATATGATAGTACGCCAAAGGGAATGCTCAAGTCTTTTGTAGAGAGAGAGGTGTAGGTGGTAAGTAAGAGAGGAGCTCTCAATTAAGATCATGTTCGAAGTGATCCTTAAGTCTATATTACTTAGTACGGTGCTTATTTTGACATCTGGTGACTTCTCAGGAATAACTTAGGATTCATGCATTATCCAAGAACAATGTTTAGGCAAATACTCCGGTATCTATCACTTTACTTGACTTGCTTGTTACTAAATACTTTCCTATAATTCTCTTTACGGGAGAATCGACCCAAGTCTGAGGATTTTGAGGGATAAGGTTACAATGACACAACCAGATACCTACAAGCTATACATCCTGAGGCATGGACAAAGCGAACTAAACCATGAAAATATATTTTGCGGATGGATTGACGCCCAACTAACCAGCAAGGGTAAGGAACAGGCGAAAAATGCTGCCATATTAATCAAAGAGCACTGTGCTCATAATTCTGTGCATCTACCTAGGGTTGGCTACAGCTCAAGGCTGGTTAGAACAAGACAAACCATGGAGGGGATGCTTGAGGTCCTCGGAATGGAAAATGCGCTGTACAAAGTGTTATGCCATGGTATGTCCACCAACGGTCTTTCAGAGGACCTGGCGAATCACGATGCGGTCGTGTTCCAGACATGGAGGCTTAACGAACGTCATTACGGTGCCTGGCAGGGCCAACGGAAACCTGATATTCTTGAGGAATACGGCAAAGAAGAATACATGTTTATCAGAAGAGATTATAAAGGAACTCCACCGGCAGCTGACCTTAGTAGAGAAATGATACAAGAAGTCAACGACAAGGGATCCTTGACTGGCTACGATTTCAAAGAGCCCACTAGGAGCATCAAGTACAAGGTTGAGGAAAATTCAGGTGAAGTCTTGCCGAGCAACGAATCCCTATCTGATGTGGTCGGTAGGTTGAATGATTTTTGGAATGAAGTAATACTAAAAAACCTTAACGACAACAACCCTTCGGCTCTGGTGATAGCACACGGTAGCTCGGTCCGCTCTATCTTGAAGATTGTGGAAAATATTTCAGATGCAGATATTAAGGATGTGGAAATTCCCAACGCTATCCCCATTGTGTTAGAGCTGCACAAAGCAACGAAGCAATTTGTGCGCAAGTACTACCTTGACCCTGAGCTTGCCAAGGTCGGCGCCGAACGGGTGCGTAATGAGGGTTTTGAAAGGGCCTCCAATTGATATGGGATCCTTTTAAAGTAATGACATAAGTAGCTGAACTAATGATAAAATATCTTTGATAAACTTTTACCAAATTTGTATGCAGTGTATGAATTCATAGTAAATAAATGCAAATATCTATTGTCTGATAACGTTTGTAAAGTTCGAGTTGCAAGCAAGAACAGAATTGAGCGTCCCTGTACAACAATATCTTAAACCGGCAGCTGAGCTCCTGTTCCAAAAGGCTGGCCAATTTTTGACCGTAGCTTACGCTAACGTTGATGTATCGTGTCATGATTAATGTTATCTTTCCTCATTCCAAATTCCAATTGAAGAAATGGATTTAAACAGCTTCCTTTGACTCGTATTTGATCCCAGGCGGCTCAATTCAGGCTGCAGCGAATTCTACGTTTTCTTTGGCAAACTGAATCGCCTTTTGAGCCTCTGGGCCACTCAAATCATGCTTGACCTTGATATGTCGACTCAAAGCATCACCACGAGAAAACGTTTTTTCATACCCTTCCTCGCCCTGCTGCTGTATGCAAATGACGCAACGGAAAACCTTTTTCTTTGTGGCATGTATAGTTTTTTGATGTCGAATGAGATCATACGGTCTGGAAAACTTCTTCCCACACGATTCCTTTGTCACAGGATTGATCAGCTCGCAAGAGTGTACCTCCTGTGAAGCGTTTCCTTGTATAACCGATTCCGAAAGAGTCTTTTTCTTAGCTATTGGTATCGAAGGTGCCACTGTAGAGGATTTCCGCCTTGCAGGTATCTTTTTCTTTTTATTCCCAAGGTTGAGGGACGGGATCGAGAGCGATCTTTGGTCATTCAGTTTTCTCTGCGAAAAGGCATCGGCATCTGCAGGGAGCGACGCCTCCCGGGATCCTTCTAAGCTAGGTAGAGCTCTGTTGTATTCGTTGCTTAAACACACCACACTGCTGTTTCTTTTATCACATGGGGCACCGCTAGAGAAGCTGCCCTCCACGCCAGCTGCGGGCCCTTGAAAATCGTCCTCTTCGTCATCCCCCCTGGCGACATCATCGTCCTCCATTATTGCGTTATCATTTAGACTGTTGTCCATAAATCGCGAACCTGGTCTACGTCTATCAAAAATTAGAGAGTCGTCATCTGCATTTAAACTGGGATTGAACGTATTGGCATCTTCTTCGGGCAGAACGCCGAAATCTTGATCTTGACGGTCGTGTAAGCATTGGCTTTCGCTACAGTTAGGGATTCTGTCTTCGTCATAGTCTTCTTCATCATCGTCACTAAAGTCGTCACCAAACTCGCGATCGAAAATTGACATGGCGTCCTGTGACATCGTAGCAGATTCTTGAAGAGGCCAACTGGCCAATTTGTGGCTGTTTATATCGTCATCGTAGAAATCTGGAGGAAAACTTTCCCCACCCGCGTTCAACATATCCTCGTCCTCCCCTTGGAATAAAGCTGGAGAGGATATGCGAATTTCAGAACTTGCATTTGGCAAGCGACTTGCGAACGGATTATTGGTCATAACTTTGTTCAGGGAAATGGTGGCTTGAACTGGAGTCACAGATGACACCTGCGAAGGAGATGTCCCCTGTTTCCTGTACGAGCTAGGTTTTTGCATGGACATAGTGGTCAGCGATGGGTCTGCATACTTACTGAACATGGATTGTTTGTATTCGTTAGAATCGTAAGACGAAGGCGTGGCAGATTGGTATGGGATAACTAGCAAATCCTCTAAAGATCGATTTTTCCAGGATTTCGGAGCTTGGAGGGATTCTTGGCCCATGTTGGCAGACATGTGTAGTAGTTCATCGTCCAAGACATCCGTAAGGGTCCGGGTGAGAGGATATAACTCGGTTGTAGTGGACATTGCTTTGGTTTCTAATGCGGCTGCGATCGCTTGTGTTTAAAGCGCAAGTTTCGAACGAAGAATTTGCTTTGACTGAGCTTTGAGAAATCGATAGTTCTTCCGGAGAAGCCAATTGTTGGTTTGTCCTTTCAACTATGTGTGAATAAGACCTGAAAACACCACCTTTATGGGTCTTTGATTTTACACTTGTCGAAGTTCAAGGGTAGATCGAGGCTTTTGTAGACTGCGATTGGAAGCCGTTTGACTGGTAAGTAATTCGTTGATAGCCAGTGGACTATGCCTAGAGAAGGCTTCCTTGCTGGTTGTACAAGAGGAAACCTCAAATTGGTTGGATGTGTAATGTACAAAGATAGATAGTGATTTGCAAACAGTTTGAAATCAAACATTCGTAAAAGGTGCCAAGACTTTTCTAGAAAATCGAAGTCGACCATATTTTGCCACTAATCGCATAATTCACCCGTCTTTTAAATGCATGTAGTTTGGAAGCTTTTAAACACATATATTCATATTCGTTTACGAGAGTAAGAGTTTACATTGACTTTCAACACATGATTTTGGTGTGAAGGTAATTTCTTAGTTGTACAGCGTTAATCCGTTAAGAGCTCGCCTGTGTTGCGCCTATGTATCATTAGTTCGCCCCGCACTTGTCTCGAGTCCAGTCTTGAATAAAAGTATAGTAACACCACCTTCAAGGTGACTACACTAGGTAGTTTAGTCAATTGTGTAGAGGTTGAGGTGAGTATATAGTGGCTGTTCAAAGAAACGAGAGCTTCCTAACTGGTAGCGCTGCCAGCAGTGTTCCCAAGCGACGAATTTGGCCGCGACATGAACATAGTGTAAATTAGGTGGCGGATGGCTAGAAGTTACCTCGATGCTTCATACTGCAATGCAGCGTCCCAAAATGCGGTCTCGAGCTTACACACCGTGGCGTAAATTTCACATAGAGAATCCCAATCGTCGGTCATCTGGCACACTCGATCTAATAGAACCAACCCTTCCTGCATGGCGTCCCTATACCATGGGGCCAGGTAGTCTTGGCACCAGGAATAGTAAATGTCATCTTTGTCAACAGTAATAGCATCTTTGAAGTTGTCCAACGCATGGCCATATCCCATCAAACATGGCGACAAAGCAGCACATAGGTGAATCCAGGAGCCGTTCTTGGCCACGTCATCGAAAAAGCGGGCATAGTTCTTCAAAGCAGACCCCATTTTGATCTCATCAAAGTGCTTCATGTCTGGAATTCTAAAATGCTTCATCATTTTCTCACGGTGTCTTTCCATTTCAGTTTTGATGGAAGTAACAATCTGGACTGACTTGTCAAAGTCACTTGTGGTGGGAGCCTTGCTGGCAGCAATGCAGTGCACTTGGGCGTAGTTATCTAGATAGGCGTAATCTTGCTCTAGGAAGAATTTGAACTTCTCGCGCTCTAAGGTGCCATCTGCGACGCGCTTAACAAAGTCGTGCTTCGTATAGGACTCCCAGTGAGGCTTAACCCGTGGATCTGACACCAAGTACTCGAAAAAGTGGCCTGAGTCTCGAATTTGAGAAACTAAGCTGCTAGTACTGCTGCTGCGCGTGCTGTTGCCCTTAGGGGCGTCGTCTTCCGGCAAATTGTCCTGTGAATCTATTGCCAAGGCGTGAGCAGAATAGCACAAATCTTTGACCATCTCCCGCAGCGGCGTTTTTATCCCATAGACGTGGTTGATGGGCCCATTCTCTTTGATGTGGGCTTTACTCACCGAGCACCCAATTTCTATAGCGTTGTGCACATACTGGATCGCTCCGTAAACAGCGTGCTCAAGGTTTTCGCCATGTGCCAAGTTACTTGCGATTGCCGAGGCCAGAGTACAGCCAGTACCATGGGTGTTTTTGGAATCGCAGCAGTCGCTGAGATAAACGACGCAGTTCCCGTTCTTGGTGTATAATACATCCGTTACGTATCTTTTGCCCCTAACATCCGTCCATGGCGCGTGCCCACCTTTCAAAAGCACGTTGGGGCATTGAGTAACAATCTGTAGCTCTTGTGCTTTGGAAATCATGTTTTCAACGTTGTCCAATTGCAGCTCTTGCTCAGTACAGCCCAGAAGTTGGGATGCCTCATGGACATTGGGAGTTATAAGGGTTGCCAGAGGTGCGAGTCTTTTGATATCCTGAATCACAGATTCGTCGCGTACTAGCGAGGCTCCTGAGGAGGCCACCAACACTGGATCCACCACAATCGGTGGTCTTTCCTCGGCCTTTAGGCCGCTCATGACTTCAAGCAGCACTCCCACGGCATTTTTTGTCAACATCCCAGTTTTAATGGCATCCACCTGCATGTCTCGCAGATTACTTTTGAGGGCCAACTCAAAGTGCTCCCGGGGCACTTCATGTATGGAATAAACACCCTGTGGAGTTTGAGCCGTTAAGGCTGCCATACACGTTAAACCGTAGCATTTGTGCGCAGTAAAAGTCTTAAGGTCTGCTTCGATCCCGGCTCCACCACTGCAGTCTGAAGTCGCTACAGTCATCACGCTTGCAAGTCGCTCATTAGCACGGAGAGCAACATATGGAGGTGCTGTGTTAACCAGCACTTGCTGTGTATTAACGTAACCTGTATGCTTCATGTATGGCAACATCTACTAATGATGACAGCCCGTATTATAACAGGGAAGCTGTCTAGTGTCCAAATCTTGAACCGAATATCCATTATTTATATCAACTTTAGAGCACACCTTGTTTGTTCTATCGGTTTCCTAGTTTATGATCATCACATCATGTCATGAATACAGTAAGAATAACGTAGGTCAAAACTCACAGACAAACAGGCAAAATAGGTGAAGACATTCTCATTAGAAGACGATCTTTTGACGAAATTGGGATACGAATCGAACCACAAATCGAACGATAGTGAAAGATTATCTTTCAACGTTATGAATTATTCGATGAAATGGTTGACTAGCTTATGAGTTTACGCGGGAAGAGATAGCAACTGATCAGCTTAGCCACCGCTTTTTCCTTTGAGATAGATTATTGGGAGGCAAGTCCACAACGAACCATCCTGCGGGTATGACAAGTCAGGCTTGACCGTTCTAAGTAACCTTCCCATTATTACAGTTGCGTCAACAAGATTCCGACAAGTTTGAAATACGACCTTCCGTAGAGAAATGTGTTCGAGACTGTGGCATGGTACTAAGGGCAACTTTCTAAGAGTTCGGCCGCGGATATCAGCCCGCTTTAGGTTTCGGTAAGTGTTAGTATGGAGTTTGTTTTTATGGGTGCTGGGAACTACGCTCGGTAGAGTCCCGAGAAAGAGTAGTATTTTGTTCACCATTCAGACAACTCATTGCCAAGTAATATATCTTATCGAATTCTGGATGTCATCTGTGTAAAGCAAGCTTAGGCTGTTTTAAAAATGACCCCATGTCTGGAGAAGCTCACTAATCGTGGACCCTAATATCATGCGTGTGAGTATCGCCGCTGCTAAGCAGCATTTTTTGTCATTAGGCTCATCTTTAGACTGTTCCCGTGTGACGGTTGAATCAGGGTTTGGTGCGTTGTGAGGTTGACACTAGTTTGCTCGAGTCTCAGGATAAGAATGGGTCGTTGCAAAGGTTTCGCCTATCTGATAACGCTTAAAACCCACGGTGACGCTCTGACAGATTGAAAGTAATGGCACAGTGGTTTTCCTGCGAAAGGTGAAGTTTTAGATGTCGTTTTGTCTTGCGGCCTGTTATACTTAAAAAGAATGCTGTCACGGCCTGGGGTCTGGAGCTTAATAGCCAATCCATTGTATCGTCTGCCCTTGACAATGGCGGATTTCTGGGCCTTGAGTTTGCGAAGTCCAGAGGTTCCTCGTATAAATCTGCCTTTCGTGGGGCCCGTTCGAAACTTTGGGATCAACGATCCATCCACTACGACAATGTCGACCATTCGGGCTCGCCAATGAAAACGACTTCTATGCTGTGACTGTAGACGTCAGCACCCTCGCGCAGCAAGTCACAGTACTTCTCGACACCGGTTCTTCTGATCTTTGGTTTCCAATCAGGAGCAATCCGTACTGTTCAGAAGTCCAAAATCGCGTCAAGCGACTTGCTGATCGTCGAACTGAGCTAGGTACGGTATCTTTTACTTCTGCTATTCCTGATACCACCATTATGGGAATACCTACTGCGTCACCTATGGATTGCAATGAGTATGGCACGTTCGATTACAACGTATCTTTGACTTTTCGAGGATACCGTTCTAAACCTTTCGAAAACCTGTACGATGTTGGGTCGTACGTTCTTGGTTGGGGGCGCGATGAGAAGTAGCTGAACGGTATCGCTTTAACAGAGCTTGACTAAGCAGTCGCTGAGGTTATGAACTGGTATGCAAGAATTAGAGTCTACCTTCCACTACTTCATTGGCTACATACATATATCCCAATCTCCCCGTGTATTAACGTGGCCGCCATCACCAAAGAAATCATTTCCCACCATTCTTCATGCTCAATCAGAACCACAATTGAATCTACCTCCAACTCAGGAAATTCGTCGACAACCCCAATCCCAACAAACTTGCCCGCGGCCAAAAGATCAATATCAAGAAGTAAATCGTTCTTCCTGAAGTCAGTGTCAGTTCGCAGACGGACGTGGGACTTACCGATAGAGGGACACGCGCACTCGTAGCTGAAGGGAATTTAGCTGTCAGCCACCATGTCAGCAAATCTTTTGGAGCCTTACGGTCAAACTTGAAGGAGATGCTACGAAGGACTTCAGCGTCGTCTCCCGCATTGCATTGTATGTCTTCGTCGACCATAAATTATCAAGAACGTATGACAAGTGACCATGAAAGTCGGGGGACTTTTGTTGCTTACCCGGGTGCTGGAAGTAGAACCAAGTGGCTAGAGAGCTTGAATTTAACCCCTGGTGATTTTGGCGCACCTCAAGTCCTGGGTTCTGATATCAGTGCTCAAGTTCAGGCTGCTCGAACGCTCGTTTCTTCCAATTGATCGAGCTTTTTCGTGACTACTAAATCAAACGTCGGCAAATATCTCACTATCAACCGGTTATGATTGTCCTCAGCTGGGATCTACACAGACTCAACATCAATGTTTGTTTGGGAGGCTACTAGGTGTGGCATGAGGGAGTTCAATGGTGCTGTTTGCAACGTTTTAGGACCATGATCTTGGTTACACCAAAGCAGAGGGCACACTGCATGGAAGCCCCGAGGATAGAACTGAGAGACACCTGACAGATCAAACTCCTGCAATATCAGTAAATAAAAATATATAATATATATTGGTGTCCTTGTAATCTCTGGGAACAACCGCTAAGCTGTACTCAACATTGTTATCGTACCAAAATTCACTTAAGAGGGCTGCACTGCCCGGGAATAAATTTGCAAAAGATTCGCGTAAGCCTTTTCAATCTGAGACTTCTCACCTTCCCAAAAGCTCTCCACTGACGAGTTCGACAAACCCAGATCGGCTCCCGTAGCAGCATCAACCAATGTTTTGCGATCTGGAAATGCGAGAGTGACCGTAGAGTCTGTGGGAAGCATGCGTATGCCCTGCAGTACCAGAGTCAGTTGCTCATTACATTTGGTTCCCCCATGCTCGCCGTAAGTAACCACCATCGCCGGCTTACCATGCCACTCATTGTACAAAAAGTCAATGGCATTTTTCAGCACCGCAGGATAGCCCCAGTTATACTGTGGAGTAACAAATATGAAAGCATCGTACTTTTGAACCTCCCGGCTCCAGCGTCTGGTATGTTCATGGTCATATTCCTCTGTTGATTTTATCTGAGACGGGACCTTGGATTCATCATATAACGGCAGATTCCAATGAGCTAAATCAATTAGCCTCAATGTGGGCTTTGCAGACTGTTTCTGATATGTTTCGGAATTTTCTATTGTGTCCAAGACGAACTGTGCGATCTGTGGAGCTGCTCTGGGTTTTCGGGTACTTCCGATGATAATACCTATAAGCATCCCGAAAGTCTTCACACAAATATGCCAAATACGAGGCAGGCAGGAGCTCTGAATTGAACGGCTATTGTCAAGTCATGCTACTTTGTTTCATCCTGTAGGCCTTCGATTCCTTATATACTTCTCAATAAATTGTAATTTTGTATGTCAAAATCAAGCGGAGATAAGCGTATATAATGGAAAAATAGCTAGAGAGAGTTCGAGTCGCTAATGGGCGATACATCGTTGACTTGCTCATGATTTTGGGCAAATATCGATGCTTTCAAGCTGGCCATAGCAGGGTTTCTTGACCTTTGGGGAAGGCGGGCCTGTCACCATTGCTAATCAATTGACTCAACGTCAACCGAGGAAAAAGTGATGCATCGAGTGCGTCGTTCAGCAACCACACCATCCAGACAGTAAGTTACGACTCCATATTCCGCTCACTAACTACAGTTCTGAGCAGAAACAGTATTGCGTCCAGGAGAGAAGAACTCTTGAGAAAAAAAAGGTGCCCTAAGGAAGATACCACGTATTTTTGGTGACAGTTAGGCGACGGTAAATTTTTATTTGACGGGTACCTAATCAATCAAGAAATCGGCCACCTTTGGCTTGGAGAGAATAAACAATTGATGAGAAGTGTAGTTGAGACCGGCACGGCAAGTAAAAATAACACTTTCAAAACTTCGAGATCTACACCATTTTCTTTAAAGCTCACAAAGCTTCGCGATTTACGCGCCTTCTGGCATTGATGAACCTAGCTGATGCGCTATCAACTGGCCACTGGAGAACTGTTTTGACAGATCTTCCACGTTATATTTCCAATCACGGGAGACGAGGGTGAATAGGCCCACGACCATAAATTAGTGTCAGCTATGCGAAGTTGACACCTTTCGATATCTAGTTTACGAAGCCCGCTGTTAGCCACCTTCATCGATCTCTGACCTTCATGACAGACATTGCGCATAGTGGAACCTCCTTGAGCAGACTTCCAAGCGAGATTTTGATTAACATTTTAAGTTTTCTGGATGAGAAGGACCTTTATGCGGTGCAGGCTACTTGCAGACACTTTTTGGAGATTGTCAACGATGAGGAACTGTGGAAGAACCTTTTCGTAGCCAGAATTCATACTCGGCTGTTTCCGTCATTTTCACGATCCCCGAAATTTAGTGTCGAATATGTCGAGAGGAACAGAGGACTGAGTGAATGGAAACATAATAGGGCTGTCAAAACCAAGTACACGGTAGCTACACAAAATCAATATAACCAGCTTGAAAAGATGGTATTTGAATATCCTCGCTGTGCCTGCTATAGTGATGGCGTGATTGTAATTGTACAGCTGCAGTCCAAACGCCGGAAAGACAGATTGACGTATATGCCTTGTACTACTCCCAATGGATGTTCCACTATGCATTTTAATATAAATGCCGCTGTATTTGGCCGCTTTGATGGTCGGGTCTTTGGGAAACTACTGACAAACAAGTCACACCTCTGTCCGGTCACTGAGTTCAATGCTATACATCGCTCTAGCGTCACCTCTATCACTACTGCTGCTTTGGAAGATTCCTCTGTTGATTGGTGTGTAAGTGGTTGTGAATTGGGTGAGGTGAAATGGTGGTGCGAAGCGAAATTGCAAAAATCTTTACAAATCACTGATAAACCGATTCTGCGATTGGCCTTGAACAGAGATCTCACGATCGTAGTAGATTCACATGAAATTTATGTTGTTGAAAAAATGGAGTGCGTGCATAAATTGACGGTACCGGCCAGACTCGGAGACTCCTTGTTTCAAATTCAACACTTTCAAGTCGATTTCGGGGGGAGAGTGTTGATCATTGGTGACATGTCAGAACTCTTTGTGATATCCATAAACCCTGACCAAGACTTTGGGTTTACAAGGTCTATGAGTTTTCCTCAGCAGATTCAAAACATATTTCTCGACGATGTGACTTCCAAAAGAAGTCAGCACAGTGACGTGGCGGGCGGGGATGGCTGTTATTTGGGTATCCTGACGGGTGACAACTCCATATTTGTTATCAATGTGCGGGCACCAGGCCCCACACTACGAATTCAAACAAAGCTGGACTTTGAGGATAGGGTTCATGCTGCTCAGATCAATAATATAGTTCTTGTATGTGCCTTCAGTGGATGCTTGGGAATATTCAACGCGGCTGATGGGAACGAGCTGAGGATGGTTAGAAAGACGGAGAAAGTGCCACAATATCTAGGAGTCTCGCATGGGCGTATGATTGTCGGAAGCGGCAATGTTCTACATTATCTGCAATATACTGATGACGAGCCGAAACAGAAGAGATCAGGATCTTCTCAAAATAATCGCAGCAACAAGTGGAACGAGGTTTTGAGCACGCAGCTTGACCTTTACAATGAAGACGAAAAACATAGAAAGGAAGAATCGGAAAAACGTGAACGACTGAGGCGCACATTTGTGGGCGACTTGGATGATGAGGAAGTTCAACTAGAAATCGCTTTACTGGAGTCGCAAAGTACTCCAAACGAGATTCTGCATTTACATGATCAAGGTCGTGTGCAAGGTAGTCAACATCAAGTGACAGGTGACGATGACGAGCTTGAGAGGGCTATAGAAGCATCTCGACTTGAATTCGAAAGAAGTCTTATACCGCAGGACCTGGATGAAGATGCTGCGCTATTGATGGCCATTCAACAGTCCGAAGAGGAGGAAAGCTTACGACGTCACGTCCGTCGATCTGAAAGGCGAATGCGGCCTCTTGGTGAAGTCATGAGCTCGAGTGAGTACAGTTCTCGCGAACATACTCCAAGACCACGGTAATTCTCCAGGACGAAACTATGAATATGAAGTTTTTTATAGTGGAGCTTAGCTCGTCGCGACTGCTCTGTACTGAATTTTCCGCTCATATAAGGAAGGATATGTACATAGGACTACTTCGAGATATATGATTTACGTTTCACATTCCTTAAAAGGCAAAAACCTGGTCGTCCCCCTTCGATTTTTCAATACCCTGCGGCCACCCTAACTCTTCGGCGTAGCCCAACAGCATTCTCACCATTTCAGGCTTACCGCTCATCAAAAGCCTGTTTTCGCTAGAAAATCCTGGCAGAAACTTTTGGATATGTTCCTTGGTGACGTAGCCAGTTTCTCCCGTCCAGGTGGCAGATGGGGTACGAAGGATATAGGTCACCTCAAAGTTTGGATACTTAGCAGCGATATCGTCAAGCTCCTCCTTGAGTAGAATGTCGTTTTCGGTCTCATTGGCATAAATCAGCGAAATCTTGGTCAAATCTTCAGGATTGGTGATGACCTCGTTGAGGACCTGAAGCATCGGAGTGATGCCAGAACCTCCTGCGATCATACACAAGTGCTTGTACGAGTTGGCAACGTAATTGAATCTTCCTACAGGGCCCTTAAACTCAACGGTGCTCCCTTGTTTGAGACCGGCAAAGTATTTGGAAACGTTTCCGTCAGCGTAAGATTTCACAATGATGTCAAAATATCCTTTCTCGAATTTTGGAGAGATTGGAGTGTAGTAGCGCACATAGTCCTTACCATCGATCGTGACTTTAACAGCTAAATGGTGGCCTACGGGAAAGTTCAAAGACTCTAGGGAGGTTTTCATGTTGAAGCGGTAGATTGCAGAGTTTTTCGAGATCAATGTCTGATCCTCCAACTCAAGAGCTGACCAACGATCGGAAAACACAGATTTCCGACGCTTGTATGCCGCAGTGAATCTAATAGCAATGACCACGACGATAAATGGAATGATCCAAAGAAACTTATAATCATTCACTGTCAAGCAGGTGATGCTCAGGCCCGCCACCAGCAAGCCTACCGGAATATAGATTCCATGAAGTGGGTCATTCAATAAGTCGGCATTATTAGACATGTCAATCGTAGTATATCGGGTACTCAATTCGAAAAATGCAACCTATACGCTTAACTTGACAGACCTTATATCTTTTGCCGGCGACTTGAGCTTGATGAGTAAGGAATTTGTATCTCATGTACGCTGTTTACTTGACAGTTGAGTAATTTTTGTATCCTGGTCTGCAATTCGAAACTTGCACGCCGCATTTTAATTTCACATATATAAAGCAGGTTTGGCCAACACCTCCAGACGTCTGGCTTAAGATTATTTGAGCAGCGCGGTTCTCGCTCTCAACAAACATACTCCTTTCGCAATCCCCCAAATCTATGGACCAAATATTTGATTATTCTATGTCTTCTATATCGCAAATTCTCTATATCGCAAGTCTTTCTATCGTACTGGACAAGGTACCGGTCACTGGACCTCGTTGATATCGACGATGCCGTTCTTGACGGCCCAGTCGCGGTTGGCCAAAAATATGTTTTCTGGATCCTGTTCGCGCCTAATTTTTTGAAACTCTACAAGATCATCGCCGTACCATTCAGATATTTTGGTAGCCATTCCTCTCATCTCGTAATCACCATAGCTGTGCTCGGCCTTGGTTGGTCCAGCTGCCATGTCAGTAGATCCCAAAAAGTTTTTGGCCCAATGGGGTCTCCCTCCAACCGCCGCCATAGTCTTTTCAAAAAGTGTAAACCACTTATGAATAGGGGTGTTGAATCCAAAGGGTCTGTATATCGTGGCATTGATGTACAGTGTTAGCTGGCTGTTGTTGACTTCAGATAGTGGAGCATAATGAGAATTACAGGAAGAGGCATCCAAGTAAGGGCGAAGCACGTTTCCAAAAACCGCACCATTGCTCAGCTCCGTCCTATCGCTGTAGTCGGGTATCTTGTCCGGCAAGTTTGTATTAGAGCAGCGCACCTCAATGGGGACGTGTACAAAAAAATCACGGTTTTGGGCGGCCTTGACGATGGAGTCATGGAGTGACCGCAGCACTTCCGGGCCGTTGGTCAAAGGACAGCCCCACTCGTCTACAAATTGAGAAAACAAGCAGTCCATGTTCAAGCCCTCGATAGAAGACTGAACAGCGACATCGCCAAATCCATAAGTCTCAACTTTTCCGAATTGTCGATGGAAAACGAACTTCTCCACCAGCGGCGTCAAGGCCGGATAGATTCGGACTGACACCCACAGTAAAAGTTCGTAGACATTACGTCCCAGCGTGCTTCCCCACCAAGACGTCCTGGCCTTGGTTCCCACGCTATCGCTGGTCTTACTGCCCCTCCATAAAACACACTTTTCACTGTATGGATACCACCAGCACCTGATGAACTCGCTGGAGGTCCAAATAACATCCCATTGTTTCAATAGCGTATCAAAGTTAATCACTTCCTGCGTTGACTTGATCTTGAAAGCTGGTACTGCTCTGATTGTCGCACGCACGATGATCCCAATCTTGCCCAGAGATAGCAAGGCAGCACGGAAAATCTCAGGGTGGTTCTCTGAGTCCAAAAACACAATTTCCCCCCGTCCATTCACGATGGTGAGGTTCACATACTGTGAAGAAATCAAGCCGTGGTGTGGCGATGAGCCGTGAGTGCCCGTAGAGATGATTCCTCCAACACTCTGGTCCGAGATGGAGCCCAGGTTCTGAATTGCCAGCCCGCGTTCGTGAAGGTGCTCACTGAGCTTGAAGATCCGCATCCCAGCGTCCACCGTTACATCCGCGTAATGCTGCTCTTTGTTCTCCACAACGCTGTGGACCTGATCCATTTTGTCCAAGTTCATCAGCCACTCTTTGGTGACACACATATCGCTTGGAGAATGGCCAGACCCGACTGTGACTATCGTTTTCTTGATTCTGCGAGCAGCATTAACAATTTTGACCACTTCTTCGATGGATGACGGCTGGAAATACAACTGCGGCTGTGCCGAGTATATACCCGCCCAATTCTTGAACTTGTAGTTCGTCTGAGCACTAGGAAGTAGTTTATCCATTCAAATTTGGCCCTTTGAACACTTAATGCAGCTTACGCAAAGGCGTATACTAGAACTCGAGTAAGCACTATTCTCTGTGTTCTTATTTATGGGATTTTTTTCTTGGCTGTCGATCTATCGATTGTCTTACTAAAACTGTCAGATTGCACGTAAGCTAGCACAAATATAATGGCTAAAAGTCACAAGCAAGCAAAGTGACAGCCGAGATCCGAACTACAAACTAATGGATTCAATATTAATAAAAGATGAGTAATTTCTACACCCAAAGAATTGAAGGGGATAGCTACGCCTCAATCATTCGGCCAATCGTAACCCAACTAGGGCAACTTTTACGACTGATGTTAACGGTCATAATGATCATGACCACTTCTGTCGCAAGGTGGAATTTTTCGAAAAACAAATTCATGTGTGGTATTAGCTCTATTACCGTGAGGGTATACATCTGGGCTTGAAATAAAAAGCTGCAAAGCTCCGGCAGCAAAAATTGATACGTAAGTGGGTTGGATGAAAGGCAGTTTAAAAACTTCGGGGTATTCGTGGAAGGTGGGGGCGCGATTGAAGCATCCCGGACCCATTTGGTGAGCGTCGAATGATGCCAATAGAGAAGTGCTTGAAATCATCAGATTTATTTTTTTTTTTTGCTTTTCTTGGCGGATGGTTATCTGCGATCCCTGTTAGTCATAAGGACGCCGGCGGAGTTGCCGATTCCCAGCAAGCCTTCTTAGAACTCTTCCTCGTCAGCGTAAGAGTCAGCGCCTACCTCGATGTAGTCTCTCTCCAAAGCGGCCAGATCCTCTCTAGCTTCTGTGAATTCACCTTCTTCCATACCTTCACCCACGTACCAATGTACAAAGGCGCGCTTGGAGTACATCAGGTCAAACTTCCTGTCAATTCTCTTCCAAGCGTCAGCAATGGCAGTGGTATTGGATAGCATACAAACAGCTCTGTTCACTGAAGAGAGCTGCGACTGTGGAGTGGCAGTAGGAGGTTCGTAGCAAATACCGATCTTGAACCCAGTGGGGCACCAGTCGACCAGCTGAACCGTTCTCTTGTTTTTAACCTGCGCAACTGCGTTTTGCACATCTCTAGTAACCACGTCACCCCTATACAGCAAGCAAGTGGCCATATATTTACCAGATCTGGGGTCACATTTGACCATTTGGTTTCCGGGTTCGAAGCAGGCGTTGGTGATCTCGGAAACAGCGTTGGATTCGTGATGAGCTTTACTCTTTGATAAGATTGGTGCATAAGAAACGAGAGGAAAGTGAATTCTTGGGTATGGTACCAAATTGGTCTGAAATTCGTTCAAATCTACGTTCAAAGACCCGTCAAACCTTAGCGACGCAGTCACCGATGACACTACTTGAGCAATTAGATTGTTCAAGTTTGATAGGCTTGGCCTAGAAATGTCCAAGTTCTTCTTGCACATATCGTAGATGGCCTCGTTGTCTACCATGAAGGTACAGTCGGCGTGCTCCAAAGTGGTATGTGTCGTTAGCACTGTGTTGTAAGGCTCCACAACGGAGGTGGAAACTTGCGGAGCAGGGTAAACGGCAAACTCAAGCTTGGATTTTTTGCCGTAATCAATAGACAATTGTTCCAAGAGTAGGGAACCCAAACCAGAACCAGTACCACCACCTAGAGAGTGCGTAAACAGGAAACCCTGCAGACCATCGCACTGGTCCGAAATCTTCCGAATCCTGTCTAGAATGTCATCCAACAATTCTCTACCTACTGTGTAATGACCACGCGCGTAATTATTCGCTGCGTCTTCTTTCCCACTTATAAGTTGTTCAGGATGAAACAGCTCTCTGTATGGACCTGTGCGGACTTCGTCGATCACATTAGGTTCCAAATCGACATATAGAGCACGAGGCACAAATTTGCCCGATCCGGTTTCGTTGAAGAAAGTGGAAAACCCTTCCTCGCCACCTCTGGGCTTTGTTAGGCCCTCTTCCAAATAGCCATCTGGTCTGATACCGTGTTCCAGCGAGTAGAGCTCCCAACAGGCATTACCAATCTGGCAACCAGCTTGACCGACTACAAAACTAGGTTAGTATATCTGATAGATCTGGGCGGATTAGAAACTGCCTCTCACGTCAACTCCGCTACTCTGATCATGATGCGAGCCTGGTCGCTGGCGTAACCGATTGAAATAAATATCCTGACATGTGTCGGCCAAAAGAATTCCTTATCCGATAGCCATCGGTACCGTCATCGAGCCTAGGCCCTAATCAACCGTGTTATCCCTGGGGCGTTGGACGCGCAGTTTTTGAAGCCGCAAGTGATTTGAACGTCGAATAAACATACCATTAACGCTGATAACTTCTCTCATTGCTCCCTAGTTAACACTTTAGACCAGCACTTGTGAATAACAGGATTGGTGATGTTAGAATCAGTATAGTTTTGGTGTTTGGAAATGTTTTGATATGGTGTTTACGTTTTTCCACAAAAACTTGGAAAGGGCATAGTAGTAAGCATCACGTGCTTGGTCGCGTCGTGAGACGGGTAACCGAACCAATGGTAATCTATACATAATAAAAGTGAGTTCTCTTACTTCGATTCCACCTGTGGTTTGAGCTGATGGGTTCTTTCTTGAGTGTTTCCTATACCTCTGAGGAGTTCTCCGTTCAAAGGTTTTTCATAGTCCATAAATCTTATTGTAAGGTAATTTAGTGACACTAAATAATGTTGGGCCCGCCAGGCCCTTAATCGTTGTCTATTTGTCGCCCTTGTGTTTGGACTATATTGATTAATTGTCAGTGAGATTTTGAGAGTAAGCGTGGGCTCATGGTTTGAACCTGGCTCGTTTAACTATTTGAAAGCAGAATTGCTTGACCTATTTGCATGCAGCCATTGATAAAAGTATCACTTCGGGGTTTATTGATACATTTCAATGTACCCGAAATGCTGAACTCCCCGTTGCGGCCAATACCAGACGCATCTACCTGGCCGGCCATCCCTCGCAACTCGGAACATCACTTTGTACCGCGCTGTCACCTTGCTCGCAACGGCGAATGGAGTTCTCACATAACCAAGCCTTATTACAAGCAAAAGTCTTCTCGGGGTATGATAAAGACTTTTCTAATGTGCATGGACTCCAACAAGTTATTTGAGGATCAAACTAGAACTTTTCTCTATCGTACTGATTAAATCAAATTTAAAATGCTTCCGTTCGAAAGATAATTATTAAAACTTATATGTTATTAGTGTACAGGTTTAGTATTGGACGATGCTGGTACTAGCTGGTCAGGTCCAAATGATTTTTAGAATGACGAACTTAGTGTTTAAACAGTCTCGGTGTGACTGGAGGAAGCAGAGTTACCGCTGGCGTACTTGGAGGAATCGATCTCATCGTGGTACTTTTCACAGATCTCTTCCAAAGTCATTCTCTTGGTCTCTGGGATCAAAAGACTGCTAAAAAAACCGCACAACATGAACAGCGCAAAGATCTCCATAACGTGAGGCAACCAACAGTTTGGCTCAGTAGAGTCACAGTGGTAACTGATCAACGTACCCAAAGCGGTTTGGGCGATAATGGCACCAATCTTACCACAACCAGCGGAGATACCGTGGGCAGAAGATCTGTATCTGGTTGGGAAAACTTCACCTGGAATGATGAAAGTTGTAACATTAGGACCGAAGTTTTGGAAAAACTGGCAAACAATGTATAGACCCAACAAACCGTGGTCGTTGATCTTGTGGTATGCGAAACCGATAATGCAGAACAACACAGTCAAAATAAAGAAACCAAAGAGTTGAATTGGCTTTCTACCGATGGTGTCAATAGTAGCAACAGAGGCCCAGTAACCTGGCAAAGAACCGGCACAGATCAAGATCAAGTTACCGACAGCAGAGTTGTACAGTTTGTGGTAGACGTTCTTAGAAGAGGCGTAACCGATGGTTTGCAAGATGACAGCGGTGTTCAAACCTAGACCGTAAAAGGCAACATCCAAAGCGAACCAGGAGAAAGCAGTACCAAACAAAATCTTACCATATTTCCATTGACCAAAGTGAGAAGTGAAGTCCTTGAAAGAGGCCTTTGGAGGAGCAATTTCGTATTGCTCGACAGCAGTTGGGGCTCTTTCCAAGCGGGCAATTTCCTCGGCTTCGGCGTTGCCGTGTTCTCCAGAGGTGAATTTCGCAGCGTCAGCAACACCCTTTTGCAAGTTGTTGGAAACGTCCAAAGTGTAACGAGGGGATTCTGGGATGGTTAAACGGAAGTACAGAGCGATACAGCCGGGAACACAGCCCAGACCAACCAAAACACGCCACATTTGGTCACAGGCCTTTTGGCACGCTGGGCCACATTCGGAACTTTTTTCAGCGACAATCAAAACGTCCTTGTAAGCAGCAACAAGAACGAGGGCGACAATACCGGCGGCAATTTGACCCCAGGCCTGGTTGGCAAACACAGCGCCCATGATAGCACCACGCCATTTGGTGGTGGAGAACTCAGAAGTAATAATGGAAGAGAGCGGGTAGTCACCACCGATACCAATACCCATGATGATACGGTAGAAAGTCAAAACCGCGACAAAGCTGATACCTGGCGAGGCACCGATGGTACATTGCATGATCGTGGCGGCAATCATGATGATCAACTCTAGACCGTAGATCTTCTTACGGCCGACAACGTCGGCCATGATCCCGAATCCGAACTGACCCATCACCGTACCCACGGACGTCGACACCTTGAGCAGCGTGGTGGTCGACGAAGGCATGCTCCCTTGCCAGTAGACGTACGACAGCATGGAGATACCCAAGTTGATGGCAAAGATATCGTAGGAATCGGTGAGAAACCCAACACCGGCCACCATGATGGCACGCACGTGATACCACCCGAACGTGGCATCGTCGATCTTCTTGAGCGCCAGTCTTCTGCGCTCTAGGGGGTCCTCAATGTGAGCAAAGTCGTTGATGAAGTTGTGGAAGGCAGCGTTACCGCCAGCGGTGCGGTACTCGACCTGGACGGCTTCCTTTTCAGTAGACATCTCGTGTGTGTTTGTTAGTGTATGTGTAGAGGATTCCGACTCGATGACTATAGCAGTGGAGAGAGAAAAGAATATAACACAGCAGTCCCATTCCTAGATCTTACCAGCCCCTGCTGCCTTTATATATTCCAAAAAAAAAGCAGGAGCATCTTCAACACGCCAGATTCCATCCTTCACTCCATCTGCCGGTGCGGTGCATGCCACCAACAATTCTGGCCGTACGCTACGGTCGTGAAAAGAAAATCGACCCTGTGCCAGGTAAATTGGCTCCATCAATTTGCCAAATAAAGTGCGTGAACACTGTGAAAGCGCGCGTTTGTATGGCTGGTTGTGAGACGGGCGTGTAATTGCCCATCGCCCACGTTGCCGATGTGAGTGGGTAATTTAAAATACATTATATATTAGCCTCCCATGTGGTGGCTGCACGGCGCGCAGAATTTTAAGCCGTTCGGTCTTGAATTGCAGTGCTCACCCGCTTTTGTGCATACTTTGCGCAGGACTACCGGAAAGGCTCTCTTGCGGTGTCTGCGGCACAGCTCTCGTGGCTGACGCATGATGTGCATTCACTGCACGAGATACAGGGCTTAGACGTCCGCGACGCGTATTTCTGCATCCGTACGCATGCAAATGTGTCACGCCAAACGACATATAGATCCCCACATGGGCGGCCAATTTCGCCCAGGACGCAGTAGTAATTATTAACACCCACTGTGAGCTCACTAACACGGTAGCACGCGACGAGCAGAGCATGTGCCACGCGTGGCACCAAATAACTGCGACAGAAGGTGTTGACCGTGGTGTTATTGGCAGAAAAGAAATGCGTTGGCCGAGAAATACAGCATTGTGGGCCAAGACGGATGACAGGGTCGGATGCGGCCAAAAGCAACGGGCGATTGTTCTTGGGTCCGGAGCCCGGAGCGCCGAAAAGGGTTCTCGGCGGTCGACAGACGCGTGCTGCATGTCACGTGCGGGGCACGTGCTGTCATCGGATTCCATACTGACGCTGGGGCGGGCACCCGAGGCACCATACCACGTGCGTCTTCGTGCGATATCACTGTTGACGGGTAGAAGGACCGCGGTGCTCCTGACTGTCCTGGTGAGACCCAGACACCCCGGGTAGGGGGAACAAAAAATCTGCACGGGTGTGTGCGTTTCAGTCACTTGCCGATATCTAGCGAGTTGGCAACATTTGGCGCTGGAAACGAGTGGGAAACAAGGTGGAAACAGCGACACAGAACTGACGGTAGGGTGCGAGAATACCTTTCCTTCCCGGCCTTGGCACAATAGCCACAATTCGACAATCGGCATCGCGACCAGTCAGTGCCGCGAAAAGGGTGCAGAATTTGGGAGGCACGATGGCAAGGTAGGAAGCTGAGATCACCAGCGAAGGGCGTCCAAACGGCGGAGAGAGATCGGACTTCGTAGCAATGCAAATTTCGCCGTGGTGACCCTCACAGCAGGGGGATCCAAGGGAACGAGTTTGCCATGGACTATCCTCCTTGACATTCATAGGAGCTACCTTCATATATTTACATGTGGCAACCTTATGTCGTGTTCTGAGTTAAAAACAAATAAAAGTATGTACTGACACAGTGGTACAAAATGTAGCGCACATCACAAGCCATACAAATCGACTCACCATCTAAGACAAGCGGAAGAGCACAACCGTGACCTGTACTACCACTTACTATACATAAACTTGCCAACATTGCAGCCTCTGTTTATACTTTCTCGCTCAGCCTAACTTATGTGCGAATACCAATCAACTGGTTTGGTGGGGCCCTGCTACAGCTTTTGTTTCCATGTCCCGATCCTCATTCATGATCCGTGTTCATGATCCGTGTTCAATCGTGCTATTATTCTCGGATTTCTATCTCCGCAAGTTCGAACTGAGCTACATACGTCTTTTCATTCAGGGATATACTCTATAACCGATTACGGGTACACGCCCAAACCCTGCCCCGAGCCGGCAAAAAACCTGCACCAAGCCACGTCTTGGCTGCTTTCAATTCTCAAATTCATGACGACACTTGCAGTTAAACACCGTTTTAGCTACTCCTCATTTACCGTGTATCTCGGCGATACTCTTGTCGATCGACTGCCTAATAAAGTAACGATTTGACCTTTGATTGAAGCCAGTTCAATTTATCGTAATCTGCATTGTCTTCGATTAAATGGAATGCATATGCAAAGCGAGATTTATCAGATGTGTTTGTCTCGCTCTTATGCAAGACAGATCCATGAATCAACACCAAGTCACCGGCTTTGCACTCAACGCTTTCCCACCCCAGCGAATCATCGTGAGGCAAATTCTTCTCCTGCTCCTGAGCATTTGGAAAGTACATAAACTCGGTTCCCTCAAGTTCCTTTCCAGAGTCTTTGTCGAACCTTCTAACAAAGCGTTTAGTTATTGGATGGTCGAGATGAGTGCCCGGTGCGAAACTTAGACAACCATTCTTTAGTGTTGCGTCTTCTAAAGGAATCCAAAATCCGACCGCACTTTCCGGACTAGTGTACAAGAAAACGCTATCTTGATGAGGTGGGACGGCGCCACCGATCTCTGGTTGCTTGCATAAAATCATGGATTGCAGAGCTCTAGGACTCTGGAAACCCAAGGCACGAGCAATTTCAACGACGTCGCGATTCCCAGTAGTTATTTCAGCGAAGTCCTCATCGCAGAAGTGTAGCCCATGACCGAATTTGTTCACTGCTTTCTCCTTAGGTTTCATGAGTCGTTGTTGACCGTCAACCTCCCCGAAGGCATCAGGCTCAAAAAAAAACGAAATGTTATCCGATGAGTTGAGAAAATATCTATCTCCCACATGTCCCTTGTCACTAGTGGTGAATTGAGTCAGTGGGTGGTTTGCAAGATCCATATTCTGGAGGTACTTATGCGACTTTGCGAGGAGTTGGCTGCATTTCGATTTCGACAAAAAGTTAGGAATTAAAAGGAAGCCATTTTTGCTGAAAAACTCTGTTTCCTGAGCGGATATCATAATATCATGAAGGTATTTCTTAGCGTCAACTCCTTCTTAGCCCGTCAAGAAGGGGTTCCGGATGGAATTGCATCTACCCATCTACCCTTTATCAACTAAATCATACAAAATAATCATAGTATACGTTGGGATTGTTACTTCAAATAGAAGAAGATAGCAGCAGCAACGGTCAAGACCATTGTAATGGCCATGTTAAATTGGTACTCCTCATCAACCTGTTTTGGCACAACTTTAGAATCGTAGACTGTCCTTTCCTGAACCTTTTTGTAAATAACTGTCTCGTTAGGTGCCACACCAGCAGGTAGCTGTTCTTGGTACATTCCCTCGATATATTGTTCTATCTTGCCAATCTGAATATTGATTTTGAGGTAGTTAGGGTCCTCGACGGGTAGACGTTTCTTGATATCACGTAAATAATACTGGAAGATTTCGACGCATCCACGAAGCGTTCTGGATTGCAAGATCAGATAGCAGGTGGTACCCTTGCGGATTTTGACATTTTCATGCAAAACGTCTGGGTTGTTGAATACCAAAGCTAGCGTTGCAACAGCCATGACCTGAGGGATAGCACAGAACTGAAACGAAGATTGTTCATGCACAGAGCTCAAGTACAGCAACACGTCCTCAACATGGCTTAGAGCATTTAAAACCAAGTGGTTGATACAATTGACACCCGCTTGGGTGTTTTCTGGACGAGAGAAGTCAACCAATTTATCGGCGTAAAGCGACCAGACCTCCTTAGGCCAGAAAGAGCGCCCGTCCTCCAAGTCCTCGGCGTAGTCTCTGATGATGTTTGTCTTCTGCAAAAACAAACCCATGCCCTCAAACGTTTGTGTGGATTCAGCATATAGGTCTTCTGAGGCGAAGCCTGCAAGAACAAAAAGCTGTGTCAAACCATCACCCACAAGCCCTGCCACGTAGTGACAGTATAGGTCGTAGTCTTTGATAGTGGAGACGCCGTTCAGGTTGAAGTTTTCATCCAGAATGTAGGATGCCATTCCGTTGCCCATTTTGTGGGTCATGTCCTTGATGACAGCTTGATATTCTGCTTTCAGCTTGTGCAACTCCTTCAAAATACAGGGAAACTCAACCAACACGCAACGATCCTTTTCCGTAGGACTGTTGCCGTCAAAAGACCAGTTCTCGAGGTCCAGCTTCGAGTCAAACTCACGTAAAAGTGGTACTTTGATCTCAGGGTCTATCGACATGTCGTCTTCAATGGTATCTAATGCTCTCAAGATGAGATAGAACAGCATGATGGCATTGCGCATCTCCGGATGTAGCTCCATGATCACGGCAGCGAACGACCGAGAAGTGAGACCTAACAACTCATAGCACCTTTTCAATTCTGGTGATGCATTGGCTTGGTCTTGAGAGAATAAAGGTTTTCTGATGAATTTAAGTTTTAAGGCAGCCTTAAGCTCCACAGGATGCAACAGAAACTGAGATAACTTACCCATAGTGAATACTCTTCCTCCTGAGCGAGACTTTGAGAGCGGAAGCTTAGAAGATATCAATGGCTGGAGCACAATGTCGAACACGGAAAGTATCTAAGTGATTCTCTAACCTAAACTGTACGAAAGATGAGCCCGTTTATCTGCCGGTTTTTTCACTTCGTTTAATGCCAAAGTATTAATGTCACGAAAAATTCGTGAGGAATGAACAGAGAATAAATACTTCGGGACTGATTCGCGCACTATAAGGATTAGTCGATAGACCTCTGAGGGCATGGCCCAATGAAAACCAAAGGACCAGAAGCTGTATCTAAGGTGAAAACCATAAATAAGCAAAAAGGTCTTACCCGGATTCGAACCGGGGTTGTTCGGATCAAAACCGAAAGTGATAACCACTACACTATAAAACCAACTAGTTAGGTGGAATGAGGGTCTTGAGTCCATGACACGAACCTTTTACCACGTGCAAAGACCGTCAACTTAATCAGAAGTTACCTCTTGGCTATCAGAGCCAAGAGATCTCGTTAGTATTCACAATTAGCTTATTTTTTCCTATATCTAATCATACTATTTGATTTGATCCACCGGCCTCTTTTCATGTGTTTCTCCTCGCTTCTGACCCAGCCATGATATGGACGTACAAGCGTCAAGTCATCTTGTTATCTTCCTTTAGGCTATGGTTATTATCTGCACTCATGGTCTCTCTATAGAGCCCCATGGCTACATGGACTCATTACCTCCGAGTCATAGCCTGTCGCTACCATCGTTCTTGCCATTAGTACCGTTCCTCTTGTTCCACGATAACGCGTCACGTAGATAGGAAGTTTGACGCAGATCCTTTCCAGGTAAAGCTCCATTGGCTGGTTCAGGAATCCATTGGCTGGTTCAGGAATCCATTGGCTGGTTCAGGAATCCATTGGCTGGTTCAGGAATCCATTGGCTGGTTCAGGAATCCATTGGCTGGTTCAGGAATCCATTGGCTGGTTCAGGAATCCATTGGCTGGTTCAGGAATCCATTGGCTGGTTCAGGAATCCATTGGCTGGTTCAGGAACCAGGTTTTTCAATACACAGGGCAGTGTCGAATTTGTCAATATATGTAGAAACGTTTTTACAAGTGCAGTAGGCTATTTTTTTGCAGGGAAAGCTCAACAGGTAAGCCTCCGCAAATGGTCTATGGCTCTTGCAAGACCCTGACTCTCAATAATGCTTCGTTCCTCCTTTGTAAATTTGGCGAGTACATATTGGGCCACGCTCTCCGAATCTCTTTCAGCTGGTCTGCCAATACCTACTGCTAGTCTGTAAAATCCTCCACCAAACCGCTTTGCAATGTCCTTCAAGCCGTTATGACCTCGAACGCTGGTACCAGGCTTGCGGAGCTGAACTTTTCCCACTGGCAGACTCAGCTCATCGTGAACCACTATATGTGTGAAATCCGGGCCTAGTCTGTTCCACAGCGGCACAACCGTCTTCCCACTCAGATTGATATAGTCTCCATCGGCTCTCAGTAGAAGATTATCGCCCCACTGGCATTTTTTAACTTTCTTCGTAGTACTACATGGCAAATACGGTTGGGAGCGCGATGAGTGGGATAATTCTTCCTTTAGCAGGTCCAACATGAATAGACCCGCATTATGGCGAGTACAAGCATATTGGGGTTCAGGGTTTCCAATACCAGTAATGCAAGTGGTAAAGGATCTTGACAGGCCAGGTACTCTGATTCGGGGCATGTGTCTCGTGATCGTGTCAGTAGTTTAGAGTAGCGATAAAGATTGAATTATCAATTGGATTCATTATCTTTGAGAACGAAGCTACCTGTCACTCACATCTCAAGCAAAGTCGAGTCGGTAACACATAAGGCTGCATATACCATGTCCTCGAACAATCGCAAGAAGCTTCTTTTAATGGGCCGTTCTGGTTCCGGAAAATCCTCAATGAGATCCATTATTTTTAGCAACTACTCTGCTTTCGATACTCGTAGGTTAGGAGCCACCATCGATGTCGAACATTCTCATCTCAGATTTCTGGGCAACATGACTTTGAATCTGTGGGATTGCGGTGGTCAGGATGTGTTTATGGAGAATTATTTCTCGCAGCAGAAGGACCACATTTTCCAGATGGTCCAAGTACTTATCCATGTGTTTGATGTCGAATCCCAAGAAGTTATCAAAGACATTGAGATTTTCACTAAGGCCCTGAGCCAGTTAAAGCAGTATTCATCGGACGCCAAGATTTTCGTCCTGCTTCACAAAATGGACTTGGTCCAGCGAGACAAGAGACAAGAGCTTTTCCAAATAATGATGAGTAAGCTACAAGAGACGTCATCGGCATACGGTTTCCCCAACCTCATTGGGTTCCCTACCTCTATCTGGGATGAGAGCCTTTACAAAGCGTGGTCTCAAATTATATGTTCTTTAATACCAAACATGGCCACTTATCAGTCCAATTTACTAAAGTTGAAGAGTGTGATGGACGCTAGGGAAATCATTCTTTTCGAGCGAGCTACTTTCCTTGTGATATGTTCTAGCAATACGACTACGGGTGAGCTCTTAGACCCAAAGCGGTTTGAGAAAATTTCTAACATCATGAAGAACTTCAAGCAAAGTAGCATGAAATTGAAAAGCTCCTTCAAAACATTGGTGCTGGACAACACTATATTTGTGAGTGAACTGTCCTCAAACATGATGTGCTTTATAGTACTGAACAACTCGGACGGTCCACAGGAACTGATACTTGAAAATATAAAAAAGGTAAGGGTACATTTTCAATAACCTGATGGCGATGGTATCGCATACAACGGCACGGACCACCATTCTTTAAAAGGACTTTGACACTAGTTAGTTGTGCAAAACATAGAACAAACGCCTGTTATCCGTTTGCTGACATTATTGGCATTCGCGAATTGATCACCTGATTTTCAGTTTAATTACACGATTTCGCTAATAAATATTACCACGAAAGATAAATTGGCCCCAAAAGGCTTATCTCAAGCGTTTTCCTATGAATGTTAGTTGTTATAAAGAACAAAGCACACTGCTTCGTCCACGGTTTTGAAAGTTTGATGTCTTTCTCTGCTCACTCGCTCCTGCGTTACAAGAAATAAAGTAGCTTACAACTCTTTGAAACAGTCTCTTCTGAAAATGGCTAGCTTGAACCAATCGGCAATGACCTTGTATCTGGATCTGGCGGACAAAATCATCATAGCGTAAAGAACTCTCCAGATGTAGAAAGTCAACACACCGCCGCCAGTGTAAAAGGAGCGCTTACCATATGTGATGTTGGCAATTGCTTTCTCAGCACCCAAGTAGGCCAAAGCACCATAATGAATGTAGTCAAAAGGCTTGATACCCTTCTGCTCAAAGAAAAGATCAACCTTTTCGCTTCTTTGGGCCAACTCACTGTGAAAGTTAGGAGTCTTGGCCATCTTGTCAAAGATCTTAGCCAAGTATTCTGCTTGTTGGTGGGCAACTTGGGCGGTTGGTGGCAGACCAGAGAAAGCGTTGTCACCAACGGCGAAAATGTTGTTGGTACCCTTAACCAACATGTTGTGATTTACAGCCAAACCTCTTCTGGATTCGTTTTGTTGAGGAATTTTCTTGAAAAGGTCGGTGATTATGCTCACAGGCTTGTTACCAGTGGCCCAGATCAGAGTACCGTAAGGAATGGTTTGTTCAGTGACCGAGTCGTCTTCAGCCTTTGTCTTGGCGACCAGGTGGTCTTTTTCGACTTTAGAAACAGCAGTTCTCAAGTGTACCTTGATAGAAGTTTTCTGCAATACGTCTTGGGCGTAAGAAGTAAGCTTGCGTTCGAACATGTTCAAAACAACTGGCAATGCCTCAACCAAATGAATTTGAACCTCTTCGGCCACGGAAGGCATGAACCTTTTGAGATCTTGGTCGATGTAATCTTGCAATTCGCCAGCGGTCTCGACACCGGTTGGACCACCACCCACAACAACAATGGTCAATAGACGCTTACGCTCAGGGTCACCTTTTGGAAGCAAGTTAGCTTTTTCAATGTTGGACAAAAACTTCTTACGGATCTCCAAGGAGTGTGGAATCTCCTTCAAAAAGTTACCGTGTTGTTCCACACCAGGGATACCGAAAGTGTTTGGTTCAGCACCCACGGCAGTGACCAAGTAATCGTATTTTACCTCCGCAGCGTCTTGTTGAGTTAGACCCAAGTGGTTGTCTTCTTGTCCCAATTGAGCAACGGTAGAAACGGCCTGGATGGTGACAGTGTTTCTCTCTGGGTTGACGGAAGTGGCCTTGGCCTCATAGTAGGAGACGTTGCCCTTCTTCTTCAAGGCAAAGTTCACCACTGGTTCGATGATGGATTTTTCGTCCACAGTACCTACTGGGGTAGAAGGCAGCAATGGGGTGAACAAAAAGTAGTTACGAGGAGATATCATGGTGACATTGTACTTTTTGGCATCGATGTTTTGGAGCAAAGAGATGGCACCCCATCCGGAACCAAGGACCACGACGTTGGGCTTATTGCCTGCATTGTTTTCGATCACTTTGTTGGTCTTGAAGGACGAAACGCCGCCTGCGGAGGCTTTTTCGACATTCCCAGCTCCCGAGGCGTGTCTTATTAGCCTGCGAGCCGCATTGAGCGCAGAAACACGAGCTGTGTTGCGCGAAGCGAAGTTCGAAAGCATATTAATGAGAAGAGAAGTAGTACTCGATGCTTGCCTGTTTACTCACTGGTCGAACTCAGGAGGTGGATTCTAAGCAACGTTAAGAGGGAGGAGTTGATGGGACTAGTTTCTTCCGTGTAATTTTTTTTTTTTCGTTCTTTCACAAACCCTATACTTTTATTGGAAGGATGTGAATGATAGAATTCAAAATCAAAGACTGTTGTTTCCTCTAGCTCTCTTCTTGGACAGTAAATCTGATCACCGAAGCCTTAATCAATGGACGGCCGCTGGCTTTATTAAGTCGTTGCGGTATATATAATTTGACCGACAGACAGAAGAAAAACTTTGTTTCTTACGATTCTTATCGACTGGCTCTGGCGCGTGTGTAGTTCTTAGCCGGTCCTGGCTCCGATCAGTTTTACTGTGACTGGGAACCACCTAAACGGAGCGTGATCTTGGACAAATGACGTACCGAGTGGGTTTTTTCAGGAAATCGCGAAACGAGCGATGAGAAATACTGTGATTTTATTGGCTGAGAACAAAAAAACGGTGTGCGTAAAGCGAGCTAGAATGGCTGTTGACTGCATTGACAATGGAAACTCACGGCAATGAAAACTCCCAAAAATGAAAACTGTGGGGCTTGCAGAGATCTGGGAGATGGGCTCGAAAGAGTGCAGACAAGTATCCCATGCACGTGACTGTGAATATATTGTGATCGCTTTTGACGATAAATTTAGGCCAGTACTCCGGAGGAGTATTTGGGCGGCTAAACCCTAGGTCTCACTCCGATCTTGGCCAGAGGACGAGTACCTCGAAATGGGAGAACAACAACAACGACGACGACGACAGAAGTAGTAATTAGTCTGGGAAGCTAGTTTGTGGCAGGCCGCCTTCAGCCTTTTTCATGACAGCGGACTTTGCCGATATCGTTCGCAACAAAACGCAGGGCACGAAGTCAGAGAAGCAGGACTCAAAACCGCGACCAGTTTCATGCTGGATTGGGACAAGCCTGGGACCAGTAACCATGCATTTGATACCGTCTTACTCGGTCGTCTTTGAACCGTTTTGTTCTTGCCTAGTGTCCTGTGTGTGGTCAAACATGTACTGGAAGGTGAGCGGCAGCACCTCTTTTATTCCAGTCAACGTGAGAGATGACCGAACTTCGGGAGCACCGCCAATCCAGCGAGATTCTCCATTACTTCACGAACCGGGGCAAAAAATCCATGCCACCTATCTACACAGCGGAGAATTAAAGCGACCATTCACGGCTATACGGTTTAGGATGTGCGAAGAATCCGAGGTATATTGGGGCCAGTGAACATCGGCAGTAGTCAAATTGCTCAAGATCATCGCGTAGCGCCTTTTAATGTGTGATGAGGGTGCTAAACATGGAGGGTTTGTGAGTCACTTTGCGTTATCGGTTCTATAAAATCTGGTTCCTCGGTGGGATGCCATTTTTGTACATTTTTATACATTTTCGTAACCAAAATAAGCCGAGCGCAGTTGAAACGGGAACAAAAGCGACATCCGTTTATCGGACTACTGAATTTAGGGAATATCGTGCCGTGCAATCCTCATCTACCCACTATTCTCACGGAACTGGTTGGCTCATCATTTATTAGGTTTGTTGCCGGTTGTTTTACTGCCCATTTATCACTTCGTGGTGTCATTTCACTGCGTTGACGGAAATGACCTGGGTGCAGCTAGGGCCCCATAATCCAGATGCATTGCTGAGCTGCTAGATAACTGAAGCTGCTGGCTGAGGCATTTCTGCGCAATCGCCGTTCCTCTGAATACCCTTGGTAATTCAACTGGTATACTTTCATTTTACTGACGTCGACTGTATCACTTTCTACTATACTGACACCGTGCTGATAGTCGTCGCATTGTGATAGGAACTCTCAAGATGTCAGGATGATGTCAATAATCGGTCTCTGAAGATGGTTCAGGGACAGTCGAGGTTCAGCCTTCACTAGGAGCTAATATATAAGTAGAACTAATGGAAACTAACTGAAATTTGATAGCTAGTCATCGGTAGAGAGAGAAAACTTATCGTGATTTGATTTATTTACCATATTCATATATTAAGCCCGGTAATGTCAAGACAATGGTAGCCATTATGCAACTCAATACTATCCAAACAGTGCCAGATCACTACCAATCGATGCTTCTAATAGAAAACCTCCTGGTATTTCTAGCGTCAATGTAGAGCGATGCCGCATACAGCCTGATGCCACCTCACCTGTAAGCCAATCTCTCAGCCCAGCCTAAACGGACGCCATGCCTCTGGCTCTACCTGCGCTCTCCAGTTAATCATCCAGCCAAACTTTCACCTTCATTACGTTCCAAGTGATTCAGTGCATTCACCTTTCAGCAGTTCCTAGGTTTAAGTGGAAAACTGTTACTTTGATACCATAAAGTGATAGCTGCTTAGCACATATGCAGCCCACTAATCCCTCAAGAAGCCAGAAAGGTCCGTTCTTCTCTTAGGTTTTCGTTTCGAAATTAGGATCAAAACAGTCTTCCTTTTAGCGTTTTTTTTTTATCTCGGCACCTAATCGTATTTGAAAGTGCTCGCAATACCATGAAACACGTCGATCCTCTCTCATGGTATCGGATGCTCGGTCAATTTGCCGACTCCGTCGTGCCAAATTGTAGTAGTTCGCTGTCATCCGGAGCTAATTTCTCGACTATTCCATAGTCTCCGGGTAACAGCTCTTGAAGGTTAGTGTATATAAAAAATTTTCCGTACTAATGTGAATGGAAAAAAGGACTCAAAGTTGTTAAAACTTTGGATCTTTCATTCACAAACAGTACGTTTCTAGTACATCTATAGACTCATATTTGTACTAAAACAAGGATCAACTAGACTGCAATGCTCGGAGCTAAGTCTGTTTTGCGCAATTCTGCCCACCCGCTGCGCCAATTTGCGCGCATGAACTCCAACAAAGTTCAGGGCCAAGTCATTGGTATTGATTTGGGTACCACGAACTCTGCGGTGGCCATCATGGAGGGTAAGGTGCCAAAGATTATCGAAAATGCCGAAGGTGCCAGAACCACACCATCGGTGGTGGCTTTCACCAAGGACGGCGAGCGTTTGGTGGGTATCCCAGCCAAGCGTCAAGCCGTGGTTAACCCGGAAAACACTTTGTTTGCCACCAAGCGTCTGATTGGTCGCCGTTTCGAGGACACCGAGGTCCAAAGAGACCTCAAGCAAGTCCCTTACAAGATCGTGAAGCACTCCAATGGAGACGCCTGGCTCGAAGCCAGAGGGCAAACCTACTCGCCTTCCCAAATTGGTGGTTTTGTGTTGAACAAGATGAAAGAAACCGCCGAGTCCTACCTAGGCAAGAACGTCAAGAATGCTGTGGTCACTGTCCCAGCTTACTTCAACGACTCTCAAAGACAAGCCACTAAGGATGCTGGACAAATTGTCGGGTTGAACGTGCTACGTGTCGTCAACGAACCTACTGCTGCCGCTTTGGCTTACGGTTTGGAGAAGTCCGACACCAAGGTTGTTGCTGTCTTCGACTTGGGTGGTGGTACTTTCGATATCTCCATCTTGGACATTGACAACGGTGTGTTCGAGGTCAAGTCCACCAACGGTGACACTCACTTGGGTGGTGAAGATTTCGACATCTACATGCTAAGAGAAATCGTTCAAAACTTCAAGAAGGAGTCTGGTATCGATTTGGAAAATGACCGTATGGCCATTCAAAGAATCAGAGAGGCCGCCGAAAAGGCCAAGATCGAACTGTCCTCAACTGTGGCCACCGAGATCAACTTGCCTTTTATCACTGCTGATGCCTCTGGCCCTAAGCACATCAACATGAAGTTCACCAGAGCTCAATTCGAATCTCTAACCGAACCATTGGTCAAGAGAACCGTTGACCCTGTCAAGAAGGCTTTGAAGGACGCTTCCTTGAGCACCTCTGATGTTTCCGATGTTATTTTGGTCGGTGGTATGTCCAGAATGCCAAAGGTCGTTGAGACCGTCAAGTCTCTATTCGGTAAGGAACCTTCCAAGGCCGTCAACCCCGATGAAGCTGTCGCTATTGGTGCCGCCATTCAGGGTGCTGTTTTGGCTGGTGAGGTCACTGACGTCTTGTTGCTAGATGTGACCCCCTTGTCCTTGGGTATCGAAACCTTGGGTGGTGTCTTTACCAGATTGATCCCAAGAAACACTACTATCCCAACCAAGAAATCTCAAATTTTCTCTACCGCTGCTGCTGGTCAAACCTCGGTGGAAATCAGAGTCTTCCAAGGTGAAAGAGAACTGGTTAGAGACAACAAGTTGATCGGTAACTTCACTTTGTCCGGTATTCCTCCAGCTCCAAAGGGTGTTCCACAAATTGAGGTTTCTTTCGACCTAGATGCCGATGGAATTATCAACGTCTCTGCTAGAGACAAGGCTTCCAACAAGGATGCTTCCATCACTGTTGCCGGCTCGTCTGGTCTTTCTGACTCCGAGATCGAACAAATGGTTAACGACGCTGAAAAATACAGAGAGCAAGATGAAGCCAAGAAGAAGTCCATCGAATCTTCCAACAAGGCTGATCAACTTGCCAACGATACCGAAAGCTCTTTGAAGGAATTTGAAGCCAAGATTGACAAGGCCGAAGCCCAAAAGGTCAAGGACCAAATCACTTCGTTGAGAGAAATTGTTGCCAGAGTGCAATCTGGTGAAGAAGTCGATGCCGAAGAATTGAAGACTAAGACCGACGAATTGCAAACTGCCTCCATGAAGTTGTTTGAGCAAATGTACAAGAACGATGCTGCTAACAACTCTAACCCTGAAGGTGGTGAGCCTAAGCAGTAAGTGGAAGGATACTTCGCCAGTTTATGCTACCCCACTCGCGTGCCCGCATTTTCCATTCTCATCAACATCCCACCATTCTGTTCCTATTTTGTTGAACACGACTATAGTATGAAAACCCAACGTGTATAAGCTTGTATATAGATATCACAATAAGATGCGGGTGGTTTTCTAATACATCATGGACTAGAGGTTGATTATCCTGATAAAATGTTGACGACTAGGCAGCTCCTGAGCGATGCTCACGTTTCACGAACACACCGCCTTGATGGAATTTGAGATTCCTTCAACGACCCGAAAGCTATGAGACCTGAATGCAAGATATAAGTATTAACGGAGAATTGCATATAAAAGCTACCGAACCATAAGAATAATGGGTCTAACGGTGTCTCCATTGACTCGCATTATCTCGCTGTCAGGCTTCCTTGCTCTAGGATTTCTACTAGTCATTTTGAGTTGTGCTTTGTTTCACAACTACTACCCTCTTTTCGATAGTAAGTTCAACAATTTGAAAGCGCTCGTGCCTTCCTTGTCGCCGCTTGTCGCTGGCCCATTCGTTGTGGCCAAATAGCATATGAAAGTTACTAACCTAATCATCCTTCACTCTCAGTTCTCCTCTTTTTAGCTGCTCCAGTTCCCAATGCCCTCTTTAGCAAGCGCAATTTCGAATCAAATGATTTCATGAGCGACTCCAACAGTAACGTCGAGGACGTGGGTCATTTTTTCACAGGCCTACTGGTCACAAGTGGATTAGCACTACCCACCGTGTTCTACCACTGCCAATTAATCAACCATTACAGTTGTATTATGAGCACAGCCGGAGGTGTGATCATTTACCTTAGCATAGTTGTATTTTCGTGGTTTTTTAATTCCGGGTGGGATGACGAAGACGACGGAATGTTTGGTTACTAAGTAGGAAACAACTTTAACAGAAGAAAGGTAATATTTTGACGCAGCGGTGAACGATGTCCAAGGCGCGTTTGAAGATGAACTAAAAAGTCTCGGTTAGCCGGCGTAGTCTTTTGTTAAGAGCTGGAAGTGCAAAAAGGTCTTACCCGGATTCGAACCGGGGTTGTTCGGATCAAAACCGAAAGTGATAACCACTACACTATAAAACCAATTATAGGAAACATAGATATTATTGGCCATTCTATACAAGCGGTGAAATCACGGAGCTCATGAACAATCATCATAACGTAAACTAAAATAAAAAAGCTGCTGACCGACAAGGGAACTACTAGATCTCATTAGTATTCAATATTGACTTGCTTCTCCTTCATCTAATCTTCGTAGTTGTTCTGATCGATCGGTCTTCTTTTGTGTGTTTTCCTGGGCTCTGGCCCAACTCTGAGAAGGTCAGATTGAGGTATGGTCTCGCGGCCTCGTATCATCTCGACTGCGGCCAGCTGAGCTTGCATCATGCTATCTTATCAGTGCTTCACGGCAACGTGAACTTGCCGAACAGTCTCTGACCCAGTTCCTGTCATGATTCTTATTCGTATCACTTATTACTATTCCTGTCGTTCCGCGACAGACCTCATTTAGAGGTTTTTAAAGGATAAAAACCCTTCACCTACACACTCGTGTTCAGCGTGAAAGTCAAGGATATTTTGATAAAGTATATTACAGGTACTACAGGCTGTCATCAAATTAGCATTTCCCTATATTGTTATTATTCTAGTGTACGTTGATTTCTAACTATGATTATGTAGTTCCAGTTTGCTGCATAGAGATTCCCAATAGCGCTTATTGAAAGCTTATGAGGTGTGTTGGATGAGGATTAGAAAACACATGAGGAATAATTGTACGTGTCCACTCAATAATTTTAAGGCTTTTTGATTTGAAGAATACTATCTCGAACATCCTTCGAACAAATTTTCAATATAATGTTAAGATAGTAACGAAGAAGACAGGGGTCACTTCGATCACTTGAGAAAATACTGCTTTCCATAAAAGTGGCGATATCGAACATTACCCGTCGAACAGGGTTATGACTTCCACTACTTCATTCATAGTCAGAAAAGAGGTGTATAAGTATGGATATCAAGTAAGTTTTCGTAGGAAAAAACAAATCATCGGCAAATGGCTTGGCAGCATGGAAGAATTACAAGCAGCTTACAAGCAGCTTACCTTAGAAGACGATTTCTTGAGATTTTCGAAATATTACAATTGATTGACACATATATCATATATCACATATAACGAAATACATCAGATCGGGTGGTCCCTCATGAAACTCTGTTACCAGATTACTCATTGGCAATACTCCGTGGTCCAGTCCACAGGCATAGGACCACTAAGAGAACAGCGATTAGAGGGGGGTACAGCGAAGGGGCTTATATAGCTTGGGATTCTGTCTGTATAACACTAAAAGCTCCGTTCAATAAGAGCATTGAATAGCCGATTGATATGCCGGGGCAGGAATTTGTCAATGCCTTTGCAGAGTGGCAAGCTGACGATTTGATTCAAAACTGTTTGAATTGCCAGATACGATTTACCTTTCTGGTTCGCAAACATCATTGTAGATGCTGTGGTGGGATCTTTTGCGCCAACTGCAGTGATAAATTTCTTTGGTATAAGAAACGCAGAGTAAAAGTGGTGAAGCGCAAAGATGAAATGGAAGCCAATGAGATCCCACCTCATAGGACTTGCATTCCATGTAGTGAGAATTTGGTGCAAATGCGGTTGGTTGTTACAAAATGGGGTGACAGAAGTAGCATCTCACAGGCAGCAGTCGATAGGATCAATACCAGATCCCATCGTAATCGGGTTGTTAGCGACCTTGGTGCTGAACCTACGATAAGTGCTCCTAGCTCATCTTCGGCTTCATCTATTCAAGCTAACGAAGTTGCAAAGATCACAAGCTCAACTGAGGATCCTCGCGTGGTAGATCAGGATGCTTATAGGTGCCCTATTTGCAACCTGGATCTGTTCAAGGTCGCAGAGCCAGAGTCAATCGAACACATTCAGCATTGTATTTACAATGCGGAGCTGACACAACAGCACCGTCCAATGCATGGCATTTTGTCTAGTTCCGCCAAGCCGCCACTTCCGCACAACAGAATGCTAGTTTACACAATACCACCGGGCATGAGTGGATCGGGATCCCCCAATTTGGAAAATAGTGAGTGCCCCATATGTTTCGAGGACATGAAAACGGGCGACAAAGTAGGAAGGTTGGAATGCTTATGTGTGTTTCATTATGATTGCATCAAGAGCTGGTTCAAAAAAAAATCTCAAAAAGCTACTGCCACATCTGCGAAGATAGCTAACAAAAATTTTTGCCCGCTGCACGATGCGGTTTTTTGATTTTATGGACGTATAAAGGTGTTATTTGTTATATAGGGAATTATTTTGATCTTTTAAGCGGTTTACGGAAAAAGGTGTGCCACTCAAATGGAAACCCGTGGTGTTTAAGCTAATATACAATTAATTGAGACCCAATCTATACTGTCCCAATGCCGGGATGCGAGTCCTAATCCATCTCTACGTCACTGTATAGGTCACTATCAAGGTCTTCTGGAACATCGCTATAGCCATCTTCATCACTGGTGGATGACTCAGGATCACTTTCAACTTCCTTGGAGGGTTCCTTGCCTTCTGCGATTTCTTGTTCCTGCTGTTCCCTGAGTTTTCTTCTCTCCAATTTACGTTGTTTCTTAGCATCTTTGACCTCCTTCTTCTTAGCTAAATTAGCCTCTTGTTCCCTTCTTCTTTCTTCCTTTATTCTCATGCGTTGTGCGTGTCTCTTTTCCAAAGCTTTAATTTCCGTATCTGTCTTATTGACATAGTTGTGGTGTAAGACTTTACCGGCACAAATTCCTTCTTCAATCTTTACGAGTTTGAGAGTCAGCCTTGGGCCAACTTCTGTCAATTTGATGGCCTTCTTCCGAGGAGCTGATGTTTCAACAGGCTCGGCTTTTTCTTCTGTACCATCGGACGACGATTTAACACTTGTCTTGACTGGTTTTTGATTCTTTTCCATTACTCTGACAATAGAGTCATCCTCTATTTCACTTTCTGAAGTATACGCTCCAATGTCATGATCCAAAATCAACGATGCAACGTCATCTTTCTTGTGAAGATTCGGAACAGACTTATTAAGCTTGTTTTTCGCCCGGTATAGACGTTTCAAATTTCTGGAGATGTCTACTTCGCGAATGTCAATAGCATAGTGACGCATGCTGATCTCGTCGGTGTTAGGGTCTTTGTTGATCATGAAAACCCTGCTGATAGCCCCTAGTTGAGTGCGCGCGGGGTTTAGCGGCGGAAAGATGTTCTGGAACATGGAAATAACCACCTTCTCCACATTAGCACGCTCTGCTGCACTGCTAGCAAACTCCTTGTCTTTAGACTCTTTGCCGTTCTCGGGAGTACTAGCTTTGGCACCAAATCCGTTCAAGACAAGCAATGGAGGGTTCATAGCATCTTCCTTCGCTAGCGATTGGGGCCGCTTCATAAACCGCTTGATATCCCGCCCAAGTGAGTAGTCCAGAACTTGGTACGTGATAGTGGGCCCATGCGGAGTTCTTGCCATCTTGAGGGAGACGTTACCGGTTTTCTCACTTTGTGTAAACATAAACAGGTGCGAGACGCCCAGCGGGCCGCACATAACCACAAAATCCTTCAGTTTATTCGATTTACGCTCCTTCAGTTTGATCGCAGTGTGAGGCTGCATGATCTGACGGAAATCCTTGACCAATTGATTTAAGGAATGATTGCCCATCGACGTCTGACCCACCCGAATAACCATCGATTTTGGAATCTTTTTGACGGCCTCTGGATCGGGTCTGGCATGTGTCCTAGTCTTTTGTCTACGCTTGGCCATTATACAAAGCACGGGAAACCTGTTGAAAGCTCCAGCAGCTTGTTTTTGCCGTTCACCAACGAGAGAGTCGATGCGATGAGCTTATGGACTAATTTTTCACTATTTTTTCAATATATCATCATATAAGACTAGCTCGATGAGAGGAAAATGTAATGACAGGTAGAAAATCGACTGAAGGGTTGAGTAGAGAGCAGTCAGAAAGAGCGCGTTTGAGGGCTGTAGTGACTAACCGGTAACTAGAAGTTAGAAAGCCATGCTTATACTCTGTTTATTTGGAGCTAAAAAGGAACTCCCCACATCTTTAGAGATTCTATTGATAGACGAATACGTAAGCTAGGAAAGTCACAAACAGTCAGCGAGAGCAAAGCTAGTTTTCCACAGCCCCACAGCTGTAAATATTTAGTGAAATCTATGGGACTAATCAAAGAAAGGCACGGAGGTTGCTTAAAGCTTCCAAAATGTATCAATTTGCAATAATGTTTAATAATACGTTTAACCGAGGTATTCGCTCAGCGAAAAATTCTGAACATAATCTGGCTATGATTAACTTAGCGTACCATCTACTTAGCCAGTATACACCTTTCAGCCGCACTTGCACTTGCCCGTGCAATTTCGTGACACTCCAGTTAGCGTCTTCTATGCGATTTTCTCGTCAAACATCTACTCCAGCGTCATTTCTGAAAAATTTCAAGCGATGAGCTCAAGAACGCACAACACAATCTTGCAACTTTGGAACTAACCGCTAAGCATAGCCTTCGTTAGCGTACTCATACCTGTTAGGTTTATCAGAATGGCTAATAAAGTTGTTAAGAAACCAAGTTCGAAAAGTGAGCTAAAATCGTTGGCAGAGAAGATTCGTCAGCGGGCCCTTGAGCGCCAGCATTCAACCGCCACTGGAGAAGGAGACTCTGACGGAAGCCACGATGAAGACGAGATAGAGGAAGAAGAGGAAGGACGAGAGCTTGAGCGACAGGGAGACTCCGGGAAGCAGGCTGAAGAGGAAGAAGAAAGCCAATTTGATTCCTTTGCCGAGCTAAAATTAGTTCCAGAACTGCTGGAAGCATGCGAGAACTTGAAATTCACCAAACCTACACCAATTCAGGCTGCAGCCATCCCACCAGCTTTAGAAGGAAAGGATATAATTGGATTAGCGCAGACAGGATCCGGGAAAACTGCGGCTTTCGCAATCCCCATCTTGAACTCTCTGTGGCACGACCAGCAGCCATATTACGCTTGTGTCATGGCTCCCACCCGAGAACTGGCACAGCAGATCAAAGAGACATTTGACTCTTTGGGCGGAGTCATGGGTGTCAGAACTACATGTATTGTAGGCGGGATGAATATGATAGATCAAGCGAGAGACCTTATGCGTAAACCACACATCATTATAGCCACCCCCGGGCGGCTCATGGACCATCTCGAAAACACTAAGGGGTTCTCGTTGCGTAAGCTACGCTACCTCGTAATGGATGAAGCTGATAGACTACTGGATATGGAATTTGGCCCTGTTTTGGATAGGATTCTCAAAATCATTCCCACTCAAGGCAGGACTACTTATTTATTCTCCGCTACGATGACATCAAAGATCGACAAGCTTCAAAGAGCAAGTTTAACAAACCCCGTCAAATGTGCAGTCTCTACGAAGTACCAAACTGTGGAAACCTTGATTCAGACTCTGATGGTGGTGCCAGGAGGCTTAAAAAACACGTTCCTGATATATCTGCTTAACGAGTATTTGGGTAAAACTGTCATCGTTTTCACCCGTACCAAAGCGAACGCAGAAAGGATATCTACTTTGTGCAACTTGCTTGAATTTAGTGCTACCGCCTTGCACGGTGACTTAAATCAAAATCAAAGAACGGGTGCCTTGGACCTTTTCAAAGCAGGCAGAAGATCGATCTTAGTAGCGACCGACGTTGCTGCCAGAGGGTTGGACATTCCATCTGTTGATATTGTCATCAATTATGATATCCCAGTAGACTCAAAGTCGTATATTCACCGTGTAGGTAGAACGGCAAGAGCAGGTCGTTCGGGAAAGTCCATCTCTCTGGTATCTCAATATGATCTGGAGTTAATACTCAGAATAGAAGATGTTCTAGGTCGTAAACTTCCAAAGGAGTCCGTTGATAAGGGTGCCATCCTCGCGCTGCGTGATACTGTGGATAAGGCCAATGGTGAGGTGGTTATGGAGTTGAACAGAAGAAGCAAAGAGAAAGCAGCCCGAGGTAAGGGAAGATCGGGTCGGATGAAGTCCAGGGATAATATGGATAGAGGTGAGGAGTGAAGGAGCGCATAGCAAACATTTAGCCTTCATTTATGGACAGGGACAACCCAGCCACCTCTCTTGCCGCCATTTAATTCTCGTCGTTTAATATAAATAACCAGCGCGTAAAAAGGTCGGTTGATTTGATTAATACAAGATATCGCGCTTTCAGTCGCTTATTGAGTACTCTTCTAGGCGCCAGATGTGGTTAATGGCGAAACATCTCACCAGATCCGTTTAGTTAAAACGTAAGTCAGATTCGGTTTTCCACGAGGTTCTTCGGCTGAGCAATTCATCGTCGAGGCTCACTTGGGATGAATTATATGTAAAGTTGTGTGCAGATGGTCCAAAACATTATATAGAAGCTCACGAGTAAAGCAAAATGAAGTGAAGTTAAATTAATATACACTTATCCTTCGCAAGCGCCCGAAGGTGGACTGAAACTAACCTAGTTGTGACAGTGGAGTGCGCTGTGACAGCACGGGCCTAATGTCTCATCCGGCTTGAATTTCTTGCAAGTTAATATCTCATAGATTTCTTTTCAACTTCGAACCATGTTTTGTGTTAAGCAGTAGGTCTTATGATTACCAGAATGTGCAAGACTTTGCGACAAGAAAATTACCACGTACACGCTTAAACGTGCACATTTGTATCAGAGGCGAAAGAGAGATTACAATAGAACACACTTCTTCTTTTTCTTGCCCGAAGATTTGGTTTTCTTGCTCTTGTTTTGCTTGCCCATGAGAGAAGCTCTGGTGGCGGCTTCAAAGACTTCGCGCACACCGTACCCGGTCTTGGCGGAACATTCAATATATTCGACAGCACCAATTTGTTCGGCAACTTCCTGGGCAGAAGCCTGAGAAACAGGTTCTTGGCCGTTGGTTCTCAAGTTTTCGATGACTTGAGAGTCGTTTCTTAGATCAACCTTGCAGCCAACCAAGATAATGGGCACACCTTGACAGAAATGCAGGACCTCGGAAATCCACTTCTCCATCACATTCTCCAAAGAGTCTGGTAGATCAATAGAGAAACAGATCAGCACCACATTAGAGTCTGGGTACGACAAAGGTCTCAAACGATCGTAGTCTTCTTGCCCAGCCGTATCCCATAGGGCGAGCTCGACGCGACGCCCGTCCACTTCCACGTCGGCGACATAGTTGTCAAATACGGTAGGCACGTACACCTGAGGAAATTTCCCCTTGGCGAACACGATCAATAGACAGGTTTTACCACACGCACCGTCACCCACAATCACCAGCTTTCTTCTGATGCTAGCGCTATTATTCATACCAGCTTGCGACATACTTCAGATCCAATGTGTCCTATGTATATCGTGGTCAACTCAAAATTTTAAGCGTCCGTGATCGAGATCAAACACGGCCTTCTTGTCTAAATTTCAAAAAAAAGCTCTACCCAAAGAAATCCTTGACTTCTTATGCGCTTATAAGCCTTTCCCGAGTTCACTTTTCGTTAATGAAAGGATAAAAATCGGCACCAACGGTGTAGTTTATCTAGTTTCGAGTTCTTATGTTATATCAACAACTTCGCCCCTCGACTCGACAGTGTGTATCTGTGTTTATATAGCGAAAAATTCTGGGCAAAAAATTATAAGATGGTTATATATATAGGAATGTAACTATGTACGGAAGATATCAGGAATTGGACAGCGACTGAGGACCTGTGTCAGTATATGAAGAGCCCGCTTCAACTGGAGGAAGCGTTGGTGGGGAAAGCTTAATTAAGGCTAAAATATCTATACGGGAAAATATTGGTGGTTTTTTTTGGATCATTTTGCCATCACTTTTTGAACAGTACCCGACAATCAAGCTTGCTCGAAATTGCCACTATTTGGGCGCCTGACTTGGAGACGATCGCTTGAGTTTTGCTAGTAGACGCTGGGTGTAGTTTATACCAAAAATATTTTTCCCTTTCGGCTCTGATTTGTGGTGCAGGCTTCGTTTTGAGGGGCTATACGACTGAGATGTCAGATTTCCAATGTTTTTACGATTCGGAGTTAGTTTCGATTCATTGGCACATATCCAACGAAAGCCATAGAAGTTGAAAAAGGGCGTTGAGTATCAGTAAGGTAGTCATAGGTCTTTACATGTGAGCTAGAGGCGAACCCGTGCCCCGTCCATGCCAAAAGGGTGATATCTCCTTTCCTTATCTTTTCGTAGCACCACATTCATCTGCTATGTCTTCCAAAGTTAGAACACGCGTCTCGCTAGTCTCGAGAAGGGCGACATCGACCTTCAACAAAATTCCAACTAGCATGTTTTGTCATAGTTTGATCAGAATTTTTGGAGCCGTGGAGCACCACCTGCCTCAAAAAGATTTCGAAAACCTCATGTACAACATTACTCTTCCTGTTATGTAAGTTAATATCCTTTTCAGAGAACGAAATGCAGTTGGTATTAATAAAGAAGTGAAGAATTATAAAACAACAAAGTAATATTATGATGTCTTGTAATGAATACTGGACCGAGTTTTCAGCTATGGCTATGCCTCAGCACTTGCCTTTCTCAATTATCAGCTTCCTCCCCGATCTTAAAAGAAAGGAACTTGATTTTCTATGGCTGGTGAACGGAGAAGCTGTAAATGAATGACTGTTCACAAACTGTTTGTTTATCATATGAAAGTTTGGGGGTGGGGGATCAAAGCACCACACACTTTTTCTTTTTACCCGTTCCCGGCTTCGATTGCTTCGACAGGGGCTGCCCCGCGATTGCCGCCCTGGTGGCAGCTTCGAAAACCTCGGGGACTCCGTAGCCAGTTTTTGCAGAGCACTCGTAGTATGAAGCGGCGCCGATCTTGTTAGCCACTTCTTGTGCTTCCGCAATTGTCACTGGTTGCTGGCCCGTGGTCCGCAGTGACTCCAAAGTTTGAAAGTCCTCCCTCAAGTCTACCTTACAGCCTACAAGGATGATAGGCACTCCTTTGCAAAAATGCGAAACTTCAGCAATCCATTTTTCCAACACGTTGTCCAAAGAATCCGGCAAATCAATGGAAAAACATATCAACACTATGTTCGAATCTGGATATGACAAAGGCCTTAGTCGATCATAATCCTCTTGACCAGCAGTGTCCCAAAGTGCCAGCTCAACGTTGCGTCCGTCAACTTGCACGTCAGCTACGTAATTTTCAAAGACCGTCGGGACGTAAACTTCCGGGAATTGGCCCTTCGAGAATACTATTAACAGACACGTCTTTCCACAAGCCCCATCACCCACAATCACCAATTTTCGGCGAATACCCGATCCTGAACTGGCCGGAAAGGACATTATACTTTAAAGCTCAGAGCCCTCTCAAACAGTAACTAACCAATCACAATAGGAATCCCTACCGTCAAATTTCTAGATGAGTATAGAAATTTTAAATCAAAGCGTATCCCGAATCCCAACAAGGGCTGGCCCGATTTTCCAACCTTACTGACAAGCCTTCTAAAGAGTTGCCTCCGGCCCTCACTAGACTGTAATCTACCTCGTTTTTGAGTGAAATGTTGACTGAACCTACCAGATTCGGACTCTCGAACATTAATTATTTACCCGAGATGTTACTTGATACGAATATTGCGGCCTCAGTCAGAGTATAAAGTGCGCCTATGGGCGATATGTATCTACTAGAAGTCTTTGGACGAGCCAGAATCGGTCCTCTAAATTTGAGTAGTTCTTGCGAGACAATTAGGGCCGAGCTCACGATTTCTTGAACTAAATTTGTGACATCGGACTTTCCAGATTGAGGTTTTTCAAGGCCCGACACTACCACAGAGGAATTAGCTTTCCTCGGTCAACTCCCCAGCAGCCAATCTGGGTTGTAGAATCACTTTGTGAGTCGATCCGCTCCCTCTTGCCCACGATATTTGAAATGCTGTGAAAGTTTTGCCAATTTTCAAGTGTCACAATAGTTCCTTCCCCCAGCAGCACGCATAGTTCTCTATTTCCCCAAGAATAACTGATGTCCAGTACTCGGTCTGCAAACAAAACATCGTTGTAGTGAACTAGTTTGCCATTCGCAGGTGAGAGGAAGTATATATAACCCGGAGCTTCCGGGCGACCCAGCAGTTCACCCACGACGGCGATGCATTCGTGGCTTATAATAAGCACACTGAGAGACTTTCCGTGCGCTGAAGTGTCAAAAATCTCGAGTGCCCTCCAGCCCCCGGTGATCTCACGACATTCGCAGTGCAATAGACCATCTTGAGTGAGCACAACTGTCATATCGTCACTCGCATCTAGCGATAGGACAGTGGCTGCCAAGGACTGAATGCTGCGAACCGGGTGTATTTCCTTCGAGTCGACCCTAAAATAGTGCAGTTCCTCTTCGAAAGCCATCACAAATGAATCAGGCTTCCGTGACACAATCTTGACCTTGCTTGGAGGTTCACTCGGCATCGCAAATGATGCCAATTCGCGAACCACTAGTCTTCCTGGAAAGGGCAATATCTGGATTAACTTTAATGACCAGTGTTTCCTGTTGAGACTTCCTGCAGCAATTAAAGTAATGGCCCCAGTTTCTTTTGAAAGCTCCACAACGTGCAAAAGGGATCGAAACTCTTTAAAACACCGTGAATCCAAGGTCATAAGCCGACCGTTCTCGAGCTTGAGACATTCGAGCGTCTTTTTGGGCTTGTTCACTATTAGCATCCTATTGATTCGCTGTAGATGCAAATATTGTTTGTCGACAGTCCTTGCTGACTTCAGCAAAGAAGTAGATGGACTGTAATTTGAAGACGAAGGGAGTTGTATTTCTAGTGCGTCTGAAAAGAGCACAAAATAAAGACCCCCGGAAACTTTCAGATCAATGATGGTCGCATGTTTTCGACTTCCGCTATGGAAAATTTCAAAAGTCTTCATGGCCGTAACATCTAGCAAAAACATGGCCCTTGGGCTAAAAAGGATCCATTCTTGATTTCTGATGTGACGAATGTTCCACGGGTGCCCACATGCGAGCTCGATGTCTAGTTTACTGAGACGCATTCCAGCTGGATTACTGGGGCCACTTTCCAGCTTAAAGAGATTACCACCCATATCACTAAAAAGACACATGCTCGCAGATGAGTTCCCATAATGTACGTGGAGATTTGATAGTTCCGTAAATTCTTTGATCGGAAGCACAATGTCGCTGCATCGGACATACCAGGCCTTTGAATTGCTTATAACAATTACTATATTCTCGCCTGATTCATTGTTGTGAAATATCACCCCCGTTATAATTGACCGCTCTTCCTCTGTAGGGAGTTTAAACTCAACGAAACTCTTCTCTGTGATGTTATCCAGATCGTTAACGAACAGGAATCGGCCAATGGCTGCATTCCAAAGAACTAATTGCTTTCCATGGAATGCACACTCAGTTCCTTCCAAGTTTGTCCGATAAACAAAAGGCTGGCGTTCATCAAAAGGATCAACTATAACTGCTTGGGTGGTAACCTGGACAAAGTTTTCTTCAGTGGTGTGAACAGCGACTACTTTACCTAGATCACTACTCAAAACATCGTCGAGCTCCAAAACTGAGGAGGTTGCAAAGTTCTGCGAAAGCTCAACCAGTAATAAACGAGAATCATTCTCAGCATTTGTGTCCAGAAGTAGAAATGTTGGAGACTGAATCTTAGGTGCATCCAAAAACTGGTTCTTCCACTTGTTGGGGAGAATGGCACAGTCCAGAACTTGCAGTCGTGAAGTAAATTTGAAAGACCTTGACGAAAACACAACGGAAACACTTTGGATGAGCTTCTCGTGGGAGACTACCGAGATGGTCGCTCTGGAAAAGACACATAATCGATCTTCGGCCCGCGGCCGTGCGGACGATGGTGCCACATAACATACTGATTCACCTCGGTTATGGCCAGAAAAAAGTATTCGTTTGTTAATAATATTTTCCAGAGGTTGTATTTGATTATCTTTGCTTAAATCATGAACTCCGTTCAGATCTAAGCAAATCTGAATAAGGCTTCCGTGACTAGAAATTACTACGGAATAACTATCAGAAGCTGTGGCGTTGTTATTGACTGGAAAAGCCTCGAAAAGACCTTTGAATCTTGTCAACGCTAAGAATCTGTTGGCTCCCTCTTCCGTGCAGAGACAGCAGCACAGGGCGCCATTGGATGTGGCAAATACGGTACAGTGCACATAAGTAGTTAGTTCAGACCCAAGATTTTGAAGTCGAGAAAGAAGCTCCAGACACTCAAAGCACTTTGTGATACGCTCTCCGAACAAGCTTCTGTCGATAGTCTCAAAGGCGTGTTCGCCTGATAAGATCTGATTTGCAGTTACAAGCTTAACATGATTGTCCGTAAACGCTAAACACCGAGAGTCGTCAAGTGGCACGATGCTAGTAACCGACTCGCTGTTTAGCAAAGTAAGTGGATGAACTTCTTTTCTCTCGTCACTCGACCCTCCCCATTGAACCAAACACAAGCTCACTTTATCGAGAATCTCAAGAGCCACTAAGAGCATGAAGTGTTCATTCCGATTCCCGTTGTCCAGAAAAGAAGCATCCGTTATCATGCCATCTCCAAAATTCAAGTTGCTAATTAGCCTGAAGTGGAACATGTCTGTAAACATTAAAAACTTGAGAGTTTTGTCCGAAGCGACAGTAAACTGATCTGAAGACTTTTGAGCAAAAATTTTTTGGGGGACGCCATCCACAATTGGAAACCTCCACCACTGCAAAACTATCGGATGGTATTGACGATCGAAAGCCAACGCATAAAGAATTCCTTCGTCCGACAACAATACAAGGATGTCGTCCGCATCCTCTTGTGGCCACCTTTTTACAGTACAGTCCACAATGCTGAAAGGGAATTGAAAGATCTCATTGCAAGACGTAATCTTAAGCATGTTATGGCTCACGGCAAGTAAGACGTTACGAACAGTCTTCTTCTCTCCCGAACCAGACACTTTATCTGGATACAAATCGCCGGCGAGTAGTTCTAGATCTGAATCATCAAGGGTCTCGGGATCTTCTGCAATCAGAGACGCGCCAAACTCGTCGTGAAGCGTTTCTAGGGGTGCGAAACTACTGAGTTGCACGTCACGGACACCTAACTGGTCCTCAAACTTATAACGATCATCATTGATCCTAAATTCGGAGCAGAAGATCACCTGCTGTGATGGTATTGTCGATTTTTCTTTGAAATATTTGCCAGGTTGATCGTATTTCGATTTCAATGTAGTTTCTGAAACGTTGAAGCACCATTGGTCAATATCCGTTTCAATTACCTCTACTTTTTTTGAATTCGTGTCATATATCATGGTGCATCGTTCCCCGCTAGAAATATGTGATGGGCATCATGCAATATTTGGCCCTCATTAGCATCTCCATTAGCACTGCTTATCATTTTCTTATGTACAAATTGCGTAGCTCGAAATTTAGCGTAAACAGTGATGGCCATGCTTTTACCATTCGATGAGTTCGCCAGGAGGGACTTTTTAACTCTATGGTGCTATTGCTATTCACAGACTCTCCTCGCAATCATATCGATATGTGGTTAATAAGATCGAAGTAGTCTTTTGACTTCACAGCCGTAATATGTTGCCAGGGTCGACTTTAGTATACTAAAAGCATTGTCACTATGCTTGGCCATCCTACTACCATATTGATACACAGTCAGTCATATCCTACATTCTAAGTGATAATTCCATCGAAATTGCTATTTGATGAGGTAGAAAAGTTCTCATTCGACTTGGAGGCGGAATCCCCAAAAATAGGCAAGTATGCTGATGAAGCCGAGGGGGGCTGTACAACACAGGTTCTTCAATCTCTATGCAAGCCTTACACGCCCATATCCCAAGTTTTTTATTATGTCGTCTTTAAAGTCGCTTCATGGCCCAACCGGGATTTCATTAGCCTATGGTCCTCGTCTTTCACCCTTTCGGGCCCTCTGTTCCAATGAGGGGCTCAAGCTCCGTTCTGCATCCCTACCATTCCAAACTTCACGGCCTGATTCGCTCTCTAAACCAATATCACTTTTGATTGAATCATGATCTCTCAAATCTTCAGCTTTGGTATATGAGTGATAACTCGATAATTGGCGCAATGGAGAGGTGCCTGCATCGTTATGGACTGTATGCCTCTTTAGCTTGTTGCCAAGGAAATTTCCAGCATGCTTGAAAAGGGATTTCAGTAATACTTGTTTAATCATAACCATGAGCTCCATTGATGTGATAGTTTGATTGTGAATAGTTAGGCGAGGGAACAGAAAGCCAAAATGCGTCACATTGATGAGTCTCATAGCACCTGTACCGCGATAACTAATTTTGAGCTTGAAACTGTTTACTATCATGTTCGTAATGACCATATAATCGGAAGATCTTTTGAACATCTCATCAACATCGTGGGGATCTTCTTGAGCGTTGCGTTCTTCTCCAATCTTTCCTATTGTGAAACTCTGTTGACCAGATAATGCACTCTCTGCACCATCTTCTAAGTCATCATCAGTGGTATAGCTCGTATTACTGTCTTGCATAAATTGTTCAACTTCTGCGGGAAAAGCCCATTGAATGATTTTCGTCAAAGTTTCTTGCTCGACATTAACATCTAGGCCACGAAAATTGGTCACGGCCTTTCTTATCACTTTCATACCTCCAATTGGTTTTTCAATATCCCACTCAAGAACAATGAGTGGTTTACTGTCTTCAGCCTGCCATTTTTTCTTTTCTTTAGGCTCAGACGGTCCGAGCAAATGATGGAAAAGTACGTCACGGTCCAAGTTGAAGATTTGTGCCATTCCTATCACTACTTTGTTACTGTTGTAGCCATAAGAGGATTCTACGCGTTGGAAATATGATTTTGCTAGGGCCACATCCAAAAATGGGGTCCCATCATCGTGTAACATATGGATGATGATCTCTTTAGCCTCCAGGTCCCACAAAACTTTTTGATCTTCCGCAGCATGTTCCTGGCTTCCCATATTGAGCACTTTCATCAAAATGTATAAGCTTATGAGAGATTCGTACTTGTTCTTCCGGATGACACGTAAATCATCAAGTCCATCGGCCTCAAGGATATTCCTTCTAAAAGCGAGCTCTTTTTCTAGATGATTCAAGGCAACTACCTTCAGCTGCAACTCAATAACAACTTTCTTTAAAGGCGCGAGATTAGTTGTGTCATAACGTAACATCAGCTTTTCGATTTCCTTACGTAAGTGAGCACTCTTGGGTTCAACGTAAACCAAAAGGTGCGCAACAACGTCATAAAGAGCCAAATACTGCCTAGAATTCGAGCTAACAATAGTTCTTGGAAGTTGGCATATCATTTTATTCTTTAAATTTGGCTCTCTTACCCCTGCGATATTCGCAAAGGAGAACATCCTATCAAATCTGAAAATAGCGGATAGATCTTGAATCAGGGCATCTTTTTCCAATGGGGCAGGATTGAAACATAGCTCGATTCCTGGCCAAGGCTGCCAGTTTCTCTCACTCGATTGGTCATAGCCATCTTCACTGAAAAAAACATCGTGGTAATCACTGAAATTGTCCCTATGGAACACGAATACATTCGCCTTCAATAGAGCAACGCTGTACCGATTCATGAAAATGTCTGAGTTGTATTGGTTTTGGGTGACATTCGTGTCAAATCCTACAGTCTTTAACTTGATGCTAGGCGCAGTAATTAAGGTGCACACATCTGGCTTGCTGGTGGTAGTTAGCTGGATTTGAGGTGCCACAAACTGGACAAGATGATTGTCGCGTGTTGTGAAGTTGAAATCAACATTCAAGCTTCTCAATCCTTCTTCGAAGACTTCTAAAATGTTTTCCCTTGCATCTAAACTCTTCACTGTTTCACTCTGTAACATATCGGTAGAATTAGAAGCTGCATCTGATATCGAATCATGTTTTTCATTGCTCTGTTTTTTCGATTCTTCTTCAGGGTCAAAAACCTTTCGAACAGCCTTATGATTGCAAATATATGCAAGCTCCCTATTGTAGTCCAGGAGATGGATATAACTGTAGACAGCATCTCTATTGACATCGTTCCACTTCATGAACATTGAGAAAATGAAGAAACGATGCTCAAATGAGTTGGAAAATGACTTTCTGGTGAGCCACTCATACTCTGCGCAATCATTTATTTTTCCTCTTTCAGATGCAGACGAACATTCAGGCTCACTAATCTCATCTTCGTCTTGATGCCCATTTTCATACTTCTCGTACTCATTGAAGTCGTCAAGAACTTTCCTAACCTGCTCGATTGCTGCCTCTACTTTACGCTGCTTTAGCTCCAGAAAATGTACCTTTTCCTTGTCGTTTCGCACATTTACCTCATCAATTTCGTTTGTCACCTCAGATAGTTTCGTCTGTAGGGTTAGGAGACGAGTTTCGATCAAATTCAAAGGGGTCTTGACACTAGTCTTCAAAGTGCAATCATGATAGTCGGCATTGTCAAAGGGCTCTATTTTCTCACAACTTTCGAAGTCAACTTGATACTTGTCTCCATAACTGGAATGTTTTTTGTAGACAAATTTGGGGGCGTAGACCAAAGAATTGATGTGAACTTCATAGCTGCGATCCTGTATGGAGTCCAAAAATACCTCTTTGTAATCTGTTGGGTCAAACCATGTCATGTCATTATCGAAAACATCAAAATATGACTCCTTACTATCCTCTAAACTTTGAGCCTCTGCAAACTGCGCTTGTACCGTTCTGACGTCAATACCGATATTAGAGACGTAGCCTTCATTAAATGCGAGTTTCGAAATACGCTTGGTGGTCCTGAGCTCGTGCTTATATTCGTGAAGAACTTCTTTACGTTGGTGGAGGTCCATCATAAAATGTTCGGACTTCGCCTTTAAACCCACAAAATTGGTGCTATGCTTCTGGGACTTGCTCATATTTTCATCCGGATCAAATAATTCATGGATATGACTAATGAAGAGTGGGGCGACATCGGCATGATATGATATGGTATACAGATGAACGCCAAACTTTGGACTCATGGCATTCATCCCAAACAATGGTCCCCTTCTGACTGGTAGATTGCCGGAAAATGTGTGCCACCACCCGAAAAATATCTTGAAGACACCAGGTGTTAGCTGCAAAACATTATAAGCCTTAGGATTGCTAGATAGAAGTGTGAAAGACAAGTGAATGAATTCGCTCCGAAAACCTTTATAGGAGTCGTGAGTCTCGAGGTCTTCGATGACCACGGGATTACACAACCGAGTGTTCCAATGAGATTGTGACTCAAAAGTTCTTTTCTTAGAATCATGTTTTATGCGCTCGAAGACGATACCGACATTCAATGTGATTCCACCTGTCAACCTTATTGCAGTTTTTTCGAAATAGGAGCCTGCCATGACGCGAATATTGTGAGCATCCATATTAACTTTTGGTAAATCTATGAGGTTGTAGTAGAATGCAAATTGCTGGAGGTTAGTATTATCATGGCTAGGAAAGAAAAAGCAATCACTGCTGCTTCTCGACCAAGACAGCAGAGGCTTGGCAAAAAAGTTGGGAATCGAAAAGAACACCTCCTCCGAATTTAACGACAAAAATTTCTTAGGATCATCTGCAATGTTGCAGCCAACGTTCAAATTACCCTTCAATCCAACAACAAAACCAGCTGCCTCACCGCCCATATTATAAGGGCTTCTTCCGCCCTTAAGCGCCACATTCAACTGACCATTGTTATTCCATCGAATCGAAATTCTTGCATGAAAAATTTCACGCACCTTATCCCAAAAGCCAAGCTTTGGAGATGGATCAATAGGCGGCTTTGAGAAATTGTCGAAGCATTGCATTACTTGCTGAATCGCAGGAGAATAAGATCCATTCCATGTAACAAACGTTGTTTCTTCGGAATTCAGTTCCAGGTTCAGTTTGGTGTATGTTTTGATGGCCGTTAAAGTTCTTGGAACAAGCAGAGAGTAGAGCCTGTCGTCATTTTCTAGGGTGGCTGAAGGCACAAGTGGGACGAAAAGTGTCCGCAGCTCTCTATCTGACCTTATTTTGTCCTCAGATATTATGATATCACCGTGTAATCTAACCGGCCTTTCGCAGCCTAATTCTTGTTGACGGGAGGTTAAATCTGGAAGATATACGAACGGCAAAGGATAGTCTCGCAGGTGACATCTTATTTCTCTGAACTCGGCATTTAGGTGCATAGGCACGAGTATCGAATACTCTGTATCTTTCGGAACACCCTTACCTACGTCGTGAATGAAGGCTTGGTAGTTTTGTATTCCAAAATGAGGCTGTGCTATTGTCACATTCGCATCTTCGATAATTAAATTCATCAAAGGAGGTGAAGAAACAAAAGCTAAAATTTTCTTATTTATTCCATTAGGGAAGCACTCGGGATCAACTTTCCCCCAAACGTACTCGAAATTTCTTTGAAATTCAATCTGTTCTCTTTTTTTGAAGGCTTGGATTCTTCGAATCCATGACGCTGAGATTTGTTCCTGTAGCCTGTGGTACTCTTCAATGTGCACTTCTGCGTCTTCTGCGTAATGATAATGGTCTTGATTCATACTTTCGGATCGGCTGATCTCAGGAACGCTATTCCTTCTCATTCTGTGAAGTTCATTTGATTTTCGATCACCTAAATGATGTTTCTCAGGGCCCAAGAAAGTCGTCTCGGTCCTCTTCATGTTGTTATGTCTTTCAAGTAGTTCTTTGGCCAAAGCTTTTTCAAAAACATCGTATTTCTCAAGTCGAGATCTTTGCTCATCCAGACCTACTTGAAATATCATGGCAAGCTGCGATTCAAAAGCATCATCCTCCACGCCAAATACCCACCTCCTTGACTTCAAATTTATTCCCGGTAGACAAATCGGGCTGGATACCTTTGGATACATTACACACTCAGTACTCGATGTTTTTAAGGAATAAAGCATTTGCTTTATGCTTTTCGCGGTAGTAGAGATGTTATCAAAAATTTGGTACATTTCAAAACCGTGGGGAATATTGAAGTTCAATGTATCGTTATAAAGAAGCACTGATGGCTCTTGCGTTTCCTTAGTTGGATTCAAAATTTGACTTGAGATCCTTTTAATATTACCTTCTGCCCTAAAGTTAACACACGTTATCATTCTGACCCAGGAATTTGGTACTTGTGGCGATTCGACACAAAATCGGAGAAAATGACCTTGTGTTTTGATATCATAAATGTTAGAGAAAGCCATTGTGGTTCTAAAAACGTCTAGTCTGGTCTTGACGCCATTTGGTAGAATAATGACGGTGCTTAGAGATTTCGAATTCAGTTCAAATTGTAGCAGTTCCAAAAGCTCCTTTTTGAGCAACCGTGCCAAAAATCCCCTCTGTTTTTTTTTAGTATATTGAGCAGACAAATGCTCTTTAGCCTTTGATTCACGCCTATGCCTATTAACGTCTCTGGTGAATGTCTCTTTGAAGGTATGAGCTGCAGAAAGGACAAGGAATACTGACATAAGTGATATCATGGCCTCACATTCACCGGTGCTGATAGATACTATGATCTTTGAGCTCGCCTTCTCTCCCTGATCTATTGAAGGGCAGTCAGGAAAGAGAGATACATCAAGAATTGGTAGCTTAAACACCGTCTTAGCGTGCAGTGTTTGCCTTTCAGTTCTTTTCTCTGAGTACAACGTAGTCAGCATATCAAACACAGAGCAGCGGAAGAGCCATACGTGATCTTTTTCAGGAGACAAGCTAGAGGCGCTGTCTTCTAAACCAAATTCATCGTAAGAGAAAGCTTTCGTGGAATTTAATAAAGTTGAAGCGTCTGAATTTTGGTCATCGCTCATACGCGGTTGTTCGTTAGAGCCCACCAAAGATATTTGAATTTTCTCAATACTGTGAGACAACTTTCTAAGTTCTCCGTCTACTAGGTCTTCTGCACTTTGAGCTTTCAAATTAGCAAAGATGTCCTTCGACATAAAAACAGATCGTGCACCAACAGTGACCTTTAGTCCTTGAATGTTTGCGCGTAAGCCGTCAAAAAAAGGCGGGAGGTTTTCAAACAACTGCTCTTTGGGACAGACCTCCGTCTGTTTCATAGAAATACCTTTTAATACACTTTCCTGTTTTTTGAATTCCAAAAATTCCGAGAACTTCTTGTACAAATTCTCAAACTGTTCCTCTTCAACTAACAGCATCTTGGAATTCGCTTTTCGGAAGATGTTGTTGAGCGACATTAGGGTAGAAAGCTCAGAGAGGTCCAGCTCACAAACATCAACACCGGCGTAACAGTTCACCCTTATGTTCGGCACCAAATGCGCCATACTTGCCACCGATATGTTGCTGATGGTCAAAATTTTGTGAATGTATTTTTTAAGTTTGTTGTGGTAATTGAAGTTGTAATTCATGATTTCCAAAGTATTCTTAAGATTATAATGTACTTGCCCTTTGCCACTGTTGCCGCCAACTATGAATTTGTCAGCTTTTGTTATAACTGACAGAATTGAACACTTTTGGACGAGAAGTTCGCTACCGTCGCTGACAAGTAGAGTGGGGTCTTCAATAGTGATCTTGGATTCCACTAAGGGTAGAATATGTTGGAAGTATGTGAATATCGCCTGCTTTTTCTCCAACGTTTTGGCACACGTTGGTTTTTCTACTTGGGTTTCTTGCAATAGTAGCTGAAAGACCTTCATATGATCCTTGAAAGATTTCAGAAATGAATATTGAGCAATCTCGAAATCTACAATAGGTGAGGAAACATGCCCCACAAGCTTGGCCACGGTCTCGACCGGCTCTTCGAAGTTCTCTTCAATTAGTCTCAAAGAAAACAAATTGGTGTCACCATAAATAGCAATACTTGGAATTTCGCAGAACTGGTAACATTCCAAATCTGTGAAAGCTTGATTGATTTTGAAAGCTATTGATGAAAGGGTACATTTAATATTCAAGGGAAATTCATCAGGCGAAAAGTTCAATTTGAAACCAGGGGCAGTTTCGTCTAGCTTATTCAAAACAAGTGTCAAGTTCGACGTGGAAATTTCAAATTTTAATAGCTTTCCTGTGTCAGTCAATGCCGGGTGCCTTGTGAACGGGATGTTACTCACTGTAAAGTTGTCAGCAACAAAAGAGACCTTTTTAACCATCGCTACTGCATCGCTGATCTTGAGAAGATGATATTTGATGTACTGAATGCACATTGCGGTCTCTGAATTCGGAGAACCATCCACCGCGAAATCAAAAATTTCATCATTTCCTTCGTCTTCAGACTTCTGTGATTTCTTGACAGACTCTAGGTACGCTTGCAGTTGCTCATAAGATACAGATACGCCCCTAACTTTGATGTCGCTGACAAGGTCTTCTAGCGGCACAACAGGCCTCTGGAAATTGAGCTTCCCTGAAAGCTCAAAGAAAATGCCACTGCACTTCGCCACGTCGCCCATAGCAGCGTCTTTGACTAAGATGGATACTTCAAGACGTTCGTCATCGAACATCAGGGTCATCGTAACGTTTTCGACTGTTACCCCATCGATCTCCATGTTTTCCAGCACAACAGTATACCGTCGGAAAACACGGACGAAGCGGATCAGGAGCCATTGCGCCCACCTTGGAATGCTGAGGTAATTCTTCGGGCTCTCTTGCGAGCTTTTGGCCGAGCTCTTTATCTGCTCTTCCTGCGGCCAGTTCAAGGTCATTCCATGGATAACTAGGCCGCGATTCCGAAAGGAGTAGTAGACGAAGCGAATGCTAAGAAAATCGCGAAACCTGATGGATCGAACCCGAAGTCTGAGTGGGTCGATTATGCCAACGGATACGCCCAGCAGCTTGAATACCGCCCAGTGCACTACATACCATATGAGGAGCACCTGCGCCACCAACCAAATGAAGTTTTTCGACTCCAATAGAGCACTCATCTAGCACAATGAGGAGCAAATTTCAAGCAAAAACGCTTGAAAGATAGTAGCCTAATAAAACAAATTCAGAATAGCTAGCCAAGCCCACTGAAAAGAACTTGAGCTTTTCAAACAACAAGAACAATATCCGATACTGTGGGCATGAAAAACCAGTTGCCTTCTATCCTTCTGCTATTCATGTCTAAGAATATCGATTGTCTGCGCAAGGTACACAATCGTGGAATGCATTTTCCGACGATTTGCCGTTATCGCGTAGTACGGCATATATGGAAAATAGCAATTGTTTAGCGGTGTCAGGAAATCCCTTTTCAGGTAAGCTTCGGGTAGTGATCTGTTTACATCTTGGAAGGACAGCGAGTGACACTAAAGCGATCTTAGTTAGGGCATTATGTTTTCGCAACTGTGAAGTTCAAAAATTGCACAGCGGTGTGCGGGTGCTGAATGGCTGAGGATGTCATGTACCGCTCATCCCCTGCGGGCCCTTGCCTAAAAAGTCCGAAAGAATGTTTTTCTTGGCACGCATCTTGCTCTCTTGGGCGGTGTTTGGAACAACAAGGTGGTAGGATGTCCCGGCATGCGAAATCCAGTGAAAATAATACGCCGGAGTCTGGTCGGCGAGCGTGGGGTGTCACTTGTAGGAAGGCGGGTCAGGTCAAGTCAACGTCTTATTTGCAGTCGATCTGGATGTTAATCACGATTCCGGTTTTGGATCCCTCGTGCTGCTTTGGGGTAGCCAGCCAAAGAAAAAGATGTACGTGACGGCAGACCCGTTTTTGAGGAATCTTGTTTCCCAGCTCTTCTTGCCGTAGCTCGGTCCGCTGAAATTGGTGAATGAGGCTAATCACACTCCTTTTCGCGTGGCTTTCGGATAGCTGTCTCTACGGCTGGTCTCATCTTGAAGCCAACCCTCGATTTTCTTTCTAAAATTGGATCAGACCCCCGCTAAGGGCCTTATACTGTCATCTTGAGATTTCCGATGTTCAAGCGACACACTTTTCAGTGGTGCCATTGAAGTACAAAGTGATACATGGGCGAGGAAACGGACGGCGCGAAAAGCCAGTTAGACGACAGACACAGCTTCCTAGTAGACCCGGACACATACTGCTGTGGCGATAGTCGAGAAAAACCGGAATTCTGGCCGGCTACTATATCGCTGTGTGGCGGGCAGTGTAGCTAAAGAACCCTCTGACGACGAGCACGTTGGAACGTTGGCCACACCCTGGTGCTAATGAACAAGCTGGACACCACCTCACTACGGCGTTTAGTTGGAAAGATTACCTTAAAACTACCCAAACATCACTCTTTGAACAGATTGGTAACCGGAAGCATCTGAAAACTCCTCGTGGCCGCAAAAACAATTAATATGAAAAAACAACCCAGCACGATCTATCACACATCGCACATCCCAAAACACCTACGAGAGCTCTCTACAGTTCTAATTCAGTCGCATTTCAAGTTCACGCTTGTCGGAAATTATGTACCTGCCTCACCAATCACCAGTTACAAAAGGATTACCGAAATACCAAACACCAGCCAAATTTGTTCCGCTTACCTTGGTCCGTACCCAACAAAAAGCCGGCTTCTCGGCGCTTGGCGAATCACTCAGTGTTCCCATTTCGTGATAGTTCGAGCTCCACGGACGGGAATTTCCTGTCATTTTCATGCTGGCTTTCTACTTTGATACGTGAAAATTTTTTATATGAAAAGGTCACTGAGATGAGCTCTTCAATCACCCAAGAGAGACGCTTTCACTGAACCATCAGGAAGGCTTCTGTCAGCTTCAGTTACTGTTGAATTATTCTAAAAGCACTGGCAAGATGGTACCACCAAAAAAGAGTGTTAAAATGGACCTTAACTCGTTCCTGAACGATGAGTCGTTCGGTGAATCGTGGGCCGAGGACGAAGTCGATTTGGAAAAGATCAACATCCCAATCCAAGGAGCTAAACTGGGCGGCAGACCGGGATTGGACTCTATGGGTGGCCTCGGTGGTGGCCTCGGCGGAGGTAAGGGCTCACGCTTGGACCCTGCTTTGGCTCCAGAACGTTCCGAGAGAGTGCAGTACGACATTCCAAACTACCCTCCATACAGAGCTGTCATCAACAACCTTCCCTGGGACGTTGCCGAGGAAGGAATCAAAGCGTGGGTTGAAGATGGTTTGAATAGACCAGGTGCCGTGCAAGATGTGGCTGCTCCAAGAGACTATAATGAGCCCTCCAGACTCAAGGGATTTGCATTCGTAACGTTGTGTGATCGTGAAGCCCTTGAGGCATCCCTTAGGTTCAATGCCACCAAGTTGAACGAACGTACCGTCTACGTTTCTGTTGCTGCTCCTAACAAGGGAGGCTTCAGAGGCGGTGACAGAATGGGCGGTGGTTTCGATGACATGGACTGGGGTGCCGCCAGAGGTTCGAACTTCCAAGGTTCTGAGAGAAGAGAAGATCCAGATTTGGACTGGGGCCAAGCTCGTGGTTCCGGCTTCCAAGCGTCTGCCGATAGAAGACCAAGAAGAGAAGATCCAGACTTGGACTGGGGTCAGGCCCGTGGCTCCGGCTTCCAAGCTTCTGCTGAAAGGAGACCAAGAACAGAAGAAGCGAACTTGGACTGGGGCTCCGCTAGGGGCTCTGGCTTCCAAGCTTCTGCCGAAAGAAAGCCAAGAAGAGAAGAGCCAGATCTAGACTGGGGTTCCGCCAGGGGTTCCGGCTTCCAAGAAAGACCAGCCAGACTTGAAAGAAAACCCAGAGATGAACCAGAATTAGACTGGAATTCTGCTAGGGGTGCCAAATTCGGCCAGCCTCGTGCTAGCCCAAGAACCACTCAAACTAGAAACGCTAAGGCCTCTCCAGCTACTGCCACGCAGGAGACTCCTAAGATTCAAAAATCATCTTATGATATTCTGTCAGCGGAGGATGACGACGAAGAAGCTGCTCCATCGGACTCTACCCAGAAGGTGGCCGAAAAAAAAAGTGAAGTGGCCGAACTGGAACAAAAAACCGCCAAGCTGACTGTTAGCGAAGACGAGGGTCAAGAATGGGAAACTGTGGGTAAGAAATAAATCGTGATTTAAGTTATAAACAAGATAATTCGTAGAAAGCCTGAATCAAAGAAAAATTAATTAATCTCTTAGGAGAATCTAAGTACTACTTTGTTGCTGAGATACTTAACGCGCTTCCCTTTGAAGCAAGGGCACACTTTAGTGACCAACTCGTACGTACGTAATACTGAAGCTGGCAATCGTGGTCAATGTGTCGAACTCTGGCGCGTTATTATTCTGGCTTCCATGCTCCTCCTCAAAAAATCAAATATATTACACAGTGAGATGCGTACAATGACGATGAATACTCGAGAAGCATGAGGGATAGTCTCAGCTGTCAAATGTCAGGAATTTCTGAACGAGTGTTTCTTCCGGACCTTCGACATTCGAGAGCGGGACCAAACTATCTTTTAGCTTGATACGTTCTACCATAATGCAAAAGAGGCGGTAAAAATCTCTACAAAGCATGTTCTTATGCTCGTGATGTTCGCATATATATGCTTCAAAAGTTGTTGAATTTCCTGTCGCTGGCGGTGCTCTATCGATCGTATTTCGTTACCGCTTTTGAACCTAATTTATTGATACATCCCCGTTTATTACTGACGATCACAGATGGATTCTGGCATTTACTGACACCATCTTCAAATGCAACCGGAGGAAGCATAAAGAACAATATATGAGCACCCGACAGCACGACTCGAGAGAGCACGCCTCAAACTTTTTCAAAAAATGCACAACAGTTTCGTCAAACGGACGAATACCCTTGGGATCGAAATCTATCAATTTATCCCAGCTGATGGACGACAAACAACACTATAGCGCTAAAACCCATAGACAGCAGAAGGTGGGCTCGAATGCCTTTTTTTCAAGCTTAACCGTTGAGCCCAAGAATAGGCGCCAGGAAGCAGAACTAGTAACAGTTGCTGACTTCCTTGCTTCCGACCGTATCTTTAGATATGCCAGATATGAAGGTCACCGCCGAGCTCGCAAGCAGCTGCGTCCAGAGCTTCTGAAATGCCAGGGGTTGGTCAATCGTGTTTTAAGAAATGTGCATGCGCTAGATACAACATTAAAACTTCAAAGAAACGGGGCAATTCCAGTAAGTTATGACAAACTGATACAAGTGCGGTGTGTCAAAAGACTGTCCAGTACAGAGACTCTGGCCGTAAGTGAGTCTGGAAACGTCAGACTGGTCGTCCTTCATGGATCCACCAAGCTAGCCAATCATGAGTCACGAGGGTGTGTGCCCATATTAATCAACACCAAGTCGAGCGTCTCTTTGTATCCTGGACTAATGTGGTGTCTTGAATGGCGACTTGGCGCATAAGGTTATACTAGCACTCTAGCATTACCAGATTTTATCGCTAAATTTATGACTTATTTAAATGCAATTATGAAGGACGCACTGTTTTTTTTATGCGCACCATTTACCTATCTCTGTAAATTACAGTAATGCCCTATTCACCCTCAATTAGTACAGGCATGATGAGTGAGTCCAATTTGATTGCAAACGGCTAGCATGAAACGACTGCTGACAGTGCGTATATTTTGTGTGTGTGCTTTCAGCCGCATGTTGGTATCGTCGCTCACAAGTGCAACAAAACGGAATGGGTCTTGCTCGGTTGAAACAATATAGTCTTGTCCCGCCTCCTCCGCCTGGCTGTTGAGTGTTTCGAATTTTTTCTGCGCCTTGAAAACAGCCTCTATGACAAATTCGTCGACATGAGAGCGCCAAGTAATCTGCTCTTCGAATTCCAAATGCTCTTCCAAGTGAGTAGCTACGTTACCAGTAAACCTCAGTGGTAGCAGACGTTTCTCACTATAAAGCTGTCTAGCTGTTATCACGGCGCGAGTCGCTGCTTCAACAACAGTTTCGTCTTTCGATTTACGCAGAAATCTAAGTTCTTGAAAAGTCGTTAAACAGATTGCAAAACGGAGGACACCATTTGTCGCCAACTTGTAGACATGGGCAAAATGACGTAACCAAGATGTTGCATCTAGGACAAAGTAAGAGACCCCGCTATCACAGTAACACGCAAGATCTCCTGCAGGAAACTTAGCTTCATGGGATTGTTCTATGAAGTACGGGTTCATGCAAGTATCGAGCCATTCCCGTTCCAACCTATCAAGCTCACTCGTTGGTGTTTCTTCCGGCTTAGGGAGGGATTGTGCTCTTGGATACCGTTCAGTATTGAAATCATCACCACCTTGTATAGGACCTTTTTCTAAATTGCCTGATGTGAACAGTGAGCAGGTAATTAAAGCACCATTTTTGTTGAAACATGTATAGTCTGGATGAATTTGTCTATACCCAGGGAGATCGAAAATCGTAATGCCTTCCAGCATACTTAAGCCCGGTTGAGCATTGATGTCAAGGTTTCTTGCAGAAATTTCTTCGAATCTGGAAATTGTTGAATGAATATACATTTGGTCATCAATTAGAATTGGACCTTCCTCGAATTTAAAGGAAAAGTTTTGTAGCGGATGGCCCGCAGCTAACGGACGCTTAGATTGAACGGGAATATGAGAGAGTTTTAACCCCCATGAAAAGTTCTGGGCCATGCCCTTGAATAAAAAAATGAGTCGACAAGCACGCTTCCAAAATTTTAAACCTATCTCGTCCTCCTCATCGAAGCTAATTCCATCGATGGGGGAGTCTAAAAAGGAAATATCCTTGATGCCATTGTATTCCGAATTTTCACAGTTCATTTGTGATTTCATTGAGATAACATCAAACCACAAAGTTCCCCAACATTTCCAAACTTCTGGCAAATCCTCATTTTTGCTGAAATGATTAACAAGTGTGAAGACATCTACACTATCAAACTGTTCACACAACGTGTCAATGGGCGAGGTTTTGTAAACATTATCCAGGACAACAGCAATCAACATATTCAAGAAATTTATAATGCTGTTCCAAGGGAATAACTGTCTCATCAATGTTATCCAAAACGACTTCAGGGTCTCATTTGGCAGCTTTTCAATTCTTATAGAGGTCGCCAGTAGAAAGTAGGCCCAAGGTAGCAGATGAGGTGCACCTACCACCAAGGGACCATGCAGAAAGTTTTTCAACAAAATGGCACTGCACTTCATCGACGTAACATTGATGTTCGCCAAAGATTGTTTCCAAATTGCAATGTCCTCCGGAAACTCATAAAGAAACCTTGGTGAATCTACATTCTCCAAGAAATCGTCGGCAGAAGCGTTCAAAAGTTTTTCTGACGAGTTCGATTTCGATTTGCGCCGTTCCTTGCGTTCCTTCCTTTCTTTTAAAAACTTGGGAAGTTCAAAAAGAAGCGCGAAGGGATTCTTAGGATCTCCAAAACCGACCAACTGTAGTATGTGTGATTCCGCAAAAAGTGGTGCATGTCTGAAAAAGTATTTGACGCGCTCCCCTTCTTGCAGAAATATGTCCTGATGACTGAAAAAGTCATTGGTACCCAAGGAGAGGCCAAATTTGTGCTGGAAAAATGTGAGCACCACCTTTTGTAACTCAGGGCTTTCCAGAAAGCTCGACAGCAGCATAACCTCACTGTGCTTCAAGTATTCCACCATTAGAGAATTTCTGTGGTTCCCACTGTTTCTTTCGGCAAACGCTCTTTGGTAAATGTTGTCAATCACGAGTTGCATGTATTGTTGTGAGGGGATAAACGTATCACGACAAAAAACACTCTTTCCCAAATTTACAAAAGCCTCCAGAGTATTCTGTTGAACCGTAGACATATGATAGTACAGCTTACCATGTCCACATGTGTGGTTCAAGGCTTGTTTGTACCAGTGCTCTGCACTTAACTTCCAATCGATAAAGCCTGAAGGATATAGCGCTATGGCCATTCGTGACAAGTCGCCCAGCCGCTCTAACCACGGAGTGGTGAATTTATGCGGCATGTCGCTCAGCATATTGGAAATCGAGATAAATACGTGGGTAATAAACTGACAGCACACCTCTGGGTCCATAAAGTTAGAAAAATTTTTGAGCACGTCAAGAAAAGTAATTGTCCCATGAACCCAGAGTCTTCGCTCAATGCGATAAATACTGACAATCTCTTGCCCTATCAATAGATCGGCGTCCGGCTGGGACGGGAGCAGCGCCGTAGTAATGAATGCAACGTAATTGTTTATAAGCTCGGCGTTGACTTTATAAATGACCCAAAGATTTTTCAGATCCGTCGTTTGGGAGAAGGTCAAGTGCGAACATCGTTCCTGAAGCTCAACTTCTTGTTTCACTATGTTGCGATAAATGTCTTGTAATTTCTGGACGAGTGCCTGACTCGTTTGATTTGGGGTCTGTGAGACCGCTTTCTGATTTTCATTAGGATTATTGTTCTCCTCACCGTTATTACTGTTATCATCATTTTTTTGATCGTGACTATCATTATTGGAGGTTTGATGTTGGCCGTTATTATTGCCTTCGTTAGAATTGTTGTCGTTAATATCATTTCTTTTATTATTGTCATCTGAATGCTGAAAATCGTCGGAATCGTTGCTGTCTTGGGGTCCCGAATGTTTGGTGTAACGCGGCAAAGGGGCCTCGGCGCTCGATGACTGCGTTTTTGTAAGGGGACGAAGTTTGAACATGCGCCCAGAGCGACAATTATCGCCACCGTGCTTGCTGTTGGACTCAGTACCAAACTCGGTTAGGTTGACACTACCGTCATCCTCGACAGCGCTGGCCTGAGCAAGATTCGTACATGACGTTGTGGGCAAATACAAAGGCGAGCTACCCCGATCCGGCGACACGACTGAAACCTGAGGAGTCACGTCGCAAGCCACTCCATTTGTTGAGGATGTGAGGTCAGTGGGGGCTGACGAAGTTATCTGCCGACTGCTGGTACAATCTAAGTTCGACACCGATCTCCTCGCATTTGCGCCGGTCCCTATACGCCTTTTGGCGGAATTTGACCCTCGCATCTCATAGGAACATGAATGCTGTCGCTTCTGCTGACCATGTGGCAGTCCTTGTATCTTCTTGTGCCCCAACGATATACCCGAAGGGTTGTTAAGGTCCTGCATTATATCCATCTGCATGTGTATAAAGAGGTTGATTTACCGCACCACAGATACACGGACACTTCCCAAGGATAATTTCAAAGCTAACTCTGCCTACTTAATCAGAGTAACGCCAGAAGGGATAATGTTGAACCTGGGTTGGGCAGAGCCTACGTTAAATCATGAGCCACCCCTCCTCCTAAGGAACTGATATTATATGGATTCATAAAATTTGCCACACTGGGGAAAATAAATGTCATCATAGACGAATATTCAAATATTCTTAGATCGAAGTCAACCAACGAATCTTCGACAAAGCGTTCGAGGCCGTTTTCACGCTTCTGAACGTTTTAGTTGTCGAGAGTTTGTTAAAGTTAATTTTGTTATATATTGTCGGACGCTTGAATGCTAACGTCACAATTTTCGATCAAAGCGAAATTGTGAACTTCTTCTGATTGCCAATCAGTTGAGGATCCCTTCTTCTCCCAGGATGGAGACCCTTAGCATTTTCAAAGTTTAAAAATTCACGGAGTCTAAGAGGGCTCCTAGCCCCAATCTTCTGCTTTGCTTGTATCATTTTTTGGTGTTGGTAAAACCGTCTTGGACTTACCGAACAGTTACCCTTTTAGATAAGTTTGAGTGATTGCCTTGCTGCTGTTTCTCCTGCGCTCGAGTGTGTTTCACTTAAACCCAGCGACAAAACCATCAATCGGCCACTTTCTGGACCATGGGCATATATACAGGCAATCGTCACTACTCTTGTAGAGTTCTACTACTGTAATAGCACCGAGTTGCAAAATAGTAACCTGGTGTCAGTATAGTACGACGTGATACCTGCAACGTCAGTAAAACTAGAGTGAACAACAAGGTGAATAATCAACAGGGGAGCAGCTATTGCACATAGATCCTTGACCTGCTAATAATATTGTCCAAAAAATCAACAATCTGTCTGTTGGGTACAATTACTGGATAATTCAGCCCTCACTGCACCCAAATTATTCCAGCCAGCTTTTACGCAAATGCCGTTTTTTGTCCCTGATATGAACCAGATATCCAAAGAGAGCCAGAAGTTACTTACAAGCTCCGAGATTAGTATAAATTGGTCAGAATATCATACACGATGTGTATAGACAAATTGAACGATACACTCAGCGAATTAGCGACTGCTGACGCTGACTACCCGCAGCATATCTCTTCTCTTATAAGCTGCAGAAACTTTCAACGGTTATGTCCAAAACCACAGCGTATATGTTAGGAGGGCGATGGTTTGTATTGTAAAAGTTGAACTTTCGTCAAATTAGAAAACGACAAGCCTCGTGATCGGAAAGAGCTTGTATTCGATAGTGGTGTGCAAAAATTCAACTTGCGATCGAGTTTTCAGTGAGAATAGTCAGGATATATATTGATTTACCTTTTTCAACTCTTTGATACATTGTAATTTTAACGCCTGGTATCCGATAAAAGCTGTTGACTTGAGCAGCCACTTTGAACTGTCCTCTAATGCTATTTGGACTGTAATTTGATCCGTACGCGGGAGACAGAGCCCCCATTTATACAGAATTCTGACAGGAATGGAATGGGTACTGTGAGGCCCATATAAACAAAGAAACTGCCACTACGTTGGGAAATGGGATGATTGACTTAGGAGGGCAATCCACGATCCTTCACGTAACTATTCGTTTGCATTCCATTGCTTGTGCATCTCGTTTTGCTGACGTTTTCCATATCACTTCGAACCAATTTGACACTACGTTAAGGTTAGATAGTATACATCTGGTGGCTATCAAAACATGACTAGGTATACTTCACTTACTTTTGCTAGAGTCATATATTTGTGAGCGAGAGTCTGCTCTTCGGGTCATTTTAAAATTGTATTGGCAGTGTTGATGTCTAGGCTAAGTAATCTCGATTTATTTTCCACACCCAATAAAATGCTAACTCGGCAGCTCGTAACATCAGCACCGCGCGATGAGCTAGCAAGCATACACTGGGGATACAGTAGGCTTTATAGCCCCTACAGCTGGCTTTCCTGCGAGGAAAGCCTTTGCTGGGGCGAAATTTTAGGCTTTCACCTGTGCGACCAGACCTTGAACAGAACCATATTAAACTATCATTCGACCCACCACTTTCCCGCGTAAAAATGAAGCGCGGTTGGTTTTCCATCTGCTAACTGTTCGGCGAAACCGTCAAGTACGGGATCGTCGTCTTCTATCGTATATAGCGCTTAAGCTGCCATAACACTGTATATGCTCATCATGATTATATTCGATTGAAAACCATAGTAATCTAAGGGGAATTGGATATCAAGTGAATGAGCGTAACATGGATCTCTTCAAGGTGTCAGACTTCTACCTCAATCGAATTGCTAGCTCTCGAACAAAAATCTCTCGAGATGCTGAACCTAAAACTAAAATAAAGGCACTCCTTTTGGACAAACATACCACGGGCACTATTTCAATGTGCACAACCCAAACAGAATTGCTGGAGCAGGAGCTATACCTGATAGATACTCTTGAAAATCAGAATAGAGATGTGATGCGTCATATGAGATGCCTTGTTTACGCCAAACCGACCGATGAAACAATCGAACTGCTGGCCACAGAACTTCAGAACCCTAAATACAGCGAATACCAAATCTTTTTCAATAATATGGTGACTAAGACACAGTTGGAACGCTTAGCTGAGTGTGACGATTTGGAACTTGTCCATAAAGTTGAGGAAATTTTCCAGGACTACCAAATTCTAAACGAGAACTTATTTTCCCTTGATTTACCGCCGTCTAAGCTCTTCACCAACCATCTGATTTGGGAGCCGGTGGGCCTCCAAGAGACAGCGCGGGGGTTGACTTCTCTTTTGCTGTCACTGAAGTTGAAGCCTCTAATACGCTACGAGGCAGGCAGTCGGCTGGCATCGAAGCTTGCACATGAAGTGCTCCAAACGATACACCAAAACGAAAGAACTTTATTCGACTTCCCACCACTAGATTCGCCCCCTTTACTTTTTATTATTGATCGCCACCATGATGCTCTGACCCCGCTGCTTCAGCCGTGGACCTATCAATCAATGACCAATGAATACTTGGGGATCAAAAGGAATATAGTGGATCTTTCCAAAGTGCCTGAGATTGATCCCTCTATGAAGCAAGTTGTTCTCTCCGCAAAGCAAGATAACTTCTTCCACGAAACAATGTTCTTGAACTTTGGGGAACTGGGTGACAAAGTAAAACAATATGTTTCGAGCTACAAAGACAAGACCAAGTCCAACAGCCAGATAAATACGATTGAAGACATAAAGCAGTTTATCGGGAAGTATCCGGAGTTTAGAAGACTTTCTGGTGACGTTTCTAAGCACATGGCGATAGTTGGCGAACTTGATCGTCAATTACAAGACAAGCATATTTGGGAAATAAGTGAATTAGAGCAAAATATATCGGCCCACGCTACCGATTATCAAAACTACAAAGATTTGCTGAACCTTATATTAGACCCGAAGATTGACAGTTATTACAAATTAAAGCTTGCCTGTGTATTCTCACTGAAAAACTCTGGCTCTGCCCAGTTTGCTGAAATATCAAGAGCTCTATCCCTTCAAGTGAGTCCAGAAGAGGTCAATTTTTTTCACCACTTCAACAGTATATTCCAAACACGAACTCAACAGTCAGCTACAGGCCGGGATAGGGATGACCTGATCAGCGAGCTCGCCAAAAAATTCAACCAAAAGGGACAACATAAGGCCGATAATGTGTTTATGCAACACGTACCTGAACTTTTTGCTCTTCTCAACGACCTATCCAAAAATAAAGTCTCCGAAGACAAGTATCCATTCTTAGAAAATTCGCCCAGAAAGTTTCCTCCTCAGGATGTCATAATATTTTTTGCTGGTGGAGTCACCTTCGAAGAAGCACGAGTATTACACCAATTTAACAAAACGATGTCCGAGGAAAATGACGGAAAGATTAGAGCAGTCTTAGGTGGAACTAGTATCCTCGGTACTCGTGATTTCATGGATTACTGCAAGACGTCAGGTAAGAAAGAGACCGAATTATCTGATCTTCTGTAAAGAATCTATTTAGACATCCTGCCAGGACATTACTGATCCACAGTATACCTCTTCTCCCATGAAATTAATTTTCCGGTCAAATCATCCATCATTTTCAAACTTTCATCAAAACTACTGTAGATTGTGTCAACTTTCTTGAAAAATTCCTCATTCTCAACAAATTCTGTAAGCTTCTGCTTCTCGAGCTGGTCTTCTGATAGTTCATACTGGGTTCTTGATATGTATTCCAAGATTGCACTCACACGCCGTCTCATTTCATTCATGCTAGTCCCTTGACTCGGTATCCTGGGCTTGATGGGCCTGTTGATACCTATGTCGGTTGTATCGTTGCCGTTGGAGGTAGGTGCACGAGGTGCATTTCTATTTTTCATTTTACGAGGTGCTCCTCTTTTGGATTTACGCTTAAGTTCCTCTTCTGACGAGGTAGCTGGGGTAGCGGGAAGAGAGCTGGGCTTAGATCGCTTTTTGGGAGGTTCGTCTGTAGTAGCTTCTGTATCAGGACCAACTGCAACTGCATCGTCCTCGTTTCCTTCCGACATTTTCTCCTCTTCAAATACGTGAGTACCGAGCTCCTCATCGGCCTGAGATGTACGTCTGCTCTCTTTAAGAGCTTTTTCAAGCATCAGTTGATATTGTTTTTCCTCGCGTGCCGAGGAGGTGGCGCGGCGCCTGTCTAATGACCTGCGGTCCTCATCGGAATCCCTCCTGCCCAGGATAGCCTGTTCCCCGTTAGCGTCTTTTTGTCTTTGTTGCCTTTTCCGGGATTTGGTCTCTTTTTGCATTGTAGCAGGCTTTAGAGGATCCGGTTTTACACCCACGCTGGAAACTTCTATAGCTGCCCTATTTCGGCCACTATTTCCGCCGGTCACATTTGCAGTACGAACCTTTTCGCCTTCGTTGGAAACCTCGTCATCTCGTACCCTCGATCTTCGATTTTGGCGTTTACCATGTTGGACTGGCTTATAAGACGACCGGCGTTGGTCAGACTCTGTGGTGTAAAGCGTATGCAATTCCGGGCGGCACGATTCGCACCAGTACTTGTCCGGCGCACTTCCTTCGCCGTCGGTGATTCCAACGCAGAATCCATGTTGCCATACACTGCACGATTCGCATTGAATGTACAACCCAGATTCATCGGGCGGGTCCACCTCTCCACATATACACCTCGTCTCGCCCTCTTCCTCCTCCTCCTCCTCCTCATCCTCCTCCTCATCTGGTTCCCGCTGCTCCTGCTGTGGTTCCAGCTTTAGCTCCTGCTCCTCTTCCTGTTCCTTCTCATTCTCTTCTACCACAGCTGCTCTCCCCTCGGCCACTAACGCAGCTTCCTGCGAGATTCTTAGCGGCGCGTTCACCTCTTGCTTGGAACTCCGGGCGAACTTCTCTTCAAGCTTGACACCCTCGGCATCATCATCCAGACGAACGTTGTCTGTACGCAATGCCTGCTCCTGGTGTTGCTCATTAGATTGCTGGTGAGCGACTTCTGGCTCACGGGCCGTATTGCCCTCAGACAAACTAGTGTTTTCGGACGCCATCTTCACAGCAGTGGAAGTCAAAGCTTCCGCGTTTCCGCCAGCGGTTGACATTACTCGAGACTAGGTTTGCCTAATGTTTACGGTGGCCTAGCTATCCGCTGAATCCATCATCCTTGTAGTAATTTAGAGTGGAAGTCACTGAGTACTAAGATTACGAGTACGGGTGCACTTACGAGTACCGAGCCGATATGAAATCCTGCCGAGTAACATTAATCAGGAAGCTTCGCGGCGGACCCAACCCGCGTTAGCGGCCATCGGCAAGCGATACACAGGAGCCCAGTGGTGGTTTGGTCGGAAAAATCTCTGAGCAAAGCGGGTTGGTTGGGCAAAATGAAACGCCTAATTTAGCACCTATGCCAAGAGTAGTCAATCCCTTCTCGAAGGGGGTTTCTTTGAAATCTAGAAGCTCCAAAACGGCTCATATTTCCATGGCCAAATTTTTGTATATTTAGTTTTAAGGTGATAAACAGACAACTACTGTTTAACAATAGCGATGCGCACTACTGCCTCAATTTTCGACAACCACGTATGCTTCTACTCACACTATGACTAGCATAAGTACTAGACTATTTATTCTCACTCTTACTCTTACTGCCACTCCAACTCCAACTCCCACTACTACTACTACTACTACTACTACTACTTATCACTATTGTCTGTTCTGTCCGCACCGGCCAATTTCGTACCCATTTTCTATCAGTGTTCTGGAAACAGCCCATATTGGAAACATACGGGAAACAAACTGGAAACACAAAGAAAATGTGACTGTGGACACCTCAGCCTAGTTGACGATGCTCTTCTTGCCTCGGGAATCACAACCGTGGTCTCAGTAAACTGCGGACTCGAAGCACCTTCTTCTGGTTGATCACGATAAATGTAATCGTCATTGACGAGCGTTCCTGCTTGGTGGATGTTGTGACTGCTAATAGGTAAAACCCACACACCCACTCGAGTTTAGAAATCCCCTTTTGAAATTTCACGTTTTAAAAAAAAGTTGCGTCGTATCACTTCCTCGCGAAATTGCGTTGGCCGTGCGTGGGACACTGAGGTGCTGCGTAGAGCCACGGGGAGCGGTAGGAAGAGCTCTCTGGCCAGGGCCGCCTGGTGCAACTAGGCAGCAGTGGTCCCTCTGTCTGCCGGCCCAGACCCTCCTGCCGACGGTGCACCCTAGGCAGAAGCTCCTGCCTAGCGAGTCGGGCTGGCCTCTGGTCCTCACTGGCACAGTCCGCAGGAGGTCGCTGTTCGCCTTCCTCGGCAGACTCTCGTGGGATCGTGAATTATACCAAAATTACCAGAATATCACCGATTGTCATTAGTTGATATATACACTTGAACAGAAAACTCCAAAAGACATCCAATTATGGCTAGATACGGTGCTACTTCTACCAACCCAGCTAAGTCGGCCGCTGCTCGTGGTTCTTACTTGCGTGTTTCTTTCAAGAACACCCGTGAGACCGCTCAGGCCATCAACGGATGGGGTTTGGAAAAGGCTCAGAAATACTTGGAACAAGTTTTGGACCACCAGAGAGCCATCCCATTCAGAAGATTCAACTCCTCGATCGGTAGAACTGCTCAAGGTAAGGAGTTCGGTGTCACCAAGGCCAGATGGCCAGCCAAGTCTGTCAAGTTCGTCCAGGACTTGTTGCAAAACGCTGCTGCTAACGCTGAGGTATGTTAAGATTTGAGAACTAAGGAAGTATCAGAGTAATAGTGGCTATGTGGAGAAATGGGTCCAGCTTTCTGCTTGGGACTTTTTTTTTTGGCGGATGGAAAGAGCCCGCGGGTTATGTTTCGTGTTACGGTGTGGTGTTTGTGGTCGTGGCTACCACATGCTTTGCCGGGATGCAATCATGCTATCGCGGTTAATGGCGCCCTACATTCCTTTGCTCACAACTTTTATCACCTTATCATTTTACTAACAATAGTTTACAGGCCAAGGGTTTGGACTCCACCAAGCTTTTCGTTTCCCACATCCAGGTCAACAAGGCTCCAAAGCAAAGAAGAAGAACTTTCAGAGCTCACGGTAGAATCAACAAGTACGAATCCAGTCCATCCCACATTGAACTTGTTCTAACCGAAAAGGAGGAAGCCGTTGAGAAGGCTGCCGAAAAGAAGGTTGTCAGATTGTCCTCTAGACAAAGAGGTAGATTGGCCGAACAAAAGCGTATCGCCGCTTAAATAAGAAAGGGCTTATAAAACAAAAATTAGTGCTTTTAAACTACCATTATCTCTTCTGTATAATCTAACGCAACAAATATTGTACCGCTAAGTCGTATCCTTGTGCTGCTGAAGGGCGTCAGTCGTACTCATCACGCTGCATGCGCAGAGGGGCCAGGAAAGGAAAAAGGGAAATACACAATCATTGAGACCAAACGTATTAGGAAAGGCAGTGAGTGGTCTGTGATGAAGGATGTTACCGGATCATTTTGATCGCTATATTCTCACACCGCTGTCGATAGTAACCTCTCCGCCGCTTAGACTTGCCACGTAGATACATATCACTAGCATTAACACATGCAATCCGAGACAATATAGCATGAAAAACATTCGACTGGTCTTATTCGCCAGTATGATCTTGGCAAAGCTCAAGAACAACTTCTCTAGTGGAGAAACGCCTTTTTTCTGGAAGTTGTTTAATTCTTGCTGCTTAAATTCCGCTAATGGATGTAAAGATTCGTTATAGCTCCTCGAATAGGGGCTTTGGTCGTCAGTATGGTCGCCTTTCGACACATAGGAGGAGAGGTACCGAATTCTCTCATATAACTTTGAATTGTCATTCTTCAACCTTTCGAGTTCCGTCCTCGAACTTCCTTGATTTAGGTTAGTTTGCCGGAGTTTTTTCTCCAGCTCTGTTATCTTGACACGGAGCCTATCTCGCTGTTGCATCACTATCGGTAAGATCGTTGAATTTCCATTGGACAGCTGAAAACTTTCGGCCTCTTCCGGTATGCCAACTATAGAGCTGGTCGGTGACAGCTTTCCGCCAGGTCTTGTTGAATTGCCAACGCGGTTCATTTGGCGTGTCACACCGGACATCATACTGGCAGTGTCGTTAATAGAGCTGACGTTTTCAATTTTTTCTAAATCTAGCTCCAACTTAGCATTTGAATCCTCAAGGTGCTTGACTTGGGCGACTAATTTTTTGTTCTCACCTTGTACTCGAGAAATTTCTCTGTCCATTCCATTAAATTTCCCTCTAAGCTCCGCTAAATTAGATTGAAGTTTCTTGTTGGCGTTCAACAGTGTAGAATCCACGTCTCCCTTCTCGTCGTCAGAAGTTCCGAACTCAATTTTCTTCAGAGCTGTAAGCTCCTGCTTGATTGCATCGTAGTCAGCATATATATTCAGCTTACGGGCCTTCTTGTCAAGCTCATCTTGCGAGGACGTTACCTGTTGCTCAAGAGCCTTGACGCGGTTTTGTTGTTCTTTTAATTCTTCCGCTCTTGAGCGGCGCTCACGTTCGAGGGAGGCGCAAAGCAGAGCATTTTCAGACTCAAGTCCATTGATCTTGAGGCCCCTTGTGTTTAGCTCGGATTCGCGTTCTTGTTCACTTGTAGCCTTGGCCAGTGCACCACTCAACTCCTCGTTCCTCTTCTCTAATTCAACGATCCTCGACTGGGATGACTGAATCTCTTGCAAAAGTAACTCATTTTCTGCGGATTGACGCTGGTCCTCTGTAACACTTGTCTGACCATCGACATGCTGAGATAACTTGTTTTCCAAGATTTTGTTGGTGTCTTTGTAAGTTTCCAGTTGACGATTAAATTCTTTTTCACGTTCTTTCCAATTCCTCTCTTTTTCGAAGAATTGAGAGCGCAATTCCTGCTCCTTTGCCGATATTCTCTTTGCCAACGTCTTTGCAGAGTTTTGCTCCAAGTCCAGGACCCTTGCACGAACCTTATCGTAATCTGCGTACTTTGATAATTTGTTTTCCAACTCGTCGATTGTGCGTTTCAACTTCTCAGAGTCACTTGATTCTCCTGATTGCTGTGTACAAAACTCTAATAGAGGTTGTGGATCCGGTGCTTCGGATAGCTTCGAGTATAAGGCGATTAGAACCTCCTCCGAGAATTTCGACCTTGACGTTAGACTATCAACTTCTTGTTGGTAACTTTTGATCACTTTATTCACCTGGGACAACTTGTCGTTTGCATCAAGTTTTTTGAATTGCTTGGTTTCTGTTGCCAGTAATTTGCGTGAGTTCAAAGACTTGGCTTCTAACTCCTTCACTGTTAAGACGCTCTCGTCGAGTTGTCGTTGCAATTCTGGTAAGCCAGCTTCTGACCATAGACTTGCCGCATGTTGAAACACTGAGACATCCATGGCGTGACTCAAATGGTATCCAGGGATATATCCCACCCTTGCGTCTGTCCTTCGTTATGGATTCTATGGTTTGGCCCTGAACGTTTAGTACATTTGGCTTTATTTATCTTTTTATCTCTACATACGAAAACCGGAGTCCTCTATAGAATTACATTGAGTGGAGTTCGTTAGCTTTAGCTTTGAGGCATAGTTTGAGCTTCGTGTATGGCTTTGTAGTAAAACATGTGTGATAGCGTGCTTTTAAGAGGTGCCATACGAGCATTCTCAAAAGGTTCGGGCAAGAGATTTGATTGTTAACCACTCAAATCCATTAGATGCCAGCTTGAAATTACAGATATCGCCAGTCACATTAATAGCACAATTTCCGACAATGAAACTCGATTTTCGTACGCTTCATATCAGCCTGACCAGTAGCGGTAAGCCTGGGGAGCATTAATTGATACAGGTGTCACAAACGAATTGTTGGCATCGTTTAGAGACTTTTGACCCTGTTCACGAGGAGTTCCATTTGCGGAAGGGGTTGACGACATTCCTCTGCCTAGACTGACTCTGGCTGGTCGATTTTGTATTTCTTTAAGCTCACTGAGGTGGGCCTCTAGCTTCTTTTTATCGTCGTGATCATCAATGCATTGCTGCAATTTGGAAGCAATTAATTGTGAATGCTTCGCCAGAGACAGTCGATGGACAAGCACGTCTTCCTGCTGCTTTTGTAAAGCTTTCTTTTCCATTTCCAAAGACTTCTCCATCGTTCCAAGCAGCTTCAATTTCAGGTTGACTTTCTTCATTTGAGCTTGCGTCAGTTCGTTAGCCAAAGCGTTTATTTGGCGTTCTTCGTTAGTGGCAAACACATGCGCCCTTGCACCCAGCGATGCGATGGCTAGTTCGCTGCCCTCTTTTATGTAGTCTTCACTTTTAGGAATTTCACTTTGGCCATCATTTTTCAAAGAGTCAATGGCTCGATTGGTCATTTTCTTGACCAGCTCTGGGTCGACCAAGCCAACTAGAAATGCAATTGTTGACATGACAGGATTGTCAGCCTTTGAGAAAGGAAGATGAGGTGCATATTTCAGAGGGCCTAACTCTTCACAGGACTGGGACTGTAGATATGGATCCTCTATCGGAAGCTGCAAAAACCTCAATATACACTCTTCTGCGGTTTTGTTCCCCACAAAGTTAGCAACTTTCTGCCAGTCACTTTTGAACATCTGTAAACCCTTTAGTAACTTTTCTAGATCTTGTTTGGACCAATCTTTGTCGATCGTATCGAACACGTTAGGTCGCTGGAGCTTAGATGACGTCGTTCGCGTATCTGTGCCCTCTTCAGATGGTCTTTTTTTCTCATTTTCGGTTGGCGTGGTCAAATCATTCGAATAATCTGCCTTGCTATGGTCGCCAGGCGAATCTATTTGATGCATGAGTTTCTTCAACCGTGACAAATCTGGTATTTGGATAGCAGGTTTGTAACTTTCGAAAGGGAAAAGTCCCCTTGGTGCATCGTGCTTCGTTGTGAAGTCGCCAGTAAATGGTGGTTCCACCTGCTTGGGCTTGGTCTTCGCATTAACTTGATAATTTATTAGCCCCCACTTAGTCAGAAACTTATGGAGTCTGAGGATGGCGCCAGCGTCACCGCATAGATTTCTTCTTGCAGCTGTCATTGTGAAGTACTCATTAGGGTTTAAACGGTACGAATTCACCATAAAGTTACGATACTTGACATAAACTTGCGGCGTTTTCGATGGAATTCTATTGGTAAAAAATTCTGGTAAGGATTGCTTCTCTAAAGAATGAATCTTTTGCAAATGAAACCAGCGAGCATACGAAGGAATCACTATTTCGTGCGATTGTGGAACATACAAGTCGCTAGGTTTCGGTGTCTCTGTAGTTTGAGTATGTAAGCCAGAAGAATCCTCCTCCTCTTTAGGCAAGGAGCTCTGGCTGTGCTCGCCGATACCAAAAGATTGTTTGTTGGAGTGATTGTCAGTATCGAGCTCAGCTAACGCGCCCGCCTGCAAAGGAAGAGAGGGTTCTTGGGCCCGTGGTTGCTCATAACCATCTTCTGGTTGTACCTCGTCTGATTCTTTATGCTCATCCTTCTTCTCAGTCTGCTGGGAACGTACTGGTAGTTGCGAAAGGTCTTCCACTTTTTGTTCATCCTGTAGGATAGTTTCAACCTTAGGTATAGGAGACTCATCTTTCGTGGGTATTTCGCTTCCCTTATCTACGGTAGTTTCTGTAGGCTCCGGGGATTTTTGCGTATTGTCCTCGAACGTTTTAATTGGTGCCTGATCTTCTACTTTGTCGACAGTCGATATCTGGATATTGTCATAGAGCGTGTCAGAATGCTCTACACCATTACCTTGGTCTTGGGGTTCAAATACCATTTCATTCGATCCGTTAATAACATTTGCACCATTTGTATACTCAACCACCTCTTGTTCGCTATTTTCAATACTCTTAGGCTCGTTTTCTGAGTTGGTCTCTGCAACTACTGGTACTGTGTGGATTTCGTGGCTTGCACCACCGGACTCGCTGCGAATTGAGCCCAAACCATCCATGTCCTTGTGAGACTCTTCTTCCATAGTCATTGAAGCCCTCGCCGCGCTCTTCGTCCCGATATGCAGGATTTATCTTTGGACGCTCTTGAATAACGAAGTTATCCAAGATGACTATTATTTGTTGTTTTCATCTTATATTTCGTTGTTAATGATAGAATTGACTACGGCATGTTTCGAGTTAAACACCACCCGTGAGTGAAACAGCATTTGGCATGGTCCAAGCTTGATCATGGCCCTGGCCGATCATATATAATAGCAAACAGTTTGTCTAATTCTGTGAATATCTACATCGCCGTCCATCGCGGTGCCCCAAGCATTAAAATAGTCGATGTTCCTAATTCCCGGACGTTGGTGATGTTGATTGAGATACATTTGATAGTAGCTCGAATACAATGGTAGTGGCATTTTCCTATATACCTTGCAATTTCAGAAACTATCCAAGAACCGCCAGAGTTGAGAGTGTCTTTTTCCTTCGTTTGGAACTGCCCTAATATCAATCTCATATTTCATCGTCCATTTTTTATTGTTAGTATTACTATCCTCCTTCCCATAAGACCTTGCGGTGAATCTCCACGTTTTTATGTAAATTCCACGATCTTTCCCGAACATATCCTAGCTAGCACCTTCAAAATAACTTTTATCGAGCAGCAGGGAGCTACACTGATAGTGCACTTATGGAGGGTGACGGAAGTAGAATGTCGAACCCTATGTTGCCTACCTGCACCCTGAGGGCTCTACCGCACTGAAACGCAAAGAGATCACTTTATACTATAATGTCATCAGAATTTAGCCCGTCAGCTTCTCTTGATCAACGGAGGCCCCAAGGAAAGGTTCTGCTGTATCTATGGCCACAACTCCAAAGCGATTAATCTTGGGTAACACATGCTTCTCGTGATCTGATTGAAATCTTTTGGTCTTCTGCACATATGAAAGCAACTGTGTAAAGTACTTGTATTGTTGGGAATGATGTGAATAAACTGATGGTGATGTGCGTCTAATCGCATAATCAGCGTCAGTAAATATGTGACACAGTGGTACAGAATGATAGTACACAACCGAGGCCATACAAATAGAGCCACAAGCTAAGACAAACCGAAGAGAACAACTATTGTCCAATGGGATTGGCCATTGATAAGTTATCGGTAGTGTACGGCATTGAAGCCGTAATCCTTGGGCAATAGAATGATCTAGAATTGGTGATTAATAAATATGTTGACCAGAGTCACCAAGTGAGAATTGTATAAATACCAGGCTTTTGTTCAGGTAACTGAACCAACTCTAATGCCTAAAATAATCACGGAGAGATAAATAGAATTCCCTAGATCCAAGTTACTCATCTTACAATGACCATGTCCGACTTACAAGACAAATTTAGTAAGCTTTCTACTGATGAATCAGATTCGCCTCAATATGTATATTGAAAATCCATCACCAAGTATTGAACTAACAGCTCAGTTGAGGGGCAAATGAAAACTTATGTTGAATGGTTAGGTTATTCGCACATCCGGTGTCAATTCAGATATCGATTCATTCGTATTCGGTGATATCTGCATTACTTTACGGAAGCCCCCATGCACTGCTCAAATGGGGCTGCTACTACTCTAGAACATTACTAGACACCTTATTCGTGACCTGTGTTTTATTCCTCCTCTTTGAAAGTGGAAACGAACCGTCCTTTTCAAGACTCGATTCTTCTCGTCCTTCGCGATGACTGTTCGAGGCTTCGCTAAGCTAAGATTTATATAGATCTAATCTATCAAACAAACCTCTGCTATGGCATACTGCTATAAACAAGAGCCTGTGGAAATCATCACTAAGATCGACCAACTATGCGATTTGCTTTATGGGCGTTCTTTATATCGTTGGTAGTCGCTGACATAGCCTTGGTGGAACCGGGGACGGGTAAAAGCTTTTCACCCAGTGGTGGGACCTTGTCTATCCCAGTGAAATGGAACGACGATGGAAAAGCCCCAACTCTGAGCAAGATTGAGTATTACGTTTTTAATCTATGTTATGGTAACAACGATAATATTGATTGTGTGGAACAAAGTGGGGACAATAATAAAGTAGAGAGTTCCGATCTGAAGAAAGGCGACGATGGGTACTACTCAGAAACTGCGACATTTGACAGCTCTGCTGCCGGTAATGGGCAGTATTTTTTGCAAGTTTACGGCTTTATCAAAGATCTTGGTGGAGGCACTATCTACCAGAGTATCCATTACTCGCCCCGTTTCACATTGAAGTCCATGAAAGGTACCATTAGTCCCTCGGTGACCACTAATACGCAACCAACAGCCCAAGTTGCTTACCAGACCGCCACCGCCGCTCAAACAGGTGATACCTCTAAATCTTTCACCGTTCCTTACACCAAGCAGACTGGCTCGTTTAGATACGCTCCAATGCAAACGCAGCCCTCGGGTTCCGTAACCGCCACGAGCTGGACAAGAAGGTTTCCAACGAGCGCAGTGACATTCTACTCTACCTATCAAACTTCTGTGCAACAGGCAAGTACCATCACTCCCGGCTGGTCATACACGATCACTAGTGAAGTGAATTGGGCTACTCCTCGGCCATATCCGTCTCAAAACGGTGGGTGGTATGATCCTAAGTCTAGACAAACTCTCACCACAAGAAAATTGAACTTAAAGCAATGGGTGGGACACGCATTTGCGTCGAGTGCTTAGCAAGATGGGAACAGTACTCATTTTTTCATACAGTTCTTTTTCAAACAGGAAAGCACCATCGGCGAAGCCAACAGAAGAACCGTCCCCATATGGACACCATGTCATCAGCTGGTATGCTATCTTGACTAATTTAGAGGCCCCCTCCTGCCTCCACTGTGGTGTACTTATGCTCTCTATCATTCTGTGACCGTAACGTTCGTTAACTACATACTTTACAAAATACATTCAACCGCACTAGTCTCTAGGTCAGTTCTGGGAATTTGCTGGCCAGCTGTTGTAGCGCCACGACTCCCGATATGCTCATAGTCTCTCCCGGAGGAAACACACACTTTACGGAGTCCAAAACCAAAAACCCAACGTCACCGGAGTCATTGCTACGGCATACAAATTCATACCATTCCTGTAAATCGTAATTCACATTTGTAGATGTTCTGACATTGGTCAAACTGATCATTTCGCCTCCAGTGGTGGGACTGGCAACAATAATTTGATCCCTCTGCGGCTGAGCTGTCACTTGTCCTATGATGCGGAAAACAGGCGAAGAAAGATGACCTAGCTGTTGGGGATCGACACGGGGAGTTAAGCTGGACATGTTAGAGATGTGACAAAGCTCGTGTGGCTATTATCGCGAACTTTCACTGTAAGGTTTCGGTGAAGAATTATGAAGGGCGTCGCGTCAAGTAATTGTTACAAAATAGCATTGAACACGAGGCGCTACGCGTATTTCCAACAACGTGACCCTCAACAACAACAACTGTTCTACTGCTACTCGTGTAGACATAAGATGAAGTCACTTAAGATGGCTATTGGGTTCATTCTTGAGACTCTTCTTGCTGTCTGGAGTAGATAGATACCAACCATTAATCATATATATGGTCTCAATCCTTTCCATTAGCCGCCCAGCTGCCCACCTGTGAGAAACTACTTTAGGCGATCTCAGTTAGTAACCAAAATCTGTGTTGGACGGAAGAGCAGGATTATCAAAGCTTTGAATCGTTAAAGTAATTAGGTAGGTCACCAAATGCGACTACAGTTCGTGATTCGCAGTGGTTTGACCCCGAACGCCCAGAAGCCAATGCCTTTCAACAACACGCCAGTATGGGTTTTCATGTATCGAGCTCAGTCGGTGCTTCAGTCGTAATCGTTAGCCAAGCCCGACCCTGCACATGTAATTTCGCTAGTGCATTGGCAAACGTGTCTCTTGGAGCGGATTTAACCTTAGGGGCCGTGGGAGAACGAGGTAAAGGAGGAGTACCAAAGTTATAAATGCTTGAAAACACTGTCAAGCCTTTTCAATCAAAAAGTACAGGGTTTACGAACAGCTGTTAGACTTCAAGAGCTCATGGGAGAGACGATGTGCCTGTTTCGCGGACGTTAGGCAAATGAACTTTCTAGAGAGCCAGGTTACTATGAGTCAATCGGACTGGAGAATGACTGCAAGCTCTGGTGTAATCCAATTTCAATCATCACGACAGTAATGGCTAATGCTATCTTTTGGTTTATTGGTGGGTGCACCGTGGACCTGTGAAGTCCGAATCTCTTGCGCACGACGCACAATTGAAGACCACAGGTAATTCCTTATTCATTAAGACTTATTGAGACATATCAAGACATTTCAAGATTTACGACACATGTCAAACTTCAACTCACTTGCCGAGGCCAATTGTCTGTTTTCACAAATCGAGAAACATCTTTGACGCCAATTTCTTGGCAGCCTTACAAAGCGTGCTTTCAGCAAATTCCACCGTCATTCTGTCGTGCGTACGGCAGCGGTCCCACCGCAGATGTCCTTCTGTTAATTATCTCGAAAGTCGGTTCGGTCCTTCCCTATCGAGTTGTATCTTATCTATTGTAATTGGGAACCTTGAAAGATATAAATGCCAAATGACAATTCTAAAAGTTCACCCTACGGCAGATGAACTCACCTAGCTTTCTCAAATTCAGGGAAGTAGCTACTCACAGCAGAGCCGTGATCAGCTTTCTTTGACGACCCATCTTAGTGAATTTCCGTTACAATGGGTCTACGCTCAGATTACCAAAGTCTATCAGGGTCCAGTGGACCATGGACTCAGTCTAAGCTCAAAAAGTCGCTACTACTTGGTGCAAGCACGTTAGCCCTAGGTTCTTTGGTTTGGAAGTCAGGTAGCAACATGGCCTCAACTTTTGAAGTTCGTTCAGAGAGCTGTGGTAAAATAGACGCAGTAGCTCCTAACTTCAACAAATCTGTCGACTTGATCTTCAATGACCCCAGTTTCCGCCATGAGTCTCTGTTGAAGCTCAGTGGGGCTTTACAAATCCCCACCGAAATTCAGGACACCAACCCTCTGCCAGAAGATGACTTGGATTATTATAAGGAGTTCTTCAAGTTTCATGAATACCTCGTCGAAACTTTTCCATTGGTTCACAAGCATCTACAGCTTGAAAAGGTGAACCACGTCGGCTTGTTGTACACATGGAAAGGATCTGATGAGTCCTTGAAGCCCTTGATGTTGACAGCGCATCAAGATGTGGTGCCAGTCCACCCAGCAACCGTGGGCGATTGGACTTACCCACCTTTTTCAGGTTATTATGACAATACCACCGGATTTGTATGGGGCCGCGGGGCCACAGACTGTAAAAATTTGCTAATTGGAGAAATGGAAGCTGTTGAACAGCTTTTGAAGGACGGCTACAAGCCAAAGAGATCTGTTGTCATCGCTCTAGGCTTTGATGAGGAATCCTCTGGAGTTTTGGGTGCCAAGTACTTGGGAGAGTTTCTATACAATAGATACGGCGACAACGGGATTTACGCGATTGTTGACGAGGGTGGTGGTGTCGTTCCAATTGCTGAGGATGTTTATGTGGCTGCCCCTATCACAGGTGAAAAGGGCTATGTGGACGTCGAAATCACCGTTCATGGGGTTGGAGGCCATTCTTCTGTCCCTCCTGATCATACCACCATTGGCGTTGCTGCTAATCTGATCAAATTGATAGAGTCCAACCCATTCGAGCCAACCTTCACTCCCAAAAATCCATTTTATGGTCTTTTAACCTGCACAGCAGAGCACAACGACAAACTACCAAGTGACGCCAAAAGGGCAATCTTAGAAGCGCCTTTCGACTCGAAGCAAAAACAAAAAATGATCAACATGCTAAGTGCAGAAAGAAGTACACGCGAGCTTTTGAGAACCTCTCAAGCCATTGACATTATAAAAGGCGGTATTAAGGCAAATGCATTGCCCGAAGTTACATCCTTTTTGGTGAACCATCGCATTGATATCAATTCTTCTGTCAACAAAACCCTCGAGAGAGATGTAGACCTCGTGAAGCAAGTCGCCCATCAGTTTGGCTATGGTGTTACTTTCAATAATCAGAAGATTATTCCGTCTACAGAATTGGGCTATATTGAAGTTACCGCCAAGAAAGGTCTTGAACCTGCTCCAATCAGCCCCGTTGAAGGCTCTGATGTATGGGATCTTTTCGCAGGTACCATTCAAAATGTTTTCGAAAACGGGCACTTTAAAGAAAATCCGGAGGTCGAATTCTACGTCACTCAAGCATTGATCAGCGGAAACACTGACACCAAATATTACTGGCGTCTGACCGAAAATATTTACAGATTCATGGGGATGGTCATTGAGGAAGATACAATGCGCACCATCCATTCGGTAAACGAGCACATTCCAATGTCAGCGCACTTGTCCACTGTTGCATTTGTCTACGAGTACATTGTGAATGTCAACGAAAAAGCTTAGTGCCTTGCCAAACTACAAGCATGCGGGTCCCATAAAAAGTTTCAAAATAAGTAAAGCTCGATATATAGTCTAGACTACGGTATTGCCAGAAAAACACGGTTACTATTAGCGTTGTATTTTTTCCGTCACCATGTTGAGGAACTGACGAAAGAAGGAGGATTTTAGAAATGACATCAAAATTAATGATCTGTTAGATAAACATTAAAAAATAACATTATCCACACAAGCCATTGTGGAATTAGGACAAATTGCCTATTTTATATAATGTGCCGTATCTTTTGTTGATCAACGCTCTTCATAAACCTAAATTTTATTCCCAGGGTTGCATTTTTCTACCACGCAGTGGTATCCTGTAGATGAACGATATTTGATCGCCCAAGACGCGTTGTTGGCGAATGAGTTTTACATCTGAGATTCTGACAACCAAAACAAACGTATCCAAAACAAACGTATCCAAAACAAACGTATCCAACATTTATCAAATGCTTTTATTGAAGCGTAAATGTAAGAAGACATTTTTGGCTACCTTCACAGAACAATCTTTATCAAACCAAGTCCTTCACGTTGAAACTCGAGGAAGGCGTGCAGTCAACTTGGTCCCTGCCGCTGCTATTGATATCCGAATGGGAACCTGTTCCATAGATGTGGTAGGATACGTGGCTTACTGGTGGACCACAAAAGGCTTCGTCACTAAGAGGTGCCTCTTCCTCGTAATTTATAGCATCTGTGGGATAGGCCGAGTAGGGGATATTCTCGAGATCTTCAAGTATCCCTCCTTTCTGCCCCATCTTTCCCTTACGCACGCGCTCGTGAGGTAATACATAGTCAATGACAAAATGGGAGGGTGACGTCGGAGTGGACCCTCCCATTTCAAAAGAGCTGCCGTCCGAAAAACCCTTCATAGACTTGAAGACATCGGTGCCATCAGATGTGCTGCCTGAATTAGTAACACCTTTGTAAGTCTCTTGTTCACTGTAGAAATCGGACACTGCCTTTGAGTTGCGTTCTTTGGCCCTTTTCTCCATGAACTCCGATACAGAATCCAGCAGTGGTCCCATCCCCATACATCTTGCGCACCCAGCGTACATGTTGAGCGCATCCGTGCCCAACCCAAATACCATGAATACTAAGTACGACATCAATATGTAAAGCCACACACTATAGAGTGGCCTATTCACATCTAGACGTACAATGACATTCCAAAAAGCGTTATCATGCGCTGCTTGAAAATCGAGACCTCCGCTCAATTGTTGCAGCTCCTCTACGAATGAATAAAACGAGAATGGAAACATGACAAGAATGATCAGGACACAAAAGAATAAGAGGCGCGAAAATCTAGCCAGATTGAGACCGCTGTTTGTACAGTGCAAAATATCCCTGACGTCTTTACGCTTGCGGTAGAAAACATATAGCAGTAGAACGGCATAAATGAATCCTACAAGGGACCACACAAACATCCATAACGTGTAAACTAATACCGTTGGCCATGATGGGGAAAGCAGGTTCTGGCAACCGTTGTACCTGAAGATCCCATACCTGAACACCTGAACAAGGCATGAGAGCCCCATAGTCAATATTGGTGTGATTAAACTGATGCTCAAGTCGACACCAAGTTTTCGCCACGAGTTAGGTTCGGGTAAAACTGTATCGGCCTTCAGGATAGTATGTAGATTGTAGGCAATGTTGGCCACGGAACAGGATATACCTACATTTGCACCTACTTGCAATTTGATCATCAAATCGCACCAGCCATAACCAGCCCACTTCTGCGCAAAATCTGACCCGCCCCAGATAGCGGCATCGACAATCAACTTTATGTCCATAATAATTAGCCAAACTATCAGAATGATGGCTGGAGTGTTCCGTGTCTTTGAATGCCATGCCAAAGGAGGGAAGAGCATGGCCAAAGCCACGGAGCCTAATCCAATGATTGTATTGGGATAGCTCATTAAAATCAGAGTTTATGGATGAATATGCCCTTAAAATAAATTAGAAAGGCGCACCCATCCTTAGACCCACCCAACTTGTGGAGCCGGTATTTATGCATTTTCGAAGCTTGTCAATTTTCCATTGCTCCCCACGGTTCTCATTAGCCTCTCACAACTTTGAGGTTCGACTTACTGATATATCGTAGCCATGATAAACCATTGAAACATCTCTGGGGTTGTCCTGCCAGGAGTCTAGAGCCCTGATATGTCAAGTCTTTCCTGTTTGGTTTGACAATGAAGCCATGTTGATGTCTATGCCAGTTAAGGACAAAGTGATGATTTTGAAGACTCAAATGAAATGATCAGTTAGTGTTACAAAGCTCGGCTGGCATCTTTACACGTTGAACAAGCATTTGTTTCGTAACGAAATCAGAGGTCTGCTACTTCAGACATAAAAATCTATAGTGGTATATTGTGTTTTTTGTAAAATAACTTCCCTATTCCCTTGCCCTTATTTTGCTAGAACAACACGGTGTGTGCTATGCTAGTCACGAAGGTAAAAGCATAAAACCACAGCGCACCAGTTCCCTTTTCGAACAAAGAATTTGCGTCAGAGGCTTTCGAAGTAGTGGACGATGCTGATGCAGAAATGGTGGCAAGTTTGGTGCTGAGAGACTCATCATCTGAGATACGAGAAATGATGTTATTGAGAGAGTCCGGAGTGATGGTTTGATCAAAGGATGTGCTGTTGGATACAAACACCACTGTGTTTCCGTTCGAGTCGAAGATTACACCGCCCTTCATGCTTCCCGAAGTGTCTCTGTTAATATATCCGTCTGCCTGAATACCAGTTCCCAAATCCTCAATTCCCTGGAATGTATGGAAAGTAGAGTAGAGATGGTTTTTCTCGGTACCATTCATAACTTCGAAAATATCAAACTCTCCACACCCACTCGCCCAACACGAGCAGTTGGCGTCGGTAGGGTATTGTGAAGTCCTTGAAATCTGATCATTCAGCAGCCAGATAGCAGGCATGTCAAAATAATCGAACGAAGAGCTGTTACTTTGGGTCTCCGTAGGCATTTCGAAGTCAAATAAAAACATTTTAGTAGCACCTCCATATCCGTGGTAAGCAGGAATACCCGACCGATAGACACCGCACGAGTTCTTCTTGCCAGACTTTGGACAGCTGGCATTTGAGTAAATCACGTATTCTTGATCTGAAGTGATCAAAGTGTCTTCGGCCAAAAGTTGGGAGCTGGAGGATGAGGAAACACCGTCAGAATCGGCGAACGAGAGGGCCTTCCCGAGCACCGGCGAGTCCTTACCAGCTTTAGTTAGAAAAACAGCATTCTCTGCAGTCTGACTGCTGGCGTCAAAGTAGGCTACACGGCTCCAGTCTGATGAATTGTCGGCATTGTCCAGATTGAACGATGAGGAGTTATAGAAAGCAAACTGGTTCAATTTCAAAGGCCCACGAAAGTGTACAGAAACGGCATCTGAAATAGGAGCATTACTGCCGTAAAACCATTGCTTAGAGCCCACCGAGCACGAACAGTCGTCGCTGTCAGCATTCTTGATAGACACAACAGGAGTATAGGTGCCCGCAAATCCGACGTTGGTGAACTCAATCTTCTCGACAGCTTGCGGTCCGTCACTGGCAGCTGCTGACAGACCACAAAGTCCAGCCACCGCAAGGGCCACGTTTTGTAATAGCATTCTGGAGACTTTACTTGGGTTCTCAGTAACTACTTTGAAAAGGCCAAAGTCGTTCGCTGTTATAATACAATCCTTGGTTGAATTTCACGTAGCAGTCGCTCACTTACTTGAAACCGAACCTGAAATATTAGTCTTCCAACAGTATCGAGGTGCTAGATTTGGAAAGTAAGTGACAATGGGCTCTCGAGGGCTGTCTTATTTATATTATAAGAATTTTGCATATGTGAAATGCCAAGCCTCGTGTCACTATTAATAAAACTGACGCTCTGAAAATTTCAGCACTGGGGTTTAAGTTGGAAACAGGATAGGCTACTTCTTCGAAATCCATACAGCAAATATGGCGAACAAAGGATAAGCTGCCAATGCTAACGAGGTTCGAAGAGCCCAATTTCGATGATACCGGTATATTTCGTTGTGACTTGTCAAGACATCGTTGGAAACGGAACGAAGGTATTCCAGCTTGGCTATGGCGATGAAGTCGCTTTGATTAGCAGTAAAGGACCGAGATTTTGACTTTGAATTACTTTGGTGTTCGCGTCCAAATATTGTTTCAACAGCTTTGGATTTTTTGAGCTCCTTCGGCGTCGCGACGCAGGTGCGACTAAATTCCAGCTCATAAAACGTTGGTAGCTCGTCAGCATCTAGCTGTGGAAACTTGACCCCACCTCTCACCACGCAACATGTGTAGCCAAAGAGAGTGATGCTAAGCAGCCAACATAGGGGGAACAGAAAGCCGCAGAAGAAGAGGCGTGGGAGCAAAAACCTTGTCTTTTCGCAGAGTTGGCAGCTCTGACACTCACAAGAAAAGGTCTTGAGACTCTGTTCAAATGGCGGGAGCGCATATTCGACCGCTTGCACAGAGTCAGGAGAGGGCATAATTTTTCGAGCGAACTGTTTTTGTTGCTGGTTGTTGGGTACGATGCCAAGATGAAGAAGAGACTCGTTCAGCAGATCTCGACAGGTGAAGTGGAAGAAAATCTAAATCAGCACATATTTATACCAAAACCACTCCGCGCTCACATTATTGGTGCTTATTTGTTCGAGGTGGCACCCAGGTCTAAGAGCGTCAGTCAGCACATTTGGAATTACCCTTTCGGAGTTGCACAATATTAATAGAAAAAATGAATACACCAATTCAAGCTAACTACTAATGGGACCATGATTTTAACCAGTGTCATGTCTGTAACATAGCCATGTAGTGAACCACCTTTTTTTACCTTATTAACTGAGAACAATAGATTCTGCGCAATTAGGAAGTGAAGGGCAATGCCAGACGGATTCCGTAATTAGGTATTCGACATTTTTATTCTATTTACTGTAGTAATGCAACATTGAGATATGAAACTGCATATCCCGACCTAGGCTGAACCTTCTGTGGATTTTTCTCGTTTTGAGTGCCTTTGTGAGAACTTTTCCATGTATGATTTTATAAACTCCCGCACTTTTGCCCGTTTTTCCTTGCTGAGCTCAGAGGGTGGAGTTCTCTTTGCATCCTTTTTTACTTCTTTTTTGGATAAAATGTTGGTAATGTCCCGAGAACACTCCTTAATATGCTCTTTGCCGAGATTTCTTTCGTAGTGCTTTACAATATTTGGCACCACCGAAGCAAAAACCTTGTTCCACTTGTGCATGATGTAGTCGTCTTTGGACTTCAGCACTTTCTTTTGCCTCCTTTGTTGGTCCTCTTCCTGCTTCTTCAAAAAGTCTCTTTTTTCCTGCTCTTTCTGTTCATTAGCCTCTGCAATAATTTTCTCTAGCTCGCTTTTCTTTTGATGCTCAAGCTCCATTTTCAGCTTTAACTGCCGTTTCTCTTCCTCCTTGAGCTTTTCTATCTCCTTTTGTTGATATTCTATCCTTTGCTGTTTCTTTCTTTCGTACTCTTCAGTATCCATAATCCGCTTTTTCTTGTTCAGATAGCCGTTCGAATTTGGGTCAACAGGCGTCTGACTACGGCTATGAGCATTTCCACCACTGAAGGTTTTGCTCACGCCAACCGGAGGTTGATGCAGCTTAGTTTGCTGCTGTGCGTTATAATATACAGGCTTCCCATTTTCATGAATAAGTTCCCATCCTGGCGGGAGCCTGATTCTTCGTAGATCTGTCTTTGTCTTGGAAATATTTTCGGATACATCTTTCTTTGTGATTCGCTTGTAAGTTTCAAAACTATCCCACTTTTCGAGTAATTCTTGAGCTATTCCCTCAAGCATTGATTTGGATGCGAGCTCTTCCACTTTCTTATCTATTTGAGATGACAAAATGCCGTTCTTTGTCGTTTTTGGCAAACGCACAAGGTACTTTATGATATTTTCCTGGAATTCGGTGTCGTTCTCAAACGTCGTTAGCAGCTTGTTGAAGCATCTATATCCGTGAAGTTTGATAATTTGATAATGAAGGTTCTGGTCATCTGTTAGCAAAATTCTCTCCATTAATCTGCGAATTATTAAAATGTCGTCTGCCTGCAGCAAGACACTCATCACTTTTGAGACATCATCAAAACTCTCACATGGACTTAGATTCAGGGATTTGACAAACTCAACATTTACATTATTAACCTCGCTCTTCACAATCTTTTGCCCATTGGCCTTCATCAACTTGATCCATTTCTTTTCAACGGCAGGTACGACGCCCAACGCGTCAGCATAATTTTGAGGTAGTAATGATGCTGCATCCGTTTGAGTCTTGCCTCCCAAGAACCCGATACAGTTAGGCTCCTCACAATAACAAGGCTGAGCTGCAGCACCGTACCTATCAACATTGTAATCAAAGGTGATTTCCTCACCTCGCAGTATTTTGCGATTCGCAAATATACCCATCCTTAGTTTGCCCGCTACATCCCATTTGTTAACATACGCGTTAGGGTTACAAGAGTGATTGCAAAACCGGGCAAGAGAGCCCTTCACCGTAGCATCAACAAATTCCCCACTTTGTAACATCATAAAATAGAAGTGCTTGAGACTCCTACGATCGTAGTCTATCATTCGGTCGCGAAACTCCTCTTCCGGTATAACCTCGCCAATATACTCGTAGATAAACTCATGTGCCGCAATATCACGTTCAGCTCTCACACCGTAGCCCTTTTTTTGAGTCTGGAAGACGGCAATGTCCGCATATTGGCACTGTTGAAATCGTTGATTTTGGCAATCAAAACCACAGGATCCGCAAAGGTCATTTACACACTCAATCAACGTGAGCCTGTTTATACAGTCCGAATCCTCCCCACAAGCTCCATTCACTCCATCTTGGCGGTCTTCATAGCAGTCACACTCGATATAATCATGGGACTTTGAGCTTCCTAAGTCTTTTGACGCATAAGTGCATTTTTTTAGCGCCGTGAAGGTTGACAATGCCTCATCTGTCCTGTCTTCACATTCTTCAAACGTCCTCACTTTCCTGTCAGTAGTTGAAGTCACCATCGGAAGTTTTGTTAGGCCAACCGCTCCTTTTCTAATCATCGTTCCGACCTGTATATATACAAGTTCAAATTGATTGTTGTGGAAAATTGGAAAATGCTCCATAAGTGTCACGAACGTACAAAACAACAAAAGCTTGGCTACCATAAAGGCAACCAATTCTTCGGCGAACTTATGGCGCTATGGTTACCACGGACAGTAGCTACCAACATCAACTAATAATTGTAAATCCTTTTTGCACGTATCAGGTCTTCAATTCAGTCTTTGGAGGCGAAAACCCGCCAGCAGCATCGTCGACCTAATTAAAAATGTTACTTGGGTGCTTTAACCGCATATATCATCAAAAATTTGCTGAAGAGCTTCAAGTTTATCGCCCGAGCTCACGATATCTTCCCAGACTGCCATAGCTCGTCTTATATTGTACTCACAAGAGAGCACACACTGTTGAAACTGAGGTGAGACATTTCCACACTTACCAGAAGCGAATACTTTTTTGGTTCGGAGAACATTTTTGGAAGTTGCGGCATCGCGTTCTACTAGAATGTCTTTGATTTCTCGTGATCGCAATGAAATAAGCAATGTGCGGGAATGCGAATGATTGTGCAAATCAGCCTTCATAGCATTCAAAACCTTGCGCTCGGCATCCAAACCTATCGGAAAAGCTTGAAGTTGAAACCACGGAACAAAATTGGGTAAAAAACCAGTGTACTTGGGTAGTAACTCGTTTGCAACAATTTGAAGGTCGACTGGATTATTGGCGAAAGGAACTTCCAAAACCGGCGCGTGTGTCTCTGACGCCTCGCTGATGGTGGTATCGCACATCTCTGCGTCAAACAAGCAGACTAGCTTAAAGGCGTTCTCCAGGTTGAATTCGTCAGTAATTCGATTGCAGTTTCTCCTGACATCCATGTTATGTAAGAAGGACCCTGACCACGAAGTCCACCCTTCTCGAAACCTATCGGTTCGTGGCGAACTAGGAACACTTGAAGTCCAGGGAAACTCGTCATGTTCAACAGCTAGGGGTGACGGTAAAGGAGTTACTCGGCTGAGCAGCATTTGGTGTAGTGATGTACTACTCCCGTTATGGTGCTGGGCAAAAGAAGGCTCATATAAATCACTCGCCTTTATAGAGGGACTATGTGCTGAGTTGGAATAGTTCGAACTTGGAACGGGTGTAATAGCTGACGTCATTCCCATACGCTTTCCGAACCAGGAACCGTAGCTCCCATGGGCGCTAGACAAGGACGACGATAGGTACTGGAGGGAGCTACTGTTGCTTTTGATAGAAGAAGGCTGAATTACTTGGGCTGAAGTGCCATCCGAAGATACACTTGTGGAACTAAGGCCCGTTTTTTTCTTGGGAATTTCCCAACCCTTCAGTGTTACCGTTCCATAAGGTTTGGTAGAATTCTCCGAAAAATCGGTATCACATTTCGCAGCCGGCGACTGCTTGTCGGAACCTGTACTTGTCTGCTGATCTGTGACGTCATCGTTGGTTTCAACTGTGTTGATTCGGCCATTATAGCGAGGTTTGAGTAGAGCAGATATGAGGAAGACTAGTTTATTCGCCACTGCCATATTCCCAGATATTATAACGATCCGGGAACAATCGCAGTTGACCAATTCTGTCGCAAAGTCTTGTACAATCTTGGTAAACAGGACGGGCAAAAATCGCAGTCTATTACCATCTTTGATGTCCAACCAATGGAAAACGTCTTTGAACCAGCTCGAAAGAAAGTCTTGATTGTCGGACGGGTAAAGAAGTAGTCTCGGTATTTCATTATGCGCGGATACGAGCGGCAGCACCAAGGTATAGATTGAGTGGACTATTGATTGAGTGATTTGGGGGTCATGAGAACGCAGATCGCGCGGAAGAAAAGGCAGTTGCTCATTAGAGAGCACAGCAAGTAAAAGGGCCTGGCATTCATCTAACCAGCCACTGATTTGACTCCATATTTCACTCAAAGAAGTCAGGAACGGTTCCGGGAGGGACAGGCATATCGCTAACCTCGTGTCACAATTTGGAGCATAGAAGATGCGGGTCACTAAAAGCACCCCTGCGTTAGACACCACGCGAAATTTATTGCTCTTGAGGCGCGTCTTGGCCCTAACGGGGGAGCCGAAAATGTATTCTTTCAATTCTGTCACCGATATGTGATCCATCGCCGAGCCACGCGCCGTCACATAATCCAACACTATTTGGTAATTATGTCGGCTCATCAATTGGCCTAATTCTTGAGCCACAACGATCCTAAACCGGTGAACAGGAGAAACTGAGTAGTCCAGATGCTTCGTCCCATACAGTTTTTGTTTAACCTCATCGGTTAAATGAGGGGTGACTGGATTCGAAGCCTCTTCGGAGTTAGCAACGCCCTCATTCAACCTGTTCTTAGCAAGCAGACGGCCCAGCATCGTACCCTCCTCCTGCTGGCGAGCGCGGAGTTTTGTTGTAACCCGGGTGCATCGCAAGCATATGACTTTATATTGATTAAAGTGACAATGGAGTAACCAGAATCGCTAAATACGTGAACGTGTATAGAAAGGCAGTCTCTCCACAAGAGAAGCGTGTAGGCATCGATCTCACTACTGAGGAGTGCGTATTCACTCAACCAAAGGCATAGGCTGAATTATACACGCAATCCAAAGCAGCATTCATTTCGGCTCAAACAAAAAAATGACACATTTGTCGACAAATGAAGCTCTCAGGGACCATCGACACCAGGCCACCAAGGTGTTTCGTGCTAGAAACAGCTCTTATATCTAGTGGCGTCTGTCCCAAATTTCAGTTGATAAAAGACTTCGTAGCGTCTCAGTCTAGGAATGTTCTCAATCCTGGGCAAGCGTTTGATGCAGTATATGTTCCCGGACCCAGGCAGCTGGAATTGAAATTTGGGGGCGGAAATACCTTCAATGATTTTGTCGCTCGTGAGTATCAATTACCGTTCCCAACTCCGGAGATCGAAGACTATCAAAGTTCGAGACAGATTATAATAAAGTCATGACAAATAACATGAGCTTCCTGTTACGAGTGGTGTACAGTTCCCATAGTCCATTTTGCGTGTTTCAAAACCCTGCATAAGGTGACAATTGATCGTCTGGAGGAGGTGTGAGGCTTAATTCGAAAACTGACCAAGGTGTCACACGCGTGCAAAATGATTACCATAACTATCACCGCCAGCAAGGTGTGTGGATCAGGTTCCAGTAGGTTAATCATGACAGTGTAACCAGCAACAATATCACATACAAGTAGTACGTTTTCTGAGCCAATAAGTTCTGTTCGAAAGGATACAAGTATCAGTGCTTCTCAGGCATTTGATTTTCTTCGGGCACCCCATTGGTTTAGCTACCGCGTGCTATCTTCCCCCCTCCCCTGGGCAGTCATATATCAGTGCCTTGTTTAGAAATCGCTCGACTGCTGTTAGCGACAGAGGTAAACGCCATGCTGGTTCCAGATTTGCCGCGGTGGTTGATCTTTTCGGCAATATCGTCGTTTCTATGCATTTTGGGCAGTTGCTGTGTGCCGTTATTCTCCATGATGTTTCGTAAACGTTCTCAAATGAACTCCAGGCTACTCAACTATGGTCTATCTTTGAGTGCAGGTTCTATGCTGGCTACAAGTCTTTACAAAATGCTCCCCACCATGGAAACGAAACATAAATGGAAAATTTTCTTGGGTTTTGTTATCGGCGTTACCTTAAGCTTCATATTGAACTTTGTGGTGCACGCTTACACCAGTGAAAGTTTGATTCATTGTAGCCACGGTTCGGACGAAGATGAATCGATGCATACCCACGAAGGCGTGGGAACTGATGGCCAAATTGGCGTCGAGCCTAACACGCAGCTCGAACTAGATCCGCCAGAAACAAGTGATCAAGGCCACGCTGAGCATCGTGGAACTAATGGCCATCGCGACGACTCAAAAATACTTCAAAGATCGCTGCTTAGTCCCGCCAACTCAACGACGCTGCGTCAAAAACGTTCCCTGATAGACTTTCTCGCTCGAAAACCGTCGAATGCGGGCAATTGTTATGGTTCAATGTACTGCGACACAGACATGAAGCCATCACGCTCAACAGATCCTGGTCGCACCAAAGTGACATGTCAAAAAGATGTCACAAAGGATGCACTCAACTGTCCTGAAAACGCCATAGGCTATGATCTGGAGAATTTGTCGGTTTACCGTGCTAATTACTATTTACACAGGAAGTCTCCTAACGAGGACTCCCATCATCGTGGTTCCGAAGACTCCTCTTCGTCACCAGAAAATAGTGTCGCGGGAAATGACCACGACCACCACCATCACATTGCCACTCCATTTTCCAAGCTTCTTTCCATTGGCATCCAGACGTGCCTGGTTATCTCGCTCCATAAATTTCCAGAAGGATTCATCGTATTTTTCACCAATAATAACGAGGATGACTCGAGGTCATTCGGAATATCCATCTTTTTAAGTTTAGCCATCCACAATTTTACGGAAGGCTTTGCAATGACGCTACCGTTGTATGCCGCCTTCCGGACAAAGTGGCATGCAATCCTTCTTACTGCTATCTTGGGGGGTGGCTCTCAACCTTTGGGCGCTCTGATGGGATACTTGATATTCAAACAAACGGGCTCGCAAGAAATTAATATCGAATTTCTGCTTAGTGTGACGTCAGGTTTCTTGTTTGTCATAGCCCTTCAAATGTTTCAAACAGCTATTGGATTTAGTGATTCGCACCATCATCATGAAGTCAACGAGCTTGATGAGGAGGACCAACCCCACACCCTTGCTACGGTATGCTTGCAATGGTGTTGTTTAGGTGCATTTTTGGTCTTGGCAACGGGCCTTTTCACTTGAACCCTCCCAATTTAGCAAGATGAACGAAATACATCTTGCCCAATGTACAGTAGTTGATTATTTTCTGAAAAATTGCACCGAAATAATTCATTTTGAATCCTCAAAGTGCTGCATTTGAATGGCGTCTTCAGAGGTATTCGCTCTGTTTTCCTCACCAATCAATGGAAGTATAAAGTTTCCTTTGCCCCAGCGAAAATATAGAAGTGTGATTCCCGCCAGAAACATCACATAAACTAAAATCGCATAGTTCATCGATTTCAATGTTACTGGCACTTTTGGAGGTAAACATATCACGACCATAGTATAGAGTAACCAAGTTATGCTCAAAATATTGACCGGCCATCCAAGCCGATATCTCACTTTCACTGGCGACCCGCGCAATGCTCTCCGGCGAGAGATAATAACTAACAGCAGGGGGATACAAGTGGCAGAACATAGACACAAAACGGCAGCCCCCATAAACGCATTGAACGCTGCTGTGGATATGAGTGCCAAAAGTCCTAGGAGGTATGATACTCCCATGCTCAGCAGAATAGAATTTCTTGGGACCTTATGCTTTGAGTCGACATCGACATACGACCAAAGTTGACTATAAGGCAATGCTCTATCCCGACTCATGCTGAACACTGCACGAGAAGATGTTGTCATCGAACCAATTCCTGAAAACAGAAGATTGCCAAGAATCATGACAACGAGGAAGATGGACACGAACATGGAGTGCGTGGATTTCGTAAATATGTAAACGATTGGCAACAACTTGGGATTGCTGAATATGACATCCACGTCTGGTAAAATTAGCATAATAGGCAATAAAAATATAATACCTGCTACGCCTGATGTGATTACCGCTGCTGACATACCTTTGGGAATGTCGCGCTCTGGCTCTCGCACTTCATCGGCCAGGGCCGGTAGCATGCTAAACCCTTGAAGTGTAAAATTAGACTGCTGGAATCCAATCATAAATGACATGACAGCACTTGAATAACCGGACCTTGAATTATCGAAGTGGGTCACTGCGTATTTGATAGACCTATAGCGACCTGAGTGAAACAACAACAGTAAAATGTCGATGAATATGACCGCATAAATAATCCAGTAGACACACACCTTGTTAACAGTTTCGACGATACTTGCAAACTTCCAATTGACAAGACCCACGATGGTGACGATGAGGTAGAAGACAATGACCGTAAAGAACATGATGAACGACTCGCTAATAAGTTGTTCGTTGGTCATAGTGATAAGTGAAATGACCAGCTGAGCACCGGCAAAAGTGATACTGGTGCTCATAGTCCAGTTGCCAAGTAGCATAAGCCAGCCCGTGAACCACGCACAGGGTAATTTGTAGCCATGAGGTGCCAGCATTGCGCTGCTTCCGTGCAACTCCATGGGAAATCTGGAAACAATTTCCCCTAGTGACAAAGAACAGAGCCAAGTTGCCACACCACAAACAAGGAAGCCCACAACGATCGTCAGTGGCCCTCCGTTGTCTAGACCAATGTTAATTGTTGTGCTCATACCAAGGACGGGACTCATGAGGGCGAACCCCAGCCCGATAATCGACCCTTTCGATAAAAACGCTCGATCCAGTTGTTGCTCATACTCAAATATTTGAACCTCGTCAGCGACTTCATCTTCATCGTGTGGAAGAACCCTCTGCCAATTCAAAAATCCTGAGGTTGTTCTAAGACCAAGGCGCTCCTGAATTCCTCGACCCACCCTAGCAGATGCCTGCATTCGTAGTGGTACCTAAATTCAACAATTGATGCTCAGAGAGATACAAGAATAAATTCTTGAGGCTTGTTCGCTCGCCGATGAAGTATACTTGGTGAAATTTGAATTAGGGAGTCACTTTTCTTATTGTCCTAGGAATTCTCAACCACTCTTGATCACCGCAATGCTCGTAAGAATGCAGATTTTAGGTGAGTATGGTCTTTGGAGCTACGTCACGATTAGCTTCTTCGAGCTCTTCTGTTGCCGATGATCTAGTTCCCATAATTTAATAATTATAATTCAATATTACTGATGAACTAACATATATAAACTCATCGATCAAAAATACACTCCAGAGGCGAGATGGAAGAGGAGCTATACGATGAGTATGATTAAATTGGTAGAACTCTATGGTCATAATATTTCATTCTAACTTTCGAACACAGGTTTGGAAACTTGATAGGAGCAGAATCGGATGATTCGATATCTGATGAGGAGCAACAGGATCTTCTGGTTGAAGAACCGGAGGAATTGGAGCACGACGGGCTAAATTCAACAGCACTAGCTGTCAGGAATAATCTGGATGATGCATTTTCAGATGATGTGGAGGTTTTGGTCGAAACTGAAGACCGGCAAACCATTGAACGTCCTTTGGTGGAGCCGAGTGAGGCCGCTCGAGACGACACTGCTGTGTACACTAAAGCGGTCGAAAATATTCCGCGAGCTTCTTACGATATGGAGTACCTGAAATCGTTGCTCAAAATACCAGAAAGGATAAAAAATGTTGCTGTACTGGGTGCACTGCAATCTGGGAAAACCTCGCTTATAGATATGTTAGTGTCTGAGGCACACGAAAAGATCCCTAACATATCGAAATTGGTACGAAAGGGGTGGAAACCGCTCAAGTACCTGGATAACACAAAGCTCGAGATCGAGCGAGGTCTAAGTTGCAAGCTTAACGGCTTTACTTTCCTAGGCAGTGATCTTCAAAGCAAATCGGTGGCTATCACGATGCTCGATAGCCCTGGGCATGTTAATTTCATTGATGAGGTTACAGTGGCCACGGCGGCATCAGACTCGTGCCTCATAGTTATTGATGTGGTAGAAGGTGTGACAGCGATGGTCCAGCAATTGATAAAACTGGCGCTCAATTTGAAGCAGAGGATAGTATTCGTCATAAACAAAATTGACCGATTGATACTGGAATTGAAGCTACCGCCTCGGGATTCCTATTTAAAACTGGCACATTTAGTCAAGCAGATCCAAAAAGTCGCAGGTTATCACTACTCTCCAGAAAAAGATAATATATTATTCGCATCAGCTAAATTAGGCTTTACATTCAGCATCAGCGAGTTCGTTTTGTACAACTACTCGGGGCAGCTAGATGATAATCAGATGCGCGGATTGGTAGAAAGGCTATGGGGTAATGTTTACTTTCAGTCGGGAAAGTTCTCATCCCAAAAGAACGAAAAAATGATGCCGACTTTCTGCGAGTTTGTACTAGTGCCCTTGTACAAAATCTTTGCACATACTCTTTCTGGTGATCCAAAGAAGTTGGCATTGACATTGAAACGTCACTTCGATGTGGATTTGGATCAAGAGGATTTAAATGAAGATCCACAGCCGCTTTTGCGAAAGGTGCTGGGTCTGGTATTTCGTTTGCAAAAAGGGCTCATCCACAGTATTAATAATTTGACATCTTCTGCACATGAAATGAATAGCGTTAAGTTGGCTCATCAGGGCTTTCCCATTCAAAGTGAATCATTTTTGGCTCATGTGATAAAACTCATGGATTATTGTGGGGACATTTGGGCTCTGGTCAGAGTTTATCAGGGAAGAATAAAGGTTCATGATACCTTTAGAGCAATAGATGCGGGTACGGCTAACGATGAAGACGTTCACCAATGTATAATTAAGGGTATTGGTATCATCGGCGGTAGATACATTTTACCCGTGGACGAAGCTAATGAAGGTCAAATCATTCTCATAAATGGAATAGATAAATTTTTCACTAAGTCGGGCACCATAACAAACTCTACGACCGCTTCTTTCCCCCCAATTAACTATCTGAATGAACCTGTCTTCAAAATTGTCCTGAAAGCTTTAAACCCAAGAGAACTTCCATTGATGGTAGAGGGGTTAAACAAAATAAATAAGCTTTACCCTGGAATGATAACATGTGTGGAAGAAAGTGGTGAAACCATCGTGTTAGGTACTGGGGAACTTTACCTGGATTGCTTACTCTATGATCTCAGAACCAATTACGCCAAAATAGAAATTCAAGTCTCGAATCCTCTAGTAAAGTTTGCTGAAAGCTGTATGGGAGAGTCATTTGCGTCTATTCCTGTGAGTAATGCTAACGAAACGCTGACTGTAAGCATGGGCGCGCAAGTTTTGGAAACTGACTTGGTAAACGACATATCCAATGGCGTTATTCCTGACACTGAGACTGAAAATTTGCCATGGCTGTCTAAAATGCTGCGTAAAAGTTATCACTGGGATTCTCTAGCGGCAAGAAACGTGTGGGGGATGCACAAAGGAAATACACTGGTCAACGACACTTTGCCCGATGATGTTGACCAAGAATTACTCTCAGATCTCAAGGACTCAATCTACCAGGGCTTCGAGTGGGCAATAAGAGAAGGCCCTCTGGCCGAGGAGCCCATCTTTGGGGTAAACTTTCGAATTTTGAATTTTTCGATCGATGGTGATATCCCAATGGGCCAGTTAATCTCCCTTGTGCGAAAAGCATGTTACGTGGCTTTTTTGACCGCCGAACCAGCTCTTTTAGAGCCTATTTACGAGGTGAATGTTTTGGCTCACGATCTTCTGACAGATGTCGTCGAGGAACTTTTTGCAAAAAGACGTGGGGGTCGTATTTATAAACGCTTAAAAATTCCTGCAACTCCATTAGTCGAAATACGGGGCTGTATTCCTGTTATTGACTCTATAGGTTTTGAGACAGATCTGCGCCTAGCGACGAACGGTGAAGCCATGTGCCAATTGCATTTTTGCAAGAAAACATGGCGTAAGGTCCCCGGGAACGTGATGGACGAAAACGCGGCCATTCCCAAGTTAAAATCAGCACCCCCAGAGAGCATGAGCCGCGACTTCGTGATGAAAACTAGGCGTCGGAAGGGACTTTCGTCGGATGGCTACGCAACACAAGATGGCCCCTCGTTGGAACGCTATATTGACGCCGACCTATTTCAAAAATTGAAGGAGAAACAGCTTCTTTAAGATGTGGCCTAACTGAATAAGCAGTATCGATGAAGCTAGATGCGGCTACAGAGGCCCAGTATGTGGACTGCGCTGATGGCATCTTACTTTCCGGAATTTTTTTTCCGCCCAAAAGAGCTACAAGCAGAAAATGGTGGATATTTTTGAAATCAGCTAAACTGTTCACCCTCTAATGACCAATATCTGGGGCAATTCCTCAGAGTACTTAGTCGGAAATCGAGCTTCGTATTCTTTCGTTGATGATCCCATTATTAGTGAGCTTTCGTGGGAAACGCTCTAGCTCATCGCCTAGTCAAAAAAATTTTCAGATGAGATGAGATGAGAGGCGATGAGCACTTCTAGTCAGCAACACAACAAACCGCATTCAAAGCTTCAATATGGGTAAGGGATTCAAATTGAAGGAGCTTTTATCCCACCAAAAGGAGATTGCCAAATTGGACAAAAAGGCAGAGGCCAAAAATGCTCAAAAGAAGATGAAAGACGAGCCTATTGTTGTCGGCCATGAAGACGTTAAGAAAGCGAGCGCAGTTGCCGCAGATGCTCCAAACGACCAAGTGGAAGAAGATGACTATAAGAGCGAGACACTTTCTAGAAAAGAACGCAGGAAATTGAAGAAGTTGGAGAAGAAAATGCTATCTCAAGACCCTAGCGATGCCGAGGACGACGAGGCGGAGTCTGACACCGGCAAAAAGTTGGATCTGGAAAAACTGGAAATGAGCGAGTCAGAAGACGAGGGTGACGAGGAGGCCGAAGAAGGTGACGAAAAGGATGAGGATAACTCTCAGCAAGGCGAAGCTGAAGAAGAAGAAGACGTCGCACTCTCCGACGTGGAATTCGATTCAGACGCTGATGTTGTTCCTCACCAGAAACTCACCATCAACAATGCCAAGGCCATCAACCACTCCTTAGAACGCATCCAATTGCCCTGGAAGAAGCATTCTTTCCAGGAACATCAATCCATCACCTCAGAAAACACCACTGACGAAGGAATCAAGGACATTTACGACGACACGGAACGTGAATTGGCATTCTACAAACAATCCCTAGACGCTGTGCTGCGGGCCAAGCGGGAATTACAAAGCTTGAAAGTTCCTTTTAAAAGGCCCCTGGATTATTTTGCCGAGATGGTCAAGAGCGACGAACATATGGACAAGCTGAAGACGAAGCTTGTCAGCGAAGCCAGCGATCGTAAGGCCCGTGAAGATGCTCGTAAACAAAGACAGCTCAAGAAATTCGGAAAGCAGGTTCAAGTGGCTACGCTGCAAAGCCGTCAAAAGGAGAAGAAAGAAACTTTGGACCGTATCAAATCTCTCAAGCAAAAGCGTAAGCACAATGAAATTGACGACGCCGCCTTTGATGTGGGAGTCGAAGAAGCAACGTCAGAGAAGCCTGAAAAAAGGCACAAGCCAAATGGTAAGAGACTGGCTAAGGACGCTAAGTATGGTCAAGGTGGGATGAAGCGTTTCAAGCGCAAGAATGATGCCAACTCGTCGTCTGATGTCTCTGGGTTCTCCTCCAATAAGATGAAGGGTAAGTCATCTCGTCCCGGGAAGAGCAGACGCGCTAAACGCTTCTAATTCGCCTTGCTATATAGAAGAGGGACCACAGGCTCGACCTTTTTGCATTGTATAATAGAATTCAAAAAACTTACAAACCATCGAGCTGTCCGAACTGACTTGCCACGGTTGAAGAATCACGTAGGGGTTGAAATCCAGCTGCGGGCGGTGTCCAGTGTTTCCAGGGTCGTTAATTTTATCGTTTTTGTTTAAAACTGACACCTAGCCGTTAATTAATCGTCGTATATAAAGAAAAAGCTAACAACTATCGTGAAATGCCATTAAAGCCTTGTGCTCGAAGAGTTTGACGTAAACACAACTCACCTCCCATCAATTGAGTATTCCAGATATTGAAAATGTCCAAGGCTGATAAAAGAGATAAGTTTTTGAGCGTTTTTCCCAAACTCGTGGATGAATTGAAGTCCATCTTGTCTGGCTACGGTATGACCGAGGATGCTATTCAATGGTACGAAAACTCGCTCAATTACAATACACCAGGAGGGAAGCTGAATCGTGGATTGTCAGTGGTTGACACGTATGCCATCTTGAAGGGTAAGGACTCTTACGCTGAGCTTTCCGAAGAAGAATATTTCAAACTGGCCATGCTAGGATGGTGCATTGAGCTTCTACAGGCCTATTTCTTGGTGGCTGACGATATGATGGACAAATCTATCACCAGAAGGGGCCAGCCATGCTGGTACCGTGTTGCAGAAGTGGGCGAAATTGCCATCAACGACGCGTTCATGTTGGAGGGTGCCATTTACTGCTTGTTGAAGAACCACTTCAAGCAAGAGAAGTACTACGTGGACCTGTTGGAGCTTTTCCATGACGTGACATTCCAAACTGAATTGGGTCAGCTGTTGGACTTGATCACTGCACCTGAGGAACGCGTCGACCTCAGCAAGTTCTCCCTTGAAAGACACTCCTTCATCGTGCGTTTCAAGACAGCCTATTATTCGTTCTATCTGCCAGTTGCCTTAGCGATGTACGCCGCCGGTATTAATGACGAGCGTGACTTGAAGCAGGCCCGTGACGTATTGATTCCTTTGGGTGAATACTTTCAGATTCAAGACGACTTCTTGGACTGCTTCGGCAAGCCCGAAGATATCGGCAAGATCGGAACTGACATCCAGGATAATAAATGCTCCTGGGTTGTGAACACTGCTCTTAAATTGTGCAGTACAGAACAGAGACAAGTCTTGGACACAAATTACGGGAAAAAGGACTCCGAGTGCGAAGCTAAATGCAAGCAAGTGTTCAGCGAATTGAAAATCGATGCTATTTACCACGACTACGAGGAGAAAACTGCTCACGACTTAAGAAACTTGATTCAAAGCACCGACGAGTCCCGTGGGTTCAAGGGCCAAGTTTTGTCCGCTTTCCTTGACAAGGTGTACAAGAGACAGAAGTAACCTAAGGAAAGTCGAAAATAAAAAAGGGCTCGTCAGTTCACTACCCAATCCGCCAGCCCAAAGTCTCGCTACTTATCGATATATCGGCCTCTAATTCTGCTACATAGTTCTAAGTGCTTGTGACATCCTCTCCTCGACCAATCATATCTCAGTATTGTATTAGTTGTTAGCCAGTTTGATATCAGTTCGTACGAAAATGCTGGAAGAAAAACTTGAACGCTCTATTATGTGATTCTTGACTACTTGTCAGTTCACCTCGGATTTAGAGGTTCTCTGTCAATTTCGTTTTGGCGTTTCTGAAATCGTAACTACATTATATCCTGCATTTAGAAACACAATGGGTGGTGCGTCAGCTAAAACTTTCATGGGATGGTGGGGTAGCATTGGCTCCCCAAAGCAAAAGGGCGTCACGTCGTATGCGGTCTCTCCATACGCTCAAAAGCCTTTGAACGGAATTTACCACAACGCTGTGTTCAACACTTTTAGAAGAGTGAAGTCCCAGGTCCTATACGTGGCGATCCCAGCAGGCTTGTACTGGATGTGGTGGGTCAACTGCAGGGACTACAACGAGTACCTTTACACCAAGGCCGGCAAGGAAGAACTTGACAGAGTAAATGTCTAAGCAGAGAGGTTGTGGGAGCGCGGCCTTTCCTTTACTGGGTCCGCTCTCTAGTGCTGTCTCTCGTCTGCGGACGGTTGAGTATTTATTATTCCTTATTTTATGAGCCCGTATCGAAAGCGGTGCAAAAACGTCGAGGCATGTGTGCCAATGGGTGAACTTCACTGCATGCCGATTACAAGGGAGTCAGGAAGCTGACAGAAGTCTTCTGAAACGTTTTGTAAGTGTTTAGTTCTAGAGATGTACATGAAAATATAAAAATCCATCAAGAGTCTTCATGTGGCCACCGATGAATTCCTCTATGGTACTTGAGAAAGGTTTCGGAAGGGTTTGCCGGCCTGACAGGAGTCACAAGGACTCAGTGTGCTCGTCAGTGTGTACGTTTAACGTGATGTGTGTTTTAATTAGAATATTATATGGTAGCTCATCGTCCTCGCCAGCTGTCCGCAACTTGAACAACGTCTTAAGGGTTCTCGAGTTTACTCTTTTCCGAGGTTGTTAGAGAATGTAGCGATGGCTAATAGACTCGAAAAGACTCCAAGCTCGCAACTGAGCAAACAATTGCAAAAATTTGGGTCCAAAGTCTCCTCTCTAAACGATTCCAGTGAAACCTTCAAAGCTCCCCCTCATGAGAACAAGGGTGGCGAAGTGGAGGGTGTGAATAGTTCCATTTTGGAGGCGAATAAGGGTTGTGCGAGATCAATTCGGGCACCTGACGGTGCAAAGGCGGATGAATGTAAAGACGGGCTTTCCCCTGCCAAGCGGAGATACAGTCAAGAGCAGCATTCCAGGTCCAGAAATACACTTATAAGAGTTTACTCAGAAAATGAGAGGTCCAATTTCAATGATTTTACAGGTGCCCGTTTGTACGACGACTTGAAGTATAGGCCTGTACATCACGATGGCAGTAGCGGCTCTCCCGTGAGAAGCAGTCCAATCGATATAGCATCCAAGTCAAAGCGGCGACACTCTTTTGAAGAGGACCTTAAAATTGCTCGAGTCGGGCCACACATACCGGGAGAGACCTACAATGACATGCAGGATGAATACGTGCCGGACTTTGACTTCTCCAATGTTGTTTCTCAGTGGCAAAGCGACGAGCATCTCAATGCTTCAGTCAACTCAACGGAGACCGAATATCCACGAGCTTACAATGGGACAGACTATGATGCGGACCTCAGTCGTTCCTCCTCTATGTCATCCTCATCCATTATTCTGCGTACATCACACGCCAAAGTCGCCCCAATTCCTTTACCGGAGGGAAAGCTACCAATCGTGTCCCCGAGTCGCATTCCTCATCACGACCTGGGTACTAATTTCAATGACAAGCCATCGCGGGCATCTCCATTGACGTACTACCGCACGAGACCTGCTCTCAGCATACAACCAAACAACGAACACATTAGGAATTTCAAGAGGCAAAGATCCGGTCAAGAATTAGATTCACCATGTTCGCCTTGGACTGGTACTTCGGTGGCTGCGACTAGCTACATCTCGTCGCAAGATGGCCGTTTATCGACAGAAGATCTCAAGAGCATCCTTGACTGCCTTCCTACGGACTTTTTTGGATTGCCCTACAGTCGGAGAAAGAGGGTTCTGTTGGACAAGTATCCAGGTATTGATTATAAATCAGTTATGCCCCGTCTGAAAAAGACTCACCTGTCATCAGAGAATAGCAATACCCAGTCGCAGGCCAATGTGTCAAGACGCGGTTCTTTGGCGTCTCAGTACCTTAGCTCATTCACCCCTTCTTCTTCCTCTTACAAGCCTAATGACAAGGGCGCGGTTGTCATGGGGCATATGTTAGGGAAAATCATTGGTTTCGGTGCTTGGGGTATGGTAAGAGAGTGTTACCAGATCAAAGAGGATATGAACAAAAGCGGAATCTCCAGTGAGTCAATGAAAGCTGTAAAGATAGTGAGGTTCAGAAATAATGCCACGGTCAAAGCCAGAGTCCTTAAAGAAGTGGAGCTGTGGTCTAGACTGAAACATAGCAACCTGCTTCCCTTGTTACAATGGAAACTCGATGATGATAACGCAGTATACTGCTTAACAGATAAAGTAAGTGGTGGAACGTTGTACGATTTAGTCGCATCATGGGGCAATGCTAAAGATTCCGCGATCGACCTCTCTCTTCGATGTCAAGTAACTGCGAATTTAGGGCTTCAGATTGTAAGAGCTCTGAGATACATGCATTCTCAACATGTTGTCCATGGTGATGTTAAATTGGAGAACTGCTTACTCGCAGAACGCTGTGAGAATCAATGGACTGTCATTTTGTGCGATTTTGGCATGAGCTCTGAGTTTGGAAAAAACGAAGATGAGCGAGATAATCAAGAAATCTCTCGAAGCCCGTTTCTCACCCTGCGACGGGTCGAGGAGCCTCCGAAGAGCAGTCCGCTCCCTTCTGCTAAAGAGCGACCTACTATTTCAAGATCTGAGTCCAGCACCGAAACCACTCTTGGTCTTAAGCCTAATAAACAGTTCAGAAACAAGCATTTGAATCTGGGAAACTCGCTGGTGGGAGTGAGCTCTTTTCCAAAAAATTACGGACCGGGTTTAACTAGCACAAATTTATCTAGAATTTTTCCGTCCAAAGGAGAGTTGACAGCACCCGGCATTAAAAAAAGTGAAGGGGAGGCTTCCCCTGTCACCACCAACTTAGAATCGACCCCAAGCAGCTGCAGTGAGGAGAAGGAATCGCCTTCTTTGAGTATTATAGGATCACTACCATATGCTGCACCTGAACTATTGGAGCCCGTTCCACCGCCACTAGCACCATCGGCCGATGTTTGGGCTCTGGGGGTCACCATTTATACAATGCTAATGGGAAAACTTCTTTTCAAGCATGATTACGAACCGAGGCTGCGGGCGATGATAGCGGCTGCTAAATACGACAGCCGGCCATTGGAAGACGTTTGCAGCTCAAATTCGAATCAACCTCCCGACGGGCCAAATACATTATATCAAGCCGTGAAAGGATCCCTTCTCAAGGACACCTCTGCAAGATGGACATTGGATGCCGTCGGAAATGCGTTACACGAATATGTTAATTCACTTGATGCCCTTCAAAGCTCTTGAAACTGTCAGATTTTTTTTGAAGGCCAAACCAGGTAGCGCATTCTCACAGGTCATGCTAGCAGCACTACCTTACGAGCAGCGACGTAAATCTCTTGTATATTGTATGTCAAAAGTGTTGATGTTATTTTGAACGAATGCCAAAATTTTATGTACAAATCTCATACTAACTAATAAGCGATGAAAACCAAGCTTTCTATGCTCTTAGATGATTTGATATAGAAAACAATTGAGTAGCCCTTGAGATTTTCGCGCTCCTTCCTTTCAAGTCTCTAGTATACAAAAATGATTTATCTTAAGTCTATGCTAAGAGTCATTGACAACTCTGGTGCTCAAATGGCAGAATGCATCAAAGTTTTAAGAAAAGGCTCACCAAAGTCGCCGGCCAGAGTTGGGGACAAAGTCGTTTGTGTGGTCCAAAAAGCTAGACCGTTGACTCAAAACATCACTGGTACCTCAAATACCAACCGCGTCAAGAAAGGAGACATTGTGCATGCGGTCATAGTGCGTACAAAGCAGAAAAATTCTATTCGCAGTGACGGTTCGGCCGTGAGCTTCGGAGACAACGCGTGCGTTCTGATTAATAAAAACAGTGGTGAGCCACTTGGTTCAAGAATCATGGCCAATGATGGCTGCGTAAGTAGAGAATTAAGGGAAAAAGGCTTCAACAAAATCTGCTCATTAGCAAGCAGAGTCGTCTAGTATGGAACAGAACTTTGGGCATCATTATCATTTGTTCGGATTGTCACTATAAACCTCCTGTATATATAACTAGTAAGACAAACCTATCTTTGAGAATTTCGCACAGATTAGAAATTAGGAATTGTAGGTCACCCGTTCATTGCAGGCTAGGGGAGCCGTAGTTGACACAGCACCAAGTTCTTTTCATCCAATTGCTATGCAGAAGCTTATCGACGCTGGTTCTTTTCTCTGGATTCCATTGGAAAATTGCGTACAGACACAACTTTCTACAACGACCGACCTCAGGGGCCACATGTCTCAGATCTTCAAATACCGAGTACTCTCGCTTATTGCGGATTTCCTCGATAAAAGCTGCATACACTGGATCTTTGTCTACTAATGGAATTTTCCACAGATAATGGCCAAGCACCATAGTGCAGTATATTACACCACAACTCCAGCAGTCTACTAGCCGAGGGTCATACTCTTTTTGAGCAATGAACTCCTCAGGCGCCACATACGGTTCAGAGCCCACGGCCCCACTTTGGAAATGAACTTGCTTCTCCCACGCTGTTTGAAAGACACAACTGGTGCCAAAATCGCAAATCTTTAACGTCCCGTCAGGACCAAAAAGAATGTTCTCAGGCTTCAGATCACAATGTGCGATACCGTGGTCATGCATATACTGGACACCGCGAAGCAACTGTTTCATGAAGCAGTCCGCCTCTAGGGGGTGTAGTCCATTTTTGGAAGTGCGTGAAAGTAAGCTGTACAGATCCCCAGATGGACAAAATTCTAACACTTCCACAAAGCCGTCATTAGTTTGCATTAGATCAAGCATCTTCAAGATATTGGGATGTGACTCCTGCTTGTCATTTCCTCTTTGACTAAGAGCATGTCCTATAATGAATTCAGACGTTAATCGTGTGCCAAACTTTTCCTTGGGTTCGTCTCCTTTGGGCTTTAATTTTTTAACAGCATAATACATTTTGGAACCTTTGACGAACGTCTCATCATGCGATCTCTCATCCGTGACATTTGAAGTTTCAATGCAACAAACTTTAACGACACCGTAAGCACCGTGGCCGATAACGCCGATCGGTTTCCCATACTTTTGAAAGAGGGTATAGTTTTTTTTCGCCATGTCTTCATCCGATGTATATTCTTTAGCACCGCCGTCGTGAATCTTTTTGGAGATCTTGTTGATCATTTTGAGTTCCTCTGAACCAATTGCTGCTTTGGGATTTACTGGTTTCGGCATATTTTTCTCCTTCCCGTCGCTGTCGAGCTCACCATCGTCGTCTTTAAGTTCTTCATCCAGTATTCTGCTTAGTCTTTTGTGGAACTCGAAGCGCGTCCTAGGTAACAGAGAGAGAGCACTTTCAAGCTTTTCATCATCTTTGTGACCCTTGAAGAAACCTGATAGAGAAAACATAGACTTGCCCTTGCCATCCTCATCATCTTGGTTTTCACAAACAATCGGACTAACCTTGAGCGTGTGCTTATGTGAACCATTTTCATGAAGGCGGAAAGTTTCGGTTTTGAGAACACAGCCAGAGTCGTTATCCTCAGGTTCTTCGCGCAATTGACTATTAGCACTATGTGTAGGGGACCTCGCGCGGTAGCGAGATGTCAGTGACAACGAGCGAGACCTTGATGAAGCTCCCGACTGTGAGCCTTGTCTCTGTAAGCTCTTAGCACGACGTACAGTTTCGGGGTTTTTCGTAAGTTCATTATCAATTGAGGAGTCTTCGTACCCACCGCCATGATTCTGGCCATGGGCAACGGCACCGCCCACCTTGGGGTGGAAATAGTCGACATCCTCGCCCTCATCCGACAATGAGTCCCCATGTCTTGGATTTTTGCTCAAATACGAAGACCTGGTTCTGAATTTCGGATCATCGTCACTAATTACCGATTCTTGAGACGTGTGTCCACTTTCTCCCTGCTTGCGAAGTGACAGCTTGCTGAAATCATTCAAAACTGAGTGCTGTTTAGCACTTTTGGTCTCACTACCCAAGTGTGGTTTGTGTGCGGTCACAGGTTGAGCCAATGTGTTTTCCACCAATCTAGATGGTGATCCTGCATTGGGATCTCGTCTTTTGCCTTCAAGCTCCAATTCTTTACTTTTGGCAAGCTTTTTGAGCTTGTCTCCGCTCTTTAAGCCTACTGAACCACTTTCAGCGGTTGTATGAGGAGGCCTGGGTGGTGACGTTGACTTGAAAAGGCCCTTGATGGATTTCGAGATCGAACCCGACCGTTTCAGCTCATGTTTGGGAGCGGCTTCTTCGACCTCAGGCTTTCTAGGCATAACAAAAAAGGCTCTAAAATGCTGATTCTGACCGTTCAGCGGCTAACAACGGCCAAACAAAAAGCACTTTAAGCCGTTTTATGCCAGCTCGATGATCTGTAACGGGCTGAAGTATCATTGAAGTATCATTATATAAAATTCCCTAATTATTGCAAAACTCTCACTTTATATCATAGTGTACGCATGTGACGCTACACAGTTCAGAAGCAGTGACATGATCACCAGTAGAGCATTAAACCTCGAATGAGGATCGATAGTACTCTACTGTGCCCGCTTCGATCTCATTGTGTATTTTATTGTTATATCTCTCAAAATTCAAAAGTGGACAAGTCCTTGAACAAAGCCTTTGATTTTGCTGACGGCGCTCAAAATAACCATAAAGGCACCAAATAAGGAGAAAGACAGCGTGCTGATAGCAGCAGCCCGTCTATCGACGCCCAGGAGATATGCAGTAGCAATGGCGCCACAATTGCACCCTAGAGTTAGCCCACGAGTAACGTAGTCGTCCTCAGGAACTCTTAATAAATCCAAGAGTGGGCCGCCGGTCAAAACGCCCATGATGCCACTGACAACCGTGGTGACTGCCATAATCGTCACCGAGCCTTCGAGATTTTGAATTGTTGGCGTTCCTAATGCCAGAGTAATGCTGCGGCCTATAAAGCCAATGGACATCTCGCTAGAGATTCCGATATGGTAGCATATCAATGGGTAGAGTATCAACGACCCCGCGCACAGCAACAGGATAGGAGGTATCATGCTTAAAAAGTGGCGGCGAAGATCGTAGCGATGCGCATACATCGGTAAGGAGAGTCCGACGATTGAAACGTCCATGCACGTCGCGAAGACGTCGCCGGCGCCAGGCCAGGTATGGTTGGTGTATGCGGCGTTGTCAAAGAGTCGCAAATACGTTCGTCCACTCTTATAGCTCGTCAAATCATCCAGAAAGTACTTGATATGCCGGTGCTTGATCATCGCTGATATTAGGAGAAGCACCCATGTTAGGGCAACAGACGCGATCACAGGGTGTACAAGCTTCTTGAGCATTGGGTTTTTGATGAACGGGTTGTCCACAATGAACATGAAGGTGCAGACCGCTGTAAAGAACTGAAAGGGCATCACATACCAGCTAAAATAGTAGGTGAAGATGCTTGTGATAAATCCTATCCCATACAAAATGTGATGTAAATGGGCTCGCCACACGTTGATGGCATAAATTTTGTCCATTTCATCGCTAAAGTCCGCTGGGAGTTGGCACGTTAGAGCCCGTTGACAGATAGGAGAATTTTTCTCTCCTTCTGTGGCTGCGGTGGACACGCTCTTGTTGGAGTAGGTGGGCTCTGGAGTCCGAATATGTAGTCTTCTGACTGGGCCGGAAACATTGTCTGTCGCTCTTGTGTAGCTCGGATGTAATGAGTTCGAAGCAGTCATTTGAACGACGGTCGAGGGCCTAGAAGGCTCGTGGTGTGCCCCATTTGGCTCTGCGTGCGATGCTCGAGACTCGAGCCCCGTATTGCTGGCGATGTCGGATAACCCAGCATCCGGTTCTAGCTGATCACAATCATGGTCAACGCCACTACTGAACGGTGCTGCTGGACTCAATGGGTTGTCGCTGGGGGTTACATTGTGGGCAGTGGGGACGCGCGAAAAAGAGGATCCAACCTCCATTCCATTGCCGATTTCTTCCTGTCTGGCAAAAAGACTGGTAAACTTGCGACTCCCAACAAGTTTCTGACCTAAGATGGTAATGTATGCCAGTACCATGAACGTTAACACATATCCTATGACAAAAACAGCAGCTATCAGCAACGCCTCTTGCCAAGATATCCATTGACTTAGCGGTAGAACCACGAACGCCGGGGTGAAAAACAGATTCATCCACCGCAAGCTCCAGCTCAGTGGAACATCAATGATCTTGACGTACAAGTCGGCGTATGGTCTACGCCAACAACTCAAACAACACATGAGGCCAAAATTGATGAGCATAACAGCGACACTCGAAGGGAAGGTGACCTTAATCACATTTCTGATCAGTCGGTCAACGCCATACAATAAACATAGAGTCAGTAAAACCCCGATTGGAACCAAAGCGTAAGTCTTGAACAATTGCGACTTGTTAGATTTCACAAATTGAACAAGCAGTTTGCAGTGTCGGATCAGCATTCTCATTTCGCTCTGATATTTGGTCTGAAGACCAATATCGAGGGCTCAGAACCGATGAGCGAATTAGATACTACGGGTGCGTTCTATTCAGTATTACCGGTTGATTGGTGAAACTTTTGAAATATGTGCCTCGCCAGTACGTTAAGATTGTGCCGCTAACAAATATCACTGTATCGTGAAGTTGATGACCGAGGTGCTCTCATTGAGTACGTAGGCTGATGAGTGTGTAACGCTATATATGGTAGTGGGAACGGGCATTTGCAAGCGGAGAGTTTAGCAGATCGTCGAGTCGTTCGCCTTAGGTACTTTTGATCTGTGGTGATGATTTGATGGCAATTTCGACAATTTGAGCATCGCGCGATTGGCATATTGTGGAACGTGTGGCAACGGCCCACATAGTAGCTATATACAAGAGGGTTGCAGCTCGCGCTTCGAAATTGAGGTAACAGCACCAATCGTGACGTTAAAATCGTTAGGCTTAGCTATAAATTGAAATTCATAGTCTCACAATGTCCGGCTCGGCCACGCGCGTGTGTTCAATTTTAGCGAGTAGTTCCTTCATAATCTGTGAGCCTTGTTTGTTGCGCATGTCCAGCTGATCGACCGCAACTCCTTCTTGGCCGATGATCTCGAGAGTACATGGCACGCTGGCATCGTTTTTGTTGTCGTTCCTCACTCTGGTAACTTGAAACTGCAGTTGGGGGTTGTAAAACTGCAAGGTAGGGAGGTACTCACGCCAGAACTTGCGAGCACCCATGTGGCCATTGTGGTTTTGGTATTGGAAGGTCAGGTTGAGTCCCGAGTATTTTTGACCATTTAGAACAACTTGAGGCTCTAGAGTGGTCGAACTTATTTTATTGAAAAACTTCAGCTGTCTACTAACTCGAGACATAATGCTAGCAATCGCGAAGTCCTGATAACCTAGCCCTGTTTGCTTTTCAGAGCAGGAATTTCGTTGTTATCTTATAGATGATGCTCGTCAAAATTTTTGAAAACTATTATTACATACATACTTTATAGCCTCTTTTGTCTGCTTCGAATGCTCGTCTAAAACCAGACAAGACGCTATCAACAGCTCGAGCCCATCACTAGAGAACAAAACTCAGTACTTATTTAGATATGAGTGCAGACCGAAATTTCATATGTAACTAGATCTGGACCTCTAGTATCAAACTTCGTAGTAATTAATAAAGTGTCAGTGCGTGATGAGGGAGAAGTTTATAGTTGTCTGTGGTAGGTTCAAAACTCGGCAAACAAGTCCTTGTGAGGGTCTTCTGCGTCAGTTCCATAAAATATTTCCTCCTCTGGGTATCTATCGTATTGGGAAGTGTCGCCCTGGCCCGATTGAATGGGAGGTTCGTATGGAGTCTCAATGTTCCTGCACAGCAGTTTCTCCCATACCACCTCGCTGAACCAGGCGTGGTTCTTGACATCGTCGGTGCCATTCTGCAGATTCCCTAGTCGCTTACTCAGATCGCGAGTGATCAACTGGGTCAGTAGGTCTTGGACGTCTGCGTGAAAAAAAGGTGGGAATTGCAATTGAGCGTTTAGAATATTTTCGTAAGTCTTCATAGTGTTAGAGTCGTAAAAGGGTGTGTAGCCAGCCAGCATTTCGAAGATCAGTATGCCAAAACTCCACCAGTCAACGGACTTGTTGTAAGGCTTTGTGCTCACCACCTCTGGGGCAATGTAGTCTGGCGTTCCGCAAAGGGTGTATGTCACGTCGGGTACGTGTTTGGCGAAACCAAAATCTGTGATCTTGACATGACCATTTTTATCCAGAAGCACATTTTCGGGCTTCAGGTCCCGGTATATTATGTCCTGGGAATGCATATATTCGAGAGCCAAACACACTTCGGCGGCGTAGAACTTGGCAACGGGGTTTGGAAACCTTTGAGATTTGCGCAGGAGGGAGAAAAGCTCACCACCTTCGATGTAGTCCATGATCATGAACACTTGTTCGGAGTCTTGGAAAGTTCCCCACATGCGAATAATGAACGGGTGTGTGACAACGGCCAACATGCGCCTTTCGTCGTTGGTGTGTTCCACTTGCTTGAGCTTAACAATGGTTTTCTTTTTCAACACTTTCATGGCGTAGAAGCGTCCATTGTGGTTGGAGCGCACCAAGTGGACCCGGCCAAAAGAACCGGTACCTAATGTTCGTAAAATGTGGAAGTCTTTGAGCGTGTACTTACCCGACGTTTGTCGAGATTGCAGAGGCTGTTGTGCGGGAGATTGCATCTGTTGCTCCTGTTGCTCCTGTTGCTCCTGTGGCTCCTGTTGGTGTTGGGTCTGAAGCGATTCCTGTATCGAGTTTTGGGCGGAATCCGCCGGCAGCACACCCATGGGCAATTCCTGTAGTGTTTCGGACATATTTTAAGACTTCGTCGCAACCAGAATATCCTATGCGAAACGAACGGAGCAGAGGAAGGCGATAGCAAGAGGTGTAGGGCACCTCAAAAAGAGGGGAAAATAAGGGGGGAAAGAGATGGTGAGTCTATTTGTGACACTTCGTAGCACAATAATGACAGCTGGTTGGCGCCGTCTCGATTCCCGAAACTAGTCTTCGGCGCTATTGCAGATCGTGGAAAACGTTTGCTAAAATGCCCAAGAGCGCACTATTTCCAAACAGTTCTCGAAGGGAAAAACGATATCCTCTGGTAGATTCAAGTATCTGAACAGTGCAAGCCTTCAAATTGTAGCAATATGAGTGGTATCCAACTTGGGATCCTAGCAATGCTCTGTCTTGTCGAACTTCATTCAAGTAATTTTTAAGCAGAGCAAAAAACACACCCGTTAGAAGTGAGTATCAGATGACAGCGCGTAGGCGTCAGCGACGGTCAAGACTTCAGCTACCATGAAGATTAAGACCGGCCACATAACAACTGTCTGCAAAAGTGAGCCTAGATAAATAGATAGATATGCATCGCAAATAATATTAAAAATACCATACTCCTTGTTTCCTTTCTTCTATTTGTCCAGTATCTAGGAGGAGGTAGTTAAGACTTCAGCTACCAGGACGATTAAGACCGGCAACAGAATAACCGTCTGCAAAAGGGAGCCTGCATCGCGAATAATATTAGAAATACCATACTCCTTGTTTCCTTTATTCTACTTGTCTAGTTTCTAGAAGGAGGTACCCTCAGCGACTTAGACGTAGAGGCTCTTCTCTCAACAGGCTGAGAAGAGGATACATCAGATCTATCAGAGGATCCCTTGATAGATACTTGAGATGGCCTGCGTAGTAGTTCGGAGTCTGTCACGATCTTGATAGTAAATGAAATTGCCAGCGCGATTAGGGCCGAGCAGAGTGGAACTAAGAGGAACGCTCTGGGCTGCTTATTCACGGTGTGGCCATAGATTTGCAAAATGAGCACCGGAAACACTAGCATGGCTAAGCTTCTTATTAGAGCCATGGCTCCAAAAACTTCGCCAACGGAGCTTTGGGAGCAGTATTTGGCAACGGTGGACTGTACGGTGGGTGAAAATAGTGCGCTTAGATTTTGCATCATGGCGTAGATGATCATCGAGTAGCCCTTAGAATCACCTCGGACAGCGGCCAGGAAGGATAAAACCACCGCACCCATTGCCACACGGAGGGAAATCATGTCAACGGCATCGATGGAGTTCTTGAGTGTTGGGTAGTATTTCTTCAGCCAAGATAGCGACAGGGGTGCGATCAGAAGTAGTACAAAGGCCCTACCCAGGCAAAGTAGCGTGATGAAATAGCCCAGGTCCACGGAATCCCAGTGGTAGCGGAAGGTTCCATACATGAGGATAGGGGCAGCTGCGGCCGTAGTGGAAGCGATAAACAGCACATCCATCGATACTAGTGCGACTACGGTATAACGGCCCACAAATGAGCCATGAACAGAAGGAGGTAGCCACAATTTCTTTAGCGGTGACAACAGGTCCAAAAACTGCAACAAATGGTATTTACCGCGGTTGTTGAGGTAAGAAGAGGAGCCGTTTGAGGCAATGGAACTGATACTGCGCTTGCGATGTAGAAAGTGATTTTGGCTGTGTTTTAGTGCATCTCCGTGGCGCGACTCGGTCAAAACGAAGCTAACAAATATCAAGTAGACAATCGATCCGCCAAACGCTAGAAAGAATGGCACAAAGCTGTTGCCCTTGAATATTTTTACCAAGGAGGAGCCAATTAAGGGACCCAGCCCCATCGCTCCATAAAATGTGCTCATTAGCATACTGATTGCAAGGGTGCGATTGTGGGCCTCAGTGCAATCTGCGGCATAGCTGTTCCCCGTGGCAACAATGACCAGTATCCCGCCATGTAATGATTCCAAACTGTTAGCGAAGATCATCAACGTCTTACTATATGGCGTCTGTGGTATAACCGTGCAAAATATGGCAGAACAAGTGAGAAGTCTCACCATGCCAATGTAAATGAGAATTGGTTTCCTGCCAAACCTGTCCGAGAGCTCGCCCAACTTCCCGGCCAGAAGTGTGCCAACAATACCGCAAATGATAGCTATCCCTGTTTGGATGTCTGAGAACTCTGCTTGTGCGCTTGACATATCACAGGCCCCATCAACACCTTTGGCCCTGCAAACCTTATTCAGGGACAGAACGATTGTTGGTGATAGTATGATACTGTGCGTTAGAGTAATAAGCCCTAATACAAAGCACAGAATACCAACACCAGGTTTCCGCCACCCCAGATGCGAGTTTTCAGCCCTGACTTGCCTCAGCCATCGAACTTCATCTGCTTCTTCAGCAGCAGCTTCTCCCAAGAGAGACTCTCCTAAACGTTCAACTACGGCTTCCACTCCCTCTAAATCTGGAGCTAGCAAAGCCGTAACCTCGTTGGGCTCTGAAATGGGTATATCGCTAGACGTTTCTGCCATTGGGCTCCAGTATTAAATTAACAGGTTGCTAAATGTATCTATCCCTAGTGTGTAATTTCTATGATGATTAAGTACCGTCGCTACCCACAACAACTTATTGAAAAGGGTTGATATATATGATTAGAAAAGCAAGACCGGTGCCAGTCTAGCTCGATCGTTTCTGGAATATTTACCTATTTTAATTTTGGGGTCCGCTTTGCGACCGTTGTTAGCCTTTCGTTCGGCAGGCCCAAATTTGCCGTTCCGTTCTCGATTTGCAGCCCTGGGACGGAAAATACAGGTGAGTCGAGTTCAGGTAACCGGACTGCTTTGATGAACCTGTTTAACTCCCTGGGACTTTAAAAACTTTTCAACTCTATGTGTTTAGGTAATTTATGTTCAATGCGTCTCTATGAGTCCACGGAATGCCGCTTTTGAGCGCCAGCAGGGTATTTAAAACGCGGCCGAGCTCCACGAAAATGTACACGACCCCTAATGATTCGTAATCACTGCATTTTCTTGAGCTTATCAGCTTCGTGAAGGGCAACGTTACGGAGCAGCACATGACTGATAAACTCTAATAGAAGCATGGTGAGCGACGACAGAATGGCTAAACAGTAATTCGAAATCGTAACGCCAATGTCCAACCAACTACCTTCGGTTTTCAGTAGATAGAAGAATTGTAGGGAAAGAATATCACTGGTACAGATAATCAGGGAGGAAACGCTATAGTCTCTTATCTGCAGCTTTAAATTTAGTATTCCAAGGCCCGTCGACAGTGTGATGAATGGCAAGATCAACTTTATCATCAACAATGCACCCATAGGAAATGGATCAAAAACTGGCATCAGCCTGTAAACAGAATCCAGTGAAAATGAAGAAATTGAAGAAACGTTACCGGTCCCGAAAAATGCTACCTGGGATAGGAAAAACCCTATCACAGAGACCCGCAGCAGCTGCAGCCAGTTCCGGGGCCCTGCAGTAATATCATTATGCGACTTGATTGTGGATTCGACTTCGATCCATTGGACGATATACGCAGTGAAGAGAAAATAAAAGAAGGATTCGAATGAGATGGTCAGAATGATAAAAGAAGGTGCAAAAGTGAGATATATCACCAGCATTCTGACCTTGTAATCGTTGTTTGGCTTCAAATAATGGCATATTGGCATTCCAACTAAGGATATCACAAATACGAGCCAACCTGCGATTTGCGAATCTCTTGGCAAACCCTCTCTATTCTGTAAAGATATCACAGACTTGTTTGTAATCGCCAACATAGCAATGATAAGCGTCACTTGAAGCAATAAAAGGTTCAAAGTATGGCGCTGAATACTGGTGCGCACAGAATAAATCCCCCAGAGGCCGCTGACAATAATCAGCAGGCCCGCCACATTGATCTGGCTCAAGCTCTCTGTTTTGACAGCATCAAACAATGTGAAAACAGAGATACACATGCTGGTGAGCATCCAAAGCAGATTTTGACGTACACTTGTAACATTGCAAGCGAGCGGATAAAACCCTAAAGCGATAAAGTTCGCAGTGAAGATCCAGCGGTGGAAAAACCCGTAAACGATACTTTCATAAACAGCGAGTACTGCCAAAACAACGCCAATTTTTTTGCTCGTGGTAATGCCTTTAAAGAACTCATCAATCCCTTCAATCAAAATAACTCTATTCTTGATTATTTGATTCCAGAAATATAGTGGGAATAGCAAATACATGTAGAAATTGAATGGAGAGCCTTGATAGTAGAGAACATAATTCAATGCTATTGAAAGAGTACCAAAGGCGGCGTAGTTGAGAGCGGACCCTTTTAATTTGTACTCTTTGTTCAATATGAACAACCTCAAGAAAAGAATGAACGAGTAAGTGATCCACCCCACGAATCCAAGAGTCACAATAGACCTGGTAAACTGTCTGTTGTAGGTGGTCAAGTAGTAGAGACCCTCTAGCGTCTTGGTTAACAGTTCCTCAGTTAAATCTATGGCTGCATGTTCCCAAACTAGTTCTCCCATTGACACTTTATGAATCAGCTCCTCGATTTCTTTCTTGTACTGCGAAGGTGGCTTAATAGCAAAAGGAGGATATTGTTTGAATGTGAATTGGGACTCAATGACTTCCTGTTCTTTTACTAGGTACTGTTCCAAAATACTCTTGGCGTTGGCGTAAAGTGCCCTCAATTTTTTCTCTTCAGATCCATCGATGTATGCCAAAGGTAATTCGCCCACCGAGTTAACGGGATAGTTAGCACCAATGAGATATGACATTAACGATGTTATATCGGCTTGCTTTACGTCATTTCTCCGGATATGCGACAAATTCCAGCCTTCAGTATAGTTATCAAAAACAGGTATTTCCATCGTGACAGGCTTGTTAATGCCTGGTCCCCAAGCAACTAGCGGAGTTCTCGTGTTGTTTGGATGTCCGTCTCCGTGAGATCCAAAAGCACTCATTCCGTGATCCGCAGTAAAAATGAAAGCAGTTTCCTCATCACCGAAAAATTCATGAACTCGTGGGACAAGCTTCTGCAGTTGCTGATCAATGTACTTCACGTTGTCGTAATATTCTGCGGAGTATGGACGGTAAGAATGGCCAGCTGTATCACAACCTAAAAGATGAAGGAAAAAAACATTGCCAGATTCCATTATGTCTTTGCGCAAATGTGAATTTACACTAGCATTATAAAAAAGATCGTCCAGCTTGTCAAAGACGAACGCATCTAGTTCGATGGACGATTGTGTAAAGTCTTCGTACTCATGCCCGTACATCCAAGCATCCACCCTATTCGGATCCGAGGCACCATCCTTGAACATTGGCAAAATATCTGGAGATCCAAAAGAGTACGTGTGCCTTGACTGGTTAAAAAAACTGTCAAAGTCCACAGGGTTCTCTTTCCAGCCTTTGGTCACCGCACTGACGTCCTCGTAAAAGCCGGCAATCATGGCTACATGACCAGGCCGCGACTCAGTCGGCATTCTGGTATGCGAGACTCCGTAAGTGGCATTCCGTTCCACCAATGACCTGATGTAAGGCGCCAAGTGCGCAGTTTCCCCCGATATGGGGTGTGTTATTTCGTCGAACGTGGTATCGGCCCTCAATCCATCTCCCACAATCAGAAACAAACGCTTGGCGGGGGGTTCTTCGGTGCTGCGGAACGGCTTCATGCCATGTACCAGAGGTGACACGAAATAGATATCAAATATCGACCATAGGTAAAAGAAGTGGAAGAGAATACCAACTACCACTAGTAATAGTCGATGTTTGCTCCACATATCCTTTTGATCGTCGACAATTGCGGTTTATGAGTGCAATACTAGCCCACCTGCGCTCTCTGGATTCTTCACGTAGAACTAATATTTTAAATACCGTGTACGTGGTAAGAACTCGAAATCTGACCTTGCGGGACATCGCCATTGACGGCTCATCGCGCATAACACTTTTCCTAGGATCCAGAAGTTCTGTGGTATAATGACTTCAGGAATGTAGCATAACTCTCTGAGACTAGCCTTTGTCGGTTTTGTAGTTCTTGTAATCTTTCACCGAGCTCCATGTCGTATTTTTTTACTTGGAGTAGTATGGCCGTGTTTTCGACGCGTGCAAGACGTTCGTGGAAAAGGTCGTCAGCAGTTGAACGCCTGAGAAGCGCATCTAATAGCTGGCGTTTGTGTTTAGAGGCCCTATCTTGAAAATCTTTCACCATTTCTGTTGTGTGCAGAATTTCTTGCTTGTCCATGACATTAGCGTGCAAGCTGGGGATGGTGGGTAACGGGATTCCAACAAGAGTGGCATCTAGACCTAGCTCTCGAAAAGAGAGCTGCTCCACCTTATATATACGTGGTAATGGCTCGTTAACGGGTCGTGAGAGACTCTGTGGCTCAGACCCACGAGCCGCGAATTCAGATTGAGATGTTTTCCCCCGCTGTATGGATACCCTTTTCACCGTTTGGTCCGTATGAGCAGATTTGGCCCTCTTGACACGCACGTCATCCAGCGTATCACTGACCTGGCGCATATCAAAAAACATATCATCGTTTGGAAGGACGTTCTCCAGCTCGCTCAGTCTGATAGCTTCGGGTGAGCCTAGGGCTGACGGATTTATAGAGGGTCCATCGACGGCAACGGATCTTTTTTGAGGAATTGACTGCTGTCGCGTCTCTTGCGAATCAGGAGTTGTATTATTTTGCAAGTGTCCTCGAGTTTCAGCGTTTGATACACGTCCATTTGCCGGCTCCTGGTCAACGACAGTAGCGCTGGTGGTCTTTTTTGAAGCATTTGTCTCAACTTGAACCTTATTGAGGTTTTCGACAATATTTCTGATATCTTGTAGCGTTTCTACACTGGAATTTGTCTGCTGTTTGATGGGTGACGTAGATCTGCGACTGCGTTCCTTATCTTGATAGGCCGATCGCGCGTAATGCCGCTGATGTTGGTTCATAAATGGTGACAGTGGGGGCTCTTGGTTATCTGTGTCCGTCAGTTTATCACCATTTAGCTTTGATCGTTTCCCTCTAGAAAATGTAGCGAGCAAATCTTGGTTATCATCATGAGAGTCCACGCTCGTGGCGGGAAACCTAGAGCTGTAAGTCGAACCTCGTATTTTGGATTCATCTGCGGCTGGTTTCGTAGTTACGGGTCGCTGATGTTGGTAACTTTTAGCTTTGAAAGGTTTGTCTCGGTTGGGTGTATGTGACCCTTTAGAGGAAGGACTGTTTTGCACAGTATCATCCCCGATCCCAAAGCCATAGGGCTGTTGCTCATAGGGCTTATTTCGTCTCTGGAAAGATGTTTGTGGCCCAGGTTTGGGTGGGGCCACCGGTGAGGTGGCCCTCGCAGAGCTCGACCGAGGCACGATTTTTTGGGGAGAAACTTTGGCCGGCTTTTTGGGGCTCTGCGATGTTATGGTTGACTTCTCCACTAGTGTAGAGAGCCTACAGGCCTTGGGCACATAGGTGTGAAGGCCCTTGGATATAAGCTTGATGTTGTAGTCTCGTTTCTTCTCCTTGTCGGTGAGGACAGACTGTGCGTGTGATACGAGCTTGAACAATTCCGCTGCACTTTTGGATTTATTTTTATCTGGATGAATAGCCATAGCTATCCTTCTGTATGCTTTTTTGATCTGCGAATCTGAGGCATCGGTTGTAAGTCCCAATACGGAATAGTATGTTGTTTGGTCAATCCATACTTCGTCAGTGACCATATTTGCTATGTCGCAGTTGGAGTGGGAGGTCAGTGTCACAAGGAAATGGTGTTTTGTCAGGTAGTAAGCTTGTCAATCTTACAGGTCATCGCTATCGTCGCTATCATCTAAGTCAATTGTAAACATCTCAAAGTATGGAAACCAGGTAGCAGTACTTTCCCCCCCCTTGGGAATCGAACACAGACCGTTTGGCTTGAAATGTGTCTCCCTTACCGCTCGTCTAAGAGTAGGTCATTTCCCAAATCCCGCAGTCTGAAATTCGAGCGGGTCGCCACGAAAAAATGCCAGAAGCGTGATCTCCAGTCAATTTGATCGTGTGAACAATTCAAAAAATAAATGTAAATGATTAACTCCGATACCGGGAATCGAACCCGGGTTTCCACGGTGAGAGCGTGATGTGATAGCCCCTACACTATATCGGATACTAGTTGTGAGAAATGATTATACACTTGCTGTATATACTGCGCTTTTTGTCATGTGTTAAGGTCAACTATCGTATTCTTGAGCACTCGCTTCGTGTGGTTGCCTCAAATCAGCTCTGTTTTTGAATCGGCAATCACGTCAACTAAAGCCCTTTCTCCTCCGCTTTTTTTTCATTTTTCAGTTAATGTTTGTGCCCATTGGAACATCCTTAGCCTCAAATTCCTGATCCTCCATCGCACCCACCGTGACACCAATAACCTAGACAAAACACTCAAACACAATGCCGTCCGTGGACACATACCGATGTGAATATAACTAGACTAATTCAAAACTTCGGGTGGAATTCAGATGTTTTTTATTACACTCCCCCGCATTTAATTTCCGAGCGACACTAAACGGTACGTAAACACCCTAGAAAATTTCTAATAACAAAGTAAGTAGTTTGAAAGGGCGACAGTGTTCTGCTCTTCGCATGTATCTCTACTAGAAATTTTTGAACACAGCTCTTCAAGTGCAAAGGTCATGGGTTTGTTCACCGGGCAGAGAATACCTTTTCAGGCCTCTAAACGCAACGTCTTCTCTAACTTGACAATCAACTCACTTTTCGGACTAGGCATATATCTTTTATACAAGGACCACCAGCTCAAAGAAGCGAAGAAAATTGATCCACCCCGACTTCCCGATCCTGGTACCATGCCTATATCCTCAGGCAGTAAAGTAACACAGGCGATTTCAAATCTGTCATACCGAGAGCTTTCTTTTATCGTGGTGGGTTTCGGTTTTACAATGCAATTGGCGAATATGGCACACATATCTTTTGGGAGGCAGTCATCTTTATACAAACTAGGTGTCGCGTCTGTTATTCTGTACCTCCCACTGACTTCCTATTTGTATAGCTCACGCATACAAACAAACGGAAGTTGAGAGGGCAAGGAACGAGCTCTGGGTTTGGGCGTCAGACGCGGATGTGTAGTTAATGCAATGGATGTCAACATAGTAATAAAGCGTTTAATAACGGAACTAATATACATAATACGGAATAGAAAAGGCTCCTCCTCAAACCTTGGAGCTCTAACCTTAATGCCCCGTTGTGGGAACATTACGAACTAAGTTATCGATTCATTGAACGAAGTTTTGCGGAAATAGAATTGATCGTGACGATTTCGTGAACTAGCGACTAAGCAAATAGCCGGCGTGTGGTGCTGATTAATTTGCTTTAACAGTCGATTAGCTCAATGACTTCCAAGTGGACTGGGGAGCATTGAGCACCGATGGATTCGTCGTACAAGTTGTAAAAGGTACCAGATAGACATTGGTAGAAAACATCGTGTTCACCAACGGCCAAGTTACCCTCTGGGGTGATACTCCAGCCAGCAGCGTAGATGGCACCGGCTTGTGGAGGAGGACCGTCGAATTGGAATTGTCTGTTGGCCACGATGGAGCCGATTCTTCCCTTGGAGTCCTTCAACACACTCTTTTCCAGGGTCATGGATAGAGAACCGTCGGCTTTGCAGGAGACAGCCTTGACAAAGGCGTCGGCGTCGGAGCTGGAGGCTGGGGATGTGGAAGAAGAGGTGGTGGCTTGGATTTGGCCGTCAGTGATTTGAGAGGCGGCTGGCACAGTGCTAGTGGAGTTGTTGGCTTGGATCTGACCGTCACCGATTTGAGAGATGGCAGCAGCGGATGGCTTCAAGGTGGTGGTGGTAGCTTGGATTTGACCGTCGCCAATTTGAGAGATGGCAGCAGCAGAGCTCTTGGCGGAAGTGGTGGCGGTGGTGGCTTGGATTTGACCGTCACCGATTTGAGAAATGGCAGCAGCGGTGCTCTTGGCTGGGGCAGTAGAAGTGGTAGCTTGGATTTGGCCATCACCGATCTGCGAGATGGCAGCAGCAGTAGACTTCTTGGCAGAAGCAGTAGAAGTGGTAGCCTGGATTTGGCCATCACCGATCTGCGAGATGGCAGCAGCGGTGCTCTTGGTGGCAGTGGTGGCCTGGATCTGACCGTCACCGATCTGGGAGATAGCGTCTCTCTTGGCCATGGTGGAGGCGGTAGCAGCGCTCAAAGTCGACACAGACGAGGTGACTGGCTTGACAGCAATTCCGAAAGTCTCGGCGTACGCAGTCTTACCACCCTTGTAGGTGGCAGAGGGAGTCAAGGTGGTCCATGGCTCGGACTCAGTGACAGCGGCGGAGACAGAGGCAGCTAGGGCAGCAGCCAAAACGGTAGACTTGTATTGCATGTGTGGCGGAGGAGTTGGGATGTGTAGCGATCTGGTAACAGAATTCTATAGTGTTGTGAGAGAAACTGAAACCTACCAGATACATCTTTCACCGGATCAGACGTCGCTATATATACTAGAGGCGGAAACTGAGATGGCTTTGATCCAATATACCTGCTACTCTACTTTTTTGATCTAGATTCTACTGGGGTGCGCAGATCGATGGAGACCGCGGCAACAGTGGTACGGGGCTTGCTCCTGCCAGGAATGTAGGCTCTAAGCATAGATTGATTGTCCGCTGCGCTTGTCACCTTTTCATTTTGGAAGCCAGCCATGTCTATTAAAGTGGTTCATGTATTGTTAAATTGGGCTGGCAGAGTGGACTTCGTCGCAAACGATACACAAACCGGACCACGCTTCGCCTCACTTCTGCGCAGCTGGCACCGGCGACTGGATGGTATGCCGCTGGGTTGCGAGCTATATTGACCCCGGCGCCCGCCTCGGGGCCCTCCTCGCCCTCGCCCGACTGCGCTGTCGCTCATCACGTGACACGCGCCTCCACTGCTCCCACTCACTCGCCCGTCCGTTTCTCGCGCTCGCCCGCTACTCGACCACCCGCCTCGTGCCTCTCGTTCCTGGCCCCGCCTCTTCCGGTTCCGCTCTCATTTCGCCACTCACGCCTTTTTTTTTTTCACTATGGGTTTGCCCGCCCTCTTCATTTTTTTCGCCCTCTGCTAGATTGGCCAACCAGCACTGCCGTTATAGAAACCGAAGCTGTCACCAAGACAAAGTGTCAAAATCAAGATCAAGCGCAGGAAATCAACTGGTGGGTGCATTGCATGCGATTGTGTTACTCGATCATCATACCGAAAAAAGCCTCTATCAGCTTCCGCTGAGTGATACACGGGAAATTTTTTAATGGCTCCGCACGCACGCCACGTTACTGCTGACACACACGCACACACGAGTGCGTGCGACAAGGATAACGAACAATGTGCGTTTGTATGTGCCTTGCTTGCTACGCACACCAGCTTTTGTCGCCCTAACGCGAGGATAATAAAATGGGCTTTGTCTAAAATAGGACATCTAACGAAGTGACAAGTTTAGCCCGATAAGGTTAACAGATGGGATGGGATCAGTCAGGCAGGAGAGGAAAGTTTTTTTTAGAAACCGAGGGCCATTTTGCGCGTTAGGTTGGGTGGAAGTGTGGCCCGTTTGCCGTCTTCGGGAAATTGATTGATCCGGCAACTAACCAGCACAGTGGGATAAAAAAAGATGTGGTGAGTGGGATGAGGGCGGAATCAAATCGTATATAAGGCAGCGCGTTGGGGGTTTGATTTGGATCTCAGTTTAATCCTTTTTTTTAGTTTCTCAGAAACCAGATCCAAGCGACTGCAATCGTTACACATCTTTCAAGCCTTTGTTTCTTCCGCCACACATGCAATACAAGTCTACCGTTTTGGCTGCTGCCCTAGCTGCCTCTGTCTCCGCCGCTGTCACTGAGTCCGAGCCATGGACCACTTTGACTCCCTCTGCCACCTACAAGGGTGGTAAGACTGCGTACGCCGAGACTTTCGGAATTGCTGTCAAGCCAGTCACCTCGTCTGTGTCGACTTTGAGCGCTGCTACCGCCTCCACCATGGCCAAGAGAGACGCTATCTCCCAGATCGGTGACGGTCAGATCCAGGCCACCACTGCCACCAAGAGCACCGCTGCTGCCATCTCGCAGATCGGTGATGGCCAAATCCAGGCTACCACTTCTACTGCTTCTGCCAAGAAGTCTACTGCTGCTGCCATCTCGCAGATCGGTGATGGCCAAATCCAAGCTACTACTTCT